ACAAAGCCATGAGAAAAATAAAATCCACTCTGGGAACTTTTTCCCCGCACACCAAATATAGATTCCCACTTAAAGTAGATCTTCTGCCCTGGCTGTATTAGGAACGTCAGAAGCTGCCTTATTATTCCAGGCCTGATCTTTGGTGCATCTGGCCCCACTGACACAGGAAGCAGCTCCCCAGGGCCTCCGTCAGCTTCTCAAATTCTAGAAATATATGCATTTTTACCCTTGTAACATGCATTTTGCATACATTTGGCTGGAGAACCGCAATGGAAAATTCCAAGTAGCGCAAATTTCAAAAGACAGCTGCGTTTCAGCTCACGCTTTGATTCAGAAAGTGCAAATTTCATAGGTTTGAACAATTTGGAGGAAGTTGGAAACTCCAATGAGGGTTGAGGAAGTGGAAGTCAGGGGTAGTGGGGTGTTTTGGCACCTCCCTTGCACATCTCAGGGGATGTGGATGCTGCTGCTGCTTATTTGGTTCCTGGCTTATGCTTTGCAGTGCAGACTTTCAAGCAATGTAGACGAACAGGTCCTTGAGCTTTAATTTGTCTGGAGATGTAGGCAAGAGAGGCAAATTGCCTAGAAGACAGAGCCCTTCACAGCCACCATGGTGCATCCCAAAAGCCAAGGCAGAGGCTCGTTTGCCGTCTGGCCACCTGCCCAACCATACTTCAGCGCCATAATACCTGGGAGCTTTCCCATGCCAATCAGCCTCCAACTCCTGGGCTCAGTTCTAGGAGGACCCCTTTCCAAGGGGCCATCCATCAGCCTGCAGGCATGCACAGCCAGAATTGCTCATCTCTCCCCATATGTCCATTGAGGTTTGTGGACAGGCAGCATCTGGTGAATTGCCCTGTTTCTTCCATGCCAGGCAGGCCTGGCCAGATACAAGACGCTCCAACAGGGGCAAGGAAGCCTTTCCCAGGCAGAGCAGCTGCATAATATTAAAAAGATGAGCCGCACCATAATTAACTCGTTTAGAGCTGTTCCTGCAAACCAGTTGTGTTCAATCAGAATCTGCCAATACAGTTTTCTACAAATTGCCATCTGAGATTCCTGCTTGGTGGATTCAGGTGAGCTCAGAACCAGATGCCAGATTAAATTCAGATCTGCACTTGTAAAAATAGCACGGAGGTGATGAAATGACTCTTCTCATTAGCTGCCTCTGTCCTGGGAAGCGCAGTCTTTCCCTGTGGAGCAGCCCAGAGCTTCAGTCCAGGAAATCAGGCCATCAAGACACAAAGACCAGGCAGCAGACTTCAGTTTAGGAGGAGGAGGAGGGTGGGGGAACACTAGAAGCAGACCAGCACTCTGAATATATATTTCCTTTTCCTTTTTAACCAAGTTATAACTATCTGCATAATGGGTGGCTCAGTAAGATATAGAAAAAGAGCTTAAAGAAACAATTTGTTCTTTCCAGCCCTGGAGAAAGTGCTTATCACGTGGTTTCCAGGCCTGCCACAAAAGAGTTCAGGGTGTTTAAGCTATGGGGGTTTGAAACTGGCTATAATTCTTTTGGAGTCCAAAGGGAGCAGCCAGGCCTGCGTTCTCTGGGGCACTGCACTGGGCTCTTATTTGTCTGGTGCCCTCACAGCTTCTAAATGGAAATGCGCCAGGTTTAATAATTCATTTCCTTCTCCCTACACGCTTTTACCCTAAACTGATGTTGGGCTGCTCATGGTTGCCAAACCAGGAAAGGAAAAGGAAGCCTTCATTCACCCTCAAGCGGCTTTGTCAAGTTTGACTCCCATCTTGCTCTTGTGATAAAGAAATAAAAAGCTTTCCAAGTGAGAGGTGCCCTTGGGAGAATTTCCGAGAACTCTTGTTATATGAGTGACAGGTTTAGTGTCAATCAAAAAGCAAAATTATATATTATCCTTCAATAGCCAAGTTTATCACTTGCCCTGCCAGTGGCTTTCACCCCAAGACACCCTTGAAATTTGGACAGCTTGAACACCAACATGGAGATGGGGAGGCCTGCTGCTGCTTCTGCCTCAAAAGTCTTTTCCACTGCAAGAGGAAGGAGCCTCCAGGGTCAGGTAGTCAGATTCCCAGGAAATCTTTGCCCTTGTGGCTTGCAGAAGAGAAGTTTACCTTTCATTTCTCAATTTCTGAAAGAACAGCCTTTTCTCACTGTTCTAAGAAATGAAAAGGGAAAACTGCAATGGATTTGCTTTGCTTTGCATGGGCTCACTGTTCTTGCCTGTCCTTCTCCTTTAAGCAAACGAAAAATGAGGAATCTCCACAGACCTTCCCCCAGTTGGGTTGAGCCATGTTTCTTTCTGCAGTTGGAGGTGCCAGTGACAGGCATACAAATTTGCAGATCAAACAGTGACTCGGTTACTCTCTGTTTTTGAAGGTGCAACTCATACTTTCTTCATTCGAGTCAAGATTTTAAACATTCATCCCTCATCTATTTTTAGACTGCATGAAGACAGGTGCCCAAGGTGTGGGCCTCTGCAGGCTGATCTCACGTATCTTTTGCGGGAATGTTGGGTCATGGCTCTCTTCTGGGAAGGAGTTAAGGCAAGAGTTAACGTCACCCAAGATAATCCAGTGAGCGTATGGTGAGCCAGAACCACACCAAAAGGAAAGCCAATTTAAAATGTATTAATATAATTGACAAATAGTAAATGATTGCAAATATTCATTTTAAAGGGAAAGCATGATGCAAAATAAACAGTAATATAAAAACGATTACCATATACTGCTTGAAACCATTACAATGGGGCTATTAAAAACAGAAGGAACATGAAGCTGTTGCATTACCTACTTAAGGGGTAATAAGAAATCATAGATGAAAAAGCGAACTATAAGAAAGCTATTATCCTTCTAACACTCTCTCACCACTCCAGCTAACTTAAGAGCAAAAGCAATAAGAATGCTTCACTATATTATAAAAGCATAAATGCAATATGCTGAAGCCATATATGAGAAGTTGCTTAAGATTTTAAAGAGGGTAAGACAAGATGTACGAGAAATATATTCTGCTAATATTGAGATAAAATTAGGGGCTTGGGGGAATAAACGTAAATAAGTTGTTGCAAATTGGAAAATCTTAACAATATAAAGTCTCAGAAGCAAAACAATCTCTAAGAATGCTGTAAGGTAGGGTGGAGAGCTGGCTCCTGTCAGAAGGCCGGTTTCTCCTCTCTCCTACCCCACATGGACCAGATTTGACTGTAGAGCATAAGATTCTTAATCTCAGGGTTGTGGGCAAAATATTCCTGTACTGCTGGGGGTTTGACTAAGTGACCCTTCATGGTCTCTTCCAACTCTACAATTCTATGAGTCTATGATTCTTTGCAGACTCCTTCCACATTGGTCTGTGGGGCACTTTGAAGCACCCATCAGCTCATCATCAGGACTTCAATGTGCCAAGCAAGGATTTGCAAAGAATGATGCGCTGAAGCCCAACCACCAATCAGCGGATCGTCAGCACTTCAGAAGTCCCTCTTAGTCCAACCCAGCCACCTGTTTAGATGATACTGGGTGACTGGCAGATGGGTGCAGCTTCACCAAAATGGCTTAGTCTGCTAAATAGAATCCTGGTGGACTGGAGGTCACCCACCCCTGCTGTAAGTCATTGACAAAACAACCAGTCACTAAAACTCACTTCCGGGGGACTGACTGTCTGTTGTTGGCTCTCTGCGGACAGAAGATAATTATGTGGTGATAATTACAGTGGTACCTCGGGTTAAGAACTTAATTCGTTCTGGAGGTTGGTTCTTAACCTGAAACTGTTCTTAACCTGAGGTACCACTTTAGCTAATGGGGCCTCCCACTGCCGCCACGCGATTTCTGTTCTCATCCTGAAGCAAAGTTCTTAACCCAAGGTACTATCTCTGGGTTAGCGGAGTCTGTAACCCGAAGCGTCTGTAACCTGAAGCGTCTGTAACCCGAGGTACCACTGTCATCAGACTGAAGGTCTGATTATCAAATCACTCTGAGATAAAGAGTGATTGAGGGAGTAACTTCAAATGCTCTGATCAAAGCCATTTTATGCTGTTGGCATCTGGGGCTTAGACAAGGAGCTAAAATGAGCTGGCACGTTGAGGAACCAACATCAAGTCCAAACACCATGTAAGAACCCTTTATGGGAATAAGATCTACATCCTCTCTTTCTTAAACATTTTTGGGACAATCTCTGTATCTTAGGAGAGATTTTTCTGTCTGCTGATGCAAGTTTTCCTATTGGGGAAATTTCAAGAGCTGCTTTCTGTCTTTAAAAAGAAGAGAAGAAAAACTGGCTGTTAAAGTGTCCAAGGCAGAGCAAAAAGCTTGATTTATGGTTGACAATAAACAAATGGGGGAATTCCTTGTGTGGAAAATCTTTCTTTTTCTTCTTTAAAAAAAATTTTTTTTGATAGGAAACTGAAAGTAAACCAGCCATTGTTTCCTCTGGGAAAAAAACCTTGTGACTGTGTTCTTAAGGTGGAAATCTTAAGGTATAGTTGAGAGATTGAGTTATTAACAGCATGAAAAACATCATGTGTGGCAATTCTTTGGATCTCCCAGTGACTGTTGGTATTGTTTGGCAGTAGATGGCTGAACAATTAAAAATGATCAGATCAACATTTGATGAAAGGGGGAAAGAAAAAAAAACAGAGAGATATGAAATGAAAAACAGAACTGGAGATGATGTAGAGACTTCAGGCAAAATGGATGAAGAGCTGGTAGCACAGGATGATGAAACAGCAAAATTGGAGAAAGCAAATGGTGAAATGGAAATGCCTTTCATACAAGGGCTTGGAGGAGAAGGGAGGATAAAATAATAAATGGAGAGATGGAGAATCATCTGGATTTGGCATTGATAGAGCTGAGAGAGAAAAAATGGAAATACAACAGTAAATAGAAATACTGAACTGGGTGTGAAGTAAAGCATATATACAAAGAGAATTATGGAATATTATTTTAATATGGCTTCTCACAGTGGAGAGATTTTAACATGGACACAGATGGAAGAATTTATTATTACTCAAAATGGAAACATGGCGGTGGGAATTACTGGAAGTAAAGTTGACATTAAAGAAAAAAACACAGCAGACATTTATTAATAATAAAATAATTTGGGAATGCCTCTTAAACTTTTCATGGGTAAAGGAAATGAATTATTCTGGCCTTTGGCTGAGACACAAGGGATTGTTATTGCTTCCTGAAACCAAAGTTTGCTCCTCTTGCACAGCTCTCCAGGACAATTTTGAAAAAGAATGCAACCAGAAAAATGTGGATTCTGGTACCAGTTGACCATGACCAAATGGAAACCAAGAGGGTGGAATTCAAAAAAATGATGGCGCATCAGTCATTCAGGCCACAGCTAGAAAGAAGATGAAAAAAATTAAAATAAGCACCTGTCACTTTTGAGGCAGTGTAAAATTTTGCAGAGAAATGAATGAAAGAGTGTCCTCCAGAGCAAAAGAAATACTGTCTTCAAATAAAATCAACCAAGTGACATTTTAAGGCCTCCTCTTGGCCTCCCCAGGGCTTAGAGCAAAGCCCCTGATTTATGGCTCCTCTTTCAGGCATTTGCTAGAAATGGATTTCTCTTGTTCAGCGCTTGCTGTAGAAGATAGAAAACAACTATTGATTTCTGAGATTGGAAAAAAATGGCAGAGTTGCTTATACATAATAAATGTGGTTGGATGCAAGCTGCCGTGCCTGGATCTGGCCATGGTGCTGAGCAACATACCACCAGCAGAGACATCATTTCACTTTCCAGGAACAGATTTCTTTTTGTCCTGGGAAGCTGCCCCCCCCCCCACTTTCTAACCTGAGGTCAGCCGCTGTTCTGTTCCTCCTTCCCAGGAGAAGAAGAAGAAGAAGAGTTTGGATTTGATATCCCGCCTTTCACTCCCCTTCAGGAGTCTCAAAGCGGCTAACATTCTCCTTTCCCTTCCTCCCCCACAACAAACACTCTGTGAGGTGAGTGGGGCTGAGAGACTTCAGAGAAGTGTGACTGGCCCAAGGTCCCCCAGCAGCTGCATGTGGAGGAGCGGAGACGTGAACCCGGTTCCCCAGATTACAAGTCCACCGCTCTTAACCACTACACCACACTGGCTCCAGGAGGCCTGGGCACAGCCTGGGACCACCCAAAAGAGCCTCCTATTTGGTCAACACTCAATGCACCTGAGAAGAAACCACTGCTTTGGCATCTCAGGAGCAGTGATTTTGAAACCTCCCTCACCAAAGGCAGAAAAGGAGGGTGAGTGTTGAGTTTGGGTTAGCCACACTTTTTCCTCAAATGACCAAAACGTGAGGAAATGTAGAGATGCATGCACTTCCCGCCCCATGCCCCAAAAAAGTTTATGAAAGGGGATAAATGTTTGTTTCAGCCAATGCAAGACAGAGCAGGGGGAAGATGGGGGGATAGACACTGTCGCCTTGACTTCGCTTCAGGAAGGCTTTTGAACCACTTTGGGCATTATAGGGAAATGCTAAACAATAACCTGGCATATAATATCTCATTGATTTCTTAGTAATGGAGTCTCTCCACTCTGTTCTTACCTTTGTGCCTTTTCCTTGCTAAAGGAGCTGTTGGTATTATGAGGCTGGCTGGATTTGTTCCTTTAGTGCTTGAGATGGGGGTGGGACCACGGAAACAACCGCTGAATCATTCCCTTAGCTGTGCAGGATACGCACCTTGGCTGCCCTGGCCAGATTGACGAGTCCCAGGAGCCTCCTGAGCAAGAGACTCAACGTGCGCACGTGGCCGGCCTTTCCTCCGTCATTGTGCTCCATTGCACCACCCGGGATCCCTCCGGACTGTAATGATGTGAAGACTCTTAATGCAGGTTTCCATTCAAACAAGGCATGTTTGAATCATTTTTCGTATTTATAAATGTCTTATTAGGTCATTTCCCCCAAACCCTATGTATAAAAGTCTCATCAGGTCGTATTTCGGAAATGATACGACCGTAATGAGGTCCCACAGTGGGCCTGAATCACAACAGCACTTCTGCAGCTGACTCACCTGAATGAAGGCATCTTCCCACCTTCCTGTTGCCCATTCAAGAGTGCGCCCCACCCAAAGGAGGCATGACTCATCCAAAAGCTGTTCCCTGCTGCCCTTCTGCAGCAGCCGGCCCTGGCTTGGCCTCAGCCCCTACAAACAAGCTGTTTCCAGGGTGTGTATGGCTCCATTCCTTGTAAAAGGGCTTTCGTGGCACCAGCTTTACAGGCAGAAGGGGTCTCCAGGCAAAGCTGGGAAACGACTCCTGCCTGAAGTCTTGGAGAGCCACTGCCAGTCAGTGTTGGCAGTACTGGGCTGGATGGGCGAATGAGACCATTGTGGGGTTTGCAGCCAAAATTGTGAATGCATGTTTTGCTAGACAAGCACAGGACTGGTACACAGAGAGTTCTTGAACTTCCTAGAGAGGACCTTCTGGGTATGCTCACTTCCTTTACCTCCTCTGGACTGTGTAACAAAGGAGATATTTCCTTTTGCCTGTGAGGAGACTCTTGCTTTCCACCATGCCTCCATGCTGAACAGGCATGCATGGCTGAGGCTCCTGCTTTCAGCCATATTAACCAAGACTACTAACTTTAATTTTTCTGTAACTCCGAAGTATTTTTCTGCACACCACTTTGCTTTATTTGCTGCTGCGTTGAAATGTAAGTAACCCCTTTTTTTGTTTATCTTACTAAAAACGTGGTTTCATTCTCTGTAAAGGGGGTGAAGAGGAGGGAAGTTCAACAGACCACAAATAGAAGCGATACAAAGGTATAAATGCCTAATTCCTAAACTTTAATAAGCTGCAAAACACATAAGTGTTTTTACTCTGCTAAAAAGGGCAGTTCTCAATCCTCCTGGTCACCAAGATGGAGAGCAGGAGGGTTGTGCTGGTTTGCCCAGCTGTGAGCCTTCTGCACTCTGCACTGATGATTCTTGGCTCCAGAAGGATTGTGGTGCTTCCTTGGCACTTGGCACAATCTGGATTTCAAAGTCATGGAACAGTTCAGTTCAGGATGACCCACTGCCAGCGAACTGCTCCAGCAATGCTGCTTAAAAATGGAGAGAGAAAGAGAAATGTGGGTGAGGCTTGGAGAGGGAAAACATGAGCAGTTTATCTCCCCCTTCAACAGCCTTCTCTCCCCTGCTTTCTTGGGAGGACAGGGAAGGAGAGATGCTAAGTCGCCTTCCTTTTAGTTGAGCCCACAGGTCTGTGTTTTTGCAAGGGGGTGCATTTTGTTTTGCTTGCCTGGGCATACAAAGGCGCCACTGAGGCAGAGTCTGACTTCCTACAGTCACTCCTGGCAGAACAACAGTCTTGTTTCTGTCTGGGTCAGGAAAAGCTTTAGAATGCCCTTCTCTAACATTCAAAACATCACTTAAGAAAACCAGGCAAAGTTTTTGCTGACATTTATTAATCCTGCAGAGTTGAGGAGATGCTAAGTTAAGGTTTGGCTCACCAGGTGACAGAGAACATTTTGCCCAGAGGCAGCAATTACATTCCAGGAGTAGTGTCAGGATCACTTAGTTCTGAGGGGAGACCAAGATCTGAAAATCAGTGCAAAGTTCTTCCTGAGGAATATTCAAAGGCACAAGCAAGGGGAGAGTTTGAGCTGAACCACCTGTGTCAACAAAGGGGCAAGGCCACGGTCTGTGTCCATTTTCATACAAAGCTGGTGTTACCTTGAAGGCTTTTTTAATAGTTTTTTTCCTTACAGGGGCTCCTGATGGAGTTTTGGAGCAGAAGGGATTAGTGTTTGTTTACTTGTTTGCTGGCTTGCTCGCTTGCTTGAGAGGCCAGGAAGAAAGGCAGCCTCCACCACCTTTTCAAATGGCAAGCTCCCACATTCAGCCTGCCTCTTGCGCAGCCCTCGTGAGCAAGCAGACTGGAACATGTCATGCTTCAAATAATCACTTTAGCTTCAGCCAGGGAGGGAGGCACCTATGATCGGATATGCTCTTTTTCTAAATTGCTTTCTCTTCCATCTGCTCTTATGAACCACAAGGGGCATATTGTGCAGTCGGGATGTGGCCTCTCCCACAGAAGCTGCATGGTGATTTTTGCAGTGGAACTGGCATCGTCAAACAGGCGTTACAAGAAGAAGGCCTACCAAGGAGCGCTGATCTACATGCCTAGAAAAAGCAGGTGGAACAGATTATTTCATGTCTCTATTTGCAATTCTATAATTTTATTATTGTTATGTATTCATTATATGAATATTTAATTTATATACCGCCCTTCGTCCAAGGATCACAGGGCGGTTTACAATACAAAAACACAAAATTACATAACATAATAACAAACTAAACAGTATTTCCACCCCACCCCCCATCCACACACACACACACACACACACAGTTTAAAAGGCCATAGATTGTTTGATTAACCAGAGGCCTGGGAGAAAAGGAAAGTTTCCACCTGTCGCCTGAAGATGTGTAATGAAGGTGCCAGGCAGGTCTCTTTGGGAAGAGCATTCCACAAACGGGGAGCCACTGCAAAAAAAAGGCCTGTTCTCATGTTGCCTCCCCCTGGACCTCTTGTGGAGGAGGCACACGAAGAAGGGCCTCAGATGATGGTCGCAGGATCTGCTTCGTTCATATGGAATACCCTCCACCCAGAAGTGCCAACTTGAATAAAATATTGGGGGGAGGGGACAGGTAAGCCCCACCCTGCGTAATTGATCACATGATGCAGTGCAGGCTCACCATTTGAATGACAATGCCCATCGACTTTGGGGTGGCCCAGCCTCCTCAAATATTTTATGGGGGCGGGCAAAGGGACCTCAGCCCCTAGGAACTGGCTCCTATGCCTCCGACATCCCTCAGATGAAAATCGGGACATTTTCATCTGAGGAATGCAAGGTGCTTCTGGCTAGTGGAAAAGCATGGGGGGCAGGAATGCATGTGCACACGCACTTGTTACATACATGCTCAGAGGTGCTACTTCATTATCTTCATTGCCTTGCATGTCTCCCCCATCCTGCTAGCTGCTGAAGATTCGCCCACTACCGCTGCTGTCTCCAATCTGCACAGTGGTCCTTTTAAGCCCACTCCCCCATCTCTCTGCCTCCTGCTCCCAGTGGTGCCCTAGTTAAGAACATCACTGCCAAGCTCGGAGCCGGATGCTATGTTGTGAGGGGCAGAGAGCCAGGATCCATGCAAATTGGATCTGAAGCACCTGCCCTGGAGAGTCCAGTCTGCCATGTGGACAGCAGAGGAGCCTCAGACCCCGTGTGGCTTCTGAGATCTTCCACCGCTCTCTCACTCGCTGTGGGGCAGTGCTGTGAGGGGGGAGCAAAGCCTTGAAATCAGGCATGCCCCAATTTCAAGTCAGAAGCCGAGGTGGCTTTACCAATTCTGGGACCTTCCCGGAAGAATCAGGGCAGTTGAGGGATATTTGCAGTCCTGAGCCGTTTAAGGCTCTACGCCTCAATCTGTGCTACTGGTGGCACCAGAAGCCACATGTAAAGCCATAAACCTGAGGATTCCATGTCACACCTCAAATCTCCCAAAAGATATTGGGCAGCTCTCCTCCTTTGCCTGAATTCGTAAGCAAACATACAAAGACTTCTTTATTTACTCAGGCTTTGGGCTGATAGTTTTATAAAGTTTGTACCCTACTGGTATTAACTGCTGTTTATAACATGATATAGTGTTGTTTTGAATTGTTTTTACATATTTTTTATTTTAATCTGAGGCACCCTAGGGGTGGGCAAGTTAGACACTTGAAATAATAAATGAATGAATGAAATAATGAATAAACCAATGCTGCTGCTGCATAATAACAGTGATGCTGTTCCTTGTTAGGGGCAAGGAGGTTATTTAACAGGGGTGTGTGCATTGCTGCAGCTGCTCTGGATCCGTGCCTCCTTTGACACAGCTGGCCTCCCTCAAGCCTGCAGCTTTGGAACTGGGCAGCCGGGATACTCTGTGAAGAAGAGAACTTATCCTAAGGTCTCCCTCTGCTTCTCTCCATGAATTCAGAACAGGGTTCAGCACAGCAAAGGCAAGAGCGGAGGGCTATCCATCCGACAGGGCTTGTTACTCCTGTTCTGTGTACCTGCAGATTACATTTGTACCTCAAATGTCCGTCAGTTGATGGAAAGGGTATCTAATATATCTGTTGCTGTGAGTGTTTCAATCATCCTAGGCTCTCCGTGGAGGCCTCTGAAGGGCTGTTCCTGATCAAATCAATTCCAGTGGACCTGTGGAGTGTGAAATGACAGTGCAGGAGGGCCTCTTTTGCAGACTGGAAGGTGTGAATTGGCACCTTGGAGGAGGCCTCTTCTCCCACTGTAAAGAGACTTACAGAAACACACTTGAAGATGTGGCTCTTACTTTCTCCTGTTCCATTTGTAACGCAAGCAGCTGTTCCTTTCAGGAGGGAGATGAATTGTAAACAATGTGCTTGATATCTGATGGCCAGGATTCCTTTGCCTGGTACCTGAAGAACCAGGTGAGGTTGTGTGGGTGAGCAAGAGACTTATCCAAGTCTCGGAATAAAATTAGCCCTGAAGCTGTGATAGCAGGAGCAGTAAATATTGCATCTCTCATAGCTGCCCTGGGGTGGAGATGGTTCCTGCGGGTGGCGCTGTGATCTAAACCACCGAGCCTCTTGGGCTTGCCGATTGGAAGGTCGGCAATTCGAATCCCCACAACGGGGTGAGCACCCGTTGCTCTGTCCCAGCTCCTGCCAACCTAGCAGTTCAAAAGCATACCAGTGCAAGTAGATAAATAGGTACCGCTGCAGCGGGAAGGTAAACAGTGTTTACGTGCGCTCTAGTTTCCGTCACGGTGTCCCGTTGTGCCAGAAGCGGTTTATTCATGCTGGCCACATGACCCAGAAAGCTGTCTGTGGACAAACGACGGCTCCCTCGGCCTGAAAGCGAGATGAGCGCCACAACCCCATAGTCGCCTTTGATTGGACTTAACCGTCCAGGGGTCCTTTACCTTTTTACCTTTAAATGCCCCAAACACACCAACGTAATTATATTCCAAACAACCTTAATGTGATGTGCAGAAAATAGAAATCAGATGCAATATAACTGTTTCAGAACATTACATGAAGTAGAGCTTCCATTAGATGCTTTGCAGGTTCCAGGTTGCACCTACAAGTACTGGAAGAAGGAGCCATAGAATGGCTGACCTCAACACACACACAAAATTGTTGGGAAATTAAAATCCAGCTGTGACTCAGGGCAAGTAAATAGAAGCCCAGCGGAGCCTTCCCTAGCAGTTTCCTAGAAGAAATCAGGATGGATTTTATTTAAATCACTAGTCAGTAAGACTTGATTTAAATCATTTTTTTACAAAAAGACTAATTCTTGCTTGTATAAGGTTTCATTTTTGAAATAATAAATTTTCAGAGTAGTTTTTACACTTATATCAAAAATTACTGATTTGGTTATACTATTAGAAATACATAGATAATTATGACATTATTGTGAGGTTTAATAAGTTAACTGTTTATAGGGGCTTTATATCCCAGCAGGCCTGGCTTTGGAGAGGCTGGCGTTCCTTTTCCACAGGGAAGGGGGGGAGATACAGTTGGTAGGCCCAGGCTGGGCAGGTTTGCAGAAAGAACAGGCTGAGGCTGAGGAGAAACAGGCCGTTGCAAAGCTGGAAAGGGGGAACCAAGGACTGGAGCAGAACTTCAGGGATTCCTGCTGCAGGACTGAAGTTCCAGGTAGAAACTTAAAAAAAAAAAAAATACAATTTATTAATTTTATAATAACAACAAAAAAATCATCAAAAAATTAACTTATACATCTTAATTGACTTCCCTCCCCCCTTCTGGTTCCATTATTTTATACTTAATCATGCACATCTATAGTGTTTTATATTCTTAACAATCCCATTTTAAAACTTCATTCATGTTGTTACAAGTGACTTTTAGAAGTTCAACTAATGTAAAAATCTTCATCTGGTTCGTTGGCAAACAAAGCAAGCAGGTAAGAGATGGTCCTTCTGCAAGGTGTGTCTGTTGCCTGCCTTGGAAGGAACTATAAGACCTTTCTTCCTAAAGCGAATTTTGTCAGTTTCCTCACAGACTCCGGTTTGGTCCCTGCCAGGTGAAGCACGAAGTTAAATAGCTCCGTCTTGGCATTGTTACAGAATGTGAATTTTGAAGTCTTTCAGTAATCCAAGAGAGTCCGCAGGGCGAGCAGGGACTGCATGCTGCGCCTGGGACAAAGAGCCATCTCCAAAGCCCTTGTCAGCCATGGAGCTTGCTGAGGTGAGGGCAGTGCCCCATGCCAGGGTTAGTACAGGGTTAGTACAGAATTAGTACTTAACCACAAGCTTCCCAGCTGACTGAGCACCACCCACCCTTTCTGGGGAGGGTTGCCAGTATCATGGCTGTGAAGTGCTCTGAGCCCAAAAGTCTGGTGGTCCTTTAGAGACTAACAAGTTTATTCCAGCAGACACATTCCTGGCTGATGGACAGTCCCTGACATCAGATGCCAGCTCATCAAAAAGCCAAAAGCCAGTGTCAGCCCACAGCGCCCCTGTTTTTCTCTCCCCTATCGACCTGTCTTGTTCTCTTATAGGTAACGTAACCTGGAAGGAGAACAGAATTGAAATGTGGCGAAGAGTGGACATCTCCCTTAACACGAGTCTCATGCTACAAACCAGAGGGTTGGGTGAAGAAGAGAGATCTTGCGCACCTCCCAAGCCGTTCTGAAAACATTATCTCATTAAACTAGGAGCCTGCCACTGGCTTAAGTGGCCTGCAAATCAGTCTGACAGAGTGTTTAGAAATGTGTGTAGCTGGAAGCATCGCAGGCAGGCCGTGGGGACGCTTGCCTAAGAGTTTTAAAGGTAAGAGCCACATTTCACACAGAATAAATCCGGGAAAGGGTGCATCTCTGGCCCTTGCAGATTTCTCTTCCCCTCCTCCACCCACCATCTGATGGCAGGGAGGGGAGTAGAAAAGAAGCCCACCCACAGCCCTCTGGGGCAAATGGAGCTTACGGCCCCCTTCTGTGGCTCTCCAGCTGCATTTTTTTTAACACTAAGGTTGATACGGGAGAAAGCAAGCATGTGAGCGTCACAGGTTATGGTTATCAGGTGTCTCCATTTCCCAGGGACCGTCCCAGATTTACAAATCCGTCCCTGGACAGAATCTGTCCCCGGAATGTCCCCGGATTTCAGTTAATGTCTCCGGATTTATATTTTAAGTGTTGTCGATTTATTAGTAGGGAATGAATGTTGTGTGATTGGTTCAGCGGCACAAGACACATCATATGGGGACTTCCGGCGAGTCAAAATGGTGGGCGCCACGGCAGCGAGCAGCTTCTGAAGCCAGCCAGAGTCAACTTCACTACCAGGCTCACTCTGGGCTGCTGAGACTGCCACTGCCACTGCTGAGGGAGAACCGGGGACACCTGGTGCATCAACCGGGGGAACCACTTACCCACCCCCCATGACCCAAATCATGCCAGAAGTGAGAGCACTCGGCCGACCGCCCAGCAGCACTCCAGGGCCAGGAAAACCCCGGAGCTGATGCAGGGAGAAGGAGGAGAGGAGAAGGAGAAGGAAGAGAGAGAAAGAGGAAGGAGAAAAAAGAGGGGAGCCCCGACCTTGCCACGCAGCTGCTGCCGCTGAGAAAGAGAGGAGAGCACCGGGAGGGCAAGGACACGTGGCCGAGCCCAGGCCCAACCCAAGTCTACTCCACGGCGGCTAGCATTCCAAGAGAGCAGGCCGGGGCCCAGAGGAAGGCTGCACGACAGAGGAGACCACAGAAGAGAAGATACTACTTCTTAATATTTTTGGAAAATATTTTTTAATAACTTTTTTCTCTCTTTTTTTTTTAAAAAAAAGTGTCCCCAATTCTTTGAAAAAAATCTGGTAACCATATCACAGGTGAGAAGCAGAGGGTGTAACCTCAGATGCAAACTGGTGGTTGGAAGCATTTGTTTTGCTAAGAGGACAGGCTTGTGGGCTCTCTGATCAGCTGGTCCCTCCTGGGAGGCAGAGTGGTCCTGCAGTGCTGGAGGTGAGTGATTGCAAAGGACTCCCGTGACCTGGAGGGAAGGGAGTCAGGGCCTGGGGGGCCGGCTGGCTGGGGGGCTTGCACTACAGATCAGCTCCACAAGGACTCTGGACCTCTTCTGCAGATCAAGCCCCAAGATGGAGCAGCTGCATCTTGTCCCCGGAGTGCCTTGACTCCTTTCAGCGGAGCAGCAAAAGACCAGTCCTAGGAAATCCAATGCAGATTCATTTCACCCCTTTCTGCCAGAAGTACAATGCCTACACGTTTCCATTATAGTGTGCAGCTACTCGCTGCATCTTGCCTCTGTAATAGAATTGGTAAATGGGCAGGGTGGGGGTTGTTGGGAGCAGCTGTTGGTTTTCCTGCAGTTTCTGTGCGTCGAAATCAAGAGGGGAAGGGAGGGCAGGGCTTGGGGAAGGTTTTGCGCTACAGCGCTTCAGCCTCTGTCCTAGACCAAGCAGCGCCCCCTGCTGGTCTCTCTCCGACACAACAGCACCTCCGTTTTTGGCAACTGGCAGTGGGAAGCATAGCTGGAAAGCAGCAGTGGGAACATCTGTGGCCCTCCAGATGTTGGGTTTGCTGGGAGTTGGGGGGGCAGCAACAAGGGACTGCAGCGAGATGGTGGAGAAGAACGGAAGGGAGCTATGAGGTGGAAGGGCAGACCCATAGATGTGCCTTTTTCAAAAGTAAATATTTAATTTGTCTCATGCCTCCAGAATAATTAAAGGAGGGATTATAAAGCCTCTTCCCACTTAGACAACAGAGTGAGCACATCAAAGTCTCTCTGCTTATCTAGGCATATTCTCAAGAGCAAAAGGCATTTGGGGCAGCGGGTGCCTTCTGCTCTTTCCAGGGGAATAGTGTTACATGGATGCTGCCCAGGTAAAATTTGTATGCTGTAATATATTTTAAAATAAAACACTGATTGGATGTTTTCCCGTAGCAGGACAGGGCAAGCAACAAATCCATGCACCCACACAAGTGATCTTGGTATCTGTTATGAGCAGTGAGGCCCTTTTAATTACACCTGGATATTGGACCAAGGGCTTGTCCACACCTAACCTTTGCCCCGCTCTTTGCAGGCAGAGGTCCATGCTTAAAAGCTCTGTGTCTAAAGGTTGCTGGTGGTTTCTTCTTCTTCTTTTGCCCCAGGGAAAGCTCAGTTTGGGTGCTAGTTCCCTCTCTTTCTTCCCCCTGCCTTGCCCAATTAGGCTCCTTCCATCCACCCTCCTCTGCACATCCTTGTGGCTGCTCAGCCAGTGGCTGCCAGCTTTTGTTAGCTCCGTGGCTTGATGACAGCCAAGGGGGGATCAGGGTTCTCTTGCCTGGGCAACGTACCTGCTGTGCTAGGGTCTGAGGCAACTGTTCACTGCTTCTAGAGAGCCTTGTTTGGCTGTGGGCAGAGGGGCTGTTCCAAGGCCGCCCCCAAGTTCTCTCTCACCCTGTCTTGGCACTCCAGCTGTATCCTGGGCCGTGCACCATGAGGGAAAGGGAAATTGCCCCAATACTGTCCCCCACTCCAGTGAAAGTGCTTGCCTGAGACCTCTCTGGGAAAGAAGTCCAGCGCCTTGGGCAGTGGGGACAGTGGCGGGTGGGGGGAGAGAGAAAACTATTGCTCAAGGAAATGCAACATTGACGGATGTGAAGCCGCATCCATCTCCCTCCTGCTTTTGTTTCCAAAGGAAACGAGCACAATGTAAATAATAAAAGCATTTTTATTTATTGTAGAATATGACTTAAAGATGGTGGGGGGATGTGCCGGATGAGCGTGATAAAAGAGGTGTGTGTTAAAAGTCCAGCAGGACCAGCAAGAGATGGTTGCTCTCTTCACCAGTGACACCAGTGCAGACCAGTGCTGGGAAGAGGCCTAGCTGACCTTTGGGGGCTTCTCTGCCTGTTCTGTGAGCCCCGAGTGACAAGCCTTTCCAAGTAGTAGCAGCCCCCATGCCTGCTCAGGAACAGGGCTTGGCTTTGTGGGACTTGACACCACCAGCTCCCAGTTGCACTCCCCTCCTGACTGCTTATAAGGGATCTTAGCAGCACCCAAGGATCTCTCTGCCTGAGCTCCTGAAGAGCTGCTGGACTTGAGCCCTTGACCGAAGAACGGTACACTCCGTCTATCTGGGATGGTCGTCCTCTTCCACCGAGCACGCAGCTTTGGGAGGGACACACATGGAGCGGTGAGGGAGGAAGGGGACACCCGCCTAGCCAGCCAGATCAGCCGAATCAACCCTGGCGATCAATGGGGTGACAGATGTCGCAGCCAGATCGCCCTCACATCTGCTGGACTTGAGCAAAGGAGGAGGAAAAGGAGGAGGGGTCCACACTGGCTCAGGACCAAGCAGCTTTGGATCTTGAGCTGAGCCAGAGGCTGCACTAGAAGCCAGAAAGATTATTTATATTTCATTATTTATGTTGAACATTTATACCCCGCTCTTGAGCCAAAAAGGCTCCCAGAGTGGCTTGCATGCCATCGAAACAGGGCAGTCCCTACCCACAGCCATACAATCTGAAAAAAAGCACACAAGGTGAAAGGGACAGGGATACAAGAGGAAAATAATCAAAACTCAGGCACCAGTTTAAAATCTCCTCCTCCTGGCCATTCTAACAAGGGTCATTTGGACTCGCACCCAACTGTGGAAGACCCCCAAGAAGAAGTCAGTGGGCCAATTCTCCATTTGGACATGAAGCCTGGGGCAGGGCAGGGCAGGGAAGGCTTCTCAGATCTGCTCCACCCTCCAGGCAAGGGAAAGCAGGACAGTCTTCCTCCAGCAGCCCTCCATCAGGAGAAGAGGCATCCCTGGGGGGAGCGGTGGCAGTCCTTTGGATGCTGGGATGATATGCCCTAATCAGAGAGGACAGTGAGGAGAACCCTGGGAAAATCAGCGCCTGATCCCTGCTGGCTGGCAGAGCCAAAGTGGCGGCCCAGCAGCAGCAAGGCCCATGTCGAGGTCGCATTTGCATAATGGATAATCCGCAGCTTAATGAAGATCCGCTGTCAAAACATGCCATTTACACCGAGGCTCATTTGTTCCAAACATCACTCACTTTTCTATTTTTACCCGGCGGCACATCTCCAGCCTCAGTGCTCCTCATCCCCAAAGCCTCTGCAACGTCATCCCGACAACTTTCTGAATGCAGGATTAGAGGAAGCCTGGGAGGAGAGGCAGCAGCGGGTGTGTGTGTGTGTGTGTGTGTGTGTGTGTGTGTGTGTGTCGGGCAGTGGAGGCTGAGCATTGGTAGGACAGTAGACATCCCCCCTCCCCACAGCCTGTCAGTTTTGGATTCCACTTCATGCATCTGGTCCAGGAATGCTCAGGCCACCATTCTATACCTTTGGTGCCACAGCTGAGCTAGTCTGTTCTAAGGAAAACCACCAAGTATACTTGGTGGTTTTCCTTACAACAGACCAGACCAGCTGTTGCCCCTCTGGAAATAACTGCACACCCAGGCCCTGAGGAGGTCTGAGGTGGCAAAAAAAGGGACCATGGTAGCACCAGGGAAGGACTTTGGGGCAGATTTCTGGGCCCTCACTCACAAGAATGAGCAGATGCAGGCAGGCTGGTGGCTGCTGTCTTCTGAAGTGAGTGAGGAGACCTTGAATGAGCAAGAGAGGCCTGCAAACACCATCAAAAGTTCAGAGTCTAAAACGACCCAGCTGCACTCCACCAGAGCCAAGTGGGGTCACGCTGTACCACTTGCCTGCCCACGCAGGGGGGAGCCCGGCCATCCAATGCAGCCCTTGGCAGGTGAATCCTCCTGCCACCTGCGGAGAGGAGCGCTGGACCGGGCCATGCTGGGGTCGCCCACCCCCCAGAGGTGTTCAAATGGAAGTCCTGCGAATAAGTGCATCTATCCACACATCATCCAGTGGGGGCGGGGAGTCCCCCTGATGCATCAGCTGACCAATGGCCTCACTCTGGCTCTGCCACCACTTTTCATGTTGCTGCTTCTTTGGCAAAATTCGTTAGAGGTTTTGCACATGCGTTCTCTTTGGAAACAGCCTGTCTCAAGGCTTGAGTGACCACACGAGGCAGAATCTGCTTCCGGAGGCTGTCAGAATTCTGGATCGTATTTGGAAGAAGGCCCCAGGCCAGGATTCAGGAATTAATCTTTCTAAGGGGATGACAAGGTGGTATACAAATCAAATTATGAGCCAGCCATAAGGAATATTAAATCTGAATTTGGAAGGCAAAATAAACGAGGACTTTTGCGGCCAGCAGCAAAGGAACCGGCTGCCAAGACGCCTCACCTCGCCAAAACAATGCTTCTTTTTCCATTTCAGATCAATACTCATTTATGTTTCAGCAGACAATAGCAAAATGTAGATGGGCAGTTAACAAACCTCACCGCCGATATTTCTGCCTAAAGCTGAGAGAGTTGGCTGAGGAGTCCATGTGAGACTTCCTTCTGCACCTTCCAGGATCTGAGCCTCTAAGGAGGCTGGAAAGCAAGAGGCTGGTCTGTTCCCATTGGGATTAATTTCTTCCTGGGGTTTCTGCTGGGGTTTATGTGCCTAAGAAAGAAGAGCTCTCGGACTCCTAATTATAGCCACAAATTGATTTTCAGAGTCAGGCGCTGAGAACCGGCACAGAGATTTCACCTACCTGACCTTTGCAGTCACAAATAAGTGGGACAAAGGCTGGGTCAACTTTTTTCTATTTCTCTCCGGCAGGCCTTGATTCTCCTGCTGCAACCAGATTGCAGGAGCGAAAAACAGTGCTGTCGTTTATCCTAATCCAAGCCCCAAGAGTGAAGGCAAAGGAGAGATGGGCTTACGTTGCTGGTTTAGAGCAAAAGACCGAAACGCAAGAGTGGAGAGAGCCCTGGGCAGGGGACAGCCTGTTTCAAAATATGTTTCACAGCAGAGCTTCTGACACCAGAGCTGTCTCCTTTGTCGCTCCCCTGAATAATTCCCAGCCGGGCTGTTTGCTACCATGGCCTCCAGTCAGACTGGCTCCTCAGTTGGCTTCTTGGAGGGAGGGAAGGAGGGAGCACTCTGTTCTGCCCTGTCCTGCCCACTCCCACTGGAAAAGGCAAAATTCAGAACCACCCATCTCATTTTTTTCCTCTGGGCGGGAGAGAGTTTTTAACTAGGGATGGCACCCAGGCAGGCTGACCCTCGGGAACTGCTTAGAGGGGAAAGCACCTGTAAGGCACCTTCTTCTGAGACTCCCACATCCCCCCCTTGGCCCCTGCTCTGAAGACAGTTCATGGGAGGCAGACAAGCTTTTTGTGACCTGGGCTCCCTGTAGGACGTAGCCTCTGCTTCCTCTTGAATCCTCACAGATGACTGGAGCTTCAGGGCGTTTGCTGACGAATGCATGCAGCTGGTCCTGCTGGCCTTGGGCTAATTAGACCTCTCCTGATTCTGCGTGCGAGTGGCAGCGGGTGCTTCTTCCTAAGGGAGCCATCCTGGCCAGGAGGGGGAGATTCTGCTGCTGCTGCCTCCTCAGAAAGAACTAGTTTCCAAAACTGCTCAAGGGAGTGAAACGTCTTTGCGTATTTGGCGACTTGTTTTGAAAAGCTGGCTGACTCACAGGGTTTGGGCAAAACCGCTTCTGGGATCTCTGTGTCCTTGGCTGACAGCACCTTCCCCTGACACAAATACTGCTTTTGTCCAAAATGCCCCTCAGAAAACAGAGAGCAAGGAGGGTGCAGAACAGACCCTGCTGTGAGAACCAGCCACTGGCAGGGCGGGGTGCTGGCTCCCTGGAGCCCTTTTCCAGGGCTTGCCTACATTTCCAGGCTGGGAGAGGGACCATGAAATCCCCTGTCCCCAGGGACTCAGCTAGAAGGTTGGTCCACAACAGGCTTTTGCACAGAGCCACCTGGCAGAGGGCCTTGAGCAGCCTGCAGTCAGAATAAGCCCCGCAAGGTTGGGGAGGTAAGAGCTGCTGCTTTTGCTGGGAATGGAGGTCAGGGGGAAAGGGAGGCCTAATTTTATATGCCTACAGAATTAATAGATGCAATAGAAACATCCTTCTCTTGGGACAGAGACAGCTGCTTCTAATGCGTTTGCAACTTTATCAGATTTACTGAGCCACACTGACATACTTAATGAGTTTAAACACACACACACACACACACACACAAATTAATTTACACAAAGATAAATTCTTTCTCGCAAATTGCATTTGCCAGCTTCGTCGACTACCTAAAATGAGTTATCCACCCCCCCAAACCCGTTTTCTTTATGCAGAAATCACCAAATATCTCAGGGGGTGTCAAATCTTTTTTCTGCCATTTCTGCTGAAAATGTAAACAGATTTGATGCAGAATCACTTTCCCTTCGTGGCTGTTTCCCTAGACTGGGTTGGTGAGGAAGAGAGAGGCTGGGTACGTGTGGAGCTGAAGTTTTCTTTCCGGAGATTCTCCAGCAGGGGAAAGAAATGTTGGTGGGTCTGCAAAAGCCCACCTCCGTTTCTCTTTTTGCATGAGCCAGGGCTAGGCAGAGGGCAATCCATCCAGTCCCCTCCTCTTGAAATCCACAGGAGACTTGCCTCTACCTACAGTGGGAGACAGATTGCAAGCCAGGTTGATGCAAGTCACAAGGACTCCTCTCCCCCCCCCCCCCCAAGGAGAAGCAAGTTTGGCTGGGGTTTACCTAGAGCAGCCTTCCCCATCCCTGACCATTAAGCATGCAGGCTGAGGCTGGTGGGAGTTGTAGTCCAACAATACCTAGATGTCATGGACTGGTTGCATGCAGAAGAATGGTGGGAGGAACTGGCTGGGGAACCACCAAGGGAAGAAGCCTTGGAGCCCAGGGAGTGGAGGTGGGACAACGATGAGTGGTCAGAGGGAAAAGGAGAAGACTGGGAAGAAGTAACAGGGCTTAATGAGCTGGGAGAGTCGGTGACAGAGAGGAGTCCAGAATCAGAGGTACAAGCCAGAGCCGTCTTTCCCATGTGGCTTAGTGGTTTGTTGCGCCAGGGCGTTGGCCTCTCAGGGCTGGACCAGCGAGTGGGGGAGCTGTGTGGCTTTGCCGGTGGCCTCCCCTTTCCCTGCACACCCGCCAGCTGCTCCCTGTCAAACATATGCTGGCGGGCAAGCAGCTTCCCTCCCAAGCCTCTGTGGGGATTGCTCTACCGCAGCGGCATGGGGAAGAGTTGCGCACACAGCCCCCCCCCCAATGGCTGGCAGTGCGCACGCACCCCACTATCCGTGGTAATTTGGGGGCACTGAGCAGATATTTGCACCCCGGCGCCGCATCTGCTAAAGACGGCCCTGGTAGAAGCTGAAGCAGGCAAGTGGGAGAGAGGCCAAGAGGCAGAGATGAGTCTGGCAGTTGAAGAGTCGCAGGTATCTCCCCCCTTCTGCTGTGACAAGCTCCCCTCCCCGCTTGTTTCCCAGAACCAGAAGAGAGCTGAAACAGGTGGAGCGACAGCAGGCTGCATGCAGTCTCTTATTGCTTGGAAGAAGCCCTGGAAAGGAGGGAACTTAAGACAGCCGTGAGGAGATGGGGACTTCCAGTTTCAGCAACTGATTCATGGGGCCAGACCTACTGGGGATATGCTGCTGTGCTCATTAGGCCTGACACTCAGCCAAGTTATGTGAAGATTGTGTTTTTGCTAATAAAGAGTTAACTCCAACTTTGACAGTGTCATTTACTGACGGTTCAGTACACACACCTGGAACACACCTGGATGAGGGGGCTGCCCTTAGGAGACCAGCATTTAGCCAGGCAGATGAAAGGAGAGCTTCACTATACAGTTGGAATTATACTCATTGTTAAGGCAACAAGTCAAGGTTAAGCATTAGTTATATATCTGAGCAGCTTAAGTGCTAAATCCCTTCTCAACATTTGTGTTTTCCATCTATCCTGCTTCCTTATACAAAGTCAGACTATTGGACCCCAATTTGGTGCCCTCCAACTGTTTTGGATTACAACTCCCATCAGCCCCAGCCAACATGATATGGGGCAATGGATGGCTCTGTTATCTAACATCTGGAGAGAACCAGGTTGGTTTTGCCCACAAGGTCAGACAGGGGCTCTTCAGGGGCTCAGTCAGGAGTCTTGCACAGCTATAGAGGGAGATGTTGGCAGCTGAACCTGAGTCCATGACTGCCAGTGAGCTGCGAAGGAAATAGCTTGTCCCTTGAGCCATTGACCTTTAACGTAACAGTGATAAAAGGCAAAGATGAGAATCATCAGCAAAGCATGGCATTCAACTGCAGGAGAGCTCACAACTCTTCTGCCTCCTACGCAGTGTCCTCACAATTTGTTTTTGAACCAAGAACTTGCTTTTCTGGTACGTGAGGAGCATTCACTTCATCTGTTTTAGTGAGTTACTATGTATTTGTAAAGGGGGAAGTGAATTTTTAATAGGCTCCAGAGAGACGCCTTGCATAGATCAGCTTTAATATTTAAATATACAACGGGTCTTATGATGAATCATGGCTAAAGGGACTGGCTGGGGAGACAAATGCTCTTTACTCATCTCGAACGCCTTTCCAAGCCCACCATCCTTCACCCTGCCGCTTACAGACACAAGTATAAATTGCATGTCAGTTTAACACAAGGGGGGCAATTTGCATTCTATGACCAATTTACAATAGCAATAATCTATAAGCTCTGTTCTCTGGAAACAGAGCTCAGGAACATGGAAAGCTCCTTCCTCCCAGCTCAGTGCTGTATTGTCTGCTATGACTGGCCGCAGCTCTCCAGGGTCTCGTGCAGACCCCGTCACCAGGTTCTTTTAGCTGGATTGACCCTGCCTGGGGCCTTCTGCATGCCAAGGCAGCTGTTCTGCTGCTGAGCAGTAGTCCCTTTCCAGCTGGATGTTGAGGCCTTCTGCCAGATTTCTCAGTGTCGATCCGGTCCCAGGATCAGGTGTCCCTTTGTAACTAGAGAGACAATTGGTGGCTACAGAACTGTGGCAGCCAACTACGGGAAAGCCATTAAGACAGAGCATGCCGGGCCTAGGACTCTAGAACACATAGGCAAAGCACATTCCAGCAGGCTGTGAAGAAGGTGCTAAATCATAGCACATTTATTACAGCAACTATGTTTTTGTTGCACTTCTATGCTATGCAGCTTTTCCGATATTCAAAGCAATTTGTGCACATTCTCAGGCATCCTCGCTACAATTTCCCCAAAGGTGATACACATTGGTTGGTTGGTTGGAATGGCATAGAACAATCCTTAGGTGTGCAAATGTAAAAGGCTACCTGTGTTTCAGTTTGTGAAGAAAGTGTGAAGTAGGTGGCTCTTTTTCATTATAAGGTAATCAAGATCAAATGTCTTCTTCATCTTCCTCATCCATGGAGAAGGGCCGCGTGGCTCAGTGGCAGAGCATGGGATAGCTCAGTCGGTGGAGCATGACACTCTTAATCTCAGGGTTGTGGGTTCGAGCCCCACATTGCAGGGGGTTGGACTAGATGACCCTCATGGTCCCTTCCGACTCTACAATTCTATGAGTCTATGTTCTGCATGCAGAGGACCTACATTCAGTCTCTAGGGAGGGCTGTGAAAGATGCTTGCCTGAACCTTGGAGAGGAGCTGCCTGTCACTGTAGACAGTATTTGACTGGATGGATCCATGGTCTGGCTAGCATTACCAAGCTTCCTGTGTTCCATGCATAGTTCATGAAACCAGGCACAGAAAGATATTGGCTTTGGACACAGCCTAGGTGCCTTTCCATAGCAACATGAAAAGCAGGCACTGAGGGGAGCTGTCCAGGTCATAACCATAAATTAAGTCCACACTGGAGGGAGCCTTTGTGGTCCCAAGAATCAGCTGGCTGTCAAGAGTAAGGGTCAAGGTTTGTGCTGTGTGGATGCACCCCTCAGGCAGGCTGCCACCCCTCTTCCTCTGGTCCCTTGTTGTGCCTGGGAGGCCAAGCTGGACAAGCCTGATGTGGTGAGATGGAGGTGCCACCGCCATAGAGAGGAGTTTTTCACGATCTGTGATCCTTGTGAGCGAAGCCGTCTGGAGTCCTGTATTCCCGGTAGGGTCACCCAAGGCGGTGAGGTCAAAGGGGAGGAGCTGGACAAAGTATTATCCAAGAAGTCCTCAATGGCAGAACAGGCGGAAGATAACAAGCGGTATGTTGCAGAGGCAGGTGAAGGCTGCAGCAGATAAGAATCTACCGGTCGTCCTGATACTTATACCATTGGAATAGAGCCTTACTGCGAAGACTGTGTGTTGGTCCATGTGCACCGATCTCCACATACAAAACAAATTCAGGCACAGGCATCTTCCAAAAACCGATCCCAGACTTAGTGTATGCGGATGGGGACAACAGTGTCAGCTGCTGCAGCCTAGAACTCTGCAAGCAATGGCGCGGCCTGCAGGAGGAGAAGGTGCACATGGTGGAGATGCTGGGCGCTGAGCATCTCAACATGGTCTTTGACAAGCGCACCCTCAACTGCCTTCCTAGGGTCTTTGTGAAACTAATCTCAGGATTGGGTATTCGGTGTGCCTTATCTCTGTCAGTTAATGTGTGTACACAGCAAGGCACCATGCAATGCAAGGGCTAGGGTTTTGCATGCTAGGCTCGGATGGCTGCTTTTGAACGGTAGATCATAACACAATGTTTTTTCCAACTCAAAAATTTTTTAAAAAAATATTCTTTTATCTGTTGGAGATAAAGATCTTGTACATTATCCCTTCCCTTGCACATTGTTTCCTCACAACCGGCTGGTGAGGTGGGTTAGGCTGAGAGGTTGTAATTGGCTCAAAGTGACCATGTGAGCTTTACAAAGGAGCTGGAATTTGAACCTGGCACCTGAGTGTGTTGGGCGGGGGGGGGGGACACCGAGCTTGCACAATCTTCCTTGGTGTCAGAATTGGAATGCTAAAAGCAGGTAGACTGAAGTTCCAGAAGGCACAAAACTTGATTTTTGCGGGCTTCATTGTGTGGGGACTACAGTGTTGTGTTTAAAAGTCTGGTTTTGTACATTTTTCAGATGAAGCCAAATTTCTTCCATACCATCACCTCCATGAATTGGGTGGGGGGGGTGTGTGTGTGCAAACTAACGGTTCAGCTCAGGTGCCAAAATGTCTTGGGCCGGCCCTGTTCCAAAGCTTTACTAATTCCAATTGTGAAGGCAAAGTATTGCAACCATGGCTAGTAGTCACTGTTTGCCTTCTCCTTCATTGTCTGATCCTCCTTTAAAACCATCCAAGTTGTTAATACACTGCGGTGTCCAGACCGGACCAAGACCCAGGTGTCCAGGCTTCAAGTCCCCTCTTGGCTATCAAGCCCCCTGGGTGACCTTGGACCAGGTTTCGGGCTCTCAGCCTAGCCTACCTCACAGGGTGATTGTGAGGATAATTTGGAGAGAGGGATTGCATCTTGTGTACCACTTTGAGTTCCTTGGAGAAAATACGGAGTTTTCGTGTAATAATACAATAAAGCACCAAGAAAGGTCTCTAGGTGCACAAACATGTTTTAAAAAGATGCCTGGAGGTGGCAAATGTGGGTGAGCACCCAGGTAGAGAGAGAAAGCGGCTCCATAATACAACGAAGCCTCCCACAAAAATAATAAAAAGATTCAACCCGCTGAAACCTATAATACACCGTGGCCAAATGATGGACCACTAGCCAGCCAACAACACCTGGGCAAACAGGTGAGTTTTAAGGAGGTGCCAGAAACTGGACCACAGTCCTGGCCTGCCTTATTTTCTCGATTATCCAGAGGGATGCAAAGCTGGGAGGGTTTGGGGAAACTCTTAAGGAGAGCCTAGATCCAGCTGTCTGAGCCTTCTGCTTGTGGGTAAATGCAGGGCTGGGCCAGATGCTTGGCAGCTGCCTGAAGTTGCCCAGTGGTGCCATGGGCCTGGCAGAGAGAGCGTTCCTGGAGCCCAGAGCCCATTGGCTCCAGTCCTTGGCCAGGCTCTGACCTCACAACCAGCTGTGGAATCCTGGGGAATGTTTTGTTTCCTAGGAGGCCAGGTGAGTTCTAGGAGGCCTGGGTCAGTTGAAAGCCAGTTGGATCAATTAGCAGCCCATAAAGCAGAGATCCTTCTTTTGTGGTCTTGAAAGCCTTTTGTGGTCTTTCTGATTCTGAAGATCGTTTGCATAATGTGCCGCTGGTGGCGTAGAAGGTAAAGTCATGGGAAAGGGGGGAGGCATCCTGAAGATTTGTGCCCCCACCACATGCCTAGTTTTTAAAGATGGTCCAGGGAGTTTTCTGATGAATTTTCTGAGTTTCCTTTTTTGTCACCATCCAAATTGCAGCAGTTGGAGTCCTGTAGCAACATCTGGAGGGAACCAGGTTTGGGGAGGCTTGATGGAGAAAACTTCAGGGTAATTTAGCATTGTAACACTTGGTGACTGGCCAGGGGCTTATCCTGGCTCTGATCAGGAGTAGCCAGAATCAGCCACTCGCTGTCCAATGTGGAAAGTGGAGCAGAGGACCTTGTTAGTCATCTGCAGGAGAGCAGCCCTGGGGATCAGCTCTGCACTCTTTGCAAAATAAGAAGTAACTGAGAGCGCCTTTTGTCTGTTTAAAAAGTTGTTGTGACTTGGCACAGTTAGTTAGGTGAGGTTTTTTTATAATTTTATTTATAATTTTCATTTATATTACAACAATAGTTCAACTATAATTCTAACATTTCGAACCTCAACTTCCTCCCCCCTCTTTCTGTGGTTCCTTATATTTATTTTCACATTTTCTGCATACTCCAAATTATCTTAACTCATTCTTTTAATCATCTGTTCTCATATATATTTTTGAAACTGTAGGTTTTTGCAATAATCCCGTCAATGTCTTAATCTGTTTACAGTTTATTTGTAAATATTCAATAACCCATTTCCATTCCATTATAAAATCTTTTGTGTCTTATTCTTCTTATTCTTTAGTTTCTTATTCTTTTGGTAAGCTTTGCCATTTCCGCATAATCCATTACTTTTACTAGCCATTCTTCTTTCATTGGGACATTTACTTCTTTTCCATTTTTTGGCAAATAACATTCTTGCAGCTGTAGCTGCATATATAAATGCATTTATATACTGTTTAGGTAGTTCTGAACCTATAATTCCCAAGAGAAAAGCTTCTGGTTTTCTTACAAATGTTATCTTAAACATCTTTTCAATTCATTATATATCATTTCCCAGTAAGCTTTGACCTTATTACAAGACCACCACATGTGAAAAAAATGAACCTTCTTTCTCTTTACACTTCTTATGAGTGTTTGGGAAGACTGCTCCCTCTCCAGCCTATTCCATCGGGCCCAAGGGGCGGGGCCTACACTCACGCATACTCTGAGCAGCTCCCTGCAGCAAGTGGCGAAAATGGTTTTAAATGTTTTAAGTGTTCTTAATTTGCTGCACCTCAGATGGTGGTTTTTTATAATATTATTTTATTTTATTATTTTCTTTCTGCTAGGAGTGGGATAAATGTTTAGTCAGGGAGGGGAGTAGTTTAATTTTAGCATAATTGTTTCTTGCTTTGTTTTTACTTTCATTATTTTGTTAAGTTATTGTATACTGTAGTTTGTATTTTGCTTATTAAGGAGAAGGGTCAGGGCTGCCTGGGAGTGGGCCTCAGCCAATAGAGTGACTGGGGCAAGTTCCACAGGGGGGGATGTTTTGGGACACCAGATCTCAGTGATCACGGGCAGGAGGAGGAGTTACACTAAGACCAGACCATGTCATTACCGAGGAGGCAGGCTTAGTCGTTGTTTGAGGACTATCCCTGCCTCCAGGTCTGACCAGAAGGATACTGGAATCAACAAGGGAAACCCACATGACCTGAAAGTGTTCCTGTGCAATGCCAGGTCAATGATGAATAAAACCACTGCCACCCTTACCTGACTGTGGATGGAGGATTTGACCTGGCATGTGTGACAGAGACCTGGTTGGATGAAGTAGATGGGCCTGTCCTTGCCGCTGCTTGTCCACCAGATTTCTCTTACGCACAGCAACCCAGGTCATGTGGGCGGGAAGGGGGGGTTGCAGTGATTTTTAGGAAGTCATTAGTCTGCACCAAGTGTCCCATTGAGAAGACCCAGTTTTCTGAGTGCATATTCTGGAAGTTGGGCAATAGGGGCAGTACAGGATTCCTTTTGGTGTACCGACCTCCCCACTGCACCAAGGATTCCCTGCCCAAGCTGCTTCAGGTATGGCAGATATGCTTCTGGAGTTTGGTTGTCCTGGGGGATTTTAACATCCATGCCGACACGACCTTATAAGGGGCCACTCGGGACTTCGTGGAAAGCATGGCCTCCATGGGGCCTCCCTGAATAAGTTTGGCCCAACTCATAGTCATGGACATGCCTTAGACCTGGTGTTTACCTCTACGGATGTTGGTGATCTGACACTAAGTAAAAGCAAAACAAAAGAAGTGCCATGGTCAGATCACTTCCTGGTGCAACTGGACTTCTCCGTGACCCTTCCCCTCTGCAGGGAGGTGGGACCGATTCAGATGGTCTGCCCCCGCCACTTAATGGATCCAATTGGCTTCCAGAGAGTGGTAGGGGATGTTTTATCCCAAGTTGATGGCCTTTCAGCCGATTCCCTGGTGGCCTGCTTGAATGCAGAGTTAACCAGGGCTATTGACTGTCTGGCTCCGAAGCGCCCTCTCCAATTGCATGGAGCCCGAACAGCCCTGTGGTTTTCCCCGGAGCTGAGGGCGATGAAACAATCGTTGAGATGGCTAGAGCACCGGTTCCGGAAAACTCATTCTGAATCAGATTAGACACAGGCTAGAGCTCAACGTCGAGCCTACCAAGTGGCAATGGCAACGGTGAAGAGGGCCTTCTTCACCGCCTCTATTGCATCTGCAGAAAACATCAGCAGGAGACTCTTTCAGGTGGTTCACAATCTATCGAAACCACCTGCGTCACCAGGGCCTGGTAGGGACCCCAAGATCTCCTGCAATGCTTTTGCAAAGTTTTTTGCAGATAGTCGCTCAGATTTGGAAGGAGGTAGACTCTACCATGGGAGCAGGGCTGGGGCGGGAGAGTGCTAGAGTCCTGTCTAGTCATGTTACATGGGATAAATTCCAATCTGTTACCTCCGAGGATGTGGACAGGCTGCTTGGACAAGTGAAACCGACCACCTGTCTCCTTGATCCTTGCCCATCCTGGCTAATAAAAGCGAGCGGGGAAGGGCTGGGCGATGGGGTGGTGAATGCTTCCCGCCTACCCAGACCTGCTGAAAGAGGCGGTCATTAAACCGCTTCTTAAAAAAAAATCTGTAGACCCGGCCAATATGACCAACTATCACCCAGTCTCAAATCTACCATTCTTGGGCAAGGTGAATGAAGGCAGTGAAGGTCCTGTGTGAGTGCCTGGAGGCGGTTAGAGGATGGGTGGTGACTAACAGATTGAGGTTGAATCCTGACAAGACAGAAGTACTGTTTTGGGGGGACAGGGTGTGTGGGGGGGGGACTCCCTGGTCCTAAATGGGGTAACTGTGCCCCGAAGGACCAGGTGTGCAGCCTGGGAGTCATTTCGGACTCACAGCTGTCCATGGAGGTTCAGGTTAATTCTGTGTCCAGAGCGGCTGTCTACCAGCTCCACCTGGTACACAGGCTAAGACCCTACCTGCTCTTGTTATCTCCCGCTTGGACTACTGCAATGCACTCTACGTGGGGCTACCTTTGAAGGTGACCCAGAAACTGCAATTAATCCAGAATGCGGCAGCTAGACTGGTGACTGGGAGTGGCTGCCAGGACCACATAACACCAGTCCTGAGAGATCTGCATTGGCTCCCAGTACGTTTCCGAGCACAATTCAAAGTGATGGTGCTGACTTTTAAAGCCCTAAACGGCCTCGATCCTATATACCTGAAGGAGCGTCTCCACCCCCATCGTTCAGCCTGGACACTGAGGTCCAGCGCCGAGGGCCTTCTGGCGGTTCCCTCATTGCGAGAAGTGAGGTTACAGGGAACTAGACAGAGGGCCTTCTCGGTAGTGGCGCCCAAGTGTTAAAAACAATACAGCATTAAATATTAAAAACTTCCCTAAACAGGGCGCCCTTCAGATGTGAAGGAAATAAGCAGCTATCTTATCTTTAAAAGACATCTGAAGGCAGCCCTGTTTAGGGAAGTTTTTAATATTTAATGCTGTATTGTTTTTAACACTTGATTGTGAGCCGCACAGAGTGGCTGGGGAAACTCAGCCAGATGGGCGGGGTATAAATAATAAATTATTATTATATTATTATTATTCATATGTTTTGCGAGTCTACTAGGTGTTAAATACCATCTATATAACATTTTTCATATAATTTTCTCTTATACCATAGCAAATTGTAAATTTTATATCCGTATTCCACAATCGTTCTCATGCTTCCATTTCTATGTTATGACCAATATCTATTGTCCAACGTATCGTTGAAGATTTCACTTGTTCATCCTTTGTTTCCCGTTCCAATAACATCTTATGCATTGTAGTCATCACTTAAATGTTACAGTCTAACAGATCTTTGCTTCTCCCTTCTTCCACAGAACAGCCAGAGTCTCAGATGGGAGAGCCAAGCCCGACCCCTCCCTCCCCTCGGAGCTGGAGGAAGTCTTCAAATATGAGGGGAGCCTGTGGAAAGAGACTGCTGGCCGCAACATCGCAGGCTCTCTTCCGGCACGGGAGGTCCTCCGGCAGGAAGCCATTCATGGTGAGGAGGGTCTTTCTGTGGCTCTTACCTCAGGTCTCCCTCAGAAATATTAGGCAAGGGAGTCCATGGGGATCTTCACTTTCGTAAAGCATGGGGAGGGAGGGAGTGCCTGGGAGATCGGCTGGGAAGTGGGTCCTTCTCCCTCCCAAGGGTAGCCTGGAACTTTTGAGTTCTCAAAAATGGCCAGGAGATCATTTTTCTCCAGACAAGTCCCAGAATGGCAGTGGTGGACTTTGGGCTCTCCAATTCCAGTGCCACCATGTGCAACTCCCCCCCTACCCCAAGGCCCACTGCTGCCTCTCGCACTCTGTTCCAAAGCATTGTTTTGGCACTCCCTGCAGTGCAGCACCCAGTGCAGCCACACCAGTCACGCCTCCCTAAAACTGCCAGAGCCATGGGGTGCTTCCTGGTGTCCAGGCTGGCAAATGGCCACAGCTCAGCGGTGGAGCCCTTGCCTTGCCTGCATGAGCCCCAAGTGCAGTGGCATCTCCAGGAAGGCCTGGGAAGGAGGAACCCCTGCCTGAGGCGCTGGACAGCCACCTGCCGATCAGCATGGAGGTCACTTTGGGCCAGGAGGACCAACTCCTTGGCACCCCACCAATGGCCACTCTTTGGGCTTTGCTCCCAGTTCAGGAGGAGAGCAGGATCCATCTCTCCTTGTCAGGCAGAACCCAAGTCTTTTTTCAAAGAACAGTCCACTTTAGCTGCCTCTCTTCCAGACCCTGCTGGGATGTGGCCTCTACCTGATGTTGCCCCTTCTGCCCTCTTTTTTTAATGGTATTATTAAGGTTACAAAAATGAAGAAATCTAAATACAAGAAAAAAGTAAAATTTTTAAAATATGACAAAAGAAGTAGAAGATAAAAAAAACATACAAAAATAAAACAGTTTTAAGACATTAATTTTCAAACCTATCTTCTCTAGACTTATTTCCCCGGACCTCCTCATACCTCCTTTGCATGTTCCAGTTCAGTTTGTTGGTTCAACCAAATCCTTACCATTAAACTTTTTGTAATTATGACCTTTTTTTTCATATCTCTTAAGGCATTACAGCTAAAGCTCTTAGTTTCTATCAACATCCTTCTAGATTCCTTAATTTTACAATATTTCTGTAAATAGTCTTTAAATTTCTTCAGTCTTCTTTCACCAACTCTTCTCCTGGTCTCGGATTCTGCCAGTCATTTCCATGTTGGTTCCATGTAGTCCATCACCTTTGCCTTGAGACCCCACCCCAGTCATTCAGTTTGTGCCAAACTTCCACACACTCACACTCACACTCACACATATGCCACACTTCTGTTATAAATTCATAGAAAAATCAATAACCATACATCGGTTTGCACTGTTCCATTTTTATTTTACTCCATATGACAAGGACTATCAAAAGTGGGTGGCTTAGTTTCTAGTCCCAGCCATAATCCCTTCACCATCCCAGCACAGTGCTACAGGCCTAGTTGCACTATGCCAACCCTGATGGTCCTAGACAGAGACCATCAAGATCACAAAGAACTTGCATGTGGGAGTGGATTCAGCATGGACTGAGAGCAAGGACAATGATCAGATCTTCCCTCTGGGGGCAGAAGCTGCCAACTCCCCTTTGTCTCCTGGAAGTGACTCATGGGCAGAGGAGGAACCAGCCAGGTGAGCAGGACACTCAGGTTGCACCTCAACCCCTCTTTTCATGTGTATGCATGATGTTTCTGGGTGCAGGCTTGACCTAGAGGATAGAATTTCAAAGTTTTTTATAAGGTCTTACACCATCTTTCTAGGTCTTTCCTCTACTCCCACTGCAGAGTGAGAGACACCCTGTTGCAACAGTTCAATAAAGGCCAAGCCTACAGGCTGCTTTTGTTTTGCTCCAAGTTATCCCCTGGTTGGTGTCTTTGTTTTTGTCAAAGGGCCTCCAGCGGATTTTCAGTAACACCTTCCATCTGCCATTCTTCAGAGTGGGTAGATCTTGTGTCTTCCAGCCTTTAGTGATACATGCTGTTGTAGCATACATAAAAAGGTTCTGTCCTTCTTTGCGTGGTGTGACAAGTACCCCAGAAGAAGGCCTCTGGTTTCTGGAAGGTGGCCCCAAGTACTTTTTGTTTCATTATAAATCATCTCCCAAGAAAGCCTTAATCCCCTTGGGCCGTCAAAAGGTGGCACCTTGGTTCTTTACATTTCCAACATTTGTGTCAGGCAAACTGATAGATTTTTGCAAGCTTGACTGGTCATGTACCACCTATTATGTCATTTTCATAATGTTCTCTCTTAGGGCATTGTGCATTGGGATTTCATACCTGTGGTCCATAACTGTTCCCAGTCAGCAAACACTGTGTATGTCCAACATCTTGTACCCATTTAATCTGCAGATTTCACGTTTCATCTGAGTATTCCATTTCAACAGCAAGTTATACATCTTTGACAAAATCTTAGTTTTGGGTTCTAACAGTTCTGTTTCTAGTTTTGATTTTTCCACCTGGAAGCCAATTTTCTTATCCAAATTGTATGCCTCCATTATCTGATAGTATCTGGCAGGGCAAATCCACCTCTGTCCTTCTGCCCTCTTTGCACAGAGCTGTTTATGATGACCTGAGCTCCCTTCGTATTGTGGCCGTGCTCTTCTATCAGCGGCTCCATACAGAAAAGCTCCTTTCGCAGGAGGAGCTGACCCTCATCTTCCCCGACCTAAGAGAACTGATTAAGATCCTTCCCCTCCAGACCGGTCCCCATTCTGTGGCTGGCCCAGGCCTCCGCTTCTTCCTGGGTGGGTCAGGGGCAGAGGGAGAAGGGACTAAAAGAAAAGCACAGCATCCAAAGAGCTCTGCAGCAGGATCAGGCCCAAGGGGCCCAGCCAGACCTGCAGCCTGTTTTCAGGGGGCCCCACAAGCCGCAGGGCAGGAGCACAAGTGCAATGCCCCCCCCAAGGAACGGGGAATGTTCAGAGGCATCCACTGCCTTGGGCAGGGAGGATGGAGGGGGCAGCCAGTTGCTGCCTCTGAGCCTAACCTACCTCACAGGGTTGTTGTGGGGATTAATTGAGGAGGGAATCCATGGACACCCTCTTAAGTTCCTTGTAGGGTAAGGTGGGGTGTAAATGACATAAACAAATGAGACGCCTGGTCTCTCCACCACTGAGAAAGTGGTATTAAAAAAAGAGCAGGCCGTCTCCATCCCCCTCCTGTCCCTGCTGGGGTTATTCTTTATTCCCCCACTCCCGTTGCCTTGCTCAACCCCCCCTCCTGTGTTTCTTCCCTCCCCTCCCAGGTTCTCTGTCAGGGAAGATGAGGGATCTGCAGGAGGAAGGGCCCCTCATTGGGGAGATGGGGGACCTCCTGCTTTCCCAGGTAAGGATCCCAGAGCAGGGCGGAGAGGCTGGCGGCAACTGGGAGGGGGCTGCCTGTGGGTCTCCAGTGGACTGGGGCCCTTGATTTCCTGATGCTCACCATTTGTGTTTCCTCTCCCCTGCCCCCTTCCTGCCTTCCCCCCAGCTTGGTGTGGCTGCATCTGAGGAGCTCCGGCAGGCCGTCCTGAAGGGCAGCTTGCAGCAGGCCAGGGGCAGGGAGATCCTTCAGGAGAAGCAGCAGAGGGATGCTCGTTTCAGGCGTGTCATCCAGGTAAGCTGTGTGAGAAGAGGAGGCTGAGCTCACGGAAGGGGCCTTCTCAGCTGCTGGCTGGGCACTGTCCCTGGGGGGCTCTTTTCCCATGCGAGGGGAGGGGCAGGAGGCCTGTCCTCTTCTCCCGGCTGCCCACTCCCTGGGCAAATGCAACAGTGCAGAAGAACCAGCCAGGTGGTGTAGGTTAGCGGGTACCGTATTTTTCGCCCTATAGGACGCACTTTTCCCCCTCCAAAAATGAAGGGGAAATGTGTGTGCGTCCTATGGGGCGAATGCAGGCTTTCGCTGAAGCCTGGAGAGCGAGAGGGGTCGGTGCGCACTGACCCCTCTCGCTCTCCAGGCTTCAGGAAGCTCTGCGCAACCCTCGGGAGACCGGCTCCCGCGAAGTCCCGCCCCACTCCGGATGGCCGCGCAGAGCTGCCTGCCGTCCCTGGCTCAGTGCAGCTCTGCGCGGCCACCGGGAGCAGGGTGCGAAGTCCCGCCCCGCTCCCGATGGCCGCGCAGAGCTGCCTGCAGTCCCGGGATCAGCGCAGCTCTGCGCGGCCACCGGGAGCCGGGCGCGAAGTCCCGCCCCGCTCCGGATGGCCGCGCAGAGCTGCCTGCAGTCCCAGGATCAGCGCACTTCTCCCCATCGCCAGCCCCACAAGCTCGGGGGACAGCGGGGAGGCAGAGCGCACCTTCCCGCTGTTCCCCAACCTAGTTCTTCCAGCCCCGCACCTGGGGGGGGGGGAATAAAAAATATTTTCTTTATTTCCCCCCAAAAAAACTAGGTGCGTCCTATGGGCCGGAGCATCCTATGGAGCGCAAAATACGGTAAACTCTAGTTCCTTGCCACCCCAATCTCCACATGGTGCGAGATTGCAGGGGTTCCCGGGGCTTCCTCTGGGTTTGGTGTCCTTGGAATGTGGGGCAGCCTCCTGTCTCACAGCAGCCGCCAGCTGCCCCAAAGGAGAAGCCCCATAGCAAGCAGGAGCTGAGCAGCAAGGCTCACCCCACTGGTTTTGCTGCTTGTGACCCTGGAGGTGGCTGACTCTCTCTGGCACCCAAATACATGTCAATAATAATAATAATAATAATAATAATAATAATAATTTATTATTTGTACCCCGCCCATCTGGCTAGGTTTCCCCAGCCACTCTGGGCGGCTTCCATAGAAACCAAAAATACACTAAAATATCACACATTATGTTGTCTGTCTGCTTCCTTCTCTGCCATTCCCAGGAAATTGAGAGCAGCCCGGAATGCCACCAGCGCCAGCTGGCCAGTTTCCTGGATTGCGAGCTGCAGCGCCTGGCCAGTTACCCTCTGCTGCTGAATCAGATCATCCAGCACACCAACAGTATGTCTCTCTTTCTCCATATCTTGGTGTGTTGGGTGCGGTGGGGAGGGTGTCCCAGGAAAGCTGCATCTCTCCATGACTCCATGTTGATGTGCTTCCTAATTTTGGGAGGTTGTGAGGTGCATTGAGCCTGCCTTACTAGGGAAAGCCAGCACCCAGAGGGTGATGGGGCGGGGAGGGGGGAGAGACGATGCCCGTCTGTTGCATTAGTGCCCCATGAGGCTGTGTCTGTAGGGCATAGGTATTGTTCAGCAGCCCACTTTCCTATCAGCAAACAAGGATCTGTTTGCCTTATGCATCTGAGTTGCTGATGCTTATCTGCAGTCTGGGTCCTCACGGGGTCTGTGTACATGGCTTGGAGCTGTTGGCTGAAGGTGTCAAAATCGGCCAGCAGTGGACTCTCTTGTTGCAGCAAACTCCCTCTTTGACCGTCATGTGGCTGCCATACGTCCCCGGCCTCCACAATTGAGATATAGTCCCTCTCTGCATCTCCTTTCATTCTCAGCCATTGTCAAATGAAGGCATATTCCGGAGCTGGTTGGGGCATTCTGGGATATAGAAGTATATTTGCCCGTATTTATAGATAATCCTATTTTGTGAGGATCTGTCTGCAGTGTTAATATTGTCCTCATCTAGGGCAATAGCTTTACTTATTTCGGCATGATCCCACCCCCATTCTCGCATTGAAATCCCCACATAACAAAACCTCTGTAGGGAATGTTTCCTCAATACGTGTGGGTTTTTATACAAACACCTCCCCCCCCCCCAAAAAATACAAAAATGTAAAAATGTCTGTTGTTCCTATTACGTCATTGAAAAACCACACACCCAACCATTCCCCAAAGTTGTTTAGCATTCATTCAATTTAGAATCAGCTCTTTTAAGCTTTATTTTTATTTTTTTGCTGTTCTCAGAAATCCTAACCTTGATGGTGCCACTCAAACAAATGGGAATTTTCACTGCCTCAAAGCCTATCTATTTTGATGTTTTTGGAAGCTGGTTTGGCTTATGTGCTGACTTGTAGTTTTTTTATGTATTCTACTTAAAAACAAACAATAAAAAACAAATTGCTGGACTCTGTACTGAAAGAAGTTGAATTCTGTGACCTCAAAGTGCCTTTGCTGCATAAGTGTCAGAATCAGTGGTCCTGGTGGATGGATGTGGGCAAGGAGAAGCTGGCTCCTTTGCAGCAGCAGGAGGCTTTCAGAGTGCACATTTGTGGTGCCCTAAACCACAATCTACACCATAATATTGGATTCACCAATCACCTAAGCACTCATACACACACAATCACCTTTGGGTGGCTCAGACAATGGCTGTCACTTGTCAATAAATAGAAGAGAAGTCCACCCGCCAGGAAATAGAAAGGAACCCCCCCACCATTGTCTTCCAGCAGATCCTAGACAGCGGTGCCATTCCAAGGTCAAATCCAAAGGAGGGACAGTCCAGTGCCATCTCCATCACACACACCCCTTTACCCAGGCCTGCACTACGAGAGTAGCCTGACCTTTCTCTTCCCTCAATGCCTTTGGTGAGGAGTGCAAGCATGAGAAACAGACCCAAGATTTACAGGCTCATAGATCTGTCTGTGAATGTGCTTCCATCCCTGAGCTCTCAGCCTTTTCACACACAAATCCTCCTCCCTTCAAGTCTTTGGTTTCAGCAGCCCAATAGCAACTGTTACGTGTTGCTAGCATTAAACAGTTGAAAACCTTTGTTGATGTACTGCAAATCACCCAGAAATCCACCAGTCGATCACAGCCTATCACCCACCCCCTCTAGCCTGTGGAAATATGCTAGTACATGGCAGCTCCATACAGGATATAGATGTGCCAATATTTCTTCTTTAAGCAGAATAAGACTGCATGCTGGATTTTATAAGTCCTAAGGGGCTACCTGCCAAGCATCACTTCACAAGCCATTTATGCCTTGACTGACGAGCTGGTTGCAACAAGTAGTTCAATTCCAGGCACACATGTCTCTCCTGCCCAATGCTTTATTTGATGCCCCATTCATCTCACTGGATTTGAATTAACAGAGTTGCATAAAAATCTAGTAAGAAACCATTCTCTTCAAGTCAGCCATTTTACTCCCTCCATCCCAGTTTTGGCACAGAGAGTCAATTTCAATGGGCTTCACGTCTTCTTCTCTGGCAGCTACACTCAGCGCGGCCAAAGCAGAAGAGAGAAAAAACAGGGTTGCTTCTCACGCTTTACAGACACAGAATAGGCTCCAACAGAGATGCTCTCTAGGAGGCACCTTCCACCTCCATGGTGTCCTGTAACTGCTGAACCATCTTCTCTTCCAGCTCTTTGGATTTGCCTTGAAAAGAAATTAAAAATGCAAATTTTCAATTCCATAGTCCTCTGGAAAACATCAGACTGCAGAACTCCCACTCCCTCAAGAGGTTTTGCTGTGGCCTCAACACTGAACATTTTTAAACAGCTTTAAAAACCCACCTTCTCTTAATTAAGTCTAATCCATCTTTAACTGGCCTTTTTAATATAATTAAATTTTGCTGCATTTGTCAGGATTATTTATGGATTTTTTGCATTTTTTGTGATTTTATAGTACCGTGATTTTATAGTATAGTATAGTATAGTATAGTATAGTATAGTATAGTATAGTATAGTGATTTTAATTAGTTCCGGAGGTCCATTCTTAACCCGAAACCGTTCTTAACCTGAGGCGTGCTTTCGCTAATGGGGCCTCCCGCTGCCGCCGGTGCGCGATTTCCGTTCTCATCCTGGGTTAGCGGAGTTTGTAACCCAAAGTGTTTGTAACCCGAAGCATTTGTAACCCGAGGTACCACTGTATTTACTTTGGGCAGACGAGGCCCCCAAAGGCAGCATACAGATAATTTTAATGAAGAAACCCCCCTGTGGAATTCTCAGGGAAGCCCCTCTGGCTTCTGATCTGGCTTAGCTTTGAGAGCTGGGAGAATGGAGCCAAAGGGCACAAGTCAACATGCAGCTCACATCAAGACTGGCCAACTGCTTTTAAGATCCCCATTTCATATTACAAAAGGCTGCTTAGGAACAATACTCTTGACTTCCTGATCAGCCAGCCTCACCTGCATGGGGAGCCCGGAGAAGGTGGATGTTCTGCTTGACCTCCTTGATGTCTTGTGCTTTCTGAAGCTCCTTCCCCTTCTTTAATCTGGGGTGGGTGGGAGAGGAGAGATGAACAGGAACACTCTTATTGCAAAATCAATGAAAGTAAGAGTACAAGCAGATTTTAATAAATTGGAGCACACATTTCATGCCTGTCAAAAATAACTGAGATATCACTCACGAAAGTCCAGCTATTAGCCATTTTTAAAAAGCAAACAAAAAACACCTCTCACAGCAAAGCACGTGGTCATATTGGGTAATTCCGACAATTTTGACCTTGTAAGGCCAACCAAGACAGGAGTGCCTGGCGTGCTCTGGTCCGTGGGGTCACGAAGAGTCGGACATGACTAAATGACTAAACAACAACAAGGCCAACCGCTTTTCCCACTTTTAACTGGTGGATCTTGTTCATTGATTTTGCCCCCAGAAACATCATGAGAAGCAAATTGTTCTTTCCAAATTTCTCTGGCATCTCAATGGACCCCAAGAGAACCAATTTGTGGGGGGGGAGGGGGACTTCAGGGCAAACTGTAAATTTTGCCAATGGTGTTAAATAGCTCCACTCATCCCAACTGCAAAACGTTCGCGATTTTACAACATGCAGCTGGGGTCAAACAAAGCCCTCCACCCTCAGCTGCTGCCTCAAAGGGAAAAGGGATTACTGCCACTCACCTGTTCATGATGAATTTGGCCTGCCGCCTTCTCTTGATCTCTTCTACTCTCTTCATTGCATCCACTGAAAAAGAAAGACATTGTAATATTAAAATTAACTGCATTTGAGCCATGACCTCACTAGTTGGTCTTGGACAGGTTCCCGTTCCACCTGCCAAGAGGGATAATACTGACTTTACAGGGTTACAGGGCTTTATTACAATTGAGCAACATAGGACTTTCAACAAATGAAATGTTTATATCACGTGCTATGGCCTTCTGCACGTGTTCATCAGATGTTCAGTAATTGCATATTTGGGGTTATTGCTATTATTGGGTTATTGTTGTATTTACTTTGATTATGTACTTTGTGGTTTTATATTCTGATTTTATCCTGTGAACCTCCCTGAGACCTGCAGGTATAGGGTGGTATATAAAGTCTAGTAGTAGTAGTAGTAGTAGTAATAGCTATACTTGATAATTAGCTCAACTCCCATCCCATGATTCCATTTACACCATTAGAAAATGCTGACACAAATTTCACAGACACTTTTAAATTTCACACGCTGTGAACTGCTAAGTTATGCTGATTTAAAACAACAAGTTGCTAACATTACTTGTGTTTTTTGAAATCCTGCCCCACCGCATATAGGAATTGAACATACCTGTCTTATTCCAAAGCTCTCGCTGGTATTTCACGGGTTCATTTCTCCGTTTCTCAAACTCAAATGAATTATCCTACATAGTTAAAAGCAGAAGAATTAGTGTCAGACAACTAGGTTTCAAGCTGGTGCCCCAAACACCTGTCTTCCTTTTGAAACATTTTTCAAAAGAGGCAAGTCCAGCATAACATTTGCAAGTCCAGCACAGAACTCACAGCTGCTCAGAGCTGCAAGCCAAAGGCAAGAAAATGACTTACCTCCTCCTGAACTGCATGTATCACCACTCATCTCTAAGACCATAATCAACAAGAAGTCCCTTTCACAGAAAAAGCAGCAAAAATGCCAACACAAAAAGGTCCAATCACCAACTTAAGTACATCCATAGTGGGTGGGTGTTGTGACTGTGATGTGATGTGGAGCATGGAGAATGCTCTGCAGTAACATCACTTTGGAAGATAAAACATGGGCAAGTGGACCAAAGCTGAGTTCACCAAAAAGGAGGATCAGACCAAGTGCATCCAACTAGTCCAGCATTCCATTACCCACAATGCCAGAGATGTCCACAAATGGGACATGAAGGTATAACTGATGCTCCATAGAAGCTGATATCCAAAGAGACAACCTGCCTCTGAATGTGGAACATTATGAATAAAAGCTTCTAATAGTCCCCTCACATCTCTTACGCCAGTGAAAATCAATACATTTTTGGGCAGCAGACTTGACTTTGTTTGTTCAAGTTACTCTGTCATTTCAGCAGCTGCTCCACAGCTGCAGGCCAGCAGTGCAAGCTCAGTGACACTTCCGTGCCTCAAAACCTTTAAATAATAATTTTACAGCACTCCTAGAATCCCACTTGCTTGAATGGGGTTGGGGCACAGTGATGTGCCCAACAGCACCCCTGACTCGCACACTCACCACTGTCAATTCTTTCCCAGATGCTTTGCGGAAGGCTTTGGTCCATCTGACCTTCCTTGGATTCCGCTTCTTCTTGAAGTTTTTGTGGCATTTTGACTTGCAAAACCGAAACACCTGCAGGAAGAGAGAGCAAATAGAAAATGCTTCCAGGTCAAAAAGCTGTGCCAGAACCACAAAGGGGCCCTTTGGGTAGAGAGAACCCAATGCCTGCTCCCCAAGGGGAGACAAGAAGGGGTCAATCTGGAGCTGCCCCATTCGAGAGACGGATAATAAAGTGGCATCTACTCCAGTGAGGGACCGCAGGCACACAGACCCAAGCCGGTTATCAGTCAACTGAGCCACACTTTTGCAGCCAAAAATGCTCCCCACCCACCCAACGAGGAACAATCTGGGTTTCCCTCAATAATCTCTTTATCAACATTTATTGTGATGTTCAGATCCTGCCACAATCCAAGCAGCCTAGGAAACGGTGTTTACCCTCAAGGGCAGGAGTTCCCAAAGCTGCTTCTGGCCTGTCACTACGTTACAGGAGAAAGCCAAGTGCAGAGCAAAACCTTCGGCTGGCACAACTAAGGTGTGTTAGAGACCCCTGCCGCCCCAGCAGTTTCTCCCAAGCTTGGGTCCCCAGTTGTTCTTGGACTGCAACTCCCATCATTCCTAGCTTTCAGGAAGTTCTAGAGGAACAACAACTGGGGACCCAAGTCTGAGAAACACAGCAACCCACTTTTAAGCAACAACAGACTTTTAGCAGATGGGGAAGCGAAATGAAAAGTGCGGTGGGTGGGTGAAGGGATGGTTCCTGGGCAGATGAGTGAATATCCCGCGATCCAATCGGGAACCAACCGCAGCGGCCACACAGCCACGTCTGAATGCCCAATAAAGGGGGGACACGTATCATGCGAGCCCTCGAGAGGCAGGCCGCTATGGAGGAGCCCTAAGGATGGGTATGACGTCTCCACAGACCGACCCGCCCTCCCCGCCACGTTGCCTGCCTGAGGAGAAGCGGCACTCTGCCCATTCTCAGAGGCGCCCTCACTCACCTTGCAGTCGTTGCGGACGAACTGGACCCCGTGGCCCGGGTAGACGGGGCCGGAGCAGAAGTAGCACTTCTCCACACGCATCGCAGCTCTTGGCGTGGAAGGGAAAGGGGGAAAAGGGAGAGTCCCCTTCCCCGGACCGGAAGTTCCGCTGACGCAATTTCCGGAGCATGCGGCTAGAGCGTCTCCCTGCCACAGCGCCTTCTGCCGTTGCGCCGGGAGCGGAACGAGCACGCATGCGCGCCAAAGGGCCCGCCGGCTTCGGCGTTGCCTTTGCGGAGGCGCCTGCAGCGCCCCCTCCGTGCGGGAGGGGAAGGAAGGCGGTCGAGGCACCACGCGGTGGTCCTTGGGGGGCTGGAGAAGGGAGAGAGCCTCCAAGCCGTGGGGCTGGGTGGGACAGGAAGATACCCCATCCTGTCGCCGTGTCTGCCTGCCCTGCCTCTCCCCCTGCAGGGCCGCCTCAGCTCAGTGGGCAGAGCAGCTGCTTGGCCTGCAGAAGGTGTCGGGTGGCCTCTCCAGGTTGGGCTGGGAGAGGAGAAGCCCCCGCCTGAGAAGACGCTGGGGAGCCGCTGCTGCCAGGCCGACAGGACCTTCCCAGCCCTCCCTGGAGAGAGGCTGGGCAATGAACATGACACCTTCTGCACGCAAAGCAGCTCTTCTGTCACTGAACTGTGGCGTGGAAAGGGTGGTGGTGGTGAAAGAAGGTGAATGGGTGGGAGAGCCTTAGCTGTCAACTTACAGATTTGAAAATAAGGGATCAGCAGCCAGAATAAGGGATTTTGGCTTAGTTTATACAGAAATCCCGCACTGATGGAGCCAGGCTGCTTTGGCTGCGACTGACTGTGTTTTGCAGGGGGTTGGACTAGATGATCCTAAGGGTCTACAACTCCCACCAAAGCAGAGCGGCAGACAAAACTGATGAACGACATCGAGATGGCAAAGCTTACAGGCAGAATTAGAAACCAGGAAGAGGACCTCTTTAATAAAGAATGGGGAAAGTTTATAATTTAGTTGAAAAGCTATTGGAAAGAGTTACATACATTGGTAGGATTGACAGAAAACTTGTAGTAAAAATTTGAACTATGGATGGACAAGTGATTTATAAAAATAGAGTTATGAAAGGGGTGCAGAGGGGGAAATCACTACATTATGCTGCACTGGCTGGAGGGTATGCTGAGCAGCACGTCCTGGCGCGAGGGGTTCCATCGGCCCTTCTCCGCCAGAGAGGGAGGGAGAGACACTCTCGCCCACGCCGCCCGTGAGCCCGGCATGAGGCGACCGCTGAAGCGTCGCCCTTCTGCGTCCCACCCCATCCCTTCCTCTTCCTCCTCCCTCAGGCCGCCTTCTCAGCTGCCGCCACCTCTGGCTTCCCCTGGCAGCGCAGCGAAAGTCTCACAAGAGAGGGGCTGCGTGCCGGCCCGCCACCACCCATCTCCTCACAACGCGCCCCTGAGGGGGGAAAGGGAGAGACGGAGACGCGGCAGCTCTCGCACGCGGCAGAGGACCCCAAGCCACTGCTTCCCTCCCGAGCCGGGCGAGCATGAAACCCAGGAAATTTAAGGGACATCATCAATAAGGGACAGCAGCGGGACACGGTGCTGGGATAAGGGAGTTTCCCGCCAAATAAGGGACGGTTGACAGCTATGGGGAGAGCCCCGGGTGAGGAGCAGTAGGCATGGTCCCGAAGGGACTTGGCTCTTAATTGCCTTCCCCTTCTTTCTCTCCAGTTATTTCAGGGTCTTCTCTAATGATGGAGGATCTTGAGGTGCGGAAACGGGCACCGGAGAACTCCCGTTATCATTGCTGACTCTTCGGTGCAGCACATTTATGAGCAGCGATGCGTAAACGTCTCCGGTGCAACTTCTGAATCATTCTGCACAGATTTCTTATCCCGGCTACAAATAAGTCAAAGATGCAGGCCACGGCTATAATTCATTTTTAATAGAGATACCTCTTCATGGCAGTATATGGCAGTTATAAATTTTCCATTTATACAGTTCGATAAATACAGCATGCGGGTCAAAAAATATGGCTGTTTCAGCCTTTTGTATCAAATCTAAAACACACCTCTGGTTTCAGAAAAATGCATCCCTGCCATTTCCGCTGCGTGATTTTAGCCTTAGTGTACAGGTGGCAGAGTTCCAGGACATTCCTCCACAAAGTGAAGTTGTATTTCTCCTTTGTTTAAAAAAATACTGGCTCTTTTGCTAGTCCTGGGTCCTTTCAAAGGCACTTCTAATGAGCAAAAAGCCTCCAGTCAATTGTGTGTCTCAGGCATTGACAGACATTTGAGCCAATATTTTCATACCCCCACCCCAGGCCCCAACACAAACTTGAATGTCCCATCTTGAGGCCTGAGCATGAGGTGGGTTTTAAAACAGCACAGCAAATTTCTCAGAACACTTAACAGCTCCCCTTAATCCCCTGGAATGCATTTCTGGATGTAAGCATGTTCACAGTTTACCCAACTGCTACTACTGTATCCTTTTAATACATTCAGATTTTCTTATTAAAACTGTATTTGGCAGGGCAGGTTTTGACCTGCAGCACGTGGTCAACAAAATATCCAGGGTGTTCACATAAATAGATTTTTGGGTGCTATTTTGTCAACATCAGGGTGACAGCCCAGCAGAGCACGTTGCACAAACACGTAAGGGTTTCTTATTTTGTTTATTATCTCCAAGCATCTGGGCCTCAGTGGTGAACAGCAAGTCACATTTAATGCTCAGGTTTTACAACCAACCAGTTAGGCAGTTTGGTGGGTGGGCAGGGCTGGTGCATCAGGGAAGATGCTGTGGAATGCTTTGCTTGTATGCGTTGGGACCATCTGACACACAGACACACCCAAACATGGCTAAGGGCTGCTAGCTTCAAGTCCGGCAATGGAATAGAGGCAGGGACTTAAGTGTGCAGAGACTGAATAAGACTTTGTTAAGACTTTTGAGCGAGATGTTTTAAAAGGTGTTGGAAAAATGTAGGTGCTCAGAAGATTGTTCAGTGGCATGGCATGGTAAGACAAAGTTGGTAACTCTGCACCCCCACTTTGCACAAGCAAACAGCAAAGCCCCCTCCCCTCTTCTGGTGTTGTTCTCATCCCCTTCAAGCACATGCAGGAGGTGCTCCCAGGAGGCTCTAAGCCCCGTTCAAAGTACTGATTCTGCCCGAGAATAAATAAACTGATCTAGACCATTTGATTACACGCATCAGCGAAAGCAGGCAAGCTGCAGAATCACAGCAAATGAGTCTGGATTCTACCGGAGCAAAGAAAACAGAGACGGCAGGTGTATAAGCCAAGAGTTTAACAGGGTAAGGCCTCGCCAGAAGAGTCAGTAATAATATTTTCGGTCCGATTGTGAAGGAGACTTTTTCCAAACAAAGAAATTTAGCACAAAGCATTAGCTTGCCCTCTATTCCTGTCAAAACAAGAAAATTTACATATGACACTTCTGCATCCGTATACATGCAACATACTCTTGCTCCACCTACTTAGGCAGGATAGCACATCTGGATTCTAGCAGTACTAACTCTGAAAGGTGGCAGGGTTTGGTCCAAGGGCCAGCTTGATGTCTCTAAAAACCACAGATAGGGGAGCAGTTGTCCTTCAGATGTTGCTGGACTGCAGTGCCCATCAGCCTCAACAGCAGAGTCAGGGATGATGGGAACTGTTGGCCTAGCAACATCCGGAGGTGGAGATGGGATGCCGGTTCCCTATTATTGATAACAAAGGATTTATTTATCTATTTTTAACGCATTAAAATGCAGAACATTTCCAGCAACGAAGAACAAATTACTTGCTTCCTCTGGCCAATTCAGCCCACCCACCCATTTCTGTTGTTGCAACAAGGGAATTTAGGTCCTTAGAGGAAACAGCACTTGCTGTTAAGCAGCCAGTCTAAATCCTGAAAACTTAGGCCAGCCTAGCTAGTAACTAATAAAGGGAAACGGCTGCAAAGCACAAGTTGGTGTTGTTTGATAGTAAACTGGTGCTCAGCAGAGCTGATCATCACACATCTACATCTACATATAGAGAAGGTGGTCCAAAAATTATTCATATTAAGCTTCAGCCATAATATCATCATAGCTTAATTTAAAATGTCGCAGTCACGTCTCTAGCGATCAGCAGCTACACTTGCTTTTCTCTTTTTCCTCACTGAGCTGCTCTGTGGAGCTGTGCCCATTAGGCTGCACTACCCCTTCTGGGATCCAGGACTTGTCCACACACCGTTCCATTCGCTTCATGATGAGGTCCAGAAGCGTCTCAATGGCCTTGCTCACGTTGGCCCCATTGGCAGCACTCGTTTCAAAATAAGGGATCCTGGAAAGAAGGCATCAGAAAGGTTTACTCTGCGGAGCTGTGCCATTCTGAGATAATGGCGGCTCTCAGGAAGGAAAGGAGAATTAAGGCCTGCTTGGCTTCTCAGAACACAATTTTTATCGGAAGCAGTCACAAGGGCTGATTCTGGACAGTCACTCTTTCGCAGGAAGGATACCAGAACTTTAGCTTTGCCCGGCTATAAGTGAATTAGAGCTCCCTGTTGCCCTAGCACAACAACTCCACTTTAAAAAAGAATCTGACCTCAGAAAGCGAGAGGATGAAAAGTGGGGGGTGAACAATGGGAGGGCATATAAACACAAGCAGATCAGAATAAATGTGCAATAATCTAACCTCCATGTAAGTTTTGAGCAAGTAAATCAGGACAAACGCTGCTGAATAAACAGGGCTTTTCAAAGGGCAGGAGGATGACCGTCTTCTGCAGGAGGACTGGGCAAAAGCAGGTCCTCATATTCTCCAGCTGGTGGTGCTCAAGAGGTGGCTGTTTTTGCAGGCCACTTCCTTGCTACTTTTTCACTTGGCTGCAATTTCTATACCAAACAGTCCATTCATGCAGGCCAGAGTCTGACCTTTGGGTTCACCTCCCTTACTTGGGAGTGGAGAGCAGGAGCGTCTGGCACCGCATTCCCTGCACAATTGCCAACAAGACTGGCAGAGTCCACTGGGCTCCCACCCAGACCTACCCCTCCACGGGAAGGAGGAGCCAGCTTGCTCCCAGTTCTGCTCAGTGCCCCAAGGCAGGGGTGAAACTAGGCTTTCTTTCACCCGGGTCTCCCACTGCTGTCATCCCCCCAGCAACTGGTGTTCAGGATGAACACTGGAGGTGGAGGGGAGGGTCTTCCTCACGGAACCATCCTTCCTTTCGCCTGCAATGAATCCCCAGTCAATGGGGTGGGACTCTCTGGCACCAGGAAGAGTTTTCTCCTAATGTCTTCGGGGGTTCCCCCACCAACACTCACCCTCCTGGAGCATCAAGGGCTGCCACAATATTTAAAATTAAAATAAAATAAAACAATAGCTTCTTTATCACTCTTGTGCAAGGCTCAGTCAGGTAAATATCACTCTTGCACAAGACCTCCGTATTAAAAAATTAAAACAACACATGGAAATAGATCGTGACACCACCGCCCCCAACAAGATTCCATTTCCCCAAATGAAACATGAAAACTAAGGTGGGTAAAGTTTGCTCTTGCGCACTTCCTGGGAGGAGGAGTTGTTTTTTAAGGTGTGCACACAAAGATACAGGAATACCTGTGCAGATGCCCTGAAAAGAAAAAAAGGCAGTGGAGGGTGGGGGCAAAGGGACTGAGGAAGGATCCTGGGCTCTGAAGGATTATTTCCATCTCCCTGAGGAGTACCAGGTCACCAGTTTTTCTGTTAAGCAGCTCCTTAGAGGAGCTCCCTCCAGCCTCCCCTGGAGGCAGCCACCGCTCTGCCCAAACCGCAAGAATGACGGGGAGGATGTGACTTGCCCATGCTTCTCTGCAAGTTCCTTTGCGTCCTCTTCTTTCACCACCCGCTGCTCTTCCAGGTCGCTTTTGTTTCCGCACAGGACCACATCGGGGTTTTCACAATAGGCGTGGGTTTGCAACTGGCCTAACAGTAACAGGAAAAGGGAAATGCCAGGCTCAGTTGCTACAACAGCCAGAGAAGTGGCGAAAGCAGAGCACTCTATGGCCTTCCTGCACAGATCCCTCCATTCTTACATTACGGTGAATTCTCCCTACCTGTGACTGTCACACACCCAGTCCCCTCCATGGGCACCCGAAGGTGTCCTGTTGCTCCCATGCAAGAATTCAGCCTGTCACCCTTGTGAATCTGGGCCAGGCTTGGTGCTAGTAGAGGGGGACATGAGTCCATGGATGCAGCGACCACCCTCCTCTCCAGGACCCCAAGCAAATGCATTGGGTGCTGCTGCTGCACCCACAGGACCCAACAATGCAAAGGGAAGCGATTCAGAGGGCAGCCGGGAGGCAGCGAGGGCGAGGGCCTCTTCACCCTTCGCCAGGGTGGAGGAATGAAAGCTGTTCAGCTGAGAAAGTCAGAAAAATGCCTCTGGAGGTTCCTGTGCAGGTGGGGACAGACAGACCCCAGACAGAAATCTGAGGCTGGGGCATGACATGCCTCTTACAAAAAAACCTGCCCTGCCCACCACAGGAACCCAATTAATCATAATACCTTTATTGTCAATGTACAACCTGTGTACAATGAAATTAAATGCCACGGAGGACAGCTGTGGCATGTCCCCAGCCAAGACAGCATCTGCCTCCAAGCTTTGCTTGGGCAGCAGAAAGAAAAGGCTTTGTTTACCAGGACTTTTCATCTTTTGCCACCTTCACGGATGGTTCACGTTAAGAACACTGTTTGAAAATACACGCCCACAGAAAACCAAAAGACTGCTGCTTTGGATTCAGCCTTGCACGCTAAGGGGACAACTGTGGGGAAGGTGATCAGGGTTGGGGGCAGACACTACCAACCGGGGGGCATTATTCTTCCTCCTGGACGTGTGCCCACTTGTGCCTCAGTGGCTCATTGCTTCCTATAGGGCTGTTGAAGAAGAAGAAATCCCTACAGGCCCACATTTTGTTAATGGCACAAAATAATGGATCCAGACTGGTTCCATGCTGACTTTTGGGGTGTTCCCCACTGGCTGCAGGGCCAGGGTGAATTATGGGCCCATCTCTCTCTACAGCCCCACACCCACAGGGGTCATACTGGGAAAAGGCAGCCGCCCAATGGGGAGTGCGGGAAGACAGCCTCTTACTCATCCAGTTTCTGATGTTGAGGAAACTTTGCTCGTTGGTCAAATCAAAGAGGAGAAGGAAGCCCATTGCATCTCGGAAGAAGGCGGTCGTCAAGCTACGAAACCTGCAAGGACGAAAAGCAAAGATATTCTTTTAGCCAAGAATAAACAATAACCTGCAATAAGGTAAGCTATTAGTCTGAAGCATTTTACCACTGACTTCAAAGGAGCCAGAATTCTTGATATAATTACTATGGTCCAAGTCTGAAGTAATCTGAAAGGAACAGAGGGACTCTTGGGGAAGGGCTTTAGTGTCTCAAAACACCTCTTAGCAAAGGCCTTTTGGCCAATTGTCAGCAACAGAAGAAAAGCTGCCACAGAGGTCAAGTTAGGATAAAGGACAACTTACTGAGGGGGGGGCGAGCTTAGAGGTGTTTAAAATGATGGATAATGTGGAGAAAGGAATAGAGGCAGATGTTTTTCTTCCCCTTCATAATATTAGACCTCAGAATCATTTGTTTCTGTTGACTGATGGGAGATCCAGGGCAGAGAAAAGGAAGCAGCTCATGATTCAATTCTGGAATTTGCTCCTACAAGTTGATTTGTTTTATTTATTTATTTCATTTCATTTAAGATTCACTTCCTAAGAAACATCTCAAAGCAACAATAAAAATGTCAGCAATGAAACATATACATAGGATGCAGTGAGGGCCACAAACATGGATGACTTTAAAGGGAGATTAGGAAAATGAATGAAATGAATGTGATTAGAAAAATGAATGGAGGTGGTCAGGAGCTACTTGTGCTCAGGGGGGCACATCTCATCTGCAGGGGCAGAGGCTACAGCCTTCCCAGTTGATGCAGGGGGGGACCCAAAGTCAGAGAGAGCTATTGGCCACTGCAAGAAAAGGATGCTCAACTGGAAGGATTTTCTGAAATTCTTACATTTTCAGTCTGGCTCTATTTCTTCTTTGTATCCCTTACCTTTCTTGCCCCGCTGTGTCCCACAGTTGGAGATGTATTCTTTGTCCTCGACCACTAATGCCATCCGGCCCATTTGATCGGTACACCTGTTTAAAAAAGGCATGACATTGGACGAGTACCTCCAACTAGCGTCTCTGGGGATCTCCCTCCACAAAGAGGCCCCCACACCTTCAGTCTTCGGGAAGCCTGGGCTGTGGGCTTAGAGTCAGGTATCGAACTGGCTTTTGTGGCTCTGCTCCTGGGCTGCTTGCACCTATGGTCTGCTTTATCTGCTGTCAGTAATTGGATTTAATTTAGGAGAGGAAATACAATGAATACAATATTTTAATATTGTTCCCCAGGAGCTGCTGCTGCTGTTGTTGTGAGGGTTTCTGCAGGGTCCAAAACTCAAGCTGCCAAACCCAAATAAGCCCAGTTGGCCTCCTCGTGGGCTTGGTCAGTTTCCAGGCTGTTTTCAGAAGATTTCAATCCTGGTGTGGAGCAGCATAAGCCTTTGGAAGAATTCACGACTGAAAACACTTCCAGTGCATATTTCTGAATGATGATCGTTCAGAAACGGCTGGAAGTTTTCGTTAGGAAATGTTGTTACTCAGGCCTCTGCAAATCCGCTTGCCATCTGTATAGAGTTTCTGCTTGCTGCGATTCGAGAACCCAGGAATCCATGCCCCAAACCCTGGGAAGGAGAGCAGAGGAGGAGCTCCTCCAATCACACTGGGCTTTGGAACAGGCAAGCCCCTGCCCCAAAGCCAAGTGAAAGCAGGGAGACCCCTTCAACCCCATTTCCAAAGAGGGGGCTGCTTTCTAATGTCAGGCACTGTGGAGCCGGCAGAAGTAGCATCCAGGAGACCTGATACAGCTTCTTCCTCCTGCTCCAATGCCCAGTGCAATATCTCTGTATTTAGAAAGATTCATAGGTTGCTTAATCACAAAACATTTAAGCGGTAGACATTAGAGGTGCCCCACTCCACACACACATGCCGCCCCATGTTTTTGGGCACACAAATGGAGCCATCAGTGGTGACTGCAAATGGTGGCTGGGTAGTAAATAAATCCAAAACGTGTGGAACCTGATTTTGATTGCTTAGATTTCAGTGTAACTGCAAAAAGTACAATCAGATAAGAAAGACACTGGCAATTTAGCTGCACCTTTTCTCCTGGCAGGCTGGCATTGATTGCTAGCAGCAAGCAGGAAAGGGAGGCTCCCGGACAGTGTCAAACTGATCTCATTATAGGCAGGGACGGGATATTAATATATGGAAAACCAGGCAGGCAGAGGCTGCAGCAGGAAGAGGTACGTGGAAAGGAGATAGCTACTTCTGCTTCTGTTGGGGACAGAAAAGAAGTCAAAGGGCAGCAGCAGCAGCCTGGAAAGGGACTTCCAGGAAGCTTGTTCTAACAATGACAGCAGACGAGGCTTCAAGAAAAACAAACAGATTTCTGCATGCCTAATTTTCTCATTCCCAGCAGCTCTCTTTTATTTTAATGCAGTTTGTGCTGCCCAGCTTAGTAGGATGATGCAATCTCATTGCTCCCAGGTGGGCTGGGGAATGGCTGAGACAATCAGAAGGTCAGAACAGCAGGAGGGCCCAGCTGACTTTGGGCTCATCCAGACTTGCGCTTGTCCCATGCCTAGAAAGCAAGGGTCCGAGCAGTTTTCCCCTTGCCCTGCTCCTTTCCCAGGGAAAACTGACTCTCTCTCTAAATTGAAGCAAACATTCATCCAGAGAAAACCTGAATTGCCATTTGCTCCGACTGAGAGCTAAAGAACGTTTTTCCGGGAGGGGGGGGGGATTGCAGGACAAGAGGAAGAGTGGATAAGCCCTTTGAGGCCCACGGCTGGGCAGGAACAAGTGGCTTTGAAATTACAGAGGAGTTTGAAGTTATTAGGGCCAGACTGTTTGCATGAAGCAATGTGGTGAAACCACTGAATCATAGAATTATAGAGCTACAAGGTACCTTGAGGGTCATCTAGTCTAACCCCCTGCAATGCAGGACTCTCAGCTAGATCATCCATGACAGGGGACCATCCAACCTCTGCTGAAAAACCTCCACGGAAGGAGAGTCCACCACTTCTTGTGGGAGTTACAGGGAATCTCATGGGTTGTTCTGCTACAGAATGAGCTGACCAAACCCACCGTCTTCCTTGCAAACAAAAGCCCCAGGCCCTTTCCTAGAGACTGCTGCTTCTATAACCGGCAGAACTGCACAGGTGGGTGGGTAGAAGCTGGAGGGAGGCGGATGGTGGTGGCAGCAGGAAATCTACGTTGACTGGACTGGAGTCTGGTCTCAGAAATGGGGATGGAAATGGCCCCTTCCCCAGATTGTTCTCATTCCTTGAAACTAAAAGGGAAACTTGTTTTGGTTCACTAGACCATGCTGTCTGCCACCAGGCCTGCAAGGACAGAAGGAGGTGGTTGTAGAAGAGCACCACTGAAAGAGGCCTGTGGAGAGGGCGCTCTTCGGAAATGGCCCCCAGGCCCCTTTGGCCAAACTGCTAAAAAGGTCACTAAAGGCAAAATCAAGGCTGTCGCATTTTGCAAGTGGCTGTGAAAAATAAAAAGCACGTTTTGCAAAGTCAGTTGAAACTGCACTTGGGGTGAGCTAATGGATGACTCCCCCATAAATATTAGCCACCACCAAAGTGCAGACCTGCAGACCTCATCCCTTCTTCTTCTCTGCTTCTCACCTGTTTATGTCCAAGAAGTACCAGGAATCCACACGCCCTGCCAGGTTCAGGGAAAACTGGGTCAGGTCTGAGTTCTGATCACAGTTTTCTGAAAGGTAGCTGAAAGTGAGTCTTCCCCCCAAAATGGAGATGTAGAAAATGGTGGGAACTTACCACCCTCTTTTCCCGGAAGTCGATGCCAACAGTTGTTATGAATTTTGAATTGAATTTGCCATCTGTGTACTGATAAAGGAAACTGGTCTTCCCCACACCAGAATCGCCCAGGGCTAAGAATTTGATTAGGTAATCGTAGTCCCCATCAGACATCGTGAGAACTCTGAGGACAGCCTTTGGGGTGAGACAGAGGGGAGGGGAGGAAGAGGAAGGGAGCAGCTTTCATTTCCGTTCATTTTCCAGTAACTATATATTGCATTCTCTGAAATCCCAGCTATCAACTGTCCAGACTCACAGCATCTCCTCCATGGAGCCCAATCTAAGCACATGCGACATTTCCCCCGAAAAGAACAGTGCATAGTGCTCTGTGTGTGAAGAAGACTGTGCACACAAGATTCCTTTGCAGAACATGTTAGGAAGATGTAACTTGCAATAGGTTTACATACATGCACAGAACCAGGAAAGTCTTCATACTGTACATGACACAGGTGTCCATCTGTCCACCCCACCCCAAACACATATAAGGAAAACATCATGGCTGCAGAAGCCAAAATCCAGACTCTGATTCAGATTCCTCCTTCAGTCAAAATGTTTTCTGAATGGGCATGGAAAAATTACTCCATCACAGGACTCAAGTACACATGACAGGAGATGCCTGGGGCAGGTGGCCTGAGTGTCAACCACCCCCAGCCCCTAACCCCCAACACATACACACACACACCAGGTAACATTTGGTTTTTTAAAAACCCCAGATAAAGTGTTGGCATGAGAACAAGCTTTGCATACTCTTGGTACAAAAGGTGTAATTAAGCTTGGTATTATCCTTGCTCGCCTCCAGACTGTCAGTATTTTGCAGGAGGAATTCAAGTGCATGCTGGGAATTTAGTTTTTTGGGAATAAAAGTGGATTAAAGCACTCTGTCATCCTAGCACAACAAACTTTTTGTTTTAATTAAATAAAACCCTGGCTTTGGGGTGTTAGGAAAGTGGGCGGCAAACATACTATAAAGCGTGGGATGAACAAAGGATTGGTGGGAAGACACAGCAAATTGGGACGAACACTCCCTGTTGTATAACCTCCCCACATACAAATCAGAATAAACGCTCAGTAAAGACGGGATATAGTCTAACCCCCACATGTGTTTTGTGGAGGGCAAGTCAGGGTGAACGTTCAATAAACAGGTTGTCTGATGAAGTCACTTGATAAAAGTTATTAAGAAGTAGCAACTGGTGCTCACCATTTAATGGACTTCTGCATGGAAAGGGGTATTAGGGAGCCAGTACATCCCTAACCTCCTGCCAACCTAGCAGTTCGAAAGCACGTCAAAGTGCAAGTAGATAAATAGGTACCGCTCCGGCGGGAAGGTAAACGGTGTTTCAGAAGCGGCTTAGTCATGCTGGCCACATGACCTGGAAGCTGTACGCCGGCTCCCTCAGCCAATAAAGCGAGATGAGCAACGCAACCCCAGAGTCGTCTGTGACTGGACCTAATGGTCAGGGGTCCCCTTTACCTTTTTACATCCCTAACATGGTCCACTTTCTCTCTCTCTCTCCCTCTCCCCATCACATTATACCATAGATGAGGCTGCCTGGCCTAGGCTTATTGACTGTGTTTCAGCCCGATTTGGGAAGAAGGAACTTTAAAGTCAGGGGAAATGATGCCAAGGTGCTTTTTATAGGTTTTCAGCTGATGGTAACGGAGCTAAATTGTGCTGACCTGTACTTCCAACCTGCACGGGTTTTCATGATTTATTTTTAAAATTCCTACCTGTTCTTCCTGTCTTCAGAACACAGCGCTCAAGGCAGTTGAGAAAATACAAAAATAGTCTACTATTGAACAAGCTGTTCTACCTATGGAAAGGGGTGAGCAGGAAGATGGGGCTGTTAAGGCAGGCTGAGGGCTAGATATGCTACAGTGGTGCCTCGCAAGACGAAAATAATCTGTTCTGCGAGTCTCTTCGTCTAGCGGTTTTTTCGTCTTGCGAAGCAACCCTATTAGCGGATTAGCGCTATTAGCGGTTTAGTGGTTTAGCGGCTATTAAAGGCTTAGCGGCTTAGCAGCTAAAAGGCTATTAGCGGCTTAGCGGCTTAGAAAAAGGGGGGGGAGCGAAAAAAATCGCAAGACTCGCAAGATGTTTTCGTCTTGCGAAACAAGCCCATAGGGAAATTCGTCTTTCGAAGCGCATCGAAAAACGGAAAACCCTTTCGTCTAGCGGGTTTCTCGTCTTGCGAGGCATTAGTCTTGCAGGGCACCACTGTATTTAGGAAAAAAGAAAAGACAGCACCTCACTGATGCCTTGGCATGACAATCCCTGAGAGGAAACCAGCTGAAAATCTCTCCCAAGGAAGGTTGGCACAGATAAGAGAGGCAGCAAGACTACTGTTGTCCTGCAGGGTTAAGCTTCATCCTCCTCCTCCTCCTCCTCCTCCCTGCACAAATATTTAAGAAGCGGTCTCCACCCTTAGTCTATTTAGGTTAAAGCTGAACAGCCCAGGAGCCCTTCCACAAGAACAGCAGCAAAGCCCAGGCACGATTTTTGGTCAGCATGATGACCATCTACAGCATTTTTGCAAATGTCATCACACACTCCACCGAATGCCTATTAGTATGGCAATCTATACCTTCAGGAGGACATAAACAAGGTGCAGATGGCACAAGAAGACCTGGAAGAGCCTCCACTTCAGGGAGGGTTTGGCCAGGCAGAATCCTCAGAGCAGCATCACATAAGACTAAAGGAGGACCCGCAGGACCATCTGAGCACACAGTGGCCATTTGCAAGGCCTGCATGGTGCAAACTGGAGCTGTGCAGGAGCAGAGGCTGCTATTGGACTCATCACATGCCAAGCCAGCCTCCCATTGGGGAGGGTTTGCAGCAGTGCACAAGAAGTTCTGCACTGAGAATGGACCAGTGCCAGCACATGGACCAGCTCTGTGTGCAGCGGCCACATAAAGCAGATTTCCACTGATGGCCAAACCTGGGATTCCAGAAAGGGACAAAACATGGCTCTTGGGAAGCTGCAAGGCGAACGGTCCCAGCCATAGTCAGCAGCACTCTGCTCTGCCTGCTGCTTCTCCCTGACCTGAACATTTCGCTAAAAGTGGCTAGAATTAACCCCTCAGCATCTGGCCTATGTGCTGCTGCTGCTGCTGCACCTATACACAATTTGCACCAGTGTTAAGCTGGTTGCACATACGGTATTTACTCAAATCTAATGCTCAGCTTTTTTGGCCAAATTACATTGCAAAACTTAAGGTGAGCATTAGGATTCAATGCACATTTACATTTGCCAGCAATTACGGTACTTTTTTTGGTTTCAAGGTTCTGAAAATTGAGACACGCATTGGATTCAATGGTGTGTTAAAGGTAAAGGGACCCCTGACCATTAGGTCCAGTCGTGACCGACTCTGGGTTTGCAGCGCTCATCTCACTTTATTGACCGAGGGAGCCGACATACAGCTTCTGGGTCATGTGGCCAGCATGACTAAGCCGCTTCTGACGAACCAGAGCAGTGCACGGAAACACCGTTTACCTTCCCGCTGGAGCGGTACCTATTTATCTACTTGCACTGCGTGCTTTAGAACTGTTAGGTTGGCAGGAGCAGGGACCGAGCAACAGGAGCTCACCCCGTCGCAGGGATTCGAACCACCGACCTTCTGATTGGCAAATCCTAGGCTCTGTGGTTTAACCCACAGCGCCACCCGCGTCCCTTCAATGGTGTGTTAGACCCCGTTAAATACGGTAATCCCTGGCTTTAGGCAGGCCTTTCCTAACCTGGTGCTCTTCTGATATTTGGGACACCAGATCCTGCAGCTGCAGCAACTATCATCCAAAACATCTGGAGAACACTGGATGGGTTGGGGCAGACAGCTTGAGTTCAGGCAGTCTCGTTTTAAAAGGCATGCATGATGGGGGGGTGACTCCAAGTTCCTAGCCTGCCCAAGGGCACCCCGGGTCTTTCAGGGTGGAGCTGTGTGGCTTGCTGCTTGCTGAAGGAGAGCTGCTGGCTTTGGGGGGAAAGGCCAGACCTCTGCTTGGGGGCTCTCTGCAGCTCATTCTTACATCCAAATAACACAAATGGAAGTTCCTGCACTGAAAAACAGCACAGCTGGAAGGCAGAGGTCAGGATCAGGAAAGCCACCTTTTCAAAGTGAGCTTGAATCCCCAGCAGCACCTCAGAGTCCCCTCCCTCCCCCCCAGGCGTTGACTAACAACTGACCAAGTAAATGATCACTTTCAGCACCAACCTGCCTCAAGCCATGTCCCCACCCCCACCGACTGCTGCTCCCCTGGACTGCACCCCAGGCATCGCCCCAGAAAGGGAAAGCCACTCACCTCTCGGACAGCAACACCACAGCAGCAGCAGCGTGCTCTCGCCCAAGGCACATTCTCCCCAGCCCAGCTAGCGGAGGAACAGCAGCCGGAGGGGCCCCACCTGCTTCGCACACAGCCCGGCCGGCAGCTTACGTGTCACCTGTTTGCTCTCTTGACAGGTGGGGCAGGTGTGCCTCGGGCGGGCTGGCTGGCGACAGGGCTGGGCTAGGGAGCCCCTTCCTCATCTGGGCACAGAGGCACACAGCTGCCCTTTATCTCCTGGGGGGCTCGGATCCCCACCCCTTCCAGACTCATCATCCCTCACACAAAAAAACGGTACAAGGTTGCAGCACACAGGTGGCAAGGCAAGGGAGCCATCGCAAGGCATCAAGCAAAGGAGTGTTTACATTACTGCCTTACATCCAGGTGAAACTGTTTCCCAGCTTCTGTGCCTTTCACAGCAATGCCCACCCAACTCCAGCTGTTCGCAACAGGACAGCTCCTGTTTGGGTACACTCACCAGGGGGCGTTGATGGGTCAGGATGTATTTCTCAACTTGTGCTGGCTACCGTAATATTCACTATAATATTAATTGTCATTTTCCCCTTGTGTGTTTTACCTGTCTTTTTTGTGATCTGGGTTTTATTTATTTAAATGCCAAGTGAAGACTGGCACTTCCTAACAGGGAAGAGGATTGCTCTGACGCTAGAAATCAGCTCGTCTGACTCCTTGCACACCAGGCACTTAGCCATAACTTTTGCTTCCTTGTGCTTAAAATATCGTATTCCCCACTGTTGCTTCCGAAGGCCAGCTGATAAGAAGGCACCTGACTCCGTGGAAGAGGCTTACTGCCTGTGCACCGTCTGTCATGTTTGATTCATAACAGCCATATGCAACCTGGCGAACCTACCCTTTCCAGAGCGTGTCCTTCGGAGACCCGTCTGTTGTAGCTGCCAGAGGAGGCTTCTACAAATGAGAGAGAGAGAGAAAGAGAAAGCGCAGTGCGTCTTGGCCATGGTGGCAGCAGGGATTCTTTGCTCCCTCCTCCCAAAGTCTGGGCTCTTGTTTACATCTGCCTCCAAGAGCCTGAGGGGCAAGAAGCAGGCAATGCATTTAAATGATAGGATATTTTTTTTAAGGTACAAAAAAACTCAGGCTTCCATACTTGAGCAGTGCTGTCAGTCAGAAGAGCCAACATGGAGATCTAGATGGGTCAATATTATGATTTTTTATATGGCAGAGTCCCAGGCCCTTTCCTACATTCCTGTGAGGTTTACTCTATTTCCGGATTTGCTCTTTTCTGTTGGTGCAATCAAGTGGCCAAAAATAGGATCTTGTAAATACAAAGCCAGAAGAGAGGTGACCATTCCTCTGTGTGTGAAACTAGTTAACTGAAGACAGAGCCATCACCTGCTTTTATAAAACAACCCCCTTCCTCATTGCAGAAGGAAGAAGGGTGCAGGGAGGAGATACTGGAGAGAATGCTTGCAGCTTCTGCCTTAGACAACTGGGTGAGAAAGGGGAAGCTAGGAAGTACACATTTTCCTGAGAAGAACCTTGGAGGCAACGTGTGGGGTGGTGACGGTAGAAAACAGAACATAACTAATTAAAGCAAACACAAAACATGCAAAAAACAAACAAACCACACGTACCCAAAAAGCATGAACATGAAAGATTTCTGCATAAGACTCTCCTTAATGCTACTGCTGAAAACAGTTTGTAATGGGCCAGATTCAGAGCCACGTGGTCCTGATGTGGTCAGCAGGCACGAAAGCTGCAGGAAGGCCACTAGATCAGCTAGGACAGCCTTCGCTGAACTGCTGCTTTGGACTGCAACTGGGTGGGGCTCAAGGGAGTTGTAGACAACTGGGCGGGGACATGTGTCCTGGCTTCACTCTCCTGCCATTTGGCCACAACAACTGCCCTTTTGACCATGCTTAAAGAATGTGTTCCGGGCAACAACTATGGCTGCCAGGCCAGGAGCCACTGAGACCCGGATATACCCTCCAACCTTTATCCGATGAAAATAGGGACGTCCTGTTCCATAATGATAATTTTACTATTTGTACCCAACACATCTCACTGGGTTGCCCCAGCCACTCTGGGCAGCTTCCAACATATATAAAAATAAATAATAATACATTGAAAAATAATAAAACATTTTAAAAAACCACTTTCCTATACGGGGCTGCCTTCAGTTGGCTTGGAGGCCAGATAATGCCCATACCCTCCCACATTTCTCCAATGAAAATAGTGACATCCTAAGGAAAAGTGGGACATTCCAGGATCAAATCAGAAACTGGGACGGCTTCTCTAAATCAGGGACGTCCCGTCTGCCCTATGATTTCAGGACCCAAACCTGAGACCTAGGGGCAGCCCCTGGTGATGTCACAAGGTGGGCCCTGAAGATGCAGGTAAATTGGGAGAGGGGAGTGGAGGAAGGCAGACCTGCCACACACACCTCCCTCCAAGTGTCTATGCTTTAATTTGCAGCCAGCTCCTGAGAACTATATATACTTGAAACCTGAAGAGTTCAAGTCAGACCTGGAGGTCTGGCAACCCTAGCAACAGCACAGACCCAATATACTCTTAGCCAATTTGCTAATACAGTGGTACCTCGGGTTACATACGTTTCAGGTTACAGACTCCGCTAACCCAGAAATAGTACCTCGGGTTAAGAACTTTGCTTCAGGATGAGAACAGAAATCGTGCTCTGGCGGCGCGGTGGCAGTGGGAGGCCCCATTAGCTAAAGTGGTGCTTCAGGTTAAGAACAGTTTCAGGTTAAGAACGGACCTCCGGAACGAATTAAGTACTTAACCCGAGATACCACTGTACAGTTGTACCTTGGATCCCGAATGTCCTGGAACTCGGACGTTTTGGTTCCCCAATGCCACAAACCCGAAAGTGATTGTTCCTGTTTGCGAATGTTCTTTTGGAACCCGGAGGTCCGACGGGGCTTCCAAGTGGCTGCAGGAGCTTCCTGCAGCCAATCAGAAGCCGCGATTTGGTTTCTGAACGTTTTGGAAGTCAAAAGGACTTCCGGAATGGATTCCGTTCAACTTTCAAGGTACGACTGTATCCGCTTCCAAGCCCTTTTCTATAAATATGGGAGGCCCATCTGGTTACAAGGAAGAGACTGGATCTCATCTCCCATTCCTTGTACGCCCCCCCCAAAAAAAAACTCCACAAGGAAGGCTAAGCTGGACAACTGTCCCAAGTGTGCTAAGACAGGCTGCCTTTGACAATCATGACCAGGCCAGCCTGCCTTCTCTCCCCACCCCAGACTCTCCAGGCCTCTGCTCTGCTTCCACTTTGGCCTTAAAGCAGAGACACTCTCCCCACTCCTGTCAAGTCTGGAGGAAATGAACCCTACCAGGATTTCCTCTGGCGTAAAAGGGAGACAGAGAAGAACAGGGGTCAGCAACCTTTTTCAGCCGTGGGCCGGTCCACTGTCCCTCAGACCATGTGGGGGGCCGGACTGTATTTGGGGGGGGGGGGAATATGAATGAATTCCTGTGCCCCACAAATAACCCAGAGATGCATTTTAAATAAAAGCACACATTCTACTCATGTAAAAACACCAGGCAGGCCCCACAAATAACCCAGAGATGCATTTTAGATAAAAGGACACATTCTACTCATGTAAAAACACACTGATTCCCGGACCGTCCACAGGCCGGATTGAGAAGGCGATTGGGCCGGATCCGGCCCATGGGCCTTAGGCTGCCTACCCCTGGGGAAGAATAACAAGAAGGGCTTTGGCCTCTTGCAGTAACAAGAAAGCTCAGGCAGCAAACGACTGGTCTGGGTCTGTGTTGCCATGGCTAGAAGGCCGTGATAGAGATGCAAGCCGGACAACCTGTGGCAGACCTGGGGATGTGCTCTTTTCCTCCTCCTCCTCCTCACCTCACCCAGCAGTGGATCTGGCTGGAGAGAAGAGCCTGGGAAGCGACACAGGCGGCCAGAGCTGGAACTCCTCTAACTCACACTGAACAGCACAGATTAATCTGGAGCGGCAGCTAGCTAGTCCACGCTCTTTCGGCTTTTTTGCTTGTTTCCTGCAAAAGCAGCCGGGAAACACTAGGCTCTGACTGGACGGTGTAGGAAGTGACATCGCTGAGTGCTTATCGGCCTCTCCACTAAAACAAACAGTGTGGTTTTTCCTTCTTGTCAAATCAGTTTGATCACAGGCATTAGGCGTTTTCCCGTTCAGCTTCCCCTCCAGGCGTCTCCAGAGCAGAAAGGCCTGTAGCCCAAGAGCCCTTGGCCCTGGATCCTGTGGTGGTGATTTAGTAGGGAGTTTCCCTTTAAGGCAGCTGTCAGTCACAGCTAGCTGGAGGGATTCAGTCCATTTAAAAAGCCCGGGAATTGCCAGGCCTACAAGTCGTATTTGTTTAGTCTCACTAGGATTTTTGCTTTTTATCTCAGAAAAAAGTCCTTGTTGTTTCCCTCACCTTTAATTCTTGGACACAACTTACCTGGCAACAAAGGATGGCTCTTTTATCGCTGAAGCCACCAGTGCCTTTTCTTCAATGCCCAGGGGACCCTCTAAGTGCGTTCCCTGTTTGGATGTGGATGTTTGAAAACGACTTGTTAGCAGTTAATGATACAGAAATCTCTGAAGCAAGGAAATGGGTAGCACTTATTAACTGCCTGGGTGGATATTTCATGCAGGGCTTTACAGAACATTTTTGTGCCAAAAGGGAATGTTGTATATAATTGCTACAAATTTCACCAGAGTGAACAAAAACCAGGGGGATTTGCACTCTAAGGGATTGAATGAGCTCATATAACAAGAGATGGGGGGGGGGGGTCCTAGGGGCTTCTGCCCTTGCTCAAAAGTTTTGTTTGCTTCCCATCCTTTCCCCCAGGGCTTTGGTCCTCTCTTAGACTTGGCATAAACTCTGGCTGTAAGGCAGGTTTATAGGGCATCTTTGTCTACTTAGACAGGCAGAGATTCTCCGGGGCTTCTATCCTGAGCACACCCAGCCCCCAATGAGGACATGCGATTGGAGGTCTAGTTTTTTATTGGCAAAGCACTCAATTACGTCAGCTCCTAAAGTGCAAGAATTGCATGCACCACTCGTGCGAAATAGCTAGATAGGCATCTCCATCTTCAGACTTGTCCTCCAACCAAGGTGGAATCTACACACAAGTTAAAAACGTTGTGAAAATGCTTTTTTGAAAATCGTTTTGAAAAATGCATTGAATTTGCTTTGGCTCAAAATCACCCGCCCTCTGTATATTGCACTTTACAACACATTCAAAACGTTTTATTTGCAGCTGTATAGCTGAGTCCTTAAACAGTTTGTGCAACAGCACAACCATGCCTCCATCAGGACATTTAACTCCCCTCTTCTGATGTACCACATGAAAGCATCTCCAGCAGCTCCTGTCGCTTTTAGCCCCTCCTTGTCCTTGTACATACCAGGGGACAAAGGAGATTCTCCCCAACTCTCCGTGGGAATCTTTTCCACCTCTTCACCTTCCTGCAACTCTTCCTCCACCTCCTCTTCTCTCCTCTCCGACTGCCCCTCTTCCCCCTGCTTCACGGGTGGCACCGAACCCCACAAATCACTGACCCTTACCCCTGGATCATCCTCCTGCCCCCTTGCCTCCTCAGCCCACCCTTCAGACTCCTGCCTGCTCCTGTTGAGAGCTGCTCAGAATGGCTGGGGGAACCCAGCCAGACGGGTGGGGTATTAATAATAATAATAATAATAATAATAATAATAACAGCTTCAGGCAAAGAAGCCTCTCCTGTGACTGAGCCTTTGGACTGGAGATGCTTCCAGCGATCAAAGCTGGAGACCTTCTCCTTCCGAAGCAGCTTCTCCCCGATTCCAGGTCGCACCTCACCTTGACATCCAGCCAAACAGCCTGAAATGAGCTGGGAAATGCTTGAGTTCCTTATAGTTTATTCTGTCTGCTAAATGTGGTTGATTTAATTCACCATAATCAGCCCCGAAGTGCAAGCGGTTGACAGGCCCTCAGCGCTTTTGGATGGCTTGAACAAAAAGAAATTCCGCAAGCTCTTTCTCCACATCCCCTTCGCTTTCGTGAAGTTCAGAGGAGCTGAAGGAAGAGGAACCCTGCCAGACAACTGTGCTGCGGTTGCCCGGCTTGCAGTTGCAGCAAGGCTGAAGACCGGCCTCTGGCCCAGCGCACAACTGACAAACCGCCAACTTCCAGGCTGCATCATATGATCCCCGAGCAAAGAATTATTTCTTTTCATGTTGGTGGGAGCTGAATGCACGTAACAAAGTGGCCTTTTTCTCTTTCCCTTCATTAAGAGCATTATGTCCTTTTGAGTCTGGACTGGCCAGCCACCCAGCAACAAGGCTCTCCATGGCCCATCTTGAAAGGCAAAGGACACAATCCGGCGGGGAGCTGTCCTGCCCAGGCCCCACAGAGAGTGAGGGGAGCAGCCCTTGCAAGACATGTGGGAGAGTGACACGCCCTGGCCGCTGGGCCAGCCACCCTGCCCATGAGGTGGGGGAAGGTGGCCGCCTCAGGCCCATCCCAGCATGCCCACCGCTGTCCTCCTGCTGCTGCTGCACTCTTCCTTTCACTCCCCAGGGCACCTCGGGTGGCATGCAGATATGGATGCAGCGGAAGACATTTTGGGACCTGAGGCAAACCCCATCATGGAGCTCCCCAACCCACCAGTGAAGAAGGAAAATCTATATCAGGAACAAGGGCTGCGGGGAGAAGATCGACATCAAGGTCTGCTGCCCTGGTGAATCTTGCCACCTGAGGCAGCTGCCTCACCTTGCCTCATGGGTGGGCCAGCTCTGGCCCAAAGTGTATGGTCAGTTGGCGGCATGCATACATACAGGTGGGGGCAGGATTTTCAGTATTTCCTAAGGTGGCAAAATGTCTTAGGGCAGCCTTGCCTGACCCAAATGCTGTGTTTTGGCCCGAGCTTTTGGAGATGGATGCAGCTGAGGAGCAAATGGAAGGAAAGGCTGTGCTGGCTGGGACCGATGGGAGTTGTAGTGCAACGCACCTGAACAGCACCCGCTTGGCTAAGCTCACAATGCCCTGGTTGTGCATAAAGAAGACACCTTCTTCCTCCTCATTTTCAGAAATCCCTTTCAGTGTTTGAAAGCTACCTGAATACATTTGCACCTTTTCTCTTTTTCACACTTCTTCCTTTGGCCTAAACATGCCCCGTTAATATAGAACAAGCTAGGGCAGCACAGCTTAGAGATTAAAATGCGCTTTCTGAAAATTAAAGGAAACCCACTTTCCCAGGGTCAGCTCAGCAAGAAAGCCTCCAGTATTTAGACACATTATGTGAACAGCAGAGCCCTGGGTCAGGCTCCAAAGAACCACGGAGCCCACCCTACCGTCCCCCAAGGGCTTGGGGCTGCCACCCTAAACACATTCACCCCCTAAGCTCAAAGGACTTCCAAGGAAATGTACCCAGGGGGATTTCACTGAATCCATCTGAAATCCCCCCCCCCCTTTGGCAGATTGGTATCGTAAGTGAAGTTTGTCCTAATTCCCTGGAATAATTTAGCTAAGTTCGGGTTCACTGAAGGTGTGTAATTTTAGTGAGGTAGTTTGCACACAGATAACGTGAGTTTAAACCGCTGAAGAAGAAGAAAGGAGAGCAGAGGAATGAAGAAATCCTTTCCTTACCTGATTGGAATTGGCAGGAGATGCTCAGCTGCCCCCACCTTCCCAGCAGGTCCTACAGACAGGTCCCCAGGCAGAGATGGAATTTGTGGTCCAGTAGCAGAGCCATGGAAAGCAGCCAACTGGCACGTGAGGAGGTAAGAGCAACAAGGAGCCGGTTTTCAGAAGGTCCCCTTTGCTCCCCTAGTCTGGCTGCACCCAAAGTAGCCCCCCCTCCCTCAGCCCAGCCTGCCTGCCAGCCCACCCTAATGACTCTCAGCTGTTTGTCATGTGGCCTCGCTGGCTGATCAAGTGATATTGTGGTGTTGCCTCCTTTCCCAGGCGCAGGAGCTTGCAAACAAGCCCTTCTTCTGCCCAGAGAAGCAGGAATGTGCCACAACAGCCGTGGCCAGCCCTGGGGCTTAGAGGTTTGTCAGCAGCACATGCTGGAGGGGGCGGGCCTGAGCTGCTCCTGCAGCTGGACCGCTGGAAAGGGGGAAACAGAGCCAGACTAGGGAGGCTCTTCTCCACCGAGGCAGACCAGAGGGTCGTCCCTGCTGCATCTGACCACAGGCCCCATCTAGCCTGCCATGGCACAGTCCATCAGGGTCTCCGACCACAGAGAGCCGTTTCTCTCTTTTTTTTTTTTAAATGATATTTATTGAGGAAAAAAAACTTTTTTAAAGTTACAAAAGAAAACAAAGTAGAAAAAGAGAAAAACAAACCACTTCCAACAACACAAATACAAATTCAAAATAAGAAAAAAGAAAAAGAAAAACAAAAAAACAAAAATACACCACAAACATTTAAAAACATTTAAAAACAAATCCATTATTCTCAAATCCTCAACTGTCATTACCTTCTTTCTTTGACCTCCTCCTCCTTCCCTTTTTTGTATCCTAGTTGTTAATTGTCACAGCAAATCCTTTCCATATTTCATAATATTCTGTCATTACATTACCTTAAACTATTTTAATCTTATCTTACTATAAAAAAAACCTTAAAACTTAAATCTTATCTTTACCAACTTCTCATAACCATAATATTCTTTCATAATTCTTTAAACATTTTTACTAAAGCCAAGTAATTTCATTCCAACATTTTTTTAACATTCATCAATTTTATAAAACAGTCCTAATAGTAAAAAAATAAATAAAAACAAATCCAATCTTCATCCAGCGTCCCTTCCTCCTGGTCCCGGGTTTAGTCAGTCCTTATTATCCCATTGATCTAGCGCATTAACCTGGTAACCTTATATCCGAGGCCCTTAAGTCTCTTCCATGTCCCTTCCACAGTTCTTCTTCATATTTGTAACTGTATTTTCCCTTGTCTCCTGCTCGTGGGAACTCCAGCTTAGCAATATTTTTGACCCTTCTTGACAGATCAGCCCCTTTTCCATAATCGACACTAAATTCCATGTGGTATTTAAAAACATGTTTCAAAAATCCCACTGTCTGTTCAAAGTTTCCCACTGCCTGTTCAAAATTTCTAATCGAATTCGCCATCAAATTCGTCTTCTCATGTAGCTGTTCCAGTAGGGCATTTGTTTTATAGAAAGCACACAACAGAGCTTCTGAATACATTGTCCTGCAAGGTCAGATGTCTATTCCCACGATTGTAATCTGTAACAGCTGCCAGCTCCCTGGAATTAGTTACAGTTTCACAGTCTCCCTCTAGGGGGAAAACTTCTATTTGTTCTTGCAAGAAAGTTTTCCTTTTTGAGATATTTTGTCAATATTTGTTCCTTTAAACTGCGAAAGGAAACAGTGGAATCACTATGTTTCTCTTCTTTTAGCTATCTGTCAAAAACGTTTGTCTCTGGTCAATGAGCTTCAAACGTCAGTCCTGACACCCCGCTCCAGGATCAGGACGGTGGAAAGTTACTTTACTTTAAACTCACTTCTGCAGGTTTAAACAGTCCGAAAAAGATCCCCCTTCTTCTCCTGCTGCCGAAGGGGGGGTTCCACAATTTTAAATGATGAAAGCCAATCCTTTAGAAGCGATTTTCTGAGCTCTAGATTACGTTGTCTTTGCTTTATTCTGTTTACAAAGAAACGGAAGGCTGACTTCCTGTTTAGACCTTCCCGTTTCAGTACCAAATTGAAATAAATTTTTAAAGCCAATTCCTTTCTGCTCGCAAGTCCTTATTTAAAGTCCAGTTGTTCAAAGTTTAAGTACTCACGGATGCTTATTTTAGAATCCAAATTGTCCCAGGAAAAAGGCAGCGCTCTCTGGCAACGGCTATGCGGCTTCGCTCCATGGAAATAGCAGTTGACTCACAGCACCGCGCCACTTCCCCCTCTTCACTTCGGAGCCCGTTAGTGGGTTCCTTTGCGGGTTGGGGGGGCGCTAAAGGTGCCCACCGAGTCCCATGGTCACAGGCTTCATCCGCCTGTGATTTTTAAAAGGGTCCCCACTTCGCCGTAGCGGAAAAGACCCGTTTCGTGCGGAGCTAGTCCCTCCAGTTCAGAGGGAGTCCGCCATTGCCGATGGCGCCACCCCGGAAGTCCCACAGCGAGCCGTTTCTCTGCAACGCTGCTTTCAGAAACAAACCAAGCAACCAACAGGAGATGCTTCCAATTTGGGATCTTCAGCATGCAACACAGCTGCTCTTGCAATTAATATATCCTCTCCATTAAAGCCCATCCCACAGGCTGTTCCAGCAAGCATGAAAACCCTGTTAATTCACCACCACCCAGCAGGTCCAGTGTAGGGAGAGTGTGGGGATGGGGAACCTCTGGGGCTTTCCAGGGGTTACTGAGCACCAGATTCCATCAGCTCCAGGAGCTGGCATGCCCAGTGGTCAGGGATGATGACGACGGGGGCTGGAGACCAACTATATCTGAAAGACCACAGGTGTTCCCTCATCCCACTTCCACCCTCCATGGTTTTTGGAACAGCTTGGAAGCAGAGAAGGATAACATGGGAGAGAAAACAACTTGTGTGTGCATGCACAAGGTCCAGCCTTCCCTTAACACCTTTTAACTATGCTTCTTTAGGCCTCAGTGATGTGTACAGAAGGGTGCAATAATATATTGTGAAATGTTAACCATTTATAGGAGGCGGATGTCACCGTTAAGGTTTAAATTTTTCTTCCAAGCATTAGCGAAAGAGGGTGGTTTTCCACTGGTAGAGAAGTGAGCCACACCTGCCTTTTAACACCCAAGAGGAATTTGAAGGTTGATTAGAGTTTCATCTGCCCATGATGAGTCAGTCATAAGCAAAGAAAGTATATTTCCCTTTAAAGAGAGAGAGAGAAAGAAAGCAAAAGAGTCCCAGGAAGGAAATCATTAAACAATTCAATTCCAGTATTTGCATTTTTCAAGTATACACACGAATCCTTCAGCCTTTGCAAACCTCATGCCTTCTGGGTGTTTTGCACTACAACTCCCGCCAGCCCTGATAGCCTAAGGACAGGAGGGCACCAAGCTGGTGAAGGCCTGGGACCTAGAATTTGACTGCAAATGGATCAAAAACCCCTGGGCATACCTCTATAGACCAGGGCAACCTTCAAAGGGAGAAATGTTATCACCTAAGTCTTTGGCTGGCTTCCAGGAAGCTTTTTAATATACAACATTCTCTAGATGTGCCCTCTAGATGTTTTCGCCACACTGGCAGAGGCTGATGGGGAGGCCTAGTCCAAACATCTGTTGGGCAGCAGAAGACACACAAATTGTTGCCACTTCAACCACAGAGACAAGCCAGGTTGACAACCTGGGCGCAATACAGTGCAAGGAAATGGGAGTTAGGCACCTCCGAGCCCTCCTGCTCATCTCAAGCAAGCTTGCATCAGGCAGGGGGGGTCTCCCATGAGGCAGCCACCTTGAGCAGGAAGCAGCAAGAGAGGCCCAAGTGACAGAAATTAATCTGCAGCAGCAACCCAGCTCTGCCCCAAACACCCACCCCCTTTGAGTCTCATGGCAACCAGTCCTGTGACGGCACCCAGCAACCACCTGAAAAATTGATGTGCAAGGAGGGTGAGGAGGAGGTGCAAGGAGGGTGGCTTTTACCAGAGCTGTGGACTCAAAGGTCAGCATGGAGGGACCAGAGAGAGATCTAGCAGACACCCTTTTAAGACATGCCTATTAAAAGAGCAACACTGCAGAAGATGGGACAGGAAAACCAAATATTGGCAGGCTAAAACTGGGAGAAGCTAAGTTGGATGGGGCTTGTGGGTTTAATTAAAGACCCCCTACTTCCCCACCTATAGTCTGAACACTGACTTGAAGGTAGCACCACCAGCAGGCCCTTCCTTCCCTGGGACTGGGAGAGCAGAGTCTGCCCCCTCCCCAGCAATTTTCCTGCCTCTCCTTTCTACTTCTATCCCCTTAATTATGTGTGTATGCAGACAGAAGGTCTATTTGTTCTTTTTTGTGGGGGATGAAAAGTCTCCATGAGACAGATATATACAGTTCATATTAGATCAAATATGTGGGTTCTTTAAATGCTACCCAGCAACATGAGGAGGGGGGAATCAAAGCCAGTCCCATAAACAAACTCATAGCTGTCAACTTTTCCCTTTTCTTGCGAGGAATCCTATTCGGAATAAGGGAATTTCCCTTTTAAAAAGGGAAACATTGACAGCTATGAACAAACTCCAAAATCCACCCGTGGATTGTGTGGGAGGGAGGGAGGAAAAATGGGGGGGGGGGGGAGGACAAGGATGATATGTTTTTGGATAATATGTCTTGTTATAATTTTGAATTAAAAAAAATAACATTCATTCTCTGCACAGCCATGATGGACTGGGCTTCATGCAGTATCCTGAAGGGTTTTTTGACAAATGTGCAGACCAAGAGGCGAAAACCAAGAGAAATTTGTCTCTTGCACACATTTTGCTGTGCTTTAAATCCCAGGTGGTGGATACTTGAACAAAGAATGCAGGTGCACCGCACATAACAGAGAAAAAGGGCTCTGAATCATGGCTGCTCAATGAATTTATAAAGCAGGTCTACAGCATCAATCTATTATGATCCATCAGGTTTTGGTACTCATAATAAGCTGCTAGGAGCCAACAAGCACCTACCAGTAACTTTTCTCGGCTGGAACTGACCTCTTTCTGCCCAATTAAGGCTGCGGACCTAGACACAATTATCTAGAAGGAAGCATTACTGGAATCAATGGGAGTCACTTCCGAAGAAGCAGGGTTAAGCTGAGGGTGCAAAGCTATTTTTGCTTTAATCCAATTCTCCTCCTGACACAAGGAAGATCCTAGGCCTAGTCTTTCATGAGATCAGGAGTGGGGAACCCAGTGCACTCTCCCTGCATCAGCCCCAGACAGAAAGATCAGGGGCAGAGAGGATGATGGGAATCGCAGCTTAGCAATGTCTTAAGGGGTCTGCAGGTTCCCTATCCCAGTGTGAGATTTTGCTCTTCCAATTTTCCTTTTAAGCAAACTCTAGGCTTCTATTTTAATAAACCAGCACTACCTGATGCAGGTTGCAACCCTCAATGTCCTAGCAAGAAGGCATCAAAAGTGGGTCCCACTGGGGAGGGCATTGTTTTTGCGCCACATGGACTCCCAACAGGAGAGAGGCAGGCATATGCTTCACTTTGCCTTTTGCAATCAATGCAGCCTGATACATTTCTACTCCGAAATAAATCCTACTGAGTTCCAAAGTATAGGACTGCACTTTAAATGTGTTCAACTTTTGTTGGAACATGCCCCGAAAGAGTGTAGATTTTGCTAAAGGAGATGGATGAAGAACTTGGTTGATGCTCTCAAAACAGCCAAGAATCCTGTGACAATTCAAAGACTTAATAACTTTGTGGCATAATAAACTTCCACAGGCTGAAGCCAGCCACAAGCCTCAACACCCTTTGTTCTGCAGTAAACCAACACAGCTCACCCTTTGGAGATTAGCACTCTGGGATGCTTTCAAATTCAAAGTGTGTTGGTTGGTTTGTTCAAAGGATTTCCATGCCACCTCTTACCCAAAGTCCCAATGCAGCATGTGTTTAAAAAGACACAGCAATTAAGAAAATAAAAATGATTAAGTATGAAAAACATGACCCGTGGAGGTCGATCCATTAAAGCAAATGGCACAGTGTCCCACCATTTCCCCCTTGGGCCTTCACATCTCCATTCTGTCAGCACAGCTGGATGGACGCTTGGGTCTTACTGTAGGGTCTGCATCTTCCCCTGCCCTTCCTCTGGCTAACTTGCTCCCTTGTCTACCTACTAGGCAGTCAGTCCCGGTGAGCTCACAGGGGCTGGCAGGGAAGTCTGTCCAGGCTTGCTGACTTGGGGAAACCTGAGAGGTGGTCTGATGCCCACAAAAACAACTGGCAACCCCCTACAGATTTAGGGGTCATTTGAAACCAGCTTCAAGGCAAGGGGAGGCACCACTTAGAGCAGGTATAGGCAACCTCGCCCGCCAGATGTTTTGGGACTACAACTCCCATGATCCCTAACTAACAGGACTAGTGGTCAGGGATGATGGGAATTGTAGTCCCAAAACATCTGGCAGGCCGAGGTTGCCTATGTCTGACTTAAGAGGCTGAAGCTTCCTCCTCCGCAAGGCAGTGCCTGAAGGATGAGTGAAGGTTTTCTTGGGTCATCTGCTCACCCCAAGGGTTCTGGATTTGTTTTGCTACAACAGGCTCTACAAAAGCAGCTCTGTATCCACTGTCTCAACCACACAGCAGCTGCCACAACTCCTGCAGCTTTGGTGCCCTCTGGAGGCCGGCCACCCTCATGGATTCCTAAGTTCTCTCTCCAAAGCTCCCCCAGATATGCACAACTGTGAGTTCGGCTCACTTTAGCCCAGAGGGGAAGCCAGAATCTGGCTGCATCAGGGTCAGGCCAGAGGGGCCCACCTAGTCCAGATGCCCCCAATCTGGAGAAGCTGAAAAGCAGGATCTGAGAACAACAGCAACACTCTTCCATCTGTAGTTCCCAGCAACTGGCATTCAGCAGCATACTGTTGCTGTTGTTATATTTATTAAATTTGTATACCTCCCTTCATCCAAAGATCCCAGAGCGCTTCACAACAGAAAAATACAAAATGAGAATACAAAACACCACCTCTGGCAGCAGAGGTAGAACATGGCTGTTGTGGGTTGTGGCTGTTGATAGCCTTCTCCATGAATTTGTCTAATCCTCTTTTAAACCATCCAATGTGGCGTAATGGTTAGCGTGTTGGACTACTGGGTGACCATCTATTAGCCTAAGCTACCTCACAGGGTTGTTGTGAGGATGAAATGGGAAGAACCATATGCATCACCTTGAGCTCCTTGGAAGATAAAGTGGTATATAAATTTAATAATAATAAAAAAGGCATGACCTTGCTTAACTATGTAAAGCACTCCTTCCTTCTGGTTTTCTTAAATCTGCCACTGGGTCCTAATGCTATGAGAGAAACTCAATACTATGTGTCATGCGTTATTTTATAAACTTCCCTCACATCACCTCTTACTTTCCTTTTCTCCGCTAAAAAAGCCCAAATGCTGCCACTTTTCTTCACAAGGGAGTTGCTGCATCCCCTTGATCATTCCATTTGCCCTATTCTGACCTTTTCCAACTCCACAACATCCATTTTTAAGTGAGTGAAAACGGCACACGGCATTCCAAGCGTTGTCTTGCCATAGGTCTATTTTATTTTATTTATTTAGGAGTATTTATACCCCGCCTACTGAATAAAGTTCTCGAGGCGGCCTTATGTTAAACTGTTATATTCAAATAGCAATTTAAATGGCAGTGATACAACAGTCACTAGAGCTGAACAGCGTATGCAAGTCCCTGCTCCTCTTTTTCTTTGGCGTCCCAGCCACGTCAGTCCTACGCCGAGCAGGATGTCCTCACTGGGCGGCTGCTGCTGATGTCTCTTCTCACAGTGTGACAGCTGCAGCAAAGAGATCACCTGCCTCCCTCCCAGTTCTTGGCTGTTCCAACAATTGTGGATGTCGTGGTTTGGCGCTGTGCTGCTGGCAGGTTTATATATTCAGCCCCTTTCCTGGTGATCCCTCGCACATGGCTTACGGCATGTTGAATTTTTCAACTTTCAGTCCACATCTCTTTCGCTTCGGAGGGGTTTCTCGGCAGCGCTTGTGCGCCGGGCGGGCTTCCCATCGTGGGGGGCCAAGAAAGGAGCCTCGTCGCGGCCGCGAGGAAGCGCCAGCCTCTCTCCGGCTCAGCCGAGGCGGGTCCCGGGGGGCGGCTTCTCCTCCTGCCGCGGCGGCGGCGGCGTGTCCCGGGCAGGGCCTCCCGCGCGTGGGCCCCCTTGGAAGATGGGCTGGTAGATGTAGATGCCTCCCGCCACGCCGAGCCCGGTGGCCAGGAGCAGCTGCCCGAAGGACAAGCCCCGCCGCCCCAGCATGGCCTGCGCGACGCCTCCCTCGCTCTCCGCGGCTCAGCTCTCCCTCAGGCAGCTGCTCAACCGGTGCGGCTCCAGGCGCCGGAAGTCGCGCGACGGTCGAGGACACGCGCTCCCGCCCCTTCTCGCGAGAAGAGCTGCCGGGAGCCGAGGCGCACATGCGCAAAGGAGGAAGCAGCCGTCGGCGTATGGCCGCGCATGCGCTCCGACGGAGGAGGCTGCCCCCGCCCCCAGGAAGGCGGAAGTGGCCGTCCTGGAGCCGCGCCGGCGTCGCCATGGAAGCCGCGCGGGGGGTCGACGGCAGCGGCGGGAGGCGGACCCTGCCGGTGCGGCTGCGGAAGCGGAAGTCGACGCTGTACAGGCCCGCCCCCTCCGGGACCCTCGCGGGGCGGGGCGCGGGTGAGGAGAGGCCGCGGTCCACCTCGCGGGGCTGTTGTGAGGCCGAAGTAGCCGCGGCCCCCTCGCTGGGAGAGGCCTAAGGAAAGGCTGGATCCTGCGGGCAGGAGGGGGCCTTTCCCGCAGGGGCCGAGCGACGCTTGGGGGCGGTCCGTCCCAGGAGCATGCACGTCCAGGGAGGCTCCCTCCAGCTGCCTTGACCAACACCTGCAGGGCCAGAGGAAGAGGCCACGTCATGCACGAAGCACATTTCCAGCCTCCCTCCCACCCCTTGGGGGACTCTTGGGCCCCTGGGATGTCTGTCCCTCAAAAGGCAGTGAGGAGGCCCCATCCCTTGGGAAGGTCTCCTGCACAAACTCCGTGGGAGGCACGCAAGGCTGCTGTGATACCTATTCAAATCCGTGGCCCTTGTGCAAGAGAACTTCCTGCTGGGTTACAGGATGCTTGAATGGGGGCAGGGAGGACCTTTGCACTTACTGCCTCCTCCAGCACCAAGATGCCTTGGAGATGACAGCGTTGTTGCTGCCACATGGCACCTGACGGGCAGGAGCTGGTGGCTTTGGTGCTTCCCTTTTGTAGATCTGTGGCCAGAGCGAAGCCCTGGTGGCTGGCCAGAGGAAGGCCAGTAGTGCAGAGCAAGGGCAGCTGTGGCATCTTGCTGTGTATGGTCACAGCTGTCTCTCAGCCACTTCCATTCTCCTTTCAAACCATTAAAGGCATGGCTGCTGACAAAAACCTGTTCAAGTCTGGAGACTTTGTCCTTGTCCCCCCTTTGAGGCCACCTGCCCCAGGTCATTGCAGCCTTTCCTGGTTTAGCAAAGGTAGAATTGCTAGTCAGGGTCCCAACAGCTGACCCTTGCTGTGGAGTTCTAGTAAGGAAAATTCCAGGACTCGGGAGCCTGGGGGATTCAGTGCTCACTTAGCTCTTCAGATGTGACTGTAGATTCATCTCTGAAGAGCCTCTTTTGTTTCAGCCTCTTCAAAGAGAAGAAAGACAGTTCTAATTTAGAGAAAAGTCAAGGTCCCCGTCCCCCCACCATCAAGCTTCTGTTTTGCTAAGGTTGTGGTGTAAAAGCCAGTTTTAGAGTTGTCCACAAACTAAGGGATGTTAGAATTCCTGACAAGTCTGTAGAGCACGAGACTCTTAATCTCAGGGACATGGGTTTAAGCCTCACATTGGGCAAAAGACATTGTAGCGGGTTGGACTAGATGATCCTTGTGGTCATTTCAGACTCTGCAATTCTATGATTCTGTGACACTGAGAAATCAATTCACAGCTTTGGAGGCAGGGCAAGAATTGAAATAAGACTCCCAAAAGGTATCCAAGGTTTATTTATTTGCAACTGATTACAACATAACCGCAAAAAACCCACTGTGCATGAGGTTAATCCCATCTGCTTTTTTCCAGCTCTTGTTGGGGAAAACCTTTATCTGTGCTTGTTTACCATCACGGTGAGGCTACTAAACTGCTTCTTAGTCCAGACAAGCTTTGTCCCAGATGAATATTGGCAGTCACTTGAAGTCGCACATCATATGGTTTTCAAATATCCTTTTTTTTATGTAGTGAAATTTTAAGTGAAAGTTTTCCCTAGTTAGGACAGGTCAGAAGTAGATCCCACTGAGCAGAATGAGACTCACTTCAGCATAAAGTCAACATGCTTTGGACTGTCCTGTTGGGCTGCACAACTTGAGAGTAAATCCAAGTTCAGTCCTAGGAGTGGCTTGCTGCCTGCAGTTGCCTAGGGCAGCTACTTTAGTGAAGTGGAAACTCTACCTGTGTGCAGCCTTGAATTCTGTGATTGTGGGATGTAAATTTATCAAGTAAAGGAACATGGCTGTGGTTGAGCTTGTGGCTGGGTTAAGGTAGCCTGTTAGAAGAGGCCTAGGAAGCATCATGTAGGCTGCCTGGAGTGTATAGGATCAGGCTTGGAAGGATTCTTATTTTATCATATTGTCACAACGGGGCCATTTTGAATATCAGTTGTCATGAAGCATTAGGCAGTGCAGAGGCCCCTGAAGCTCAGGTGTGGGGCTTGGATGGTTTCCTTGAAGGCCTATCCATTCCTTTCCCTCTCCCTCCAGCATGCTCAAAGATACAAGGAACTTGAGACGCAAACTGGTAGTGGAAAAGGCTCTTGCCTGCCACTGGAACGTGCCAGCTGGATGACTCTTGACACATCTGAGATGTGGGTTTGGGTGGAACAAGATTCAGTTTTTCAGCAGGTGGGGGTAGTGGTAATTTAGTAATTGTCAAAGGCCCTAAAATATTACATTAGTTGAATTTTGATGAGTTTGTTGGAGGTTGGCCACAGAACACCATGCTCCATGCCTGTTCTTTATGATATCTTTAATTATGATAATTATGGCTATTTGACCTGGGAGTGGACAGAAGGTCTGCGGAGCCATCTCTACCCTCTGCTGTTCGCAAGCATTTATAAAGTGTTGCACCTGCTTAACAAGGATGGTGTTCAGCTGCTGGTGAGTGTGGACTTGGGTGTCATTCAGCTGCTGCCAGAAACACATCAAGCATTTTGCTTTTGTGGCAAGAATTATCTAGTTACGCTAATGCTTCATCCCACAGAAGCATATCTCATGGTGCCTCTGCTGAGGACATGCAGGCAAATACCCAGAGATGGTGGGAGGCGGGTTGGGGATTGTCCATGTTGGGATACTGTCGGGGAGACGGGGAGCTGGCTCCAGCCACTGGCCGGCAGCCGGGCAATCACTGGTCTCCCTTGGAACAGCATCAAACAGCGACACGAGCCTCAGATACGTTTAGAGACTTGGCATGCTCTATTAGCAGAGTGAATACCGGTAAATCTTCTCACAACGGAAGAGGCGGACAGAGCCATGTGTAAGCATTATCTACAGCATTTTATTCAGCATAGTTCAGGAACAAAGGAAAACATGTCTGCTTCCCTTCGTCTCCAGCAAAACAGCAATAGCAAAAGCAATATAAAAAACAGAAGTTCCCAGCAAGTGCTGGAAGTAAACAGGCATGTGACACACAACCTGTTCCCTTTTAAGGTGGAACGGAACTATATCCTAACAGACCAGTGGTAACATGGAGAAGGGTAGGCAGCAACCACCCTCTATTAGCATGGTGGGGGGCAATGATAGGCTGTTGGCCTGCTGTCAGTCTGTCTCTTGCTTTCCTCATCCCCGCTTCTGGCTGCACCATGCAGGATGAGTTGGGATCTGGTAGAGGATTCTCTCAGGCCAAGTGATACCCTTCTCATGCAGTTTTGGGTTTAATAGTGTAAACTGGGAGCAGGAGAGAGCTAGGAGTGAAGAAGCTCTGGCTTTCAACATCCTTGGAAATGTATTTCCAAGAATGGGACCTGGGGTTCTTTGAGTGGGCCTCAGTCATGGGGTCAGGACCAGGAAGGCACTCCTTTGTTCCAAGATCTGAGTCTTGGGGCCAGTTCACTGCCATTCAGCAAAAGGCTCAATAGCTTCAGCAGATTTGTGTGGCCTCTTTATCCTTAGCCACTTTTGAAACACTTTTATTGCTGGTGTCCATGGGAAGGAAAGTGTGAGTTTACATTGTGCATAAGGCACACAGGCCACATTACAGCAACAACTGAGGAAAGAAGGAAGAAAACAGAAACCTAAAGTTTGTGTAGATTTGAAAGCGTTGTCTTCCTAACTGGAGCTTGTGTGTTCCATCATCAAGCACATTAATGTTATCTATGCATGAGTGATCCCTCCTCATACAGGAATGACTTGTGCTCCTCCTACCCTAACAGATCTGGCTCCCTAGAATTGCACAGGCTCTTCTGGCTGCACTGGCAGACGTGGTGTTGTACTCCTTGGTGAAGCGACTGGATGGCGCAGAGGTGGCCAAGTGGGTGGTGAGTCCCTGTCTGCCTTCCTCTTTCTTGGGCTTCCGGCTGGGGGGGGTGATGAGCGCCTGGTCCTTTGTCTTGCCTTGTGACCCTTCTTTCCCTCATCCCACACCAGCTCTTCTTCTTCTCCTCCCACCTTGTTTCCAGTACTTCTGCCAGTTGTGTTCCTGGTTCACGTGGTACTGTTGTACCAGAACGCTCACCAACACCATGGAAGCCGTTCTCACCATTTTCGCTCTTTACTACTATCCCCTGGAAGGCACCAGGACAAAGAGGAGCAGGTGAGAACACCTATGGATATCTTTAATAGCCATTAAAGGGGCTGGGGCAGACCCCTGATGCTTGATTAAAATGTTTATAATGGTAGGTTTGGGGAAATGTCACACCCTTGTTGAACTTCCTTATGCTTGGCTTTCCCCTCACGCAACATATTTCCATCGCCAGCTTAGCTATTTCTTTGTATGTAAATGGGGGTCATCCAGTAATCAAGCATTCTTTTCGCCATTCAAGCAAAAACACCCTTTCCCAAGAGCCTTGTCCTTCTTTTCAAATGTGTTGTTTCCTGACAGGCAAAGGAATGGGTTTGGTTTCAGGCGTTGCCCAGCTCCAGATTAGCAGGGCTGTGTGATCATCTGTATGGAGAAATGCAAAAGCTCTCACATCTGTCTGTCTGCCTCTCTTCCTTGTTGGCAACATTTTCCTTTTCTCAAGACATGTTATATAAAAGGCTGCAGTCCTCCACCCACTTACCCAATTATACGCAGCAGGGCTGCCTTCCGAGGTATCCCCATCATAGCTGTCAATGTTTCCCTTTTTTTAAGGGAAATTCCCTTATTCTGAATAGGATTCCTTGCAAGAAAAGGGAAAATTTGACAGCTATGATCCCCATAGCTGTGAAACAGTAAGGCTGCAACCCCCCTCCTCATCCCCCCCCCCCCATGGCCAGGCTCCCACACCAGCCTGGCTGGCTTTGCTGAAGCTGCCCCCAATGTTCCTGCCCTCACCGCCGCCTCTTCTTTCCAGCATCCCTTACTTGACCCTGGTTGCTCTTTCGTTTGTGATTCGCCCAACCGCTCTCATTCTGTGGGTGCCTTTGCTGCTCCGGCACTTCTGGAAGGAGCCCCAGAAGCGGCACCTCATCCTGCACAGCTGCCTCCCAGTGGGGTAAGGGCGTCTCTTCTGAATCTAGGCCTGGGTGAGTGCCCCAAATAGCAGGAGCAGAGCCAGGCCACAGATGCTGTGCAGAGCAGCTGGCCCAGCTTGCTTGCCTGGAGAAGGACTGTTCCTCCGGCCAGGAGAGGCAGCTCCCACTTTGGGCAGTGTGGAGAAGGCCCCTGAATCAGTGCCAAGAGCAGGTGGGAGCCAGACTCTTCCTGGGAGCTGAATTTGCCTGCTTCCCAAGGGGGACTCCAGGGAAGAGGGTTGCCGGGTGCAGCCCAGCAGGTCCCTCTTTTCTCCAGTGTGTTCTTTCTTGACAGATTGATCATTCTGGGATCCTCTTTAATTACTGACCGAGTATTTTTTGGCAAGGTAAGTTGGCATTCACCCAGCATTCTGAGATCAGTTAAAGTGAGTTCTCCTATAGATGGTGCCACAGACTTTCCCTAACCAGATGCCACTGCTTCCTGTGGTTGTTGCCATTCTTGCAGAGGGCTTGGATGAGGGAATGCATTTCCCCTTCCTGCTTGAGTATTGCAGCCAGATTCCAGAAGAGCTGCAATGCACCAGCCAGGGGAGTTTCACGTCTGTCTTCACCCTCCCCCCCCCCATTGCCACTCCACCTGGCAGCTCCTCTCCCTCAGCTCCATGAGGCACATCAGCGCTTGTGGGAACAGGGCTGGACTGTGCAGTTGCCAGCCGTGGCCAGGGTGGCTCAGGCAAAGAGAAACTAGTGCTGAGAGTGTGATCCTGGCTTTGAGATTTGTTTATTTAACCTGCTGGGCTGCTTTTTAACTAATGCATTTGTTGAGCTGTCAGATAGGAAACTCATGGTGGGGCAATTTGCCCGGCTGGAAAGTGCCAGGCTGAAGTTTCCCAGCCAGAGAAAGATCAGGGTTCCCCTGTGCTCTTTGCCAGTCTCTGCTCTTGTGGAGGAAAGAGCAGAATTGGAGAGCAGCGCTTGTGGCATGCTCTCCTTCCCTGACTTGAAATGAGAAAAGCCAGAGAACTGCAAGGGAAAGCAGCAGCTGGGCGGGCAGGGGAAATTCCCCCCTTGGCTACTTGCTGAAGAGTAGAGCTGGGCGGGGGTGGCTTTTACATCTGGCTGTTTGCCCTCTGCCCAGTTGTCCTCTGGTATAGCTGCTGACACCATGCCAACAAGGGCATCCAGGTGATTGCCTGGACTGTGGGCATTTCCTCTCATCTCCTCCTCTCTCTCTTTCTCTCTTTCCTTTAGGAGCGCCAAATGAATAAGCAACTTAAAGCAGTTCAGTAATCCAGCCTTGAACACAAGCGCTCAGACTTTAGTAGGTTGCACTTTCTTTTTTTTGCCAGCAAACAGGCAAAAGAGGGATGGGTATCCCGTCCCCATCTCCACCAGCCCACGCCCCGTCCTCTTTGGAGAGTTCTGGCAATTATCAGTGACAGGGATAGTTAAGAGATGCTTAGGCTGTGTTGATGGATTTGGTGCTCCAGATTCCAATTCCCTTGGAAGTGGGGCATGTTGAGGAAGCCATCCTAAGCTTACAAAAGCATTGTCAGGACAAATACACCACTCCTCTCACAGTTCTCTTGTTATAAAGCCCGTCTTGTTTGCTTGCTGCTTCTTTGCTCCTGCAGTGGGTCCTGGTTCAACTGAACTTTTTGAAGTTTAACGTGCTACAGAATGTGGCCACCTTCTACGGATCCCATCCATGGCACTGGTACTTCACCCAGGGCTTCCTTGTGGTCCTTGGCCCTCACCTCCCCTTCTTTCTCCATGGCTGCTTCCAAGCATCAAAGAGGCATGGCATATTCCTGGTGGTGGTGCTGTGGACGGTGGCTATTTACAGGTAGGCTTCCTTCCACGCCACAGAACTCTGTGCCAGGTATTTCCTCCTTCAGATTTGTTGGCTAGTTTGCTTAGGGTGCTTCTAACGCTGCCTTCCTGCCAATGTGCCAGAAGAGCCAGCTCACTGTTTAAAATCCAATAGGAAGAAAATGTGGGTTCCATTTCTCGTACAGAGTTCAGCAGTTGGTGTTCTGGTGGATTGGTGGTGGGAGGGACAGAGCAAAATGGTAGCCACTCTTGCCTCTCCTTCTTATGGAGCCAGATGGGGTAGCTTTTATGATGGCATGTTGGGAGCCCCACTTGCTCTGGAAAAGTTTGATTCCAGCTGCAGCTGGTGACCAGAGCCCTTGGTTCCGACTGCTGGGCTGGCTCTGTTCCTCCTTGTGCTGGGGGATGGGAGGGGAGAGCTAGTCTTTCCTCCTGGGGTGGTCATTCAGCCCAGAAGGAAAAATGCAGTCCACCCTCCCAGGTGAAGTCTGCAAGGCGTGGGATGCATAACCACTCTATCTGCACCTTGTGGAGCAGGGCTGCCTGAGTTTTCTGGCCAGCTCTGGGCCCGGCTGCTGCCTTCACCCAGGAGAGTGGGCTCCATCTTTCCTCCTGGGGTGAACGACCACCCTGGGAGGAAAGACGCAGTTCACCCTCCCGGACATATGAAAGCAGGGCTGCCTCCACCCCAGCACCAGCATCAGGCAGCCTCTGCACCACTCTGCAAGGTGTGGGGTGCAGAGCCACCCTATCTGCGCTTTGTCTCTGCACTGCCTGTCTGAACCCGCCTGACCCCTATGCCAAGGCAGTGGCAGATGAGGCAAGCGTCCGGGGGCCTGACTCAGCCACCGCCGCCACCTTGGCAGGTCGGGAGGGGGGAGTCCTAACGGAGTCCGCACCCTGGCGCCGGCTTGCAAGCAGCAGGATTGGGGTTCTCAGCTGGGGAGGGGAGCACTTTTATGGAGCCCCCACCTTGGCGGCAGGCTCCTCCATCACAGCTCAAGGGAGCCTTTGGATTGGGCTGTGGCCCCATCAGCTGGCTGCTTCTGTGACATGGGAGGACCTTTGGCAGATTTTTCTGCACTAAGGATGATTTCCTAAGGGAAGAGGCCTGGGCTTGGGAAGATCCCTAGGCGAACCTTCCATTTACACCTTCTTCCTGTTGTGTTACAGCACCCTGAGCCACAAAGAATTCCGCTTTATCTACCCAGTGCTCCCAATCTGCATGGTGTTCTGTGGTAAAAAATTTAATTTTAAACACATTATGATGTTTCTGTGTGCTGTTTCATAGAATCATAGAATTGCAGAGCTGGAACGTACCCGGGGGGTCATCTAGTACCACCCCCTGCAATGCAGGAATCTCAAATAGATCATACAGTAAATGTACAACAAATAATACATGACAGACAGCCATCCAATCCCTGCTTTAAAAAACTCCAAGTTGGGCGAGTCCACCACTTCTCCTGGAAGTCGCTTCCACTGCCAAACAGCTCTCTCTTTCTGAAAGTTCTTCCTGATATTTAGTTGAAATCTCCTCTCTTGTAACTTGAAGCCACTGGTTCAGGTCTTCCCTCTGGAATAGGAGAAAACAAGTTTGCTCCATGTGACAGCCCATTTGAAGGTGGCCATCTTAGCTCCTCTCAGTTTCCTCTTTACCAGGCTAAACATACCCAACTCCCTCAACCGTTCCCCAGCTTTGGTTTCCAGAACCTTTATCATCTTTGTTGCCTTCTTCTGCACACATTTCAGCTTGTCAATATCCTTTTTTAATTGTGGTGCCCAGAACTGGACACCATATTCCAGGTGTGGTCTGACCAAGACAGAATAGAGTGGTACTATTATTTCCATTCATCTGGACACTTTACTTCTGTTGATGCAGCCTAATATAGCATTAGCAGTTTTTGCTGCTACATCACACTGATTCTAGATTGTATTTGTGCAGTTGGTTCTTCCTGCCTGCATATAACCTTACATTTGTCCCGTTTGGTCGATATATTTGGGTTCTTGGTGTTGTTAAATGTTCACTCTAAAGGAAAAACTTGCTGTTGTGGAAGTTTTAGTGCCAAAATGTGTCTCATCTTTGAGAAGTTTGAAATACTGCTTCCTTCTTCTAGGGGGAATGAGCATCTTAAATGGTTTGATACAGAGATTGTGTGTGTCAGTGCAGGAAAAAATGCTGCCATTGTGTCCAAATTGGCTAACATCCATCAAAAGAGCGTACCTGAAAAAGCAAACTGTCCAATAGTGACACATTATTTCACTCCCAGTGATTAATAAGTACATCTTCTACATACAATGTTGTTGTTTTTTTAAAAAAAGCTTCAGCTGTGGCTTCTGGCAGGTTTAGTGCTTGGGCTCTTTCCGAGGCAGGAATGAAAGTAAAGTCTGGGCAGTCTTTATAGAAGTAGCTCTCAGACATTTGATGGGAGGGAGGGAGGCCAAGCTGAAGGGGAGGTTGAATGATGAGAAGCCTCAGGGCTGAGCCAAAGGAGGAAGGGTCTTTGAAGGGGAAGCTTTAGGTGTTAGGAAAGCCCCACCACGCTGCTGTTTGGAAGTCTCTGGAACTGCTCAGGTCCCTGATCTCAAGGACCCTAGATTCATCCGCTCCATTTTCTGCTCCCTTCCCCCTCCTCCCTGTAGGGCATTCTCTTAAGCAGCTGAAAAGGTGGCAGCGGGCAGCAGCCGTCTCCTTCCTGCTGGTGACAAACTTGCTGCCTGCCCTCTACACTGGCTTGGTCCATCAGCGTGGAACCCTGGATGTCATGGGCCACCTGCAAAGCCTCTGCAGCGCTCCTGCTGACTCTGCAGAGCAGCCGGCATCCGTCTTCATGCTCATGCCCTGCCATTCAACTCCTTTTTATAGGTAAGACCCAGCAGGGGGTGTATGCGTGTGAGGTTCTGGTGGCACTCTGCATGGGAATCTGCAGCTTTTCTGCTCTTTTACTGCCAGAGCAATTCAGAGGAGGCAGGAGAAGGTGAATCCAAGGTGGAGGAACCACATCAAAAGCCCTCCTGCGATCACACTGGGAGGGCAAAAAGCACTGGGGAAGGGGAGCTGCCGTTTCCCTCCCGCCTCTTTCTTTGGCCTTTTTCCTTTCTGTTGATCTCAGCTCCAGGATTAGCATACTTCCATCTCCTTCTGGATTATGTCAGGGGAACAGAAAGGCTTTGGATTTGGCAAAGCCACCCCCAGAATGTCACTTTTCTGCTGAAAGGGACAGCTGCGGAGATTTTGTGGCTGCAATGATCCTCTGTGGGGCAACCTCCTGACCTGGCCTTTGGAACAGCCTGCCAGCGACAATTGATAGGATTGTCCTCTAAATAGTTTATGCTGGATTGACGCTGATGTAATCAGCCTTGGAATAAGTTTCTCCTTAAACTGATTCATTATTAGTCTACACCTCTGTGCTATACTTTTTGTAACAGCAGCAGCCTTTGTGGGCTTAATTGTGTCTTTCTGGCTGGATCAGCAGCTGTTGCTGGAACTGATGCAAAGAGCTTGAGATAGAGAACCCAGAACCCTGTATCTGTGTAACACTTTGCCCAAGCACTTGAAGCCAGTTTCACACTTGAGGGGACCCTGGAAGTTGTGCCCCTATTGAGATTGTAGGAACCTTGACTGTACCCTAAACGGCCTCGGTCCTGTATACCAGAAGGAGCGTCTCCACCCCCATCGTTCAGCCCGGACACTGAGATCCAGCGCCGAGGGCCTTCTGGTGGTTCCCTCATTGCGAGAAGTGAGGTTACAGGGAACCAGACAGAGGGCCTTCTCGGCAGTGGTACCTGCCCTGTGGAACACCCTCCCTTCAGATGTGAAGGAAATAAGCAGCTATCTTATCTTTAAAAGACATCTGAAGGCAGCCCTGTTCAGGGAAGTTTTTAATAATTAACGCTGTACTGTTTTTAACACTTGATTGGGAGCCGCACAGAGTGTGGCTGGGGAATTATTATTATTATTATTATTATTATTATTATTATTATTATAGCTGTTGAGCCATTTCCCCATCTTTGCACCTGTAAAGTCAGTGCCACTTTCAATTCCAAAGCACAGGAAGTCTCCACTGCCTCACGCTTTGTCTTCACCAGGTGACATGGGGACTATCTGCAGCAGTCTGTGGAAAAGACACCTTCAGCCCTTTCCACCCATCCTGCAGGTCCCATTTTTGCTGTGCCTCTCAACTGATAACACACACAGACACTGTGGATCAGCACGTGGAAAAGAAGCGCTGCCAACACTTGCTAATGCAAAATAGCCTCAGCCATTTGTATTAATGCCTGCTTCTCTCTCCCCCCCCCCCTTTCTAGCCATGTTCATTGCCCACTACCTTTGAGGTTTCTTCAGTGCCCCCCTGATTTGACCGGAAGGGCAAATTACCTTGATGAAGCCGACTTATTTTATGCAGACCCTCTCAGCTGGCTCAGTGAAACGTTTTCCAATGTTACGCTGCTACCCACACATTTGGTGTTCTTCAGTGTTCTTGAGCAGGTAAGGGAAGCGCAGAAGAATCCCAGTCTCATTGTTTTCAGTGGGGCATCGAGCAAACCCCTATTGGCATCTTCATCAAGGAGATGAACGAGATGATTACAGAGGGTGTAAGCAACTGGTTTTATTGTTGTTTTGAAATTGTGACCCACCCGGGGACTTTGGGGTAGAGGATGGGAAATGAATGCTGCATAGCCCAAAAGGTCCCAGAAAGCAGGGGATGGGGAGGGAGGAGCATACACGTATTTAAGAAGATAAAAGAGTTTACTGGATGAGACCAACTGTCTGCGTCTCTCATTGCTCCCTCTGAAGTTGGGGGTTCATATTCCTTCCATGACTGAATTGATAGGCTTCATTCTCATCCTCTGTGCCACTAAAGCTAACAGACATCACCTCACCTTGGAAGTTACTTCCACCCGTGAACTCCACACTGTAAGGAAGGGTTCACATTTTGGGTTGTCCACAGTTCTCTTTGATCCAGCTAATTTTTCCTCTTGTGATACCGTTGAAAATAAACTATCAGAAAATGGTGCCACAAAACGTGTTCCATGTGGAGAAATTCAGAGCACCTGAACTGGTCAGGCCATAGCAAGGATAGTCAGTGTGGTGGTGCCTGCGATGGCGTGTGTGTATGTGTGTGTGTGTTCACGCACTCTTCTGGGATGAACTATAGTCCTGCTCTATGGCAGCCATTTTGTGACTGGTGCCTGTTGCACTGTCTCAAAATAAAAAAACAAATGTGTACTGGTCCAAAAAGGTTGGCAACCTTTACGGCAATGAATACAGATGATGGATTTGTGCTCTTTCCACTTTTATGAAAATACAAGTTGTTAGTGGCTGATGAGTTACTCAACAAAATTAGGTTGAAAATTTAACTTCCTAGCAATATACAATTCTACAGTGCTCCTTCCCCTCCCCTCCCCCCGATCTTCAAAATAAATGGTGGAAAAATGAATGTGGCCAGCATAATGATGGTTCTTCCTCAATTCTTGTTTGCTGGACCCTGATGTTTGGTCCAGACCTGTTACTTGAATATTGAATTTTTTACTTCTAGGATATATCATCATTTCTAGTTACAAATAGGTATGAAAAAGTTGCCACGTTTTTTCACACTCATCTGCCTCAAGGACGGATCGGGAGCTCCATTCATGTCTACAAAAGAAATCAAAAGCGCCTTTGAAGATGGTCTCAGTCCAGACAACAAATGCAGGAACGTAACTATATCTTGTTCAAAGATCACCGCATGGGTCTGTGTTTCACATGAGATATAGTTAATAGGACAGTCCTCTTCGCTTAGCAGTAAATCTTGCTGAGTTAATGGAACTCTGATTGCAGCCTGGACCATTTTTCATTGCGGGTGTAGAGAAGACACACTTCAGCATGGACAGCATGCACAAGATAACAGAAGAGTGGCCTTAACAAAGGCTTTGAGTCCTTCTCTGAGGATGTTTAGCTATGCAAACTTATAAAAATAAAAGTAACTTTTTCCAACCACATCTTTATTTTTCTTCTACAATTTGCAGATGCACAAGAAATTTCAAATGCAAGTCAGCAAGCTGATCGGAAAATAGCACACACATGAAGTCAACAGGTTCCAACCCCATCACAAGAACAAATAGACAGTTGTAAAACAGACATGCTTCTGAACCGTATGAGATGAAATTAGTACATCATATTATTACTCTAACATTAAGTCTGAATCAAGTATGAATTCTAGTACCAACCAGTGCAAAGAAGCTTATTTTGCAAACACACACAAGCTACTGCTTACCCTGCTTAATTTATTGCAATAGTAGGACTGCACCCAAATTAATGTTTCCCAAGAGGCTGAAAGGAAAGGAGAAAGATGGAGAAGCTGGGCTGATCTTTGCAGGGGAGAGGGAGTGTCATTAGGAAAGGGGAAACGTGCCCTCGATTGCTCTGCTGATTCAGCCAGCTGCAGAAATAGCCACGCGTCCACTATTTTTACCATCCTGCTGGGTTCCATCGGACAACAGCTGTTTAATACTTTGGATCAAAGGGCATCTGGCCCAATTCTATCTCCAAATTTGCCATGTGTCTTCCGTTGCTGCGCCCTTGCTTGTGCCACCGGCCTTCTCTTTTGTAGCGATGCTGGTGCTTTGCAGCATGTCTGTCCTGCTGTGGACTATGAGGGTGCGTGAAAGGAGCCCGCCTAGCAGGGTGGCTGAAAGGAAAGTACAGGAGGGAAGTTAGGGCTGCATGAGCACCTCAGTATTAGGCCTTAAGCCCAATGCCCCAAACGTTTTAACTCCTCTGAAAGGCTACAACCAACTTTGTTATTTAAAATAAGCAAAGTGGATACGGCAAGTGGGTGGAATGGAATTCCTTCCGTTCCTTTTGACACACGCTGCCACTTTGCTACGTTAGAAATTCTGTACTGTGGTGCTTAATGTACAATGGAACTGGTGCCTTTATCTGAGGATGGCATAATCACCCCTCTTTATGGAGGCTTTCTTTGTCTGCCCAGCAGCAACTGCAAAGCTCAAACAAACAGGGAAATAACCTGCTAGGTCAGCCAGCTGAAGCGTTCCTTCTTTCACAACTCAAACATGCCCAGTTTAAATTATTAGCAGAATTTTAGTACTAACCTTGGTCCGTGCTCAGGCAAGTGATCATAATGAAAGTAGTATCGGTAGATATATTTATCCAGGTCTTCAAATACACCATCGCTGTTCCTCTGGTATTCTTTTATGTCTTCAAGGTAATCCTTAACGTCATTAACAAAGTCCGTGAACAGCATCTGATCATGTATAAAGACGCCATTGCGGAAAAACCTATTCACAAAGATCTCCAGTTCTCGCCAGTGGTGGAAGTTCTTTACTTCTTGCTGCAAATATTTGTGCATTAATTGATTAAATTCATCTGCCCGAATCGGGTCCAAGTCTTTGTCGAAGAGGTTTAAAAACTCCTGGTGGGCACAGTCAAAGATGCCTGAACATCCCTTGAGAACAAGAGGGCGGTGCTTTCTGTTACCTTTGGGGCATTCCTGGAAGGGAGGGTCCTTGGAGAAGTGTGGAGGGGAACGGCTCTCTTTGGATCGCCTTCCATCTCTAAACTCTCTCTGGCTGCCAGGTGAGCGGTGGGCCGCCTGCTTGTGTAACCCTTCCTGGGAGCTGCCTGTTTTCCCTTTTCTGTTCGCCTCATGCCTGCTGTCACTGTACTTTTTCTTCTCCTTCTCATCAAATATATTCTTTGTTGTGTCCTTAAAGTGCCTGAAGGTGGACTTCACAGAATCGGAGAATTTCCTCAAGTTCTCTTTCACGGCTTCTTTGGCCTGTTTAATTTTTTCTTTGTGATGCCTTACAAATTCCTTGGTTGAATTTTTCATGGCGTCAAAGGTTTCTTTCACAGAACCAAAAAATGTTCCTTTTGGCTTCTTTTTGGCTTTGTTGGTTCCCTTCCCATCTGGCTTCTGTGGCCTCTCGGTCTGCTCTTTCTTCTCGGCGTGGTCCTTGACTTCAACATACAGCTTTTCCCACAAGTCAGAACGCTGCTGCTCAAAGCTCAGCTTCTGCTCCAGCTCAGTCAGCCTTCCCCGCAAAGCTTCTATTTCTTGGCTCTCATCGCCAGCACCCGCCCCCTCAGGAGACGCCTGCTGAGAACTTAACTTGTCCAGTTCTTCCCTGAGAGCCACCGTCAGCTGGCGCTCTTTGTCCAGTTCCCTTCGCAGCATCTGGGCCTCTGCCAACAGAGTCTCCTTTTGCTTCACAAAACTCTGCATGCGGTGCCTTTCTTCCTCCAGGTGGGCTTTCAGCTTCTGATTCTCGGTGGCAACCAACTCTGGGCCAGAACCTTTGTTCTCCAGGTGCCGAATCTGCTCTCTCAGCTTCCTCAGTTCTTCTTGCAGCAATGCCAAAGCTTTTTCCTCCCTCTCTAGAGATTCTCTCAGGTGCTGGTTTTCTGAAGCAAGATGATGCTTCTGAGATTCAAAGGATTTCTTTTCCACTTCTGTTGTATGCAAGCATGTTTCAAGGCCTTCCTTTAGAGACTGATCAGAGACAAAATGAAAGCAAACACATCAGCTGCTGTGTGCCAGTGTCCAAATGCTGCAAGAACATTGGGAGGGTGGAGGAGGACAGCTAAGCAGAACCCAACCTACTGATGGATAAGAAGGGCTAGTAAGGAGCTTCTGTGACACTTGCTCTAGGGGCAAGGGGAACAGGCCGTGCAGAGTTGTACATTCCCCCACAAAGCCTGCAGAGTCTCCTCCACTTTTGATAGAAAACCTCGCAAACGCTGCCTGGGAGTGGTGTGTTTAGGGGCCAGCTGTCCACAGCAAGGTGCGTGGCTGCAGCTCCAGAAGGAGGAGGGGAGCCATGGAGCCTGCATGGGCCAAGCACAGAGGAAGCTGAGGCTGAATATGCTTCCGGGAAGAAAGCGCTCAAGGCAAGGACAGTGGCAATTGGGACTACCTAGCCCTTGCTACAGAATAATTTGCTGACCCACTCTAAAAGCTTCAAGATGCAGATACAATGGCATCTTCTCCTACCCTCTGTGGTTGACACTGAACCAGTTCAAAATTATCTGCTATGCCAAGAATGGATTTTGCCATGCCTTCATCTAGAAGACAGCTTCCAACACTTGCAATAGTAATGACAGCAGAGTTTCCCAATGGAGGTGGAGTTTGCAAGCCAAAGGCAAAATAGCATCCTCGCTTTCAAGTATGATGGGAAAGCCACCTTTACCTTACATTCTGCTTTCATGCCTTGTTCTTGTTGGCACTGAATAAGATTATCCTTTATACCATTCAGTTCGTCTTCATGAGTTTTCTCAACCAATTGCTGGCGTTTTTGGATCTGAACAGTACCTTGAAACAGAAAATTTTCTCTTTTATCTGACAAGAAAAATTGGAAATTAGGCAGCTTATCAGTGATGATGGCTTTTTTCTCTTCAGTCCTTCATAAGTACATTAATCAGTGAACAGTGTAGTTTAAAACGGTCACCTTTTTAATTGTTTGCAACAGCTATGCTAGACTTTTGCATTAACAAAATAAGGCATGAACGCTATGCTGATGAAAGCAAGCTAAGCTCAGTGGCAAAGACACTGATCCATCATTAAATGAACAGACTGATGGGGCTCAGAACACTCACAAAGCCCCAGTGTATCCCTGTGCACAGCTGCACATCAACCTGTATTATCAAAACAGCAAAATCAGAGGGGCAAATCCAGGTCAGGCCTCCTTAGAACATCTATTACAATAGCAGCATCAATTTGGACAAAGAAAGCCTGTAACATACATTCCTCTCTGAGAAGGTGAAATGTATGAAGTACTACGATCAGTACAAATAACATGAAAACAACTACATGCAAATCTATATCATGCAATATCATGTCACAAATTCTCACTCAGTGACATGAGAGCAGGGCAAGGGAAGCTGGTGCCCTCTAGATGTTGCTGAACACCAAGAGCCAGCATGCCAGTGGTTGGAATCAGCCAGAGGACCACAAATCCTCCCCAGGCCTGTGTTAGTGACTAAGGAGGAGAGCAGAGGAGGCTGCTTCAAAGTCCTGTCTTCTGAGCACAAACCAACTGCAAACAATGAAGGGCAGGTCCACCCAGGAGGGGGAAGGACCCTGGCCTTAAGCATCATGGAAAAGGTACAAGGGGTGGCAGCAACAGGATGCTTGGAATCCACACAAGCCCGTAGAAATTTTTTGTTAAGTGCCTGAGCACAAACTACTGGCCCAGCAGACACATTTACCTTCTCAAGAAGCAAAAGGCTAATTTGATTCTCCTATACAAGCAGCACACAAACACTTCCCATCCAGGAATTCCAGTGTTGACATCAAAATGTGCATGCTACCACCAAAGAACCAGAAAGTCATGAAAAAATGTTTCCCAATGTAGGAGCTGGACTGAATAGCCCAAGTCCAAGAGCCTGCAATGATGGCCCCCAGTGGAAAACAAGGTTAATCTGCTAGAGCAGGGGTCAGCAACCTTTTTCAGCCGTGGGCCAGTCCACCACCATGTGGTGGCTGGACTATATTTTGGGGGGGAAATGAACGAATTTCTGTGCAACAGAAATAACCCAGAGATGGTGATTGGGCCGCATCCGGCCCACGGGCCTTAGGTTGCCTACCCCTGTGCTAGAGCATCCACAGTCAAAAAGCATGTCAGAGTGAGAAGGTGAGAGAAAAGGCCGTTGGCCTCTGTTTCACAGCAACACATTCCAACCAAGCCTCTTACCTTCATATTTCCCTGAGGACAAAATAATGGATAGGTGTTAAGTTTTGCTCCAAGGTTGTTCTACTAAATGCTTTATAACTCAGTCAAGAATCTTTAGTCTCTTTTTACACACCATTAAAAATGGTATTACTAGAACAGAACATCAGGAATCTGGGTCATCAACTAAAGGAGTTTTGCACACAGGACTTTTTCTATTTTAGATGACTGGTTACTATGGTTGGGATAAACAGCAGAAACCACAAAACACAGGCAGGGGATCAGTGACTGGATTTTATAACTAAATTTCAAACTCACACACACACAAAGCAAGAGTGTGTCAGTGGAATGGGCCAAATCACAAGTCATCCATCCTGCCTAGGAGCCTCAGTTAACTGAGACGTCTCCCTCAGCTTGCAGACAGGGAGGCAGGGAGAACATGCACACACACACTCCAGCTGTAAGAATCACATCACTTTTCATCTATATTGTCAGTCTCTGTTATATCCCACTTTCCCACCCAGCAGCTGAGGACAATGTGCAAGAGAATTTCCCCACAAGGACCCTGCAAGTTAGGCGACTGGCCTGAAGGCACAACCTGGGCACTTGCAAGTCCAAGTAGGGATTTTTGCTTGATAAGATGTGAATGTACCATATTTTTCGCCCTATAGGGCGCACTGGCCCATAGGGCGCACCTAGTTTTGGGGGGGGGGGGATAAAGAAAAAATATATATTTCCCCCCCAGGCGTGGGGCTGGGGCAGGGGAAGCCCGAGCTTCCCCCGACCCCAGAACAGGCTGCTATCCGCAAGCCTTGGGAGCCCGGCGGGAACTCCTGCAGGCTCCCCAGGCTTGCAGATATCTGCCTGAAGCCCGGGCGCTTCTCAGCACGCCACAGGCTTCGGGATGCAGGCTGCTATCCGCAAGCCTAGGGAGCCTGGTGGGAACTCCCGCGGGCTCCCACGGCTAGCTTCCTGAAGCCTGGAGAGCGAGAGGGGTCGGTGCGCACCAACCCCTCTCACTCTCCAGGCTTCAGCGAAAGCCTGCATTCGCCCCATAGGATGCACACACATTTCCCCTTCATTTTTGGAGGGGAAAAAGTGCATCCTATAGGGCGAAAAATATGGTAAATGTCCTCAAACTAAGTTCCACATGCCGACAACTCTCTTAACTGCTTTGAAGTCCTGACAATCATTGCGATGTCAGGTGTGTGGGGCTGCCCACTTCTCAAATTTGGCCTGCAGGGGATAGGGCAAGTAAGGATCTGGTCTTTACGGCACCCTGTGAGGAAATGCCACTGGTTTAAAAACGTATTTCTTATTAGTTCAATGAAGAGGATTCATGTACTCACCATAAAAATGCCCGAAGCCCATGCTGACTGCAATCACCAATGCCAGGATAATGCACCTGTTAAGGCCACTACTGAACTGATGTTTGTGCGAATGCTCTTTGGCCTGTTCAGTCTCCTGTTCGAGAGGTGGCACATCCTCTGATTCAGAACTTGAGACCAACTTCTTCTTCGCACGTCGTCGCCTCAGGGTGGGGCTGGAACGATTGCTGGTTTCGTCGCTGCTTGATTCTTCGCCACTGGGACGAGGCAGAAAGACTGAAAAGCAAACCCACAATCCTTTATGCTGTCAGCAAGGAATGTGCAGCCTTCTATCCTGACACATGGAATATTGTTCTCTCCATCCTAGGAGAAGATTGGAGCCTGCTAAGGTGTGTCCCTTGTGGCAGGGCAGGAGCTTCCCCTTCAGCCATGTCCTCACCCACAGACTGCTAGTTCTGAGCAAACCCTCTTCTTTCCCACAGCTGTGTACAGAGAATGACATCCTTGTTCCCTCTCAGAGAGGCGAGAAAATATTTATAGAAATACCATTATATTTCTTAAAGGTGTTGGGGTCTTTAAAATTCTGACAAAACTTGGCTTTGGGGTTTCTGAAAAAGCAGAAACCCAGAACCAGGAGGAATCTTCTTGCCCCCATCCACCCCTGGGGCTCTGCTTTGCCAGCAGTGTGGGGCTCAGTTGTTGTGCTCAAGTAACCAAGAACTTGGCTTCACTGTAGGTTCCTTCTTGCAGTGATCAGTAGATTAACAGCTGGATCATGTGGGTTGAGTCCTGGGAGGAAGGGTGTGCGTGCATTTTTAGAAGTAGGGGGGCCTGCCTAAATGGCCTTTTTATCCATTCCATCTACATTGCAACTGAAAACATCATACATGCCCCAACGCAAATGCACACATCTGTCCAAACAGGATTGTAAGGTAAAGATTGGCTCATGCCAAGGCCACATGGCCTCAGATCATGGGGGGGGGGCACCCACTATGAGAAACCAGTGACAGGATGGACATTCAGGTGGCCATGGAGGAAATGGAAGGGGTTACTGCGGCTGAAGGACCAGAAATAGCCCTCCTCCCTGCTGACAACCCAAAGGGCTTTCCCCCTAGTAACTTACAAGTTTAAGATACCTGCCAGTTCTAAGGCAGACAGTTCACTCAACATTCAAGCACATCACCAACAGGCCAGTGATGCAAAGCAGAATGCCAAGAGCAAGCCAAAAAGAAGAGGAACAACCTGACGCACTAGATTAATCTATAAATACTGTAATAGATTATTGCATTTAATGGCACACATTTTAGTTGAGTTAGGGGGTATAGGCTTGTTCTTACAGTTGTCCCTGGAGCAGAGCTTCCCAGATTCAAAATGCAGGGGGCTTCCCAAAATAAGCCAAATGGATTCCCCCTCTACTGTTTCCTCCCTTGCCCTGCCTCCTCCACATTTGTCTTTGCTTTTCCTGACCCTGCCATCAGCAAGCAACAACTTGAGCTAGCTCCTGAAACTGCTGTCCCCACCACACAAGCAGACAAGATGCCACACCACAAGCCACAGCTCACACCAGGCACAAGCAGTTGGGCCACCTTGGAAAGGGACCTTGCTGGCCATTTGCTGCTTTAGCTGCTCACCCCATCCACTGATACACTCTGGGATCTTCCGGAGCTTCTCCAGCCAACTGGCTTTTGTATGTATATATATAACAGAAAGAAGAGATTTTAACCGCTGACTAAAAGGAAAATGCAACACAGGACCACAAAGCAATTTGGCTAGGTTGGGAGCAGATGGAAAGCATAGGTACATGACACTTGGATCACCAAAAGCAAATTAGACATTAGGGTTTCCGAGGCTTCTTTTCTGGTACAGAAACCCCTGGCCCCAAGAGCAGCTGTCCTGTCAGCAGCTGGGGGTGGTCCCTAGGCCCAGACTCTCCCAGACTCAAGATTTTGAGACCCTGACTCTGAAGACCCTACAATGTGCACACACTCACTCCAGTCTCTGACATGCCCCTGTACAAACTGCTTCTGGGTAGATTTTAAATAGAAACACATGGCAGGAGCTTGGGAAACAGAATTATGAACACTTTAAGATTGTCAAGCACATTCTGTTAATGTTTAGATGGCTGCTGGGGAAGTCTCAGAAGAGAAAGTCACACAGGCAAAACTACCTTGCTGGGTGAAAGCATTTCCCTTGCAGCACCCCAACTTGGTGCCATACAGATGTTTGAAGTACATCTCCTAACATTCCAGCAGCCCCATATGGTGCTGGGGCTGACGGTAGCAGCATCCCAAACATATGAAGGGCACCATGTTGGGGGAGGGTGGCTTACCTAACGAGACTTCAGTCCTGGGAATCCCAACATCCCTTGGGAATAAGATCAGCCAACTGCATCTGATGAACAGGCAGGCAATTCTAGCATCTCATTTCTAAATTTGCAGTGATTAGAAAAGGCACGGGGCTTGAAGAGGTGATAGAGGCCAGATAGCAAATTTGCTTAGAAAAGGCTGAACAGGCAAAGTATTAACGCTTGAAAAGAGCCTAACCTCACATCCAGGCCAAGGTGAAACTAAACAGCCTCCATTATTTAAAGATCTTTTCCCCCTAACAGAAATCATGCAGGGCTTTGCCAGGGCACTTTTTCTGCTTTGTTTTTTCCCTGTGTAGGTTAGGTGTGGTTTGGAAAGAGATTTTCTTCCCTAAGACTTCATGCAGCTTTAAAGGCCATCAACCACTTCAGCAGACACTCCTGGTACCAAACCAACAGTTTGTTTGTTTGTTTGTTTGTTTGTTTGTTTGTTTGTTTTTTAAAGAAGGAACAACACCAGCACATATGAATGGAAGCTGGAGGGAAAGCTTAGCTAGGAATGAGCTTTCTTTGGCTCCCATGTTATCTGTCTCTTGCAAGTGGTATCATGATCTCCCATACTGTTAACTGAATTAAATGGACTGTGCCAAGAATTAATCACTTGATCCATCAGTATGGTGCAAAATCAGTTTCTTTTAAGAGAAAGGCCATATATGATACCACAGTTTGAGGAATAAAAGTGAGGCTGCTCAAGTCACTGCTGACACATTCATGGGCTGCTCCTGAAACTTATTTCCTTAACCTGACTGGCAGCAGGAAAGGTGGTCAGTTGATTCGTGAAGCCTGCAGAGCATGGCACTACCTGCGGCCTCTTTTTCTGGCCAAGTCTGGCCTACAAGGTGCAAGAGACGTCACCTACCTGTTTCTGGCTGGCAGAAGGTGTACTGGCTACTCGAAGAGGAGCCCATGTTAAAATCTTCAGGGGCAGGAACGGCCTCATCAGCAGGCACAGCTTCTTCTTCTTCTTCTGGGCTTCCAATTTCTTCTACTTTCGGTGTCTCGAGTGTCACAATGTCAGAGTCATCGCTAATTGCCCCCACGCAGGAGCTTTCATCTGTCACTTTCTCTTTTTCATCCTTAGATGTAATGTAAAATGACAGGTGTCACACAGGATAAAGCATTTTTCTCACCTGTGGAATCTATATTGTCTTCCAAGTCCCTCTTGGAAGTCCTTCTGCATCCCTCCTTTAATATGATAAAATATTTTTTGTAAACTGCTTTTGAGAAAAACTATTCTAGAAAAGCAGCATATGGGTTCAATAAATAAATAACTAACTCTAATGCAACAAACTTTTACTAAGTCATTATGATGTAATATAAGGAAGCTGTTTTTCTAAAAAACTACCTGAGGGTTACATGCCCTTGCCTGGGACTCAAGTTCCCATCAAACTAGTCCAAAAGAGTCAGCAGCAGGTGCTGGGCTTGCAAGTTAGCAGCAAACCCTAAGGTGAATATTTCCCTCTATCATGTTTGGCCAGCAGGGGTTAGTGGGGCTCCATTGTTTCTTACACTTGTGTGCTTCATAGAACTACAACTTACCTCCGGAACTGGCTTGGTGGCCTCTGAGGTAGAATGACTTTGAACTATCATGGATGACACATCACCTTGGCCAAATTCAGCTACAAAAATAGAAGTTGAGCACATATAAGATAAACAGGCAAGTACTACAATTATCTGAGAGAGAGAGAGAGAGAAGGCAGGAAGGAAGGAAGGAAGGAAGGAAGGAAGGAAGGAAGACAGACAACACCCTGTAGACAAATTAGGTACTGTATCCATTCTGTAAGCATTGCAAATTCTTCCTTAAACAAAGAAACAAAACCTTCCCTGGGTTTGCTTCCAGAACAATGGCAGGGAGTTTATTCCACACTCCTGTGCTGCGAACAGTTACAAGGAGACTCTTGGCTGCCTTGTGTTTGTCTTGGTTGCAAAACTGCTCCTTTATGCTTAGAGGCAATTCTTGCCAGAAGGTAGAAAAGGTCAGGCCAGGAAACTGAAATGGGGTGGAGAACACTGGGCGAAAAAGAAACTTTGCAAAACTCCACTCCCCCCATCAAACCTTTATGTCATCCAGATAGCAGTGATGGGAGTGGAGAATGAGAACATGGTATGCAAGTGAAGCTGGCAAGCGGAGGAGAGGAGGATGGCTGAGGAGTTTTGAAGATAAAGAGAGCTATAAATCAGAAAAGGCTGGTCTGAGAGCCCATGGATGCTAGTTCACAAGAACAAATGGGGTATTGCCCTACCAACCTCAGATTGCCATAAGCCAGCCCCCTCCTGCCCACCACTCTACTAATAGCTAGTCCAATGAAAGCCCTGGCGGTCAGCTTCTTCTTCCTACTCCTCCTCCCTCCTCCATGTTCCCCTAGTAGTACAGTGGTACCTCAGGTTAAGAACTTAATTCATTCTGGAGGTCCGTTCTTAATTTGAAACTGTTCTTAACCTGAGGTACCACTTTAGCTAATAGGGCCTCCCACTGCCACCGCGCCACCAGAGCACAATTTCTGTTCTCATCCTGAAGCAAAGTTCTTAACCCGAGGTACAATTTCTGGGTTAGCGGAGTCTGTAACCTGAAGCGTCTGTAACCTGAGGTACCACTGTACTCAGAAGGAAGGAGGAAGGGGACTAAATTAGAAGTAAGCTGTGTCCACAGTACACAGTGTGCTCCCACAGCTGGTTTCAAATCCATGTACCTACATTGTCTGGGATCCAAAGATATACTGCTGTTTTATGTGAAATACTGCAGTTTAATGTACAGGTGGTCCTGCCCCACAATCCTCTAGGTCCAAAAGGACCCACAACGTTGCCAATCACGCATCATTTGGACACACCCCACAAGCCAGCTTCCATCCAATTTGAAAAGTGTAGCATTACTCAGTTCAGAGTGAGTCCATGTGAGTCTACTGCTCCTGCAAGTGCAAGGCTTTTGCTTTAGTAGAAAAGCAACCTAGGCGAGATTGAGATGGATGCATTTTCCATGTCCTTTTTACATCCCAATTGCTTTTGGAGTTAACTACTGAACTGATTTAAAATCTGGAGAGTTCCTCCTAAATAGCGTTTAGTAAAATGTAAATTTGTTTTGGTTTAATTTTGGTCGGATGCCCTGGCTGTCACTTTACACCTAAATGCCTCCCCCACTCCCCCCCAGCCAGTACAGTGGTACCTCGGGTTAAGAACTTAATTCGTTCCGGAGGTCCGTTCTTAACCTGAAACTGTTCTTAACCTGAAGCACCACTTTAGCTAATGGAGCCTCCTGCTGCCACCACGCAGCCACTGCACGATTTCTGTTCTCATCCTGAAGCAAAGTTCTTAACCCGAGGTACTATTTCTGGGTTTGCGGAGTCTGTAACCTGAAGTGTCTGTAACCCAAGTTACCACTGTACAGTGAGTTCACTGGGACAGCAAAGACATTACAGAGGTGATAGGGCTGATCAGTGGAGGCAGGCGGGGGGGGAAAAAACACACCTGGTGAGAGCACAGAGGACCATCAGAGTGTTGAAGTGGCTCGGTCTGCTTGCTCCCTCACAGCACTGGCTCTCTGCGCCATCACACCTTCTTATGGCAAATGCATCTCCATTCTCTATAACAGTTTGTCCCTCCAGTGTATCTCTACATGCCCTCCTCAGCCTTAACTAGCTTTTTGTTAAGAGATACAGTGTGGTGTACTGGTCAGTGTGCCAAACTAGGCTCTGGAAAACCAGGGTTCAAATCCCCATGCAGCCACGAAGCTTACTGGGTGACCTTGTGCCAGTCACAGACTCCCAGCGTAACCTGCCTCACAGGGTTGTTGTGAGGATAAAATGCAGAGAGGGAGAACCAGGTATGCCACTTTGAGCTCCCTGGATGAAAGACGTGACTATACCTGTATTAACAATGGCACAATCCAAGGTCATTTTGCCCCAGCTCCTATGTTTGCTGTTAGTTAATGACTGAGCATCTGCTTTGCACGCAGGTTACAGATTTAATCCCAGGCAGCACCTCCAAGTAGGGCTGGGAAAAGTCTCCTGTTTGAAACCTTCCAGTCATTATACTGGGCTGTACAATGGCCTGCTGTCTCTGTATAAGGCAGCTCCCCATGCTCACTTGCCCTTACTGACATGTCCTGGTTATCAGATTCATCTTCAAGTTCCGCAAGTGTTCCCAAGCTCACAACCGAAGCAGTCGAGTCGTCACTGTACACGGGGTTGCAGGTGGCATAGTTGTGGCCTAAGGCTTACCTTGCAAGTCGATGGGCTGCTCTTGCCCATCATCACCTTGTGCGAGAGATAGAGATTCATCCAAGGCCGGCTCCACATGACCACTTAAAGCTTCATATTCAGATGCCACAGCCTCAACATCAGAGCCCTAAATGAAAAAGAAAAGGAGGAGCTCTCAAGTGAAACTAGAGGTGCTCACCTGGTGATAGCTAACAAACAAAATAAATGGCTAAAGGCTCCTGTGAGCCCAAAGGGCTGCACACTGCATCTCTCAGTCCATCCAGCTCAATGCCTTGGCTACTCTGAATAGCAGCACTTTTCCAGGGTCTCAGACATGCATCTCTCTCAGATTATCTTCAGGGGGCTTTAAGTCATACAGGAAATTACTTCAAGGTTATCAGGAAACCTTAAGCCAGTGGAGCATAATCTACTAAAGCACATTCAAGTTTAGATCAAACTCAAATCCTGACTGCTCTCATTTATCTAATTTTGCTGCAGTGGCCCTGAGGTTATGGAAGTATCTAGACTTCTCCTTTGCCCTGTCTAAGATAATGGGATTGACTTCATCAGTGCTCTTCCCTGCTACTGGGCTCTGTTGTGAGGTTTGCTTGATTCAACTAAGTGTCCTATAGAAATCAACTCATTTCTTGGTGTCTTAGCTGAAAACTGCAGAAAAATGCATAGGGGACTCGTCCTTCATTGAGTCCAAAGTAACAGCTATTGAAGGAAATTTGTAGGATGAGCTTGAAATGTCTAAGGGCAAATCACCACCAGCCCCACTTAAAATACACCGCCATAGAGTACCTCATGATTGATGACCGTCCAGCCACAAGATGAATCACTGTCACTGGAGTTTTCAGACATTTTGACAGATGCTGAAAGCAAAAAACAAAAACAAAGAACAGTACAAATGTAGCACCTGAAAGGATTAGCCAACTTGACTCTAAATGGGGATCTCTGTTCAAATACATTTCAAACTTCACCACTGCAAACAGAATCTAGAAAGAGCCAGTCCATGGCATTCGAGGGATCACAGAGTGGGGAGCAAAGGTGATTTAATCCAACCTTAATTTCTTGTCCATATTCACCTGACCCAATCCAAGCCATGTGGACAATGCAGGGGCACTGCACAAACATGCCCACATTGAAGACACTCCCCATAGCTGGAAGGAAGGCAGGCAAGTGGCCTAAGAGTCTCTAGGGCCATCTCTGATCTAACTCAAAGAGAAAACTCTTTCTAAATATGGCCACCTACCATATGCTGAACATGAGGCAAAATTTAACTAGGGAAGAAGGGCAGACTGCAAGAGGGCCAGCTGAACCTTTGCCTCTTCCTTTTCCAGTACCAAACACAGACATACTGCCTCTCTCTGCTTGCCTTTCTAAGTATGTAAGAAGGGCCAAAGGCCCGTCCTGTTCTCACAATGGCAAATCAGATGCACATTATGGGAATTCCACATAAACACAACGGCAGTCTCCCCAGTGATGATCCAGAAACGGTCTCCAAAAATGTGGTCCACAACCATCATGACTGGTAGCCACTGATTGCCTTATCCTACTTGAGAGAAAGATGTGAATGTTGCTGTATCACCTCCTTAAGACTCTGAAGAGAAATTCTCGATTCCTCTGATCATTAACTGATCTTCTCTCCATTTGCTGAAGCTTCAATTCACCCTTTCTGAAAGGGGTAGGGTGGGGAACTACTGCTTCATCAATAGCTCGTAGAAGGGAGCCAATATTTCATTAACTTAACTAGAAATGCCTCACTTGATATATCCAAAACTTTGCCTTGTCACGTCTGAGCAGCTCCCAGATGTTTTGTGATGAACTAGTACTCAAGCACATTTCCCTCCTTTGCTATTTTGCAAGCAGTAGTAAAAACAGTCACTGTTTGCCCACAAACACATAACCTGATGCTAGACACAGCTGAATGTCACTTGGTAGTTCAGAAGATCACCCAGTTTGCTCTGTAACATTCCCTAAGGAACAATGCCTTGTCTGTATTAACTACACTTCTTTGCTAGGTACATGCAAATATCAGAGGGACACTCCTCCCCCTTTTCTTCGAAGGAAAAATACTGACTAAAACAGGCTCCTAGACTGATCCCGGAAAAACTTGGCTAGCTACTTCTTTCCCATCCAGCCAAGCAATTCACTTCCTTGGGTCTTTGGCCACACACTAGCCAGACGGGTTGGAAGGCACCTCCTTTCTTTTGACAAATGCAGCTGATGTGCTCAGGGTGCCCAATTCTGCTCTCAGCGAGTGGCATGCTTTCCTGTATTCACAGCATCTAGCCACAAACTCTGCAGCTTTTCTGTCTTTTCACCAGTATCTTTTTCCTGTTTAATTAATAGTTATCAGCAAACGCTTTGCTAAAATCTAAGCTGACTAGAGCAGTGGTTTTAAACTTGTGCTCCCAGGAACCTGGAGGTCAGCAATGCTGGGCCAGCTACCTGAGGGGCAGCTCATTTCTCATAACTGTCTATGCCCTGCACAGTGGAGACTCTCCAGTTTGGAGTTTGCAAGGACTTGGCCAAAGAGTTCCTTGCTAGCCCCTGGTGCAGATGGAGAGTTCATCCTTGACAGGAGAGCTTGTTGCAGACAACTCTATATGGAATGGGTTTTCAAAGAGTAGAAGTTGAAATTCCATGGGACTGAGTGTAGTACATTCCCTTTCTCCAGAAACGCACTGATCTTTTATTCCACCCACAGTGAACCTATCCGAACATCCACTTTAACATTTATTATTCTAAGCCTTATCTGCCACTGAAAATAACCTAACAGCTCCACTACCTTCAGCAATTTGATCTTTCTTGGATACAGGCAGAATATTAGCTCTTTCAAACTCCAACCACAGCCCAGTGCTAATGAAATCTGCTGAAAGCCTTACTTCACATAACAGGTTTTTCTGCCATCCCTCAGCTCCGGAGTTTAAAATGGGGGCAGCCCAACCCTATGCATGCTGACCTCCCCTGTGTTTGCCTACTCCCGGATACAGCTGCAAACCAAACCTCAGCTGGGCAGGAGCAGAGCTTAACAAAAGTGACAGGGCCACCACCACACCCACAGCCTGCCCACTCTTGTCACCTAGGACAGAAAGTAGAAGCAAATCAGTAGGGTCGACTTGGGAACCAACAAATCCCAAGTCAGCTCAGCCCCTCTCTGTTTCAGGGCTTATGGCGGGTTTCTGTCCACCTCCCCACTTAGAAGGCAGAACAGGGAGCTCAGCACTAGTGGCATCACTCTGCAGGAAGAGATTGGCATTGTCCTGCCCCTTCCTCCACTTCTAAGGGACTTGTCTTATACCTATGGAAACAGACGCAAAGTAGTCCCAGGGCAACCAAGTCAGGTGGAATAGTCATTCTTGTGCAGAGTATTAAAACAGACAGCAAGTCAACAAGCAGAGCCATTATGTCTTTTTAACGTTAAAGGATCTTAACTGATTATCAATCTTGCATAAAATGGCTGCTATTGATCGCTCTGTATTTTTTTTATTTGTACAACTTGTACTTCTAAAGCCACTTGATTAGCTACTGCCTTAGCAGCAAGGGAGAAGTTATTCCAGGTAACCAGGCGTGAAAGTCGTTCCCTTCTAAAACACAAATATCTTAACACATGAATTTGTGGGTAGGTGGGCTAGCAGCTTCCAGAAACTGATTTGCAGGGATGCTATAATTACACCCCATCAAGGAACACTCTAGTTTGTATAGGTAATGATTTATCTTACTGTTTTATACTCCTTACAGTTTAGCTTTTAAATTGTTGCATTGTTTTAATAGTGATTCAGGCAGTCACCTCTGGCAATTTTTAGAAAAATCTTTTAAATTAATGGGGAAATGTCTAAAATATGGCAGGGCTATTCGCTGATTAGGATTCTGTTTTGGGGCTTTCTCCTAGGAAGAAAGAAACTAATTTCCCCATGTTGTCCATCACACCCTCTGACCAGAGGTCATGAGGAATGTTAGCTTCCCATCAAAGTACATCTAGTTACAAGTGTGCTACTTATTTCATTTAGGTGCTTGATCTTCATTAAAATCAATCCTAAAGCAAGATACAACATTAAATGATACAGCAATCTAAAAAAAACCCCAACCCAAACCATAACAATAAATCAAAATGATGTCACAGAACTGCAACATCTCCTTCAATCAACTAACCAAATGCCAAAGAAAATAAAAATGTCTTGACTAAATTGCCTGAAATTTATCAGGGTTGGTGTCAGCTAAATCTGTGAGGGAAGGGCTCAGAAAATACCTAGGTCCTAAGCCAACACACATGTCTTGAACCTGACTCAGTAGTTAACTGGCCTCCAGTGCTCTTCCTTTAGAACTGCTATACATTTGCAGCTAGCTACCCCACTCACCAACTTTGTTGCTGCATTCTGCACCAGCTTCACTTTCCAAACAAAGCCCAAATACAGCCCCAAATAAAGCACATGGCCGTAAACAAACTAATCTGATAAGACCAATGCATGGACCACAGGAATGGCTGGCCTATAGGCACTCCTAGCCATGGAAGCAACATGAGCCTCCATCACCAACGCTGGATCTAAGAGTCCCCCTAGATGACACATGTGCTCCTTAAGGGGCAATTCAACTCCATTGGGCAGGCAACCAATTCCCACAGCAACTGCCTTGTCAAGATTCACCCAGCCCACTACTGCATCCAGGCACTGGTCAAGAACCAGCAGCGCCTCTCCTGAGTCAGCTGTCACAGAGCAAAACACTCTCCGGGGCCAGCCTGGGAATCCCAAGAGCCCCCTGCAGCAGCTGAGAGGAGGACAGGCAGGGGATGCTGCTGCAGCCTCGCCTTCCCCTGAAGGAGCCAAGTTGTCACCCACCTCCACCTGCGCCAAGGGGAGGCTTCGGAGTAGTTGCACTCAGGGAGCGAAATAATTGTGCGACTCTGTGCTATTCTCAAAAGTTCCAGTTCAGTGAAGGGCCAACCAGCCACTAATCCAGAGGCGCTTCTGCTTTGGAAACATAGCTGTCAACCTTCCCTTTTTTTGCGGGAAATTCCGTTATTCCAGCGCCGCTTCCCGCTGCTATCCCGGAGTGTTAGACTGTCCCCGGGACAGGTGAGGCTGCTGATCCCTTATTTTCAAATCTGAAAGTTGACAGCTATGTTTGGAAACCCCTGAACTGCAAAGTGCGGCTTGTCCCTCGGCCGGCCGAAGACAGCGAGGCCTGCAGCAGGAAGCGTTTCCCCGGCGCCTCGCGGGGAGGCAGCCTTCCGAAGCCCGCTTCCTCCCGAGTAGACCTGCCCGCCCCCTCCCGAGGCCTCTCGGGGGCCTGGCTGGGCAAAGGGCGCAGGTGCCCGATGGCGAGGAGACCTTCCCGGCCGGGCCTACCTGAGCGAGCCCGGCCCCCTGAGGGCGAGGAGCTCAGGAGGGGCAGAGGCCGGGGAATGTGAGCCGCGCTCGGGCCGGGCTGCTCCCGCTGCTGCTGCTGTCACGGCCGCCGCCGCCGCCGCCGCCTCCTTCCTTCGCCAGAACAACAAACAAGCAGCCGGAAAGGCGGAGGCGAGCACTGCGCCTGCGCATTCCCGCGGGGCCCGGACGAACCCTGGGAGTGGTAGTTCGCCTCTGCCAGGCGCGGCGGCAGAGGGAGGCGCGCGGGGACTACAGGCCCCAAGGAGCCGCGGGCGCTGCGGGGCGGGGCCAGCGCTGGCGGAGACCCGGACGCTGAGTCAACAAAGGGTGCGCCGACGCGGCGGGGGACGCGTGATGTGTGGAGATGCTGAGGCAGTTGCCATGGTGACGCGGCCAGCCCGGCGCAGCATCAGCATCCTTCGCAGTCGGGAGGCCCGAGCTCTCGCCGCCGGCCGGTAAGGAGCGGGGTGCTGTCGCTCTTGGGGCCGCTCGGCGGAGCCTGGCCCTCAAAGCCCAGCGGCTGTAGTGGGAGAATGGGGGGCAGACGACTCTCTTGCCCGGCCTAGCTAGCTGCCTACATCACAGCAAAGAACGGCCTTTTTAGGAGCGGTGCTCCCTGCCGCTTTTCTCTTTTTAGTAGTATCTTGCAAATCGGTATTAAGAAGCAGAACAGAGCATCATTTTTTAGAAACTGAAGTTGTTGGGTTTTTTTAAGAGTACATTTCTTTCTGAGATGTGAGACAAAAATACAGGACACTGAGCTTTTATGTATGAGTAGTTCTGAGGCAATCCAATCAGTTTGTGACAGCATATAGCTCAGAGGAACTTCACTGGGGCTACAAAGGTCACACTGGGCCCCTTAAATCTGTAGCAGGGCTCCTTTCAATGAGGGGTAAAGGTTTTTCCAAGTCACTTGCATTTAAGGAAGACAGCCATGCAAGCATCAAGCACCTCAGTTGGTCCTAAATACTTCGACTCATAATAAAAAATAGTATGGCTGATTGACATCCAATGCTCTTTTAAATGTGTTGTGGAAGGGGGGATTATTGAGTTATCTTTGTTTTTGTTTTTATTATGTATCTTGTGCTTTTTATATTGTAATTTTATGTTGTGAACCTGCCAGAAATCTATAGATATAGTGTGGTATACAAATTTCAAGAAGAAGAAGAAGTTGTTTCATTGAGCTCAACAGGATTTACCTCCTTGCTGTGCCAGCTCAGTTTCTAAAAGTGAACCATCTATAAAGCTAGATTTAAATATGTCATTTAACTACCTATGCTCTTATGGAACCTCTTAATTTTTCTACTTTTGCACAGGAACTGAAAATGACTTCTGAGCCAGAAACAAAACCAAGGGGTGGTGCAAAGAACACAGCCTCTGTCCAGTGGCGTCCATGTGCAAACCCTGGCAATCCTGTGTTTTCCTGTATGTTGGAGGCAAAGACTCTCACCTCTAGCAATTTCTTAACTAAGCCCCAGCTTTTGCTCTATAAAACAACATCAGGTGAATACGGTGCTATACCGCCTACCACACAAATGGTACCTTGTAAATTCTGTCCAAAGGACAATACTTTCACAAATCATTTGTTTACTTGTGGGATGACACGATTTAATGGTATTAACACTGGCACTGACAAAAGCAAAGTTTGTGATCACTCAGATCTTATGCACACTTTATAAAATCTAGTAATGTGTTTTTGTTATCTGTTAAAAATAATAAAGCAAATAAGAGAGTAACAGTCTGGTTTTTTTGTTTAATAATCTAATACAGTAGTGCCTCGCAAGACGAAATTAATTCGTTCCGCGAGTTTTGTCGTCTTGCGATTTTTTCGTCTTGCGAAGCACGGTGTTGGGAAAGTTTTGGAAAAGCTTCAAAAATCACCAAAGTCTTTAAAAACCTCAAAAAAGGCTACCACACCGCGTTCTATGAGTTGCTCCTCGAAGTCAAGTCGCAACTGTATTAACGGTGTTAAGAAAAAGGAAACAAACTTGCAAGACGTTTCCGTCTTGCGAAGCAAGCCCATAGGGAAAATCGTCTTGCGAAGCAGCTCAAAAAACAAAAAACCCTTTCGTCTAGCGAGTTTTTTGTCTTGCGAGGCATTTGTCTTGCGAGGTACCACTGTACTGAAACATCTTTATTGAAAGTAAGTCTGATTTCAATAAGGCCTTACCAGTAAAAATACATGGTTCAACATCCTATTAAGTATGCTAGCAAATAAAGTCAGAAGATCATCAAATGGAATTCTAAGATCTAGTTTTTACTGAGGTAAGAGACTAATATCTGAATGCAGGTGGAAACTTGCATGATTTAATGCTCCTCTCTCTTATGTATGTTGGGGAGAAAGTTTAATCCTAGACTTTGATGTAAATGATTGTTTTTTAAATATGCAGGACACTGCCATGCTGGCTTTAGTATGAAGAAGCATTCAGTTTTCAGAGCACCCAACTGCAGTCTGTGGTGATGCTGCACAGACACTACTTTGTTTTAAACTTAGTGAGAACTAGGCTTCTGTGCTGGCTCCCTAGAGGGTTGCTGGCATCAAGAAGTGCTCCTCTCACCAACATGAGTTTTCTTCCTCATATCAGGAATTAGAACTAGAGACAAAATGTTGCATGGGATTAACAAAACAAAAAAACTTTTTGGTGTTTCTCCAGTAGGATTGAGGACTTTTCCACATTCAGAAACATTTTTCATGTACGCCTTTTTGCCAGCCCTATAACTATGCAAATGGTTATACAAATATACCAGAAAGGGAGTACTTTAGTAGTTTGTAAGAGGACCAAGCCCTACAAATCCAAGAAATAACAAGCTTCAGAACATTGTAGCTCAAGGAGTACCACTTCTCATGTTAAGAGAGGCACATTTTGAATTGACAAATGTTCTTAAGCCTTCAGTTAAGCCATCTTCTGCATGGCAATAAACAGAGCCAAAGAAAAAAAGGAGGGTCATGGAGTCCCCTGGAGAACTGACACAACAGAAACATTCTTATAAGCCTACATTTTTCTGATTAAACCTTTCAATAATGTTTGGTTATGGATTTTTACAGAAGAACAAATAGGCTTTGATTACAGTATATCTTACATATTGCACATTATAATTTGATTTTTAGAAATAAATAGAAGTGGCATGTATTTTTGGTGAGGTTTTCTTCAAGGGAGTATTTGACTGTACCTCTTATCATTGAAAAGCTATGTAGACTAGTTGCTATTAATTCTATCACCTTATGAATTGTGACATCATATTTCATAAATTATGCAATATGATCTAACACTACAAATTATTTTTCCCAAGTTTTAAAACAAATCCAAACTTAAGCAAAGTTAGGCTTTTCTATTTGTTTATTGTGCAAGATAAGAAAATATGTGTTCTAAGTTTAAGAAAGCATTTTTATATTTTATTCTTATAAAGGCCCTCAAATGTCGCCATATTTGTTAACTACTATACTTGAGCTAAAGAAGAGGAATATCCAACTACTTATTTAATACACCAACAAAATATCTTCCAAGGATAAGTATCAACATTACTAGCATGGACATGATAGCTGATCACCAATTTGCATTCTCCACCTCCATGAATCATTCATTTCCTTGAATTATGCGTCGAATCTTCTCAGCATCATCTTCTACATTTTTGTTTGTGGGCTCAATCCTGAGAGCAGCAATATAATCTTGGAGACCTAGGGTTAATTTAGCATGCATTTTAATCATACAATGGCAGCAACATACTATAAAGTAGAATTAGAAGAAGCATCTACTTTTGTGCATATTGACTTACAAGTAAGTCCTGTGTTCAAAGGGGTTTAATCACAGGTAAGTACTGTATGTATAGGATTGCACTGGGGGTGAAGAACCTATGGCCCTCCAGATGCTGCTGGACAGCCTACTATCCTTGACAACTGGCCACGCTAGTGGGACTACTAAGAATTGGGAATCCAACAACATCTGGAGTTCCCCATCCCTGGATTATAGCCCTGGGCTGCAATCCAAAGCCCCTCTTCTGCCTGTGGGATCCCCAAAGCCCCCAAATGGAGGTATGGGAAAGGGCTAAGTTGGTGGCCTGAGATCCACTGGTTCTACCATTTGTACCCCCCTCCACCATCTTTCCTGGATAATGTGAGCAATGGGGATGCAGCCCTGGCTCTACCACTTCATTACACCCTGCTGCTGCCTGGCTAGGAGTTAGATTGTCTTGCTGACCAATACAGAATGTGCTTCTTAGTCCTATAACATGGCCTAGCAGGGACATTTTTAGAGGCCATTGGTAGTACCCTACTTTATTGTTGCTATTCTACACTTCCTTTAGCATAAAGTCTTTATACCAGCAAGACCTGGGAAACAGATGGACAGATTTTCCTTTAATAAACAATGGTATTTACAGGCAAGGAAATCTCTAAAACAGAATACAAGCAATGCCTGCTCTTCAGGTTTGACTCGGAACCCAAAGGCTCCCTGCAGCCACCCATAAAAAACCAGTACTTTGCAGAAATGCAAGTTAGATTTCTAGATATTGACAACAGGAACACGACTGTGCTGAGTCACTGATAAAACTATGGTTATGTGTAGTAGACTGAGAAGCTGTGCATTTCTTTTTTCTCAAAAGCACCTGCATGGAGTGAATAAACAGGGAAATGGGTGTTTTGGTGCCTTGTCTTTTGAGTTACTTTGTGCTACATTGGAGGGGAGAAGTGGGACATAATGGCTGCTCACCTTCCAATTCCCAGAAATTTAGGGAGAAGTATTACATAATTTTCTTTGGGGAAATGTACTGGAGAAGGAAAATACAGCTGAAGGCAAAACATACCAATTATTTTACTACAGAAATCTAGAGGTGCTAGAAATGATGAAAGCAGATTGAAGTAAGGAAGCATTTTGTCAAGCTCCAAATTAGATGAACAGTAAAGCTAAAGGAAACAAGGTAGCAAACAAATATATTTACAAAGAGAGAAACTACTTGGAAAAGGAAAGGAAGATACAGAAGACTTTTCTGTTCACTTTTACATTGGGCAAAGAAAGCTAGTTTAGAAAATAAAGTGTTCCAATGCAACACACTGTCCAATATACTTAAATATTTCATCTAACAGGAATAGTACTTGTAGAAAAAACCACTTTTGTGGTTTTGTTTCTATTGGTTGCGGGTAACAGTGTGTTAACAGACTGTGGGTGATGCAAATAATTCAAAGTGGACCTACTGAAATAATCAATGGGCAGAAGTTCATTAAGTCCGTTGATGTCATTAGGTCTATTTTGAGTCGGGCGAATGCCTTGTATTGCATCATCCCATCTCCATAAATAAAACAAAACTAAAATTTTAAAAGATTTAACTTTCTGGATGAACAAGCAAAAAAAAAGTACAGATTAACAAAGTCTTGTTCATATCATACAATAAATCCCAACAAATGCAGGAATGTTATCTTCAGCATGTATCTTTCCTTTACCTTCAGCATACAATTCCAGTCCACAGAATGCTGCCCCACGCCTCACATGAGCTTTCACTCTAGCATTAGCATTGTCAGGAACAGGAGGAGTCAGTAATTCCAGGGCCTTGAAAAATAAAACACACAAGCTTGGAAGTCAGCTTAGCTGTCCCTTGAAGACAGTGTACGACTCACACATGCATTTGCCAGCATTTGTTTTCAAATCTATCAGGTTCCTTGCCTTCATTTGCAGAGACACAAACATGTCAAGTACCTCTCTGCTGGACCACCTTGGAGCACAAACAAAACAAGCTGAGCCTTGGCTGAGGTGTCTGAAGTCTTAGTGGGTATCTGTATTTTTTATTTTTTTAAATCAATATCACAATTAGAGGCCCTAAGCTATAGCTTGTTTAGCTTTTATGTAAATCCGGCACTGGCAGCAGCTACAACATATTGCTACCTGGTGCACAAATGGGCACAGACCGCAGCTCTCTTGCTTTAACTGCCCAACTGTTTTACTGTATATTTTCACTATAGAAAAGGAAGCTGCTTTATACTGAGTCAGACCATCGGTCTATCTAGCTCAGCATTATTGACACTGACTGGAAGCAGCTCTCCAGAGCTCTCAGAGTTTCAGGCAGGGGTCTCTCTCAGCCCTACCTGCAGATGCCACCAAGAACTGAACATGGGTCCTATTCTTCTTCACCACCACCATCATCATTCATATGCCACCTTTTCCTCCAAGGAACTCAAGGTAGTTTACATGGTTCTCCTCCTCATTTAACCCCCACAACAACCCTGTGAAGTAGATTGGGCTGAGAGGCAGTGACTGGTCCAAGGCCATCCAGTAAGGGTCATGGCCAAGTGAGGATTCACCCCCTGGTCCAGTACTCTAACCACATCACGATGGTTCTCATGCTGGTTTTGCATGCAAGGCAGATGCTCCACTACTGAGCTACAGCCATTTATATTTTGACATTTTTACTGAGATTATTTTAATATGTATTTTAATAATGGTGTATTTTACTGCATTTTAACAACATTGCACAATTAGTTTTCATATTTTGTAAACCACTTAGAAGTCATGTGGCCATTAAGAGGCATATAAATTAGCAGATTATAATAATAAAAGAGGGCAGTAAGTAGACTGGTAAGGAAACTACTACAGGCTGCAGGCAAGGACAGTATCAGACCCTTACTTAAAGTAGCAAAACCAGGCTTATCAGTTGACAGCTGCATAGTGCACATACACCCTTACGAGTGACACACACAAAGAAGGGGGGGGAGGGAGAGCATGAACTTGCCCTTGAACCCAACTGTTTTGTAATCCTAACACAGTGGCATCAGCCAATTTTATTATATATATTTTATATCCTGCTTTATAGCCCCAAGAGGCACTCAAGTCAGCTTACAAATATTCTCATGAAACAAACAAACAAAAATCTATGGCAGACAGCAAATTCTAATAAAGTTCCAGCTAACCTAGATGATGGCAAAACAGATTTTTACAGAATTTCATTTTGTTAGGTGTCAATTTTGGGAAATGTTGATATTTGATGAAATTATAATTACTCAGTGTTAAACAATAACAGTATTGCACATGATACTGTAAGGCTTGTATAGTCGCAGTAGGGTGACAAATGAATGTGATACAGAGTTTTGCTACAGACCTGAAAGCTTTGATAAAAGCAAATACCTTTGAGGAATCTTCAATCGCCTTGTGTAGATTTCTCAGCTTAAGGTGGCAGGCAGCTCGATTCAAGTACAATGTTGGAATCTTATTACTGATACGAATTGCCAAATTATAGGCATTGACAGCAGCAAGATAATTTCCCGTTGCAAACATTTTACTAAAAAGATAAGAGTATACAGAATAGTCTAGTTATTACATTTCCAAAAGGACTAAGGGTTGTATCCAACTAAATTTTACTTCTAGGACTCCCACCGGGATTCATAATTGTTGCCATTCTGGCAGAGCTTGAGAAGAATCGCAAAAGCCTGCACTGAACCACAAACACACATACACTGCCCATCCAACTTGTTGCTACTTCATTCCCTTTCCCCCATAAACAGCAAACCATTATTACATATGAGATAAAAGTGATTTTACACATCCTTTGAAGCAACATCCAAACGCACTTTCCTTTGTCTTTCAACCAATCTGGATTCTTCTCCTCTTCTTTTAAATCTTCTAGCTCAGCAATGTCTGAATTTATGATTCTGCGAGCCTCTGCTTGCTTACATAGCCACTGTGAATAAAAGATATGTGCAGTGCTTTGTGCCTAAAACAGTACAAGTATATTCAATTGCTCTATTTAGCAAATGCAAGTGAATATGCCAGTGTATGGCAACAATACTGAACACCAAGTGTATTGGCATTTGACTTCCAAAGGGTTCCAGATTTAGAATGCCAGAAGAGCCCAAATTGATCAGGTCAAGGTGGGTCCACCTAGCTCAACATCCTTCCCACAGTGGCAGACCAAGTAGTTCTGGGGAGCCCACAGGCAGGGCCTGGAACCAACCCTCTCCCTTGTCATTTGCTTTCCCCTTCAGCAACCAATTTATGGAGGAAGGGTGCCTCTGCGCATGGAAAGTTCCACTGAGTTATTATGGCCAATGGCTGTTGATAACTTTCAGTTAACTCAGGCTTGTTTGCTTGTGTCTTTTGTGATAGAAAATCAGTACCTCCAGAGAAGCATTGCGTACAGTTTCTCTGCAGTGTTTGTGCATTACCTTTGCTCTAGTTTGTGGTAAGGGTCATTGTCATAATCCCTTTTGGTGGGCAGGCACTGCTTACTTTTACAAGTCATAGCAGTACATGCACACATTCATAAAGAAAACCACATTCCACAAAAAAACACTCTCCTTTCCCTTTGTTTACAGCCTGCTTCCACTGTCCTCTGAATTAATAGCATACAGGCCTTTCCAAACCATCAGTTTACAACATCATAAGTGCACAGTTAATTCTCAATGGCTGAAGTCTTCCCTCAATTTGCCATGTGTGTTGTGGGGCTATTTCATTGCCAACATTTCACTGACAGGAGAACATGCTTTCCTGCCTGCAGCTGGCCCAGACATTGCAGTTTCAATTGCTGTGAGGAACATGACTGAAGAAGTGTCACTGGCTCCTACTGGACAGTATCTATGACATCATTAGCAACCAGTAGGACAAATCCTCTCCCTCCATTTAAAGTCCACATCACTTTGTGACCTTTTCAAAGTACCTTTATTTTTTGCTTTCTACGTGTGAGATTGTCTATCCAGATTCTTTTTTCTAAAGTAGTTAAAATAATGCCGGAGGCCTGCCCACCCCCACGCCCCACTCTACAACTGCAGCTCCTCAGCATGCCTTGAAGCCACAGCAGAGCAGCTGGGTCTCCCTACCTCCTCCTCTTCTGGAATCCTGGATTCTCTGAGAGCTGTAGGAAAGACGCGAGGGGTGAATTTTATTTCAATGCTACTGGCAGATCGCGGAGCAGGGATAGATTCTTCCTTCAGCTTCTCTGAAAACATATTTCCAGAAATTGTATCTGCAATAATCAGGATACATAATGAATTAATTTTTCAATGTATCAGTTCACAGCAACCAGGGAGGGAAAAGAAGAGTCTTGAGCACAGATCTAAATAGGTTTCCTCTTTCTAACCTTTATTTGGCAGGCGTTGGCAGGATGATACAAGTACAGATTATTTAAAACTAACAGGGCTGAAGCTGCATGTAAAATGTCTCGTTATTTGTATCACCACTGCTGAGATAAACATTTGGCATTTGCTATGATTAGAGCATCCAATATCCTGGGGGTAGTGCCTGGTGGGATCCTGAAGGCCCAAAGAAGCACACCAGCACATGTGCATCTGATGGTGCAAGCCACTGAGAAGGAAGAAAAAGACCTCAGGGGAAACACTAACAGGCAAGCTAACTCTCAGGATGGGAACACTTTTAGATAATTTATCTCATAATTTAAATCATTTTTTTTTTAAAAAGCCAAAAAGGCAACTGGGCCTTATATAAAATATAAACAACAAATAATCATGGAGAACATATAAAACCAATTACAGATAACCTATTGTGTACTGTCAATACTGTAAAGTCCTAGGACCACCAGGAGATGCCACAAAGGAGGAAAGTACTGTGCTGATACTTTAGCAAGGAATAAAAGCAGCTGAAATAAAAAATGGAGCAATAATGCTGAGCCCGGATACTAGGGTGAAGACAGATTAGAAATGGTTTCACAAGCCAAAAGCAGTGGAAGGTTAAAATGTTTAGTTTGTTTTGAACACAGCAAGAACATTTTACCTCCTGTAGATGTACTTGACTTGGATGTTCCTCTACTTGAAGATTTCACTTTCCTTTTATTCTCTTGCTTGCTTTGCTCTGGGGTTTTTCTGTGTTCCTGATGTGGCTGACAAAAATGAATCTTCTTTTGTTTCTCGTTCTGCTCTTTCCATTTCTCAATCTCCTCAGTGGCTTTTTTCCGCTCCTTTTCTTTCAGCATTTCTATCCTTTCTCTTTCCGCATCTTCTAGCTGATTGAATTGCAGAACCGTCAAACGCTGCACTACAACTACTTTTGAGGTGCAAAGTCTTTCATGACTTATCTCTTATATTCAACACAGTAACTCTTATGAAGGAGGGGGTGGAGGATATAGCACATTACTTTTGCTGGATACCCAGCAAAGGTAAAACACACTGCTGCCCATATATATAAAAAAGAAGGGTGACTTGTTCCACACATGGCAAGAATGTGATATGCCAAATTCAATGCATTTTTCAAAACATTTTTAAAGAAAGCATTTTCACAGTGTTTTTAATATGTGTGTAGCTTCCACCCATGTTAACTTTGAGGCTGCAATGCAAACTGTAGCATCTGAAGAAACATTTGTCAGTAGGTATAATATTGTCAGTAGGTATAATATTATAATATAATAAGGGACGCGGGTGGCGCTGTGGGTTAAACCACAGAGCCTAGGACTTGCTGATCAGAAGGTCGCGGTTCGAATCCCCGCAACGGAGTGAGCTCCCGTTGCTCGGTCCCTGCTCCTGCCAACCTAGCAGTTCGAAAGCACGTCAAAGTGCAAGTAGATAAATAGGTACCGCTCCGGTGGGAAGGTAAACGGCGTTTCAGTGCGCTGCTCTGGTTCGCCAGAAGCGGCTTAGTCATGCTGGCCACACGACCTGGAAGCTGTACGCCGGCTCCCTCAGCCAATAAAGCGAGATGAGCGCCGCAACCCGAGTCGATCATGACTGGACCTAATGGTCAGGGGTCCCTTTACCTTTACCTTCATAATATTGTCAGTAGGTATAATATTGGTTATCCATTATTTGCAATCCTGTTTTCTGCTCGTAAGGATGACTCAGGCAGCACCTGATTTACCTTAATTGTGGCCTCCACAGCAAACTTGCTGCGCTCTCGTTTCTGAGCAGCTTTTGCTTCTGCTTCTGATTTTGCGTCTTCTTGTGCTTTGCGCACAGCATCCTCTCGGATTCTCTGCATTTCTCCCTTGTCCCCTGAAGAGAACCATTCCAATATCAATTAAAAGACCAATAGGTGTGATAGTACAATTGAGGTATGAGAAATGAGAGATTCTGAAACTGTATCAGCTGCAGTGATATTCAGGCACTGTTCTTCGTGGGGCAGTAAGGCAAGCCAAACACTGCTGATTGGTCAACTCCTTCCATCCCCTCATCCAACAGCAGGAAGGAAGGGGAAAAGAGACTTCCAGTGACAAAGCTGCAGCCAAGGAGCTGGGAACTGAATTGTTCTCCCTGGACAGTAGTGGCAAGAAGAGGACCTAAAGATCATGCCCCCTGAAGCAGTAAGCAATCCATGGGGAGGAGCCTAGGACTCCTTGCAGACGAAACCCTTCTGGGGACAAATTAATTACTACTTACCCACCCCTCTTTGCCTTTGCAGCACTGGCTGGAGGGGTTATCACCACAGCCTGACATTTTAGCTCACTCTTACTTCCCAATTTTATAATGCTGCTTCTGGCTTTTGGATCAAACTGTTTGGCCTCTCATCCATTGCCAAATTATGAAGATAACCAGTTTACACAGAGCAGTTTACCAATGTGATTAGTTTAGTTTCTGCCACCAGCAGCACACATAAACCATGGTGGCAAGGTAAAACACAATGCTGCCCACATATTTTAAAAGAAGGGTGACTTGTTCCACATGTGGCAGGAATGTGATATGGCAAAGAAATATTGGATAAAAATAAAAAGTCATGTAAAAGGGACTGTGTGATATGAAAGTCTACTAGAACCGGTGTTTCTTATATGGCAAGAGCAGCTAAAACTCTTTATGTTTAATTTTTTTTAATGATTGTTTTTTTCTATGTTTTAACAGTTCTTGTATTTATCTGTAAGCTGCCTTGAGTCCAATCAATATGTGGGGAAGTGGAGACTGCTGATTGCATCATTTGTTAAAAAGATGAGTTGACAAAGGAAGGGGGCATGGGTGTAGCCAGGATTTTTTTTTGGGGGGGGAGGTGCAGCCAAAGTTGTTGAGATTTTTTTAGGAAATCATGGGTAAAAATACCCTATAAACAGGACATTGCAGGGGACAAGCTTCTGCTGGGGGCGGGGGGAGGGGCAGAACCTCAGATAATTGAGTTTAGTTCAGTTCAATTTATTGTGTTTAGCGAGCAGCCATTACACACATAAAAATAATAATAACAAGAATACTGCTAATAATAGTGGTTTACATTTCTACTCCCCGACCTTTACAGGAAAAATAATTTCCCATTCCCCCTTTAAGTTTTATTACACAAATATGTAAAGCCTTGGCAAGAAATGTGGATGTTCTAAAGGATATATACAGCTCTACATCAGACAACAACTTTCAATGCTTTTCAAAAATATTTGTGAATCTAGGGAGAGGGGCATCTGCCCCCCCCCCGCCCCCCTTAGCTACGCCCATGGAAAGGGGTTTGCCCTAATCACTAGACTAACACACTTTATTAAAATTAGGAAACAAAGACAAGACAACTTTATGGCAAACTGGATTAACTTTACTGAATATAGTAAAAAATAAGGGTTATTGCTAAATGAAAAGTTATGATTGTATGTAAGACAAAAACCAGGTTGATTGCTGTATCTGGGCATCACATCACTTGTTAAGCTTTAGTTAAATCAGATATAAAATGTTAGGAATTGTGAGTGCTAATATATAATAAGTATGGTGATGCATATATGTGGCAAAGAAAATTAATAATATAATATAATATAATATAATATAATATAATATAATATAATATAGTATAGTATAATATAATATAATATAATATAATATAATATAATATAATATAATATAATATAATATAATATAAAATATAATATAATATAATATAATATAATATAATATAATATAATATAATATAATATAATATAATATAATATAATATAATATAATATAATATACTGCAGGAAGGTCAGCAAAGGTTTGTTTAAGACCAACCCAATGGAAAACTCACCATTTTCCATAATGAGGGATTCCCACATGGCCGCTTCTTTTTTATAGAGGGTGAAGAAAACTGAGCCATTCTCGATTTTGGCAGTACTGCGGACATCATCTATAGGAGCATAGAGAATGGCTTCAAATAGAAACGGAGGAGAATTTACCTAAGAAGAACATTTAGAAATCAACATGAATATGCTTGCATTTAAGAAACACACTTGGGCAGCACGCTGGGGGCACAAGTCAAAGCTTCACACCAACTTTAGCTGCTTGGAGGAAAGGTGGGATATAAATGCTATAAATGCAATAAATAAATAATAATAATAATATGTATCCCAAAACATTTACACGTTATATTTGCCCCGAACCTGCTAGGCCCCAACTCATTTGTCAGCCTGGGTAGAGTGTGGTGCTGATAACGCCAAGGTTGCAGGTTTGATCCCCATATGGGATAGCTGCATACTCCTGTGTTATTGTTATTACTATTTATTGAATTTATATACCGCCCTGTACCCGGAGGTCTCAGGCGGTTCACAAAAAAGATCGACCTAAAAAACACAATATATGCAATCAAAATAAAGACAACAACCCAGTAACACCCTCACCCCACCCCCAGTGCTGCTCTTTCGATCCAGATTGAGGCATCCCTCTGTGGCTCCTTTAAAGAAAAGCACTTAAGCAAGAAGGGGAGATCCGATCAGAATTCCAGTGTTGCAGAGGGCTGGACTAGATGACCCTCAGGGTCCCTTCCAACTTCACAATTCTATGATTCTACCTTAAAGAGCAGCAACACTAGCTTAAGGTTGCAAGACCTACGTGGGCCTGATGAGGGCAAACCTCGCTGGGATTTACTTCTGAGTAGACACATACATATATTCTCTCCCTGCTTATTATATGCAGAATTCATCATGCAAAAGGCTGGGCTGGATGAATCCCAAGCCGGAACTAAGATCGCCGGAAGAAATATCAGCAACCTCAGATATGCAGATGACACAACCTTGATGGCAGAAAGTGAGGAGGAATTAAAGAACCTTTTAATGAGGGTGAAAGAGGAGAGCGCAAAATATGGTCTGAAGCTCAACATCAAAAAAACGAAGATCACGGCCACTGGGCCCATCACCTCCTGGCAAATAGAAGGGGAAGAAATGGAGGCAGTGAGAGATTTTACTTTCTTGGGCTCCATGATCACTGCAGATGGGGACAGCAGCCACGAAATTAAAAGACGCCTGCTCCTTGGGAGAAAGGCGATGGCAAACCTAGACAGCATCTTAAAAAGCAGAGACATCACCTTGCCAACAAAGGTCCATATAGTTAAAGCTATGGTTTTCCCAGTAGTGATGTATGGAAGGGAGAGCTGGACCATAAAGAAGGCTGATTGCCGAAGAATTGATGCTTTTGAATTCTGGTGCTGGAGGAGACTCTTGAGAGTCCCATGGACTGCAAGAAGATCAAACCTCTCCATTCTTAAGGAAATCAGCCCTGAGTGCTCACTGGAAGGACAGATCCTGAAGCTGAGGCTCCAATACTTTGGCCACCTCATGAGAAGACAAGACTCCCTTGAAAAGACCCTGATGTTGGGAAAGATGGAGGGCACAAGGAGAAGGGGACGACAGAGGACGAGATGGCTGGACAGTGTTCTCGAAGCTACCAGCATGAGTCTGACCAAACTGTGGGAGGCAGTGGAAGACAGGAGTGCCTGGCGTGCTCTGGTCCAGGGGGTCACGAAGAGGCGGACACGACTAAACGACTAAACAACAACAACAGACACATACAGGCGCCCTGTCACTACAACAACAACAACAACAACAACAACTGTTTCTTTTCCTTTCCTGGCCAAGGGCCCCCAGCCGCATGAGGGCCACCCCACCCCCAGGCCCTGCCTGCCCCCCTCCCGGGCTACCGCAGACCTTGAGGTATCGCTCGGCGCAGAAAATGCCGTCGCGGCGGAGCGGGGCGGCCCTCCAGGGGACGACCAGGTAGACGGCCTCGGCCGTTTGCTCCCAGCTGTAGTCGCGCACCCACACCGGCATGCTCCCGTTGCTAAGGGCCCCGTCCGCGGCGGCATCGCCGCTGCTAGGCAACGGTTTCCAGGAAGCTCTGAAGCACTTCCGGCGAACGGAGCCGGAGGATGGCGGGCGGTTGCGCGTGCGCGCTGCCTTCCCTCCTGGCGCTTCTATAGCTGCCTCTTCTCAGCCACCACTTGCACACTGGCGAAGTGGATCTCAGTTGAGGACAGGAGAGCCACTGGGTGCAAGCTTTTTTTTTAATGGCGGGCCGTTGGTTGTGGAGCAAGGCAGACCTCATGTGCCCTCGCGCAGGGCTGCTCCAGTGAGTTCAGGGCTGCGTGGAATTGCACTCCCAAAATTGCACAGCGAAATTCGCCTGGGTGCTCCCTACAAAAACTCCAGTCTGCCAGTATGCAGCCCCAGAAAAGGAGGCATTTATTTATTTTGCCGAATTGCGAAAGCGTTCAAATATAGTTTGCTTTTTCCTTCATTTCCCTCCCACCCAGAGAAAAGGCATCATCATATATAGATTGGCGGGGAGTAGAGAAATGTCATGATAAATGCAGGCCAGAGTATTGATCATTTGCATACATTTCAACTGGAAAAATACTGGAATAGAGGCCAGAGCAGGAGCAGCGCTGGGCAGTTAGAAAATCCTTTCCACCCAGACTTGTTATCAGCGAGATCAAAAGCACTGCTGAAAATCAAATATCTCCCTACTCCGACCATGAGACACCTGCCATTTGCAGGCAAAGTTAAATCAAAGTGGCTTCAACCTCTGAAGTATAACTCCCGAAATAGATTGGTTGCTATAAATAAGAATGCCTGGGACAGGTTGATTGTAGCCAGGAGGAGCAGCTGTGCAGTTTATTTAAAGAGTTTACCTCCCATGCTTTAGGTAGAAGAGAAACAAAAACAAAATTCCCAGAACTAAAGTAGTTAAAAATGTTTTTCCAGAAACCTTCAGGGTTGCTACTTTCCCCCCTGACAAAGCTCCTGCGTGTTTTATTGCTAATAGGCCATCTCCACACTTGGAAACACTGAATGAGTCCAAATGTATGAATGATACTAACGTATTACCCTTGATTGACATTAATCATCATTCCATGTTGTGCCCTGTTGTCAATAATCCAGCAGCTGCTCATTTGGTTATTTGTTTTAGCTTCATTATTGTACTAATGCTATTTTTCCTTATATGGGTAAATGCTCATCTCAATAAAAATGTTTTTAAAATGATCATGAATGCTATATCCACAGCCATAGTGACCACCTGCAGTCCTTTTTAACCCCTGTAAGTTGCCCATTGAACTTCAGCTATATGGCAGCTCATGCCTTCTATTAAGACACAGAGAGAGCAGCCCGGGGCAAGGATGAGTGCAGATCCCACATCCAGCTGGACTCAACAGGCATTTCTGTTTTTTAATCCCAGTGTTGCTCAACCAGCAGTAACAGCCAACTCAAGGCCAACTCAGTTTGTGACCTGGACCCTAAAGGCTTCTTCAGAAGTAACTCTCAATGTTCGATGGGACTTTCATTCAGGTTAATGTGCACAGGACTGCAGCCTTTGTTAGCAATGAAGATTACAGAGTGCCTTGACCCATCTTCATTGCCTCTACAGAGGAATTTTACCTCTACAGAGGTATTCCAACTCATTTTCCACTTCTGGCAGAGATGTTGCTGCCTACAGGGAAATAATAATAATAATAATAATAATAATAATAATAATAATTTATTTATACCCCGCCCATCTGGCTGGGCTTCCCCAGCCACTCTGGGTGGCTTCCAACAAAATATTAAAATACCATAATACATCAAACATTAAAAGCTTCCCTAAACTTCATACGGTTGCCACTCCAGCAAGCACCCACTTCAGTCAGGTAAACATCAAATCTAGCAGTTTGTGAATTAAACAGGATAAAATCTTTTCATCCTGATTCTTCAGATTCACAACAATGATCAATTAAGATGTGACAAAAGGTGGCATTACTGGGGGTATTGCAATGACTTCCTAATACAAGCAAGTATGTGATGCAGTGCTTCATGCACAAACAGAACACCTTCCATTCTCCTTTGTTACTTTGACAAGACTTTATTAACATTCATTTTACAAGCACTTAATTCTGTCCGTCTTCAACTTTGTGAAAAGTGAATTGAAATATTAACAATTCCAGCAGTGAATTAAAATTCTGATATGGTGCCCTCACATTTTTCTTTTTTTATGATGAACATCCTGAAGAAAAAACAAACATAGGATTGTCATTTTGGTAATGCAGTCAAATGGGCACCCATTTCTCAGTATCGCACATTGAAACATTTAACCATTTAGATCAGACACAAATTCTGTGTGTGCCTTAAGGCATTTACACTGGTTGATGCACTCGCTATCATCTACTAGAACTCAGCTTGTAATGTAAGACCAGCTAACTATCCAGAGACATAAACATGGTTCCTATACGTCATAGAGTAGCTTAACACACACCATGATATGAAATCATTTGCATTACATAGTAATTAAATTTCTTACTAAAGCAGCCTTCCCCAACCTGGTACCCTCCAGACATTCAACTGAACTACAACTCACATCAGCCAGCATGACCAGGCTTGAGGGATGATGGTGGGAACTGGAGTCCAGAAACATCTCGAGGGTCCACGTTGTTGGGGAAGGCTGAACTAAAGGAATAATAATGGACAAAGTCTGGGCGTTTGTTTCCAATTTGAATTACATACATCAACTTTGCCGCACACCACAGTTCTACTGCACGTGTTATTTCAGACATGCTCTAATTTCGTTTTCATTTAAAGTTGTTGCAAAAATAAATGTCACCAATGTGGAACACATTTGAGATTGTATAAAAGTACTGAACTGATATCCCAAAAACAGGTATATGTAAGCAGTACATAAGGAAAGACTAGTTTTAATATGAAACTGTCATTAAGTCACATACAACATAAAAAACACATGATCAAACTACGTATAAAATTTCACATGTACTTTTACTAGCAAGCAAGGCTATTATTTATATATAAAGAGAGGGGTACATATATTTTAAACATGACGTGGTAGTGTTACTATTAGATTGAAATGACATGGGAAATAGTCAAAGTTCAAGACTACTGTTTTTTAAAAAATAAAAAATATCAAGCCAAAAACATTTATGAAATTATTTCCCCTTATAATTAAAAAATGTGAGAAATAATCCCACAAGTAATTACAATATTTTATTGCAGGGCTTTAAGATAATTAGCTGCATTGCTAAATGTAGTCTCATACACCCTAACCTAAGAGCTTGTGGGAAAGATTGAGCGCTTAGGACAAATTTCAGCCTTGGAGGAAAGCAGATCAAGTAATGGTCGTGGGCCTACTGGGTTGGAGCCAGACCTCCATGTGCAACCCAAGCTGTCTCCTCTCGGCCATGTGGTGACAACAATTAGTAGGCAGAATCCGTTTCTGTGTGAAGCCATACCTTACTGGATCTGGGCAACAGAATCCTAGCACTTGGAAGACAGATTAACCCACAGCACTCAAAGCCATCATTAGTCACAGGCAGAGAATAGGAGTCAAGAAGAGGGAGAGTTGTCTACTGAGATGCCTGCAAAACAGTCAGCCTGAGAGAGGCAGGAATGCTGGCACCTGGAGAGTTGGAATCCATTGCCATCTTAAGATATAGTTGTCAAATTAGATATTTTAAAAGATAATTTAGAGGGTTCTTCAATTGACGTAAATTTAGTACAAAGAAGGATAGCTCGGTAAAGCATGAGACTCATAATCTCAGGGGTGTGGATCTGAGCCCCACGTTGGGCAAAAGATTCCTGCATGGCAGGGGGTTGGACTAGATGACCCTCATGGTCCCTTCCAACTCTACGATTCTATGATTCTAAGGAGCGAAATGACCACAGGGATAGGAAATTTATCTCCAAAAGACTTAGAGAGCTTAATCTATTTCACTTTGAAGAAAAGAGATGAAGAGGTGAGCCAGCTTATATATTCCTTTTGCATTATGCAATGCCTCTAGGCAAATATGTCAACCGATGCTATGGAAATGTGTGGGTCAGAGATAACACTAAGAAATATGGAACTTCTCTCTGTGGAATTAAGAGCATGAGAAGAATGGGATGCTGGATCAAACTGGTGACCCACCTAAGCCAGCATCTTGTTCTCAGTGGCCAACCAGATGCCAGTGTTTGATGCTTGCTGCTGTGGTATTCAAGTGACCAACTTGCACGCGACTTAAGGATAAATCAACACTCCGCAAGAGGTGGGCTTCTTGGCTCTTGAACCCATTGGTGTCTCTTTAACCAAGGGCGGCTGACCTATGGCACTACAGATGTTATTGGCACCTCAGCAGCCTCAAGCAGCATGATGATGATGGGAGTTGGAGTCCAACAACATCTGAAGGGCCACAGGTTAACCCAACTTAGACTGTTATAAATATAGGACAGCTGATATTTAGGTATAAAATGTGCAGCAGGTATACAGGATAATCTTTTCTGACTTTGCTTTGGAAGCACAGAGTCCAACCCAATCCCTGCAATGGCACCCTGAAGGCTGTTTCTTTCCTTCTGGCTCCAGTCATGTGCTTTAACAAAATATATCTGCAGTGCACCTGTCTTCTGCCTAAGTGAACACATTGTGGTTGACCCTCCAGAGGCAAAGCTGGTGGGAGAAAGCTGAACCAGATGGCCTATGCAGAAGGGACCTTTCTGATAAGACACTTCTCATCTGTCTTCTACTTAAGCACCTTCAAACCTTTTTCTCTAGCTACTGTTGCCAGTATTATCCCCATTTTGCTGACCAGTAAACTGTTCCTCCAATGCCTCAAGGACCCAACTCACCAGGGCACTGCTGGCATACAACCAGCTTTTCTTTATTTCAAGAGAGGCTGCAGAGGCACAGATCCAACACTAAACTGAACCCACAGTCTGCAGCACTGGAATTCTACCCCAGTGGAATCTGACCCCATCAGCTTATGGGTTGCCAAGTTGCTCATTTGCCAGAGATTTCAGAGAGGTTTTAGAAGCTTTGACTAATTAAAACACAGGGAATGGGAGAAGGGAGAGACATATGAGTGTGCTAGCCTCTACCCAAAATTCTAGATGAAGAAAACCTCAAAATCAGTACCTAGAACGAATTGTGATGCACAAGCCTTTACATATTTACTAATTTCCATACCCAGCCCACTGTTTAGGCCTGGATTTGTCTTTTGCAACAGTTGGGTACTATCACTCCAAATTGTTTGACACATGCTGGAAAAGAATGATTCAGTTGCTTCTCAAAGTACCACTGCAACTGAAGTACCACTGCACCTTGCACACTGGAAGTCTGCCTTGCAGAGATAGCCAGTTGCTGCTTTTCTCCAGAACCACGAAGCCTAGCATCTTGCTTTTTTACACAGAAACAAGAAGCCACGTCTCCAGGATTCCATGGCAGCAACCAAATGTTGGAGCAGAAGTTATATATATCCTCCTCTCTGGCTAAGCTGCATTTCTGCTTATTTCTAGATAAAATGAGATGTTCTATTTTTTCCTGATACTGCAGAATGATTGCTACCTATTAATAAGTATGAAGGCTTCCTGTTAGAAGCCTCCTGCTGTTGACTGCACCTGAGTTAAAAATTGATTCTACAAACATGTTGCTGAGGTGACAGCACCTAAATCTAACTGTGGCATTTGCTGCCATAAGATGTAGTGATGGACACTAAGTTGGACAGCTTTAAAAAGGCAAATTCCTGGAGGAGAATAAGATTACCAATGGCTGACATTTGGGACATTTATAACTTTTATTCTAGGAGAAGGTTGTGTTGACCAAGAAGTTCTGATGACCTTGTTATGCTCAGGTCCTGCTCACGGCTTTCCCAGAAGAGGCACCTGGTTGGCCATTGAAAGAACAGGATGCTGGACTGGATTGGCCTCCTTTGGTCTGACCCAGCTGCAGGGCTCAGCTTACGTTCCCTACTGGTGTATAACGTTCACTGCCTGAGTTGTGCACCCTCATAACCTTATGGCAAGGCTGCCCCTTCCAGCACATGTGTGCAAAGCTGCCTAAAGAGCGATGGAGGCACTCCAGGGCTCTAGTTTTACGATGACACTGATTTACTCTTAGTTTGGGGTGATAAAAGCATGCTGGGCAAAAGCCACAAACGCAAATAACATTTTCAAGAGAAAGGCTCACAAAACGTGTTTCTTTACATTCTCATTCCACAACACCGAATACAACAGAAAGTTCACGTTGGGTGTGTGAGCACCTTGAAACAGCTCTAGAAGGGCTGCAAGACATAACATTGAGAGAAATGTGTTGTCCACAAAGGCTAGCCACCAGGCTACTCCTTGTTCCTGGCATGGCTACTTTCACCCAAGAGTCAAAAGATGAACCACAACTCATCATGGGACAAACCCAGAGGTCACAGAATAAGGCACATTGTTGACAAAGGAGATTCAAGTTTAGTTGTGGTCCCAGCTAAACCTTCTAAGCCTTGAGGTCTCTTGCTCTGATTCTAGAGTTAAAGGCCATCACTGAGACCACAGCTATTGCAAGCACCTCAAACGCATAAGTATCTCAAGTACCCCAAATTTTCTTTACTCTACACATTTTTCCAACTGGCAGAGTACATTCCAAAGAAAGAAGAGAAAGGCAGCCCTCCTCAAAACGGTCACATGGGCATTATGCACAAGAATGCACCTCTTCCACTCAAACTGGAACTTCCCAAGGGTCTATGCAGTACAAACAATAAAATGATGAGACATGCAAGAGAGCCCAGGTGCTCCTCTATGGCAATTACCAAGAGAATGCTCTTGAGAATGCAGCAGCAGCAGCAATGGTAGTAGGTTACACATATTTTGCTATTTTGCTGGAACCCTCCAGGGTGTGCTGGTGCATGGCCACAAAAGAGAGAAAGTACAAGCCCCTCTGACATCTCAACTTTGCCTTACTAAAGGGAAGACCATTCTTTGGTGGAGAGTCCGTGAAGAGGAATTTGGTTGGATAATTCAGAATCCCTACTAATGAGAGTGCAGAGTTGGCATTCAAACTCCCACAAGCTCTCACAGAGCTCATTTATATCACAGCTTACTCTGGAATAAAACTCCCTTGCCTTATTTCAAAATCTCATTAACAGGCCAGGCTAATGACAGCCCACCTAGGCCTCTCAGCCCCAGCAGAATAGGCTGGGAGAAAGGCCTCATGAGGTCACAAAGAGGGGACTAGACTGAGGCACACACTGCCTCCTGTAGGTTACATGATCTCAAGAACCCAGGGCTGAAGAGGGAGGGAAGCTGTGCGGTTTACAGTCAAAATCACAAATGGATGTTTTGCTAGACAAGCACAGAGAATTCTTGAATTTTCTACAGAGAACCCTCTTGTGTGTGGTCACTTCCTTTGCCTCCGCTGGGAGGGAACTCTATAACAAATGAGACAATCCTTTTTCTTTCCTTTTGCCTGTAAGGGGACTCTCTCTTTCCACTATGCCTCCAAGCTGACCAGATGCACATGCTTTCAGCCATGTTAGTTAAGACTACCAACTTTTATTTTACTGTAACTTAGAAGTATTTTCTGCACACTAAAAGGTAAAGGTAAAGGGACCCCTGACAGTTAAGTCCAGTTGCGAACGACTCTGGGGTTGCGGCGCTCGTTTCGCTTTACAGGCCGAGGGAGCCAGCATTTGTCCGCTTCACAGTCAGTTTTGTGGTTGCTGCAGCCGTTCTTGGATTTAAGCTTCAGTTAAACTAAGTGTAGGCAAACTCGGCCCTTCAGATGTTTTGGGACTATAATAATAAATTATTATTATTATTATTATTATTATTTCTATCCCGCCCTCCCCAGCCGAAGCTGGGCTCAGAGCGGCTAACAACAGTAAAATGATACCGCATTCTAAAATCATTTCATTATAAAATCAATTCAAATCAGATTAATGGCAACCATTGGGCTGGAGTTTTGTGAGGATTGCCAAAGGAGGGAGTCAGGCTGTGCCCTGGCCAAAGGCCTGGTGGAACAACTCTGTCTTGCAGGCCCTGCAGAAAGATGTCAAGTCCCGCAGGGCCCTAGTCTCTTGTGACAGAGCGTTCCACCAGATCGGAGCCACAGCCGAAAAGCCCTGGCTCTGGTTGAGGCCAGCCTAACCTCTCTGTGGCCCGGGACCTTCAGGATGTTTTTGTTTGAAGACCATAAGGTCCTCTGTGGGACATACCAGGAGAGGTGGTCCCGTGGGTACAAGGGTCCTAGGCCGTATAGGGCTTTAAAGGTTAAAACCAGCACCTTAAACCTGATCCTGTACTCCACCAGGAGCCAGTGCTGCTGGTACAGCACCGGGTGAATGTGATCCCGCAGTGAGGAGCCTGTAAGTCTCGCCGCGGCATTCTGCACCCGCTGGAGTTTCTGGGTCAGTCTCAAGGGCAGCCCCACATAGAGCGAGTTACAATAATCCAGTCTGGAGGTGACCGTTGCGTGGATCAGTGGCTAGCTCATTCCTAGCTAACAGGACCAGTGGTCAGTGATAATGGGAGTTGTTGTCCCAAAACATCTGGAGGGCCGATTTTGCCTATGCCTGGTTTAAACAGAGAAGTGTGGGTTGGGTACAGCCCACAGAGGACTGACTCTTCTCTAGATGGGCTACAAGGTTAAATTCATCTAATTCAAACATCAAAGGCCTTGGGGAATTATAATTCAAACAAGGCATGCCAACAGAACATGTACAGTTCTGCCCGCAGATATCCTTTGTGGGCCGCTCAGGCTGCCTGTGTCTCAGTAGTGCACCCTTCCTGTGGAACGCCCTCCCATCAGATGTCAAGGAAATAAACAACTATCTGACTTTTAGAAGACATCTGAAAGCAACCTTGTTTAGGGAAGTTTTTAATGTTTGATCTTTTATCATGTTTTTAATATTCTGTTGGGAGGCACTCAGAATGGCTGGGGAAACCCAGCCAGATGGGTGGGGTACAAATATATTATTATTATTATTATTATTATTATTATTATTATTATTATTTTAATGAGAAAAAAAATGAGGCTAAAACGCAGTAGAATTTCCACCAACCATCCATAGCTGCAACAGCTGCTCATTCCTCCAGCATTATTCAGAAATTCATGTGCTCTGTAAACCTCACTTTAGAGGAGATCAGTGAAGCCACAATGTGTTGGAAGAGCTTGGGGTTCCCACGGAAGTGAAAAAAGACTTTTTGTAATGGAGAAAAACACTGACCTAAGGTCTTTTCCAGACAGGCTTTAGATATTAAAGAGTTGGGAAACCCGGGCTATTGTTTGTGCCCTGCACTCTGGTCTCTGCACCTGATCTACTGTATCAAATCCCCAAAGGCAATTACACTGGGGCGAGTAGAGGAGAAAAATGCTGGGCGTGACCTTCCCTTCCCTGGAGGGAGACATTATACCCTCCAAAGACAAGCAGTTTTCAAGAACACAGCCAGAAGCAAAACAAAAACAGCAGCAGAGCTGAGAAGCTCAACTGCAAGCAGCAGAGGAAGGAGCATGCGATGGCAGTGGACATCTGAGCGAGCAGCCAGGGTCCCAGGGCAGACCCTGAACTGTATGGGAAAGCAAGCACTGCAAAGAGCAGCTGAGCGGACACAAAAACACACTAAAGCAAGAGTTACAAACAAAGCCAAATGTGCAAGCTAGCTGTGATTGAGGGCAGGAAAAAGGGAGACAGAGGCTGCCTATGTGCAACAGTAAATTCTGTACAGCAGGCACCAGAGTAAGTCCATGTGGAACCAAATGCACATTCCCAAGCCAAAGAAAAGTTAGCATGCTTAATAAGTCAAGTCCCTCTGAAGACAGTGGGACTTGAACAATTTACCATACTAGCAAATTTATCTGGATTACATTCATCACACAAAAAGGTCTAAAGAGCCCAGAACTCTAATCTAGCACCACAATGGAGTTCCAAGACAGCCAACACTGGGATGGCAGCATCACACTTCATGGTCTTGCAATGCCATTGCGGAGGACATGATGGGTCTTGGAAAGGGTGAGTGTGTATTAATATCACAGACATACAAACCTCAATCCCTTTTTGAAAAAAGGGAAGAAAAAAAACATTCAGGCCTGCTGAGCTTTTATGCACTTAGTCTTATTGATGCTCACTTGGCCAATGAAAACTACAAGAGTTCTTGCTGAGTAAATGTGTTTGGAAACAGGCTGCTAAAGACCATTAAAGAGATGCCCACTGAGTAAGTCTTCAGAATTCACTAAAAATGGACCTGTTCCTTATCTTCAAAGCTCACCAATATGTTCTGAAAGAGCAAGCTAAATCAAAATGTGAAAAGGAGGTTAATATGACTTGAGGTTTTCAGCTACTTATACAAATAGTTTGACATTCCTGGTGATCATTTTAAAATAAATATTGCTTGATCCTTCTCCCTGTGTCATGCCCTCAACCTTCAGAACTTAAGAAAGGCTCCCAAACAGAGGACAGAATTAACTACCATGTACTCAAAAGATAAATCAGTATATGGTTCCTCCAACACTGCCAAGTGGAATAGCCCTGGGCAAAGTGATCCACAAAGGCAGATGTTTACATACCCCCAAACTTTCCATGTGAGTAAAGCCATATTGGCACTTAATCGTCAGTTGAGCATTTGATAGAAGTTCTCCTGGTAAAATCTTAATGCACTTGGGCAGAAAGTGAAGACCAATTGCTCAAAAGAAAGCAAACAAAGCCCACCCATGACTGAAAAAGGAAACACCGTACAAATGGCAGCCAGTTGAGTATCTGAAGGAACCAGGATGGGCATCACGCATCAGCATTCAACACTAGTGGCCCAGCTGTTTCTCTGGTGCGCATCAGCTGAACATCCTTGTCCGCCATGCAGGTGTCACAGCCCCACACTGCCGATGCTTCTGCAGTGAGCAGTCCGTAGGCAGATTCCGTCATGCCTGTGCAGATCCGATGAAACCATTTTTGACAAGAAGCTTCACACAAGATGGCATCCTGGTCATCGTTCACTTCGTGGGTACAAATCCCACAAGGATAGACTGGCTCAGAGGCGGCGTGACCATGCTGACCAGGGTGTAGGGGCATTTTGCTGCCCTTCTCAGAGCTGCCTCCTTCAGCTGGACCTCGGCTGGGGAGCCGGGGCTTGTTCTGAGCCCCATTCGCATGATTGCTGTTCAGATTTTCAACATTTTTAGAAGGGATGCTCTCCTGGTTTGATGGGTTATTTCGATTCACAGTCTTTATATCTGTGTTTCCTGAGTTCGCAGTGTCCTCTGGGCCGTGCAGATGATGTTGTGGCGGGGGGTGGTTGTGCTTATTTGCACCTTGCTTTTGCAAAGGCTTTGCCTGGTTGTAATTGTTTGGCGAGGGAAAGAAAGAATGGTTTGACTCCATCTGGGAATTGTTGAAATTGGGGTTGCCGCCAGGTCCAAAGTGCAATGGCATGTCATGGGGTGACATCTGTGTTGTGTTCTGTGAAGGAATGTGACCAAAATTCTCACCAGGGTTCGGCCTGAAGTGTTGGCCGGACATGCCAACATTCTGATTCATGTTACTGTTATAGGATGGCTGGTTTCCAAAAGACACATTTTCATGTGGCCCAAAGTTAATTGGTTGAGGCCGGTTGTAGACCATTCCCACTGGGTTCTGGGGAAATGGGTGTGGCTGGTTTCTAAGTGGGTAAGTAGCACCGTATGGTGAGGACATCCTGGGAACCATCTGCGGTGGCATCCTGAACGTGTTGTAGCCTCCAAAGCCTGGGTAGCTGGGATTGGCAAAATATGGGTTCCCCAATGGCAACGGCTTGTAAGAAAGATTGTTGTAGTTGTCATCAAACGGATTTGCAGCTACAAGGTGATCAGAGCTGGGATTTGGTGGAGGCGCATATTCAGATGGTGGAGGAAAGGATGACCCCTGGAAATGTTAAATCAGAAATCAAGATTACTTGGAATTCCAACAGAAGAGAAGGCCAAACCTGAGGATCCCCTCATCTCATGAAATGAAACATCTGTGTCTGTTACAAAGGTGGGTTGCTGGCCTCAGAATCCATTTAGGATTCCTCCACTGCAAAAGCATTAGTCTTTCCATTCTTCATAGTATGCCCACTCCTGCAGCTGCTGCCTGCACAAACTCCCTTTCAAGAGGACCATAGTACTCACATACAAGGCCGGTCACATATTGGTCATCACCTCAAACCACCGGTTGGTCCTTTCCAGCCAATACATTTTTGCAAGTCGACTAAGTGTTAAATACAATTATCACAATTAGAGAGAGATCTGTTAGACTGTCATGTTAAAGTGATGTCTAAAATGTATAATGATACACTGGGCAATAGATATTGGTCATAACATAGAAATGGAAGCATGGGAGCAATTGTGGAATACGGACATAAAATTTACAGCAGGCTATGGTATAAGAGAAAATTATATGAAAATGTTATATAGATGGTATTTAACACTTAGCTGACTTGCAAAAATGTATAAATCAAAAGTGAATTAAGTGATGGAAATGTAAAGAGAAAGAAGGTACATTTTTTCACATGTGGTGGTCTTGTAATAAGGTTAAAGCTTACTGGGAAAGCTTTTTTCTTGGGAATCCTTCTTATAGGATCAGAACTACCTACACAGTATAGAAATTTATTTATGTATGCAACTACAGCTGCAAGAATGTTATTTGCCTCAAAGTGGGAAGATGTCCTGATGAAAGAAGAATGGATACTGAAACTAATAGACTATGTAGAAATAGTGAAGCTTATCAGAAGAATAAGATATCAAGATGCTAAATTTTTTATAAAGGAATGGAAATGGTTTGTTGAATATTTACAAATAAACTGTAAACAGATTAAGACATTGGCAGGATTATTGTAAAAACCTGCAGTTCCAAAAATATATATGAAAACAGATGATTAAAAGAATAAGTTAATATCATTTAGAGTATGCAGAGAATGTGAAAATAAATATAAGGAAACACAGATAGAGGGGAAGGAAGTCAAGGTTTGAAATGTTAGAATTATTGCTGAACTATTGTTGTAATGTATATAAATGAAAATTATATTTAATTTTTTTTTTTTAAGGAAAGAGATAGGAACCCCCACAGGGGAAGAGTCAGGCGAGTTTAGATTTTCCAGCCAAAGGGAAGAGGCACAAGGCAGCTTACCTGAACATTTGACTTGCGCTTTTTCTTATCTGGACTGCCAAGCTGCACACCTGGGCCTCCTAACCCATCCAATCCACCGTCACCACCTATAAGATTATACTGTTATGTAGTTAACTTTTTGACAAGATTATGGATTGTGCAGGCAAGTCGAGCTGTTCAATATGTGTCTATGTAACATGCATTTACTTAGCATTGCTGTCCAGAGAAATGGCAGTACAGAGAATTTCTGCAATCAGACTAAGATACAGTACTTCACATAACTTAAGATATGTTACTAGTAACCAGTCTTTTATTTCACAGCTGGGCATCAACTGTGTCTTCTCCTATGGATTGAAACATACCTCTCTCTCACTTATATGGGTGCTGTGTTCTGTTTTGGGTAGATTCTAGCCAACTACATGCCTTCAGAATTATATGGTTAAGCTACTGGGAGGATGTACAAAAATACAGTGATACCTTGGTTTACAACCATAATCCACTCCGGAGGTCCGGCTGTAAACCAAAACAGGTTGTAACCCAAGACACGCTTTCGCCAATGGGGCCTCAAAAAAAAAAAAAAGGGTTGTAATCCAAAAAAACAGACACACACTTCAGGATTTGACGTGGTTGTAATCCAAAACGGTTGTAATCCAAAACGGTTGCAAACCAAGGTACCACTGTATGTGAATATGTAGCACAGTGAGAAATTGGAAACAGACAAGACTTGGAACTTTGCAATTAAGACACAACTCTCTAAGGTGAAGGAAACATCCAAAAATGACTGTTCTCTTTGGTACTCTGAGAATCTTGTGGCCCCAAGTTAAATGAAGGCTTCAGCAAGTGATGACAATTAGTGATCTCAATTAGTGATGACAATTAGTGATTAGGGAGCTTTAAGACCTACACTGATTATTGTCTTCCAAAGCAACTACTCTATTCCGAACTTAAAAATGGAAAGCGTAATGCTGGTGGTCAACAAAAGAGGTTTAAAGACTGTCTCAAGGCAAATCTTAAAAAATGTAGTCTAAACTGGGAGCGCTCCAGTTGGAGAACAGCCTTTACCAAAGGTGTCATGGACTTTGAAGACACTCAAACTCAGAACGCAAGGGAGAAACATGCTAAGATTGGCAAATCCACACCGTGATCAACTCCCACCCGGGAACCAATGTCCCCACTGTGGAAGGACGTGTGGGTCCAGAATTGGCTTCCACAGTCACTTACGGACTCATTGTTAAAACCGTGTTTATGGAAGACAATCTTACTCGTCTATGAGTGATCAGCAAAGGAGGAGGAGGAACAAGACTGGAATGCAGCTGAGACAAGTCATTCCCTTTTCATTCCAAAAATTCAGCATAGTAGCAGCCTTAAGATGTTTTGCCTTTAGCAAGGTAGTTGGAAGCTTTGCAAAAAAAACCACCACAGCAGTCCCTGCTGCCTGTGTGCCGAGCTCCCGACCCTTCTCCATTCAAGGTGCCTCAGGAATGCTCCCGGGCTTGCTGGACGGTTGTCGGAATCGGACCGCGTGCCGATCTGTGTTCTCCCTCTCTCTCAGCGCCCTTCCCTGGCAATGATCCTTGAGGCCTACGAGTGTCTGAATGGGTGCATCTCCCAAGAAGGACGGGGCCCTTTCTCAGTCACACGGCAAACAATCAATCCCGAGTCAGCAACCCCAGGGCACCGCCGCCCCCCGCTTTGTCCTCCCCCTGCCGCCCAGGCACCAGCCCTGCAGAGGCGTCCGAGGAGCCCCTCCGAGAACCCTTGGGAGGGAAGGCCCCCCTCCTGCCGCAGAAGGCACGGCGGGGCCGAGGCGCCCCTTCGGGGGCTCGAGAGCCAGGAGGCGGCCGGAGAGGGGCTCGCCAAGGGACCGGGAGGCTTCCCTGGCCTGGCCCGGCCGGAGGGAAGAGAGGCCGCCCCGCTCTCCCGGCGGCGGCGGCCAGGCGAGGCGAGGGCGCCGCCACCTCCACCTCCGGGCCGGGGCCTGGCGCGGCCGCTCCTTCCCACCTCGGGGCCTCTTGAGCGCCGCGGCGGGGTCCTTCTCGTGTTCCGCGGACATCACCGGCGAAGCATCGCTCCAGGCCCCGCCAGGCAGCAGGAGCGGAGGCGGCGAGAGGGCCCGGCGTGGGGCGGCAGCGGGGAGCGGGAGCCGCAGCAGCCGCCGCCCTTGCGTGGAGACCCCCGGCGGGGGAGAAGGGAGGGAGCTGGCCGGGCAGCTCCGCCCGCGGCCTGGCTGGGCCCGGAGGGGCCGCCGCGACGCCCTCCGCAGGAAGGAGGCAGAGGCGGCCGCGCTACCGGCCCATCCCGGGACTCCACGTGTCGCCCAGAGGCGTGTGCACGCCGCCCGCTGCTGCTGCTGCTGCTGCTCCTTCGGCTCTGGAGGAGGCAGGTTTCCCCGCCCGGGGAGTCGAGCAGCGGCTTCTTGCAAGCTCCTCGGGGCAGGGGCTCGGCCTCTGGCGCTCTGCGGGAATCGCTGGAGGAGGAACGGAGGGGTCGGCCCCAGGACTTGGCACCGGAGGAAACGTGTCGGAAGGGCCGAGGTGTGCGACTACCGGCCCCAGCCTCAAATGCTGACACGCTGCTGCCCGCCCTTCCCGGAGAGCCTGAGCTCCGTGGGGGCGCCCGCTTCCTCTGTCCCTCCCGAGAATACTGCTCAAGTCGCTTGCTAGTTCCGAGAAGTTGGAAACACTTTGTCAAAAAAGGAACGTGCACATCTCCCTGAACTACAAAGGTTTTATGTCCCTGAACACCAAAATAAGATTTGGGCGTGTTCTATAATTAATTGTCACTTTAGCAGCGCTGGGAGACAAGCGTAAAGTAGACGCACTTGGGCTGACTGGAGATGCAGTAGTTGATCCAGACTGAATAGATCTCCATGATCCCAGGATTCAACTCTCTGAGTTCAGTGAGAATTTCCTTCATTCAAATTGGCCATGCTTGTGAGACACTCGTAAATGTGTGATGACATTACAGTATTGTACACAAACCTTAAAAAAGAAGGAACTGCCACCACAAAATATGCTTTGGGCCACCACAAATCTTATGCCCACCCAATCAGGGGTGTGACTTCTGCAGGCTGACATGGGATCCCACCTGTTTCAGAGCTTCATCTGGGTCTATGGCATAGAGAAGGGCATCTGTACAATCAAGCATGTTTTATGCATAGCTGAAATACGTTTTGAAAATTAAGTAATGGGGGATGGGCACTGCAAAATGTGCTTTGGGCCACCCGCAAATCATGCGTCCAGGAGACTGTCCTTTACAAAATGGCACTGGATCCTGCCTGGCTTACATCTCCCAGTCCAATCAGTTTCAGAATTGCTTTTGAAGCTTTTATCCAGAAAGGTATAAAAACTGAGCTCTTGATCCCACCACAACCTGTTCTGGTTTGCTGGGTTCCACTTGCTGCCTACAGGCATTTTTTCACTACTGCCTCTAAGATCTTCCTCTGCTTTTCCTTTGCTTTCAACTGCTCCTCTGGGTTCCTGCTTGCTGCAGCTGCTTCAAAAGCCCCTTTCAGGACTCCACTACATTCCTGTTCCTGAAGCCAGGATCCTGGCCCCAGCTGCTCAGACCAGGGCTCCTGCCTACCTGTCCAGCAGTTTCCTACCAAACCCAGGAGCTTCAGTGTGCCTTAGTTCTCCTTCCTCAGATATGCCTGCTAAGACAGGCAATGTAGATTTTGCTACCTGACCTGTCTTATGGATATCCTTCACCTACAAACGGTAACCTCTACACCTGACTCCCTCTTCCCTGCATCTTTGAGCAGTTGTGCATTGTGTTTTTTGTTTCCTCGGGGTGTGTGCATGACCATGTTTTAGAAGCCTCCCTGCCCAGCTGCGCGTGACTCAGGCTTAGTCTGAGCCCAGGGACAAAGAGCATGGTTCCCTCTGATTCAGATCAGCAGGAGGAGACGCACTTGAAGAATCAGAGATGGGGAAAGGCTGTGCAGGAGAGCCTGTTTGGTGAAGCCCCTTGCCTCTGCCTCCAGACCTGATGAGGCAGCAGGAGACCCTTCCCAGACTCTGGAGGATGAAGGAGACTCAGGCTCAGAGGCCAGTCCTGTTGTGACAGAGCATGAGAGCTCAGAGGAGGAGGAATGTTAATCTAGGACAGGGATTCTTGAGAGCAGCTGATCCTCTCAACCTCTGCTTAAAAGCTTGGTGGCTAGACGGGGAAACTTGTTGGAACAACCTTGCAGCTCCCAAACTCTTGCTACTCATGTCAAGCCTCCTCTGCACCATATGTGTGAAGCACTATTATGCCACTTGGAGAGTCATAACTTCCTTCAAAGAACGGCAGTTTGTTACGGGTGCTGAGCGTTGTTGGGAAACCTAAAATTCCCAGAGCTCCTTGGGAAGATGGGCTGTTAAGCCACTCTGAGCATCGTAGCCATGTGAGGGGAATAGGAGTCTCCTGACAACTTTCGGCCTAAATACCATACTATTTCCCCCATGATACTTTGGGGGAAGCCATGGCTAATAAGTGCTTTAAATGTATGGTACGGATGTAGCCTGGGACTCTTCAACCTTTGTTCAACTGGGTTTATTATGGCTGCTCCTCTGTCTTGTAACAGCACCTGGACCGGATTGTGCTCCTCCCTAGCCTCCCGAGTTTGTACAATTTGACTGCCATAATAAGAGTTTTCTTCTTTATTTACAAGGAAACACCTTTGTTTGGTCTTAAGAGGGAGCCAGGGAGCCATCCTAAGTAGCGCTGAGCACCTCCTCCATCTCCTGGTGGTTTGGTGTGGGTTGATTTAATCATGATTAGAATTAATGAGCTAACTTCCTCAAACCATATTGTTACTAAGTTATCCCCATATTGCTTTCATAGGTACGCATTGTTGCAGAACTAACCCCTGCTGGAGTGTTGGATTTGTATACCTGTATTTTGATTGCCTTTTGTGTGCGCAATAAACACTCCTATTTTAAGACCCGTGCAAGTCAATGGGCAAATCTGCCAAAGCACACTGTTGTTGCTCTCCAAAAGATCCTAATTCACGACGGTCCTAGAACATGTTTGTGAAGCTCCTGTCCCATGCATTCTAATACAGTGGTACCTTGGTTCTCAAACGCCTTGGTACTCAAACGGCTTGGTTCTCAAACACCAAATACCCAGAAGTGTGCCAGTTTTTGAACGTTTTTCGGAAGCCAAACGTCCGATGCAGCTGTCAGCTATTGTTTCCGGGGCACCTGCACCAATCAGAAGCTGCGCCATGGTTTTCGAACATTTTGGAAGCCAAATGGACTTCCAGAACAGATTCAGTTTGGGCTTTTGTTTTTGCTATTTATTTTGCATTTTTGTTTTTGAGGCTTTTTTAGTTAATTTGTTTTTGTGACTGTGCGAAACCCAGTTCTGCTACTGATTGTTTGATTCTGTGACTATGAAAATGGATAAAAGCCCCCCATTCAAACAATGACTATCATCAGTGCAAGTAAGAAAAAAATGTAATTTTAATTTTTATCATCTACAATACTGTCTTGATTATTGCTTTCAATTTATGTATGGATCAATACAGTGGTACCTCGGGTTAAGTACTTAATTCGTTCTGGAGGTCCGTTCTTAACCTGAAACTGTTCTTAACCTGAAGCACCACTTTAGCTAATGGGGCCTCACACTGCCCCCACGCCGCTGGAGCACAATTTCTGTTCTCATCCTGAAGCAAAGTTCTTAACCGAGGTAATATTTCTGGGTTAGCGGAGTCTGTAACCTGAAGCGTATGTAACCTGAGGTACCACTGTATACAGAAGCACAAACACAGCCCCATACCCCAAAAGAAAGCACTACAGAAAAATGGCAGTTGCCCTTTGAATTTTAAATCCCCTTAGGAAACAGCAGCCTCTATAGGAAAAACAGTGTAAGTAGCAGGCCGGGCTCTGCAAAACACTTGTCCACACCTCAGCCATCAAACAGCAGGGGGCAAAGCAGAGACACACACCTTGTGGAAGCTGTTATTATTAAATGTATTTATTAAAGGTATATACTGCCCTTGGCACTGAGGTCTAAACCACAGAGCCTAGGGCTGGCCGATCAGAAGGTCGGCAGTTCGAATCTCCGCGACGGGGTGAGCTCCCGTTGCTCGGTCCCTGCTCCTGCCAACCTAGAAGTTCAAAAGCATGTCAAAGTGCAAGTAGATAAATAGGTACTGCTCTGGCGGGAAGGTAAACGACGTTTCCGTGCGCTGGTCTGATTCGCCAGAAGCGACTTAGTCATGCTGGCCACATGACCCAGAAGCTGTACGCCAGCTCCCTCGGCCAATAAAGTGAGATGAGCGTCGCAACCCCAGAGTCGTTCGCAAGTGGACCTAACGGTCAGGGGTCCCTTTACCTTTTAGTGCCCTTAATCCACAGATCATAGGGCGTTGACATAAAAATGCAATATAAAAACACAAAATACATGAGAACAGCAAGAACAAAAAATAAACAGATAATCCACCCCATATAATTAATAATGTTCTTAATTAAGGCCTATAAACTGTCTTTTAAGAATGAAAAACACTGTAAATGTTTGAATAAAATGTTTTTATAACAAAAGACTAAAGAAGGTTATCCACCCATAAATATAGGACTATGTGAACAGAAACGATTTGCAATAGCAAAGAGATATACTAACGTTGAGTCCACTGCTGACCAATTTTGACACCTTCAGCCAACAGCTCCAAGCCATGTACACAGATGGCCAACTGCCTGATCCGGGAGCTAAGGCAGGGGAATCGGTTGGTGGGGAAGTATGCCAGTGAATTTCAGCTGCTGGTACAGGAATTGGCCTGGAATCAGGCAACTCTAGTGGACCAGTTTCAAGAAGGGCTTTCAGACCCGGTTGTAAACGAACTAGCCCACACAGAGTGCACAGCCGACCTGCAAAACCTGATTCATCTGTGCCTCAGATTGATGACTGTCCTATCAATCTGATTCCTGGGTCTCAAATTCCAGTAGTCTGTATCTACCTTTTGTCGGAACCTGAATGGGCTGCGTTACGCAAGTTCATCACCAAGAACCTGCAGAGATGTTTTATATAACCCTCTTCCTCACCAGCTGCTACTTCTGTACTATTTGTGAAAAAGTTGGGGGAGTTGTGGCTTTGCAATGACAAGTGGCAGTTGTCTCGCTATATAGTGAAATTCATGTTAAATTGCTGTTTTTAAAAGTCTGGAATGGATTAATCAGTTTTGCATTACTTTCTATGGGAAAGTGCACCTTGGTTTTGGAACGCTTTGGTTTTGGAACGGACTTCTGGAACGGCTTAAGTTTGAGAACCAAGGTACCACTGTAGTTCTAGCGGTAGAATGCAGACAGGCATGTGTTGGGATGTTCAGAGACGCATTAGCACATCTGTAGTTCTGGCAAGATTTGATGCAGTGCTTTGTTTCTCCCATTTCTGTCTTAGTGTGGTGACACACCACATAGTGTGTGGGTGTTGGAAAGAGGACTGAATGCTTCATTTTGAGATGTTTTTTCTAGAGATAGGCTGCTAGAAATATACTGCCAGAATTAGCCATTAGAGAAATACGGTTAGTTTGCCTTGGTGTTCCAAGTGCAAACTGAAGGCGACACTTTTGGGACCAGGAAGAAGAGAGAGAAATGTGAGAGCACCCACTTGGGAAAGGTTGGGATGCAAGCAAAAGTAGGAGAAATAAAGTGAGTCATCAAATTGGGCAATTAGGACCCCCATTCTAAAAGAAGTATGCAGTGCGCTGTTGAAAAAGTGAGCAGTGAATGGGAGGGGACAGCCTTTGAGGGGCCTTATAATGTAGCTGAGCAGCAAGGGGTGTGTGTGTGTCTATGCACAAATTTGTGTTGGGGAAAAACCAAAACAGGAAGTGTCTCAAGACGAAGGTTGAGGTGCTGGCTATGGCGAGGCTTCATTGCAAGAGTGCATAATAAATATGTTTAAAGTCTGAATACCACTGGCTTATAAAAATGGTCTAAACTTTTGGTAAATAAAAATACTCAGTTCATACCAAATTGTGCAAAATACTCAAAGGGCCTTTGTTGAGAAAGCCAAGAAGTAGGGGGCATAACCATGTGAGAGCGGAGTTCCTCCTTGTATGGATTCTTATGATGGTATGGGAAAACACTGCTGAGAGACTATTTTGTCTTCCCAAGAATGGTCCTGGTGTCCTTATTTCAGCTTCCTCCCTCACTTGTTCCACTTGCAAAGTCCCTTCCCAAAGTATTTACCCATCAAAGACAATTACTCCTTGAAAGAAAAAAGGAAAACTTTTACTAAAGGAAACTTTTATTTAAACTGTGCAATCCATCAGTATTAGACAGCAGTTTTATAAACATTTTGGCATTTAAATTTCTACTCATTTTTGGCATGACATTTGTGCTAGTATAAGAACAAGCCTGAGGGGTGGGGAAGAGGAGAAACACACCAAGGTTTAACATTCACTATAATGCTATTTTTTAAAAAAAGAATTTCGTTTTAAAAAATCCACATTATTAAACAAAACATTAAAAAATACATTGAAAAAGGTACATTCATTATCAAGGCAAACACCAGCTGCCCTCATGCAATGGAATTCACAGAGCTGATCCCCTGAGTCAAATATAAAATTAATATAATTCAGCTTTGTCCTCCATTTGCCAGTCAGCTGTTGCTGCCCTTACCAGAAACAGCAGAAGGAGCGCAGGGAGCCAGAACGCCCTTCGCAAAAGAAATATAGCTGGACTCCCGCACTTGCAGTTCATTCACATATTTAAAAATACAACAGAAACAAAAAATATTTTTGTTTTTTAAAAGCCTAGGTTTCATGAACAAGCCATTTACCAAAAGCACAAGGTGGGTTTAAGGGATGTGTATGTGCACGAAAGACAGAAGGAAAAACAACAAATTCCTACTGGGTCCAAATCATGCTCAGATCAGATTCAAATTTGTGGATCTGGTTTGAGCAAGATGTTTTATAGTGGGAGTGTGGCTGCGTCTGCTTGGCCATATCTTGGCTTAAAAAGCTATGAATGAGTGTTTGCCCATGAATGCAGCTCCTTTGCTCCTAGCTAGCAAACTTGGAAGTCTTCAATTAACCACTGTTTCCTGTTTTATCCAAACTGGGAAACTATGGTTATCAGCTTTGGAATAAGACAGGATGCTGAACCATGGTTTGAAGCTGTGTTAACATCCTAGTTGGTTCCAAAGCTGGTAACCACAGTTTCCTGGTTCAGAAAAAAAGATAAACTAAAGTTCAATCAAAGGCTTCCTGGTTCAGCCACAGCTTGTCAAAGGGACTGTGTACATAGAGCAAAGACATGTTCATATCCAGCAGCTGTTATTTAATCTTAAGTGGTAGAATAACTAAAAGGAACAAATTTGTAAAGCTATCACAGGGAAATGCTTTAAATTTTCTAACTTTACCAGAAATAGTGCCAGTGCAGAGGTTGGGTAGATGTGTCTTTAGAAAATTCTTGCACTTGGCCCAGTGGCGGATTCTCACAGTACAGCACATGCACTTGAGACTCAAGAGAGATCAGCATCCCAGACATGAGCCAGGCAGGCTTTTCAAATCACGCCAGTTTCCTTAAAGACCTAAAAGATTGCACACATACACACGCTCCTTACGCCAGCCCTGGCTTTTGGGTTGACATCACACTGAAAATATATAATCTGGACCTATGCTCATCCTCTAATACATATTTGGAAAAATTGGCCACTACACAAGGGAGAGAGTCTTCCCACCTCCAGAACTTGGGGTCTGTGGACAGTCATCACCAAACTAGATAAAATTCTGCCTGCACATTTTGCTCACAAATACCAGAGGTAAGAATAACAAGCGCAAAGCCTGCTCCCTGGACATCATGGCATCAGCATTATTGCCACATGGTCATGAGGCTGCCATTGGGGGCAAGCACCCATGGCTCAGCACACCATTTATGCTGCCTGGGGCCACTCTTTCGGTGTCTTAGCATTGAAACCAATGGGACTACTCCAGAACATGCACTTTCCAGATAGCATCATTTCCACCCAATTCAGATCCCACTGGGATCAAAAAAGGTTCTCTGTTGGTTCTTCAGAGGTAAAGGAAATGACAGTTTTACTCAGCTATCCTTTGGACATTTTTAAAGGCCAAGGAAATTCACATTCTAGAAGAAGATAACTTCTGTGATAAAGGAGAGCCCCAAGAAAGAGTCATTCTTGAAAGTTGGCTGGCTTACAACCCCTTCTAGGACTCAGCAGCGGAAGCTGCTCCCACAGCCATCACACCCTGGGATAAAGAAGGGTGTAGAATTATCCTTGGTTTTGCCATATGGTGATTCAAAGGCAAAGCAAGTCCTAAGCGCCTCTCTGGATGCAGGCTGGAGGGACACATTATAATATAATGCTAACTCAAAAAAAAAAAAAGGCAAAGAGACCTACCTAACACATCATGCCTCTATACTGAGGTAACCTTAAATATCTTTGGTTTTTTTCTTCATTTGCTGCTAAGTAGTACTTGAATAAAAGCTATTTCTTTACTGGCAGATCACCTTGTGGATAAAGCCACTCTCTTTAGTTAACTGGATATCTTTGGAAACTGAGGCAATTAACCCGCTGTCTGACTGACAAGAATTCCAGTAGAAGACACGTGTGAGGTAAAAGTAGTATCTTTACTCAGATGAGCCAAGATTTGCCCACACAAATGCAGGCAGACTTTTAATTTTCACAGAGCTCTTTGTGAGGCCTCACAGAGTCCCGTGTAACTTGAAAGCTATCGCAACCTTATCCCAGTCTAAAATGCTCAGGGCAAGAGAGATCGCGAAGCATCTTCCAGCCTAAGGGCCCAACAATGGCAGCCACCATCTACTACGGTTCCCACAGCCGCACCTGCTCCTCTTGATTATTCCCAGAGCAGCCGTGGAGCTTGATGGGTCTTTGGCATGAAACTGCTGAGGAGGGGGATCTATTGGCGTCACCCAACAGGATCAGGAAGGGGTCAAAAAGTGTCAGTACTTCACAGCAAACAAGTCTTTGGGAGAAGAAAATGGTTACCTTGGCATATCAGCCATTGCTAAGAGGCTCCCCAAGGATGCCAGGAGTTTCACGGCATGAACCGTGCCATCTTTTGTCTCCTGGCTTCAAGCAGCGCACTCTCCACTGTGCCCGACACAGCTTTGTCCAATGAGACCAAAAATAAAATCTTTGGTGAGACAAGTTTCTTTTTCTTCAGCAAGTAAATATATATATATAAAACACATTTAAAAATATTATAATGTATCTAATACTGGACTGTTAAAGGAGCTTAGTTGCTGAAGAAAAGGAAAACAAAATTACACTTGAAAGTCTTTGGAGATTTTATATGCTGAAAAGGTCTTATTTCAATTTTCTTTAAAGGCTGACTTTTGTAACAATAAAGATAGTTAACATTGTAGAACTAATTTGGACCATAAACTCCTACAGTCCATAGAGGCCCCTTCTCGTTTGGTTCTCTCCTCCTTTTGGTTAGTAACTACTTAGGTAATAAAATGTATGCAAACCTATAGTTTTAACTAGCTCAATTACCATTATTTTTTTTGGAAAATATGCAGCTTTCTTCTCTTTTCTACAGAAAATTCTTTGGTACAAGATTATTATCATCTTTAAAGCCTTTGCGTCAAGAAAATTGTGAAAGGTGAACAGGTCTTGTCTGGTACAGCGCTAGCAAACATACACCTGCATTCTAAAGATCTACAGAGGCCAATTCACCAAAGAAAAATGAAAAAGGGTAGGTGGGGAGAGATTTGTTAGTTCCCCCTCCTCTTCCCCAAACATACCTGCATACTGGCTCCCATTTTAATATGGCACAAGTGGACATTTTTTTGCTGTCCGCAACAGAACCAGGGGTTGCCCTGGGAAGTTAATTGCCAGTATTGCGTTCTTTGGAAAAAGAAATGAATTCTGATTGGGGGAGAGGAGGGGGAGATCTCTATTGACTGGCTCCCAACTTTGGTGAATATAGCCCTCTCTCTCTCTCTCTCTCTCACTTGCTTTCTCATTCACTCTCTCGCATTCTCTCCCAAACTTAAAAACAAAATAATACACAATACCCTGTCAGTTTGCCTCACATTGCTGCAAGACAGCTTAAAAAGTAACAAACTGCGCCCTGAGTACGGGAAAACAATAATACTAGAATAACTTTAAAAGGAGGTAGTATAAAACAGGAGTTGTGTGGGTATGAGGTGGCAGAAACAGGTGCCCCCCTCTTCTGAGAAGCTGTTCAGCTCAGTCTCTGGCTCCTTTGTTCTAAGAGAGGCCTCGGCAGAGCTCAAGCTGGCCTGTGGAAGGACCTAACGCTTTTCATAGAATCATAGAATTGTAGAGTTGGAAGGGATGTGGTCCAATCCCCTGCAATGCAGGGATCACAGCATCTGAATCTGAAGCAAGGAGCCCTGAGCAGGGCTGGGGAGCCCAGGACTGGCCAGAAACAGACCTATGGGAAGAGTTTCTGAGCACTTGAGACCCTTTGCACCCCACAACCTGCAGAGCACATTTAAGGCATGTTTCTGTTCTCTGAAGCAACTTCATGAATACTAAAAAAGGCATAAGGCAAAACAGTGATTTCATAAGATATCTATATAGTGAAAGGCACCATTGCTCTGAAGCATGAGGAAACACTCCCTTTTTAGCATTACCTGCCTGATGGGCGCAAGTCAAGGAATAGGGAATAACGGCTGGGCCCGAGCGATTCGCCACAGCATATCCTGACCAAAAAATGCTCGGCTGATGTGATCAGAAGAAGAAGGCACTGTCTGAGGCAGGTTGGGGGAAAGGAGGGAGATGTGACCCTCAAGTCTCAAAAGGAAAGCAGTTCAGTGTTTGGGAGCCCAGGGGTTGGCTTTTACTGGCCCCCTCCCAGGGCTGCAGCCCTGAAGGCAAAACACCTCAACAGGCCCTGGCCTCTTGTGAAGCAGTCATAAGAGTCTGGGCTCCCTTGCTAGGCAACCTTCTAAGGGGTTTGGCAGAAAAGGCTGCAGTCAGATTCCAGTCTGGCCCTGGTCCTCTGCTCCTGCCCCATGGAGAGGCTTCCCCCCGCCTTTTCCTCAAAGCCAGAGCTTCAGCTGAACATCCCTGCTCACCTGCCGACACAACTCCTTTGGCTCACACACACACATTCACACCCTACACATAAAATGGAGGGAAAATACATGGGACTACTAGGAAGTTATCGTCAGTTATGTAGCCGAGACCAACTCTCAACACAAAAAAACATGAGGTAATGCCACCCGGCAAACTGAGGTAGATATTCAAGCAAAGGGATCACCTTTGCTCCAGTGATAGATATATAGATATATAGATATATAAAAACTTCTCTTCTTCGCTCTACTCAGAAATCCGTACTTTCCTTTCACATTGTTGAGCACTGAACATTCAAAAAGCGTGAGTTTTAACACATTTCTTAAAAAAACAAAAATGGTCGACAGAATTGCGGGATTGCCTGTTGGCCACTCAGGGTTCCCACTTAAAGCTTTGGCTCTTTGTTCATTGTCCTTTGAACAGACACACACAGACATACAGACACAGACACACACACGCCGCTCTGGTGGCAGGCTCAGTTTTGTCCTGCAGGCGGCAGCTGGAGACGTGGCGGCGGACTTTGGTCAGGGGGCTCTTCGGAGGCACTCGGGAGCGGACACACGGGGGCACTGCCTGCAAAGGAATCGGGGGTCACTGGAGCAGCACTGACGCCCACAGAGAGGTGAAGTTCTTCGTTGGACTCATGAGAGAACCTTCCAGAATCACCGGTTTCGTGGCTTTCTTCACTGTTTGCTGAATGCTCTGTGTCAGCAACGATGCTGTACGCAGCCTGGTAGTTCGGCTTTTGCTCTGGGGAGGCATCTTTGCCAATGAGGACGGCAGTGCCCGACTGATACAAACACACTGCTTTTGTAAAACATCTCTGGGTCTGGAGGAAACACAGGGAGGAAAAACATTACACAAAAATAAAGGTGCCTCTAAGGCAGAATAGACCAAAATAGAATACAGGCAACACCCAAAAGCTCTGCTGGTAAAAGGTGAATACTGAGATCCAGCGTAGGAAACACATGCCCAATTTTGGCCTTCTGGGGGTCCAAACTGGCTCACGAGGCCATTTCTCTCCCAAACCATGCCTATCTTTTGAAGTCAGTTGGAAATACCTTCCTGCTTCACTACCTCATAGTAGAGCAAGCTGGAGACTGGAATAAACTGCAAAGAACAACATCTTCTCTGACTACGGCTGGTCCTACCATGAGGTTGTCACCTCAGGTGGCAGATGCTGGAGAATGGGGATTGGCTGCAAGGTGTGGGAAAATACAGCCGCATGTGCCACACAGCCTCCCCGGGTGTGGTGCAAATACAGTATGCCGTGTTGAGGTAAGATCCAACTGCCAATCAAGTCTGATTTGGCACACAGGATGGGGAGAGCTGCCATGAGGCACTTTGCATCAAGCAGCAAATTATCTTGAGCCAACCCTGTCTCCAGCCAAAGGAAAGAGAAGCTCTTGAGCTATATGAGATTTGAGGATTGCCCTTGTGATTAGTTCACTTCACAAAATGCCCCAACACAAGATATCAAGGCAGAAATTCAGAGCCACTCTCAAGCCTGAAGAGGCCAGGAGGCAGAATACACTCAGTCATTCTCTTACCTCTTCTGACTTCACTCTCTTAGAGTCTTGAAAGAAGAGCCATTTCCTGGAACTCTTCTTTGCAATTGGCCCATAGCTGTTTATAATTAAATTGGTACCACCCTAAGAGATAGGGGAGGAAACCTTAAGTTACACAATGGAAAAAGGATTTGGCTGAAATTAAAACAAGGTCCTCACAACTCAACTCTAAAGCTTTACAAAAAATATTAACTCCAGCAATTTCTGCTCTCTCTTGGAAGCAGATTGGCTTAAATTGCAATACTATGCACACTTACCTAGGTGTAAGCCCAACTGAACACAGTGGGACTTACTCCTGAGTAAACATGCATAGGACTGTGTTTGAAACCTTGCAAATTCTTGCATTCAACCCCTTCCCCCCAAACACCCACAAAAGTCTGCTTGATTTCCATTGAGAGGACATTTAGACTACAGCAGAGTCAAAAGTAAAGAGCACTTGTGAGAAGGGCAACTTTTGTGGGGCTGTAATTTTAGACCACATGTTTCTAAGGAAAGAGGCTATTTTAATGAGGTGGATGCAGACTGGAAGCAGAAACAGTGAGCTTTGTGCTCTTGAAGGTAGCCTTGACGTGCTGCTGCTGTTCCCCAAGAGCCACTGGAGAAGGAAGAGCAGAAGTCTTCTGACAGCCACTGGCTTCTCTGGAAGAACTCACCTTCTGAATAAGTTGGAGAATGTTACAGATGGGGAGCCCTAGAAAAACACCAGCACCATCTCTGTCTAGTATCAAATGCTCTTGGCGGGTCAAGCATGATAGGCTTTCTACAAAATGTAACATGGATTATCCTAGACCAGTGGCGCATGAACATTTCCCTTCACAGACCACTTGAAAATTATGGATGGTCTTTGCGGACCACCAATGATTTTTCTGCCTGTTGTAGAAGTTGCAATGTGCTGGACTAAGTGGTTTTTAATAGTGACTTTATTGCTTTTTTATTTCTTATATTGTATTTTCTTGTATTACAATTTCAGTTCCATAAAATTCAAATTGTAATACAATATAAGAAATAAAAGCGGTAACGAAAATACAAATAAAATCACCATGACTATTTAATGTGGACGGGCCACAGATCACCCAAAAGAAGCTCCAAACCACTGGTGGCCCATGGGCCACAAGTTGGAAACCCCTCCCCTAGACACATTTCCATGTGGCTTCAGGCCTGGTTTTGGGGATTTGGGCTGCTTTGGGGAAATCTTTACCCTGGGAGCTGAAGAGAACGAGCTTTTCTGTAGAGTTTCAGTACCACTGACTCTGGTATCTTTCTGGATCCCTTGACAGGATGGGCTTGGGAGGCCCTGGTTTCTGGTGTCCCTGTCCTTTCTTAGGGATCATTTTTTGAAAGTGATGCGGGGGGGGGGGGGTTCTGTTTCTCTTTTTCATCGGATATGCTGAAGTGCCCTGAACTCAGAGATCTGGCGCAAGACTTTTTGCTGCCTGCAAATGGCATCCCTACCAATAGTGCATAGCAGCAAAGGCTGGACAAGACACTTTGACACCTGAGAGGTGGGAGAATCCCACAAACATTTCTCCCACTCCATGGCATGATCATTGGTCCTGCTAGCTAGGGATGATGGGAGTTGCAGTCCAACAATAGCTGGGGACCCAAATTTGAGAAACCCTATCTTAAATGCATCTAAGTTGGGTGTGCCAGCTTATCTTTGAAGCCCTAAAAAGCTTGGCTCTAGGGCATGGGTAGGCAAACTAAGGCCCGGGGGCCGAATCCGGCCCAATCGCCTTCTAAATCCGGCCTGCGGATGGTCCAGGAATCAGAGTGTTTTTACATGAGTGGAATGTGTCCTTTTATTTAAAACGCATCTCTGGGTTATTTGTGGGGCATAGGAATTCGTTCATTTCCCCCCCAAAAAATATAGTCCAGCCCCCCACAAGGTCTGAGGGACAGTGGACTGGCCCCCTGAGGCTCCTGTCCTCCTATATCAGCCTGACCACACCCAAAGAGAGCCTTTTCTGTATCTCTGTGACTGAGACACAATTAGTTGGGATGAGGAGTGAGGCTCCATAGAGGCTACATATGGACCTTTGGAATGCCTTACTTCTTGAGAGCAATTTGTCCTCCCCCACTTAAGATCTATGGCTTTTAAATGTGTTTGTGGGAGGGGCGTTATTGGTTTTTTTGTGTTCTCATTTTGTATTTTTATGTTGTAAACTTCCCTATGCTCTTTGGATGAAGGGTGCTATAAAACTTCAATAAATAATAATTTTTTGGTGACTAGTTAACTTTCCTTATCCAGACAGCACTGGTCTCCCTGGGCAGACTATTTTGATGTGACCCTCATTTTTAAAATGTTTTTATCCATCAAGCCTGCTTCCATTTTTGTGCTGCTTCATTCCTTTTATGAGACTGTTTTGCTTCTAATTATTGTAAGCTGTCCTGTGTGGTGCAAATCCCTTGGCAGGCTGGGCTGTGTGTGTAAATTTTCTGAATAAACAAGCAAAAGCAAAGAAAGTTAAGGCAGCAGGAGCCCAGAAAACACAGGCCGTTGTACCTTGGCATCCAGGAAGCTGCTTCCCGCCATCATTGGCTGTAGAGATTCCTCATTCTCAGCAAGGTCTTCTATGCTCTTGCCCACCTCATTGGCACCCATGGAAGAGATGCTGCTGTGAGAGTGCTGGTGGGACGCTTGATGGATGCTTTTGGGGGCTGACGTTTTCCTGTTCAATGTGGAGCAGGAAGGAAAGTGAGACTTAAGACAAGCAGGCTAGGCTGAGGCAAATTCCTTTCGATCTTGCGTGCCTACATCCTGTTAGATCAGGAGAGAGGATTCTTTGGCCCTCCAGATGTTGTTGGATGATGGGAGTCAGAGGCCAATAACATCTGCAGAGCCAAAGATTTCCCAGCCCTCTTAAAATCAACCGACTGCAGTGATTTATGAATGGAACCAAACTCTCTGGGATTCATCTGGAACTGGACTTTAGATTGCAGGTGGCTGGGTGGGTGTGTTCATGTGCTTGAATATTTACAAAGCTCCCCAGTAAATACAATACAAAACAAAACCACAACACTCCCTACAAGGTTCTACCCTTGCCTTCTTCCACCCTAAACTACAGTATTTGTTTTTCAGCATTTGAACAGGTGATCCTCACTCCATCCTCAACCACAGCCTGAAATGGGCCAGCCTGGCAAAAGCTGCCATACTTGACCGTTCAGCTTGTGTATATTCTGGCTCCAGATCCCAGGAGTTTTAAGACCTGGGATATGTAAGCAAAACAGTTCTTTACTGCAAATCCAGACACATCTCAGGTAAGATTCTCTAAGCAGAAGAGCTCGCATGTCCACAGCATGCAAGCAATTGTACTGTCTCAAAGGTCATGGGCTTCAGACTTCCCCTCCCGCAGATTCCACTCAGGGCCTGAGCCTGGGAGCCCACTGCTGTCACAATACTGAATTGCTACAAGTAAGAAGTGTCCAAGGTCCCCCCCAACCTCACCGGACCCTCACTTATGTGGGTGCTTCAATGGTACCACTTTAGAAGCACCTAACTGCCCCCTCCAAGCCTACCTGGCTTTGCTGCGATAGATCAAGATGAGGATGCAGATCAAGATGCACGTCAGGGCAATGCAGACACCTGCAATGATGCCTGTCATCGACTTCTGGTCCAGCTGGTAATAGCCGGAATTAGCTGCAAGGAAGAAAGCAACACCCAGGTCTATCATTTGCGTGCCCTTTTTGCAGCACAACTTCTGGGCACCCCTTGCAATTGAAAACACAAGAAGCATCAGCTACGGACATCGGGGAATCCTGAGGAAACTAACTGGGCCAGGCTGTAACAGGCTGCTTTCCATACAAAGGTGCCCAGTTCCCAGGCAAGATGAGGCCCGGAGGCCACATGCAGCACTCTCTATCTGGCCCTTGGGACCCTCCCTGGGCTCCTCCCCTCACTGACCTTGAGAAAGGCATACACACTCCTCACAGCCATCACTGAGAAATTACTGCTCTCAACTGCCTTCTAATAAGGGTCACTTTACAAACATCTGCAGGAGCAACCCACCTCCCTACTTTTTCCTTGTGTGTCATCATGCAATACTGTTCTGATGTTTTAATCTCTGTTTTAGCTTTTATATATCATATGTTTTATTCTTATGGTAAACTGGGGGCATAAATCAAATAATAAACAAATGAATTTTTAAAAATGTCATTTTAGACTGTAAGCCTGACTGCAGGGAGTGTTTTAACACAGATTTTTGTCAGCCACTCTGAGAGCCACAAACAAATAGAGGAACCAGGTGCCTCCAAGGTGCCATGTTTGGTTGCGCAAACTGTGGGTCTCCAAGGATTTCTTACTGAAGTCAGTGGGGTGGGGGAATTCCCCAGGAGCTACTCTTTGTCCCTGCAGGTTTGACGTTTGCAGAAGCCTTGATTTAAGGTAGCTTCATAGCTGCTCTTTCCAGCTAAGGCTCCCTTCAAGTGTGATTTTACTTAGGAAAGTATTTGAGGTGTGTGGAGGAGAGGGTGGGTAGACTGTGTGTCTGTCCTTTTTTGCCACTCAACTGTAGATTCACAATATGAGGCAATCTTAACACATAACAATCTACACACATTTCCCTCCCACCCCCAGTGTAACATTATAGTGACTCTTGAAACAGGCAGCCTGTTTCACATCATGCAGAAGAATCACGTATAAGTAAAATAAATAAATAAATCACATGTGCAGGTGGGGATGGAGAAGAGCAGACCCTGTGACTAGTCCTTCCCTCATTGTTGTGGCAAAGACATTTTCTGTTTTCCCAGGCTTTTGGCAACCACATTTAGGTTACCAAAAAGAGACCAGAGCTGAGGTATTGTTTTCATTGCTGTGGTTTTAAATTGTATTTTAGGATTCATATTTACACTGCTTTGAGAGCTACTGTAAACCATTCTGAGAAAACTTCATGACAGAATGTAATCTTAAAAAATGTATTATAACAGCAACAAACAATAGTAAAGAATGTGTGAAGAGACCGTAAATGTGAATCATAATAACATAAACACCTGGTGTTCTAAAACCTGACTAGGTGATTGTCACAAATTCTTTGCACTCACCTGTGTCAGCATCTGCCGAATCCAAGCGTTTGGGTCTTTGGTTTGATTCCGATGCTTCCTTTGGTAGGACAGCAAGTTCCACCACATTGGAGAAAGGCCCCTCCCCCACTTCATTGGATGCAGCTATTTTAATGAGGTAGATGTTTCCTGCCATCAGGTTCTCCAGCAAAGCCATTGTTATAGTTCCTATAGGGGAGGGAGACAAAACAAGGCAGGAAGATTGAATTGGGATATAGCTGACCATATCATGTTCCCTGAGAGCCGGACAGACCCATCTGACTTTATCTGGACCCTGGTGCCCTTCAGCTGCTGCTGGAGTATATCCCCAGGAACCCTGGCTGCACTGGCTGGGACCAGTGGAAGTTTTGAGTCCAACATCAGCTGGAGAGCTGATCCAGAAAAGCTAAGTAGTAGGGTAGACCAGAATAGAGATGATGGCCTCAAACTGCTTATCAGTATAAGAATTCCTCACTTTCTACACGAACATGCTGTTGAGTTGGACCCGGTCATTTATAATCTGAATCTAGAAAAAGGATGGTCAACCTGTAGTCCTCTAAATGTTTAATCTCATAAATGTTTAATCTCTTTCTTTAAAAGAATTTCTAAACCAATTAATAGTCCAAAAGTCTCTTAATAGTTCTTCTTCAAGAAGAAGAACCTTCTCAGCCCCACCTCCTTTCTCCTCCTCTACCACAAACCAGGCAGGCAGAAGAAAAATCTAGCTGAGCAACCAGCCCTCATTCCAGGAGCATCCTCTGTGTTTCCAGCAGAGTTGTGGGTGCTAGGTTTAAATATTGCTGCCTAGCTGAAGCACACAAGGGAAGCTGGCTTGCTCCCATTTCTCTCTCCCTTCTGATATCTGAGTGGAGGAAGCAACTTTTGCAACAAAGTTCAAGGTGAAACTCTGGATTCTATCAGACAGTCTATCACCCAAGAGGTGAGCCCTGATTAACAGGGCTAGTAACATTTAGCAGAAACAGCAAGTTTAGATTTACCTGGATAAAGCTGGGAACAAGCTCTCCACAGCCACCTTGCCACAGTCACTCACTCACCTTCCCGGTGCAGGACTTGCCACTCGCCAGCGATCCAAGCTTTCCTTGATGCATAGAGGATTGTGTAGCGTGATATGACAGTGCCAAGCCCACCGGGAGGCTTCCAGGAAACCAAGGCTGTGTCTTCCTCTATCAGAGTTGCCTTCACTCCCAGCGGAGGACCAGCTGGTGCTGGGGGGAAAGCCACACAGAATTATTGGGAGGCAAACAAATCAGCAAGCCCTTGCCTTGAAACCCCCCTGTCCAAACTCACTGGAAGGTCCCCAAAATTGCTTGCAATGTAACTAAACTTCTAGATGCCAACTGAAGAATCCTCTCCCATGGACACAAATGTGCCCTCAGCTTAAATTGTCATTTTTGTTTCCCCCTTTGATGTCCAGAGCCACCACCCTGAAATTCATTGTTTGGGAACAAGATACCCAAAGGGTTTGTAACACCTGGCATCCACGCACATCCAAACATGCCATGGCAGGTGATCAACATTGGCAAAATGTACACAAAGACATCCTTTGCATGGGGATCTTGCCCACTGCCCAGCTGGTCAAAGGGAACTGGGGCTGCTGGGTAGTAACCCAGTGCATGATGACATGAGCATTTCTTTACAATGTCACCCTCACCTTCTGGAAGCGTCGTGTGGTAGACCACAGGACTCCAAGGGCTTGAGAGCTGATCCACATGTAGCCGAACCGCAAACTCATACTTAGTACTTGGCTCCAGTCCCTGAACCATCATATGAGTTTCTGAGCTGTAAACATAGAAACATGAGAAAGCAAAATTTAATACCAGGAGTGGCTGATCCGTTTTCCACCAAAGTGACCTGACCCTGCTCCCTTCTGCAAAACCCAGAAAATGTGAAACTTAAAGAGGTATTCTAATGTTTCTACAGGATGGCTGAAATATAACACTTGAGAAGGAGGACTCCATCTTCTGGCCCATCAAGAAAGCAACACCTGCCCTGGATTGCAGAACCTGAAGAGTTACAAACAGGATCTGCATTTCCAGTTCACTCTCATTACTGCCCTAACATGAACAATGACATGTCTGGTCTACGTGGCCTCTCCAGGAAATGTCCCATGACTGGCCATATATCACATGGCCTTGAAGAGGCTGGCATTCTCTAATTGATAAAAAACGTAACAGGCAGGTCTCTAAGTTCACTAGGCATTGCCAAGTGGGTAGATCATGGCCTCATCGCTGTGACCTCATATGTGGCGTTTGTAAACAATGGAGTCAGAGGCAGGAAGACTTTGGAAATTGAACTGAAAATAGTCTAGAAAACATATTGCCTTTAAAAAGCCTAATATCTGAATAAGGGCATTACTAAATAATTGTTTTTTCAAAGTTTTTTTAGCGTTCCCTTGTGGGGGGGAATGCTTTGATTAAATATACTGTAATTTACGGTAATTTATTGATACATTCCACAACCTGTTGTATCAAAACCACTACCCCCCCCCAAAAAAAAATTAAACCTCCACCCATACACATAATAAGTAAGACAAAATTTTATATTGTGTTGTTTTCAAAACCTTTTTGATAAGGAGAAATTCATGTCAGAATAAGCTTATACCCTTAACGATTGGGGTCTCCATAACCGTTAACTGAAACTAACTCCAGGTTATATTTTCCTGAGCTTGAAGCTTTTACAACAAAAGAGGCCACTTTCCAAATCACACATTGACTAAAGAGAGCCTGGTTGATGGATCAGGCCCAAAGCCTATCTAGTCCAATATCCTGTTCCCATAGCGGCCAACCAGGGAGGAAGCCTGAAAGCAGAACCTTGAGAGCTGGAGCAACAGCACAATCCCCACTTGTGAGTCCCAGCAATTGGCATTCAGATGTACTTACTGCCTTTGACAAATGGAGAGAACACAGGCACTATCACTGGTCGTCTTATGCATGAATTTGTCTAAACCCCCTTTAAAGCTATCTTAGGGTAGCAAATCCCAGAATTTATATGTTATGGTATCACCCAAGGATTGTGGCTGATGAAGAGGAGGAAGAGCAGCTCAATTTAACCAAGTTGAGATAAACTGAATACAAACAGGCCCCAAAATGAACTTGCCCTGGGGCAGATCTGGGGGCTCGACTCTGGCTTTGCAATCCTAGATGCTCCATAAAAATGCCAATTAAAAGAACCATGAACTATCTGAAGGGAATGGGGGCAAGTATAATTATCAGAACGGATGATACGCACGTCTGGAGGTAGAGGACCAGAGAGGCATTCTGTAGCCCTACAGGGTTGCAGCGGAGAGTGTAGTTAATGATTTGTGCAGAGGTGAATGCAGGTCGTCCCCAGTGCAGGTAGATGGAAGAAGAGGTGTTTGCTTTGGCATAAAGGTGGTGAGGTGGTGGTGGAGGCAGGACCATTCGGTCACGGACAGCTGTGGAAAACAGGAGAAGAGGCAACAAGGAACGTGAGTCGCAAGCGGCTAGGAATGATAGGGAGAGTTTGAAAACTAGACTAATATCCCATCTTGTGCAAGGACTCATAGCAGTCAGTGTGAGGGCTTAAGACCTCCAGCCACTAAAGAGTCTTAATAAATCAAACAAGTCTATGATCACTCCAAAACTTATGGCAACAAGCTCTCAGTCCATTGGAACATATACCATGGACTCAACACATTTTTTAAAAGCCCTTTCCCCATAGGCATAGACATCACAATATCGACCTAATACCAGAAGCAGTTAGAGGGATTGCAAAAAACGAACAGCAATCACTATATCCATAAAAGAGAACCACAGCTGGTGATTTCCATAAAATAATTCAACACTTACAGACACATCCAGGAGTGCTGACCGTCTGATCTGCCTGGTAGCCTTCTTCCACACTGTTGTAGGCCAGGAGTCTGACATGGTACTTCCTTCTGGGATCTGGAGAAATAAGAATATTTAATTAATCAACTGAGACCCAGGAAGACCCACTCAGATTCTTCCTCACTGGACTCAGACAGCTCAAGACACTGAACTCAACAGGGCGCAGGTGCCTCACTAAAAGACGCCCTTCATTTAATCTCTTCCATGATGACATATTGGGAGGGGCACATCTATGGCCAAAGAAGCTCGCCTGCATGCTGACACCATGATCGTGATGGTCTGGAGGTGACCATCGTGTGGATCACAGTGGCGAGGTCAGGGCGAGAGAGTCAAGGAGCCAACTGCTTAGCTTGGCAGAGATGAAAAAATGCCGCCTTTGTTGTAGCTGCAGCAATACGGCTGCCCCAACTCCTTCCTTGCCCTTTTGTATTTAAGGGCAGGCTCAGTGGCATGGGAAGAGGTCTGCATATGAAGCGCCCTATACACTTACAGGTGCTATTTGAGTAACAAATGACAGCAAGTTTGTGTACCCATTGTTACAAGTGCTACCAGCAGAAAGAGGAAGAGAGGCCTCGCTATCACCCTAGGAGTTGCATAGAAGGCTGTCTTACGCAGTATCCATCCTTTGGTCCCCCAAATCAGAGTTGTCTACACCCACCTACTGGCAGCGACAGTTCTCTGGGGCTTCTGGAAGAAAGCCTTTCCCAGCCCTACCTAGGCCAGCAGGAGACAGATGGTGGGCACTGGTGGAGGAAGGGGGGTGCGGTAGGTGCAGCCCATCCTGGGTATCATCCCTGGGGGTGACGACATCGCTGCCCCACCCCCTGGGATGTTTGCCCCGCCCCTACAGGTGGCTAGCCCACCGCCTCTGATGGTGGGACCTTCTCCATGTGAGACAGCTGTTCTGCCACTGAGCTGTGGCCCTTGGAAGCTTATGGATGAGCAGGTGTGACCCATCAGGCGAAGGACAGCTTGGTGGAGTAGCTAGAGGAGCGGTGGGGAACTCCAACTCCCTTCATCCCCAGCCAGAATAATGTGACAATGTATTATTATTATTATTATTATTATTATTATTATTCCCCGTCCACCTGGCTGGGTTGCCACTGTCTCTCCATCCTCATGTTGGGTCATCAGCCTAAGCCCTGGGGAGATGCGGGTTCAAATTCCTGCTCTGCCATGAAGCTCTCTATGGGACTTCAGGGCAGTCACCAACTCCTAACCTGACTTACCTTACAGGGGAGGGTAACTATGGGATGGGGTTCTGAGTGCCTTGGAGGAAGGGTGGGATAAAAATGCAATCAATCAATCAATCAATCAATCAATCAATCAATAGTTCTGGTGCTTGCAGTGATTTCAGCTTTAACAAAACTTTTAGCGAAACATATCTGCAGTTGAAGGTCTTCAACAGGCAAGACAGTGTGCCAATATCTAAGTTGTGTTTTTGGAGGAGGATATGACAAAGAACTCCCCGCCCCCTTTCAGCAGTGTGCGCCTCCTGTTCTTTTATACTTCACCCCCCTTTGTCTGCTTCCCTCCTCCAAAAGGGTCCTTTGATCTGCAAGCATCTGGAGGCGATGTCGTTCTGCAGCAAGGCACCAGAGGGGGCTCCTGCACTTCCCCTGAAGGAGGAAGACACTCTTTAGGCTCCCCACCCTCAGTTTAGGCAAAACTGCAGGCTGCACCCCCAACCCCCATGGAAAGAGCTGGGGGGAAATGGCAAGAGGCAAATGTCAAAAAGATCTATTCTAATGAAATCCAGCACCAGCTCCTTCCTTCCTTCGCTAATCCTCAAAGATGCAGTGAAAGGCACAAAATGGAGCAGCCTTTCCTGAAGAGATTTTGATACCACAGAACAATCCCAAATAATCAGCAAGGGGAAGGGATGTGAATTGGAGGTTAACATCGTGTCTCCAGCCACACTTCTGACTGATGAGCACAAACGTCTTGTATGATGGTGGCAGAAGCAATTCAAGCTCCCCAAATTCATGGGTTCAACAAAATCAAGGCAAGACTGTCTCCACTTACAGGGGACCCACCTAACCACTGGAACAGAAGGGATTAAGTGAAACAGAAAGGGCAAGCGAGTCTGTCCAGACTTGGCACTGGATCTCTAATCCAGCCCTGGTGTTAAGTCCAGCTGTTCTGAAGGTTTCAGCCTCCCCAAAATAAAAGGCAATGAGACAGACTCTCCCACCGCCACAGCCCCCTGGCCTTTCAGTGGAAGATGGGCATGATGCTATGAGGTACCGCTTCAGTTTGCTGCTGCTACATCAGTCAGCACAGAGCTGCCTCCATGCTTTCCCAGCAGAACCCTGAAGAGGTGTGTGCCAGGCTATGCAAGAGATGTGGCTTTCTATGACCTCTGCATGTAAAAGCAGGAGAAGCTGCACTGGTTGGACTTCTGTTTGCCACAAAGCTATTAAAGTAGATGGTAAGGTAAAGGGACCCCTGACCATTAGGTCCAGTCGTGGCTGACTCTGGGGTTGCGGCGCTCATCTCGCTTTATTGACCGAGGGAGCTGGCGTACAGCTTCCAGGTCATGTGGCCAGCATGACTAAGCTGCTTCTGGCGAACCAGAGCAGCGCACGGAAACGCCGTTTACCTTCCTGCCGGAGTGGTACCTATTTATCCACTTGCACTTTGACGTGCTTTCGAACTGCTAGGTTGGCCTGTAGGCCTGATGTTCTCCACATCTATATTAAAGTCTACGTCAACAAAATGAGGTGGCTGCCCTAAATATGCCCAGTGCCATATAACTGACAGAAGGTGGAGACCATGTGCTCCTTTTCATTTTTTAAAAAAGGTATGGCCTCTTTCCTAACTAACTGGGTCTCCTCCTGACAAAGTTTCTTGCCCTCCCAAAGAATTGGTTTTAAATCTCTGTGCAACTATTGGAGAATTTCTGGATGAAAGTGTTCAAATCCTTACCAATCTTTTGCACACAGGAATCACCCCCATGCCTTTAAAACCACGTTTCACAGAAGGTTCCCTGGTTACCAGCAAGTACAAAAAGAGGGCAGAATTCATTTCCCACAATTATACATGAAGCAAAAGACAAACAAACAAAGAAAGAGAGACAGACAGACAGAGACAGAATTGGAAACACAAGGGAGATCCATTCTCTCTTGCTGGTCCTGAATCAGAGGCTGGAGAGAGGGTCCTGTTGTGGAAGTTTTTTTTGGAGGGGGGTGTCCTGGCAAAAGTTTTGCAGAAAAGCATCTGTTTACATGGAGGTCACAGAAGTGCAATGCTGCAATCCCAAAAAAACCCTGCCATTGTTTCTTTCAGCTGCTACATGTTTGTGAGTCTCCAAAGACGGCAGAACTGAGCCAACAGGTCAGGGCTAGATAAAATTAAGAAGGAATCCGAGGTCAGGAGCATGAGTGGCTTTTCTCTTCTTTCAGAGCAGAGAATCCACCCCTCTCCCCACCCTGAAGCCTCTCATTCATTACAGATGAAGGTTTGAGAAAGCAAAGGGGATGTGGGGGTGAGCAAGAAGACAAAGATAACATTTCATAATAAATTGGATGTGTGTGTTGATGTTGTTGTTGTTATTGTTAAAGCCTTGGGAGGGGAAACAGTCTTTCTTTTTTTAAAAAAAATGTGATCACATATTAAGCTGTGCCACTGGACATTATATTGTTTCTGACCTGAAAATATGAGATCCAACAGAAAATCTCTTGGAGGCCTTGCTGCAGCAGGGACTTCAAGTCAGCAATTTACTCTTAAATCTCAGCCTCAACTGACTTGATTAAAGTTTTGCCCAGGAAATTTTTCAGGTTAGCTTGCTGTGGTTTTTAAAAAATGCTCCTTAAGAAGAAACAGGAAGAATTATGGGTTGCCCAGGGGGCGTTCTAAGGCACACACCTCTCTGGCCAAATGTCCAACTTTAATTTAATCTTTTGTGCTTCTGTGAAACTCCCCGTTCCATTGTTGAGCTGCAGTCCGGCTGCAGAGCCTTGCTGGGGTGACTGGGCTGTCCCCAATCCCATCCCCTCCAACACAATAAACTCCAGATAATCATTCAAGAGGAGGCCAGCAGAAAGGGCTGCTCTGACATCTGGGTCGTGGCCTTTGACATGGGATCTGGGACTCGCCAGAGTCTGCTCCAAGCAACAGAGGTCCGGGGGAATTGGGGAAGGGGGGAAGGGTGGGAACAGCCGGCCCAGAGAGAGAGAAACCCGATCCTTAGAAATGCACGTCTGAAGCACAGAAATGTAAATACACCAGAAACCGATTACGAGAATAAGCAAAGGCGTTGTGAGTTCAAGGCATAAATAAAGGAGGAGGCAGCCAGGTTTGCTGCAAGAGCTGAGGAGGCTGTTCAGAGCAAGAGGAGGGGGAGGCAGGGAGAGGGGAGAGGGGCCCTCTCCAAAATTACTTCCTCTCATCACTGATGGGAGGGGGGAGAAGCTCATCAATGCATCACTTCTGTGAAGGATCAAAGAAGACTGGCTAGTTAAGTCAAATACGTGCTTGTAAATATTGTAACTGATGCAGAGTTTCAGTGTTGGTTCATTTATTTCATTTATTTATTTCCATTTATTTATTTCCATATACCACCCTTTTCCTCCAAGGAGCTCAAGGTGGCATGCATAGTTCTCCCCCTCCCTATTTCATCCTCACAACAACCCTGTGAGGTAGGTTTAGGCTAAGAAAGTGTTTCTCAAATTTGGGTCCCCAGCTGCTGTTGGGACTACAGCTCCCATCATCCTTAGCTAGCAGGACCAGCAGTCAGGGATGATGGGAGTTGTAGTCCAACAGCAGCTGGGGACCCAAGTTTGAGAGGCACTGGGCTAAGAGAGCGTCGACTGGCTGAGTGAGGATTCAAACCCTGGTCTCCCAGGCTACAGTCCACTCTAACCATTAGGTCACACCTAACTAATATTACAAGAGGTCTCTTAAATAAAAAAAAATATAGAGGCATGCTAACCCTTCAGGCAACCACAGTGGTTTACACTCCAGCTGAAAGGTGACTGGTGGGGGGGGCCCCTCCAATCTCTGCTATCTCTTCCACAAACTAAGTAACTGCATAAAACCCCAGGTTGCTAGAAACCAGATGGAAGAGTCCATGTTGGCTGCTGCCTTTTCCTGCTTATCTGTCAAAATCTAAAGACGCCAATTCTCTGGTGACTTGCCTCTGCTCCCTTGAAGGGGCCTCCGGACAAACATCACCTCACTGCCCCCCACCCCAGTGGGCTGGCAGTAAAAACATCACTGCTCTTACTGTCCACATCCCTGGAAAAAGGAGAGGGGGGGAGGGAGAAGAGAGGCCTCCCTGGGGCAGCAAGGCCTGATTTCCAAGTGAAGCACCGCAAATCGGGGTGGGGGGGGAAGAGGGATGAAAACAGATGAATGAAGACCCTGCATGGCAATTCCGCTTGAGGTAGAAGTTTATTTTATTTTATATTAATTTTAGCTGTGCTTCTGAAGTTGCAAGCAACTTTCTTAAAACAGGTGTGGTGGTTAGATCAGGGATGGGAAGTTGGGGGTCAGCAACACAGCTCAAAAGCCTCTGAAACTGTCCCAGTTCTGGGCTAAAATATATAAAGGCATGCATTGGGGGTGAGGAGTGGGGTAGAGCCCCAGGAATATTGGCTTTGTCCAAACATTATGTCAAACGACCACTAGTGGTAACGTAACTATGGTTTGGTTGGTGTCTGAATTGGTTAACAATGGTTTGCAGCCAGCCAGCCAAGCAGAATCAGAAGTCATGGTCTGAAGCAGCTTTGCCAGCCGTGTGTGCCCTAACTGGCTCACGTAAGGTCTGAATTGACAGATCAGAAATATCTGAAAGAACGCTTCCTTCCCTACAGACCCTCTTGGGTGCAGAGATTGGCAAAGTGTGCTCTCGTCTTAGTTCTTCCACCCTCAGAGGTGTAGGTGTAGGCATAGGTGTGTCTGTGTGTGTATGGTAGCCTAGGAAAGGGCCTTCTCCGTGGTGGCCCCTAAGCTGTGGAACTCCCCCCCACCAGAGGTGCACCTGGAACCTTCATTGTACAGCTTCTGGAGAATTCTGAAGACACACCTCTTTACCCTGGCTTTTGACACTTGAGGTGTATATTTTTAGGACCCACCTTACTTTTGTGATTGTGTTTTAATAAACTATTTTTAATGTTGTATTTTAATGTGACCTGTCCTGGGACCATCAATTGATGGGTGAGTAAATCTTCTTCTTCTTCTTCTTCTTCTTCTTCTTCTTCTTCTTCTTCTTCTTCTTCTTCTTCTTTTATAGCCATTGCTCCACCTCCAGGGGCTCCTGCACCAAAGGAACATGAGTGCTGCTGAGCTAATGACAAGCAGAGCCAGGCAGACAAGCTTTGCCTGGGCATCTGGAAGCTCCTGCCATGGTTCTGAGTCCAAATCTACATGATGGTTTGCCTGACAAAAGGCAATTTGGGTTTGCCTTTAAAAATCTGACTTTGCAGCAGGCTTCTGGCATCTTCTTTTTGCCATCCTCTAATCTGGACCCCTTGGCACTTGCTCTCGCTGCCAGGAGCCCTTCCTCCCTTTTGTTGCTGCCCAAAGGATTGAGCACAGTTCACTGGCTCTGCTTTGTAAGATGAGACGATGGCCCCTAAAACTCACCTCGTAGACAACAATCATTTAAATGGAATTACAGAGAAAAGGAGGCCACCTCGGGGTGGAGGGGGGAGGGGAGGAGCCCCTGGACTCCTGGCCAGTCTCCACAATCAAGGGAAAACACATTTTAGTCCTGTGTTATGTGAGTAACTTTTCCGTGACAAAACCTCATCAGAATGTAATAGCTGAAGAAGCTGCCTTGCGGCAGGGGGGCGGGCAAGACATCGAGTCTTGTTTCACCCACCAACCTTTTGCAAAAAATAAAATAAATAAATGTCTGGAAGTGTGCGTCTATAGCAATATCATGCAGCAGGATACTTCCAACAGGAAGCTGGTACAGTGGTACCTCTGGATGCGAACGGGATCCATTCCGGAGCCCCATTCGCATCCTGAAGCGAACGCAACCCGCGTCTGCGAGTGCGAGGATCGCGATTCGCCGCTTCAGCGCATGCGTGTGATGTCATTTTGAGCGTCTGCGCATGCGCAAGCAGCGAAACCAGGAAGTAACGCGTTTCGTTACTTCCAGGTCGCCACGGAGCGCAACCCGAAAACTCAACCTGAAGCTACTTCAACCCGAGGTATGACTCTAAAGGAAATTATCTGCAGAACCCGACTGCACATGATAATCAAACCACCCACCTGAAAGGAGCACACTGGCTCACTTAAGCCATGGGTAGGCAAACTAAGGCCCAGGGGCCGGATTTGGCCCAATCGCCTTCTAAATCCAGCCTGCAGACGGTCCAGGAATCAGCATGTTTTAAATGAGTAGAATCTGTCCCTTTATTTAAAATGCATCTCTGGGTTATTTGTGGGGCATAGGAATTCGTTCATTTCCCCCAAAAAAATAAAGTCCGGCCCCCCACAAGGTCTGAGGGACAGTGGACCAGCCCCCTGCTGAAAAGGTTTGCTGACCCCTGTTTAGGGGTCATGTCCTTGCTACCCAAAGCACACCTGCACCATATGAGTTTGCCATGCCCAGAGCACAGCTCTTTGTTCACAGAAAGACCTCAGCAAGTGTGTTGGTGCATTGGAACCCCACGGTGGCCTTGCCTGAAAAGTGGGGACAAAGCAGCTTCTTCCCCCAGATTAGCCAGGCAAATGCCAAGGTGACCAGGATGATAAAGTGTCTGGAAACCAAGCCTGATGAGGAATGGTTGAAGGAGTTGGGTATGTTTAGCCTGGAGAAAAGACTGAGAGGTGATATGATAGCCATCTGAACAGTGGTTACATAGGAGATGGAGCAAGCTTGTTTTCCGCTTGCTCCAGAAGGTAGGACCTGAAGCAATGGGTTCAAATTACAAGAAAGGAGATTCTCAGTAAACAACAGGAAGAACTTTCAGACAGTAAAAGCTGTTTGGCAGTGGAACGGTCTCCCTCGGAAGGTAGTGGACTTTTCTTTGTTGGGAGGTTTTTAAGCAGAGGTTGGGTGGCCACCTGTCATGGATGCTTTAGCTGAAATTCCTGCATTGCAGGGGTTGGACTAGATGACCCTCAGGGTCCCTTCCAACTCTAGAATTCTATGATTCTAAGTGAATTCCAGAGAACAGGAGACCAGCTTTCCAGGACTCCACAGATAAAGAAAGAGCAGAAATAATTCCTGGGCTCTTCATTCATCCTCTGACTGAGATAATCCCTCTAAAAAGCTTCTCAACAGCAACCATGAGAAGATGCTACAAAATTTGTTTTAGCATCTGTTTTAGTGGCTGTCACACAGCAACAGCTACAGTCAAGCACAGGGCACACAGCGTTATCTTATGAACAATAATACATTTTTACACACTGACTGAGAGAATCCATTCAGGGCCCCCAAAACTTCCCCTAGAGCTATGAAATAAATTTCCTTTCAGAACTAACATTTCTCTGTTGGGCTGTCATGAGCCCTTGATGGCACTTTGACCCCTTGGAGCAGCAAAATGAAAACACCATCTATCATTCCTTGCACTGCAGCAAGGAGCAAGCTTTCATTGCAAAGCCATCTGCAGGCTGAAGACTTGCCAAGAAGCCCGGCCCTTCCAGGCGTTCTGGGCTGCAGATCAGGCAGACAGCTTACAAAGGCACTTGCTGTTTCAGTCCTGCTCTGGGGGGACGACATGCTTCACCTATTACCTATAAAGCAATTTGCTGCATTAGGAGGATAAAGAGGATGGATGGGCAAATGGATGTGGCATGTGGATTTGTACAAGCCAGCCCATCCGGATGCTTCAGTGCCCCAGATGCCATTGGTCCATTTTGAACACACAGACAAGGGAAGGAAGACACTCTTCCTGACACCACAGGATTGTAACCCTAGAATTCCCCTTGGGACAATGCACAGCAGATTTTCCACCAAGAAAACCCAGCTAAACAGAAACACAAGTTGCAAACGGTGTCAGACCAATTGGCCCACCTGGCTCAATATTCAGGGGTGGGGCACCTGTGGCCCTTGACATGGAACAATTCCAAACACCCCTGGCCATTGGCCACGCTGGCTTTCACACCCAGAGCCCAAATAATCTCACAGCTCACCCTCAAAATCTGTCAACAAATAGGACCCCTGGAGTCTTCTGACATCATCCTAGTCTTACTCTGGCCTAGTTTTTATGGGCAGTTGCCAAGGTGGATGGAACGTCCTCATGCAACCCACAGTCTTAGTCCCTTTCAGCTGCACTGCACACACCTAGTTCCAGGCCACAGCAGCGTTTTATTACAGTGAGACCTCGTTTTGCGTCCGCTTCATGTTGTGTCCTTTCGCATTATGTCCCGCAGCAACCCGGAAGTCCTGGAATGGGTTACTTTCGGGTTTCACCGCTCGCGTATGTGCAGAAGCGACAAATCGCGCTGCGTGCCTGCGCAGACACAGCGCTTCGAGTTGTGGGCAGTTCATGTTCCAGACGGGCCTCCGGTATGGATCCCATCCGTAACACAAGGCACCACTGTACAGTGATGCCTCGCAAGACGAAAAACTCGCAAGACGAAAGAGTTTTTCGTTTTTTGAGTTGCTTCGCAAGACGAATTTCCCTATGGGCTTGCTTTGCAAGACGAAAACGTCTTGCAAGTTTGTTTCCTTTTTCTTAAAACCGTTAATACCCAGGGTGCATTGCTTGAAGAGGTGCAGTTGCGACTTGACTTTGAGGAGCAACTCATAGCACGCGGTGTGGTAGCCTTTTTTGAGGTTTTTGAAGACTTTGGTGATTTTTGAAGCTTTTCCAAAACTTCTTTTGGAGGACCATGGGCCTGGAGGTCACAGAGGAGGACGTCAGCGAGCTGGTGGAGGAGCACGACCACGAGCTGACCACCCAGGAGCTGGTCGAACTGCAGGCAGAGGCTGCGCAGGAGCAGGCCTCACTGGAAGAGGAGGAAGCAACTGAGGAACGGCTGTCCTCCAAAGAACTGAGGGACATTTGCCAGAAGTGGAAAGATGTGCAGGCTTTTGCACAGCGGCACCACCCTGACAAGGACCTGACATGTGACCTTGCGAACACTTTTGATATGAGGGTCATGTCGTCTTTCAGGGAGGTGCTGAAAAGGCGGATGAAGCAGCAGACCATGGACAGGTTCTTCAGCAAGAAGTAAAGAGTGGAAGAGGAACCTTCTTCGAGTTGTCCCCCAGAGTCTTAGAAAATGTATGTACAGTACACTTTGGTGATTTTTAAATGCTTTTCTGTCATGTTTAGAAACTTAAATTATTATTCCTTCAATTTTTGAAATGCTCTTTACAGTATGTGTGACTTTAAAGAGCACTTAATAAACTCTTTTTGTACCAAATTTGGCTTTGTTTGGACTTTTTTTGACCATAGGAAGGCATTAATTGATTTTCAATGCATTCCTATGGGAAACCGTGCTTCGCAAGACGAAAAATTCGCAAGACGAAAAAACTCGCAGAACAAATTAATTTCGTCTTGCGAGGCACCACTGTACTCTTAAAGAGTCTCCATCGTTCACACAATATGGTACAGGGGCTGCTTTGCCTGCATGTCAGAGCTGCCTCCCTCAAATCAAGTAAATAAATAAAAATACTGAACTGACCAACTGCATCACAGATAACTTGGTTCTGACCCCCCCAAAAATACCTGCCCCTCCAATATAAATCTTGGCTATGCCCATGTTTGCCTGCCCAATCCCCTGCCAAGGACTGGAAAGCAAAGAGGCAACATGCACCAAACTTCAGAGTGTTTCAAAGAAACAGAAACTGAGCCCCTCACACATACTCTCCTAAGAAGATGCAATGCTTCATCTTTTGCACAGAGCTCCCACAAAAAGACAAGGGTTCTGGTGGCTCAGGCATTATAGGGAGTTGGAAAGGGCATTGCTTTGGTCATGCAAACCCCTCAAAGCAGCCTAACCCAGCACTGTTCTCTTGCACAAGTACAGTATTGTAAAGCCTGAAGGAGAGAGCTTTTGCACACTCGTGTTCATTGCAAAGAAGGTTGTGCAGGATAATTTCTAAGGATTGTGCCTCGGGGGGACGTTTGCTTCCCCAAGCAATTATTTGTTCCTATAATAGGGCTAAGTCCTTTACACACTGCAAGAGGAGCAGGTCTCTGCCCAGAGGGGCTTACACTCTAAGGAATCTCCAAGCTGGTGGGCTGGATGCACCTGTGGCACCAAAGGACCTCTCCTCCCTCAATTTGGCCATTCACGCCCTGAGTGCTGCAATCCATTAGGTAAAAGGTAAATAAAGGTGAAAGACCCCTGGATGGTTAAGTCCAGTCAAATTCGACAGTGGGGTGTGGCACTCATCTCCGCTTTTGGGCTGAGGGAGCTGACGTTCGTCCACAGACGGCTCTCCGGGTCATGTGACCAGCATGACTAAACTGCTTCTGGTGCAACGAAACACCGTGACGGAAACCAGAGCGCACGGAAACGCCATTTACTTTCCCGCTGCAGCGGTACCTATTTATCTATTTGCACTGGTGTGCTCTTGAACTGCTAGGTTGGTTGGCAGAAACTGGGACAAAGAAACAGGAGCTCACCACCATTGTATGGATTCAAACCGCTGATCGGCAACCCCAAAAGGCTCAGTGGTTTAAGCCACAGTGCCCCACTTCACCCCTCCATCGCAGAGAGGTTTAGAAAAAAGTTTCTATTGGCACTAGTGTGCTAAGGCTAATTTCCTCATGGGTGGGGCAAGAAAGGGATGCAGCTGAGGAGGGAAGAGGGGTGGGTGGGTGGTTGAGAGAGGGGGGTATGTGTGTGAGAAAGCACTTCTGTGGTGAATGGATGGTGCAAAATACTGTGCATGTGGGGGGTGTATGTGTATGAGAGAGAAAATGGCTGGCTGAAATGTGTGCATTGCAAGAGAATCAAATCAAAGGCATGCATGGATTGCAAGAGCATGTGGGTGGGGGCAAGACAGCGGGGAAGGTGACTCTGGCTCGACCTACTCTTGGCTTGGCTCCACTGTGGGTCTCAACAGGTTACCCGCCTCCCCAGGGGGATGGAGACTTTAGGGGTGAGGGAGTTAGGAATAGGAGAAGGGGGTAAACAGGGGAAGAATATACATTTCTGGCCACGCACACACACATACAATGGTACCTCGGGTTACATACGCTTCAGGTTACAGACTCCGCTAACCCAGAAATAGTACCTCGGGTTAAGAACTTTGCTTCAGGATGAGAACAGAAATTGTGCTCCGGTGGTGCGGCAGCAGCGGGAGGCCCCTTTAGCTAAAGTGGTGCATCAGGTTAAGAACAGTTTCAGGTTAAGAATGGACCTCCAGAACGAATTAAGTGCGTAACCAGGGGTACCACTGTACTCAGAGAGGAGGCATGTGTTGGGTTGTGGGGACTAAAAGGTTTGCACCAAAAAATCTGGCTTCTTAGCCTCAGCCTCCCAAATGCGGAATGTTTACTCTTCATGAGATTATGCATCAGTTCCTGGAGAGCAGCAACATTTGATTGAAAACTATCATAGGACTTTACGCTTTGAGTATTGTGATTTCTGTTAACTAAACAAAGTTTAAAACAGACACCCACACCCAGGTAGGGCTCTCTCTCTCTCTCTCTCTCTCTTGTTCTTTTCACTCCAAACTCTCTTTCATGTGCTAATGGCGGCCTCTTTTTTCCCTTTTCTTGAAACCTTCTTCCCATTTGACTTGGTCAGATCTTTAGAGACCTCACACATCTAATGGTCCCTCACATTAACTGGGAGGGGGTGGGGGTTGACACACGGTATGATTAATAGACAATGTTGATTTAATTTCCTTGAACAGGACCCGAGTTCCCTCTAAGCCTTCTTCAAAAGCCACTGCTTTTCAAATCAGGACTAAAAAGGATGGGACTTATCTCTGGGCAACATAGTTTAATTCTCTGTTTATTGGGCTTCACAAGCAAAAACACCCAGGAATAAGGCCCTTCATATCTACAACTACAAATGCAAATAAGTCTTTTCAAGGAGAATGGAAAACAACTTTTCTTTTCCTCCTTGCAAGGAGCTGCAAATAATTCCAAAGTACTGAGGGGCAATATATTGTTTGCTACTTAATTCAGTAATAGCCTAGAAGTGTTTCATTTTCATTACAGGGACATTTGGAAAGCTTGGTGGACTGTTTTTCAGCATCACAGATGCACTTGTAACAAACACATTTGTAATGCTAACCTACACACTCAGAAGCAAGGTCCACTGAATTCAGTGGGACTGGCAAAGATGTAGTGGTGTTGCAGACATTTAAATATCTTTTCTCTTTACTAGGCTGCCTCCTGACTGTTGATACTGAGTTCTTTTTGTGTCTGGGCTGCTGTAATTGCTGAAAATAGGTGTTAACTGGATGTTTCAATTGTTCTTATTTATTGCTATTAATTGGGGAGGCAATGTATATTGTAAACTGCTTTGAGCTTTTTAAATGAAAAGTGGTACACAATATTTTAACATAAATTAAATAAAAAATAAATTTACTCCCTAGCATGGGCTTAACATTTCAGCCTGCCCCATGATTGCATCCATTGCAGATGGAATTAAATATATGCAAATTCCTGCATGGAACAGACCCTGAAGTGATTCTTAGTTTTGCTTGCCGCCACACAACCAAAGACCCTAGTCAACCCCAACAGTTTGGCCACATATCCCAAGCAAAAGAAAGAAAGAAAAACCACAGTCACACTTGGTTGTTCCATTTTGTTTTTAAGACAACCGAAACATGTACTCAAATGCAAAAATGCACAAAATCTCAATTATTTGGCACAGCTACAGGGGGCACCGTATCAACAAGGTCCCAACTATTTCACCCAGACAGCTCTTTTCATTTGCCCACGTGTAGATCTTTATCTGCAAAGGGGGCTCACTCACACATGCCAATCCTCAAGGATTAAACAAGCATGTGTGGATGAGTCCTTGCTTTGCTAGTTCAAAAGGGTGGCTGCCAAGTCAAGCTGCTGCCTCCTTGCCTGTCAACTGAGGAGCAGACCCACAATCATCAATCTCGCATCTCTACCTCCCCATCGCCCTATTACTAGAGTGTTTGCACCCCATTCCATGAAGATGTGAGCAGACCTGGAAAGGCAGAAGGAATGGAGCTTCTATGGTTGGGAATCTTCATCTTCCCAGGGTTTTGGTGAGTTTTTTCACTTTCATGCATTCTGGATAAAGCCAGTTTTGTCTATGATCACCAGAGTGTGAGGAAAGGCTGTTTTCTTGCTGGATGCACTGCAATATTCTACTCTTAATAATTCTTTGTTTTAACTCTATTGGCCTTCAAATTTTATGCAAGGCTTTAATTAAAGTTCAGGGCACCTGCCAGCTTCTGAAAAACACCACCAAGGCTCTCTGTGATTTACTGGTTCAGCTGGTAATCAACTTAGCTGCTCAAATACTGAGTAGGGCATCTGTGCAAGCATCATAGCTATTTGGAGATCGTCTAGGACACTCCCCTTTCTGAGCCTTGTTGCAGTGAAGGGGGAGGAATGCATAAGGAGAAGTCATTTGGATGGAGCTGGCCTGTGGGTGCATCCCAGTAGCTTGTGCCCTAGGATAAGTTGCATGTGATGTAACAAAGCAAACACACTGCTTGAGACAACTTTCTTTAAGCAGTCCTGCAGCTGAGGCAGAAAATGCAAGTCCTGAACTAGCACTTTGGTCCTTATTCAATGCTTGGCCTGGCTTGTGTGCCAGAACCTTGAGCCAGTTGATCTCATGAGAACCTAAGAGAAGTCCTGCAGCAGCAGGATCAGAACAAAAGGGATCCATCTAGTCCAAGATCCTGTTCTCAGACTCCTACCAAATGCCCATCGTGGGAAGCCTGGGAGCAGGATCTGACTCACCCCACTTGCAAGTCCCAACAACTCGTATTCAAGGGCATGTCATGCTGCCTCCAGCAGTGCAGATGGAACACAGCCATCATGGCTAGTAGCAACTGACAGAATTATCCTGCATGTAGTGTCTACATCTCTCCATTCAGAGTATATTTACTCCTACTCTGCTTCTTTTTATTTAACCAGTTGCGTGCGCTGCTCTGGTTCACCAGAAGCGGCTTAGTCATGCTGGCCACATGACCCAGAAGCTGTACGCCGGCTCCCTTGGCCAATAAAGCGAGATGAGCGCCGCAACCCCAGAGTCGGTCACGACTGGACCTAATGGTCAGGGGTCCCTTTACCTTTACCTTTATGACTGCAAAGTTTACTAAAGAGTCTTTGGTGAGAAAGCTTGTTGGAAGCTTTTTGAAAGCTGTACTACACTATGTTAACTGGATCACCTCTATTGATATACTTGCTGACATTCTCAAGGAACTATTGAAACAGGATTTACCCTTGGAGAAGCCATGCTAACTCTGCTTCAGTAAGGCTTATTCTTCTATATGCTAGGTCATTTTATCTTTAACAATACTTTCCACTAGTTTTCCTGGAACAGGAAAAAAAAACCTCTTCCCACAGAAGTTTAATATAAGGATGGAATCAGAGAAAGTAAATACCTGCCCAAATGCAAGCAGTAACCAGAGGATCAAAATATTTATTGTTCTGGTCAGCCAAACTCTCCACTAACACATGGTGAACTTCCTCCCAAGAGCAGCAAGATGTCCTTCTCTTCTTCGGCAACACAAACTACTAGCTGCCTCTAGTGCAAAGATTTCCTGTAGTGTTTCTTTAAAAGCAAGACAGACTTTGGCTATGTCTACGTTTACTTTAGCTGCAAAAGCCCAACTTCAGGCCAGCCTGGGGCAGAGAATGTGGAGGTCAACAGAAACTGGGGCGGGTTCTATCAAATGGGGAGTCCCACAGATATCACCTTACCTCTTCCGTATCCTACAAATTCCCTACAGTGGGAATTCATCATGTTCAGTTTTTCACAACTTGGGGGCACTGAGATTAATTCAAGCTGGGATTCTTACAAACAGATTCTTACCAACAGAAAATATAGGCCACTGTACTGGTGGGATTGGGGGGAGAGAAGAAAGAGGACCCTTTCCATTGAAAGCCATGAATTCAGTGTTCACAACAACTTTTCCATGTGAGGGTGTTGTTTTGCTGGGCCTTTCCATTTCTCAGTGCTGTTATAGGGTTGTGTGGTTGCTTCCCAAAGGAAGAGTGAAGCTGCTCTCACTCCGTCACACTGCCCAGGTACTGCTGTTGGTCCCCAGCTGCTGATTCATCAGGTTCCCCAAGACATTTTGCAGCTAGACTCCCCTGGAGGCTGCTCTATCACTTCAGACGGGATGGTACAAATGGCAAAAAGTTGAGGGCGGATGACCTTCTTCCCCCAGAACACAGAGCCACAGCTTAACTCACAGCTCAGGTTAAACAGAGAGAAGCACATTTGGCCCAAGGCCACCCAGATAGCTGCAGGGCTGAAAAGAGGTTTGAACCCGGATTTCCTTCATTCAAACCTGAATCTCAGGCCATCACACACCATGTGATGTATACCTTCAGTATACCTGAAGGAGCGTCTTCACCCCCATCGCTCAGCCCGGACACTGAGGTCCTCCTCCAAGGGTCTTCTGCTGATTACCTCACTGCAAGAAGCAAAGTTACAGGGAACCAGGCAGAGGGTCTTCTCAGTAGTGTCGCCCTCCCTTCAGATGTCAAGGAGATAAGGAATTACACAACTTTTAGAAGACATCTGAAGGCTGAAGTATTGGGAGGTTTTTAACACTTGATGTTTTTATTATGTTTTTAGATATGGGGGAACCCAGCCAGATGGGTGGGGTTATAAATAATATTATATTGTATTGTATTATATATTAAGTGTTGTTGTTGTTATGGCTATCAGGGCTACTTTTCACAATAGATAGCGAATGTGCTAGCCAAGCATACACCACTGCATTTCCCCCTATGCAAAGCCTTCTTCAGCATGTGCCTTAAGGAAACTTAAACTGGTGAAAAACTTAAACTGAGGCATCTGTGGGACTAGAATATCCAGCATGAGCCCAGGGTCACCACTAGAAGCTTTACTCAAGCCAACTGGCATAATTCTTGCAGCACAAAGGAAGCAGCCACCATTAGGTTAAAGCACAAGACACAGAGCCTATCCTGTCCTGAGTACCCAGAGAGTGAATTCCTGGAGTTCTCTAGGAAAACAGTCAAAAGGGTCAGAGGAAGGCAGAGGTGGTTGACCTCTGCACTGCCCAGGCTGCTTCTTTTGAGTAAGGTGATAAGAGAGCCCCAGCTTCCCCTTCCTTCATCGCCTTGTGTGAGCACAGTGGCATTTGCTAGGATATTATCTTAAAGGCAGCACAGTTCTTTTAGAGGGCAGGGAGAAGAGTCAGAAACCATCCTAAAGATCTCCAGAAGGTAGTCAAGAAACCTTCAGAACCATTTCAAAGCATAATCCACAGGTAGTACAGGTTTTGCCACCCCCAAACTCTACCTTTAATCGCCCCCTCTTGAAGCTCCAATTCTCTCCTATCTCACCCTCAAATAACCTCCAACCCCAAATGTCCAGCATTTCCCCAACTCTGTCCCTGAGAACGCGAGGCAAACAGTTCCCCTGCTGCCTGCTAAGTCCTCTACCTCCAAAGCACCCATAACCTTCTTCCTCCAAACTGCAGACTAGCCCAGGAAGGTTGCTTGAAGATGTATTAAGAACTTATGAAAATGGGCGCTGTGTGTCCTTTCTTGTTTGGTTTGGCTTCCACACTTTGCTGCACACCAGAGATCCTTCCCAACAAACAAACAAACACCCACAGGAAGCCAAGAAATATCTGGAGAATATTACAGAAACAAAAGCTGGAGGAAGACATGTGCCAAGTGCCACAACAGGGGAGTTTCTCTGCAAAGCGTGGAGCGAGAAGGATTAAAATTAGGGGCAAAAATGCAAGGCATGCTCCACAGAGTCAGCTCCTGCAGGAAAGCCAAGTGGCAACAGGGACGGAATTTTACACTGGAGTAGGAAGCAGGGGTGGATATGTGTGTGCATATCCTGCAGAAAAATAAATGTGTGTGGGGAAAGGGAAAGTTGTGACATAAATGTCACTAAGTGTGCCAATATATTTATTTGGAGAAGAGCAGCCCAGAACACGGCTGCTGTGTTTATTAGTCCCACTGACACAGGGGGTGGGGTGCAAAAGAGAAAGCATGCCGAAAAATTCTGTTAAAAAATAAACAGTGGGCACAAAGGCGAGACTCAAACACCCAGAGACAAGATCTGGTCTGACAGCATGTGGTGGAGGTGAGGGGGAGAAAATGTCACAGAGGGCAGCAACAAAGAACCCAGAGATTCCTAATTCTGCCACACGAATAACTGGGAATGCTGCGAGAGCAGACAGTCTGATAGCAGCATCATAATTGCAATCCTTGCACCAGTTAATCCAGATCAAAGGCACCAGTAATTTTGCTGAAGTTGTTCCACATGCATGCAGGCAGATAATAAATAATAATAATAATAATAATAATAATTTATTTGTACCCTGCCCATCTGGCTGGGTTTCCCCAGCCAGTCTTGGCAGCTTCCAACAAAGACCAAAAATACACTAAAATGTCACACATTAAAAACTTCCCTGAACAGGGCTGCCTTCAGATGTCTTCTGAATGTCAGGTAGTTGTTTATCTCTTTGACATCTGATGGGAGGGCGTTCCACAGGGCGGGCGCCACTACCAAGAAAGCCCTCTGCCTGGTTCCCTGTAGCTTTGCTTCTCGCAACGAGGGAACCACCAGAAGGCCCTCGGCGCTGGACCTCAGCATCCGGGCAGAACGATGGAGTGGAGACGCTCCTTCAGGCATACTGGGCCGAGGCCGTTTAGGGCTTTAAAGGTCAACACCAACACTTTGAATTGTGCTCGGAAACGTACTGGGAGCCAATGTAGGTCTTTCAAGACTGGTGTTATGTGGTCTCGGTGGCCGCCCCCAGTCACCAGTCTAGCTGCTGCATTCTGGATTAGTTGTAGTTTCTGGGTCACCTTCACCTTGCAGGTATACTTGAGTATACCTGCCTGCCACTTGAGAACATTGCTTCATGAGCCTGATGACTGTCCACAAAGGTTTCTGTCCTAATAAATCCTGCTAGGCCTTTATGTTCCTTTCTGGTGCTTGCTGCTACAGACCAACATGGCTGGCCCTCTGCAAGTTGGGAAGTGCAATCTGAAAATGACATCACTGGTTCTGTTGTGACATCATCTGGATTCCAAAGTGCAGCTACATGACAGCATGAAGTGTAACCCCTAATATGAATTCTTCCTTTCACAGGTTGCCATCAAAACAAAAATGGATCTAGGAACTAGTGATATACGGTTGTATAATTTAACAACCACAGTCAGGCTGCTCTGTGGGAAGCTGAGCTGGAGAGAGGGAGCACCACCGGTGGACAAAGCTTTCCAGCAGTGACACCATTTCTGAAACACGCTAGGTGACCAGCACACATGCATGTCGGGAGAGACTTCATGGTATTGGAGCAGGCACTTCATCGCCAATGTGACAACACAACTACACCGGCTCATGTTGCATTTTGCATTAGAGGGCATTTGCTAAGCAGCCACAACTGCAGTGACAACATTAATCCTTAAATGATTATCCCAGCCTGTTTTACTATGACGCTTCACCTGTGCCATTTCACTGACCATTGATTCTAAAAAACCCGGTTTATTTTGCAGCCTTCTGTGCAACACCTGAGCCAAATCAGCCAGGCTCTGAAATGCTCTGCAATAAGGAGAACCAGGTGCGCCAGTCTGTATCCGCATGCTTTCAGCAGGATACACTGTCCAAAGACAGATCAACGACATCTTAAAAGAAGAGGCATCCCTTCTTTGACTGAGCCACTGCTGATCCTTTTGTGTTCTGGTCTGCGCTCAATGGGTCCCATCCTGCTGCCAGAAGCCCTCTGTCTTGAAAGGACCACATATGGACCCTGACCCACTGAGAAGACTTGGCAGTTGCTCTGTCCAAAAATATCTCTTGCTTCTGGAGTAATAAGACATGAGGAAGGGGGGATCTAAGTGTCGTAAAGAAGCCAGTTGACCTGGCTGCGGTGATGATTTAATTCTGACAATTCAGTCAATCATCTAGTCTCATCCCAGCCCCAAGGTGGGGAGGAAATCCCTTTCTGGCACCTTAAAGACAGGGAGTTCCTTAGTGCTCTTTTTCTCCTTTCTATTCCAAGTTATCACACTAGACCCAGCTACTTATTTAGATTTCAGTCAAAATAGCTTTAAAGATATAGGAACATAGAAGACATAACATCAAGACAGAAGACTTCCTTTTGACTGTCCAGAACTTCCAACCACTCTTCTTTATTGGATGGTTCCAGTTTTGAGAATGTTGAGAGATAGAGAAAAACTTTTATTTAGATTCCTTTCCTAATCATCCTAGGTAGGGGATAAATTTATGTGCTTAGTGATAAGCCACAATGATCCCAAATATGGAATTTGCCCTTTTCACAGCTGCGGCAAAATGGGTCAACATATTCATTGAGCTATACACTGTGACCCCAAGACCTCTTTGCTGGTCAGTCACTGCCAGTTCAGACCCCATGAACATGTATGTGAAGTTTTACCTCCGACATGCATCAATTCACAATTGCTTGCACTGGATCACATTTGCTATCTTAATGAGTAAGAGAGCCATCCGCCCAGTTCAGAAAGATCCTTTTGGAACGCCTTGCAATCCCCTTTCATTTTTATCACCCTAAACAAGTTGGCATCATCAGACACTTAGCCAAAATATTGCTAAAAACATTAATTAAGAAGATAAAAAGCGCCTGTCCCAATACCAATATTTGGAGGACCCCACATTCTATATCCCTTCCTCAGGAGAACTGTCCATTTGTTCCTTTTGTCTGCTTCCTGTTTCTTAGCCAATTCCTGATCCACAAGAGGACTCAGGAATCCTTGGTGTGGTACTTTGTCAAGAGTTTTTGGGAACTCCAAGTATACAGTGTCTACCAGATCATGCCTTCATCACCACCACCACTTATTCAATTTTGAACATTGTCTTGATGGAATAACTGCATCATAAGGGAGGATATATAAATCAGGTAATAAATACAAAAAAATAATAATCAGGGTAGAAATATTTTCGGCATTTCTCTGTGGGTCCCCTACAATCCTAGGTAAATGTCAACATTCAGGAACATATTTATTTATATCATTTTTATGCATAAACTATATTCAAAGTGGCTAATAAAACCATTAAAATAACCAGTTGCAGGAGAAAAGCCACAAATACTACCCATCACAGCAGAGGTATTTAGCTGAATCAACCTCAGGATAGGGAATTTTTAAGGAATAGAGCATAGCAACCCTCACAGATCAAATGCCTTCCAGTACAGGCGACTCTTAATTGTCCCTCTGTATGCAAGAAGATCAAACCTATCCATTCTGAAGGAAATCAGCCCTGAGTGCTCACTGGAAGGACAGATCGTGAAGCTGAGACTCCAATACTTTGGCCATCTCATGAGAAGAGAAGACTCCCTGGAAAAGACCCTGATGTTGGGAAAGATGGAGGGCACAAGGGGAAGGGGACGACAGAGGATGAGATGGTTGGACAGTGTTCTGGTGTGCTCTGGTCCATGGGGTCACGAAGAGTCGGACACAACTAAACGACTAAACAACAACATGCAAGAAGAAAACCAGCTTTTAGATAACCTCTGAGCTGCCCCATATGTAAGCAATTCAATCCAGTCATTCCTTCTGAGGGGCGGCAAGTGACTCCACATGCATTTAAAGGGGAATCTCCCCATCATCACAGGAGTGGCTCTAACAAAAAGCTTTGCCCCTCACTTCTACTGTGAAATGAGTGTGGCTTCTCCTTCAGAAATACAGAAGGCAGAAGCTGTGTGCAAACTCACCCAGGCCACTGATGGTGTGTGTCAAGTCACTGGCCTCTAGCAGGATAGGTCCATTTTCTTGCTGGCCTTCCTCCTTGTAGTACAATTTGTAGCCCTGGATGGCTGCTGTGTCTTCCAAATCTTTTTGCCAGCTCACCATGATCGTTGTGCAGTTCAGGGGTTCCAGACGCAGCTCAGGAGATTTTGGTGCTAGGAAAAGAAGGGGAGTTGTTATTTGCATTGGAGGAACAAGCAGAAAACAAGGAAGCTGCCTTATCTTGAGTCAGACCATTAACCCACCTGGCTCAGCCTGGAAATGTCTCTCTCAGGCATGCCTGGAAATGCCAGGGAGTTTCTCCCACACACTTCCCTTCCTGTAAAACCCCTGGGAGGTCCAGTGCATCACACCCACTGCTACACAGCCTACAGAGCCAGTGCAAAGTCTGTGCAAAACTAATGCCCCATATCATAAAATGCAGGTGAAATGAGTTCATGAAGCAGCAAATATAAACTTCAGTTGAGCCACAGGGCTGCAAGGACAACGCTTCAAAGGAAAGGACACCAGGGGCAATTCAGTTTAGCTGGCTAGAGATGTTCTGCAGTGACTTCAGTTGAAAGGTCCATTATTTGGGCATATATTAAATTGAAAAGATGACACACCTTTGACACTCGTGGCTTTCGGCGTGTGATGAGAAGTCCACAGGGAGGCCTCTCCCCAGCCAATCCGAGTTGCTGCAGAGATACGAACCAAATAGATACTGTCGGGCTTCAGGCCCCCTAAAAGGTGTTCGTAGGTCGTGCCTGGGAGCTCCAGAACCTGGACGGTGCTCTCGGTGCTGAGTCGAAATGACAAGCGGAACGAGACGACCTGGCCTCGCCGGTACTTGGCTGGAATCGGCAGCCAGGAGATGAGAATATCTGTGGGGCTTTGGCTTGTCAAGCTGATCTCAGGAGCCCTCAGAGGGACTAAGAGGAGGAGAAGCAGAAAGAAGAACAGTTTTCCCTCTGATATAACAGGATAAGTCTCTCGTTCTGTCTCTCACACACACTTTAATTGTTTTTTAACTGTTGCTTTTTCGGTTTTTAGCTATTTCTATTTTAGCTTTAAAATGCACCTTGAGTCCCTGTCAGGGGAAAGGCAGGATATAAGTATTTTTTTTTTAAAAGAACTTACTGTCTTCCAGGGTGTGTTGTGTCACATGGTCAGACATTTGGCTAGCTCCCATCGGCATGTAGGCCACTATGTAAAAGGTGTAGTTGCTGGCAGGCTCCAAGTCGTCAATAATATAATGTGTTGTGTCGTTTCCAATAACAACTTGATATTCTTCATTATTTAAACCTGGAATGCAGAAAGAATTTACAGAAACAAATGCACCTGAAACCTCTCTACAGGATTATATGTTTAAGGCTGCGATCTTATCAACATTTACCTGGTAAATCGCCCTAAGCCAGGCAAGAATAAATCAGGGAGATTTCCTTGTATGTAATGAGGTTTAGGATTGAACTACAAGGTGGCATTCTTACTTGGAAGTAAGTCCAACCACTAAAAATGGGGCATTTCTGAGAAAAATATTCGGACTGGGTCAGAATGGGGTTTCTTTTGTAGTCTGAGTGAAAGCAGTTTCATGCTACCAAACTGTGCCTTGCTACAGAACATGGGGCTTTGGGATGTGCTGAACAGAAGGCTCTCTGTGGAAGTGCTGATTCAGCTCAAAAACGCCATTCAGAAAACTAAACCACAACAAACTGTGAAGAGAAAGCAGGAAGGCACAAGAGGGGAGCCATCACAGCCTCTGGATCTCCTGCTTTATGGCCCCTCTCATTTTGGACTCTGGGGGTGGTGAGTTCTCTGCTGTAGCTGCTTAAAAACACCAACCAAATCAAAACGAAGATGCTCTGGACCCCTGGCTCCCCATTTTAACTCAAATGATCCTGTGAATAGATTTGTTCTGTTTGGTGCACACAGGACTGTGTACCTGTTTTAGTTCAGGGACAGAGCAACAAGGATTAGTTTAAAACATGCTTTTCCTCCTTAATGAGTGCAGCAATTTACATCCAAACGTGCCCCATAAATGCATGGTAGGCTTGGTGGGGGCTTTGTCCCGCTTCATTCCTATACAGCAAAGCTCTAAAGCAGAAAGCAGCTGGTGGCGGCAGCCAGAGGCCCTTCCTTAATGCACAATTCATGCCAAATTGCTTGTCAACTTTGTGAAAAAAACAAAAACCCACAAACCTCGCTCCTTGAAGCAGTTTAAGCCTCCCCTCCTAAGAACAGAACCTCTCTACAAACTGAACAACAAAAATTCCACCAGTCGGTTTTCCCACAGTTTTGAGTTAACTTGATAGCATTTTAATTAGGCAAGATTATGAGCATCTCACAACACCCTAATTAATGGCTGGTTAATTAGGAACTGCATGGCACGATTTCTGACCTGCTACACAGGATCCCTGAACCCAAACTGAAAGGGCTCCTTCTTGTCTTGAATAGCTGGGAAGACTCCATGGGGAGGAAAGAAGGCCCCCGCCTAGAAGAGGCAGCAGAGAAGACAAGGCAGGCTCCCCCTCCCTCCCACCCAATCAGCCATTCCTTTGTTCCTTTTCTTAATCGCCAACAAGGAATTAACACGCTCCCTCATCAAGTCCCCATTCTCCCTAGTACCACAAACATCTCCCCTGCCCCAGTTTGAAATACCTTTTTCTTTTCTTTAAGTAGCTCTCAGCAGACACCTGTTTGTTTTCTCTCTCTGCTACCTCTGCCCCTAGCCCAATTTGTATTCAATGCTAACTTTTATTATTTGGCCTGTGAGGCAGGTGGAGGAAAATATGACCAGATTTTTGGAGCATATTTTAGAAATGTTGCATTTCTTTACAGCGAATGGAGCAATATCGGGATTGTGTGAAAAGTGCAGCGCTTTGTCAACAGGAAGTGGAAGAAACTTCTCGGCTTTCCCTCCATGGACAGTGCAGCTACAAACAAGGACGTCAGAAGAGCTAAGCTGATCTTGGATCAGACTCCAGCGACTTGGACTCAGAGGCATGTTGCATCTGACCCCGCAGGTGGCATGTAGACCTACCCACCTCATTTTTTGCATGGGGGAAGATTGTGCAGAAGCATCAAGGTACATATTTTTTCACCCACTCCCTTGCCCAGTACCTTTATAGGGAGGAGTTGTTGCCTGAGAATTTCCCCTTGCTCCTGCTCACTGATTTATTTTGGGGGGTGGGCTGGGACTGGCCTGTCTTTAGGGAGGGTGATAGTTGTGTTTGGCTTTTAGGTGGCTGTTGTTTTAAGATGGCAGGAGTTTGCTGTCTTACATTTTTGCATGCTGCATTTTATTGCTTGAATTTTGTCTTTGTGTTAACCACTGTGAGCTGTGGAGTTTTTTTCAGTAAATGCTAACTACTTCAAACAAGAGCCTGTGAGACCAGATACACCTCCGGCAATTCAAGAGTTCCCACAAAGTTCCCAGAGTGCTTCAGGACAGGCTAAGGATGCTGCTGCTACAGCAGCTGAACCAGGGGCTATCCACTTTGTGTGGCAGACAAGGCCGATTAACCAGGGGGAATCAACAGCCAAGTCTTGCTTTTATCCAGTCCATCGGTTATCAAACAGTTAACATATTGTACCCATATAATTTCCAGAAACCTTCAGTATTTATTCTGGCGAGGCAGAAGCTGGTCTATAAAATGTGTTTTGTAAATGTAAGAAGGTAAATTTATTTCTTACACAAACCAACCTGGTGGTCATTCTTTTGCATACCTCAATGACCCTCCATAACGAGGTGTGGAAATATTGGGTATGTTGAATAGTTAAAAAGGTCAGAGAGGTTGAGAGAGAGCAGCAGGTCCTTCTGAGTGATCACTATGCCAGACCCACGGCTCAAGGTAACTGCTACACAACAGGGAGCCATGAGAGATTCAGGGGTAGAAGTAGAATCCTTTACACTTCCACCTACAAGACCAGGCTCCTATGGGGAGATAGGCCTCCTCAAGTGACCCCAGGTGATTTAAAAGGTTGAAACTGGCACGTAAACCATGTCTGGAAGCCAACAGATGCCACTCCAGATCTCGTAAGATTGGAGTTCTTCAACAGTCATAGCCATCTATTCCTTGCTAAAAGGGGAATTCTGCCTCCATAGCAGAAGCCTCTAAATACTCTTAAATGGCAGCCCCACATACAGCATGTTGAAGTAATCTAGCTTGGAGGGTACAGAAGGGTGACAACTACCATATCCTTCCTCCATTGGTCAATCTGAATGCAAGCAACTGAGTCTGGGGAAGATATTGAAGTGCCATTATAGACATACATGCATCCAAACACAGTCTGGGGCCCAACAACCCACACAGAATATAAACTTGATTCATCAGTGGAAGAGTAATGACACATCAGTTAAAGTTGGCTTTCAAAAGATACTGGAAGTATAAATGCCACATGCTATTTGATCTCCTTAAAACAGGCCCAGTGACTTCTCCATACATTCATTTCAAGGGAACCACAAGCCAGATATTGTATTACAGCACCTAAAACCCCAGATTAGGCAGCACATTACAATTCTTCATATGATTTATCCCAGAGAGCAAAAGGTAAATAAAAGGAAATGCTGCAGAAGTCTATGGAGGAACTTGCATGAGCCAGAGGAGAAGGAGGGAGGATGCCGGTCCTCAAGACTGCAGCAGATTTATTTGCCCTTGCCCTCAAAAGGGCCCAGAATCATCCATTCTATAGGGAAGCCTCTTGTGCCCGAAATATGGAAGAGCCAAGCAGCAGCTCAGGGTGCTCATCAGACAGATACCATACTTACCTTCTGCCTTCATGTAGTGCACTGAGTAAGCGATGACTTTGTCCGAATTGTATAGTGGCCTCTCCCAGGCCAGAAGGATGGCTGAACTTGACATAGTTTCTGCGTGGACATTGCAAGGGGCACTGGGCCGGTCTTCGGACAGAACTACCGTCAATCGTGCCCTGGACAGGATGGAGCCCTGGCTGTTCTCGGCCATGCACTGGTAGATGGCATCATCTTCAGGGATGATCTGGTTGATCACCAGTTTGCTAGACAGACAGACAGACAACAAGAGCCCAGGGAAAAATCAAAAAGAAGCAAGAGCAGATTGTCCACCAACTCAGCTTCATATATTTGCACCATTGGTTTTACATGTACAGATTTATTTTTATTTATTTTTAAAAGTGATTGGATGTACCATGTACAAAACAAACAAACATTAAAACCAGTGGTTGGACATTTCTCATGGTGACAAGGGCAAGACAGACATAAGTTTGTTATTTAGTACCATTGCTAGGTATTTATTCTGCTCACTCCTATTAAAAAGGCACATAAATAATGGAAAAAACATGATTGGAATTATTCAAAATTAAAAAAACAACCAACTGGAAAGACGCTCCAATCCACATGCCACACTGGAATGAATACACTGCCACGCCATCCATGGGTCAGACCTGCCAATCCTTCATAGTGACACCCCCAAATCCACCTCTCTGCCTTGGGAGGAGCACCTCTACCCACACGTCCTCAATAGCTCCAGAGTCATTGGGCAGCTGGCCGTTCTCACCTGTTGTACATTTTGATTCTGCCATTGGAATGGATCTTCCTCCCGTTCTTCAGCCAGGACATCTTGGGAGCTGGGATGCCTTCTGCCTGGCAGGCAAAACGAGCAGTGCCAGCTCGAGGCCTCGTCAAGCTTTCTGGCCACTCCACAAACGAAGGGGGAGCTGAGGGATTATGAAACAAAAGTTGAAACCAAAATCTTTCTCAGGCAAGATCCCAGAATATGTTAAACCTCCCCTTTTCCTCTAGAGCAGGCATGGCCAAACGTGGCCCTCCAGATGTTTTGGGATTACAATTCCCATCATCCCTGACCACTGGTCCTGTTAGCTAGGGATCATGGGAGTTGCAGTCCCAAAACATCTGGAGGGCCAAGTTTGGCCATGCCTGCTCTAGAGTCTTGCCAAATGCAGAGCACCTGGGGGCAGAGTTACAAGGCACCTTTGTCCGGAGTGGCTTTCTTGTGGGAAGAGGGAGGAACAGGAAGCAGTTGCAAAGTCTGAGCCATTTTTAATGAGATGCTATTTGGCTATTGCGAATCCCCACGACGGGGTGAGCTCCCGTTGCTTGGTCCCTGCTCCTGCCAACCTAGGAGTTCAAAAGCACGTCAAAGTGCAAGTAGATAAATAGGTACCACTCCAGCGGGAAGGTATACTGCGTTTCCATGCGCTGCTCTGGTTCACCAGAAGCAGCTTAGTCATGCTGGCCACATGACCCGGAAGCTGTACACCAGCTCCCTCGGCCAATAAAGCGAGATGAGCGCTGCAACCTCAGAGTCGGTCGCAACTGGACCTAATGGTCAGGGGTCCCTTTAACTTTACCGTATTTGGCTATTTTACAGGTGTTCCATACCCTGCTTCATCACCCATCACTTCAAGCCTCTGGGTTAGGACAGGCATGAAATTTAAGATCAAGTGACACATGAGTGGCTGGGGAAACTCAGCCAGATGGGCAGGGTATAAATAATTTTTTATTATTATTATTATTATTATTAGCGGATCTCTGCTTCTGTGCCTCCTGTAGAGCATTTCTACAGAGTCTCCTCATCTGGTTTATTTTCACCAGCCCAAGCAACAAGACCCTTCACTCAACAGGAAGGCTTTGTTCCAGAGTAACACAGTATGCTTGTACTGCCTGGGTCTGATGGGAATTGTAGTTAAAAATACCAGAGTACACCAGGTTCTCAAAGCCTGATGTTGCATGAGCAACGCCATTTCTTCAGTGGCTAAATCTGCTTGACACCCAACCCTGAGAGGCTTTCAAAGTCAGCTCACCTAGCACAACAAGTGTTGCCATCGCAGTGGTGAAGTTGCGCGTGCCAGGAATTGTAGCACGGCAGATGTAAACGCCAGAGTGCTGTACTTTCACATCCGAGATCATGAGATTCCCATTCCCAAGCACACGAGTGTTGAAAACGTCAATGGATTTATGGTCTGTTTGGGGAAAACAAGCCAGCAATGAAGATGTTCTTTGGTGGTGGACAAACCAATTCCACCTTCTGAAGTCCCTCTTCACTGCCCAGGTTCTCTTTGTGATGGCTCAACACCAGTCTACACTTCAGCGAAGAATCCAATCCAGGGGTGGCTAACCTGTAGACTTTCCATCTGCCCACATGGCCAGTGGTTAGGGGTGATGGAACCTGCAGTCCCACAACATCTGAGAGGACCACAGGTGAGCCACCTCCAGTCTAATTCATTCTAGAATTTGTTTGATGGACATCCAGCTAGTAAGAATTGGGTGAAGGCATCCTGACCTGATCCCCAACACTTGCATAGGCATAACCTCTTCAGTCCTGGAACAGTGCTGACGTTACCCTCCGCATTCCCATACTTCCTGCTTCTTAAACACTTTCCAACCACAGTTGTGAAGCTGATCCCAACAGACAACATCCAATTCCAGACATCCCATTTGTGAAGCGGCAATGGCCACCGGATCCTTCTACACAAGACAAGTCTTGCCTGCAGTGCTGTTGCTCATCAACCGCAATCCTGCTTCTTTTACAGCATGCAAGGTTTGCACTGGCACAGCTGACTCTGTGGGGCCTGGGAAGCTTTAAGAGCATGGCCACAGCTGCAGTTTGGGGAAAAGCTCCCATATGCTCCAAAGGGAGCTTTTCTTCTATGAAGACAGCAGGCGCAGAGGCCAGAACCGCACTGGCGTCACAGCAGTGGCAAAAGAATTAATCCCTATGTCAGAGTCTTAGTCTGGATGATATTTGGCCTGCAACTGCAGAGGAAAAGGCATTCCACCTGAAATTAATGGAAGCTTCTTTCCCCAATTCGAACAGAAGACACAGGGGGCCCATCTGGATGAGCAAGGAGCAAAGGAATCCTATCCACCATCCTAAGATCCTGATCCACAATAGCCTCTCCCCCAAATACACACCTGCAGTTTGTATGGGGTGAATTTTATATCTCACTGGAGTGAATGGGAGATTTTTCCTGATGCAAAGTGCAGGCATGGGCCTCCCAATCTGGGCCAGAACCACAGGGGAAGAAGAAGGGGTTGGAAACAGATTGTGGGTGTAAGAGAATGAATGGATGAAGGAGGTGCATGTTTCTGTATGTAAATGGGTGGTTGTGTGCACATAAGAGAGATTGTGAATGAATGGAGCATGTGCTTGTAAGCATGTGAATGGTTGGAGGGGATGGGCCATGTGGCGTGTGCGAGAAAAAATATGAATGGGGCATGTTGTGTGTGAGACAGAGAAGGGGTGTAGGGAGGGAGGGGGTTCCGGCACCCCCACACCACTGGCATGTGACCCTCAACATAGGAAGCTGCCTTTTACCAAGTTAGATCACTGGATCCATCTAGCCCAGGATTCTCAACCACAGACCTAGTGGTGCCTCTTCAGGGTTTCAGGCTGGATATGCCACATTGGAGCCTTCTGCATGCAAAGCAGATGCTCTGCTGCTGAGCTTAAGCCCTTCCTCATGCATGACCCCTGGAGGAATGCAGCTCCCTCTCCCCATTGCTTTAGAGGATGGAAAGTGCCTGTCAAGTTTCCTACACTCCTTCCACATTGACTAGTCTGTGGAAAAACTCTTGCCTCCTACTAGGGAAGTCGTGGAGGATTCTCCCCCAGCACTGATCTCAGCATTCATTTGATCACTGCACTCCCAGCCCCCAACCTGGTTCTACAGCAACAGTGTGAAAACACAAATTGGAAACAAGAGGAATCCCTGGACCATCTCTTTCTCTCCTCCTTTTCCTCATCTGGCACAATGATGGTGGAAATGAAAGAGGAGACCATCTTCAATTTGCCCAAAGTGAAGAGCCAAAGATCGGTTTCAGGACTCACCTAAACGGCTCCAGGAAACAATAGGCTTTGGATTCCCTGTGGCAATGCATTCAAAGATGACAGTTTGGTGGAGGGAAGTTGTGATGTTCTGAGGACCAGCTATGATGGATGGCTTGTGGAAAAGCTTAATGTTGGAGGCTTAAAAAAATAAGAAGCACAAGCAAGCAGAGAGTTAAATGGAAATGCACAGCTGACATACACACAGAGACCCACCAAACATGAATGTGGCACATCAAGTCTTAGGATCAGGCCCCAAATTATGAAGGAATAGATCGCAGTTGTCCCATGAGGGAAGTCAGTGCCTGCAGATGATGCAATGGAGCAATGCTAGAGTCAGCAAGATATTATCAGGATACCTGGGACAACTGTGAGCATCGCCTCGACACTTTTGCGCCGGTTGGCAACTGTTGTGGCGACACAGCGATAATTCCCAGCATCCTTCTGTTGGACGCCATAAATCTGCAGCACTCCCGTCGGCAATGCAGTTATTCTGAAAGGATTGTGGAAAGGGAGGGGAGAAGAGTTTCAGAATGAATCAGAGAACCAGTATGATGAGCAGAGCAGGATGCTGAACTTGGCCCCAGGGAGACCAGAGTTTGGATCCCTGCTCAGCCATTAAGCTCACTGGGTGACAGTATGTTCTCTTAGCCTAACCTCGGTCCCCTAATAAAATGGGACAACCCTGACACACACTGCTGCCCTGAACTTCTTGCAAGAATGGTAAGAGGCAGGTGTAATAAATAGGTTTAGTGGAAGAGAACCAAGTATCCATACCTGTCCATGGCTATTGGCAAGGTTGTCCGATTCACCTCCCAGGTGATGATGGCAGGAGGGTTGGCAGAGATTTTGCATGCAAAGCGAGCCACACTCCCTTCATGTGCCTCCACTGGAAGTGGCTGAATTTCAAATGCAGACATAGCTAAAAGAGGGGGAGAAAAATGAAAGCTTGAGAATTAAGACAGAAAACAAGCAAAAAGCAAAATGAATACATTATCCTATTAAGAAGAACACATTCTTTTCTTCTTTGAAAAACAGCCTCTAAAGAGAGATCAATTTAAACAACAGATGAATGAACCAGTCTCACAAGGATATATCCTTGCAACTAAACTGAAATTCCATTAAGCATCCATTTCATTTGATGCTGCCCAAATGCACTATGCTCTAGAGTAGCCTTCTCCAACCTAGTGCCCTCCAGCTGTTTTGGACTACAAAGCCCATCAACCCCAGCCAGGCTGCTCTAAGGAGGTTGCTTCAGGCAAACAAGAGCTACTGCAATGACATCTTGCTACAATGGGTGGGTTACAGAAATCCTAGCCAATCAGTCATATGGGTTTTGGTCAATTAGGTAAAGGTAAAGGTACCCCTGACTGTTAGGTCCAGTCACAGACGACTCTGGGGTTGCATGTTCATCTCATTCTATAGGCCAAGGGAGCCAGCGTTTGTCTGCAGACAGCTTCCGGGGTCATGTGGCCAGCATGACTAAGCCGCTTCTGGCGAACCAGATCAGCGCACGGAAACACCGTTTACCTTCCCACCGGTACTTGCACTTGATGTGCTTTCAAACTGCTAGGTAGGCAGGAGCTGGGACCGAGCAACGGGAGCTCACCCAGTCGCGAGGATTCAAACCACCGACCTTCTGATCGGCAAGCCCAAGCGGCACAGTGGTTTAGACCGCCCACATCCCTTTGGTCAATTAGCCAATCAATTCATGCATTACATTTGCATATGAGTAAAAAGGAACCAAGTAAGTTCTGAAGCAAAACAACAAGCAAAACACAGCACTTTGTTAATAGACAATGTACTACTGCCAGTTTCCACAGACGCTTCCTAAAAACCCCACATCACCCTTAGCTGGGATCTCCTGCAAAGCACAGGGAAGCAAGGGGCACAGTCTACTGTGCAAATCACTACATTTTTCTACTTTTTACTTTTCAAGATATTGGTTTGATTTTTTTAAAAAAAAACACCACCAGCAGCAGGTACAGCGATCTCACTCAGTATCCAGCCTGCCTAGCTTCCCAAACTTTATTTTTTTTTAAAAAAAAAATATTTTTATCAAAGATTTTGTCGTTTACAAAAATGCATGCATTGTCTCTTTTTTTCAAGTGATGTTTTATACAGATCAGTTTCATTTGTTGTAGGACTTTGATTTAAAGTCCAGCAGAAGATTTCCATAAAGTAGCTCCTCCCATGAGGCTTTTTTTTTTCAAACCAGCAAATGTGGGCAGCTAAGGAAGACACAAAATACTGGAGAGGTAGGTGAAGCAAAGAAAAACACGCAAACACATCGCCCCTGGCCACCTCATAAGGAAACCCCACACCCGCTGAAATTAGAAGAGAGGAAGATGGAGGCCTATTTTTTGAGGGAGGGGGGAGGGGAAATTCAAGAAACTGGAGTATAGGCTTCAGTTTATCACTAAACTGAGACACCTTTTAGCAGAGTACAGTGGTACCTCGGGTTAAGAACTTAATGCGTTCTGGAGGTCCATTCTTAACCTGAAACTGTTCTTAGTCTGAGGTGCCACTTTAGCTAATGGGGCCTCGCGTTGCCGCCATGCGATTTCTGTTCTCATCCTGAAGCAAAGTTCTTCACCCGAGGTACTATTTCTGGGTTAGCGGAGTCTGTAACCTGAAGCGTCTGTAACCTGAGGTACCACTGTATTTTAAAAAGTGATTTAGTCAATTAAGAAGTTGCAGACCTAGTGCTGATGTTATTGAGAGGCACTGGACAGGTAAGCTGCAGGTGGGATTTATGGCTAAGAAACCTTGGAGGTTAACCATTTGATGAATCAGATGGGGCCAAAATACGCTAGTGATTGCATGAGAGAAAGGTGCCTGCAATCAGATTTCAGGGAAAGAAAACCCAACTCACTTTTCTACGTAGAAAGCTGCACCTGGTAGCAGAGGAAAAGCCCCCACAAAAAGAAGCTGCCCTTTCTTCCTTGTCCTGGGTTGCAAGCGCTACAGGACTACCTTATCTGCAACATTAAGCTGCAAATCTACAAGCCCTAAGACTGATAAGTCACAGGCAATAAATGCAAGGTCACACAGCATAGAAAACAAACATTAAGGACAGGGAAACAAAATGGTGCCTCAAGGCTCAGTTTATTGGAAGACAGAGTAGACCAATCAGCCACTCATTTTCCCACAGGGCCACTCGAGATAGCAGTGATGGTCCAAATTCTGTTGCAACATTTTACTTTTCTGCCACAGGCTACCAATGGAACCACACTGGGGTCATTCCCAGCCTCTGATCCCATCACCCGACTGCCAACCAGCTAAGCCTCTTGCCACAGATGGCACCACACCTCTTTTGCCTCACCAGGCTGACAACTAAGAGGGTTCCAAGTGGGCAGAATTTGACTCAAGGGGACTGAAAGTTGCTGACCAGTTTGGCCCACAGACTTCATTGCTGCAGAAATTGCTTTATACCGCTTTATGGTATGCAATTTATCTTTAGTAAAAAGTGTTCATCACATGCAATGTTTCCTGGCATGAAAACTACTGTGAAGCACTTATTGGCCAGCCCCATGGAAATGACTTTTCCTTATGGGTCGTCCCCCCCACCTTTATTGCAACCAAGACTCAGAAAGGGACATCTAACGGTCCCTCGATTGGGAGAGTGGTCTGGGAGTTGGCACATGATATGATTAACAGAGGGACGCGGGTGGCGCTGTGGGTAAAACCTCAGTGCCTAGGACTTGCCGATCGTATGGTCGGTGGTTCGAATCCCCGCGGTGGGGTGAGCTCCCGTCTTTCAGTCCCAGCTCCTGCCCACCTAGCAGTTCGAAAGCACCCCTAAGTGCAAGTAGATAAATAGGTACCACTTTATAGCGGGAAGGTAAACGGCGTTTCTGTGTGCTGCGCTGGTGCTGACTCGCCAGAGCAGCTTCGTCACGCTGGCCATGCGACCTGGAAGTGTCTGAGGACAGCACTGGCCCCTGGCCTCTTAAGTGAGATGGGCGCACAACCCTAGAGTCGGACACGACTGGCCCGTACGGGCAGGGGTACCTTTACCTTTACCTTTACGATTAACAGACATTTGATTTAATTTCCTTGAGCAGGAGTTTCCCCTAAGCTTTCTTCAAGAGCCACTGCTTTTCAAATCAGGACTGAAAAACTTGGGGCTTATCTCTGGGCAACACAGCTTGATTCTCAGTTTACTGGGCTTTACAAACAAAAACACCAAAGGAATAAGGCCCTTCATATCTAAAAATACAAATGCAAATAAGTCTTTGGAGAACGGGGAGCAGATTACATTTGACTCCTTAAAAGGGAGCCACAAACTTGCAAGAATTTCAGAATCAAAGCACAGAGAGATAATATATTGTCTGCTACTTAATTTAGTAACATAGATGTGCATAAACTTTGTGAGCTGTTTGCAATGCTACCCTACATGAGTGTGGCGGCCAATAGAGACATTTCTGTTTACCTGACCATCTCCTGACTGTCGATACCGAGATCTTTGTTGTTGCTCTGGCTGTGGTTGTTACTAAAAGTAGGTGGTGTGACTATCTGGATATTTTGACTGTTCTTACTTATTGTTACTTAATGTTTATAATGTATATCATGAGCCACTTTATGAGATTTTTAAATGAAAAATTTATTGCGTAGCAGCTGTGAATAAGGTGAATTCCATGTTAGAAATAATTAATAAATGAATTTGGAAAGAAAACTGCTAATATCACCTTGATCATTTTGGTGTGCCTGCACTTGGACTACTGTGTACAATTTTGGTCACTTCACTCCCAAATAGATATTGTAGAGCTCGAAAAGGTTCAACCAAAACGATCGAGGGGATGGTGCAACTGCCCTACGAGGAAAGGGTGTTGTTGTTTTTTAGTTTTTTAAACATGTGAGTTACAGGAGACATGATGGAGGTATATAAGAATGTGAAGTGGGGCCACGGCAGTGAAGCTGAATGTTGGGAGATTCAGGACTAGCAAAATAAAGTGCTTTCTCACACAGAGTATTAAAGCTATGGAACTGGCTTCCCAGACAGGCAGTGATGGCAAACTTGGATGGCTCCAAAAGAGGATTAAGACAACCTCATTCATGGAAGAGGACAAGGCTCTCAATGGCTACTAGCCATGATGGTTATGTTCCACCACCTCCACTGCCAGAGGTGGAATGCCTCTGAATACCAGTTGTTGGGAGTCACAGGTGGGGAGAGTGCTGCTGTGGCGTTCAGGTCCTACTTTCACCCTTCCCCTAATGCTATATGGTTGGCCATTGTGAAAACAGAGTGTTGCAACAGGTGGGTATTGGCACTGGCGGAGGAACAGGGGTGCGGAGGGAGTGCACCACCCCTGGCATCACGATCCCAGTGGGGCTGCCCCCCATGGGCTGGGCGTTATGCCCCTGAGGGCACCACACCACGCCCCCGGGACACACGCCCACCAGCCACGCCCACTCTCCGCCCCCCCGCCAGAGCCACTGGGTATTGGGCATTGAAACATGTCGCAGAGTGCGTGCAGAGTAGACCACACAGATGGAAACACTGAAGAGACGCAAAGATATCTTTGCAAGATTTAATAACAACTTCCCAAACACACATCTTACATAGTGTCTATAATCGTCACCCACCCACCCACCAGGGCAGAGTAAGGTACATACTGCACATTATATATCATTCACAATTGCTGACACAGCTAATTACAGTGACTTATCAGCACCTGCTACACAGCTGTAAAAACTAGGTCAGGATATGACCCTGGCTTTTAAAGCGGTACACATCCTGTGAAACAATAATGAACCCTAACATTTAAACAAACTATTCAACAGTGGGTCCCCCCTTTGGTCTGATCTTGCTGCAGCAGGGCTCTTCTTGGGTGGGTGTTATGAGATCAATAGGCTCTAGGTTCTGGAACAGAGGCCAAGCCAGGTTTTGAATGAGGACTAAGGTGCTAGTTAAGGACTTGAGCTAAGCTGTCCTGCAACCGAGGCAAGTTGTCTCAGAAACATCTTGGAGCAACCAGCAGAACTCTCTAGTCTGGGCAGGGAGTCAAGATAGAAGCCCCTGCACCCATGCACCATCTGTCCAGTTAAAGTGCTGGTGCCCTTGTCTGCAGCGGCTGGTTTTTCAAGCTGTGGGGACTGCCTTGGAGAAAGCTACTCAGGGCTCTCCTGACCCTCCCAGGTGCCTGAGTCCAGCAGCAAAGGTGTCTCCTCCTCAGGGTTCAGGGAACAAGGTATGGGCTCTGGCTGTCAGATGGTTCACAGTGGAAAGACTGGAGGAACAGGGTTGCTGGGGTAAACATAGATGCTGCCCAAATATATCTGTCATTCTCCACAGCCTTCCCCCCTCTCTCTTGTTCCTTATTTATTTTTTGTTTATAAGAAGAAATGTTCTCCCAAGAGTTTGCTTTATAGCAGCATCAATCAATCAGTGGTGCTACTGTAACATAAACACAGTGAGTGATAGTTGTTGCTATGGCGGAGCGTTAATATATTTTCCTTTCCCCCTCTTGAGTCCTGTCCACATCTGGGTTCATTCAGAAATAAAATACACGCCATGTTTTCAGACCAGTCCCTTGTGGGCAACTGCCTGGAAAAGGGAATCACCCAGACAACTCGTGTTTTGGTTTAGGCAGCTCAGAGCTGCAGCGCTTGGGAGGGCAGGGAGCTCATGAAATAGATGAAGTAGCAGCAGCCAATGTTGCCTCTTGTCACCCGGCTGCCAACAGCCTTGGCCCCCACAATGGAAAAGGAATGATGCTTCAGCAAGAAAAGTTTTGGGTTCAGTGTTTTTGTATTAATCGATCCATCCGTTTGATCATCCTTCCTCAACCTGGTGTCTCCCAGATGTTATTGCACTACCACTCCCATCCGTCTCAGCATCACACAGCCATCTTGGCTGGGGTTGGTGAGAGGGGTGGTCCCAAACATCTGGAGAGCAACACTAGGTTGGAGGTGGCTGCTTTTGATCTATTTAACAGCAGCAAGAATGTTGTTTGCCCAGAAATGGAAGGCTCAAATATCACCTCAGAGTACTGAGTGGCTAAGCAAGCTTTGGGAATTAGCTCCAATGCAAAAATTAACATATTATTTAAGATTTAAAACAAAACAAAACAGGGTATGGACAAAATAGATTTCTGGAAGTCTTGTTTATTTGGTGTTGCCAAATAAATTGTCTCCAAAAAATTCATTGTGGTTTTCATGGTTCATATACTCTTCTGTCAAATAGTCATGTGAATATATTTGTTTTATTTTCTTTTAAAATAATTCAAAGAATGTGGTGTGTTGGATCTTGAAAGGTTTAACAAGGCTACCATAAGGAAAAGCTTTATAATTAGGAAAAACGTTCTTGACAAAGATGTAAGGCACACTGTAATTGACAGTACCTTAAAGTACTGTGTAAAAAAGGGTTTGCTTATAAGCCACTTATCTATCTATCTATCTATCTATCTATCTATCTATCTATCTATCTTTCATTCCCTATGAATTGGGCAAAACTTTTAAAGTCACTCAATTTTAAGGTAGGTACATATAAAAACTGCAGGTGTCTGGCAGCGCCTTCAAGGAACTATTCTCTCTTCACTTTCACACCAGATGGGATGTATATATTCCCAGAATTTGTAGGTTGTTTTTCAGCCACACAACTCGCCCCCCAAGACAGTCTAAAATCACAAGCAATAAAACCATATAAATATATTATTAGAATATCATCTTCTAAGATGATACCTGCTGCAATATGCATCCACGTGCCATCTAAAAACCAAGTATGCTTTTTGTCTTCAGAGCTCTTGTTTCCATCTTATGAAGGATGCTGATGTTATGCTTGGATCCTGCTTGCAGGCTTCTAAGTGGGGTACATCTGACTGGCCATTGTGATGACAGGATGCTGGACTTGGTGGACCTTTGGCCTCATCCCACAAGATTCTTCTTGCATTCTTATGGAAACGCATGCAGATTTAAAATGGATTAAAACCAAGTTTCAACTAGCTAACTGTTTAAGATGTTTTGTTTTGTTTTGTTTTCCATGCTAGCCAGGACTGCTGGGAGCTGCAGTTCAAAACATCTGGAAGCCACCAGGCTGGTGAAGACTAATTTAGCTAATCACAAGGAGGGGAAGGAGCAATGCAAGTTAGTGAAGCCCTATCCTGACACCCCCACGCCCCACCCCCCAAGCTCTGGAAGCCACCCCTGCTCAGCTCTTCTCACCCCTCCCCATCACAGCATCTGAGGTTCTCTGGACTTGTCCACGCATTTTCAATTCCCCTTGTACAAGGATGGGAGGCATCCCAGCCAACAAGCAGCAACATTTTAGGGGGGGGGGCATGGTCCAGAGCTATATCCAAACACCAGGATTGCCCAATGCATACCAGCCAGAAACACTTTTCCCCTTGCGGAAAATGCTGTTGGGAAATCAGCTCTGCATCTTCCAAGTGCCTCCTAAAGTCTCACTAACCCATTTGCCAAGATTATATTAAACCTGCATTTCAGCAGTTCCCTCTCACCTGCCCAGCGCATGCACAAATCACCAGAAATTGATCTCATATGTGGATCATTTCCCCCTGCCTGCTGGGAAACACCAGCAGCCACAGCTGACCCCCTTCCCAGACAGAGGGCCTTCTCGGTAGTGGCACCCGCCCTGTGGAACGCCCTCCCATCAGATGTCAAGGAAATAAGCAGCTATCCTATTTTTAAAAGACATGTGAAGGCAGCCCTGTTTAGGGAAGTTTTTAATATTTAATGCTGTATTGTTTTTAAAACTCGATTGGGAGCTGCCCAGAGTGGCTGGTGAAACTGGGGTATAAATTATTATTATTATTATTATTATTATTATTATTATTACAATCTAGTCCAGGCAGATGAGCAAAGCACACAGAACAAGCCCTCCAAATTGCGTTTCCTAGGACTTGACAGCTCACAATTACCATGTCCCATTCTGGAATTGTAGTTCCCAGGGATCCCTGGTGAGGGGGAAGGACTTAAAGAGCTCAACCGCATTGTGGAAATGTGGCTTTTGAAATAAAGTGCTTTGTTCAGAACCATGAGGACTAGAAGCTCTCTCTATTTTTAAGGGAAGGCTGCATAACTCAGTGGTTTTGCATACAAAAGGTCCAAGATTCAGAGCCACTGTCAGTCAATTTAGAGTGGCAACAGTGAGCTAGATGGACAAAGTTTGACTCTGTATAAGAAGCAGCAATTTCAAGACTGGGTTATGTATTACCATGAGAACACCCACATATTGCTCACACAATAGAATATAGATATACAGTGGTACCTCAAGTTAAGAACTTAATTTGTTCTGGAGGTCTGTTCTTAACCTGAAACTGTTCTTAACCTGAAGCAGCACTTTAGCTAATGGGGCCTCCCGCTGCTGCCGCGCGATTTCTGTTCTCATCCTGAAGCAAAGTTCTTAACCCGAGGTACTATTTCTGGGTTAGCGGAGTCTGTAACCTGAAGCGTCTGTAACCCGAGGTACCACTGTAGATGCTCACACTGGCTAGATGCGGAACACGTATGGCTATCCCCAAAAGGGAAAACACAAATGTTCCATTCTGGACAAATCAGAGAGGTGTGGAGGCAACAGGAAGCCCAAGATGAGTGGCATTTCCTCTTCACCTGCTTCTTTGGCATGTTCAAAGACATTCAGGGGCAGACAGAGGAAAATGACCCACTCCTTTCCATTTTAAATATTTTTCGGTAGTTTGTGTGTGGCCGAACCCCAAGGAACAGATGCATGAGCTGTCCACTTTTTGCTGCAAACTGCCCTGATCACAATACGAAGCCCTGAGCCCTGGGAGTCAATGGGATTGCACCAGCACCTTGCAGGCACAGCCCCTCTGCTCCCCTTCCCCTTTGTATTCGGAGGGCCCAGGGGAACCTCTGCAAAGGCAGCAAGAGACAATGCAAGTGCATTCATTAAAAGAAAAGAAAAAGTCTCCTGAGCATGCGTGAAAAACTTATTGAAGGGGAGGCAACTGAAGACCCTTACACAAGCCCAGAAGAGTCATTTTCATTGCTTAGGAGTTCCTGGGCCTGCAAGGAAGACTAGAGGCTGTTTGGTGCCTCCCAAGGATGCAGCAGAGGGGGCAACTTGTGCTGGCAGATAAGCAAAAGCTCAGCCACTGCACAATGAAGAGCAATATAATTTCTGATTATTATTTTTTTGAAGGAGAATGCCAGATGGACGAGCACTGGATTTAGTGCCAGAAAGAGGCACATGGTTTTGCAAACAGTCCTGTCCTGCAGTCCCCATCCTGTTTCAGGCAGCATAAAGGTAGAAGAGGCCAGGGTGAGCTCCTACATCACTCTGTCCCACCAGTAAGCAAAACATCACAAAGCAAGTGGGACTGGGTAAGAAACCAGAAGGCTTCTCCTCTTGGGAAAAGGAGGAGGCAGCCTGGGTGTGATCTAGAGCAACATGCTGCTGTTTGGAACTGGTATATCTCAGCATGGCAAGGAGGCCAGAGGCGATGTGTACCCTCATGCGCTCTGCCAGTGGCAACCCTGAGCACCTTTGCAAGAGCTGTGAGTCAGGGCGTTGTGAAATCATGATCAAAGCCCAAATGACTCTTGTTTTCCACATTGTGTTTTTCTTTGAGCTGTGAAGGGGCATAAATCTGCCTTGCGTAGAGAGGTAATTACACAAAGCTTTCATCAATAAATAGCGAGGGGGGGGCGGGGATTCCAGATGCAATAATGAGAGAGGATTCTGGCCATCTGTCCCTCCTGCTAGGCTCAATTCATCACCTTTGCCCTGGACAAATCTTTGCAGGGCCTGATCGCAGCAAAGCGAAAGGCTGAGGGGGGGAGAGGATGCAGGACACAAAGGCTGCTTCAGCCAGTTCTCTCTCCCCGCCCCCCCAGCAGCCTCCTCTGTCCTGTGCAGTGGTTTAAACCACTGAGAGGCTCTGCAACAGAATGAAATTTAACTTCTTAACCATATGTCAGCTGCCCTCTCAGGAGAGCAGAGAAGGGGAAAGGGAACGGAAAGGCGAGTGGGTCCGTTGACCCTTTGGGGACAAAGTCACTTGCCCCCGCCCCCTCGAACAAGTGGGGAGTGAAGAAGGGAGCAAGGAAGGAGCGCCTGCTCCGCTCCTCCTGCAAGGAAGGAAGATGCGCCTGGAGGATTGGGCCCCTAGGGTACGGGGGCAGCAACCAAAGTGCTGCTTTTCACTCTTCTAACACACCCCTGCCTTCTCCACTGGTTTGGTTGGAATTATTCTTTAAGTCTTTAGCAAATGAACTGCGTTAGTCCTATTGTGATGCACCCCTTTTGGGTCGTGGGGTTTTTCTCTCTGTTTGCTTTGGGAGAATCTAGTCAGCTGGCATGCACAAAATATGTTTTATGCATATAAAAAAAATTAAGAAAAGCGCCTGGAGGTGGCACAACGGGTCACTGCACCTGGCTGTTAACCAGAAGGCTGATAGTCTGAGCCCACGCAGGGACAGCTGTGGACAGGATTCCTGCATTGCAGGGGGTTAGGATGGATGACCCTCAGGGTCCCTTCCAACTCTACAATTCTATGATTCTAGTTCAGGGGTCAGCAAACTTTTTCAGCTGTGGGCCGGTCCATTGTCCCTCAGACCTTGAGGGGGGCCGGACTATATTTTGAAGGAAAAAAATGAATGAATTTCAATGCCCCTCAAATAACCCAGAGATGCATTTTAAATAAAAGGACACATTCTACTCATGTAAAAACACACTGATTCCCGGACTGTCTGTGGGCCAGATTTAGAAGGCAATTGGGCCGGACAGGACCTTAAGCTCTAGCAAATGAAGAAAACAGTATTTAAGGCTGTAGACAATAACATGTGGGCTCTGTTTTAATTATTACAGGTTTGCATAACCACAGAAGGTTTTCAAATAAAATAAATGTATTTACTCATTTCACAATAAGCACAACAGAATGTTTTGATGTTATTAAGAAATGAAGCCCTAACTAGTCGCCAAAGGCTGTCATCTAAGAGAAATAAGAGGCCGCAGCCTCAACATAGGGGATATGAAGGTGTTATAAGCTTGTAGAACTCATTGCCACAAGACCACTGGTTACATCAGCTCCTGCAGTTGATGGGAGTTGTAGACCAGCAACATCAGGTTGCAGCAGAAGGCTGAAGGGGGAAAGGTCTGTGTAATCCCCACCAATGGCAGAAGTGCTCCTACAAGAGGAGCTGGCTAACCAAATGATTCCAGTGCAACAAAAAGAGAAAATCAATTCAGATAGACACAGTGCTGGTTTAAACCTCTGCAGAGCGTGATGCAAGAGGCAAAACATCTCCTCACCAGACATCAGATCAATTGATAAGTACAGATCAGCTGAGGGAGGGGCATGCTACGTACATCTTGCGTGTGTGTGTGTGTGTGTGTGTGTGTGTGCCTGAGAGTGTGTGGGTGGCTACACACACCAGTGGCATCTACTGCCCCCCCAAGGGTTGGCCCAGTGTGAATGTAGCCCTTGGGCCAAAAAGGGTTGCCACCCTTGTCCCTCAGCCACATGGCAAGAAGAGGCTACCTTAGTAACAGATGCTACTGGGGGTTCCAGACAGAGATAGCCCACCATGGGCACAATCTACTTGGGTGTTCTTCTGTGGAAGGCCAACTGGGGCGGGGGACACCTGGGGCCAGCTGTTGCTGAATTCCATCTCCTATCATTTCTGGTTATGCTGGGAGTTGCGAGTCCAGCAATATCTGGAGAACCACAGATGTTTCCCAGGCACGTTAAAGAACAACCAGGAGCCCCAGGAAACACAGCCAGAGCTCTTGAGTCTTATTTGCAAAGCTCTCAGTTCCACTGCTATCAAAAAGCCACCAGAGCACAGCAGGCTTGTGTTCTTCTGCCCCTAGAGTGGCAAAATACTCTCTGAGAACAGTGAACCAAGAAGCAAGCAGCTTCCTTCCTCCCACAGAACACAAGCAGGAATCAAGGATGGGGCAGGCAGCAGCCCAGGAACAAATGGCAGCGATTGTTCTGCAGGGTTCTGCCCAGGAATCTGCCATTCTACTCTGATCCTATTTCATATGAAATGAGGATTTTGTTTAAAACTGCAACACAGGTCTCCTTGGAGGACACCTGCAAATCATTTTTAATCTACTTACTACTACAGAGCTGTATTGTGGAGACACTCAAGCCCTGCTAATACATGGCATGAATCTCTTATTTTAAACCAGGGGTCGGCAAACTAAGGGCCGTGGGCTGGATCAGGCCCAATTGCCTTCAGGATCCGGCCCACGGACTGTCCATGGATTGGGGTGGGGATTCTGTTCATTTGGGCTGCACCATTTTTTTTTCTGTGCCATTCCATTGCCGACCTCCCTCACACACACCATGGCGGCGCCTCCCCCCCCCCCTGGCTTCTCCCCGCCCTGCCTAGAGGAGGAAGGGGGCTGGCTGAACGCCATTTTAAGCAGCCCCTTTCGTGCCACTCATCTTCCCTCCACCACCACCGTCACCCTGGTGCCAGAGAGTGGAGTGGACGAGCTCGCTCTGCCTACCCACGAGAAGCAGAAGCGGCAGCGGTAGCCCCAGGGAAGTTAAGCGTAGCAGCTGGGGCTGGGGCGGAGGACTACTTGCCCCCCTCGCCTCTTCTTCCAGCTTCCCTGCCCCGTGCCGCTTCTCTGGCCCACCACAAGGTCTAAGGGACAGTGGACCGTCCCGCGGCTAATTTTTTTTGCCAAGCCCTGTTTTAAACCATCTCATGTTGGCCACCACAACTCCAGTTATTTATAAAGCAGAACATCAAGGTTACCGCAGGCAGGCAGGCTCCACCTTCTGCAGCCGGCTGTGCTTTTCATGTCCTGCAGCAGAGAAGACCTCCAATTGCCACAGACCTCCACCTGCTTTGATCTGGGCCTCCACACTCCCAAGTTTTCCTGTGCCTCGGCAAGAACCCCTTTCCAAAATCGATGCAAGACCCACATGGCTGTATGTATTGTGCTCCCAAACCTTTTGACAGTAGCTCATAAACAGCTGAGGGAAGAGCCAGATCTCAAAGGGCTGCTGTGGGAAGTAGAAAGATGCATCATCTTCTCCATCAGGCAACATCCGCTCCAGCCAATTGCTGAATGTAACATTCTGCAGCATGGTAATAAAATGCACCACAGCAACTGAGTGCCCTTCATGGCCCTCTAGGCTCCTCCTCAATTCAGATTTTCAGGAGCTCAAAATTCTTCCACTCCAAATAAAAGCCAAAAGCAACCCATGAGACAATTGCAAAGGTAATATCCAATGCACAGGCAAACCAGCCTAGGTTTCCTGAAAACTTGGAACTGCAGCCCAAATTATGCACATGGAGAGAGAGAGAAGGAGGAGGAGGAGGAGGAGAAGGAGAAAGAGAAGGAGAAAGAGAAAGAGAAAGAGAAAGAGAAAGAGAAAGAGAAAGAGGAAGAGGAAGGGGAAGGGGAAGGGGAAGGGGAAGGAGAAAGGAAATTCACTACTTAAGTCAGTACTGAGCAGATGGGAGTTGTTGTCCGCAACATCTGGATGAAAAAAACAGGGTTGACTTCATGCCTTGGAGCAGCTCAGGAGAAACGGAAGAATTTGACCCACAATTCCCGAGGAATGGGCACAACCCAAACACAGCCTTTTAATCCTGGAATGCCAAGCACAAACAAAGGGGCAGGCAATACCCTTCTCCCAAAACCAAACTCCCATGTTCCTGCTGCAGAGTGAGCAAGCAGCAAAGTCCGACACAGAGCCCCAAAATCATGCCCACGTGCCTGGTTCCTTTTGAGTTACAGTCTTTTTGCTTTGAAGGGTAGAAGAGCAAGAGGCTGGCTAGGAGCCAGACTGAAATCCCTTCGTAAAGCATCCATTAAGCCAAATCAAAACAATACATAGTTTGTGTGAGGGAGGATAAAGATCCATGTAGGCGTCTGCTGCAGCCCATCATGTCCGCTGGCAGAGAGCCAGGAGTCTGACACGCTTTTTAACACGACAAGGTTTCCGCCGGGTAAAAGAGGTTGATCAGACTGAAAACAGCCACAGAAAGCTACAAACAGGGCCCTTTTTTCATCCGGAACTCACCAGAACTCAGTTCCGGCACTTCTCAGGTGGGCGCCTTTCCAAGAGAACAAGGGAGGCTCATGGTGAGTCCCAGCACCTCTTTTTCTAGAAAAATAGCACTGGCTACAAACCACCACTAAAAAAGACACTTGTCAGGACTGAAAACAACGGAGAGAACTATTGAGTGGAGTGAGAAAGAGAAAAGGGTTTTTTAAAAATTAAACTTCCCTACGACAGCATTTCAAATCCATTTCAGCTTCTGATAATAAAGGCTAAGCAGTGTCCAATTAAATGATGGAAAACAACAGGAATCTTAAATTCATGAGGCTGGTATAAAAATCATAGGAGATTTTTATTAACAGCGTGGGGACTATGCTGTCTACAAAGCTTCACTCTGTGATCAAGAGCCTGTTTTAGGGTTCTCACCAGGAGTACAAAAGCCTTCCTTGCCCCTTCTCTCTTAAAAGACCTCCTCGGTGGCATTGGGAGAACTAAACTAACAAATAGGAACACAGGGATTTGCAGGTGCTGCCCCAGGCATGAAATGACTTGCCAAGGCCCCTGCTTGTGCCAGTGCTCTCCCGGGCACTCATCTGACAGTCATTTTTATGTAATGCATTTTTCACACATAGGCTGGCATAAGGATACCCTAAGTGAGCAGTGGCAAACCCAGGTATGCTGCTGTAAATCAGCCTTCTACAACCTGGTGTCCTCCAGAGATTCTGGACTACAACTGCCATCATCCCTAGGCAGCACTCCCCCCAGGTTGGGGAAGACTGTTGTATATGGTGGCAGCCTTGAGGCACTCAAGATCCAGTGGTGGAGGCGCTGCAGCTCAGTGGCCGTGCGCATGCATTGCATGCAGAAGTTTCTTCCAGGTTCAATTCCTGGCAGCCTCTCTAATTAAAAGGATTAGATACTAGGAGGTGATGGGAAAGACATGTCTTTTCCCACATCCTTGGAGAGCTCCTGCCACTCAAGAACCGGCAGTTTTGTGTTAGCTGGGCTCAGTGACCTCCTCCTTCAGGAGCAACATTAAGCCAGGGCATGCACAAGTAACACGTACAGTGGACCCTCCAGATACAAACTTAATTCGTCCCGATGGTCCGTACTTACCCCGAAAAATACGTATCCAGAGGCGCCACTTCTGCGCATGGCGTGATAGAGCGTTTCTACTCATGCGCGAAGCGTGCAGAGCTGCATTTGCAACCCAAAATTATGTTACCCAAAGGTAATGTAACCAGAGGTACTACTGTACTGTAACAGACTGGTTACGCTATCACCAATTGGATGACACCTTTAAGGTAGACAAAAAAATTGGCTTTGCGGCAGAAACATTGGAATCAGAGAAAGGTCTATTAAAAAATAAAGACAGGTGACTTTCCAAAATGTACAGGTCATTGCTAGATTGGGAAGTAAAAGAAGAGGAGGTAAAATAGTGGCTATGGTTCAGGGGGCAAAGGACTTCGGATATACTGTACTTTTTCATGTACAGTGGTACCTCGGGTTAAGTACTTAATTCGTTCCGGAGGTCCGTTCTGAACCTGAAACTGTTCTTAACCTGAAGCACCACTTTAGCTAATGGGGTCTCCTGCTGCCGCCGCACTGCCGGAGCACAATTTCTGTTCTCATCCTGAAGCAAAGTTCTTAACCTGAAGCACTATTTCTGGGTTAGCGGAGTCTGTAACCTGAAGCATATGTAACCCGAGGTACCACTGTATAAGACTATGGTTTTTTATTCAAAAATCATGCTCAAAATCAGGGGTCGTCTTATACATTGTGGGGCCATGGGATTGGTTGCTGCCGCGAGTTGGAGGTTGTTATTGGTGGCTGCTGCAAGGACTGTTGTCGATTGGCTATCGCTGCGGCAATTGGGTGGGCAATTTGCTCATTTTTTCGGCGATGGGAGTGGGCAATGCTCCCCAAAAAACCTCCACAACTTCAGGAATCTCCCCCCCCCCATTTTCTTAATTTTGAGTCCCCAAAAATAGGGGGCGTGTTATACACGGAAAAGTACGGTAATATACAGATGGCGGAATGGGAAAACTTACGGAGAAATGAACGGAAATTTACAGCTTGCTTTACTTTAAAAAGAAAACTTTATGAAGATGCTATGCAGATGGTACATCACCCCCAGCAAACTGGCAAAAATGCACAAAACCAACTCAAATTTATGCTGGAGGTGTAGAGAACTAGAGGGAACAATGTACCACATGTGGTGGGGTTGTAAAAAAATGAAGAGCTTTTGGGAACTTATATACAATGAATTTTAAAAAAAACTGTTCAAAATAACATTTACCAAAAAACCTGAAGCCTCTTAGGCATTATGGCAACAGACATCCCAAGAGAGAAAAGAAGGGTTCTTTTGTACACAACAACAGCAGCAAGGATGCTGATTGCCATGGGACAGAAAGGAGATAAAATCCCATCAAAAGAGGAGTGGCAAGTTAAACTGCTGGAATATATGGAAATAGTGAATATGACGGAAAAGATCAGGGATCGATCGACCCAAAAGTTTTTAAAGGAATGGGAGATTTATAGGCAATATTTAAAAAGAACATTGTCCCCACATTAAAACTTTAGAATGCTTTGAATAACTCTTGGAATTGTATAAGGTACTGTATAAAGAACACAAATAATATTTAATACAGGCTAAGTTTATTGAAAACAGAGGCAAGCAATAAGGAAACAAAGAACCCACACCAAGAAGGGCGGAAGTTGATGGCTGAAATATTTTTGTGTTTCACGTTGTATTGTTTTGTTTTCTTTTTATTTGTGAGTTATGTGTTGTGGTTTTGTGTGTGTGTGTTGTTTATAAACCAATAAAGATTGAATCTGAAACAAAAAACAAAAAACCATGTGTGTCTGCAGGGAGGGGCCCTTTGCTTATCCCCTCGTGCAAGTAGCAACACAAGCCAGGATTAAGCACTAACCAAGTTTCCCATTGCATGAGAACCTGGAAATGATAACTAATGGCTTAGAATCAAGGCATGATATGACGCCATGGTTAAAGCTTGGCTTCCCAACCAATGGTTTCCAGGTTTGCACATAACAGGAAGTGCTGACCCTGGCTTATTTTGCTGTTTGCACAATCATGGGGAATAAAAGAATACCAAAGGGGCTGCCCATACCACATACTGGCTTATGGAGCCAGGATCTCTGACTTAGCTTGATGTGTGAACCTTGCCAATCCAGTGGTACCTCGGGTTAAGTACTTAATTCGTTCCGGAGGTTCGTTCTTAACCTGAAGCTGTTCTTAACCTGAAGCACCACTTTAGCTAATGGGGCCTCCTGCTGCTGCCGTGCCGCTGGAGCCCGATTTCTGTTCTTATCCTGAAGCAAAGTTCTTAACCTGAAGCACTATTTCTAGGTTAGCGGAGTGTGTAACCTGAAGCGTATGTAACCTGAGGTACCACTGTATAAGGTAGCTTCCAATGTTCCAAAGAGGCTTTGATTTCCAGAAATGTTTGCACGATATAAAACTACCACCTTTGGTGCTAGTGTCATACCATAATGTCTGAAATAACTAAAATGAACTATTTCCAAATTGTTTGAAAAGCCAGCATTGGCTACTGTGGAATCACAAGGGCCCTAGATGTGTGATGAAAAAACCAAATTTACTTATCTTCCTACCTAGCGTAGCAGACATTGTCTTTGTCTAAGCAAGCTCACCCCCAAAGCAGAATAATCTCTGGCATGGATGTGGAGTCCAGCTGGTGGAATGCAGGACAGAACTTATTGTCCTGCTGAAATGGGAGCTCTCTCTGGCCTCTTTGTGAGCAGCACAGAGTGCTAGCAAAGAGAGAGAGAGAGAGAGAGAGCAGCAGAAAAAGAAGAAGAAACAGCCCTAAATCTTCCTTTGATAGAGGGTCATATTAAGGCAGAGCCATGCAGGGGCTCTTCTGACCCAAAAGCAATCCACTCAGTCAAATAATGCCTCTGTCCCCCTCCCATTTAAGAAGAATGAATAGCCCCCTCCTCCGCGTCCCTTTCTCCCCTGACAAGCCCTCGACAGAAGAATGTGAATCTGGACACGGGAGAGAATCAACGGCCAGCTGCTCCTCTATGGAGGAGAAGAGGCACTGAAAAGCCTCAGTGGAGTTCACTGACCACTGGCCAGGGCAGGACAAAGGCCTGCCTGGCCCCTCCAAAGATCGGGCTTCAGGGTCCAAGAGGTCAGCCAAAAACTCTGTCAATAGCTCTCTCCTGCCAACAGAGACGTCTTCTGCTATTCTGGGGAGGCAGCCTTGGGATAGGGGTGGCCACAAGACTCACCCTGCGAAGCCAGGCTGCGTTCATTGGGTGAAGAGGAGCCCCATAAGCTAAGCAGCAGCAAGAAAGCAGCTTCTTGACTGGGCCGCAAGCTTTATGCTGATAGATCAGCCCACTAAGGACTCAGTTATTAAGTTTTATCCACAAGGTCACATTTTACCAGATCACTTTTCAATGGTGGGATTTTGGCACTCTGTCTAGCAAGGGGTAGGAGCTTTTTAATTGATCTAAGGTAGTAGCTCTGAGGTCTTGATAGCATGCAAATGTATTTGCATTTTTAAAATAATTGTTTAAAAGCCAGGTGAGTACAGTCATACCTCGGGTTACAGATGCTTCAGGTTGTGTGTTTCGGGTTGCGCACCGCACCGAACCCGGAAGTACTGGAACGGGTTACTTCCGGGTTTCGGGGCTCGCGCATGTGCAGAAGCGCTAAATTGCGCTTTGCACATGCACGGAAGTACTGAATCGTGGCCCGTGCAGATGCGGCACTGCGGGTTGTGAACGATGCGGGGTTGGGAACGTGCCTCCCACACGGATCACGTTCGCAACCCGAGCGTCCACTGTAATCCACTAGCAAAATATTCAATTGGTTGACTACATTAAATTGTACGTACTGGAGGTTGGTTCACTGTGCTACTGTGATGTGTGTTCTGATTGCTATTTATAGTGAATTGGTTGTTCCATGACTTTTTAAATTTTATGTCACCATTGAGGATTTGGCCTAAGGAGACTTAAGACATAGAAAGAATACATAACTAACAGACTGCCTTAATAAAAATACAAATGCAGTCACATGCCATTATTGACACACTTAAGAGTTAAATTCTATTAAAAGTTGCACATGCACCTAAGTTTTGTTGCGGACCGCTTCTGTTCAAGATGCCCTTTTTCATTTTATGCTCTCCAACTTCGTTGGGATGCTTGAGGGTCCTCCAGTCTTAGAATGTCTAAGCCTTTTTTAAACTTCAGTGAACCTTGGGGTCCCCGTCCCCCAAGTCTGCAGAAAGTCTGCAGATCTGGAGAGCCAATATTGCTGAGACATACAAATAAATCTTGCAGATCATCATCATCCAAAACTAAGGCTATGTTCAGAGCAGAGAAGCAGGAAGGTCTGCTGTGCATGTAAGGACTGTGGACATACCAGCAAGCTGTGTGGTTGTGTCGTACTCTGGCAAGGCATGCAGGTGGGCCCAAACCTTAGCTGAGCCATGACATCTGCTTTCCTTTGGTTCTCAATCACTGCATTTGACCACTGTCTGAGTATTGCTTCCAGCTCAAGAAGCTCTGCTGGCCTGAGCTTCCCACACAGCTCTTGCCACTGGTCAGATTGGACTAAACAATGGTAGCTTAAGTCATTTTTCTGCACACTTAAAGCAAGGTGGGCTGTCATCCTGGCAGGCAGACTGGGAAGGAGAGGTCTTTAATTATCAACAATGACAATATTTGGTCTTCAGCAGGTAATGTAGTGAGCTCTTCCTGTGATAGCTCAGTTGGCCAACATGATACTCTTAATTTCACGGTTGTGGGTTTGAGCCCCATGTGGGGCAAAAGATTCCAGCATTGCAGGGGGCTGGACTGGATGACCCTCGTGATCCCTTCCAATTCTACCATTCTATGATTCTTCCAAGTAGCTGGATGCAACTCCTTGGGATTAGTAAATGGGGTGGATACAGCTGCCTGTAACACCTCTCTCCTGTCCCCTCTCCTGCTCAGCAGGAACAACAGAGACATTGAGAGAAAAAGCTTCCTGGGTGTAGGGTTGTTTGGTGCCACTAAGACAAAGCAAAAAAAATCTCGCTTAACTGTAAACGTTTCAAAATATGGATCACCTTGCTAAGCCCACAAAAGTCCACATAAAAGTACTACATTGACGTAAAAGTCCATGCAGCCCATTCCCACAGACCAGACTCCATTCCTGGTACAACCAGAAATGTTTGGATTCTTTTCCTGCTAATGTTTAGCTAAATGCAACACCAGGACTTCTGTAGCAGGCAGTGCATCCCTGCTAGTGCTTGGCTTCAGGATGTTGACACCTTCAGTTTCCTGCTGCTTTACCCAATGCATAAATGCAATTTTATGTGTTCCTTCTGTACTGCTGTTTTTGAACACAGGAATCTGCCTTATACCAGGCAAGGCCATTGCTCCATCTAGTTCAGCACTGGTCCATCTCTGACTGTTGTTTTGGATGCAACAAAACAATACAGACCCAGGAAAAAGCTGGAAACTTTTTTCTTAAATGGCCACATTGTGAACCACAATCACAATCCTTACTTTCCTTTCCTAAAATCTCTGATGGCCTCAACCATGTTGTGAAACCAGTTCAGCCCAGACTGCTCTTTGCAGTAAATGCTGCAAAACCAAAATAGCTTGCAGGAGAACAGCAGTTGATTTTTAATTCCCTTTCATTTTTCAAAGTTCACTTTCCAATTACACACTAAAAACAGATAACCGCAAGAAACAATGATTATAAAATATTTTCCAATTTGCATTTGAAATACAAGACTGAAAAGGAAAGCCACTTCTTTGACGAGTGGAATAGATTTGTCTGAATCACAATATGACTCTTAAAACACATGCTACAAGCCATTATCCATTTTAAATTAAGAGAGAGGTGGGTTAAGGAGGGTCTTGCAGAGGGTCTGTGTGTCTTATCCTGCATTATTTATCTAATGGAATGGATGTAATAATCACCACATATTTGACTCCAGTATTTTTGACATTGCTACGTCTACAGGCTAACTTTTGCCAAATAAATAAATATTGCAGTTTAATATGTTACCCTATTTGAGGTGCAACTATTAAGCTGTGTCCAAGTTTTCTGAACATTCATGCTGACAATGATATTAGAAAACTATGGCTTTAACAATCAAGAGTTTGGGAATTTTATAGAAGAGAATGTTTGTTTTAAGGTACAGGCCACTGATGTAAAAGCCAGTGATTTACTATCTGAAAGCCTGTGCATATGTGTTTTTCCACAGTGAAAGAAAGTTATGACCTTTGACATGTGTCTGCAGTGCTGGAGAAGCTGCCTGCAGATACGTGTAAGGGAAGAAGCAGAAATCAATAAATTCATTTAATCCAGTGAACTATTATGCAGGGGCACACAATATATTATAAGGGGCCCGATGTGCTGCCATTGTTTCAACAGACTGCATATCGCGTCTATGGATTTTCTTGGTTATTCAGCTGCCTTCTTCCCCTGTCTTTTTACTCTGGGGCGGTTGCCTTGGCTCTGCTTATTTTACACAGCTGCCTGTTTATGTTTTAACAATTTCTGCTGTGACCTGAGAAGAGGTTCGTCTATGAAGCTAATCCAGCTAGGACCATGGGGACCCTGCCACCCAGCTGTGTAACCAAGCAAGCTCCAGTGAAATGGATCTTAGTGAGTGTAAGGTTTACACATCCGCAAGAATCAAAACCAAGAAGGCAGGATGGGGCCATTTCTTTCACCCAGCCCAGAGTCTACAGTACTGCACGTACAGGGGACAATCCTCTGGGACTTTCCATGGGGTTCTGCAGAAGAACATCTCAGAGGATCAGGCACAAGGTAATTCCAAACACTCCAGCCAATGTTGTAGCCAACCTGCTGCAATTTCTTTCTGTCTGGTACCATGCTCACATCAAAGTTGGTGCCAGGTGAGTCTCCCTGGGGACAGCATTACTGGGGAAGTGCGGTCGTTGCTGAAAAGGCAATTTCTCCTTTTGCATGCAGAAGAGACCAGTTAAAAGACTCTCAGGTAGCACAGCAGGTGATGGGCAAAGGCCCTTCTCTGCTCAAGGCTGCCCTGAAGAGCTTGTTAAAATATAAAGGAAAGAACAATATGAACCAGTTGCCTGAACTGCAATATCACTGCTTCTTGCATGTGGAAGTAGTTTTTCCAGCAATGCAGTGAAACTAAACTTTGTATTTTCTCTTGGCCTGGACCATCTAAATATGAACACTTCACAAGTTCCAAGCTATATAATGAGGCTAATAACAGTTAAGTTTGCCTATCTCTGTTAGCTGTTAGGCTGTTTAACGGAAATGAAGGTTCCCAAGGCTGCTGGTGTACTCATTTATTTAAAAGACAGACAGATGACACCCCTGTAATTTGGGACATACATTGTACAAAGTTTTGTCTCCTCCTCAGGCAAAATGACCAAGCCCTACCACATCTCCCAACAAAAATTTCCAGTTCCCATCAATTTACTGGATGTCAAAGACAAGTTTAATCATAAGTGATGGATATTTGGCAGGGCCAACGGCAGCTCAATGCATTCTATTTACAAAGAGCATGCGTAACGCACAACTTAGCCTAAGGCACACATTACAGTTATTAAGGAACTTCTGAGCCCTCTAACAGCGCCTAGAGCCACAATTAGCAGCCTCAGTCTACACATGCACCAGACCAAGAGGGAAGCAAGACAGTCGAATCTTGAGGAAGTTAACTCGATGGTGCTACCACAGGCTGTAGGTAGCAGAGGCAACTTCATAGACTGACTTCGGGGGAGAAAAGGAAACTTCCCCCCAAATGAGGGGATTGGTGAAAAGGAAGTTAGAGAGCCAGTGATGGAACAATTAGAATGTTGGACTAGGACCTGGGAGACCCGGGTTCAAATCTCCACTCAGCCATGAAGCTCACTAGGTGACTCTTGGGACAGTCACTGCCTCTCAGCCCAACCCACCTCACAGAGTCGTGGAGATTAAATGAGGAGAGGGAGAACCATCTACGCCACCTTGAGCTCCTTGGAGAAAAATGTGGGAAATACAGTGGTACCTCTGGTTATGCACTTAATTCGTTCCAGAGGTCCGTTCTTAACCTGAAACTGTTCTTAACCTGAAGCACCACTTTAGCTAATGGGGCCTCCAGCTGCCGCCATGCCGCCGGAGCATGATTTCTGTTCCCATCCTGAAGCAAAGTTCTTAACCCGAGGTAATATTTCTGGGTTAGCAGAGTCTGTAACCTGAAGCATATGTAACCCAAGGTACCACTGTAATTGCAACAAATAAATAAGAGGAAAAGCCAAGAGGCTCAGGTCTCTCCAAAATGCTTGGGAGTTGTTTAAAGCCACAGTACAAGAAGCTGAGCTAGAATGTATACAGGGATGCCTATGTGGTTAATGAAAGGAGCCTAAACTTACTCAGTCAGCAAACATGGAGACAGTGCTGGTGAGGAGACACTCCGCCATGTGCTCCCTTGACCCCTGCCACTCCTGGCTTATTAAATCTAGCAGAGGGTATTTCACAGAGTATTGAGATCCATGGTTGACACAAGTTATTGAGAGTAGCCGGGGGGGACTGCTTTTTGGCCCCCTGGCAGTTACTTTACAGTGTGCCGCAGGGCACGATCTTATATCCAATGTGATTTAATATCTTTATGACGCCACTGGAAATGGTCATCAGGAGTTTGGGAGAATGTTCCATCCGTATGCTGATTACACTTTGCTCTATTTCTCCAGAACATCCGGATCAGGGGAATTGCTATGTACAAGACTCCCATCCTTTTCCTTCTCTTGCTGTGAAATTGCTAAGTTGTTCATTTGTTATGAAACAGACCCATAGGTGACTCAGCAACAGCCATTCCATCAGGCTGCCTTGATCTTTAGAAGAACTATAATTTTATGGACTAGTCACTGAGCTTGCTTTTTCCTCCTCCCTTCCCACCCCTTTTTCCTTGTGTGTGGAATCTTTTAGAATGTCAGCAGGCATGGTCATAACGACTGACTTTGGAAACCCTCTCTGGGAGCCTTTTCTGCTTCATCCATTTGGTCTGTCGGCTTCTGATCCGTTAATAATTTTCGCCATCACTTTTTCAAAAGCTGCTGACTACAGAAAACACGTTTTTTCTTTCAGTGAGGCCCAGCATTCTCTGGCTTCTAAACAAGAAAAAGCACACGGGCTGCAAAATGTGCCTTGGGGCCACATGGACCTTGGAGATTGGAGGCTGCCCTTGCCTGCCCTCCAGAGCCAGCCTGTGTAGAAGGAAGGCCTTAGATGCCAAATCAAAACAATGGCTGGATCTCAGTCTCCACATCCTCCTTGCGCAGGCCCCAAATCAGGTCAGGGAGGGCTGCCACAATGGCCACTGCAGCAGCAGCAGCAGCATCCAGATGTCACTTCATTCATCTTGTCTGGGCCATTGTTTATGCCATAAACACACACACGCAAATAGTGGGCAATAGGAAAACCATCCACGAATAAAACAAAAGCAATCCTTACTTAGTTATTTTATTTATTCTCACAAAATACAATGTAGGAATTTGGCCCTTTAAAAAAGGCCTTCGGTGCCATTTGCTCTTCAAAAGCCAGGATGCAAAAGCAGGAGCAATTTATCATGGTAAAAGACCAAACTTCACAAGAATTGCTTGCTATTTTTTAAACACACACACACACAAGGGAGGACACCAAATCACCTAATTAGATTGGAGGGTAGAAGACAGCCTTCTTTTCCCCAAAGCTCTCTAATCGTTTAACCAAATACTAGTCTTTTGTATTCCCAGCTGTTTCAGTGTCAGCCCAGCCTCTGTCCTCTATCAGTTCTGCTTATTTCCTTCCTTCAATTAGGCTTTCAGAAAATCTAGGAACAAGGAGCAAGAAAAAGAAGCTTGGGGTTTATCTAGCCTGTTAAAAACTCCAGGTACATGATGGTGTGCTCAGCATATAGTAAACTTTCGTTACTTCCCAGAACATCCACACCCTGCCTTATTTAGCATCTGCTTAAACTTTAAGCAGGGCAGCAACTTCAGTTGAGCAGTCAACAATGGTGGAGCTGTGTTGACTAGTTTTCACTTAGGTGGTGATTGCCGGTTATAAAGACGGGAGGTAATCAATCCCAGTTTAACAGCTGGGCCTACAGAGGGAGGGGGCAAAAAGAAAACAAGGCCAAACTGAGAGATACACCCAAACTCTTCCTATTCGGCAGCAACATTTGGGACAGGATTCTCTCCCCACCCCCCACCACACCTCCACACACAAGACACTTCAGAAATGGCTGCGCTTCTTATACGAAATTCTGCCTTTGGAGATGCCCCTGTATCATTCGTTTATCATATGTTCTGTACCCAGCTAAAGGGCCCATGACAAAAGGGGTCTGTGCTGAAGGCCCTTTGGACAACTGCTGTGAGAGAACAAAAGTGGTCAGAGCAGAGCACAGCACCGGCTCGGCTATTAAAATATAAGGCTTGCAGCTCAGCTCTGTCAGCACATGGGGGAGCCCCTACATACAGAGGTGACCCAGAAAGAAGATGGACAGAAGCAGGAAGCACCCCCAAGTTTTTCAGAATACTGTAATGTCAGTCCCCACCAATTACAGTTGTAGTCTGAACAACCTCTCCTGTGTGCCATTGCTAAAATGTACTTTGATATTCTTGTTATATTGAAATTGCTGCCTTGAAATTGCAAAAGCTTCACAAATACCGTTTTTTATTTTAAAGAAAAGATTAGCACTGTGATGCAGAGCACACTTACACGTAAGCAAGCCCCACCCAAATCATCAAGCTCATTGCAAGCGAGCCTGGTTAGAATTAGGCTCCATGTTAGTCATCGAACAAAAACTTGCCTTACACACTATACACAATTCCATTGGTCTCTTAAGAGTGAAACCCTATACATGTCTACTCAGAGGTAAGTCCCACTGAACTCATTGGAATTCAGCCATCAATGCACATAGGAGCCTTAATCAGATGAAGGTACTGTATATCCCATCCGGGGACTGCCACAGAAACCGTGGTGCTTCCTTAACCAGGGTTAAGAGAGCAAGAGGGGCCCATGAGATGGGATGCCCACCAACATCTCAAGTACACTTAAGTGCTACAGCAGCAGCACTAATATTAGCTAAGGTGAAACTAACCAGGGGTTTGCTTTAAAAGAGAAGCTACAGCAGCTCCAAACTCCTTCATGCTAACTGCAGCTTACATCAGTCTTTACCATCTAGTCCAGGAGTTTCCAGTGGGGACACCTCTCAGCGCCAGCCAAGGCCCCTTCACCAATTGTTGCTTTTTAAATTGTGATGGGTTGTGGGGGGTTAAGGTTTCTTGAGGGGCATTGCTTTTTTGCCTATGCTTTATTTGTTCTGAGTGTGGGTGTTCTGCCTCTTTTAGGGGGCAGGTTCTTAGCATCAGAGGTCATTCCTGTGGTGCCTGCCACAGTTTCTTAGATTTCTAAATGTAACCCCCAGGCTCAAAAAGCTGGGGACCCCAAATCTAGCCTGATAAAGCATTCTGAAGTACTCTAAGACTGGCACCCTATTTTGTGACATTTTGGTTGGCCTAGTAAAGGTACAGTGGAACCTCTGTTTGCGAACGTGATTTGTGCAGGAGGCACGTTCGCAACCCACAGCGTTCACAACCCACAGCGCTGTGTCTGCGCATGCATGTGACACGATTTGCTGCTTCATGCGCAAAGTACAATTTAGTGGTTCTGCGCATGCGCGAGCGCTGGAACCTGGAAGTAACCCATTCCGGTACTTCCAGGTTTCGGCGCGTCCGTAACCTGAAAACGCGTAACCCGAAGTGTCTGTAACCCGAGGTACCACTGTATTGCCCTAACAGGGATTGTGGAATTTTTCTTATGTGGGCTTGGGTATAGACACTCATCCAGTGAAACTGTCTGCAGGCAACCAAGAACATAAACTTTTATAATGGAAAAGCAGATTTCTTTTCCCCCTGCGGCCACTGCATGTGGCCCTTCATTACCCATGTGTTCTGCTGCTGGGGAACTCTCTTAGTTCTCACCCCACCCCAATCCAAAAAAGGTTTCTGCTGCCCCCACTTGCTCAGCTTTGCATCATTTGGTATGACCTCCTTAACATGTCTCATGCTGCTATTCGCAGCTTTAAATCCTGAAAATGGGTTTTATAGTTTGCACTAGAAAACGAAAACTCCAAAATGCAGAGTTAGGAAATGCCCTTTTAGTACCAACCAAAGCATCAGAAAAGCTTGGCTTTTCAAGCTCTCCAGAACTCTTCATCAGGCAACATGTTAACACAAAGTGAGGCAATGAAAGCAGAGGCAAGGGGGGACAGAAAAGTACCAAAAAATAGGCTGGATGTAGTACTGTACTCTGTGATGTTTTGGTTGGTCCCAATGAAGGTTTTCAGCAGTGGATTTTAAATTTCCCGCATTACGGACCAACTTTTGCTTTTTAATAAAATTAAAATTTTTGACACTCCTCTCTCACACACAAGAGCTAAATATCACCCCCCAAAAACCCTACTTGATTTGAAAAAAGAGGGAATGCTTCCAGTGACTGCAGGCCCATCAATATACTAGGTAGGCTTTTAACTATAAACAGGAAGCAAACGTTTGTATTCCTAGGGAGGGAGGGGCGCTACCTTAAGCCCCTGGAGAGGCAAGAAAGCAGATGTGAAAGAAGCAAAAGTCCATCACCTCATTGTCTGAAGCAGCAGACAATCAGCGAGGCTCTAACTTCCCTTCCACTCAACTGGCAGCCACCCACCTTTGTTCAAAGGAATCTTCTACAGAAAAGCAAAACATAAACAAACAAACCCTGCAAACTGCTTTTGTGCTGACACAATCAATTAGAAGATCTGGAGTGATTTTAAGTCAGTATCCTCTGATACCCATCTATGCCCTGCAGTGCAGAAATCAATAATATGCCAGCTATGTCACTGTCTCCTTTGATCTTAAAAAAGAAGATAAGAAGCTCTCTCTCTCTTAAAAAAACAACACACCACACTTCCATCCATCCACCCTTAACATCCATCTCCTTCAGTCAGACGAAGGGTTTCCAATCTGCGCTAGAGTGCTTTACTTTAGTATCTTCCAGTGCATCTCTTTCTGTTATCCAAAGGCTAATTGTATTTAAAAAGTAAATAATTTCAGGGGGACCCATCCAACCAACCTTATCAAGCTTTTGTTCCAGTTTTAACTGTACAGGGCTTAAGCATTAGGTTCCAATGCCCCAACACCGCCACCACCCCCATCCTTGTTGAAAAGACCTCAATGCTCAAATACTCTAGCAACTTTGAATCCTGTTAGTCAAAGAGGCGCTGCTAGCCTGAACTTCCAATAAGCTGTTTAATCTTCAGATATTAGCATTTTACCCCCACATGGTGCCTCACAAAGAAACTGTGAAGGAGGAAGGCATCTTCCTTCATGTTCCCCCCCCACCGTCCCCCATTACCCTGTTGCATTAGGAGCAACAGCAGGCACCTTCCCAAAATGCAATATTTTTTAACCTAGCCGGTATGGTGAAGGGCAGAAAGGGATGCTGGAAGGAAAGAAAATAAAGACTAGAAGCAAGTCAAAATTCTTTTGTGCTTGGATGAACAACAGGAAAGCAAAAGCGGGGCGGGGGGGGGGGGGCTGGAAAGGGATCCTGGCCCATCCCTGCAAACTTGTTCTGATGGGCTCTTGAGATAAGGCTGCGGAGGGGCAGCGGAGGGGAGGCCAGGACGCATTGGGAACTCTGCATTCCTCAAGAACAATTCATAGCAATCACTAACTTTGCAGAGGAGCTTACATGAAAGCTTTGGCCAGTGAATGAGGGTCATCTGCTCTTTATCACAAGGGTAAACCTCATCCTGGCCAGTTTCTAACCTTTTAACCCTGTGAATTCTTAATTTGCACATGAATAATGGAATGGCTGCCTAGAGTGCAACCCTCAGCTTCCCCTCCCTAACTTTAGATCCAAGCTCCCCATGTGCTCAAATCTCAAACTCTGGAGCAGATTAAAGTTTCAGATTTCCAAATGCAGCACCCAGGAATACACTTCTGAAACCAAAGATAAACCAAGGTGGTGAGAGATTTGAGCAAGCAAAAGGGAGAGAACAGACTTGCACCCTGCTGCTTGCGGGGTGGGGGTGGGGGTCTGGAGCAGCCGCCTTTTGCTTTTCACCCTTTGCAAAGGAAGAAAGAGAAGAAAGGGAAGCCCAGCCTCCACCTGCTTAGTATGTATAGTTTCAGCTTTGCCATGGCCACAAAGAAAGTCATTTTGTTCTTCAGAGCTGTAAAGCCATCATGAGCCCAGCTAAAACTATTTCCTTTGACTACAAAATGCTGGAAATTCATTCACATCTTCTGAAATTCTGAGAAACAGGAAAGGAGGCTTCCTTTATTTCTAATGCATTTGGGGTTTGAAAAGTAGAGTTTGACCCCTTATCACATTTAGACTGCAATCCTATACACATTTACATAGGACAAATAAATAGGTATAGGATCATGCTGTAAGGGAGTCATAAACTTTGGATATATTTTAAACTTTACAATTCCATATAAACACAGGAAAAACACTTGATTCAAGAAAGTGGGGGTATCACCATAATGTATATTGTTCCGTAACTCTATTGTCTACCAAGCCTGACCATTGTCCGAATTATTTTAATTATATTCATGGTGACCCAAACACCATCTTGTGAGACAATGTGACGAGAGAATGGAGCTATACCTTTCAATATCAAAACACATGGATCAGAATTTAGATGGTTGGGTCACCCTACTTGATCCAAATTGAAAGCAGCAAAACTTTGGGAGGAGCTTGCTAACTTCTGGGGCCATGGTGGTCACAGACTGCCAAGTCATCTGTCTTCTATTGTGGGAAATATTTTCATAGGCAAGACTAGACCTCATGAAATGCATCAGAAAGGATGGAGGTGCGAACTCTTTAGGAGCTCATCTACCACCTTTTCTGAGAATCAAGAACAAGGTGCTCTGGGATCCCCCACCACTTACACGGACCATGTTTCTACATAGGTTTGACACCACCATTTCTTCAAATGTGTCCTGCCTGCCTCCAGTGTCATCAGAGGCTTCCCCAGGAAGCTGGGAGACTGTTATTATAGAAATCTCACAGCAATAATTATTTTGCCTTTAGGACTTTCTTCCACACACAGGCAAAGACCACCCAAGCCAAGATTCGGCAGACATGGATTCCAATCCCCAACCATCGGGAGATTAAAAGCACAAATGAGCCAGGAGCAAAAGGGGCATCTTCCAGAATCTGTAGATATACAGGTTGAACCACCAACTCAGAAAGTAGCAGGTGACTGACTCTCCACTTATTTGAAACCTGAGAACTTAGGCACGGGATACTTCATTTATAAGGTAGGCTTTCCCCGACTCTGGCACCAAAAGCCAAGCCAAGCAGGAAGTTCCTCAAATCCATGGTTGCAAAGAGGAATTAGCTGGTAGAGGTCACTCTTTGCCCCACTGAGTGGGCAAAGCTGGGAAGCAGCAGGCAGCCACAGGCCTCCAGGAAGTTCCAAAGCGCTCTGGGAGGAAGCCTTGCAAAACAAGATGAACAGTTCCCACAAGGGCAAATCCCGTGGTGGAGCACCAAGTGCTTTGCTTGGGATATAAAAGCAAGCGAGGATAACGCTGGCAGTATTACCATATACCTCACTCACCTGTCCCAGAAGTTCACATGCAGCCATGTCTCAGCTTCCCTCTTGCATATTTATGCCACCACCCAGATAACTGTTTAAATGTGTGGCATAATGGTTAGTGTTGGACTATGGCCTAGGAGACCAGGGTATGAATCCCCACTCAGCCATGGAGCTCACTATTGGGTGACCATGGGCCAGGGACCATCTCTTAGCCTAACCTACCTCACAGGGTGGTTGTGAGGATGGAATGGGAAGGGGGATAACCAGGTGCACTACCTTGAGCTCCTTGGAAGTCAAAGGTGGTATAGAAATGTGATAGACAGACAAATTTGACTTTTAAGGTTGCACTCTTACTTGGAAGAAAAATTAGACATTTTTTGTGTCAGCCTGTAAGAAAAATGATCTTGAATAAGCTTGCTCACAAGGAACAAAACTGAGACAAAAACCCAGACTCAAAGTCTGGGAGGCCATTTCCATCCCACAGAAGATTGAACATAAGAGTACGTAAGGCTGGGAGAAAAGGAATATATTCAAGGGAAACTGTGCTTCTGCTGTGCAAGTTTTTTTGGCCACAACCCAGCAGCAACTCCTCCCCTGCTAGTCAAGACAGTGGATGAGCTCCTTGCAAGAGCCACTGTACTGGCTGAGGGTGGGAGGGTTTCTGTGTGATAAGCAAAGCCCATGCAGGAACACCCTGATGTGGTCTTGAAGAGTTTTTACTTTTCAAAGTAAGTGGCAGTCACTTTCCAGTCATCACATTTGGCCAACAAGATGCCACTGCACAGCCATTTAAGATCTAGGTGTGGTCTGCAGGCACATGATGCACAACTTATGCTGAAATTAAGCAGTTCTGGGTTTGGTCAGTCAGTGCTCAGATAAGACACAACCTGGGACTCTCCACAGACACACACATGTATGCTGCCTTAAATTCCGAGATGCAAGAAAAGCAGGATCTAAACATAGCAACTACAAGTAAAGTAATGGCTTTCACACCACCACATGCAGAATTGAGAAGCTGGCTCATTCCTTACACAGAAGTGGTTAAATATTTCACTCCTTCCTCCTTTCCCCACTTCTGTGGCAGCATATGGAGTGGCCTTTTGTGATCTCCAGACACTATGTAAGTAATTAGTCTCTAAACCAACTCTCAACATCAGGCATCAACATCTAAGTTCTCATTGGGACCCAACAGTGACTCCTGTGGGACAAAACACACTTTTAAGGTCTTGCAGCACCTTAAGATTAACAAATATATATATTGTGTCATAAACTTCCCTAGACTAGAGTCTACTTCATCAGGTGCGTGAAGCGCCGTGAGAGTCTGCATCTCCAGCAAAGAATTCCAAACTGTATCCTCTGGACTGCCATTGACCCACAAGTTTCATTCAGGTGGGAATTGAAACATCCATCATATAAAATATTCATAATGATGTTTAATTGTATTTTATTGCTTCTTTTATTTCCCAAGTGTGTTTTACTGTTATCACAATCTGAATTATATAGGGTTACAATTGCTACAACAGGCAGAAAAACCTGTGGCCGGCCAAAGATGCTCAGCAATTTTCAAATGGGCCAGAGTGGGGAAAACTTGAGCACCACTCATCTCCAGATGAACACAGCCACAGCAGTTGCTGAAACCTTCCAACAGCTTGACCTCATACCCAAAGGTGCACTCCTCCCTTGTCTCTTGGGACAGAGGGATGCCAGCTATACACAGTACATCAGGTATAGACAAACTCAGCCCTCCAGATGTTTTGAGACTACAATTCCCATCATCCCTGACCACTGGTCCTGCTAGCTAGGGATGATGGGAGTTGTAGTCTCAAAGCATCTGGAGGGCTGAGTTTGCCTATACCTGCAGTACATACTCATCTACAGATGAACACAGCAGCCACTCCCCCAAATTTAGATGTACAGAATGAAAATGCATCAGCCCATGCTAGAAGAGTATTCATTGTTTTTGCTGCTGCAGACCAACACAGGGCTGAGTACCCTTCTGTCCAGTTGAGGAACAGCAGTGGCACACTCATGGAGGACCAATAGCCGATCCTCCTTCACAGGAAGTGCTGCCCTATAGCTAGCCAGATCACTTTGCCATCTAGCTGTCTGTCTACGCTAACTTGCAGTGGGGCTCTCCCAGGTTGCAGGCAGGAGACAGTTCCCAGCCCTGCCTGGAGAAGCCATTGGGGATTGAAGTTGGGGCCTTCGGTATGCAAGGCAGATGCTGCACCATTGAGCTTCAGCCCTTCAAAGCAAGATGGCAGCAGGTGTGGATTCCCAACTCTGATACCAGCAGATTAACAACAACAAAACAGAGCTTCAATGTGCTTAAAGGCAAGCATCTCACAAATATTTAGGTCCCTGGGAGTCAGCCTTCCTTAACCTGTTGTAGTCCAACAGCAGCAGGAGAGCAACCGCCATGATTTCATGCAGCCACACTGACTGAGGCTGATGGGAGCTACAACCCCAAAGAGGTGGAGGGTGCCAAGCTGGGGAAGGGCTGTTGTAAGTTCATGTATTCACGATGTTTTGAAATATAGTTTGCAGCAATAGTTCACTCACTCAGAGATCTCCCTTTAGGAAGATGCCAGGTGTACTATTTGGAGTAACCCAGACAAAGTCAACCTCTATGTAGCAGAGGTTAAAAGAGGCTTCACAAACACATGCATTTACAAACTGGACCATGAAGTCATTTAAAATTCCCATAAGGTTTAAAATTGTACTGGAAGAATGATAGCAATGCATTTTATCGCACACACACGGGCTAATGTTGTCACTCTGTTCCTGAACAGGTTTACAGAGGAAGGAAATGATCAACAGCAAAGAACAACTGTGATGACTTACTGGCTAACGTAAGGTGGGCCTTATGGCTGAGGATAGCACCGTATTTGTTGAGAGCCAAGCACTGGTAGTGTCCTTCGTCCAGCGTCTCCCCACGTTTGCTCTCCACTTCGCTGATGTACAAAGAGCCATTAGACAAAGTGTAGATCCGTTCATTTTCAGTCACCTTCACCCCGTTTTTGAGCCACGTGATGGTGATGGGGACTTCGCCTCGTGCCTGGCAGTCCAGAACCACAGCCTCCTTCCTAGCAGCAGTTACGTCCTGCGGCTCTTTCGCAAAAAACAGTTCACTAAAGCACCATATTCCTGAGAGAAGGAGAAAGAGGGGAAAGGAAAGAGAAAGAAAGTAGTTTCTTTTCTGTGTAGGGTCAAACACATGCTAACTGCTGTGTAACTGGTTTAAAGTGCTGGAGGCCTGAAATATTTTAATAACACTCCACACATGAAAACATTATATATCAATATAGTGTTTGCTGGGTGCATTGCTAAAGGTTACATTTTTAAAACTGTACTTGTTTAAAAGCTGAAAGAGAGCTTTTTCTCCTTGTTGATTGGAAGTGGGGGGGTGTTTTTTATTTTTGGTCAAATTTATTAACAGATTAATTGAACAAACACTGCAGCCCAACCGAACAGATGGCGACCAGATCAAAGGAGAGGGAAAGGAGCTAACACGTGGATAACTTTATTTAAAGGTCCTTTAGGAAGAAAGTTCTGTCTCCCCGCCCCGGAAAAATTTAGAGCCCCAGCACTATCGATGCCCGTTGGGGCTTCACGGTCCCAGCCTGGGTGGCCAAGGGGAGCAAACGGGCATGCTGCCCCCAGGAGGACCAGTCGGGGGGCACACACCGCCTCGCCCGCGGAGCACCCCGAAAAGCTCCCTGCCTGGCCGGCTTGGCTGGGGCTGATGGGGAGAAGCGCTTCCAGGGGAGCAGGACCCGGAGGGGCGGGAGGCGTCCCGTGCGGCTTCCCTTCCTTTGGCCGGGGAAATGGCCCCTCGCCTCCCTTTCCGAGCTGGGGTGCCGGGCTCGTAAGATGTCCCTGTGTGGAAACCCCTCTCCCCCTCCGGCCAACGCGGGAATGAAGGAACACCCCCCCCCCTCCGGCAAGGGAATAGGCGCTGCTGCGAGCGGGGTCTTCGAGCCTCGTCGCCGGGCCCCTTCCAGGCCACAAGCCGGTCGCTAATTTTACAAGCTCGTCAAAAAAAAAGATCCCGCGCGGGGCGCCTCGTAAAAGGCTCTTTTTACAAGAGCTCGTTAGCCCGGCCAGCGCTGGACTGGCGGGGGGGGGGAGGGAGCCCTGAGCGGCCGGGACGCAGCGAGGCGAGCGAGCGAGACCCCCCCCCCAAAAAAAGAAGAAGGGGAAAGCGCCGCTCCGGGGAAGAGCTCCGAGGGACGGAGACGCGCCGTCTGGGCAGCCGCCGGGCTCTGGGCAGAGGATGCCGCGGCTCCGGAGGTGGGAAGGGGAAGCGCCGAGCCGGAGGAGAGGAGGGGCCGGGCGGGCGGCCGCCTCCGCCTCTTCTGGGCCGGCTGCCAGGAGGAGGACCGGCCGAGCCAGCGAGCGAGCGAGCCAGCGGCCGGCCGGCCGGCCAGTTAGTCCGGGGGATGCGCGGCGGCGCCCGGGCTCCGGCTCACCTGGGAGGGCGAGGAGGCCGAGGAAGGCGGCGAGGAGCGGGTTCCGTCGGGGCGCCATTTAGCCTCTCTGGGGCATCGCCCTCCTCCGGCCAGCAGCGCGTCCGTCCGTCCAGAGGGCCGAATGGCTTCTCTCTGCCTGGCCGGCCAGCGCGCCCGCCCGCCGGGGGACTCTTTCTTCTCCCCCCCCTCCCCGCTTGGGGCTGCGCAGGGACACAGTGTGGAAGGAGGCGCCGAAGGGAGGAGGGGGCTGCGGCCGCGGCCAGGGTCCGGCAGGAGGGAGGGAGGGAGGAGGCGGGGGCGCGGGGGCTCCCCGGCCCTACTTTCGGGGCCTCGCCATTGGCCTTTGGCTGGAGCCGGCCCTCCGCCCCCTCCCCGCGCAGGCACCTGAGGTCAGCCTCGCCGAGCGCCCGCCGGAGGGGAGGAGGGGCGCTGGAGCCGGCGCGGGGAGGAGGCTGCTGGCGGGCTCTCCCGGGGGATCCCCTGGCTGCCTCGGCCCCGGCGCGGGGTGGGGAGGACGGGGGCCTGGATGCGCGCCCTCTCGAACGGGCTCCTCGCCCCGGGGTTCTGTGCCGCGCTGCCCGGCTCGACGTGGCGGCCGAGAAGAGCCTCCAGCGCCAGGAGCAGCTGGGCGGAGGAGGGGCTTCCCGCCTCGCAGCCCGTGCAATAAGGACACAAGATCCGCCCCCCCCCCCGCTGCAAGCTGAGCGCAGGGAGCGGACCTTTCTCTCCCGAGGCTGCGACCCCCCGACGTCTCGCTCGCTGCGCTGCTCCTGCCCATAGGAGACCGTCAAAAGCGGGGGGCTGCTGAGGAACCCCAAGGGGAGCTTCGTGGGGGCTGCCGGGGTCCCCGAGCAGATAAAGGGCAAAAGATGCCCCTCCAAGCACCGTTAACCCGTTGTTGCCTTCCTATTTGTCCCTGTACATTTAAAATAATGGCTTGGGGCAATATGTATTTGAAGATCCTGCCAAACTCCGCTTTCTTTTCTAGTTATCTATTTATGGCTGTCCTCCTAGCTCTGATTTTGATGGATTGCTGCTATAACTGGAGACCTTGTTGAAGCTATGCAAGGTATAACACGCAGCACTTAGGGCTGATAAAGATCTCTCGGCAGCAGTGCTGTGTGTGGCCAGCATAAAACTCCCATTGGCATTCTTTCGCAGCGAATACTTGGCTCTTTCATTTCCTCTTGTTTAATTCCATAAGAACTGGGCTGCTGGATCAGAACAAAGGCCTGCCCGGTGCTGCATCCTGTTCTCACAGTAGCCCAATGGGAATAAGCTTGAAAGCAGGGCATGTGCTCCCCACATGTCGCTGCCATGAGATGAAGTCTGGGGCCACATTACTGCAAGAAGTTCTCCAGTTGTCCTAAGGAAGCTCCCACTGACCACCTCTTGCCTCTGGCAGGGACCCAGAGCTGCTGGCATCAACCTTACACACAGATCTGGAAACACTTAGGGAAGAGGACAGTTTTCAAGGACTGAGGATTAAGCATACCTCGTCCCCTGCCACAAATATAACTTGGGGTTCAGAAGTATGCACAGGGCTATTGTTAGATGCCTAGCTGGAATGCCACCTGCCTTTTGGCCTTTGTATAGGCTGAACCTGCCACCCAGGGGTGCCCCTGAGAGTTGTTCTTTATTGCAGCATTTTGGCCACATCGCTGAATTTCCTAACAAACTCACACTTGAAAGGTGGAAAGCTTGACCAGAGACCTACTGAGGCCCAGAGATACACGCAAATGTGTTTCATGTCCTTGTCTATTCTTACGTGGATTTTTAGGAATTAGCTGTTTGATCCCCCCCCTTTATCTTCGATTTCATCAGAAGAATAGATGGCTGAGGCCTTCTGCCTCTGCTCCATTTTATCTCCCACAGACGTGCAGGAACTCTGACCAGAGGAGGCTCCACCAGGCCTGTCCCCTTATCTTAACCTCCCCCCTCCTCCAAAAGGCCCTTCCTACCTACCAGCTGCTGTCACAGCACAAGAGCGATGACCTCTCAGGAGTGTGAAGATAAACAGATCGGAAGCCTCCAAGGCATCTCCCAAGCCCTCTCCCTGCCCCTCTCTCTCTCACACACTGGACCACAGGTCTAGCTTCCATAACAATATTTCTCCTCACCAGGAGTCTTATATTTCAGAGAGGTCCTGAACCACACACAAAAGCTCCTCTGAAGCAGGCTTAAGGCTTTTTTGCAAAACAAAAAAAAAACAGTCCATGAAAGTTTGTCCATTTGCTCATCTTGCTAATAAAACTGTTGTTTCCAGTTAATGCTAGAAACTCTTGGAATTTTTGCTTAGCTCAGATTGGATGCACAGGGGGAGGGGAGGAAGGAATTCGTTTCCCTGGACCCAACAGGCTTTGTAGTAGGATTTTTTCTGCCTGGCACCAAACTGGAGTCAGAAACAACCCCCTTCTGTATTCCTTCTGCATGTCTCCAGGAACGTTAGCAAACTTCCAGTAATGCAAAAGTACAAGTGACACCTTTTGCTGGTTGTGTGTCGAGTGGCATGGTCCTTGCTTCCATGGGAGATAACAGTACTGCACCAAAGCAGGTGCCACAATGACAGAGGCAGCACTTTGTGAGGCTTTTGCACAGAACACATTCATCTGCAACACTCTTCTTCCACAAGTAGAAGCAGGCTGGCATAGAAGACAATGGACAGTGGCTTTAATCTTTAAGTGGGTTGTGCAGTGGTACCTCGGGTTAAGTACTTAATTCGTTCCAGAGGTCCGTGCTTAACCTGAAACTGTTCTTAACCTGAAGCACCACTTTAGCTCATGGGGCCTCCTGCTGCTGCCGCGCCGCCGGAGCAGGATTTCTGTTCTCATCCTGAAGCAAAGTTCTTAACCTGAGGTAATATTTCAGGGTTAGAGTCTGTAGCCTGAAGCGTATGTAACCCAAGGTACCACTGTATTATGAATCAGAAACTGGTTAAAGAGAACAAGGATGAACCAAGGCAGTTCTTGCTATGGAGAGATGGAATCAGTGGGAACCCTGAAGATCTGAAACAGGATTAGTGCTTTTTAATTCCAAGCAGGACTTAGTTGAAAACAATTATAGGTAACAAAGTCTGAGGATGGCACCAAATTATTTAGAGTGGGGAAAAGAAAAGGAATCAGGAGGAGCTCCAAAAACTTCTCTCCACGCTAGATAAACTGGCAGAAAAATAGCAGTGTACACAAGTATGAAATATCACAATGAGGTCAGAGCTGGCAGTGGCTGAGCAGAGAGAGGAGAGGCAGCAGAGGGATTGTGGAAAAGCGAAGAACATAAGATGAGCCTGTTGGATCAGGCCAACGGCCCACATAGTCCAGCATCCTGTTCTCCCAGTGGCCACTCAGATGCTTGTGGGATTTGAGCACAGCAGCGCACTGCCTTCCTGTGGTTTCCAACAACGGGTATAAGCAAATCCAGTGGCACAAGTGCTTGCTCCAAATATAACCCAGAGCCACTATAGCCACTTTTTGAGACATTTCCCCACCATTTGGACATTTCACTAAAAACACCAACTACTTTTAAATGCACAGCTGCCTCCATCGTTGCCTTCTAGGAAAACTCAGTGCAGCCTTCGGCAGCCTAGCGCCTTCCAGATGTTTTGGACTACAACTCCCATCATGCTGCTCAGAGCTGGTGGAAGCTGTAGTCCAACACTTCTGGAGGGAACCACATTTGGGAGTTATTTAAGATGGTATTCATAAGATTCGGTGGCTCCCCCTTGTGGAACTGAAAAGGTTTCTGCTTACTCCAGTAGGAACAGTTGCCAAGTTGAGTGAATTAATCACATATTCAGGATGAATGTTGGATCCTATTTTTTGTGTTCATGAAGCTTTTCTCCACCCTTTTGTTACTGGGTCCAATTCCCTTCAGACCCCATTAATATCCCTACCAGGTGATTTGGGGCACCTCAGGTGGCAAATTTCAGAGTACTGTATTTGAGTCCTAAACTTGTGTATTCTTGCTCAGGCCCGAAATTCATCTGTAATGTGATGGCTGGCTTGTTATGCCCTCTGGTGGAGCTTGATGAGTAATCAAAATTGCCTCAATCTCCCAAGAAAGAGAGATTCCTCATCATTAGTGCTGTTAACTCATTGCCTGCAAAGGTGCAGGGAAAATCTTTGCCACTGCATATTTGAGGAGAGACAGGAAGCTATCTATACCAGTAAGACAGACTAGCAAAAATGGCTTGGGATATGTTGTGGATAGCAAGAGTGCTTTTAACCTCACTAACCTAGATGGGGGAAAAGGGAGACCTCCTGGAATAGTTGATCAGCAGCTGAATCAAAGGGGAAAAGGGACTGATGTATGTTACTCAGAGCAGAGTTGCACTGCAGAGAAACATTTCACTTCTACTGAAGAAATACAAAGGCATCAGACTCCACAATCTTGGATAACTTACACATTGGCTGATCCCACCCTCACCCATTTGGGTTTTTGATCTGTGATCAGCCTCTGAACTGCATGTTTAGAACTTCCATCTAACTCAGGCTTCCTCAACCTCAGCCCTCCAGATGATTTTGGCCTACAACTCCCATAATCCCTAGCTAGCGGGACCAGTGGTCAGGGATGATGGGAATTGTAGTCTCAAAACATCTGGAGGGCCAAGGTTCAGGAACTCCCTGTTTGAAAGAAGTCATCTGGACTATGTGGAAGTGGAATATAACCCATTTTACAAACCTCACCCATCATTTCTAGGGGCTCAGAGGGAAGCTGGACATCTTGTGACTGCCTGACAGGCTGCAACTCACAGACTTGCTTGATCCAAGAAATAAGCTTGGTTTTCATAATCATCCAACTACATAATAAGACAAATCAACTGATGTCTGGTTTGACACAGCTGCATGTTTGGGAGTAGCTTTTATCTATGCATTAAATAAACAACTGCATTTTGTCACAGGTCATTGGTTCTCAAATGGTGTGGCAGGAGAGGATGGCAAATGTGGCAGGAAGGTTCAAGGGCAACAGAGAAACATTCAAACATTTCAGTGTAGCTTAGTAGAGTATAAAAATAAAAGAAAAAAATCAGAAATGCAACCATTGGTTATTCTGGTGCTCCATGACATATGTCTGTCTCAAATTAGATTACCTGCCAAAAGCAAGCTCACGCCTCTCACTGAGTTTGCATACATGCTTAAGGTATATATGTTTATAATTATATTTTGGGAATGATTCGTGTTCCTATGTAGCTACATTGTTTTATACTTTCTGGATGTCCCATGATCATATTGTAAAGCATGTTATAAATCAAGCACTGCTAGGAGTTGTTTCTTTTGGTTTTCTTATCAGTAAAAAAATTCAGTGCGGCATGAGCAAATTTCTATTCTGCAAGTGTGGCCCAGAGAAAAATGTTTGAGAACCACTGTCACAGGCTTTCACACACAGGCCCCACTCCATAGTTCAGGGTTTTTATTTATATATTGCATTTATATGCCACCTTCCCTCTCCAAGGAGGCGCTCAGGGTGGGGTACCTGGTTCTCCAGCTCCTCATTTGATCCACACAACAAGGAACAGTGAAAGGTAAGAGGATAGATGGCAAGAGCTTTGGGAGCAGATGTTTCCTGGAGCTAAGAGGCAAAGGAGGAGAAACTGATGGGAATGGCTGCTTCAGAGAACTAATTATAGACCATTTCAGTAGTACTGAATTGTCTTGAATGAAAACCAGCCAGCTTATCAGAATAGATTTTATTTACCGTTTCAGGTTCTTCAGGCTGTTCATTTGTTAGACTAAAGTACTCTGTTACATTCAAATTTATACAGACAGATTATTCCAAATTTTACACACACAACCCCCCCCAAAAAGTATGTAGATTGAATAACCATTTTTATTTACTTGTAACACTCTTGAATGCATTAGACCCCATCCAAAAAGGATTTGAAAGACCCCTTAAGGCCCATTTGTTAGGGCGAGTTGCAGGTCTTCAACAATGTGCATGTGAGATGGCCACTGGCCACAGGGGTGGACCTGCCTTTTCTCCACGTCTTTGGAGCAGTTCACCAAGTGTTGCGGCAGCACAGTGACCTCTCCAACAGGTCAGGCATGAGCCCCTTTCAACTGGGTCAGGATTGTGGCACTTGGGAAACTGCTCCAGGTACGTGCATAACAAAAGGGTTCAAGAGTCAACCAAAACCAAAGACTGTTTTGTAAACTTCCACTTCTCAAAACATGATTTTAAACCAGCATTGACCAAAATACCAGCCCTGACGCTCATACTAAAATATCCTTATTTCTTATTGAATAAATGTACAAAATGTTTCATGCTGAATTGCACATTACATACTATAACTTTGGTTATACTGTATTTTTATTTGGTTTCTAGACTAACTGTTGACAAAATATAAAAATGCAGTTGGAATAGGGATGGAAGGGGAGTCCTGTAACAGCTAAACTAATTTCAGGGCCAAATTCTGCCCTGGGTGCTTATTCTGAGAAGCGTCACTCACGTTTGCACAGATCAGATTGCTGAATTTGGCCCGCAAAACCCTGTAAACATATCTGCATATTTATTTATTTTTTTGTGGTGCAATACTGCAAGAATGAATATGAAAAGGCATTTTGCTATGACTTAACACTGTGGTATTCAAAAACAAAAAAAGTCTGTCTTGAGTTCAAAAAAGCAAAGCTGAAAATATTTGTTAGACAATTTATCAAAATATGATTTACCAAAAATACACTAGCATATAAATCCAAACAGGTTTTAAAATAATCTCATTTAAGTCCATGCTACTTTTTAATCTCAAAAGTTAAAAAGTTTAGAAATAGAATTGGGAATACTAAAAAAGGAAACAACTGGGCATAATCGACTGGGAAGAAGTTTCCTCCTGTGCAATGCCCAGGGAAGCAGCTGCTGCCAGCCTCCGTGCACTGCTTCTCGCTGCTCAGAGCAAGCACAGCTGGACAGGGAAGCTGCCATCTAGCACCCAGGCACAAGCCCTACCAGCTCAGCGCCTGCAGCAATGTGCACAAGCGCAGCCAGAGCCAGTTTATTGCGCACAGGTGGAAAGATTTTAAGGTTACCCAAAGATATAGTTAAGGTGCTTTGGAAAGTCTGAAGAAGTGATTCGCAACCCAAGAGCAGAATCCGTGGGCTGTCCGGCCACCTCTGGAGAGAGAATGCACACATGGACCGACAAATGGACGGAAGACAGACAGACACACTCGGCTTTTCACAGCTTACGCTTTCAGTAGTTAAGATTGCCAAGGCGGCAAATTCTTGAAAGAGGTAATGCAAGGCTCATTCATGCCAGCCTCACCAGTGTTCATGCGCACCCGCTAATCCAACAGGCAAGAGTTTGAAATGCAAAATACAATTAGCTGTAACTGAAATTAACACTTTTTTAAAAAAAAAAAAGAGGATACCATAAAGATTCAGTTGCCATTCAAATGCAGCAACAGTCTCCCTGGAATATTTGTTTTGCTTGTAAACTCTCAAATTGCAGCACAGAAAAGAAGTACAGCCTTGTCACCCTCCTCTCCTGGGGCTCAGTCAACGCCATCAAACCCCTGAGCATTTTCAATTGCAAAGTGAAGCTTGTCCCACAAGTCTTCAAAAGATTCATATGGAGGCAAATCCAAGCGGTTAAAACTGGGGTGGGGTGGGGTGGAGATGGATAAAAGAGACACAAGAAAAACAGTTATATTATATGCCAGGATGGGCAGAGAAACAATCTCAACAGAATACTTCATGCTCAGGAATATTTACCAAGTATGAGCTCTCGGCAGTTTGTCAGGGCTGCCCCAGTACTCAATGGTGAACAACTGTGGTCCATTTGAACCTGCAAGGAACATACACAGCAAGCCTAATGATTTTAGATCCTCACCTGGTCACAGTGTAAGCCTTGGCTACAGGCAGCTCTCATTTATGGAAGTGGAACATGCAAACTACGGGAAAAAGAAACTAATCCAGCTACTGCAGGGTAAGGGCCAATACTGACTTGTGAATTAAGGTGGTCCAGTGGAGAAGACCTTACCTCTGCCCTGTAGCAAACCCCATCCTCATCTGCAACACAAGGTCAAAAGCCTACCTTGCAGGAGCGTGGTAAAGGGTTCCTGACATAATGAACGTGATGAGGCTGCTTGAACGCAAAAGAAGCAGCTCAATGTCATGTGCTGATTCCAAAGTGCCTCTAGACTTGGTGACCCTCCCAAATGGGTTCATGGCACCTTGTGCAGCCATTAACAGAAGTGGGGAATCATGATATTTAAGAAGTTATTTTCCAAGAGCATGCAGCCTAAGTTGGCCCCACAACTCAGCTCTGAGGGAGCAGGACGGAGGGCTCCTGTTAAGTATTTTGGCTCCTGTTAAGTATTTTTGCTCCTATTTGGGCAATTGCAGCGCAAACAAATCAATACATCTTCCCGTTAGTTATTAAATTAATTCTAGTTATTGGGGATAAACAAGAGCTGGTGATTTTGTCAGCTGCATCTCCCCAACCCCACACTGAAGAGGTGTGTGTGTGTGTGTGTGTGTGTGTGTGTGTGTGTGTAGGGGAGGGTAGACAGGGAGGGCACATGCAAGGGATCACATGTGCTATTATCAGCTTTACAGAAATGGGGCAGCAATGGGGCCTACGTTTCCCATCTGGCCTGGGCCTATTGCCAGCTTTGCATGGCCCTTGTTCTCCCTTGAACTTGGGAGGACATCCTGCAAGGTCCATTGGGTGGAGGATAAGTAATCCTTTGCTGGATGTCCTCCCAAGTCGAAAGGAGAAAAAGGGCCATGCAAAGCTGGCAATAGGCCCAGGCCAGATGGGAAACGGAGGCCCCGTTTCTGCATTTACTTATCTATATTTTATCTGTATTAATCTTTTATGACTCTTCTTTAAAAGATTAACATCCTGTGCTAAAGGACCCCCTCCCCCCTTGATTCTCCTTGCAATATCAATAACCTTTACCAAAGATTTGCCCCCTTTGCCTCTACCAGGAGGACTTGGAGGACGCCCATGCCAACTGGCCCACCTGCTCTGGCCTGAGGGAAACTGGCAGGTAGAAAGTGCAGGAACCCACCCACACCCCACAAATCCCTCTACAAGTTGCCCCTGCATTTATCTTGCTTACACATGACATTGGGACAGGCACACCCTCTCTTTTTAGGGTGTTAAGGTAAAGGTAAAGGGACCCCTGACCATTAGGTCCAGTCACGGACGACTCATCTCGCTTCACTGGACGATGGAGCCGACGTTTGTCTGCAAATAGTTTTTCCGGGTCATGTGGCCAGCATGGCTAAGCCGCTTCTGGCGAACCAGAGCAGTCCACGGAAACGCTGTTTACCTTCCCACCAGAGCGGTACCTATTTATCTACTTGCACTTTGACATGCTTTAGAACTGCTAGGTTGGCAGGAGCAGGGACCGAGCAACGGGAGCTCACCCCGTCACGGGGATTCGAACCGCCGACCTTCTGATCAGCAAGTCCTAGGCTCTGTGGTTTAACCCACAGCGCCACCCGCATCCCTTGTTTTTAGGGTGTTATTTTACCCCAATGAAATTTTGAAGGCAATAATTTAAAGCCCACCTTAGGCCATAAACTCACAAAGAGGCCACCGCAACCTCAGCTTCACACACAGACACACCCATCTGTGATACGGGGATAATATTGACCATTTGTAATATGAGGTTGTGAAGGATGACTCAGCGTGTGAAGAATTTGCTCCAGAATGCCCATGCAAATGCCTTGCTATTGTAACTGTTACTTCCCTGCAAGTACATACCGTATAGTTCAGCAAATCCATTCATAGGTACGCGGGACGTGCCCGTCACAAATTGAAGGAGTCGGATTCTTTTTTCAGAGTCCATCAGCAGCACAGCCTAGGAAGAGTTACAAAGACTTACTGAAATGCTAACCTTATGACCAACCATCACACGTGTTCATTGTTCAATCTGGTCAATTTGGCTTGTTTATTAAGTGTCTGATCAGAGGAAATTAGCCTGGTTTCATTCCAGGTGGAGGTTTTTTTGGTTTGTTTTTTGCTTCCACTGCACAGAAGAAACATTTGTTGTTAACTTAGGAGGTTGCCAGGATCAGTGATGGGTGGTTAAACAGTGCCACTGTTTTAAGTTGAGTTCCATCCATCTTTAGTACAACCCTGGCAGAAGAGAGCATGTTGAGTACCCTGTGTACTCTTCGCTACTTGTAGCAGGACATAAACACTCTCATGCAATTTTGGCCTAACATTTACTTAAAACATTCCTGCTAGAAGAATGATATCACTATTTTGGTTACCTTCCAAAACCATTGAATAACTATGTGATTTGCACTGTAGCCGTTTTTGTACTTTGTGTGTTCCCTCCAGTCATTCACATCTACATCTCCCAGGCCACACATCAGTAACTGAAGAGAGAGAGAGAGGAAAAAATATCTCAGAAAATATCAACACACAAACTCCCCAAAGGAAACAGGTTTTGAAAGAAGCAGAAGAAAGCTTACCTCCAACTCATTTTCATCGAAGATTGTGATGAGATCTTGTGGTATTAGTTCGAAAAAACCCTAGAATACAGAAGAGGCATAAGGCAAGCTGGACAACTTGCATGGCGATGTGTTTGTAGCCATAACCCCACAACCCCACCATTACGGAATTCCCCCTCAAAGAAGCTTTGCTGCACCTCGGTCCCATTCCATTTTGGAAGACATTTAGGACAGATTCCTATTTTATCCTGACTGAGACAAAAACAAAAACAAAACCCCTTGCAGCAGCAGGACACATCTTCTTGATCGTATGTAGACAGACTGAGCTGCTTCTGACAAAATTCATCCCCATAAAATACGGATGGAGTTAAGAGCGGGGAGAGAGAATCTAAGTTTTCCACATTCTCATTTGGGGTTTATGCTGTGCTCACACAGCTTTATGGCTTTAAAAATAATAATGCAAGCCACTCTAGGTATAGAGAAAGGTAAAAATTCAATAGCACACAGGTAAAAAATTAATGGACTGAAATCAATATTGAAACAGACTATTGACAACATTAGAACACAAAGAGTATCTGCAAATGACGGTACCTCTTTGAAGGCAGCCATTTGTTTCCTGATCCTGTTCACAAATCTCCACTGTATTACAAGACTGTAAAATGGAAGGAAGTATTGAGTTTTAAACACCAACATGACAGCTACATTTAAAAGGTTTTTACAGATTCTTCATAGCATTAGCTTTAAGATAGAGCAGATTGGAAATTGAACAAAGAGTTTATGGCAAACAGTTGCCACTGGAAAATGCACACACAAGGGGTGGGGTGGTGTCAGTTCTGCAGTCTGTTACTTACTAAATATACTCTTGCTTGTTCTTATTTGTGACCACCACATCTGACCCTCCAGGTTTCAATTCATGTTGATGAGTCTAAAGACAAGAGGACCAAAGCAAACTGAGCACTACATAAGGCGTAAGGCAGAATCTCCTCCTCCTCCCTCAAACACAGACCTCCTATTTACTGATCACCTGAAGTGAGTGATGAGATACAGCAAGGGCTTGCTATTACCAGCTGCAGGGCTTGCTGGCAGAGCTTCAGGCTTTCTCCATTTATTTGTGAGGTTTCTTACAGGCCCTTCACCATAGGGTCCCAGGGCGAGTTACAATGAAACAATGATACAATTCAAAATCAAAATCAAAATCAAATCAGTATATTTACACCAGAAGCACAGGCAGGTGGTTGACTTCCCTTCCATGAGCTGCTTATCCACATCTTCAGACCACAATAATTGAAACTGGTCCAGCGCAGATGAGACAAGCAGGGCTATGGGCACCTCCATGGGAGACTTGCTCTAACCATGGCGTCTAATTCTGTCTGAATCTGAGTGTTTTATCCCTAAAGTGTCTCACAAAATTGTCCCAGCAGACTTCTGAGGGTGCCAGAGCAACACTCTCCTGGTCAGATGACAAAAGACCGTTTGCTACTCTGAAAAACTATACCTGGTACCTACATCTATTTCAAGAGATGAAATTCTTTGTGGTCACAGGCTTGTGGCAGTGTTTTGCTTGTTGCCATGCATGTATACTTCACTGCGATTTAAACTTATTTTGTAGATGACCACAAATATTGAGACAACCAGGTAAAAACTCTAATTCAACTCACTTATCAACTTACAGTTTCATTATCAAAAAAGGATAAATCAATATTAGACAAGGTAAGACTGAAGCAACCATAAGGCATCCTGTACCTTTTGAGTGTTCTAATTTAAGCCCTGCATGGCTACAAACCTGCCCAAAAAGTTCTTCATCAACTGTGAACCGGAGGTCCAGTTCCTTGGGATCGTTTTCAAGAATCCACCTCAGAGAACTGTAGTATTCACTGTCCTAGAGTGAACATGACAGGGATGAGTGATTAAGACCAGCAACATAAACTGTCCTTTGGGTGGAAGGTGTTAACAAATGTAAATAATGGGTAAGAATGTGCACCAATTTAATTCACCATAAAAATGTGAGGCAACAACAGCAGCTTGGGGTAAACATTACATACCACAGATTCCATATCATGAAGAATTATTGGCTTTTGAAGCATCATTTTGTAAAAAGGGCGAATAAAGAATCCTGCAAGAGACAAAGAGGAAGAGCTTGGGCGCAAAGAAATGTTATGGAGCACAGTGCTAATAATAGCGGCCAAGAAGCAGCCTCTGTAATGTCAAGTACAAACCATCTAAGAGCTTCCCATGGTAGACGGCCATCCCTGCCACACGGCCGATGAACTTGAAGTATGAAAGGTGGTCTTCATTGCACATGCCGGAGTTTGGATTAATCTGGAGAGTATAGTTATCCCTGCAAGGGAAGTAGAGGCCATGTGCTCCATATACTAGCAGTAGACATTTGCTCAAACATCTCAGAAGCTGCCCTATGGGGACCAGGCCATTGGTCCATGAGGATCAGCTTTGACTATGTGGACCAGCAATGGCTCCCTAAAGTCTTTTCCCAACTCTACCTAGAGATACTGAGCACTGAAGCTGCAGTTCAACCAACCTGGAGCACCCAGAGCAGACTCTCTGCCACTGAGCTATTGCCCTTCCCCAGGAAGTCAGGATTTGCCATCCATCCAGTCTAGCACTTGTCTCATCCCACAGGGCCTCTCCCAGGTAGAAGTGCAAAGATGAGTTGCAGAAGGGCTGCTTCCTTCACCTCCTCCTCCTGGAGTTTGGCTCAAGGTTAAATTTGGTTCTTAAGATAAGACTCAAATTGTAGAACTGCCATTCTTGAAGAAATGGGCAAAGAGGAGCCTTAGAGTAGCCAAGTTTAGCCAAGAGAAGAAACTTAGTGCTCCCTCTATGCACACACACACACAGCTAACATAGGATAACTTCAAATGAGGTAGGAAGTATCTGGATAGCAGGCTGGCTAATTTGTTGTTTAAGCTGTTCAACATTTCACACACGCAGAAGAATCTTGGCCACAGCAGGTGTCTTACTTACGTGGCAGAATATTCGAACAGTCCATAGTATGGGTTAAACATTTCCTTGGAGATGAAGAAGAACCACTCCCTGGCGACCCCTCCATAGTCCAAACCCTTTTCACCATCAAATTCAATCCATAGCCTCGCTTTGAGATACTCCGGCTTCTTTACAGCACTAATTCTTCTGTAGGAGTCTTCGAAGATTGTAGCACGGTGAAGTTTCATTTCAAACTTACTTGGAATATCACCCTGAAGAGAAACACGATAACTGATTGTTAGAGTAGTCTGTCAAGCAAAATGAAGGGAGGATACTTAAACAGGGCCCTGCACTTTTGGCAAGAAGTTTGATCAATGAAGACTGAAGAATGCTCTTCAATTAAACACGGAGCATTTGAAGTTATGTGCCCTAACAAATATCAGCCTAGACTGTTAATACTCCAAGCTTACAAAGACTACACTTAAGTAGTATACCTTTTTTAAAGTTATTTTTTCATAGAGCACATAGCTAATGAATTCACTCCCACAAGATGGCCACCAACTTGGATGGCTTTGAAAGAAGACTATGTATTTTTTATTATTAAATCTATATATTGCCCTTCATCTGAGGATCACAGGGCAGGTGACAGGATTAAATGAATTCACAGAGAATAAGGCTTGGATGAGTTTCAGTTAGTATTGCTTGGGGGCATGGACAAGGTGCTCAGATTGGCGCAGATGACCACGTGTGCTATATAATATATATATATATATTATTTTATATGCAACCCATCTAACTGGGGTGCCCCAGCCACTCTGGACGGCTCCAAACAAAATCTAAAAAACACAATAAAACACCAACCATTAAAAACTTCCCTGTGCAGGGCGGCCTTCAGATGTCTTCTAAAAGTCATATAGTTATTTATCTATTCGACATCTGACGGTGGGCAGGGGGTGTTCCACAGGGTGGGTGCCACTTCTGAGAAGACCCTCTGCCTGGTTCCCTGTAACTTCACATCTCACAGTGGAGGAACTGCCAGACCCCTTGACCCCTGCCCTTCATGACCAATAAAAACTAAGAGGGATGGCTGGTTGCATACCCGTTGCTGGGGATAAAAAATGGGGAGAGCGCTGCTGGCGCACTCAGCTCCTGCTTGTGAGCATTCTGTAATGGGCCAATGTGGGAACAGGATGCTGGGCTTGATGGGTACCCTTTGGTCTGACCCAGCAGGGTTTTTCTTATGTATAGTTAACAAGGTGGGCATGTGTGTGCAACTGTACTTCTGTGCCAAGTGACTATTTAAAGTAGTCTGTACACTAGTCATTCCACTGGTTTGTTCAGTGGTACATCATGTAAGATTGTCATAGCCCAGGGGGCAAGGGAAGATCAGTAGTTTTGGGGAGGGGGGAGGTGAACCACTGCTGATCTTTGAACTCATTGCAAGAGAAGAAGACTGGAGAAGCAGCACACATTCTGGAAACATATTCACTTTGAAGTTACTAGACTCATAACTTACTTGCTTTTTTAACTTCTTTCTGAAGAATTCATACTTTCTTTTATAGTCTCTGGAATAAGGCACAGCCTTTGAAGAAGAAGAGAGAAGGGTAGAAGAATGTAAGATGTCCAAGTATTCAACATCACATTTCATTGGGGCAAATATTTGTTGATGTATTAAAGTTTCTGCCTTAGGCCAGGGGATTACAGTTTTGTGACAGAATTTGGGGTGGAAGGACACTCAGGAGGTAACTAGAGCATCTTTCAGTTATACCACACACCTGTTTTGCAATCCTTGTCCACAGTACTACCCAAAGTTTTAATTCACTTTTTATAGAAATACAGTGGTACCTTGGTTTAAGAACAGCTTAGTTTATGAACAACTTGGGTTAAGAATGCTACCAACCCAGAAGTAGGTGTTTTGGTTTGTGAACTTTGCCTTGGAATAAGAACATGTTTCACTTCCTGTTGAGTGTGTTCCATTTGTAAATTGAGTCCCCTGCTGCTATGGGAAAGCACACCTTAGTTTGAGAACACTTTGGTTTAAGAACGGACTAAGTTCATAAACCAAGGTACCACTGTATTAATATAAATTTATTCCAACAAAAATTTGTCATTTTCTGCAAGCCAGCATTGGATCACTTATTCCTCACAAACACAACATCAGCCCCTTTAGTAATCAGCCCCTAATAATAATGAACAGGAACAGATCCCACAACGGATCCAAAATGGTTCATATACCACCTTTAGTAAATAGTTTCCACAGAGCCTGCCAAAAGGGGCCTGAATTCACTCCACCTTACTTATCTCAGGGATGCAACTGAGCTGTGGCTGGAGACCAATTTGAGAGCCTTGCACTTTATTTAAAAGCATTTCTAAACTGCTTAATGTTTCAAAATATCTCTAAGTGGTGTACACTATGTACAATATAAATCCCCTATCCCTTAAAAGAAAAGGACAACTCAAAATCAATGAAACAGTATGAAAGCATAAAATGAAGATTCGGGGATTCAGATGCATAAAACTGGGTTCAATCTTATGGCTCAGTTGTGATGAGGGGAGTCTCAAAAATTCTTCTCAAATCCAACTTTCACTATAGAGATGGGTGAAACCACTTTTCACCCCTCCCACCATCTCAGTTTAGACGAGCTTTTCCAAAAGAAAGAAAGAAAGAAAGAAAGAAAGAAAGAAAGAAATCTGAAAAACACACAATTTCCAAGTCAATTCCAAAGTTAGATGGTACCAGGAACCCATGCCAGGAATCAAGTACCTCTCTTCACCCAAGGCCTTTTATTTTCCTGGTAGAAGCAATGGAGGGGGGGCCCTTCAAGGCCCTCCCCTTGCAAAACCATCATTACCAGCTGGTGTTTGGAATGCTGGACTGGCTCAAAGAGCCCTGGGGGAAGAGTTACCGGTACTTTAGCTCACTTAATGTTTACTAGCCACCTTGCCAAATTTTCCCAAGGCCGCATACAGTATCTGATAAAATCAGTTTAAAACATATACAATAGTAAAACAATAGACAGATGAACATCACTGAGCTCTAGGAGACATTCATCTTCACAAGCACTGCCCCCACCTCCTGCCTGTGAACTTCAACACCATCGTCTCCCACCACTAATTCAATTCCTGGCCCCATTTCAGACACTTCTCACATTCAAAATAACTGCACCAAGGCATTTGAACCATTTTGTATCCTCTTATTTCTACCATACAGTTTGGCAACTGCTCAGAAGGATAAATATTGAACCTGCACCCGACTTATAAACTTCTGAGGTGAAAGTGCCCTGGGGTGAACAGAAGATGCAAGTACTTGGCTAGCTGCTACAACTGATTTTAAAGTAATCTAGGGAGTCTTACTGGTCCAGCTATTGCGACATTCTGCAAGCGAGGGTCTTCCCACTGAGTTTTCTTGGTATCTGCAAGCACACAAATGTATTAGTTGCAATAAGGCTGAGCAATAAGGGAGAGTCGTATTATATCTTACAAGGGAGAGTCGTGCTATATCTTCTACATACTGTGGTTTATGTAGAATGTTCTTCCATCTGTATGTATTCGTTCTTCCCAGCCAGGCTAAAGGAAAGAGAGAAAACCATAAGTACCCATTGGCAGGATGCTAAATGATGGGTGTGCTGGCATGGTTCCACAGATTTAAACAGCAACAGCCTTTTATAATGCTTAATGGTTTGTGCTTAATGGTAATCTGAGGGATGTAAAGTATTAAAAAGGCCAAGAGGCAGGTGCTTACCGGTAAAGGGCTAAGGTCTGCAGGGTCCAAAGAGGTCCTTCTTCTCATATGAGCAGGAATTCTGATTCTGGGGTCATCCTTTGACAAGGGAAAAAACACTGTTAAGCTACTGTTTTAGCCACGGACATTTAAGACTCCTGGCTGGCTGCTAAAGGAAGGCCTCCACACAAGGGAAGCCACTGAACTCTACTTTCCCAAAAGCAGCTGGAGGCAGAATTCAAACAGCGGATCCATGTGACACTTCACGGAGAGGAAGATTTCCCCATAGAAATCCAGCCATGCCTCTCTCCATGGGCGAAATCATGGTTCAACAGGACTTAATCCCTGGAAAATGTGCTTAGAACTGCTGCTTTCAGTCAGCAGATATCTGACAGATTTAAGCAGCTCTACCTGCTCCCCATTTCTTTCAAAAGCGAGTTCTGCTTTCTCGGGGCAACTGCTCCTTTTGTTAGCAGCTTCCCTCCAGGTAAATACAGAATGTTCTCCAGAAAGAGAAACTGACATGCCATGCTGGGGTTTGAGACCAGTTCCTGGATTTGGGTGGGGAGGAGAGATATAGCTCTGGCTCAGCTTTGCTTATGGAAACAGGCTTGTTCTCAACTCTGTTTTCTTCGCAGCCAGTGGATTTTCTTGTTACTTTACTGTTTTTGGTTTTTATAATCAAAACAAATAAATGGCTACTAGGGTATAACTGAAGCAGCTGGCAGGATAAGTAACACAACAAGGAATCAGGAAGGGAAGGTGCTCAACAGCAGGACCTGCTAGCAAGTCAGTGCCTTGTGCGAGGAAAATCACATGGAAACCAAGCTCAGAGGGAGCCTTTCAAGGGGACAAGCCGGGCCTTCCCTTCCTCAGAGAAAGTCACAGATTCCTCCTCTTTCACGTGATACTGCTGGGAAGTGTCTGCAGTTCAGCAAAGGTCAATCAGCAAGCCAAACACTCTCGCGGGTGTAAGAACCTTGCATTGCTCTTTAAAGAATTGTCCTTTCACCCCACCCACCTTCTGTCTCCTCAATATTAAAAATACACAGCAGCATTAAATCCAGAAGCTACCTACCCACGTTGTTGTTTTGGTATTGTGGTCAATAAAGAAAGGCCTCCCATTTGGAGCGTTACGAACTTCCCAGCCTTTTGGGAGAAGTCCAAGATCAGCTTCTGGGGGTTTCTGGAACGAAGGCTGCTGTGGTGAGTCATCTGATGCCAACTGTTGTCTGGAGGAACAATGCGGAGCCATGGCCTGCTGACCCACATCCACCCCGATCTGATGGAAAATTGAGAATGCAAGTAGAGTGAAATGCGCAGGCAAGCAGGGAAGACCTTGCTCTTTTCTTTTCATTTTAAGAATAATTTTTTATTAACCGACCAATCACATCAAATCAAACCAAATTACATAAATTCCAAATTACACAGCCGAATTTTAAATTTTTGTTGGGGGTACCCATATTTCAAATTCCGAAGGGGATCCAATCAACTTCTTGCTTCTTACTGCTGTTTTAATGTCCACAAATCTAACCTTATGATGTTCACAGTACTATCCAGTCCTTTCTTATTGTTTTTCCACATCGCTTGTTGTTATTTTCATATATTTTTCCTTTCTCTTTGTGACCTCTGATAGTCTCCGCAAGCTGGTTAGAACAGTTTGTAATCCTGTGTGGATATATTTTTTTTTATCCAGTAGCCATATCCAGACGTTTTCCATATAACATCACTTCCATACATCAAAACAGTCTTAGCGTCAATCTTCACCAATCTGCCTCCTTTCTCAAAACCTCTGAGGAGATTCACTAGGAATGCAGTCTAAAAACAAGTCCGTTCTTCCTCCGGGCTAAAAATCCTTTGGCAAGATGGCGACTCCGAATTAATTGCTGCACCATTCCCAAAAGCTCTTATTGCTTCTCGGTCTCCATAAAACATACTTTTGGTTAAAGTTTATCTCCACACAGACCTTAATCATCCTACTTGGGTCAGTTCAACCGACGATTCTAATGAGGAGGGGTTCTTGTAAATCACATAGAAGGAAAGTAAAAAAGGTTCCCCCCCCCCATTCAGTCCCAACATACCCAGCCTTTGGTGTATCTTCATCGTAAAATATTCCTGTTTCTCCAACCCGTCGTCTTCTTTCGCAGAGGTCACTTAAATTAGCAGACTTCACTCCCCTTCTTCACTTGAAATATGTGCATTTGCTTCTTTTGTAATTAATTATTCTGAATTGCTGCAGCTAGTGCGCGATCAGAGACAGCGTCCAGGAGAGCCGAGGTCCACACGGGGGCATTCTGCCTAGGGCCCTCACCCCCTTCTTTTGAATTAGGGGGTGATTTATGGGCACAGCAGGCAAGGGCAGTGTTCCCCATTTCCTTGGGGCAACAAGGGAGGCTGCCTACTCCCATAACAGCCTCTTAATTACCCTGTGTGGGTCGGAGAGATGGTATTGTCGGCCATCTTCCAATGCGCCCCCTAGTGGCCCCCCCCCGGGAAGACCTTGCTCAATGCCTCAAGCCAGGGTCTATGGGATGGATTACACAAGAGGGAATGTTACCAGTCTCAGTTATCATGTTTTACAATTGACAGAATACAGGTCGGTTGTTTTTAATGGGGGGCAATTTCAAATTATTTGTTTTAAAATTACCGTATTTTTCGCCCTATAGGACTCACCGTCCCATAAGGCGCACCTAGCTTTTTTGGGGGGAAATAAAGGGGGGGAATTATTCCCCCCCCAGCCCCCAGAACAGGCAACTCTCTGCAAGCTGTGGGAGCCCAGCGCAGGGCTCCCGCGCCTTGTGGAGAGCTGCGTGAAGTCTGGGCGCGCTGAGCTCAGCGCGCCCAGCCTTCAGCATGCAGGCAACTCTCCACAAGCCGTGGGAGCCCGGCACAGGCTCCCACGGCTTATGGAGATCTGCGCGAAGCCTGGAGAGCGCACCGACCCCTCTCGCTCTCCAGGCTTCAGCAAAAGCCTGCATTCGCCCCATAGGACGCACACACATTTCCCCTTCATTTTTGGAGGGGGAAAAGTGCGTCCTATGGGGCGAAAAATACGGTATTACTGAGGTTTGGCTTAAGAGTGTTATTTTCCTGATTTGCACATACAGTTTGCACAAGAGTGATAAAGTCCCCAGTTATATTTCACTAAATGGTTGTTTATCTACTAATTAGTGGGTATCAGTAAACTTTATTTATTATTTGAGTATGGTTAATGTTTGTAATTTATATGGCAGGCATGTTGTTTTTGTTTTTTTTAAATAAATGTTATGTTAGATGATATATTGGTGTATGACATGATCCATCCACTTTCTCCCCCTTGCGGTTTTTTGTCTGTGTAAATATATATCTAATATGCATATATATTGCTGTAAGTTGCTAGGAGACCTCCGAGTGACAATAGGTTTAATTAACAACAACCACAGTTGTGCTTTTGATGCGGGGGACAATATCTATTCCTACTGGTTAGTTTATCTTAATTAATCAGAGGTCTTGTGCAAGACTGTAGCTATACTGAAATTCTGATAAAAATCTTGCACAAGGCCCCTGTATTCTTTCTTTTTTTAAGCCCAATGTGTGCACTGCAGTTACAGCCACTCAGATAAACTCTTGCATGTACTGAAGTGCCCTCAATATGGAACCCATGGATGGATATAAGACATGCTTGCATCATTTGGGCTGCTGGAACAAAATGGCAGGTTGCGTTCAGGGGACAAGCAAATGGAACAAAAGGATGACAACCAATTTTTCACAGATCTCAAAGAAACAGGATTCACTGATTTCAAGGTGCCCCAATAGGAAACAGACAAACTCTGTCAGCTCCTTAATGCAATTTCCAATGCTATCATCCAAGTACATGTTGATACAAGCAAACTCTGTAGTGACATGCTAACCAGCAAGGATGGTGGAGTTTGTTGCAATGTTTATCTGAACAGGGACAAGGGACCTGTGGCTCTCTAGAGATCAGACTGCAATTTCCATCATCCCAGACTAATGTCCATGCTGGGCTGATGGGAGTTGGGCGTTCCACAAGACTGAAAGACTACAAGCTCCACGTTTTCTTATCCAATGAGATTTGCAAGGAAAGCTTGAATAAGCAGGAACTGATTGCTGTACGTTTTAGTGACTTGGCCAAACCCCATGCAGCAATCTTAATTCTAGATCAGATGACTATGGGGTGGGGTGGAAAGGTACCTGTACAGCTGGCTTCTTCCAGGTGGTAGTCTGGGAATTGTGGTCTATATAATACGGCCTTCCTTTGTCATCTTTCCTTACTTCCCAGCCTGGAGGCAGTCCAGATGAAGTAGGCAGTAACTAAAAGAAGATAGAATTAGCTGGCAAAGGCTACTTGTGGATTTTTTTCCAAGGCTCAGACACATCACAGTACAAAGATTTAAATATTTTAGGAAGCAAGTTGACAACTGAGGAGAACGTACATGCCAACTAAGTTAACTGCTGTGTTAGGCAGTTACCAATACAGTCAACCTCCACCACCCACTAGGCAGTCTCCTACTCCATCCGTGAGCAAGTCCAGAGGTGGTAAACTAATATAAAGCAACATCAGCCACTGACCAACAGAAAGAGGTTGCAGGTGCCTTCCCAGTCAGTCAGCAGTATTCTGATCATCCATAAGTTTGCCTAGCCCCATTTTGGAAGCTAGGAGTGAATTCCAAACACCGACAGTGTGCTGTTTGAAGGGAGTTCTACTTGTTTTCAGATTAATTGCTCATTTCCCAGTCAGTTCTGAAACGCACAAGTTCCCCTCCGTTCACCACCACTTTGCTAAGCTAATCACCCTCCAAACTAGTTCTTCTCTCCTATCTGTTTTCCTATTCTTTGGTGATCTTGAATCAGCACAGGAAACCCTTAAACACTATTCCAATATATTCTCCCAATGCTTTAGGTTGTAGTGAAAGGATTGCAGTAACACGGACAGAGCACATGCGACTTGGTCACATGCAGTGAAAAGAGTCACAATCAGGCAGGATAATTCAGAGCTTAACTTACAACAGGAAGAGCTGGTTGTTCTTCAGCTTGGTACGACTGAGGGTTACTTCTTCTGCTTAAATCACTCTTGAAGGACAAGCAGGGGAAAGGTTTTTTAGTTCTACAGTTACTGTTGTGATGAGCAGCACATGCAGAGGTGACAATCCCTGGTACATGCATACCCTACTATGCTTACCCAATGCACCAGAAACCAGGAGATGGAACTAGGCTTCCCTTTGAACAAGCTAGCTGTTGGGAGAGGGTGTGTGATACAGAGCCTCTTCGGGGGCAGACCCTGCTGCTTAAAGCATGCAATGTTTGATTTATCATCATGCTTACAGTGCAGGAAGCTGCTTGGGCAGCAGTGGAACTCCCAGAGGTCGTAAGCTCTGTGCTCAGTTCTTCTGTAAGGCCGTTCTCTGCCTCAGAATTGTGTTGCACAGTGACTTGGGGAGTCTGGTTGCTGTACATAGTTGCTTCATCTTCTGTGATGATCTCCCAACTCTAAGAAACGTTAAATATTTCATCAGAATTTTAATGTCACTATCACCATCACCATCATTTTATCCCGCTGTGTGGGGATCCCTCACAGATGACCACAGTGCCTGGAGACAGACAGTCAGGTCTATCCATAGCAGTGACCAGAGGAAGAATGACTGCTGGGAGGAGCACAGACAGAAGAAACAACATGCTGCATCTGCAGCAGCACAACCAGACGTCTCCATCTGCCCCAGCTGCAACAAAACATGTTTCTCCCAAATCGGTCTCTGCAGCCACAGCTGGTGCTGGAACTCCAACGGTTTGACTTTGACATACTCTTCCACTGTCTCTCGAGACAGACAGGTGACAACAATTATTATTTAACTGACCTTCATTCTAAGGTCCCAAAGCAGATTATAACATTAAGACTCAATATTTAAAACACTTTAAAACAACTTACAATTACAAAAATAAGGTGGGCCCTAAAAATATCCATCTCAAGTGTCAAAAGTCAGGGTAAAGAGGTGCTATGAAAGCTATGAAAAGTGAGGTTCCCACCTCAGGAGATTCTCTGTGGTCCAGATTCTCCGCCTCCTCGGTTATTTGATGCCGGCGAGCAAAGGCGTGTTGCACTTCCAGCTGAATGTTGCCAGTCTCTGCATCGGGTCCGTTGTCCCTGCACAAAAATGTTGTTTAAGGGAACATGGGAGGTGGGTGGATTCTGAGGCTTCAAATATTTGAAGAGGTACAATGTAAACGAAAGGTTTGCTTCCATAGGGAGATGCGGCAGATCACAAGATTAAATCATGAAGCTGGCTTAGAAGCTTAAAGCAGACCAACGTAAGGCATTTGGCAGAGCTTTCAACGTTTTGAATGACCGGAGGCCATGACAAGCTTCAGGCCTGACACATGTCTCTTCCAGATGAAGGGTTTAATCTGTTTTTCTAGTTTTATTACTGTATTTTTCTTGTTTGGAACTGGGGCCAGTGCTATCATCAGGCTAACAAGGCAGCCACCAAGGGCACAGACCTCAGGGGGGCGCAATACTGACCTTTGAGGGGCACGGTTTTATACAGATTAGTTTTTGTTATATGATAATGTTTGACATTTATTTTGAAGAATTTTATCATTTCTCTGAGACATCTGTCTTTGAAAACTGAAGTTAGCACAACAACAAAAATTGGGAGGGGTGCAAATTTTGCTTGCCTAGAGCACAAAATGGCCTGGCACCGTCACTGCTTCTAACTCATTTTAGGGCTTTTTAGTGGGGAGCTATAAGCAAATTTAATAAACCTAGCTTCATTCTCAACTCCCACCAAATATGCCTGGCTGACGAAAAGGAGACCTTACTGTCTATAAAAAGTGACCATCTTAGGAGGTCCTGCTCCCCAGTCACTACCTTCCTTCCAAAGGAAGAGCAGGAAGAGTCTTGGGAGGCTTCTGTTGTTCACCTGCAGAGTTGGGGCCTGAGGTGCTTACCCTTCCTTCCTAGCATCTGGGAACAGCTACCCTGCTAAAGCTCAGGAGGGAGACACAAGGGCCCCTGTGATCTGTGAAGAAGGCGGTTGAGAGTTGAGATGGCTCATTTTTTTTTATCCTGTTGCCGCTACAAGTATATGCATCTCTAATATACTGTGAGACAGAAGTGAAATCCATCTGGAAAAGGCAGCTAAAGGCTATTTCTCATGATCTTTCCTTTCCTTTCTATTCTGCCTGCGCTTCTATTCCTGCTCCCTGCTTCTTCCTTGGAAATAATCCTGTGCCACCTCCTGCCCAGTTTCTAGGCCCGCTGACTGCTTTGTGTTTCCTCCAGTGCTGCAAGATGGGCAATGACTATGGCGATCACACAAGGTCCCTGGACATTTCACCATTTATTGATCCCTGTGCCAACACTTTATTTCTTGCTGCCACCACCCAGGCCCTACCTGGTACAATACTGAGTCCAGTCAGGGTTAAATTAGAACATTTACTTCTGTTTATTTATTGCAGTTTAACAAGCATGTGGTATCATAAACGGTATTGGTCAATTACATTCATGGGGTGTCTATCCAGACCTATAACTTCCGCTACCTGCTCTCACTCATTAAACCACCTCTCAGATATTTACTTGTCTTCCTAGCTCCTAACTGTTCCTGACTCAGCTTATTTCGCTACACTAACTCAACATAACCCCACAGACTCCATCCCAATTCACTCCCACTCCAACCAACCACCCAACTGCCCCTCCCAGAGCTGGTTTTATAGTCCCACTGACTCCACCCCCCGGGGTTCTGATTGGGTAACTTGTTTAACTATTTCACCTCCAGCACTCTCATATGTTAACGTCACAATGACCCACATTGGCTCCTTCCTTCCTTTCTGGATGCAGCTGAAGAGGAAGAGGTATTAAGGGGTATTGCAAAGCTGTAAAAGAAGCCTACTGGTGCTGACTTCTGGGGAAATAAGAGTCAAGCACCCCCACCAATTGTGAAATACTGGTGAAATAAACAGCACTACGGCACGAGTAAATGATTTTTTAAAAAGACTGATGTGGGAAATAATTGGGCTTCTGCACACACAGCTATGTCATGCCTACTAGTGTCAACAGAACACAATGCAATATTCACAGGGGTCAAAGTGCAACAACATTCCCAATAATCTGGGAAATTACTTGCAGTTTTGCCTGTAGCTTACAGCGGAAGAGCAATGGGCTGGTCGGCCCTCTACACAGAAGCACAAATGGTGCATGACTAGTCAAAGAAAGTAGCTCTAAAAATGCAAAACCAATTTGTTTCATTTAAAACTGTAGGGGTTTCCCCTTTTAAAGTGGAAATCAAGAAATGTTCTTGCTTAATAGCCATCTCAGAAAAGTATTTTGAATCAGATCCACAGATCAGAAGTCCTAAGCACCTCCCACAGACAAGCCTTCTCTAGTAACATGCATTTAGTAATATCCCTGTCGCAGACTATTTTGAATTAAGATCGCAGTAAGACTTACTGAGTGGTTGGTCTTTTCCACTGTGTCCTTCTCGATTCATGGTTGACAAAGTAGGTCCTGCCAAGGACATCCTGCCTCTCTTCCCAGCCTGCGGGTAGAGAAGACTCTGGCTCCCGCAACTGGCAAGAAGCATCAGCTTGGTCCAATAAAATCCAGCCAGGCTGCAAACAACAAGAGCAGATGGTTTATGTGGTTATAACTTGCCCAGGACCTTATGTTGAAGGGCGGCTAAGAAAGCTGTATGAACAATGGCATCAACACTGCGATGGCTGCCTGAATCTTGCCTCTGCACATGCAGCCAAGTACTCAAGACAGGCCATGTTCCCATCATGAGGCATTTCTCATGCCTTCCAACCAGATACAGACACCAGAAAAGTCTATTTTCTTAAAATGCTTCTACTGTAGGTGTGAAAACACCAAACATTCTGATCCGTCATTGAAGTCAGATGGATCCTAATTGTTTTGAATGAGATACTGACAATGAATTATCAGATTATATGAAGGATTGCTGATAAGAATACATGGGTGTTATATGGGGCTTGTAACAACTCTGGTGTTGTGATGGGGTCTGCCACTCAGATATCTCAACTCACTCATTTCCCCCTCAATTAAAAATCTCATAGAAGCATAGATGATTTATAAATTGTATTTTTATTGATTCTTTTATTTTTTAAAGATTGTATTTTGTGGAATGCAACATAATAAATAAAAGAGGCAATAAAAATACAATCAGAAATCAATATAAATATTTAACACAATGGATGAACTGCCTCCCACCTTCAACTGCAAATTCACAGGCATGCCACAGACCATTTGAATGAAGTTTGGAAACCCCTATTCAAGAACTGCTGCTGATCCAATTTCAGCGGGTGCTAATCTTGTGGCACATACTCAGTAGAGACCCCTTCTCAACATGGCCAGAGGCTGAATTCATTCTGATGACTAAAGTCACCTGAAACCCATGTGCTGGCTGAATTCATCATACCAGATCAGGCCACATTTCACACCAAAGACCAAACCACTCACCTCTAGCTCTTCTGCCTGTTCTGTGCCATCTTCCTCAGATCCATTGTTTTTAGGTATGTAGGTCATTTTTAACCTGAGATGCCCCTTCACTCTGGATTTATGGCTGCAGCAGAGGGGGGTGGGATTGTAAAAGTTTGTGAGCCTGTTAAAATGCCAACACTTGCAAACATTTCTAAATAGTGCCTGGCTCATGCTGGACTAGTAGCCATTACCTCATCTACCCACCCAGGCTGCCTCCTATTTTTTCATCCTATTCCTGCAGCTGGAAGCCCACCAGAAGATGGCCTTAACACTGGATCAGACCAAAGGCCTACCTGGCCGGCTCTCACAGATGCTTATGAGAAACCCACAACCAGGAACCCTGTGCAATGGCATTCTCCCACTTACAATCCCCAACAATTGGTAGCCAGAGGTATACTGCTTCTGATACATAGCCGTATCCCTCCTCCATGAATATGTCTAATCCTCTTGTACAGCAGTCCAAGTTCATGGCCATCATGCCATCTAGGATCAGTGGAGTCCATTTTAACCATGCACTGTGTGAAGGAAGCTTTCTTTTTGTCTGTCCTGAAATGCCTCGCCATTCACTTTCATTGGACAGGATATTTGGGCCAGACAAAAGGAATTGCTGCTGCTTCTTCACACATTGCAAAGCTAAGCTTGGATTTTATTGCCACAGGATGCAGCAGCGGCAACCAAACTTGTACAGCTCTATGAAGTGATTAATCACATCCATGGAGGAGGATAAGGCCATCAATTGGTGCTACTCATGATGGGTGTGTGGTTCCCTATGAATACCAGTTGACACAAGACTGCTATTGCACTTGTAGGTTTCCCAGAGGTACCCGGCTGGCCACAGGACAACGGAAGGACATGTTTCCTGAAGAAAGGTCATTCCCACCAAGAATGAGAGAGAACACGCTCATGCTAATGTACAGTGCAGATCAGGGTGTTCAGTGCTTTCCAGGTATGATGTTTACTGACCTCCTTGGATGAAGAAGAAAATCCTTAAACGTATATGGTCTCTCAGTAGTTGGATTCTCTGTCTGAAATGAAACAACAGTTTCAGGTTTTTCTTCACCCAAGCAAATAATACCGATGCTTTCCTCCATTGAGAAAAGAATTTATAGAGTGTTCACTTCTCCAAAGAACATCCTGTTTTACAGCAGCAACAGTCCATGCTCATCGCAATGGAAAAGATGTTGAGCCACAGCTCCACCCTGCCAGAGGTGTCTCTCTTTAAGATATCTGCCTTCTGTAGCCCTCACACTTTTTAAGTAGGGATGTCATGTCTTCCTCACTACTTTTGAATCCAGGAGCTGAGCCATTTTTTAAGATATCCTGTCTGTTGGGACAGTGGTCCAAGAGGGAGATAACCAAAGCATGTACCTCTCTGGCGAGACAGGGCACAGCAGGTTACACAGGATAATCAAGTTCAGTTTACCTGCTGCTGCAAATGCTTTCTGTCAAAGGTACCACCTACCCAGGACAATCTCTCTCTCTCTTCAAAAAATAGACAAAAAGGTACTAAAAAGACACAGAGGAATTTTGAACTGAAGAGCAAAAGATTATTTTTAAACAAATACAAACCGGCAGTTGACAGAGAGGCACATCTACTTGGCCAAGAAAATCATCTCTTGTCTAGGAAGAGAAAAAACAATTAATGGCATGCAACCTTTAAGAAAAGGTTCTGTCTGAGCAAAAGCCCCCCACCCCCCAAAATGTGTTGTGTGTTCTCGAGGCAGGTCCACACAGAGAACAAAGGCATCAGCCACCAAGAATAATGGAAGAAAGTTTATAAATAGACATTTGTTCTGATTTACTCAAAAGTAAACCGTTCTTAATCTGAGGTACCACTTTAGCTAATGGGGCCTTCTGCTGCCATTGTGCCGCCGCCACGCGATTTCTGTTCTCATCCTGAGGTAAAGTTCTTAACCTGGGGTACTACTTCCGGGTTAGCGGAGTCTGTAACCCGAAATGTTTGTAACCCGAGGTGTTTGTAACCCGAGGTACCACTGTACTCACATTTTGCTTTTATTGCCTGGGTCCAAATAGCATTTTTCTTTTTTAACATTTCAGAGCTGACCCAACTAAAAGATGAATGTGCCCACTGGCATATCTCAAAACTGTTAGAGATACTGTACAAACAAGTTTACCTTTCTTAACCCATGACCAGGGACTAGTTGGGCGAGATGGTGATTTGGGTATCCTGGTCCTCAGATATATACACACACAATAAGACTGCATTGCCAAATACTTGTCACTTGTCCACCTAGGGGAAAGCTGGAGCTTCTGTTTCTCATACTCTCTATTTAATAGCCCAAGGTTATTAAAAATTATTTAGAATTTATACAGATGTCAAGTGCCCCATCTTTTATACTGGAATCTAATGCTGTTTTAATGGGGCTCAAAACATAGACCTCTAGAGGGAAACACAATATATATCCCAGGATACACTTTCCCCCTTAGGCTACGGATTCTTAGTGCCTGTGTTTCCAAGGGACCTTCTGCTTGCCATGGACAAGGTCAGACACTTGACTATGCTTGTCTTGAAGAGTTAAACAGCTCTCTTGTCTCTAGCAAGGTCTGAGAACTTCACCACCACTTCAGTCTCCTCTCTCTCCCCCTCCGCCCCGGCACCACTTCAAGTTCCTCCCATATTTCATAATTTGCTTCAGTTCTTATTTCATTCTGGCAGCTACAAATAATATGAGATAATTTTTTTCAGGCCAGTAAGATGCATGCTGAAGTTTGTACAAAAACACACACTCCTGCAGTGAGCACAGAAATACCAGGAACAGTTTGTGAGTAATTGTGCTAGGTACTTGCTAGGTTTCCTTTTGGTAAAGAATACAGTTAATCCTTGCAGAGGATAGGAAGCAAAGAGTTCTTGATATATCACTGGATGTACTCCAGAAGAAAGAGATGTCCACATGCCAAGGAGGCTTTGGTTTAAATTAGACACCCTGCAGAGGAAATTCATCCCCTCAGAGTCAGGACACTGGATAAACATTTGTGCAGGGACACCAATAACTTTATGCAACTTCACAGGTTCTTCTCAATCAGGTACAAGTTTTCAGAAGCACCTGGGAGGATATAGGTGACAGGAATTAAGGGGGCACAAGGCTCTCAAGATCCTGAGCCAAGGTCCAGAAGGTTACGGAATGATAACAGTAGACTTCCGGGGAGGTGCCTCCGGTAATGGCGGAATTCCTCTGACTGGGAGGAATCTGCTCCGTGGGAATCTGGGTCTGGCCGCCACGGTGAAGGCGGAGACCCGTTAAAATCACAGGCGGGAGAAGCCTGTGAGCGTGGGATTCGGCGGGCACCTTTTGCGCCTCCCCCACTCGCGGGGAACCCCGGTTTTTGGGGCTCCGGAGCGACGTGGGGTGAGCGGCGCAGTGCATCGAATCGTCTGCTTCTTCCACGGAGCGAAGCCGCATAGCTGTTGCCGGAGAGCGCTGACCTTTTCCTGTGGACAATTTGACTTTAAAGTAATTACCCGTGAGTAGAGCTGAAGTGGAAGAATTGGATTTCTAAATGTTTAATTTGGTACCGTAACGGGGAGGTTCAAAACAGGAAGTCCGCCTTCCCCTTTTGTAAATAGACTGAGGCAATGAAGTTGCAAGCTGGAGTCCTGGAAAGCCTTTCGTAAAAGATTAAATTTCCATCAGGAAAGAACATTAAACCCCCTCTTGGAGGCAGGAAAAGAGAGGGGGAAGTTGCGGATTGAGTATGCCTGTGGGAGAGAGTGAAGAGATTTAAAACACTGCCGCTCTGACCCTGGAAACGGGCTGCTAGCAGGACTGACGTCTTTTGGAATGTTCATTGACAGCGTTTAGAACGTTCATTGACAGCTAGTTAAACAAGAGAAATACATTGTTTCTACTGTCTCCAGCTGCTTTAAAAAGGAGTAAAAGTAACTGAAAATTGAAACTAATTGGAAACTAATTTTGGATTGTTTAAAAGAGGATACTATTGACTATTACAAATAGAAACTGTTTCCCCCTAGTGGAAGCCTTTGAAACCGGTTGTTTTACAAGAGCTGGGCTAGGGGAATTTCCAGCTGCAAGTTAAAAATCGTGAGACTCTGGGACTGACCTTGAATCCTTTAAGTGTTATGGTAAATGGAAGAGGAAAAACAGACTAGTCAACTGCTGACAAAACATTAAGGTCTGGGAGGACTTGGCAACAATCCAGAAGAGGTCCATCATCAGGCCCCTCCGCTCCTTCTGTTGCTGCCTTTGTACCAGTATATTTAAAACCAAGAGGAATGTCGACAGAAGAGGCTTTAGTGGCTGCATTATATAAGATAAATGACTCATTGGATCAGCTTAACAGGAAAATGGACACGATAAATGCGAAAGTGGATGTTTCAATTACTAGTATTAACCTAAATACAGAAAGTAAAAATAATACCAATATAGAAACCACCCAGAAATTGATACAGGAACCTACTTTGATACGGCAAACTGCGGAGGAAGCCAGGGAAAAAGCTGTTGTTGCTGAATGTAAAGTAACACAACTGGAGAGAAAGAGAAAGAGAGCCCCAGCCCTACAGAAGCAATTTGATGAACATAAGTTGACACGTGCTATGACTGAACTTAAAGAACTTAAAGAAAAACAGACGAATTTGAGGATTAGAGTTCACCTTTGGTGGACATGCCCAAGGATTAAGAAACTTTGGGAGATGATTCATAACGAAATGAAAAAGGTATTTAAATATACCCTTTTGAAGAAACCAGAGGCCTTTCTCCTGGGCATGGTCGGCCAATTGGTGTTAAAGAAGGATAGAACTTTTTTCACGTATGTAACAATAGCAGCAAGAATACTCATTGTGAAGTACTGGAAGACACAAGATTTATCTATTCGGGAAGAATGGCAGATGAAGTTGATGGACTATATGGAATTGGCGGAAACGACTGGCAGAAATCCGAGACCAGGGAGAAGAGTTGGTGGAAGAAGACTGGAAAAAGTTTAGGACTATTTATAGAAATACTGTAAAAATAATGAATGTTAGAAAAATGTTGGAATGAAGTTATATGGCTCTAGTAGAAATGCTATAAGGAATCAAGTATAAATAGATTAACAGAGTATTAAAGGGAAAAATAAGGTTAGAATATGTTAAGATAATTATAGGATAGAAAACAGAGGAAGATGGAAAGGAATTGCTGAAACAATTAACAGGAGTGGAATACAAAAAGGGAGGTGTGAGGAGGTCGTGGAAATAAGGGAATGAAAGATAAGATATTGAAATTGTTTTGTGTTTTAAATGGTTTGTGTCTTATTTTGTTATGCTTTTTTTGTTGCTTTTTCTGTTTTGTTGTGTTTAAATGGTTGAAAAATTAATAAATATTATTTTTTTAAAAAACAGAATGAGAACAGTAAAGGCAACGGATAAGTAACAGGCAAAACCTAGTCATATTTACTTGCAAGTCAGTCCTAGAAAGATCATTGTGAAGAAATAGAATGCAATAATTTGCATGACTTGAAAATGGAAGTTATTTGTAAAAAAATGTATTACACAGAGAAAGCCAAACATCAGCTTTAGTATTACCAGAAAATCAGAGTTGTGCTGCTGAAGTAAGTTACAGGGCCTGCCTATCAACAGTTTACTAAAAAATGCCAAGAATATATCACACCTTGTTTTGTTTAACCTTGGTTTGGGGACACCAGTCCACAACAGTGGAGGTGGGGAAAGACTGGCAAGACAGGGCCTCAGAATATTCTTCTTACCATCTCAGTTTCACTGCATTATATATTGGAATGTTATATATAACATTCCAAAAAGACCAATCCTGTAAGATGCTTATCTGTTTGGAGCTGGACGTCCTTACCACAGAGTATTTACTAACATCTGCAAAGGCCAGGATGAAACATCTAGATTTTGTAGCATTGACACTAACAGCCTGTATAACTGCTAGCCTTCTGGGACATGCAAATACGAGGGCATTTGACAAGATGGTTGGGGACAAAGATTCCAAAGAAACTGATTCAGGGTCACATAGGGGCACAGAGCAAGTTTAGGCCCTTTCAGCAGCATGCTCAATGACAAGCCTAACAGGTACAGGACCTTACAGCCCAGGGGCTTTCTAGTTATCAGATGTCTTATTGATCAACAGCAGCACTGGGCTAGAAGCCTCAGTAGCCAAATGACCAGTTATCTGCAAAATGGGGTCAGTAGAGCCAAAGGTCTGGTGCCACATTCCCCCTCTATTTTTCTGTTCGCCATAACATATCTTCCCTCCCAGAAATAACTTGTTATAGGATACCGATTCCCCCCCATGTCACCCCAGCATGCTTATTCCAACACAACCCACCACACTCATCCTGTGCTCACATCACAAATTCCCCGTTATCCAAGTGTGTAACCGGGAACAGCTGATCTAAGCTCTCACCAAAGCAGCTGTTCCCCCCAGCACTCCTCCTCTCCCTGAGGCTAAGTTGAAAACTCACCCCACACACTCCGTTACGTCTGTTTCTCACTCAAGAGTTACCCAACCTCTCAAAAAAAATGTATCTCAGAATGTGAGGTCTATGACTTCACTGCTGCCCAAAGGAGTAACTCAACCCAAAGGGACAATTTTCTTTGGTGCCTTCCTTTTGGTGTCCCCTGCTGGGGTGACTTGCTGTGCCTTGTTAATGTATATTTTATAAAATTGTGGACCAATCAGTTTGATATGGGCCAGCTGTTCCCAGCGTTCTCTTCTGCTCCCCAGGGTTATTGCAGCATGTGATACCAGCAACAGGCCAAGACAAGCACGGTACTGGCAAACGGTGTGTGTATGTGTAAGGTGGAAACTATCAAATACACACCCCGCACAAAAAACCCCTTCCCATTCTCCTCTCCACCTGGCAAAACTCTAGCTGTATCCTTCATGTGTGGCTTGTTCCCTCTCCCAAACTTTTCAAGTCAAAGCTCCAGGAGCCGACAGCAAAACAATGCTCCTCACTAAGTACTGCACAGAAACCTTACAAAAATGCTGTGGAATATGGAGAACGGGAAGCTTAACTCTCAGCAAGTAGACCTACAGAGCAGGCAGGCAAGAGGCCTTTTGCTGCTGCTGCAGACACTGAAGTCTGAAACCCAAGCACAAATTTAATTTCATGACACTCGGCACAGATAGCTGACATTACTAAATGTGACTCCAATATCATCCTGTTAAATTGGAAATGAGACTCAGCATATCGTTATACTAGGCCAGACTAACTGGAGTCAAGGAAGTATTTTCAGGACTGTTAATTTTAAAATGAATCACAATACAGAACTATAATTAGAGACGACACTTATATTTAACAAAATTGTTTGGGAAGGCTACTTTTCCAACAGTGCTTATTTAACACAGAAGTCCTTCAGCTGCAACTTAATAAGAATGTGGTCATACAGCACTGTTTCAAATTTCTTTTTTGGCTACCCAAATTTAAGAGTAGGGAACATGTGGCCCTCCAGATGTTGATGAACTCTAACTCCCAGCAGCCTGCGTGGCCCCTGGTGAGGGCAGATGATGGGAGTTACAGGTGAACAACTTCTGAAGGGCCATAGGCTTTAAAGCAGTGCTTCCCAAACTTGAGTCTCCGACTGTTTTCAGTCTACGGTTTCCATCATCCGTGACCACTGGTCTTGCTAGCTAGGGATGCTGGGAGTTGTAGTCAAAAACAGCTGGAGACCCAAGTTTGGGAATCACTGCATTAAAGGGTTCTTTTCACATTGCCCAGTTAATGAAGCACCAATTTGACTTGAGACCCAGATCCAAGCAGTCTTTATGCAAGTATGGATATATTTTGCATAAGTGCACAAGCTCTTGTTGAAACACAGTCTGGCATCAAAACCATATTTGACTACTGTTACTAATGCTCTGCATTTCATGTCAGATTTTAAATCTGTCTCTAGATGAACTACTATCACAGCAGCAAGACATCCTAACAAATTATCTTAAAATGTTTTCACAGCTGCTATTTATACAAGATTAGGGTATCAGGAAAAAAACTGTTTGCCCTGAAATTAATTTCCAGAATTATATGAATTGAAGCCAACAATCTCTTCTGCTGTGATTGCACAATTAGTGCCATATGAGAACTCCTTAACAACCAGCTGCTAAAAGAATGTGCTGCTGATCGATTGGGCATTTCCCGCCTCTCATGCCACACCAGTCTGCAAAGCTCACAGTTCATTCAGCAAGTAGCATTACTAAAATAGCAATCTGTGGAAGCGGGGGGGGGGGGGAGTTATGCCCCTTTTCTGATCCAGAGTACACTTCTAGGCCGAAGGTTGCTAAATTGTTTTTTAAAATATTTATATCTTCTGACATTCAGCCCTATCTTCTCCTGAGACCTGAGACAGCTATTTTTAAAACACAACTATGAAACAAAACTCACTAAAATTCAGTTAAGTAACAAGCACCTTGCTTCCCCCTTTCTGTTAAATATGTGTAACTTGTTAAGAGTTTTAAAGTAAAATGAAGATTGATGAGCAGAATATAACATGCTATGTGCTCCCTTGAGGTCTGAAGGCTTATTATAAAACTGATAGTGGAAATCAGTTTAAACTTTTTAGGTACAGAGAGTAGCGACAGTCATAGGAAGGGAACCCAAGTACAGTAAAGTCACTGCAAAACCAGTAATTAATAACATACAGCTAAAACCAGATTGCCAATTTTAAACACACGTGTGTTTCACTGTAGTGATCTATTAATTATAATACAATAAAAAAGGCTTTAAAATATGTTCCACAGACGTTTAGCCCCATTTTAGTGTACATAAAAACCATCACATGCAAGAGATCACTCTTTTTGGAGCTAGGGACTCACCTCAAGAGGTTTCCTCAAAGTACTCCTTTGAACTCCACTAGGCTTCCCCTCTCTCTCGGATCCAAACTGTATGTGTAAATGTGACGTTCCTGCCTTGGAACTGTATTTAAAACTGGATAGAAATGAAGGCTGGGATGATCCCAGTGAGAGGCTCCTCTGTAGGCCATGATGGGGCTTGCTCCTCCACGCAGATGATCTTTCTTCAGTTCCTATGCTAGCATGATCCTCCAAATTCGAGGGCAAACAGGCAGATGCTGTATGTCTGACTCTTCGATTAGGGTAGGCTGCTATGGAGGGTCCGCTGGAAGAGGACACGGTGTCACCCTTCGGTGCTCGTGCTCCATGGGAGAGGTGAAATGAAATACAAGAACCTCCATTTGGTATTTCCTCACAGGTGCCTTGCTCACAGCAAGTTCTCTCCCACAGTGAGCTATTCAAATGCAGTTGCCTAACATCCCTACTTTCATTAGGAAAACAAGAACCTTTAGAAAGCCGAAATCCATTGACTACAGTAGAGAGGGACCCCCCGGACACGGCCTTGTCTTCACTTTGCACCTGCTCACTATGAGACACTTGAGAGGGTCGCCGAGTTGGCGGAGGAGACGCTGGAGACATTGGCGGCGTATCTGAAGGACTCCTTGGGAAAATGACCAGAGAAGAGCAGCGTCGTAAGGAAACATTTGTCTCTCTCGCTGATGGCAGCTTTGTTGCCCTCTCAGCTTGCTCTGGGTCTTCTTGGTCAAAAATATTTCTGCTTACACTATTCTGCGCAGTGCTGCTCCTGTGGGGAGTGGAGGATTTGTGGTTGGTGCTTCGACCTGCAGAGCTGCCAGAGACCATGTTACCAGAAAAAAGACAGGCATCTCCAGCAGAAAAGGGGCAGCTACTGCTGTCACTGATGATGCTACTGCTATATGACCCGCCATCACTTGTGGTACTTGTGCACGACCCATAGTCACTCCCTGCGCTGCTGTAGGCTCCTTTGTCACTGGCTGAGAAACTACTGGGAACCCCAAACGCTGCAGTATCAGCCAGACCGCTGCCATTTGTTAGCTGGTGAGACTGACTGACAGTCGCATTCCTGTTACAACAGTCCCCTTTCTTCCTTAGGCTGACCAGGGAAGTATGGTCTTCCAAGGCCACGGGCTGCAAACATCCATTGCCTCTAGAAGTCTGCAAGGAAATCTTCAGCGAAGCACTCCGCTTGGGTTTTCGGGACGAAACTGGCAGTTTGTTTTCTTCCTGCATTTGATTGGGATTCCGCTTCATTTCAACAACGTAAGGGGCAGCATTCGACTCAGGACTTTGGGTGTACATGCGAGTATCTTCTTTATACCAGCCATCTCCAAGGGTCTCTAATAACGGATCCGTGTGACTCCTTTCAGCTGCAAAATGCAGCCTCAACTGCCTTGCCATTTGTCCTCATTTCCAAAGATAAAGGTCAGAGAGTTTTTTCTTCTTCTTAAGTGGAAAGCAGCTGCCCACAATCACTTGCTAGTTAATCTTCAGTATAACAGATGAAGACCACAGAAATGCAGGTAGCTGTTAGCCAGAGTGCCTTCTGAATTTAGCAAGTCATTCCTGCCACACTACCGTCTCTGGCCTGCCCAGGGTTGCTTGTTGTGAAGAGCACATTCACTCACAAAACGCTTAGTGCCAAGCGACCTTTAAAGCTCAACTCAGCTGCAGTGGACCAACACTGGAAGCCTTGTCTGAATTCTACCCTTCCATGGCAAATTAATTCAACAGCAGTTCTTCCTACAGATTCCCCCGGCTGCCCTGGCTGAATCTGGGTCTGTGCTTTCTTTAGCAGTGTATGACCACTAATATTTTTACCCAGCGGTGTAGAGTTACAGGAAGTTGGTAGGAACCAAGTTCCACATAATTATCAAATCTAGGATTCCCTGTTGAAAGATCAATAGTGCTAGTAACTGGATAAGAGTATGCCCTGCATAAAGTAGCAAGGAACTTCAGTTTGAGAGAAGTTCTTACTGCATACATTTAATTTAAAGGCAGCTACTGAGAAAAACAGCCCTTTCATATTTGAAGGAGGTGGGCAAGCTTAATGATGAGAAGCAACTGAACAGATGAAAAACCATGGGTGGGTCCCCAAGAAACCAGCATATTTTGGAAGGGCTAGCACTATTTTTTTTACACTCTGCCCATACTTTTATAGCTTAACATTTGCAGACTGTTTGTACAATTAGCTGGTGCTTGAGCTCTGAGAGAAACAGATATTTTTTATACAAGGTGTGGAAAAACATTCCCTTCGTAGACAGATATAATTGTAATAAGAGTTCCATTTAGAAATCTGTTGAAAGCAAATTTCAGTATTCCAACATTACGGTCTGGAACCAAACCAAACAATTCTCCTAGCTGCTTATGAAACCAAGGCATTCAATACCATTTCTGCTGTAACACCACCAAAACAAGCAGTTCCTCTATTAAGAGCACATTCACAGTGGTAGAAATCAAATGGGAGTATACCGGAGATCTGCTTGAAATGTTAACTTTCATGACTGTCATTTACGTCTTGCCTTTTCTCTTTTGTGCTGCTGCCACCGCTGCTCCTAAGTCAGATTCTTTCCTGGCACCTAGTGGCACTTTGAGGAAAATGCACTGCTCCAACATCTATGCTAGCCAGCAAACATTCATCCAGTTACAGACATCTTTAAACACCCAGAAGTTACACACTACACACTTCTGAATCCCACCACAGCAACACAGAATTAAACTGCAGGCAGCAGAGAACACTGCACCATTTATTCCTGTGTAAATCACATGACTGAATATTTTCTGTTAGGTATTTATTTAACCTTTACTACATTTTCAGGGAGTTTTCCATTAAAGCCAGCATTTTACATTCTCTGTGAGGAAGAGAAACAGTTTTCAAAAATCCTGTGCTAGAGCCAATTTAATTCTTAGCTGGGTCTTGTGAGTGAAAAGAATAGAGTATGCCAAATGGAAAAAGCAACAGAAGTTAGCTGGTTGTGACAGTTTCCACTAACAAGGTCTTATTAGGTCTCTGTTTTCTCCTAGAACATGGATGGAGGGCCACAACTCATCCTTGGCCACTGGCTATGTTGGTTGAGGGAGTCAGACTGATGGGAGACCAACAACATGGGTCAGTGTGTCTGGCTGTTAACCAGAAGGCTGGTGGTTCAAGCCCACCCAGGGATGGCTGTGGGCAGGATTTCTGCATTGCAGGGGGTTGGACTAAATGACCCTCAGAGTCCCTTCAAACTCTACAACATCTGGAGGGCCACAGGTTGCCCACCGCTTCTCTAGTACTCTCAGCTGCCCAGAGGTTCCTTGTTCAGAGCATCACACAATACATATATCTTTCCATGAAATCAGTTCCAGTGTTGCCTTCACCAGCATGGTATCAATTCCCCATTAAAGCTCCCTTCTCCTTTTAAATCTGGCTACCAGGCCACACCACAGATCTGAAAGTGTTTGGACAACTAGTGAGTCTACTACAAGTAGTGAAATGTGGAACATTTCAAAAAAAAATGTAAATAACCCCAAAAGTGCAGGGATTGGCTTGCATGTCACAGTGCCACGGTTGGCAACAAATCCAAAACACATCACAAGAAAATGTACAGGATTCCGATTTTGTTCCCAAACAACAAAAAGTCCACCTACCAAGCGGTTTTCATCGAACACTTCAAAGAGGAATCTGTGCTTCTGAGGATTGACCTAGGAGAAACAGTTAACGTCTGGTGAGTTGGCTTGGTAGGAAAGGAGCTTTAGAAAGTACAACGTTGCTTTCTATTACACCACGTAACTTTAAAGGGCATTAATCACAACAGACTTATGCTGGATTACAATGCTCAGTCGTCACTTCAACATGCAACAAGGTTCACTTACTCTAAAGAAAAACTCTTCATTCCACTTTGGATTCAACGTCTGCAAGTAAAGAAAGAGTAAATTACTACAAGACAAACGCAGCTGCCTTTTCTCACTTGGCCCTTATAGCCCAGAAATACCTACCTAGCTCTGCCTCTGCCAACCTGGTACCCCTCCAAATGTTTTGGATGCCATCAGCCATTTAGGACAGTTGGTTCCCTCACAAACATGCGATCTGACTTTTGGATTTGTAGCCCCAAACATCTGAAGGACATCAGGTTGGTCTACCTGAAAATAATTTCCCACGATCTCAGGCAAAGGTCTTTGATGGCTCTGCTACTACAAATACAGACCAGCATTAGCATCAGAGTATGCAGTTGCCGATGGAAAGGCATCGCCAGCAAGGAAAAAGCATTCAGAACTAGATAGCATCACCCCAGCTGCAAGGAGAGCTGATACAGCTGCAACAGACACCTGAGTGCTTCATTTCAGCCTCTGGCCCTCAAAGCGCCCCAGTGTCACGAAGCACATTCACTTTGAACTGCCTCGAAGAGATGAACAAAACTGTGGATCTGACAAGCTGTACTAAACACAGACCTGACATACTGTCTTAGTTAGGTGCCTACCGAGAACTAAAAATAGCTGACTTCCACAATTTCCCTTCAATAATGCACACTGTCTTATTTGAGAACTTTGCACTGAACGTCAGCTAACCTTTATGCCTATGAGCAGACCAAACAGGAAGGAAGGCTGGCCAACCGCACCTATATCCTTTGACCCTTGCAAGGAAAAGAACTTGGAAAGAATGCTGTGGTTCCAGAGGAGTCCATCCTTCCATGGGGGTTTATAAATGTATTTATTCTCTGCCATTCAGTTTCCCCCAGTATCTTATTTGGCACAGACCCATTCCGAAGTTGCAAGTACAATTTTTTGGTACTAGGAGATGTGCATTTACAAATCAGCAACTCCAGAGGATATCAACTGCATCTGCAAATGGCAGATTAGAAAAAAGCATCAAAACAACCAAGAGAACTGGCCAGGGAACAGGGTGGGCAGGAGGAGGAGCTCTCACTCTCTTCTCTATCCACAAGTACATCCCAAAGGCTCCTGCTGAGTGAGGCGGGCTGAGCTGCTAAAGCAAGATAAGAGGAAACCTGGTCCTTCTCCCTCAGAGCCCATCCATTCAGAAGGACCTCCCAACCCTTGCAGGAAGGGAAACTCCTTGGTTTTTTTGAGGGAGGAGGGTGCCAGGAAGAGGAGCGGGTGGGAAAGTCACCTTCTATAGGCAGATCTCAACATCTATGTTTCTGTGGCTAAAATGTAAGTAGACAACATAGTTCATTATGTTTTGTTAAAAAGATTCCCAGAGACAGATTCTGGAGGAGTCCAATTAGTAGCAATGGGTTGCTATCAGACTCTGGTACAGTTTTTCTGGTCTGATTTAGGAAAAACACATCTCTTACATAGTTACTATGTTTGCAGTAGCTGTTGAAAAAATCCACAAGGAACCATCAAGTGTCACACCAAGTTGGAGGTGGCCATCTTACAAGGGTATGTTGTTCTGCTTATATCCTGCTGCTATTTTGCATTGGTAACTACTGCATCTTACACCTATTTGAGCTTCAACAAGTAAATGTCTACTTTCAAGTCACTTGCTTGATTTTGCACCTATTCATTATGCAAAGAAAGTGCAAAGTCTAACCTTTTTAACAGTTTTTGTTTGAACACTGGTAAGGATTCCATTTGCTGAATCATATACTGTCACTTTCACATAGGGATCACTGTACAAAATACAAGCACAAACGGTTAAAATAGGATTACTTGTCTGCAAGAGATATGGGCATCACAACCCCTTTAAAGAGACCTACCTTGGTCTATATTGCTAAATTCTGTCAATCCATCCATGCCAAAATGTCACTAATACTCTCCCACACACCCAAAAGTTTTGTTTTTTCACTATCAAGAGATAAGGGGATAAATTAAGCCAACATTCTCCTTGGTTCATACATGGCCATTTTGCAGCTGACCTTAAGCTAGCAGAGAAGAGGAGGAATATATTTAGTAGTATATTTTAGAATTGAAAACAAGTGCCCCAGAAGTCTCAATTCTCAGCAAGTGCCTCTCTTTGGAATGAGATTCATGGCAGAACAGGGATTTGAATCAAGGTTTCCCAAAACTCAGGTCAGTCCAGATCTCTACAGCTTACCTTCTCTAACCTCTTATAACATTTGCCGGGGGTGGGGTGGACTGAACATGACATAATTTCCTGCATTCAGTCTCGTATGCATTGTAGAATCTGGGATCCCACATAGGAGTCAAATCATTTTCTCATTACTCCTGTACAACCTTGAATCATCAAGAGGTTGAGCAAGGAGCCCTGGAACAAGCATGACTAACACTCCACTTAATAGTGGCACTGAAAAAGTAAGTTTAAGAGATTTTTCAGAAGGGACAGTGCATGATTTCCTCCTCCCTTCCTCTTTGTAGAGAGAACTGGATGCTTACCTTGTTCCTAGGAGATCCTTCTTGGCCAGGCCAATTCCAGCTATCACCTTCAGCCTCACTATCCGCAGGTTTTCCTGAAACAGAAGTAGTTTTACTTCCATTTAGCTTCTGGCCAAGCTGCAAGATGACTGTGCAGTTTAAGAACCACCCCACAATTGATTCCACAATATGAAAGTGAGTACACATTTAACTTCTCAATAGCTTTTGATACCATCTACTACAGTAGGTACAGCCAGGGTACTGATGGGAGCAGCTGATTGGTCACATTTAACTCCTGTTCTTAAACAGCTGCACCAGTTACCTGTTATCTTCCAAGCCTAAGTCCAGGTGCTTAGGTTGACATTTAGAATCCTGGGTTCCAAATATCTGAGCAAACACCTTCTTCCATAGCAGCCTGCCTAAGTATTTAAGGTCAGTGAAAGAGGCTGTCCTGGTTGTTCCTGCATTAAATGGGGTGTGCAGTGCCGGGACCTACAGAAGAGCCTTTTCGGTGGTGGCTCTGCATCTATGGAATGACTTTCCCACTGAGGTGCATCTCAGCCCAACTTTGTGCTCTTTCAGATGCTAGGTAAACCTGCTTTTTCACCAGGCTTGATTATTTAGGAGAATAATTGTAATGCTTTTATTATCATTTTATTTTACCTTAATTTATGTAAACTACTACTACTACTACTACTATCTACTACTATCTCTGACTGATCAGTTTTTGGGGGCAGGGGGGAAGTCAAAGCCCTGGGAAGCTTATTACTCTAGTTGAGTCTGTCAAGAAAATGATGGTTAGAAAATGAAAACAATTTTAATTAAAATATTTCTATCTCCCTTCTCTTTTCAAAAGAAACTAAAGGCAGTTAATAATTAAACACAATCCTTGGACCTTCCAGTTAAGATGGCACATTAGGTAGAGGCTGGTTTGTGTGCACCAAGCCCATCTTTTCCAAATCCCAAACCATATTTCTTAGAAGCTCACTTATTTCAATTTCATTTTGTTTGGCTTGGTTAGATGTGGGGCATCCCCAGGCACCCGTGTGACATCGCAGGCCAAAGTTTTCTCCTGGCAAAAAGCTATGCTTCCTTCTCTTTCCCGGTGCCAGGCAAGGCAGCCAAAGCAACACCCTCTCAACCACACAAGGGAATACCAGAGCATCCTGCTTTCTTTATGAAAGGGTCAGGCTGTGCTGACAGGGAAGACAGTTACCCTGCTGCTCATCAGGCTCCTCCACGTGCTCTCTGCTCCTTAAGCGGCAGGGTGGAAGGGGCTCAGCGGCCAGCAAGGAACCTGGGCTGCTGCTGTTCACCATCTTCTGATCTGCACTCATAACACTTGAATATGCCTACATGCCATCCTTCCTCAACCAGTGGCCCTCCAGGTGGTTTTGGACTCCCCAACTTCCATCAGTCCCAGCCAGCATGGATTAACAGTCAGGGATGATATGAGTTGTAAGCTCCCAAATTCACGAGGGCTGATTTACATAATGTATAGCAGTAGATTTTACATCAGCCCTTGACTATCCACAGCCACTTCACAATTAAGATGCTTCAGTCTTCCTGCAGCACAAATGAGTATGTACCAGGTAGGAAAGTACTTGCAGTAACCATTTAGATGAAGCAGCACAATACCCGGTCAATAAAACCCAGGTTGTCTCTTTTCCCAATTGCCATCAGCAGCACACAGACCTGAAGTGGTCTGAACGGTTAAGTTATACAATATCTACTTTCGTCTTTGCGATGGTGATTACTGTAGTTATCTCCCAAATTATGGGAAACTGCTCCCTCTAGGGTACAAATTGTGCACCTAAGGCTTGAGGAAATAGAAAGCAAAGCAATGTAAATATTGCTTTCAAGCTCCCCACCCCACGTAATTAATTAATAAATTATTATTATTTACGCTTCGCCCATCTGGCTGGGTTCCCGCAGCCACATCTTGCTACCACAACCCCAAGGGCAACTGGGGTAAGGAAGAAAAGCTTCACAGAGCATAAAAACTTCCCCATTTCTAGAATGTCTCCCAGGGAGTACTCAGTTATCCTGCCCCGAAGACAGATGTTGTCGCAGGGATGGGGAACATCTGGCCCTCGTCCAGATGCTTCTGAACTACCACCCCCATTATCCCTGACCATGGGCCATGCTGCCTGCTGGGAAGTGCAGCAAAATCTAGAGCTTATCCACCCCAGGCTATTGTTTGAGTTCATGATCCCAATTACATTAAGGCATCCTAGCCGGGACCCCCCCACCCCGCCAACTGTGCTGCCTGGGACCGATGGGAACTGGAATCCAAAACATCAGGAGGACACCAGGTTGGAGAAAGCTGTTTTTCACAATGGAACCTGTTGCAAAGGTTGCTCAACTAACACTTGGGGTACTTCCAGACAGGTGTTTATTACGGGACGAGGACTTGCTCATGCAAATTTCTTTCAACATTCACACAATGTTTTTGTCATGTAATTCCAGCCTGTATCTCTCCCCTAACCCTAACTCTAACCCTAACCCAACTTTAATCCAGATTTTTTATTTCCCATGGAAATCCAGTAAGATAAAAAACAACAACACATAAACAATTTGTTAGCAATTTTTCAATAACCTGCATGGAAATTAAGCAGTGTATGACCACTCTCACAAAAACTCTCTCAAAATGGTCTTCTTCAGAAAGGCAAAAACACACAGGGTATTAAGAGGGGGGAGATGGAAGACAAGGTCCTGGTCTCCAAGCCTATGTTCCTTGGTGCACAGCAGGACAAAGCTCACCAAGAATAAAGGAACCCACTATGGATCCTTTTTCCCTTCCACAGTTTCCCAGTGCCTCAATCCCTTTTCAGGAAAGCAAGAAATAATAACAGAATTGTAGAGTTGGAAGGGATCACGATGGTCATCTAGTCCAACCCCCTACAATGCAGGGGCTCGAACCCACAACCCTGAGTCTCATACTCTACCGACTGAGCTAGATGTCAATACCACTCTGCCAAACAGCATCCTCATATGCCTCCTTTCAGCAAATCTAGTGGGAACCTAGTTGCCACTCTATTAGGGCCTAATTCAGCTGAAACAGATGGCTGTTGACACCATGGACCCAAGAATCCTTTAAAGGCTTGCCCATTCTTGACTTCCGGGGTGGCGCCTCCGGAAAATGGCGGAATTCCCTTCGGACTGAAGTGAACCCGCTGCACGGAGGCTTGGGTCCTGCCGCTACGGCGCAGCGGGGACCCGCAAAAACCACAGGCGGAAGAAGCCTGTGGACGTGGGACTCGGCGGGCACCGAGAGCGCTCTCTCCCCTTGTACAGGAGACGGGCTCCGGAGTGGGAGGTGCGTGGTGCTGTGAGTCGACTGCTTCCTCCGTGCAGCAAAGCCGCACTGCCGTTATCGGAGAGCGCTGCCTTTTTCCTGGACAATTTGGCATCTAAAATATCTATCCGTGAGTACCTGATCTTGGAAGAGTTGAACCACTTTTAAGACTGGTGAATAAACAAATAATATTGGACTTGAAATTGAACTTAATTGGGACTCGGAATGGGAAGGTCTAAACAGGAAGTCGCCTTCCGTTCTTTTGTTATGTGAAGAAAGCAAAGACAAAATATACTAAAGCTTGAAAATTAAATTCTAAGAGAACTAGAATTCAACATCTAAGATTTCTGAACCCCCTTTGACTGCAGGAGAAGAAGGGGTTGTATTTGGACTTTTCAATCCTGCGGAAGTGAGTTTAAAATAAAGCAATTTTCCACCGCCCTGAACCAGGAGCGGGCTGTCAGAATTGACGTTCTGAAGTTTATCCAGCTCGACAGTTAGTTAAAAGAAGGGTAACATTTTGATTCTACTGTTGCCTCTTGAATTTGGAAGGGGGAATTTTGGATAAAGTGTTTCTGGAAAAAGAAAGATTGTTGCTGTTGCTTTTATTCCTTATAAAAAAAAAAAATTTCCATCTAGTGGAATTTAGTGAAATTGCAACGCAGAGAGATTAAAAGAGGACTATTGGACTATTGTCGTGGGAAAGAATTTTCTTTGACCTTGAAGGACAATGCTAGTACAAAGGCTTGAACAATTGTTCCTGGAAGGTTTTTCAAAACTAAGTGCCCAGCTGGACCAGATGCGTCAGGAGACGACCTTGATGATGGAAGTTACCAGAGCACAGCAGCAAACAAATGAAATTCAGTTAAAGGCTATACAAGCATATGAACCTGCTGTAGTGACGGAGGCTTCAGAGATGGAGGGACCTTTGGACGGGCAAGAACAGCCTTTGAACTTGATAAATGAACTTGGGACAAACCAGATTCGGAAAGATGAAATGTGGTCAGATTTGGAAATGGGCGGATGGATCGACCCCCTCCATATGGTTATTTGGACCTTCCGAGTCTGGTGATGGGCTATCAGAGGATTGGAGTAGCCGAAGTCTCCAAGCTTTGTGGAAATTTGAAGTGGTATTATTTGCTGTCTGGCTTGGGCAATGGGTTTGGGATGGACTTGCTGCAAAGGGTCAAAAGCATTTTCTTGCTGGAGCATCCACGACTGGAAAGGAATCATCAACAAGAGTGGCGAAAGGGGCAAGAAAGAGACTTGAGGGCCTCGGATACGAGACAACCAGGTTAAGGAGCCGGATTATCGAGGTTAAAAGGACTGACAATCCCGGGTCCAGGGGAGGGAGGTTGGAAGCTGACTGGACTGAATTTGACTTATTATTTTTTCTTTTTTATTTTTAATATTGGGAATGCTTACAAATGTTTGAAGGATGTTGAATGAAATTACATGGCTTAAGTAAGGATTGGTAAATGATTTGTAAAAGGTAATGATGCAAGAATTTGGTAAATATTGAATATAAGCTATGAGTTTTAAAGTTTTTATATGACAAGAGGGAAAATAGAATAAGGAAACGTAATGACAGATTGATATGAAAAAACAGAAAGGATTTGCTGTAAAAATTAAAAATTAAGAAACGAAAGAGGGGAGGAGGAGGAAGTCTAGAAAGGAAGTCAATAGAGATTGTAAAGGACTTTATATTTTTGTTTTTCTGTTTCTTTTTTTTTTTTCCTTTGTGGCTGGGTTTTCTTTTCTTTTTTGTTTATGTACTATTTTTGTTTTTTGTATCCTCAAATTTTTTTTGGAAATTTTTGTTGTTATTCTTTGAAAATTTAATAAATATCAATTATAAAAAAAATAAAAATAAAGGCTTGCCCATTCTTATTCAGGCCCAGTGTGTTGGGTTCCATTGAAAGGAAGATGGATTAAGGTGGGTGCAGGAATGCAGATGTGCTTCCAAAGAAGAATGAAGAAAGCAAATGAAAAGTGATTGGGTGTTTTTTTTGGGGGGGGGTGTTAAAATGACAAAATTTAACTGCTCAGATGAAACTGGTTGAAGTTGGAATACAAGTGGGATGTTTAGCTAACTAAAGATATTGACCAAATAACATTCAGAACTTTTGAAATGAAAGTGATTTTTTTCCTGGTAGAATGTTTTTTTACAAGGACACTCAAGCAAACCAAAATTAGTCTCCAATGGGTTGTGGTTAAAGATGAGCATAGCTTGCACAGGAATACACAGTTATGTGGCAACTTGCACTAAGATGATTTTTTGATGATTTTTTTCAACAACTCCCAAGAAATGTGAGATAACTTGCATTGGCTGGCATACAAAATGCAAGAAATCCAGAGTCAAAAGGCACTGGAGCAGGAAGGACACAAGCTACTATTAATAGATTTTTTTCCCCTTCAACGCACTAAGATTCAGATATTAAGCTGAACACAAGAAGCATCAAGCCCGCCATTCAACACTTTACATATGACCCTGAACAGCCTTCAGAGGAACTGTCTCATATTAGAGATCTTATGTAATTTGATCGTGAAGTAGAATATCCAAGCCAAGAAGAAAAACACTAGATACTTAGAAATAAGTTATTTTATTTTCCAGAATTCCTTCCACCTGCTCCCTCCTCACAGGTTAACCAGAGATATAACAGAACATGCTTTCAACTTGAATGCGGCAGCATGTATGTCCATCCCAATCACATTAAGAGGATCATTTGTCCTCTGCCGCTTTCAAGTTGATTTGTGCAATCAAAACTTTCAGGACAGTCACACCCATAGCAATCTATGCGTGGATCATAAAAGGTAAAGGTACTCCTGACCGTTAAGTCCAGTTGCGGATGACTCTAGGGTTGCGGAGCTCATCTCGCTCTATAGGCCAAGGGAGCCGGCATTTGTCCGCAGACAGCTTCCGGGTCATGTGGCCAGCATGACTAAACCGCTTCTGGCGAACCAGAGCAGCGCACGGAAACGGTGTTTACCTTCCCGCCGGAGCGGTACCTATTTATCTACTTACACTTGATGTGCTTTCAAACTGCTAGGTGGGCAGGAGCTGGGACCGGACAACGGGAGCTCACCCCATCGCGGGGATTCGAACTGACGACCTTCTGATCGGCAAGCCCTGGGCTCTGTGGTTTAGACCACAGCGCCACCCACATCCCATAAAAGGTAAAGGTACCCCTGACTGTTAGGTCCAGTCACGGATGACTCTGGGGTTGCGGCGCTCATCTCGCTTTACTGGCCGAGGGAGCTGGCGTTTGTCCGCAGACAGCTTCCAGTTCATGTGACCAGCATGACTAAGCTTCTTCTGGCAAACCAGAGCAAATATTCTGAAACTTTTCAAGCCAGAAATGTTCCAGTTTAGTTCTTACTATCACCACCTTTGATGTGCTGTGTTGTCCTGGCGCTGTACGAGTTCTACATAACGTAGCCACTTCCTCACAATTTCTGTGGAACTGAGCAATGTATCATAGCCTGAACATTAAAACTGTAAAAGTGAAAGTATCATCATTTTCAATTTGTACACCGTCTTTCTATCTTACAATACTCAAGGCTGTTTACAAGCTGCCATAGCGCAAAAAGTTCTGCTTATATAAAAAGAGGCGAGATAAAATCTCTGCATGCCTGCTTTTGGCACTGGCTACGGTGCCAGCAATGCCTCAAACTGGTCATTACAACAGCTGGGGTTGGAAGCCAAAATGTTGCATTTATGTTGGGTAAGAATGTGCATCCTGAGAGTACAGCACCTTTATCTGATTATTGGCAATTAAAAAACAATTTCTGAAGAGTCGTCTGGACTTAAAACATACTTCAGGCTCCCACCCTCAGATGAAAGATTCAGGCTCTCCACACAGGACATCCCAAAAGCTTTGTTGATAAAATCATCACAGTCTCAGCATCAGCCCTAAGTGCAGGATACATGGTTCATACGCAGAGTTCTTGGACACAGTGCTATGCTACGCATAAGCAAAGATGTTCTTCCCAAAACTGATGCACCCATCCCGCTCTGCTTTTAAAGTAGATTTAAAGATTTCTACCATATGGAATGTGCAAGAGCAGGCTTTGCAGTGTATGCGCAATAAGCAAAATAGTGTGGGGAGGAATGTATAAGGCATGCAGGATTGGGCTGCTGGGAACTGAAGTCCAAAACATCTGGAAAACACAAGGATGGGAAAGGCTATTACAAAGCAAAGCACAGAGAGGAAGATTTATTGTGAATCTTTTTTGAGGAAGCAGCATAAAGTTCCCTTGTAGAGCATTTTGCAAGATAGGAGAAAATGGGGCAGAATGAAAGGAGGTCTTCTTGTGGGTTTGGGGATTCAGTTTAGGAGCTGCTCTACTGAGGGCTCATCCACACTTTTGCTTGCTCCACCATTTCCCACCATAAAAACCTGTTATTTACTGCAGAACTGAAGCAAATGCAAACCGGGTTTTCTCCAGATTGATGTTTGCTCCAGTTTAATGCTTAAGCATGGGTTTCCTAGGGAAAAGCAGGGAGGGCAAAGACAAAACCAATCAGACTCCTGCTTTCTAGGCAAGGGATGAATGGAAGTGTGAACAAGCCCTGTGTGTTAGTACAATATAGAAATCCTCAAGCTAGGCTTAGTCCCTTATCCAGCAGGCGGCAGCCACAAATCCAATTTCGCCTCTACTACACATTTCAGAAACTGGATATGAACTAGCAGTTTTAGGTAACAAGTGGGGCCGGGGGGGGGGGAGAGATGGACAGGACTCTAAGATGCGCTGTCTTCCCACCTTAGGAACCTAGTAAAACAAGGTAAAGAAATATAGTGCACCACATAAAAAGAGAAATGTCCACAAAACAGTCTAGGACTCCTCCATTTTCAAACCCATTGAAAACGTTGGGTGAAGGTCTGTTGGTGGAGAAGAGGTTAATCTTCCCAGCAGAGAGGTGATGAGAAGATTTTGTACTGCATCAGATGAGAGATGAAACTGAAACTGAGCGGGGTTGGGGGAGGTCTACTGTTATTGGATTGTTCTTATTCAGCAGACCTATCTTTCTATACATAATTATTGGTTGCTTATTAATATATTTTATTGAAGTGAGAATTTAGTGGAAGGAGTGATATGTTGGGTTTAAGGAGAATAGCTGAGCCATTGGGGTGACAACATCGTTATATGCAAGTTTTTGTTTTGCTTTTCTTTTTGGACTATTTATGATATTTTCTAAATCAGGCTTCCTCAACCTCGGCCTTCCAGATGTTTTTGCCTACAACTCCCATGATCCCTAGCTAGCAGGGCCAGTGGTCAGGGATGATGGGAATTGTAGTCTCAAAACATCTGGAGGGCCGAGGTTGAGGAAGCCTGTTCTAGATACCGTATGTTGTATTTGATGCTGTTTGGTAGTTTGTATAGAATTCGATTTTGTGGGATTTTATTTATGTACATTGTTTTGCTGCTTAATTATGTTACTAAAAATGTGGAAGTGATGAGTATTATTAGCTGAATATTAAAGTTGTATTGTATTTTTATAGTTATTTATTTTGAAATATGTGGACGGCTTAAGAGATTTATGAAATGTAAAGCTGTCTACAAGACAGATAAATAAAGTGGGCGATATTAGTTTTTCAACATTGCGATATATCACCAGCCAAACATCATGATATACTGATCATAGAATCATAGAATCATAGAGCTGGAAGAGACCACAAGGGCCATCGAGTCCAACCCCCTGCCAAGCAGGAAACACCATCAGAGCACTCCTGACATATGGTTGTCAAGCCTCTGCTTAAAGACCTCCAAAGAAGGAGACTCCACCACACTCCTTGGCAGCAAATTCCACTGTCGAACAGCTCTCACTGTCAGGAAGTTCTTCCTAATGTTTAGGTGGAATCTTTTTTCTTGTAGTTTGGATCCATTGCTCCGTGTCCGCTATCACGGACACGTGATATCCGTGTCCGTGTCCGCTATATCACATTGTCTGAAATGGGGAGGAAAGATGAAATAAGGTTTGGAGCAAGAAGCAGCCCAGTATTGATTCCTGGATGTGGGCTAGTTCAAAGCGGTTTTGAAGGATACATCGCCTACCCCTAAACACAGTGACACCATGCACAGGTTCTGCTGCTATATGGGAAGGCTAGGTGGATGGTGCTGCCTTGGGCAGAGTGCATCAGGCGGGACACCACGTGCCACCACACACACAAATGAAGAGCCACAGCCTCTCCCCAGAGCCTGCCCAGCTCACAGCAACGGTCACAACTACTGGGAGCCATCCTCCATGCAAGGCACCAGAGGCTACTCCATTTCTCTTTATCACCGCAGTGCAGTTCCCATCTCTGGTGACCACCACCGCCAATCAACCACATAGTCCTGAAGGTGAGGGAGAGGAGCCAGTGCTGCTCCCACCAGAAGAGGCTCACGGGACATGGCCAAGCCTTCACTTCCGAGTACCCAGTGTGAGGAGGAAGGAGGCAGCCCGACTGCTCGGCCGGAAAAGGAAGCGAAGGTGCTGGCAAGCAGGCAGGTGAGCGCACACAACAGGTAGGCACAGGCATGGCTGGGGGCAGCCGGGTCCCAGCACCTTTTCAGGCTCCTGAGGCCAACGGCTTGGCAGTGAAGGAGGGAGTGGGTGAGCATCAGGCAGCCTTGCAGGGCGCAACACCCCTTTTGCTTGTATTTATTTTTGATTCAGATCTGTCATGGCCAATGGCTAGTACAATAAAGTTTTTTGGATTGGGTGCAAACAGTGAGAAGAGCTGAGGAGGCCATGCTTGAAACAATGGCAACCCCGAGGAAAAAAATGCATGGTGCTTGAAGCAGCCACAGGGGTGAGCGGAATCCACGATACATTGCCAGCTCAAAAATTCTGAAATTGCTATCGCAATCTGAACTTTAAACTGGTTTTGGGCAATGTATCAATACAGTAAGGGGCAGTTTTCTCCAGCCATGCTGCTCCAGTGCAGCGTGGAACAACCTGTTTATCTTATCCTATGTATTTCATCTGCAGATAGGAAGAGAATTTTTACTTACTTAGTACTTTCCAAACTTATATATACAAACCAAAATGGATTCTTCAAAAGTCACACTTCTTCCAATTTTGCACTGTAGCTCTTCAGCTAAAACATGCTTTGCAAATAAAGACCTAGAAAAATTGGTGCTCAAAAATGTGTCTTTGAGTAAAAATTACATACCAAATGTTTAGGAAAGCAGCCTGCAAAAATGAATATTGTAGGCAAAGGCTGTGCAAAAATGTGTTTATTTAGGAATAATGCATAACATTTTCCTGTGGGGTTTCTTTTTTAAGGTTTGCAAACTGATGTGGAAACATAGCAAACTGAACTTAAGATTGAACAAAATGAGAAACCAGAATTGGCAGATTCATCGACTCTAGTCTCATCCTTCCTCCAAATAGCCCTGGGCTTTGAGGTCCATTCATTTAAATAAAGTTATTTTCGAAGGCAGTATGTGCGGGCTGCAGGCTTAACATTTTCCTTCCTAGGCAAACATGAATTCTTAGAAGTACTTGTCAGAGTGCAATTTTAACACACAGACACAGACACACACACACACACACACACACCGTTTCTTTGTTCCTGAAGCTATCGTACTCACCTGAAATGCTGAAGCTATCATACTCACACCCATAATGCAATAGGTTTCACAGAGGAGTTCCAGATGAACGTGGCCCTCAAGGCAAACAATTCCAAATATGGGCCACTACAACCACAAGCAGCTAACCTCTATGGACTGAGAGGGATATTACTTAACTTCAAAATGTATATTCAAACAAAAGCAAGTCACAGATGAAGCCACCTTAGACCAGCTCACACCATCACAGTACTGCTTCTTCCAATGGGCAGCAGCTCTCTGAAATATCCCCAAATCTTTTATGCCAGAGGTGCCATGGCATGAAAAACAGGTGCTCATCCCACTGCATTGTGGGCCCACTCCAAGGCAGTTTCTCCTGGCTTGCATCTGTGGGCCTCACAATTGCGAGAAGATGAGAACCACAACACTACAGAAACCACACATGTCTCTACATCAGAGGTTTCCAAACTTTTCATGATGGTGACATACTTTTTAGACATACATCATTTTGTGATACAGTAATTTAGTTTTACTAGCAAACCAGAGGTTAAACTAACCCCTTTCCAGCCCTGGGAAGAGCATGGGGAGCATTTGCACAACACACCTACACACTGCAGCCGACACACTAACGTGTTGCAACACACAATTTGGAAAGCTCTACTCTACATAGTTCAATCCTGATATATTTATATATTGCAGTGTTTCGCTGGTGATATATCACTATGCTGAAAACCAGCCCTAACGTGTACCTACTCAAAGGTACAAGTGACATGTATGCTTTGAAGCTGAAACTTTATGCATGTATTCTTGGGCATTTCCTGTGATGGGAAAGAGCGACTGCTGCCACCACTCAGAGATTGTCCTAGCTAGCAGTTTCACTTGATCACTTGTTCCGGAAACCCGCACAACCTAATCTCAGATGTCAGCGGAGGATAAGCAGGGAAAAAAGAGGAAGCAACAGAGATGGGGACTCTCCATTTTTAAGCCAGGTCGATGAAACCTGGGAGATGGGGAATTCAGTTTTCAGAGATAGGAATTGATAAAGTCTCCAGGGCATAGACAGGATGCCTTCCTTTCACCGCTGAGAAATTCTGCAGTTGGATTTACTTCTGAAGAGGGCTCCTATTAAAACCTCTTTAATAAAAAAGAAAAGTGAAACTCCACTCACAGTTCCCATGATTGATTTTCAAAGATTGCAAGTGGCTGCAGCCAGATGACAGATGGGGAGGAGACTGAAGGCCCCATTGCATGGGAGCGGATGCTCTCAGCACTTCTCTTTGCCCCACACCCTGCCTCTGCCCACACAGGACAGGATGCAAAAGAAGAGGCCTTTCTCTGGCCCAAGTCTCCCCAACCAGACATATGGGACAAACACTGCTCCCCAGTACTGCCCCACAGCCTCTCCTTTGGTGTGAAGCAAGACACACACTACAAACAAACAAACACGAGTTTGTTGTACTCTTGTGTTTCTCAAACGTGGGTCTCCAGCTGTTGTTGGACTACAACTCCCATCATTCCTGACCACTGGTCCTGCTAGCTAAGGACAATTGTGGTCAGGGATGAAGGGAGGTGTAGTCCAACAAGAGCTGGAGACCCAAGTTTAAGAAACATTGTATTAACCTTCCCAGCCCCCTCCCCGAAAAGATCCTCTCTTGAACCAGTACGCCACCCCATATCAAAAGGGGGAATGAAGAGAAGAGGAAGAGGGTTTGGGAAGGGAGGAGGAAAACAGGAGGGGAGGAGGAAACCTGGGGGCTAATACCCGCTCCCTGCCTCCGCCCCTTCGGCCGCCCCCAGCCCAAGGCTCGGCCGGCCTCCCTTTGCCCCAGCCGTGAAATGGGTCCATTTGCCGCCTCTCCGTCCTCGCCACCAGGGGGCGCCCGAGCAAAGGCGACGGTGGGGGACCTGAGAGGGAGCCGCCCCGGGCCGGACAAGCAGGACCAGCGCGACGCCGACGAAGAAGGCGCAGGGGCCGCTGCCCCCGCCACCCTTCGAGGCAAGAGGGGGAAGAAGCCCTCGGGCCGGCCCAGCGCAGGCTCACCTCTGCGGCAGCAGCCTCGCCCTCCGGCAGCCCCAGCACATTCCCCGGCGAGGAGGAGGCGGCGGCGGCGGCGGCCATGGCCCCGGGAGCACAAGGCCGCCGGAATCCCTCAGCGTCTTCGCCTGACTGACGGACTGGCAAGATGAGCGACAGGCGGCCGAGCCCAGCTTTCCCTCCTCCCTTGGCCACGCCCAGATAAGCCGGGCCGCTCGCCCCGCAGCCAATGAGACCGCCGCGCAGCCCTCAGCCGCCGCGGGAAGCTCAAGGGGATTGGAGCACGGCGAGCTGGCGCCCGCCCACCTCGCCTCCGCTCGTGTCAACAACAACCCCGCCCGCCTCACGGGCTTGGCGCCCCACCCATCCCCGTGTCCCGCCTTTTTCCCCTCTCAGGGCGGGGTGGGGCGGAGCCAGGCCGAGCTCTGGAGGAGGAGCCACAAGTGGGCGTGGCCGGCGAGGTCTAGTCAGTCTCATCACGTTCGCGGCTTCTTCTTTTTGCCCGGCTTCCGAACGGGGAGCTCAGCTTGACGATATGGCCTTGGAGCTTCTGGTTGTTTGTGGGTGGGAAGCTTTAATCTGGCCTTTTAAAAAAGATCGAGTGGGCTTTTGGATTTTTGTATGGTTTGTTTTATGCTGGTTTTATTGTGTGTGTTTGTTTGTCGTTGAGTTGCTTTTTTTAGGGGGGTGGGAACCAAGGGTGTCTTAGTAAGTTTAATAAATAGATCACTGCAGTCACGAAATTAAAAGACGCCTGCTTCTTGGGAGAAAAGCAATGACAAACCTAGACAGCATCTTAAAACGCAGAGACATCACCTTGCCAACAAAGGTCCGTATAGTAAAAGCTATGGTTTTCCCAGTAGTGATGTATGGAAGTGAGAGCTGGACCATCAAGAAGGCTGATCGCCACAGAATTGATGCTTTTGAATTCTGGTGCTGGAGGAGACTCCTGAGAGTCCCATGGACTGCAAGAAGATCAAACCTATCCATTCTTAAGGAAATCAGCCCTGAGTGCTCACTGGAAGGACAGATCCTGAAGCTGAGGCTCCAGTACTTTGGCCACCTCATGAGAGAAGACTCCCTGGAAAAGACCCTGATGTTGGGAAAGATGGAGGGCACAAGGAGAAGGGGACGACAGAGGACGAGATGGTTGGATAGTGTTCTCGAAGCTCCCAGCATGAGTTTGACCAAACTGTGGGAGGCAGTGGAAGATAGGAGTGCCTGGCGTGCTCTGGTTCATGGGGTCACGAAGAGTCGGACACGACTAAACGACTAAACAACAACAATGGTGCCGTGACTTATCTTGCAGCCAAGCGGCAGCTCCCACCAGCAGCTCTCCTCTGCTTCATTTCCATCCTGGGTGGGTCCTGAGGAACAGATGCAACTTATTTATTTACTTATTTATTACATTTACTGGCCCAAGGTCACCCAGTGAGCTTCATGGCCGAGTGGGGATTCAAACTCTGGTGTCCCAGGTCGTAGTCCCACACACTAACCATTATGCCACCCTCCCCTCCCTTCGTTTTCCTGGTGTTTCACTGGTCTTCAACTGGTGGGTCAGGACCCTCTACTGGGTCCTGGTCTGCTCTGAGGTGGGTCACAACAGCAGCACTGTCTGTCACCATACAAATATATGGGTGCCTATGAAAAATGGTTCCCAGGTAGGAAAAGATTCAAGATGCTTTAGATTGCAAGCCCGAGGGCCGCAACTCTCTTACTACTGGTTTTTTGTAAGGCAATCTTGAGAGCTTTTTCCATCCAAGTGGAGGGTGAAAACCTCCTGAAATATATAATGTTATTTTCCCGTCTATAAGACGCACCCACTGCTCGTGGCAGCCAATCGCCAGTCCACCCTCAGCACTATCCGTGTATAAGACACCCCCTAATTTTTGACATTTTTAAGGGGGGAAACCTAGTGTTATACATGGAAAAATATAGTAGTTTCCCACATAATTTTTCAAAGGGTGTTTACTTTTCTATCCTAGCCTTGTACCTCCAAAGTGGCAGATGTGGCTCTGCCTCCACAGTAGTGTTATCTCAAGCCTGTGAGGTATGTTAGATTGAGAGTGACTGATCCCAAGGTCACTCAGTGAGCTTCTTGGTTGGCTGCAGAATTTGGTTTCCTGGTCCCAGTGCCAGATTAAATCCCGTGGAGGCCCCTAGGCAGCTGAAATCTGGGTGGGGTGGGGCCTCATAAATGATCTCCTAATACATTTTTGTAATTTTCTTTCAATATCAAATCTGTATTATTTTGATCAGTTGTCGTCGGGCTCCGAAAAGGAGTGGGGCCCATAAGCATAGCTGTCAACTTTTCCCTTTTCTTGCGAGGAATCCTATTTGGAATAAGGGAATTTCCCTTAAAAAAAGGAAAACTTTGACAGCTATGACCATAGGCCCTGCCTATTTGGTAATCTGGCACTGCTTGGTCCATCATGTTGGACAGTCCCCATTATTTGTCTCACCAGCTGAGGAAGATATTGAGATGTGACTTTGTAAAGTGGGTTTTCTAGTCAGTTTTCCAGTCTTTATACAGCCCATACCCCTCCCCCAATTAATAACCATATCTTTGGAATTGCCACAGCTCAGTAGCTGAGCATATACCGTAATTTGCATGCAGAAGGTCTCAAGATCAATCCCTGGCATCTCTAGGTGGGGTGGGGAGAGACTTCCATCCAAAACCTTGGAAAGCTACTGCCCATCAGGTGTAGACAACACTGAGCTAGCTCAATCAGTGGTCTGACCGAGTCTAAAGCAGCTTCATACGTTGTGAATCATAAGCAAGGCAGTTTGAGTGCTCCAAAAGAACCTGTCAATGTGAACCATTCTTGTTTATCACATTTAATGCTTGTTTCCATGGGGCTTGTACAGGTCTTGCATACACCCTTTCCCACACACACTGCAGAGAGACACACCCTCCCCTGCAGTGTTTCTTAACACCTGTGTCCATGTAATAAATTGCTCCTCAAGTCCGGATTAATATAAAATGTTTTATTGTTTCTGAAAACATTAAAAAAAAACAAATTTTGAGCACTTTCAATAAAAAATCAACTGAAATGCTACTGCAATATCCAACTACTGTCATTTCAGCAGGTACAACAGACAACAAAACACCGGGGGTGGGGGAGAGAGAGAGAGAAGAATCTGTGCACTAGATGAAAAGGTAGAGAGGGTGGTTTTTTTCTTCTTTCCTTATAGAAAGCACAAAAGTATAGTACAAGACTTTATATAAACTTCAGATGCTGCACTGCCCAAGAAACAATTTCCTTCTTTTTCAGTTCAAAAGTCAGTGCTTATTGCAATTATTTGCAAATTCTTTACTTCATGAATTCTCATGAAAAAAATTATGCCAAAAGGGTTTCCCCCCCCCAACACCAGAGCAATAAAGATAATGAGAAAGTAACGTATTTAACAATAACTAAGCAGAATTAGTAAACGTAAAAAAAAAAAAGGTAACTAACTGGTGATTCAGCTATGCTTGTCTGGTTAGCACAGACCCAGATCTAATACAGCGCAAAAATAATTATAATGAAAAAGACTGGGTTACAAGAGTCTACCTAGCACTGTACAAGGTAAGTCAAGAGAACACGCATGCACATCAGGTGGTCATGTATTAACATGGTGAGGCAAACAAAACAGTTCTTTTTTTTTTCTTCCTGCTGTAAGATTCTCACGTAAGAGAATAAGAAATAGAAACATCTCATTGAGATCAATGCACATTGCTACATAAGACAAGTTAGCTGTCATTTGCATGACATTTTGCCTTTTAATAATGAAACACATTAAAAAAGTTTTCTGTAGTCATTGTTTTTCTCTCTTTTTTATAATCCGTGGGCCGTCAAATTTGTTGCATTTATCCTAAGGAATGTGCCTGCCACAGTTCAACAGAAGCCTTAGTGCAATAGCTGAACCCCACACAGTCCAACAAGCTGGCCAGCCAAATCCAAAATATATTCTTGGCAATACTGTACATGGGGGTGCAAGTTCATTCGCCTTTAGCCAAGGAGAGCAACCCTCTGAACAACTGAAATTATCATTGTTACGCAGGGGTCTTATCTGGCAGAAGGGGGCTTCTGCCTCCCCTGGAGATGGCACACTTTGGTGTGAAGCAGGGACTTGTCTGCAGGCAGAGAGCAGAAGGGGTTGCAAGCACCAGGAAGAAAGAGGGGTCCAGCAAGCAGCCCATTACAACCCCAAACACACGGAGGAAACCGCAAAACAAGCACAGGCCAACAATACACAAAACCCCATTTTGGGTCTAGCACCATGAAGTGTGTGTGAAAAAGTTTTGGTTCCCCAGGCCCTCCTTGCAAACCTAACTTCCATTCAATTCGCTTTTAAGTTATCGCAGAATTCCCAGAATTATCGCTTCAGTCCGATTTACCAGTGGCGTTTCAAAATTAAGGTAACAGGCCTTTCTTTTATTTATTTGGGTGGGGGGCGGAGAGACAAAATGATAGTGGTCACATGATAAGTTTGAATGTCTCACATTTAAAATTGATTTCAATTCAGCCATCGGTAGCTTGTATCTACATTACAGTCCATGCTCAAACCTGTATCTACAATGAATCCAACGCATTTTGGGTTAAAGGTGGGTCACCGGTCAAAAAAGTGCTCCACTCCCAATTGATCTGGATGTGGGCAAGAGCTCCCTGCTGGCCAATCAGGAGCGCCAGACAGATGATGAAGGTGAGCAGCACATTTACCACCCCCAGGCTGCTACACCTTCACTACCACCACCTTAGGGACAAACCAAGAGTGCCATTCTTGGAGGGGGGCAGAGAACCCAATGGGAACCTCCATCTGCACAGCAGTAATGCCTGGGGAGGGGTGAAGGAGGCATCCCTCTCTGCCAAGGAGTGCTCAAAATATACGCCAGCACGCCTCCTTTAAGGGCCTGTGATGTGAGAACACACACACAAACACACACAGCTATCCTGCCACCCAGGACAAAACCTAGATGGAAAGGGGAAATCTCTTGTTTGGTTTGATTCTCTGTACTTGCCAGATATTTTTATTTAATGAAGAACATGTGTGCACACACAAATCTTAAAAATTATAACCAAAAAGCATGCAGAAATCGGATTTCTCTCTTTTTAAAAAACCACAATATACCGGGTGCATGTGCTGTGGAAACCTCTGGGGTACCCAGGTAAGTAGTTGCTGCTTTGCCCTCGCCTCCAAAGTCAACTTTTCTATACACTGCTGCCTTAAATCCAGGAACACACAAGCAGCCAGGAAACTCCCCATGGCCCTTGCTCCTTGCCCCCCAACCCACTGATGCCAAAGGGGCTGGCTATGGCTCACATACATGGAGTAAGACGCTGGCAACCCCTGTGGGGCCTGAAATGAAGTATTGTCACGGGGCCTGGATTCCAGCACCTTGAATGCAGAGGCACAACAACACTGGGAAAACTTCCTCCTCATGAGCACATTAACCAGAACTGCTGCCCTGAAACCTTTTGCTCTGGAACTGCCCTACATGTGCCAACAATCAGGGCACAATCTACGTCTGACTGGCTGGTAGTCTCAAAAGCCTGCCATGACTGGCTGGTGCATTTTTTGCTTGCTTTGTCTCATGGGCAGCCATTTGCAACAGCTCCTCTCTCTTTCTCTCCTTCCCAGAAATATTCTGGCCCTGACAGCTTACTTGGGTTTTGGCAGGTGCAAAATGATCAGCCCACGTTACAAGAGGCGAACACAGCACAAGCCCCCAGGGAACAGCTTCCCACAGCATTGGACAATGGATCTGGCAAAAGATTTCCCAGGTGAAGTCACAGTTCTGGCACAGATCCTTCTGCCTGAGTAAGGCCCCAGCTGGCTAATGGCTGGCCGCTCTCTCTTCACAGCCCTTTGAAAGGCAATGGCCACACTCCCCGGGCAGCTCCTGCTGGGCGCATCCACTTGCAACAGGCGGACATGGGGCACCAACAAACCTACGCATCTTTCCCCATCCATTTCCATTGGGTTTGTGTAGGGTAGCTTCTGAAATACATCCCATGGCATGTCTGTACCCCCTGGCATCTAGTAGCACTTATGGCCCTATGAAAATTGTTCTTTCTATCAGCTTCTCGGGAAAGAGCAGAGGGGCTGCATATCAGTGAAGAGGCAACTGCTTTTCTGCACCCCAAGTGTTGTTTACAAGCGAGAATGGATGGGTTGGGACCATTTCCACCTTAACTTCAGGTTGCTCCAATTCTGATAAATAAATAGGAAACAGAACGGAATGAAGTCTTATGAAGTTTCAAGGCTCAGAAATACGTTTCCTCTCAAGGATATTAAAACCAATAAAAACAGATAGATTTTTAAGCTGAGATTTTCAAGCAACTAAAGAAGGCTAAGCACACACACACCCCCACACACTTCCCAATAAAATTTTAGTGCTTCTTTCTCATTCCTTGATAGTTCCTATCTGCCGCTCCCCCTTTTAGCCCTTTATTGTCATTTTAAGTTGTATTGGTGTCTAAGTATAGCGTTCTCACACCGTCCACCTTCTAAGCTGTATGGTCAGTTTTTACCCAAGTCTTCCTCCGCCATTATCCACAGCTGGGACCCCCACCTCTGTGGTTCTCTAACAGCAATGAAACAGAGGGGGCGATAGCGAGCCCAGAATCTTTGGGAAGCAGCCATTTAAAGTCCATCACCCAACCAAGCAACCTGTGCTGATATACACAGGGAACTCTTGCCTCCTGGACCGCTTCCCCCGTTTCCTCTACAGGCTCGCTCCTCACAGATGTGTGCAGGCCCTCCAGCGCAAGGGATGCGCCAGCATGTGCAAGGGCCCCGTGTCCACACCCAAGTGCACGTAGCCCTCTCCATCCGAGGAACACGGTTGCTGCGTGGCCTCCACTCCTTCCAGTGCAGCTTGCTTGGTAACCTAGGGAACAGCAGCCCAACATGGGACTCAGGGCGGCACTGACTGAAATGAACAGAGGGAGGAGCAGCCAGGTAACACTGCTTGGGGAACTGGCGAGCCCCTTTCCTTAGCAATTTAGACTCACTACACTCTTGGAACCTCCCCGGCCACTTTTTCTTTTGCAACAGCAAAAAAGTGCTGTTCGGTAAGTAAAATTTTTTAAAATCTAATACTGGCTCTGGATCAGGCTGTATCCTTCAGAAAAGTCTTTAAAATGGGTAAGACTGAATATTCCCTGCTGAAGAATAGAGCAGCTGGTGGAGCAAAAGGTGTTGGTTGTTGTTGGGTTTTTTTTCCGTTTTGTAAAAATGCCACAATTAAGTCATAGTCAATGTTTCTGCTGCAGGAGGCACTTCCATTAAGACAAATACAAAGTGTCTGTCTGTCTTTTAGATACAGTGTGCTACATACATCATATTACATATATTTATTTAATTTTTTTTAATCTTTTTTTTTAAAAAAAGATTCAACCCAACATTTCAACAGCAGGATGGTCCTTGCTCTCCATCCAATCGAAACCTGCCGAAGTCATTGAGTTAATGGACTCGTTGCAGATCTGCTGGAACAAGGGGTCGTTCTTTAATTCTTCCAGTGTTGCTTCATCGTCCTGGCCCTGCTGGTGAGCCGGGTCAAAGAGCAGGTTGGCGTCCAGCGTGTTCAAATCGTTAATGCTTCCCGAGAGCTCGGAAGCCAACCTGATGTCATTGGAGAAGACGGAGGCCACGTTGCTGAGATCAGAAGCCACCTGGTTGGCCAGCTGCTGGCTGCTCTGGAGGCTGCCCTCACCCAGGAAGTCTTTCACGGTGCTGCTGAAATCCAGCTGTTGCTGCTGCTGCTGCTCCTCCTCCTCCAGAGGCTCCGATTGTGCTTGGTTATCTCCAGGAGCAAAAGGGGTGTGATCAGCACTGCTGCTCTTCGTGAGGTAACTTGGTGTTTGGAATTCGAAAACCGAAGGGCTGGGGCTGAGCACGTTCTGGCCGTTGGCACTCGGAAACGTGGAAGAGGAAGTTTCTAAAATCTGGGTCAGGTTCATCCTGGCTGTGTAGTTGGAGGGCATGTTGTTGATCCCCAGGCCCCTCACTGCGTCATCGTTATCCGAATCGAGCTTGTTCAGCAGGACATTTGTTATCTTCTTAGAATTCGCCTGCTTCTGAGGAGGCGGGAAAGCCGTCTGCATCATGACGGTCAAGGGGACCGACTGGCTCCTCTGTGCAAGGCTGCTGGCACTTGCGTCCGCGTGGACGGCGCTGAAGGTGTTGTGGACTTCCGGAGTGACGGGGCTGCCGAAGGGCGCTGCGGTCGCGGCCGTCGTCGTGCTGGAGCGCAGCACATTGCCAGCAGGGCAAGCGGTGCTCCCACTGAGATTGCGCTGGCGGTGGACGGCAGGGCTGACGCTCCGGCACCTGAAGCTGCTGTTATGGGAGGAACCCGCCCCTTTGCCGTCGAGGGGCGCAGGCACAGCGAAGCCCTCCTGCTTGCTGCCGGCGCTGCTGACGGGAGAGACAGGAGTCACGCGGCCAAAATGGGCGTCGTGGTGCCGCGGCTGAGACTGGTAGGACTGGCCGGGAACGGCGAAGGCGTGGGGCTTCCTGAAGCGGTCTTCCACCAGCTCCTGGTAGCTCGGGAGGATCCCATGGCTGGAGACGGGCGGGTTGCTCACTCCGCTGTACCCGGCGTTCATCCACTCCAGCTTGGTTTTGTCGGGGTGCGTGGCCATGGGCCGCTGCATGGGCTTGACGGGGCTGCTGGAGACGATGCTAGCATCATGGTAGGCCATGCTGGAGCTGATGGGCGTGAAGGCAAAGGGGTTCCTGCATTCCACGGGGCTCGGCGGGACGCTGCTGCTGCAGTTGGAATGGGGCGTGCCGATTGGCGTGTGCCGGCTGCTCCCCAGGGCACTGTCGACGGGCGTTGTCTGAGCCATCCTGGAGCAGGGGCTCTCTCGCGACACGCCCTGCGATCCCGCAATGAGTTCGGACGTTGGAGTGGGCGTGGGAGTAGGTGTCGGGGTGGGCGTGGGCGTTGGGGTGTGGACAGGGGTGCCGCTGTTGTGGATCGGGTGGTAGAAGTGGGTGCTGCTCGCGTGAGAGGACAGGGATGCCCCCTGGGCCGCCCCCTGGCTCTGGAGGGCCATGCCCAAGGAGCTTCCGTACAGGTGAGAGCTGTTCATGGACATCTGCTCCTCCATGAGCACCAACTCCTCCACGATGCTGTCCTGGGTCAGGTCGTCGTCGAAGGAGAAGAAGTTCTCGTTGGACTGCGAGGCGGCATCCTCAAACTCCTTGAGCTCCGGCTGCAAAGCTAACTGGCTTGGCGCCTGCGCTTGCAGCTGCTGCTCCAGAGAGGGCTCTGGCCCCTGGCTCTGCACCTGCTGGCCGTAGGCAGCTGCCTGCTGGAGCCCTTCAAAGTGCACTGGCTCCCAGACAGACTTCGGCAAGGCCTCCGAGCCGCCAGCGTGTTCCGCAAGAGCCATAACACCGACGTCCTCCTGCAGCGGCTGCTGCTCGCAGTTCAGAGGGGCAAAGTCGGAGCTCTTTGCTAGATGCTGCCATATGTTGGGGCTAAAGCCGTCACTGGGCTGGGAACTGCTTTCTAAGACAAACACGTTCCCTTCCAACTTCACTTTGATGTCTGAAGAGGAGTCTGCCAGCTGCTGCCCTAAAGTGGGATCGCTGGAGTCAAGAACAAGGTCGGCGTCCAGGGGGCAAGTGGTCACTAAGCTGCTGGGCACCGCAGAATGGACTTTGATGGTCACCTTGCCAGGCACCTGCACAAGTGCTGCAGCCCCGTCGCTCTTGGCCACAGCCACCACTCTCTGCTGCACTTTCTTCACACCTCCCGCTTTTGGGGCTTCTGTGCTGGCTGCAGAGACCTGCCCCACAGAGAGCTTCTTGACTGGGGGGCCCTGGGAGTCTGTAAAGGCAGATGGCAGCCGCTTCCTTGGGCTTTTAGCACACACTTTGTCACCACCGGGAGGCACAGGGATGCTGGTGCCAGAGAAGGTCTGCATAGCAACCGAGGGAGTGATCGTGCCAGGGCTGATCTCCAATGTGGGAACAGGGTGGGATTCAGTGGGCTGGGCAAGGCTTTTCCTTCCTGCTTCCTCGGCTCTCGGGTCACAGCCCTGGACACACTTCCCGTCTCCGCGGACCTCCTCGGCTTGACCTTTCCACAGTTCTGCTTCACCTTTCCTCTGCTGCCCAACTGAGGTGCTTGGAGCAACCTTTGCAACTTTAGAGGCGTCTGAGTTCTCTTGGCACCGCAGCACTGTCTCCTCCAGGGCTGCCTCTGGCTCCATTTTGACCTCAACTGAAGACGCAGAGGGAGCCAAGCCTCCTCCTGCTGCTCCTCCACTGCCACCAGCTTTGGGCCCTGGAGACTGAAGCGAAACGACGGACCCATTCTGAATCTGCGGGACAGTCCTCAACTCATCGGCTGCTCCGGAACCGCTGACAACTGAAGGCGTGTGCTTGACCGGCGTGCTGCCGGTGCTGCTGCTGCTCGGAGCGAGGGAGATGGTGGTCATTTTCACCACGTTCATGTGCTGAGCAGGGACAACGGTCTTAATGGGGCTGCTTGTGAACAGCACTGTCGTTGGGGATCGGATGGTGAGGGCACTGGTGTTGGCAGGCTTGGGCAGGATCTGAGGGTAGCGGTGCCTGGCAGAACGATCACCCACAGGGCTGGCGGGAACATTCTGGGGGGTCTTTGGTGACTGCTTGACCGACTGCATATGCTGGGTGACCACTTGGACGTTGAGCGGGAGAACTTTGCCATCGGCTGAACCCACAGGACTAGGCGACGTCACCAACTGCCGGGTCCTCGGCACCTGTGGGGGGAGGGAAATGAGGTTCCAGTTACTCCTTTTATAAAACCAGTCACACAGCCCCCCACCTTACAATCTCCCATGCCCTATGTTTTTTATTCTCTGACCCACTCATGTCAATCAAAAATCAACTCCTGCAGCTTCCAAACACGTGTCTCTTCCCCATTCTCAAAAAAAGGCTTCCTCAACACCTCCTGCCTCACCAACTATTGTCCAAACTCTTAGAGTGGGCTGTCCACTGAAACTCATCTTTCGTCCACTCTGCTGCACTGACAGTCCACAACCCTCACAAAATCGCCAAGGATCTCTTCATTGCCACCGTCAAACTTCCATGTGACTCCCTGTGGCTGCCACATGTTGATTCTCAGCTGCACCTTTTTCCTACCTCTCTACCTGCCTTATTCCACTTTTTCAGCAAGGGAGACTCCTCCCCTCCCTCTTCCCCCCCAGGCTTCCTGTTCTCTCCCCCACCCCGACCGTCGGGTGACCTCACCAAGGAACAAGAAAGGAGAGCATAGCTGCATTTCCCAATTGTCAGGGATCTTGCAAGGTACATGAAAGCACAGGGCCACAGGCGCAAACCTGCATAAAATCCGTAAATGCTAGTTTATTATTTATAGATTCACGCTTAGATTTTAAATGTCACAGAAGGCCAAGCCAGATAATTTCCTGATCCAAATCACACCAGAAAAAGTTCTACAATAAATCTGCACCCCACCCTCGGATCACCCCAAATCACTTTCGCTTCCATTTGTTTAACCCCATTTAATTTTTTTTTAAAGCCTGCTACAAATCAGTTCAATTCCTTCCATGTATTCCCCCCAAATAAATCTCCAGAGAAAATAACTTTGAATTCATCTGTCTTCCTCTACTAATCATCATACACAGTACCCAAGATAACTCCACCCCAATTTATTACCCACCTGGAAGCCCATGGGGAGGTCAGCAAAAGGTTTAGGGCCCCCTGTGTCTACCAAGATCCACGCCCACAGCTTACCGTTATAGGGCTGGGAACAGCAGCCACGACAATGCCAATGGGCTGAGGAGACAAGATGGCTGGGCTCCCATTGGAAAGGCTGGTGACCCCATTGCTGGTGGTGCCCTCCACCTTCTTGGCCGGGGACTCTCCTGGCAAAGGCGACTGCAGCTTCTGCTCCTGCTGCTTCTTCTGGATCTTCCGCTGCAGCTGCTGCTTTGCATCAACTGGGGAGGACAGAGTCTTCACCTGGGGCTGGAAGGAATTGCTCTCTGCGGTTGGGACAAAAGCCGAAGGCTGGGGGATCCCTTTGATTCCTGGAAAAGATGAGGAGGAGGGCGGGTAAGGCAGGCCTGCCATTTGAGCACCTACACCAGCCTTCCTGCTGTGTTGGTCCAGAACTCCCATCAGCCCCAGCCAGCTCAGTCATACGATGCTGTGGCTGATGGGAGTTGTAGTCCCAAATGGCAGGGGGGCACCAGCATGGGAAACGATGGCCCACACAATCCTCGGCCGAGCTCTTCAGACGCAGTTCGGATTCACTTGCACAGGAGGAGAGGGTTGTGCCCTCAGGTACCTGCAGGAGCACAACACCAGGCTTATCAGCAACACTACAACTGCAAAAGCCACACAGCCTGCTTAACCACAACAACTATTGTCCAAGTTCAAAGGCGGTCGTTGTGACTGCTGGTCAGCTGCTGCAGTAACCTCCTTTAAAGGCGTGCATTTGGCACTAATCAGCTGACTGGTGCAGGGTGTGTGCCTTCAAAGGGTCTTGCTTTAATCCTCAGCTAAGGTAAGGAACTCCCAGTGAGGAGCCCCACTTGAATTGGGAGCTCACATTAAGCTTCCAGTTATCCCTCTGTAGTCTTGGACATACCTGCCCCACATATGACATCACACAGGCACGGTTTGTGGGGAAACACCTCATGACCCAAGCTGGGACCTGTGCCAGGCCTAACTGGGCCCAAAGGCCGGGAGTTTCCCACTGTTGCCTAAGAACACCTCAAATGCCTGGCAGGAGGTGGCAGTGAATAAATTTTGTAAGGTCCCCAGCCAACACATCTCTGTGAGACACAAGTCTCCTCCTTGTATACAGAAATGAAAATAGAAGTTGTAAAATGGAAATAACAACAACTAAACGATTGTAAAGTCCACCTGCTGCAGGAGTCTGTAGGCCCTCCTGTATTGCAACCAGATAGCTGGTGGGTCTTTCCATGGTGCAGAGTTAGGCCTGTTCCCCCCCCCCCACGCAGAGTCATTGCTGCAGCTCTAGACAAGAGACCAAACGTTTCCCAGGCAGATAAGAGATGCTTGCATGCCAAGTGGCACACGGACTTTCAGGAGAAAAGGCCTTCCTCAGACTGCACTGCTTCCGGTCATACAGTGGGGAAATATTTAACAATAAAATACCCTGCATACAGAAAACTCACCTATCAGGTGAAATAGCAGGATCCCACTGCAGGGACTGTACCACCCTCAGTTTAATATAGGAAGGAATTTGTCCCAAGTGGCCCCCTTGTTAAAGTTTCTTTCTTTAAGAAGTACTTCCAAACCGCTAATATGTTTAATATTTCTAAGCAGTGTACAGGATAATGGAACTCTAACTACACACACACACACACAGAGAGAGAGAGAGAGAGACAGACAGACAGACAGACAGACAGACAGACAACATGCAATAATCCTTGGAGCCAGTGCATAGAAAACTCTGCTCCCCAAACCGGATTACTGACAGGCCAACAAGAATGAACCAAAAGTCCCAAAATGCCTTTAAATTGGACAGGAAAATTGGCTTCCAGGTGGAAAGATCCAAATTAGAAACAGAATTGTTAGAACCCAAGACTAAGAATTTGTCAAGAATGTATAACTTGCTGCTGAAATGGAATACTCAGGATGAAACGGTAAAATCGGCTATGATTAAATGGGCACAGGACGTTGGACATAACATTATGTTTGCTGACTGGGAACAGTTATGGACCACAGGTATGAAATTTACGGCATGTAATGCCTTAAGAGAGAATATTATGAAAATGATCTACAGGTGGTACATAACCCCAGTCAAGCTTGCGAAAATCTATCACTTGCCCGATAACAAATGTTGGAAATGTAAAGAAACTGAAGGTACATTTTTCACCTTTGGTGGACGTGCCCAAAGATTAAGGCTTTCTGGGAAATGATATATAATGAATTAAAAAAGGTATTTAAGTATACCTTCTTCCCTAAGAAACCAGAGGCCTTTCTCCTGGGCATAGTCGGCCAAAAGGTGTTAAAAAAGGATAGAACTTTCTTTATGTATGCAACAACAGCAGCAAGAATACTCATCGCAAAGTATTGGAAGACACAAGAACTTCCCACGCTGGAGGAATGGCAGATGAAACTTATGGACTATATGGAATTGGCGGAAATGACTGGTAGAATCCGTGACCAGGGAGAAGAGTTGATGGAGGAAGATTGGAAGAAATTTAAAGACTATCTTCAGAAACACTGCAAAATTAAGGAATGTTAGAGTGATGTTGGACTGAAAACAAGAGGTTTCCAGCTGTACAGGTTAAAGTTAATGATAGACTAAGATTAAAGATTAAGATTAAAGATGTTTAAAGAAATGGAAATTTGATATTAAGAGGGAAAATTTTAATGGTATATGATATTAAGACCAAGGATTAGGTTTAAAGAAGTTGAAGTTATATATTTTAATATCTTATCAAATTAAAGATTGGGATTAAAAAGTGGAAAAGAAACTGCTGGACAAATAATTTGGATTGGAATACAAAAGAGGGAGGTATGAGGAAGTCCAGAAAATAAGCAACTAAAAAACGGAAATGAAACAGAAATATTGTTTTTAATTGTTATGTTTCTTGTATTTTTATTGTTGAATCTTACTTTTGTTTTTTTGTTTTTTGTGTTTTTGTTATATGTATTGTGTATGTTTTTCTTTTATTTCTTTGTTGTTTAAAACTTTAATAAAAATTACTTAAAAAAAAAAAAAAAGTCCCAAAATGCCTTTTCAAGAGAAATCTGTTGAGATTTCAGCATGGGCCCACCACACTCATATTTATAGCAGGGGAATATGAACCCTCCAACCCCGCCCCCTTATAACATGGAAAACGCCAACAGTTTTTCTCCTCCCAGGAACAGCACATCAAGTGGTGCACTAAGCCAAACCTCCTCACCTGCCGGGGCACCAGCCATCACGGTTAAAGCTGCCATTGATTTAGTGCCTATGTAGTGGCTTTTGACCAGGTAGCGGGCCAGATCCAAGACGGAATCGAAGGGCTGGCTCAGCACTTTCTGGGCCCACTGGCAGACCAGCTGGCAGGCAGCTGACACCACCTCTTCGTCGGCGCTCTGCAGGTGCCCAGAGGACTCTGCCCCTTCCAGCTGAAACAAAAACAAAAAGGAGACCCTGAGCAACAGCAACAGCTTCACTATAGTACGTGAAAAGTACACAGCATTTCAATCTAGCCATGGAGATTGGGGCTAGTACTGAGCTGCTGCTTAAGGAAGGCCTGAGTGAGGGTTTGTTGATACTTTGCTTCCCTTGAAAAGGATTCACTATTTTTGCCACAAGCTCCATGGTGTCCCTTCCATAACACAGTAAGGTAAGTAAAAGAATTCTGGCATTATGTTGGGGTTCTTGAAGGACCTGAAGTGGGTTTTCCACTCTGATTTAGCCTTTTAAAATTATTTCAGACACTGTCATGGTGGCTCTGCAAAATTTCCTACACCTGATATAAAACATACTCTAAGCTTCAGTAACCATTTTAACAAAAGGAAATTGAAATCAGGTTTGCTCATTTCAAAAAAGTGCTTATGGAATGCCTGCGGGGAACTTCCAGATGTTGATGGTCTCAATCAGTCCCCATCAGCCAACATGGCCAATGGTTATGGACGGTGGTGATGGGAGTCTGGAGTGTGGCAACATCTGGAGGGCCCCCAAAGATGCTCTCCCCCCCAAAAAAAGTTATGGATAAAATCTGCCCCCTCTTTTAATGCCATTTCCCACACTACTGCTTGCAGACATGAGGTGGTCACATCTGCATTTGGACAGATGCAAAAATATATAGTGAAAACATGCTCTTTGTGTCTTGTGGCAGGCACCTGGCCCCAACATTTCCAAAGTGACAAGCAGTATATTTCTGAAAGCAGAGGAGCTGTTCTCTTCCCACCCAATGTGTACGCGAAATGTAACAAGCTCAAGCGTCAGAGGAGTCTTTGACCTTATGGTTTACCTTGTGTTTTAAAAGGTTGTGCCTCCTTCCCATTTTACTACATAATGAAATCCCTTCGTTTTAAACATTCCAACTTCTGCAAAGCAAACCCAGTGATCTTTAATTCTGCAACGCTAAGCTGTCAGCTTTCCTTAAAGCCCTTTTCTTCTACCTAAAAGGTCTTAATCATTCTGCCCAACAGCTCAGGTGTCTACTTTACCCCATCGGCAGTTTTGTGGAAGTCAAGGTTGGGGAGTGTCGGCATCTGCACAAAAGCTTTCTTCCGAAGTCCACTATAGCAATACGTGATTTTTAAAAATTAAGGTGTAAATAATTGTAAAATTGCATTGTTTCCCTTTGCATTAAATTAACTTTCTTACACAGACCTAACATAGATACAAAGCTGATTGGTCAACAGAACGTCCTTTCTGAATTTAAGGGCAGAAATGCAGGCATGATCCAAAAATGATCAAGGGTTAAGAGAGGAGCTCTGTCTTTCTATTGTTCCTTCCAGGCCTTCAATGGACCCCCACTCTTATAGTGAGGCAAACTGCCCCCCTGTGCTCCCCCTACTCATGGCCAAAGCTACCTTGGCCTCACCACTGCCATTGTCTGCTTGCTCTTGCCAGACAATGTCAATGAGCAAATGGCCAGCCTTCTTTCTCCTCCCTGCCACTGTTGCTTCCTTGCAAGAGTGAAGGACAGGTGAACAAGCAGGCTGCCGCAGTGAAGAGGAGGAACAGGTCCAGGGGAATGCCACCCTTTGATGCTGACCCTGATTTCCAGGAAAGTTAAGTGAAATGGTTTCAAAGACATTTCCACAAAGGATATTTTGATTTTCCTCTTGTGCCTAGACGGCGAGCCTTCATGTTGGGGAAGACATTCTTCATGATCTTCCCAAAGTCAGCAGCACTTAACGGATGGTATCCAAGATTGTCACAATAGCTCCTGAAACAAAAGGGAAACAAGTAGAAATGAATGAGAGCAGGACTGGGGCAAGGCTGATACCCAACTCTATCTCTCTTTTAAATCAGAACAAGTGAAGGTGGTTAAGGTCCTGTGTGAGTGCCTGGAGGCGGTTCGAGGATGGATGGCGGCTAACAGATTTAGGTTGAATCCTGACAAGACAGAAGTACTGTTTTTGGGAGACAGGGGGTGGGTGGGTGTGGGGGACTCCCAGGTCCTGAATGGGGAAACTGTGCCCCTGAAGGAGCAGGTGCGCAGCCTGGGAGTCATTTTGGACTCACAGCTGTCCATGGAGGCGCAGGTCAATTCTGTGTCCAGGGCAGCTGTCTACCAGCCCCATCTGGTATGCAGGCTGAGACCCTACCTGCCCATGGACTATCTCACCAGAGTGGTGCATGCTCTAGTTATCTCCCGCTTGGACTACTGCAATGCACTCTACGTGGGGCTACCTTTGAAGGTGACTCGGAAACTGCAACTAATCCAGAATGCGTCAGCTAGACTGGTGACTTGGAGGGGCTGCCGAGACCATTTAACACCAGTCCTGAAAGACCTACATTGGCTCCCAGTACGTTTCCGAGCACAATTCCAAGTGTTGGTGCTGACCTTTAAAGCCCTAAACAGCCTCGGCCCAGTATACCTGAAGGAGCGTCTCCACCCCCATCGTTCTACCCAGGCACTGAGGTCCAGCTCCGAGGGCCTTCTGGCAGTTCCCTCACTGCGAGAAGTGAGGTTACAGGGAACCAGGCAGAGGGCCTTCTCGGTAGTGGCACCCACCCTGTGGAACGCCCTCCCATCAGATGTCAAGGAAATAAACAGCTATCCGACTTTTAGAAGACAGCTGAAGGCAGCCCTGTTTAGGGAAGTTTTTAATGTTTGAAGTTTTATCTTGTTTTTAATGTTCTGTCGAAAGCCGCCCAGAGTGTCTGGGGAAACCCAGCCAGATGGGTGTGGTAGAAATAATAAATAATTAGTATTAAATTATCTAGATCAGCAAAGCAGCATTTAAGGCCGAATCCACATGTCTGGTGCTTTGGCCTTTTCCTGGAGTACCAAAGAAACAGGGTCAGCAGCCCTGGAAAAGCCAGGCTCCCTCTCAGGACAGCCCCACAGTGGCCTTAGCTGCAGGGGTCCCAGTCAGTCACAGAGGCTGCTGCCTTGCTCTGTTTCCCCCCGCATGCCTACTTGGTTGGGTCTAGCCACCTGGTTGCCCAACTCTGCCTCCAGGCTACCAGCTCCAACCATTTTTATGGACCACATGAATCCAGCTACAGTTTGATCCCATCCCATCCCCAGGATAATTTCCCCATGAGATTGTCTAGTGACAACTTAAGCCGGCTCAGGCCAAAGGGTCCATTTGGCCCCACATTCCATTCCCGCAGTAGTCAACCACATGTCCGCTATGATGCGCTATGTCGCGGTCCTGAACACGGCAAGAAGGCTCTCCTCGTCTGCGATCACCAGCTTGTTTTCAAAGGCACATTGAGGTAGAGCACAGGCATTAGGGCCGTAGCTGTTAATAGCCTTACCCTCCATGGATTTGTCTAATCCTTTTAAAAAACCAGCCAAGTTGGTGGCCATCGCTACACCTCATAGGAGTGCATCCCATAGTTAAACTATGTGAAGAAGTACTTCCTTTTGTCTGCCCTAACATTCAGCTTCATTGGATGTCCCCAACCTTTAGTATTATGAGAGAGGCCTATCCATTCTCTGCACACCATCCATCATTTATTCACCTCATGTTTCTCCTTAGTCACCATTTCTCAAAATTTAAAAAACCCAAATGTTGTCACCATTTATTGCAAGGGAGTTGCTCCAACCCCTTAATTATTTTAGTTGCCCTTTTCTAAACCTTTTCCAGCTCTGCAATATCCTTTCAGAGGTGAGGCAACTTGAAGAGTACACAGAATTCCAGTATGGTCTCAACCACATATATGTATAACGGCATAACGATACTGGCAGTTTTTTTTATATTTTTCTCCACATAAATTTTTGTGGAAACCTTTTCATCATACAATGAAATAAAAAGCAAACTAATCTAAATTTTAAAAAGCAAAAAACAAAAAACCCAAAGTAAATACAAAGCCCTCTCTCAAAGCTAGAACTTACTTCTTGTCTCACACAGAAGGGGGTGGACCTTCCCAGCTCTACCATTCCACACTCCTGTTCTGACAGTCCTTTATCAGTATTATTATCCAAAGGTTCTGCGTCTTCTTTAACCACATTATTTATCTGTTCCATTTTCATTCACCGTGTTATCCATCTCAGCCCTGATTTCTTTTAATTGCTCATATAGTAGTCGCTGCACGATGCCAGCAGTCAATGGGGTGCCCAACAGTGTTTCTGCCATACTGAATGTTCTTGGTTTTATTAACAATTCACTCTCCACCTTAAGATCTTAGTCTCCTTATCTCCAGACCACATTCTTTTCCCACAGTGGCATAGATAAACTAGTTTAACTTTTGCAGCCAGCACTTTCACCAAAGGGACGAAAGGTTAAAAATAAAACAAAATAAAATAAAGAGTTCTAACAGTTGGAACACCCCTTAACCGTTTAGAATCTTTCTTAGACACAAAGAATTAAAACATGCTTTCTGTTTTGCATTCAGCTATTTAATGATTGTCTCTTCTTAAGCCAGGAATCAGTTCACATTCCAGACTCAAATTTCAACCATCACTTCAGTTGTAATTTCTAACAGTCTTAAAAGTAATTAAAATAAATGGAGGTTTTGCTGGCCTTACGCCCTAAGGACTCACTCTCAGGACTACTATGAGGTGTTTGAGCAGTTCCTCTGGTCTAGGTTACTCACCCCTGTTGGGTCCCTCAAAACTTCTCAGTCTCCCAGCATGGAAAGCTGCTTTTTCAGAAAATCAGATGTTATTTTCCGTTCTCTCTGTCTTCCCAGAGAGAGTGTGACAACCAAGACTTATGGCTTGGCTATCTTTAATCACCACATAATTATCTCGCAAGAGATGCCTAGTCTGCCATCTTCCTCCCCAGAAGTCCTGGAAGTCTATTCCCTTCCTGGATCAACTTTTTCACAGCTGCTGAACACTGGACCGACACCTTCATCAAGCTATCCCCTACAACCCCAAGGTCTTGTTCCTGGTCAGTCACCTCCAGTGACCCCAGCAGCATAACTGTGAAACGAAGATTCCCCCCCCCCATGACCAATGTGCATCACTTTACACCTGTTTACACTAAATTGCATTTGCAATTTCACAGCCCATTGCCTCAGTTTGGAGAGGTTCCGTTCATCTCAAAGAGGCTTGCATATAATGGGTAAGTGTCCCTAAGTAACAGGTCTGATCCCACCCACCCCCTTTCATATTTTATAAGTATAATTTTCACAAATGTTGCAACACGTTTGGACAAGAAAGCAAAACAAGTTTTCCAAACGGTGCTCCTCCGACAGCCTACAAAAGTTTTCAGATGAACAAACAATTCAACATTTCCCGTGTGATCTTTGATTCCTGGCCAGTACATATTCCAAAGACTCTAGTCAGTCTTTTGTAATACCTGTACATAAGACCCGCAGGTAGGAAGCTTCCTGCTCCTGCATTAAGAAGGACTGGAATTGGCTAAAGCCAAGCAAAAAAAAGGGACAAGCCTGTTCTCCCCCTCATTCACACACAGCCTTTTTTAGAAATAGGAAACTATGCTGCCCAGATGTAACTGGCTATTGTCTTAGACTGCTAATGCACATTATATACTAAGACCATAGCTTGATCCATCCATATAGCTTTGGCCTGTCCCCAAATCACTGGCCTATCTAACCCAGGGTAGCCAACATGGTACTGTCCAGCTATTAATTCCCCAAAGTCCTGGTCAGTGGTATGCTCTGACTAGGCCACAGAAAGCTGCCTGCCAACTGGGAGTGCCGGGAACCGAACTTACAACCTTCAGCACACAAAGCATGTGCTCTGTCATTCATTCAGCTACAGCCCCTCCAGTGATAAGCAACCAAACCCCCACCAAAAAAAAACAGGGGATCAGGCACAGGATCAAAATGAGGGCCATCTATGTTGAGTCAATCAGCTCCAAAGTGCTTTAGACTACTTTCTGGAAAAGCAGTATGCACCTTTTAAACCAGGGATGACGAACCTATGGTCCAACATGCTGCAGGACTCCAGCTCCCATCATCCCTAGCCAAACAAGTTCCTTGGGTCATTCCACCTGCAAAGCCCGCACTCTACTACTAAGTTATAACCTGTCCCCAAAAGTCCTCCCTTCTCTTCGGAAGTGCAGCAGGAAACAGGCAGGAGTGGCAGTTCAAGTTAACAGTGGAGGCAGGATACTGCAGCGCCCATCATCGCCTGCCCACACAGCCCGGATGTGACCTTTCCAGGGGAGAATCCAAGAGGCAGCTTTCCTCAGCTGCTGAGGACCACATCTGAGACACACCTGTAATGGGGACCCCCTCTGGGGGTTTCCTTGGGAAAGCCTTCAAGCAGGAGGGAAAGGGCACGGCAGAACCCACAGGGCTGCCTTTGAAAGGGGGAAGAATTTCATGCCGGACTAGCAAGTGCAGAAGTGCTGTGCACAGCTTAGGGTGTGACAACCAGCACCTTATGTGGGAAGCAGCAAATGATTTTGAAAATACCGAGCAGCTAATACTGTGCTATGCATAAAGCAGAGGGCATGAAACACTTCCCGTGCCCAGACAAGCACCCCACTTCCATCTAGTACATTTCGGCACTCAAATAGCTTTTACTGTTGCCCTTTGGTTCACACACACGCCAGCGCTGTTGCCTCGGCCATCTACCATGCAGCCTTTGTGGGTCAAGGGATCACTTTTATAGGCCGTACAACGGGGATTAATAATTTACAAAGCCACGGGAGGAGAGACGCTCGGCTACGTTTGCCAGCACACTGAACCTGAAAGCTGAACGAGCAATTCTGCCATTGTCTGGCTGAGCCCGTGCAACTCTCCTAGTGAGACAGAACCTAGCAGGAGGGCCGGCCTGCCCATGAAGAAAAGCGAAGTGTGGTCTCTGACTGCTGTGTGCTGCTGCCACACACATGCCATGCTCTGCCCATCACTGCTGATGCCTAGGCGAGTGTGCGGCAGCAGTGGGTTCCGTGGATTGGTGTGGGGATTCCATGCTTTTTTCACAGCGCCATTTTTTTTCTCGCCGCGGGGACCGACTTCCAGGTTGGAAGAGCGCCAAAAATAGTGTACGCGGGACAGAGAAGCGCCCATGTGCATACGCTCTTCCGACCCGGAAGAGCACTGGAACTAGCTTGAGCACATGAGCGAGCGCAGGTGCGCACACTCCAGCCCACCGATAGGTCTGCCAGGGAGTGGACCGGCTCGGCCTCAAAAACCGTTGCCGACCCCTGCCCTCCACTATTCAAGAGGGCTCCCCCTGCCCAGCTTTGTGCAGTGCTGTTCTGCTTTGCAGCACAAGTAAGTATTTCATTGTTTAATCAGGGACTCCCTCCTCCTTGATATTCTCCCAGTGCACAAGTAAACCCACCTCCCCACAATACATTTGAAAACACTCACTTGTACTCATCATACACCTCCTGCTTGGGGAGGGATGTCTCTGGGTGCTCCTCTAAGGTGTTACGGATCCAGGAGAAGGCGTGCATTTGCTGGGCGCGGCTGGATGACACAGACAGCTGATCGCTGAGCCAGGAGAAAAGGGGGTCAATTAGGACGACTTTTATTATTGCGATATTACCATCCAATGTGTACTGAATCCAAAGCAGAGGAAGGACAGACTGGCAGACTCGGGTTCCATGGAGGTTCCAGTTTCAATAGATCACCTGGACTCTTAACCAATCTGCTTTCTGCAATTTTGCCTGTTGCCAACACCTCGAATATAGGTGTACTTTTGAGATATCAAAGGAAGGGAAAGATAATATCTAATGAACAAAAAGTTATCACCACCCACAATGGCAGAGACAACAAGGAGAGGGAGCTGGTCAGCAAAGGCAGTACCCCCACCCCACTTTTCTATCACGCCTATTACCCTAACCCCACCCCAATGATGAGGTCTGGTCCTGGGCAGTGGGACAGAGCCACAGCCAGACTGCCACAAGGTACAGACTTCTTTGTCTTTCCAACTTCCTCAGCAGCCTTTCAACAAAACATCTGTTTGTCACACCAAACAACAGGAAATTAGGCAGCAAATGTGAATTATATGACTATTCTGACACGTACATACCTTTTCTCTCCATTGCTAGGACCAGAAGGCAGCTGAAGGTAGAGGTAGAGTTTCTGTAGATCTGTAAACTTCTCAACTTCTTGCTAAATACAGAATTTTTAACAGAGTTCACAGTCAGTAGCGAAGAGTGTATATTTTTGCACAAAATGTAATTACAGCTAAACTGCTATGGTTTCAATTTCAGCAATCAATACAGAACTCTTCTCTAAATTTCTTGTGTCCTCAATCTTTTAGGCCCCATCTGCACTATACATTTAAATCAGTATCATACCACTTTAAACACTTTAAGAGATGGTGTTCACATTTAGCTCTGCCTACATCCCCTTTAATTCCCGTACTGGACCACCCATCATTCTGCCTTACAGATAAATATGTACAATATAAAAAATGGAAGGCAGCAGGAATTTATAGAATTAAGTATATTATTCCTAATAGTCATCCTTCCCTGTCTACCCTAAAGGAAAAGATTGGAAATATACCACAGTTAATTCAAATTACTACATATGCTAAATCTCTACCTTGTAAGGGGGATTGTTTACTTTCTCTACTTTTGAATCCTTAGTTGCTCAAACATCTCTGAATTTTAAAGGTTTGGTATCCAATATTTACAAGTTGCTAATAAGCTAGGCAATGGGCTCCTCCCAGCAACTTAGGATATCCTGGGATGGTGACCTTAAATTTCAGATTGATGAACATGAGTAGGTTCAAATTTGAGTAAATGCTCCATTGAATACTACTATCTTCTAGGATTCAAGAATCCACTCTAAAAACAATACTTAGGTGGTATTGGACTCCGGCATGGCTTTCAGAAATCAATATAAACATCTCTTCACTATGCTGGTGAGGCAGTAATACTATTGGAACATATATTCATATGTGATGGGAATGTGAAGTTTTACATAGTGTTTGGATAAAGGTTTTTAGCATTATCCCTCAAATCATAGATCAATCACTAACACCAGATCCAGTATTGGCCTTGCTTTTGATAAAAAGCAATACAAATCCCACAGTATCTCATAAGAAACTGGTATTTCTATTACTAGTGGTGTCATGAATGTCAATAGACTGTCAATGGAAATCTTGCTCACTTCCCTTGGTTGATTACTGGTTGGGTAGAGTTTGGGATATACTACTACTACTACTACTACTACTACTATGTTACGGAAATTACGGGGGAGGGCACATCTTTAAAGTTGTAAAATGTTACAAATATTATGCCTGAATGTATCCTTTCAACTTGACAGCTCAGGGAAGTTACCTAGCTTTAAAAATAATATAAAATCAACTCCTTTGCCAGTTTCTTCCATTCCAACGCTATTTTGCCCTTGAAAAAGGGACTCCAGGAAGTAACCAGAAGTGACAATTGCTGAGCTGACTGTTGGCCAAGGAAAACCTACCGTATTTTTCGCACCATAGGGCGCACCGGACCATAGGGCGCACCCAGTTTTTAGGGGGGAAATCAAGAAAAAAAATCTTTTCCCCCCCCAGCCCCAAAGAGCAGCGTACAGGCTGTGCACAACCTCTCCCTGCCGGAGGGGTTGCGCGCGGCTATGGCACAAGCCAAGGCAGCGAGTAGGATGGATCCCGCTCGCTGTTTTGGCTTCCTCTTTAGCCCCGCGCAACCTCTCCTTGCCGGGAGACGCAGCGCAGGGCTAAAGAAGCCATAGCCCCGTGCAGCCTCTCCTTGCCGGAGGGGTTGCGCGCAGCTATGGAGCAAGCCAAGGCAGCAAACGGGATGGATCCCGCTCGCTGTTTTGGCTTCCCCTTTAGCCCCGTGCAGCCTCTCCTTGCCGGGAGACGCTGCGCAGGGCTTCTCCTGGTTTTCCTGGGAGGTGGTTGGATTCCCTCACCTCTCCCAAAAGCCCGCAGAAGCCGCGCAACCCCTTTAAAGAGATCACGGCTTCTCCTGGCTTTTCTGGGAGGTGGGGGAATTCCACCTCCCGCAAAACTGCCGCGCGCACTTTAAAAGGGCTGCACGGCTTCTCCTGGTTTTCCTGGGAGGTGGTTGGATTCCCTCACCTCTCCCAAAAGCCCGCAGAAGCCGCACAACCCCTTTAAAGAGATCACGGCTTCTCCTGGCTTTCCTAGGAGGTGGGGGGATTCCCTCACCTCTCGCAAAAGCCCGCAGAAGCCACGTAACCCCTTTAAAGAGATCGCGGCTTCTCCTGGCTTTTCTGGGAGGTGGGAGAAGGGACTGATGCGGCCAGTCAGTCCCTTCTCCCTCCTGTGGAAAAGCCCGCAAGAGCGCACGGAGCTTGTGTGCGGCTCTTGGGGGCTTTTCCCGCCTGCCTCCCCCCTGCATTCGCTCCATAGGACGCACAGACATTTCCCATTGCTTTTTAAGAGGGAAAAAGTGCGTCCTATGGTGCGAAAAATACGGTAATCCCATCACCAGTCTTGCATAGGGGTCCGGACATGCAAAGGAAATTCTATTGCACTTTGGGTGATGGGACTTCAGAGGTGTTTGCCTATGCTAATCTTATACCTGGGTCTTGCCCTGACATGTTTTGCCTATGCTAATCTTGGACCAAGGACTTGTCTGGACATGTTTGCCAAGGTTGAACTAGTGTAACCCCTGTCTACCCCTCCCTTTGGTGACACGTCAGTGATGTAAAGATGATGTATCAATGATGCTGTGCGAACTGTATTCTGGGATGTGGTGGGAAGTTTTAAAAGTCAATGTTGCCCCATGCTCTGGGTTCACTTGCTGCTGTTGAACCTGTTGCGCAACAATAAAGGATCTAAGCCTACTGACTGCTGTTTTGCTCCAAATTGCTTGGAAGAGATACACAAGGACCAAGCAGGCTTTCTCCCAGGAAGACATCTATCTGATAATATGAGAAACATAATTAATATTTTAGAAAAATTACAAGTGAATATAAATACTAAGGCAGTTTTAATATTTGTGGACGCGAAGAAAGTTTTTGACAAAGTTTCTTGGACTTTTGTGAAAAGTGAAAAGTGAAAAAAGATTTAGAAATTTGGTCAAATTTGAAGCTTTCACTGCTGGGTCGTATTGCTGCGGTAAAAATGAATGTATTGCCTAGAATGTTGTTTTTGTTCCAAACATTGCAAATTGTGGACAAAATGGGCTGTTTCAAGAGGTGGCAGAGAGATATTTCTAGATTTGTCTGGCAGGGCAAGAAGCCCAGAATAAAATTTAAAATACTAACAGATGCAAAGGAAAGAGGTGGATTTGCCCTGCCAGACCTTAAACTTTATTATGAATCAGCAGCTTTTTGCTGGTTGAAAGAATGGCTGCTTCTTGAAAACACTGACATTTTGGATCTAGAAGGCTTTAACAATGTATTTGGATGGCATGCATATCTGTGGTATGACAAGGTCAAAGCACACAAAGCATTTAAAAACCATATTGTCAGGAAAGCATTGTTTAATGTTTGGATAAGATATAAGGATTTATTGGAAAATAAAACCCCAAGGTGGCTGTCACCGATGGAAGCGAAAGCTCTGAAAAAGCTCAATATGGAGGTCAAATGGCCGAAATATTGGGAAATTTTGGAACAAGATGGAGATAGATTGAAACTGCAGAGTTTTGAAAAACTAAAAACAAAGTGCGAGACTGGCTTCATTATTATCAGATAATGGAGGCATACAATTTGGACAAGAAAATCGGCTTCCAGGTGGAAAAATCAAAATTAGAAACAGAACTGTTAGAACCCAAAACTAAGATTTTGTCAAAGATGTATAACTTGCTGTTGAAATGGAATACTCAGGATGAAACGGTGAAATCTGCTATGATTAAATGGGCACAAGACGTTGGACATAACATAATGATGGCTGACTGGGAACAGTTGTGGACCACAGGTATGAAGTTTACGGCATGCAATGCCTTAAGAGAGAATATTATGAAAATGATATACAGGTGGTACATAACCCCAGTCAAGCTTGCAAAAATCTACCATTTGCCCGATAATAAATGTTGGAAATGTAAAGAAACTGAAGGTACATTCTTTCACCTTTGGTGGACGTGCCCAAGGATTAAGGCTTTCTGGGAGATGATATATAATGTAATAAAAAGGTATTTAAATATACCTTCTTGAAGAAACCAGAGGCCTTTCTCCTGGGCATAGTCGGCCAATCGGTGTTAAAGAAGGACAGAACTTTCTTTATGTATGCTACAACAGCAGCAAGAATACTTATTGCAAAGCATTGGAAGACACAAGATCTACCCACACTGGAGGAATGGCAGATGAAAATGATGGACTACATGGAACTGGCGGAAATGACTGGCAGAATCCGAGACCAGGGAGAAGAGTCGGTGGAAGAAGATTGGAAGAAATTTAAAGACTACTTACAGAAATATTGTAAAATTAATGAATGTTAGAATGATGTTGGATTGAAGTTAAGTGGTTTCTAGCTGTAATGGTATAAAAGAATATGGAAAAATTGGATTTTCAATACGTAAAAACCTAATGCTATAATATATTAAGATTAAAGATTAGGATTAAAAAGGAGGGAAAGGAATTGCTGGACTAATAAATTGAACTGGAATACAAAAAAGGGAGGTATGAGGAGGTCCGGGAAACAAGTAAATGAAAGAGAAGTGATGAAATGATGGAATTGTTTTTAATTTTTTTTTTTGTATTTTTCTTTTTTCTATTTTTCTCTTTCTTATTTATGTATCCTTCTTTTGAAACCTTAATAAATATCATTTAAAAAAAAAGAAAGAAAACCAAATTGCTTGTCTGGAATTTCCTACGTTTACTGACCGCATGGACCCGCGGGGGACTGGTACCCAGAGGAGCTGGGCTGTTGAGTAGTCTCTCAACCCAGAATTTTCCTTAACAACTACTACTACATTATTTATATGCCGTCCATCTGACTGGGTCACCCCTGCCAATCTGGGCAGCTGCCAACAAATTAAATCACAGTCTAGCTCTCTCTAAACGCCTTACATATCAAAGAAAAGTAACTAGGAGAGAATCTAAATCAGATCATTTTTATACTATTTAGTCTATATATTTGATATATATCACAGAGACTGAACAATGGTCCCATTAGGTTTGTGGAGAGTATATATTTTAGAAGATTAGGATAAAGTGTTTTCTAGGTGCCTTGGATTGTGATTGTAAAAGATGCATCACACAAATTAATGTAGGGTATTATTTTCCATTTTCTTCCTTTCTCTCTTATCCAGTCTAGTCTTCCAATTTTTTTATTTTACTTTTGTATCAGTATATTTGATGTTGTTTGTATTTTGCATTTATTCTGAAAATTAATAGTTTCTTTTTTTCTAAAAAAAAACCCATGGCTTCCCCCAAAGACTTCTGGGAAGTGCAGTTTGCTAAGGGTGCACTTAGAGTTGTTAAGAGTTATAATGGGTTTAACAGTCAATCCATCTTCCCAGGAGTATTCTTGAAACTGTGATGGGAACTGGGGTCTCCTAAAAACTCTCAGCACCCTTAAAAAACAAAAAAAAGGTAAAGGACCCCTGACAGTTAAGTCCAGTCACAGACGACTCTGGGGTTGCGGCGCTCATCTCGCTTTACAGGACTAGGGAGCCGATGTTTGTCTGCAGACAGTTTTTCCGGGTCGTGTGGCCAGCATGACTAAGCCACTTCTGGCGAACCAGAGCAGCGCACGGAAACGCCGTTTACTTTCCCACCAGAGCGGTACCTACTTATCTACTTGCACTTTTACGTGCTTTCGAACTGCTAGGTTGGCAGGAGCTGTTCAAAAGCACATCAAAGTGCAAGAGGGAGTTCTACCAAACACACACACAGAGCTTGTTTTGCCCCAGATAAACCTTTGAGTTACCAGATGACAAAAAAATCACTTTATTTGTGGTCATTATCAATGTATATATACAAATCAGAGAAGGCTCTCTACTCTCTTTCCACTGCTAGAAACCAGGAGAGAGAGACAGAGAGAGAGAGAGAGAGAGCGCAATTCTGCCACTAAAGACTAAGGCCCAAGCGCCTCCTGCCCATTCTGTGGTGGAGAAAAAATTGGCTGGTTGCTGGTTGGGTCCTGCAAAGAGTTTTGGAACCTCTTAAAGGTAAAAGGTAAAGGGACCCCTGACTTCCTGCCAGAGCGGTACCTATTTATCTATTTGCACTTTTTGGCGTGCTTTCGAACTGCTAGGTTGGCAGGAGCAGGGACCGAACAACAGGGGCTCACCCCGTCGCGGGGATTTGAACCACGACCTTCTGATCAGCAAGCCCAAGAGGCTCAGTGGTTTAGACCACAGCGCCACCCACGTCCCTCTCAGCACCCTTAACTAATTACAATTCCCAGGATTCTAGGCCCAGAAAGCAAAATGGCCTTACAGTGGTACCTCAGGTTAAGTACTTAATTCGTTCCAGAGGTCCGTACTTAACCTGAAGCACCACTTTAGCTAATGGGGCCTCCTGCTGCTGCCGCGCCGCCGGAGCCCAATTTCTGTTCTCATCCTGAAGCAAAGTTCTTAACCTGAAGCACTATTTCTGGGTTAGCGGAGTCTATAACCTGAAGCGTATGTAACCTGAGGTACCACTGTATTGAGTTGTGAGTTTCAGTTTCTCTTTCACCTCTTTTTCTCCTGGCTTCTTATAAAACAAGTAGGGGGTGGTGTTGTTAAATAAAAGATCTAGTTTTAGCTTACTGCTGGGTCTGTTTCCCATGTGATGAGACAAAAGCCTACTCTGCAAGAGGAGGGTACTTTTGCTCCCTGTCAGCTACAGAAAGCTTTCCATTTCAAGCTTCCCAGCCTGGGGTATTTTAAAGAAGCTGGCAGCGTCTGACAGAGTTGGAAGCAGAGGAGGCTCACCCCCTGCACAAACTAGGTGAATATGAAAGCAACTTTGGTTTCAAGGCTACTTACCAAAATGCAGTCCACCTTAGATTGTACAGTTTTGCTGGAGAGTGAGGGAAAAAGAAAACACAAAGTTAATATTCACCGTCATTGTTTCTGCAGGTTTATTTAAAGATTTATAGCAGCACAACCTTTGTCAATAAGCAAGAACCCAAATGCTGTGTTTTACCTCATTTAGCGGCCAACCAATCTGCATGGCATCTCAAGACTTAACAGAAAAACCGCTCCTGATATAGACGCAACCAAACACCACTCTTTCCCTGGCAAATGTTAAGAGCTAATGCCAGGAGGTACTGAACACCTGTTAGCCCAGCACCAGAGAAGTCCCACTATTCAGAAATAGGATCCATGTGTTTTCTCATCTGGAGGTGGCAGCAACAACCGCTGCAGGAACCTGGCGCTTGCTGGCCGGCTTGCATTACAAACCACACACAGTTACACAATATGGCTTTCAGAGCCAAGCTCTGCTGCTCAAAAGGCAGACTATAATATCAAGTCTTCCTCGGTCATTGCCTGTCCTCTTCGGCACCCAGCAGACCCTTCCTCCTGCTTCCAAGTTTCTCTACCACAGGCTTGCTTTCTGCCCCCACTCCCCATTTTTCCAAAATTGCCTGTCTGTGAGCAGCCCACTTGCGCCTTGGAAAGCCTTGCCACAATGCCTACTTATTCCCAGTGGCGTAGCGTGGGGGGTGCGGGCCGGGCGCACCGGGCGCAACATCTGGGGGGGGCACTTGCACTCGAGTGCTAAAATCCACAGGTTAGGGGGCGCAAATTACCGTATTTTTTGCTCTATAAGACTCACTTTTTCCCTCCTAAAAAGTAAGGGGAAATGTGCGTGCGTCTTATGGAGCGAATGCAGGCTGTGCAGCTACCCCAGAAGCCAGAACAGCAAGAGGGATCGCTGCTTTCACTGCGCAGCGATCCCTCTTGCTGTTCTGGCTTCTGAGATTCAGAATAATTTTTTTCTTGTTTTCCTCCTCCAAAAACTAGGTGCGTCTTGTGGTCTGGTGCGTCTTATAGAGCGAAAAATACGGTGCTTGCCTTGCCCCGGGTGCTGACAACCCACGCTACGCCACTGCTTATTCCTATTAATATTCCTAAATTTATTCCCTGCCCTTCACCAGTGGGTCCCAGGGCAGGTTACAACAATGGAAAATTCGGAATTAAAAATGGTTAAAACATATTACGTGCACGAGAATAGGGCGGGCCCTGAAAACACACAGCTTAAGTGACACAGGTGTAACACCCGTATAGTGAGGAATCCAGATGCATCTCTGTGGGGAGCTGCCAAAGAGAATGCCCTCCCTCAGGCATCCCTCCAAACTTCTAAGAGAGGCGGTACGACCAGCCAGGCCCTTCTTAACACCTGAGACGGTCTGTAGGGAAGGAGGTGGCCTTTAAGATATTTGTGGCCTATGTCATTTGGGGTAACATGAGCACCTTGAATTGGACCCAGAAACACACTGGAAGTCGAGGCATCCTGCTTTGCCACTTCTTTCCCACCTGATAACGTGCCTCTCAAAAGCCCAACTTTCCTGTCAAATCTCTGGCCTCTTTAATCCTAAAAGCTTTGCATTCAGACAGGAAAGCAGGGAGGGCGGGGTGGGCTGGCTCTCCATCTGTACAGGTTTATTACACAATATTGTCCCTTCTCCTCTGCCTGTGTGCACCTTCCTCAGCCTCCACGATGTTTTGGATCCCAACCCTCCACCGTCAATCCTGCCCATTGGCTTTGCTGGCTATCTGGTAAGAGCTGTGGTCTCGAACATCTGGAGGGCACCACGTTGGGGAAGTGGCTGCTTTAGGCCTTTAATACAACATCTAGGTGGTCATCAGTCAGTCAGTCTCAGCCGACTTCCTCATGAAACCAGGCTGCTGCTTCCAATCCCAAGTTTAATTTCCAGGGATCCAAAACACACCACGGGTGGGGGGAGATCCTTTTCCCCACCTCAATCACGAGAAGTGTTTTGTTGGATCAAGTCGAAGCCTCCTGCCCCCTATTTCCCAGAGAGACCAGTCAAGGGTTCTTACCTTACAACCATGATTCATCCACCAACCCTGCTGTGAATTCACCATCCTAATCCCGTAATTCCGTAAATTATTTATATGGATAATTTATATTACACATACAATTAAACAAAACTCTTTATATATAGTCTGCCCCAATTTGGCTGCTGGTTAATTTCACTGTGTGGACTCAGGGGGTTCTAGCACTAGGCAGGGGGGAAAGGGGGGAAACTCCCCCCCCCCAAAAAATCATGAAACTCTATCAAGTCACCCCTGTCCAGTTTGCTTTTTAAACGGAAATGTGTCAAGGGTGCCACAGACAGAAGCAGCCTCCATGCCCAGGCTGATGTAGGAAGGAACTGTCTTGGACAACACTGCTTGCTGAAGGTCTGCCTGCTTCTTCAGAGCAAAGTTGCATGGAAGTTGCATGGCTGCTCCTGCTCAGGAGAAAACAGCAAGCACCCAAACACAGAGAGACCAAAGGGGGGGGCGTGTTCCCCCAGTGGGTTAAACCAGCTGTCTGCTGCCTCAAAGCTGCCCATCCATCTGTCCATTTGGTGCCTAACCTATTTCTCTCATGGGCAGCAGAGCAGCTGGTGAGAAGGAAGCGGAGCCCCTACTCTGCCCAGGGACTCGGCCATGACCTTTACTGATGAGCAAGCATCAGATCACCACATGGACAGATGCATCAGCTGGGGGGCGGGGGAGAGAAGGCAGCAAGATCCAGCATGGGGATAGGGGTGGCACACGGCTGGCATGTGGGTCATTCTCCAAGGGGCAAGAGAAGGCCTCCACACCACACACTCAGCAACACGCAGGGGGCAGCAGCTGAGCAATCATGCAAAGAACATGCAATCGACACACGGCTTTCATCAGGCTACCACAGCCTTCCCCAACCACATGTACTGGACCACCACTGCCATCTGGGGGCTGCCAGGCTGGGGGAGGCTGGGCTACTGTGATCCAGGCACCACCTTGCCATGCACCTCTTATCAATTCCACTTGCAATATCAGATTCAGGGATGTGACAATACCACGCTGTCCTGAACTGTGCCGGGGGGTGCAAAGTAAACTGCAGCAGAAACTTTTCTAACGCCTGCTATTCACTGATAAACCTTCAATGGAGCTCCACAGAACTTTGATTATCCCCTTCAAGAAGCGTGAACTGCAGAAAGGGAGAGAAGTAGCCATGACTGTGATGCCACAAAGGGTTTAATCTTCCGTGGCATCTCTAGGTAGGTAGGTAGGTAGGTAGGTAGGTATGTCAGGGGATGTTCCTCATCTGAAACCCTAGAGAGCCACTACTGCCTGTCAGTGTGAATACAAAGCTAAATGGATAAATGGCCTGACTCAGGGATCACCTACACTTCTCTTTGTCCCATGATTTCTAGTCATGGGTCCTAGAGGTTTTAGTATTGTCCCACTGCTTTCCCTGGGAAAACCCACTGTTTGCTGCTGAATCATCAAACATCAATTGAGTGCCCTGGCTGGGCCTTGTTTTGGTCCTAGTGGTGGCCCTGCTGGACACGAAGCACTATTGGGACTCGGAAGTGGCCTGGTGGCAGGTACCAGCTGAGGGAGCCTCGCAGGGTGGACAGAGAATGCTTTGTGAGGGTAGCTTCAGGAGCAGAGGCACCTGAGAGGAGGGATGCTGGAAGATGGGAGTTGCTTAGGGGGCAGTGAGGAGGGTCAGTGCTGGTCTCATGAGGCTGAGAAGTTGGCAGGCAAAAAGGCATTTCGGAGGTGTCAAGAGCAGGAGATTTGGGGAGGCTTTTGGTTTGGTTACGCATGAAACCCAGAAGTGGGGGGAGAGACTCAACCAAGCCCCACAGCACCTCCAGCTTGTGAGGAGACCCTCCCCAGAGCCCAAGGAGGACACCCCCTTTGAGCTCCAGGGAGGGTCTCCTTGCAAGCTGGAGGCGCAGTGGGGTGCACCCCACTTAAACATATATCACTTATGTGCACAAGGGGCCGGAACGTAACCCCACGTAAGTGGGGAGTCTCCTGTACTGTAATTTAATTCATACCAGGAAATGGAGGGAGAGCGCTGGAGAGTCCTCGTGGCTCAAGAGGAAACCCTCCCTGCAGCCCGAAGAGGACTTCAGTGAGAGCGGAGAGGAGACCGGAGGCGCAGCAGGGCTTTGCTTTCTGCACGTCCTCCAGCCTCCTGCTGGCCCCACAGCTTCAGTTCCAGTTGTGGATATTTTTGGTACAGTATTTTTGATCTGGATTGGAGAGAGAGTGGGAGAGAGGGCATTGAAAGTGTGTTTACATGTTTTCCACTTATGCACCGGAACATAACCCCCATGTAAGTGGGGAGTCGCCTGTAATGAAGGCAACCAGAGGACTCCTCAAAGGAGGAAGCCACTGTAAAGAAGGCCCCCAATCAAACAACAACCACCACCATCCATTTCTGGAGGGGAAGAGGTCAAAGCAGCCAAACACAACTGTAATTTGCTTTGGTGGGGTACAAAGGGAAAGGGAGCTGACTTTCACCCTCAACTACAGAAGTAGAACAAGTCACCAACCAACCAACAAGCAGGGGCTACTGAAAATAAGGTGTCAATTAATTACTTCTCTCTTTCACACACACACATTATTCCACAGAAATAATAATAAAAGAAACAATAAAAATACCAAATCAGAACAGGTATTTAATGTGATGGGTGTGCTGTCTACCATCTTCAGTCACAAATCCACAGATACACCATGGACCACCTGAACGAGGCTTGTGGATCAGAGTTTGGGAACCCATGGTTTAGACAAATTCATCAAGGACAATAAGGCTCTCAATGGCTGCAAGCCATTATGGCCATGTCCTGCCTCCATAGTCAAAGGCAGTAAATGTCTCTGAATACTTTGAATACTGGAGAAAAGTGAGTCGAAGAGGGTTCATGTGCCCATGTCCTATCTATTGGCTTCCCTTTGGGGGCATCTGGTTGGCCACCATGAGAAAAGGATGCTAAGACTAGATCAGGGGTAGGCAACCTAAGGCCCGTGGGCCGGATGTGGCCCAATTGCCTTCTCAATCCAGCCCATGGAAGGTCCGGGAATCAGCATGTTTTGCATCTCTGGGTTATTTGTGGGGCCTGCCTGGTGTTTTTACATGAGTAGAATGTGTGCTTTTATTTAAAATGCATCTCTGGGTTATTTGTGGGGCATAGGAATTTGTTCATCCCCCCCCCAAAAAAAGTATAGTCCGGCCCATCACATGGTCTGAGGGACGGTGGACCGGCCCACGGCTGAAAAAGGTTGCTGACCCCTGGACTAGATGAACCCCCTTTGGGTTGATCCAGCACCCAGGCTCTTCTTACATTCTTTAAAGAAAACAACACACACACAAATACACACTGCACGCCATATAATATATTAAGTCAACAGAGGCAGCCTCTACTCAGTATCAACAGCTTAATGTTTCCCTGCACAACAGGAGCCAAGTAGAATGCGTTGACAACACAGCACATTCCTGGCAGCGTGGATTACAATACTCTGCAAACAAGGAGCTCACCAGGTTGCAGCAGCATCAGTGTGGAAGGAGAAGAAAAGACAGTGGAGGGAGGGGGCAGAGCAGCCGAAAAGAAGGCATGAGGGGCTATTTAGGTGAGCTTCCCCAGCAGCAGCACAGCCCACTCCTTGCTGCTAGGGAGAGAGGACCTTCCTTCTTCTGGCCCAGCAATAATTGCTTGAGGAAGCACAACAATGCGCAACTTTTCTATTCCTACAACCATCTACGTAAAATAAAGCAATGAATACCTCATGAGAAACTCTGAGTCAAAGACACTGTCTTGCCCAAAATCAACAATCAAGTTCATAAATCTTTATAGATTCGAACTCCCATCTCCAAGCTTTGACTTTTAGTGAACTGAAAGTTGTTTTGCAAAAGCTTAATTGTCCACGGCAACCAGAAAACGCATCCATGTAACTGGAATTTGAGGGTTTTGGTTTAAAAAACAAAACATGAACCCATCGAGCAGATAATATCTTGCTTGCGATTAACAAAGGTCATTACTTAAACAAAGGCTCCTGAAGAACCTACAATTGTTTCCCCAGCACCACCAGCAAGTGATAAAAGCATCAACGTCATGTTCTCTTCAACTTACGTGAAGACAGAAAAAATGTCACCTGCAAGTAACAAGAAGTTGGTCATCCTCAAGACTCAGGTTGCTACTGTGAAACCCCTGAGCTCGGCCTGCCATGAAGGAGTTCAAACTTGGACAAGTCCACCACCTCTTATAAATGAGCCAAAGCAAAATCCAACCTAGTCATCCTCTGTCTGTTGACTTTCTCTGTTCTCAATTCGACATCATGGCTCCTCCAGTTGGGCTTTATTTGGTCTTGTTTTGTTGCTTGCAAAAGATGTAAGCATCTCTCACTGGTCCAATGTGACTAGTTCAAAGTTTGGTGTCATAAAGAGCAGGGAGCACCAGTTCCTCCATCACTACTCCCACCTCTGCTCCTCTGCCTGTATCTTGATTCTCAAACCCCCACCACCACCTTCTGCTTCATGCTACTGTTTGGAGATACACACGGAAGTCCTGTTCAGACATCGATGCTAAATCACAGCCTAGCACGACAGGAGCAAGCCTAGGTGAGCATCAGGCTCCTCTTTGCCACAGCCACAAGGGCAGGTTTGGAAGCTTTTGCTTCCAGTTCAGATGGACTGCAGCTTGTCATTTTGTCCAACACAATAAAACTGGTTTCAAGTGTCTCATTTAAAAAACATTTTTAAAAAACAACAACCCAACAACAATAGGTGCTTAAAAGCCTAAATGACTTAGGCCCCAAATATCTGAAAGACCTTCTCCATCCCTACAGATCCTCTTTGGTGTGAAGATCAGAGGGGCTGTGGGGCTCTTTTGGTAGTTTCATCACCTTCAGAAGTGCAAGATATGGTAGCCAGAAAGAGACATTCTATGTGGCAGCCCTTAGATTGTGGCTCTCGCTCCACACAGAGGCGCACCTGAGCATCTTCAGTGCATAGCTTTTGGCATATGCTGAAGACAGACCTCTGCGCCATGGCCTTTCACAGGTAAGCGTTTTGTTGTTATTTGTGGGACACACCACTTTGGATGAATCTGCACTGTTCTGTTGGAACAGCTTTGGTTTTACTTGTCTTTATAGCTGTATACGGCTATAAAAATATATATAAACTGCTTTTATACTGCTGTTACTCACCCTAGGTCTTTGTAGTAAAGGGCAAGTCAAATCAAGTAAATAAATAATAATATTACCCAAAATGTGTCCATTCTAACAAAGCAGCAAACTGCAAACAAGCAAAACCAGAAGTGAAAGCTTCTCTAGACTTATCACAGCCACACTGAAGGAGGGGGAAAGGAGTGAACCACAGACTTATTTATGCTCGTCCACATCACACCAGGCCCTGGGTATCTGATGGTGTGCAAATAGGGCCACAGAAGCAGCAAACTGGCATGTAGGAAGAGTTGAAAAAAGGGTTTCAACTCATACAAATCTTGTTTTTTGAAGTCTGTGAAGCTGAGCATCAGTTCGAAAGTTTGCCTTCAGTCTTAGTTCGCCTAGTGCTCTTCAGATATTATGGACTGCAACTCCCATCAGCCCCAGCCAGCAATGACATAAGACGCTGAAGCTAAAGGGAGACTAGTCCAAAAAAATCTGGAAAGCACCAGATTTTTTTGGGGGGGGGCTGGGGGCTGGGGCTGGCTTACAATCTGAAGTTATGATCTCCAAGACATTTAGTTCTTAATATCATGCACAATGATAATGATGATAATACTGTACGAATGAGCCTGTCATTAAAACTTGACAAAATATCCACATTTACTGCTAGTTCATAATATTATGACCAAGGGGTGGCAGCTGCCTCCCCTAAACCAAGTAAATCAAGAAATATACTTAACTAACTGAGGTTCCGCCCCTCCCATATGAAGCCTGCCCCCGCCCTAACAAAAATCCTGGCTACGCCCATGGATCTGTGGTGAATTGCCCTGAAAACTTTGTTATGGAGTGGCCTGCAAGTACTCTAAAGCATGAGTAGGCAAACTAAGGCCGGGGGGCCGGATCCGGCCCAATCACCTTCTCAATCCAGCCCGCGGACGGTCTGGAATCAGCGTGTTTTTACATGAGTAGAATGTGTCCTTTTATTTAAAATGCATCTCTGGGATATTTGTGGGGCACAGGAATTCGTTCACTCCCCCCCTCATATGGTCCGGCCCCCCACAAGGTCTGAGGGACAGTGGACCGGCCCCCTACTGAAAACATTTGCTGACCCCTGCTCTAAAGGAATAAGTGCAGTACAGAATTGTTCACACTTCAAGGTTTTTCCACAAGAAATCTGAGTGTATTCTTATTCTGTGTAATAATTTTGAATAAAGTACTGTTTACATCTGAACGTAACCTTCCTTGTTGTTCGATACAGACAGCCTTTCTAAGTATGTGCTTAGCTAACGTGTACATTTACTCACAAGTAAGTTCTGCCAAGTTCAATGGGGCTTACTCCCAAGAAAACATGCATTGCGCTGCAGAGGGCCAGCGCTACAAGATGCCGCATTCCGACATTAGGATGGTGCTTGTGGTGTCTGCTCAAATAAAAACTAAAGGATTTATATTTCAAAAATTCATCAGGAACTCGACTTTGTCAACTTTTACTTTGAGAACATGACAATATAATAAATTTTAAAAAGACCATTTCTAAACTGCGTTATATAAAAACCTCCAATAAAAGCTTAAAAAGTATGTTATAGATATATAACAAAATCAGTACAAACGATCAGAGCAGCAGTAAAAATACAGAACTTCATTAAAACTCTGTAATATACTACAACAACAACAACAACACAAAACAACAACACCCCAGGGTTCAGCTTACAGATCAGGTAAAGGCTGGGGGGGAATTTGCCTCTTCAAAAGTTGTCTGAAGCATGTACCGTATTTTCGCTCTATAAGACACACCAGACCATAAGGTGCACCTAGTTTTTGGAGGAGGAAAACAAGAAAAAAAATCTTCTGAATCTCAGAAACCAGAACAGCAAGAGGGATCGCTGCACAGCAATCCCTCTTACTGTTCTGGCTTCTGGGATAGCTGCGCAGCCTGCATTCACTCCATAAGACGCACACACATTTCCCCTTACTTTTTAGGAGGGAAAAAGTGAGTCTTATAGAGCAAAAAATACAGTAATTGATGGTGAAAATGCCCTTTAATGGGACACTGCCATAGAATATTTCAGGGGAAGCATTTTTTTGAATCAGATCACCTTCTCTCAGGGTCCCGGGGTTGTTGTGAGAATAAAATGGGGGGTGGGGGGTTAGAACTATATACAGGCAATGGCTATTTTACACTTGTTCAATGCACGTGTGATCGTGCAAGTGCACATCGCTGCAACCTAGAAGTGGCCAGAAAAGGGGACAGAACAGGGTTTGCTTACACGTGCTCTGCCAACATGTGCAGGGGCCACGCAAATCAGGGGTTGCTGCACATGCAGGTCCGGCTGACTGAAGACAATGAAAATCGTTCATGAGCCGAGCGTTCACATAATGAGATGATGATTTCCATTTATTCCTATGGGAAAATTTCTAATGCATTCCCAGACACAGAATTTTGACCCCCAAAAGCCGAAACAAAAAACAGGAAAACTGCTCTGATTTGTTGGATCATTCTCCATCCTTTCCTCTGCCAACCAACAGAAGGCAAACAAGGAATTATAAAAAAATGCTCTCTGTTTGGAATATGTGGTGTGAATAGCGAGGTTTAGACGCTAAATCCTCATGTTTGGATAAGTGAATTTTCGCACCGCAAATGTTCGGAAAGCAGGACCTGCATGTACACAACCTTGAACTCAAGAGGAAAAATTGGGTATAAATGAATTAAAATAAATTATAACTATGGCTACCTCCTCCTCCTGCAATTATGCCTGAGACTCCATGAAATATTTTTAAATGCTGTTGTTGTTTAGGTGCCTTGTCTCCCTTCACAACAAACATCTATCCTGAGCTGAAGCAAACCCAACCCCCAAACAAATGTGACTACCATTACTCAAGCAAGGCGGAAGGGATTAACAACAAAAGTTAAATGACAGGTAACCACACACAAAGCTTTTTTTGCAGTCCTGCCTCCTGGCTCAGTCCACTGACTTCAGTGAATGTCTGAAAGGATCGGCAGATCCAGCAACTGTTTTATTTCTTTAAAACTAGGATCTATCATTGTAGGAACCACACAGTTTCCAGTTGTGCATGATACCAGCTGGAAGTTGCTTGGAAAGTGAGGTTGGCTTCCTCTACCCTCCAAATATTTTCTGGCTAACTCACCACCTGGAGGAAGGGCACACCCAGTTCCTTATGTATCCCTAAGGCACAAATACATCATCTACGCCCAAATTTGCTATCAAAAGCAACCTGTGTGTGTTGATGTGTTAGAGGAGGCAATAGGAAACAATACATAAACACAGGCAGATATTCTCTCTCTCACTCACTCTCTCTCTTTTCACACACACACACACACACACACACACACACACGTACCTAGTAGTTCACTGATGAACAATGGTGGGTGAAACAATCAGAAACGAGACTGTTAAGGTGCTCTGGCTGCAGGAGGCAGCAGATCAAGCCAGCTTTGCATGAAAATGATTTTTTAAGGCAGTGATAGAAACTCAAGATACATAAGCTAGGTGCCAAATGGCTCCTTAAACCAAGTGGCCAAAATGGAACGTCAAGTTCTCTGATTTTTCAAATGATGGACTGACTGTGATTATCAGTTAAACATCTGGCTAGTTCAGATGACAACCTTGAGCTAGGTTAAGAACTTTGAGAACTAAAAGAAGAAAAGTCACTTTATCCAGGGATAGTCCACATACATATTGGCCTATTCCTACCTTTTTTTCCTTAATAGTGACATGGGCCATTCATAACGTTAAGAATATTCTTCACAACTGTGAGCAGGGCAGTGGGGTGGGGTAAGTGAAGACAGGCTACAACAATTTATAATGTTATTCACTGCTCCTGCTAAGGCTGAACAGAAAAAAGCATGTTGGTTCCTGAAATTCATCCTGATTGTGCAAATAAAATATAGCTGATAGAATTCTACAGGATGTGGTATTAGTGTGCGAAAACAGTCAAGATCCACAGGCATGCACCTCCAGATGGAGTTGTCAGGCGCCATCCCGGCACCGAGACATCTTCACTTGATTGCAAGCGGCCAATAGGTAAAGGAAAACGGACCCCTGACCATTAGGTTCAGTTGTGACCGACTCTGGGGTTGTGGCCGAGGGAGCCGGCGTACAGCTTCCGGGTCATGTGACCAGCATGACTAAGCCGCTTCTGGCGAACCAGAGCAGCACACGGAAACACAGTTTACCTTCCCGCCTATTTATCTACTTGTACTTTGACGTGCTTTTGAACTGCTAGGTGGACAGGAGCAGTGACTGAGCAACGGGAGCTCACCCCGTCGCGGGGATTCGAACCGCCAACCTTCTGATCAGTAAGTCCTAGGCTCTGTGGTTTAACCCACAGCGCCAATAGTCAGGCACAAATTGCGCCTGGTGCCTGGCTAATTTCAAACACTGTCTTTAAGCAATTTGGGTGAAAGGAAAATACAAAGAATGACAAGCTCCACTGGAAGTTCTCAAAAGACAGCAAAGTGGACAACTGTCTTGTAAGACATTTAGTTGCCCACAGAGGGGACTGGGGAACTACAGCACCTCAACACACACACTAATTAAAATGGGTGAAAAGCAAATCCAGCAGCAAATCCACCTGGAAAAGTTCTACTGAAATGAACAGGGGCTGGGCCATGCCAGCATCACTGTTTTCTTTACATTTCTAGCATTATCCTTATGGGACATCTGCTGGGGGAAAACACTAGCCTGCCTCCTTAATGGGACTTGCAATCCACTGCCTTGATAGCGTAAGTTCTGGTGAAGATGCTTTAATTACAAGGTCTTGGGGCAGATAGGTTGGGCACTTGACCCACTCTGAATCACTGAGGAACTATGACTTTTGCAACCCTTTCTTTGGGATAGCCAAACGGCCTCAAAAACTGGATAAAAAACTGGGATTGTGTTTATCCATGGGGTTCTCTTCAATGAAAGCTGCTGTTCTTGGAGACCAAAATTCTACACACAACAGATACGACATCAGAACGGCACATCAGAAAGTGTGGAAGGCAAAGAACTTTGGGAATATGTGCAAGCCACTTGTTGGATCAATGTCTTAGCTGGCATTTTGTTTATGTACGCCCCATGTAGCTGCTCTTGCGCCCTGTAACCTTTTGCCTGCCTATGTACCACTCTGATTTGGCATTAAAGCCTTTGGCAGAAACAGGGTTGGGATTTTTGATTTCTTTGTGTTGCAGTGAGGGTCATGTCAAAAGGGGCTGGTGAGGATGCCATTCAAGCTGTACCAAAGCTGAGCCAAACTACAACAACTTCACTAACTTCTGACAGGACCCTGATCGATCAGGATTATCGTCTAGGCAGCCCAATATATGTGTGGTTGCTCTAAAGAACATTTAGAAGCTCTGCCTGGTTCAGGATACAGAAGCATGCAGAGACAAGAGCACATCTGCCCCTTTCTGAAGCAGTCACATGGTGGGTCCCAGTTGACTTCTAGCCCTGGGTAGCACCCAAAACACCTGTCTCCAGCTTACTTGGAAAGAAAGGCCTTGGCCTCATTTCTGTGACTTTCTCACGGAAGAATGATGGGAGGTGGCACCAAGAATGAGACTGTCTCCTTCCCCCCAAGTGAGGAAATATCAAAACGGGGGACAGGGTTTCACTCTCACACACCAAAATGTAAATGTGTGAGGCACTGCTTGGCAGATGGTTGCAGGGGTTGCATTAACTGGCAACCATGTGAAAGTTGTAGCACCAGCCTTCCCTGAACCTGGTCTGGCACTCTGCAGATGTTTGGGACTACAGCTTCTGTAAGTCCCAGCCAGCATGACCGCACATTACCGGGGCTGACAGCACTGCTGTGTTGGCTGTGGCTGATAGGAGCTGTAGTGCAACACATCTGCAGGGCACCAGGTTGACCAGCTGGATCTGGCCAACGGGGGCCCCTCCAGTCCAGCATCCTGGTCTCACAGTGGCCAACCAGATGCCCTAACGGGGCAAGCCCACCAGCAATAGCACTCACAAGTGGAACACACTTTAGCAGCCTTAGTGAAATTGCAGACTGACTCTCAAAAGTCTGGAGCATCAGAGATGTCTGTCGACAGTCTCTTTGTCAAATACACCCTCCACAAACACACAGTGGGCCATACAATGCTCACTCCGCCCTAATTTTTTTTTTTTACCTTCTTCTTTTTTCACTCCGCCCTAAATTAACCAAAATCCCATATTCACAAGCAGTTGAGCTGAACAAAGATCTATCTCCCTTTTGATGTTTAAGTGTCTGGACACAAAAGCGATTAGCATAAAAGCTTTAATGAATCTAAAATAAAAACAGAAACACAGAGATTGAATCCCAAAAGTGCAGCAAAGGCTGGGGCAATTTGCAACCCTGCCCTAAATGACACTAATCAGGGCTGTCTGGGCGCTGCTGCTCAGGCCTGGTCTTTTTGTCTAGACTTGTAATCCATGAAGGAGAAAAGGGGAAATAAAGAGCTCAGAGATCAGCTTGGGCCTTTTCATCAGCACTGTAAGAGGAAAAAACCAGTTCATGGCCAGAAAAACAAAACAAAAACAGCATCGGTATGTAGCTCACTGATGCCTGTGTTGCATTTTGATTATTGTATATATAAAGACACATATGCCTCAATTGGACAACGAAGCAGACACCATTTCATCATATCCATTTCAGATGGGCAGAAAAGAATAATCCTGACAGGATTAGAAGACACCAAATCATTTTAATTTTACACAATACTTAATCAGCTGCAAGAAAAGAGTCGATTGTTATGGCTGCAACCCATTTAAAACTTATTAATTTTATTTATTAATTAATTTTGCATACATCCTTCATCCAAAGATCACAGTCCAGGTCACAACAGAAAAATACAAAACGAGAACACAAAAGACATAATAAAACAAAAACAAATCTGTACCGCCCCCCCGGTTATAGAGAAACGTTTTTGCCTGGTGCCTAAAGATATGTAATGAAGGTGCCAGGCGAGCCTCCCTAGGGAAAGCATTCCACAAACAGGGAGCCAGCGCAGAAAAAGCGACCTCTTGTGGAGGTGGCACACAAAGAATGGCCTCAGATGATCATCACAGGGTCCAGGTTGGCTCATATGGGGAGAGGTGGTCCTTGAGGTACTGCAGTCTTGAGCCAATTAAGGCTGTACAGTGGTACCTCTGGTTACGAACTTAATTCGTTCCGGATGTCCGTTCTTAAGCTGAAACCGTTCTTATCCCGAGGCGTGCTTTTGCTAATGGGGCCACCAGAGGCGCGCGATTTCCATTTGCACCCTGGGGCAAAGTTCGCAACCAGAAGCAGCTACTTCCAGGTTAGCAGAGCTCGTAACCTCAAGTGTTCGTAACATGAAGCGTCCGTAACCAGAGGCACCACTGTATAGGTCAAAACCAGCACTTTCAATTGGGCTTGAAAACTAATTGGCAGCCAGTGCTGTATGGCCAAGATCAGTGTAATATGCTCAAACCATCTTGCCCCTGACCACTTAATTCTGCACCAGCTGAAGTTTCCAAACCATCTTCCGAAGCAGCCCTACATATAACACGTTGCAGAAATCTAATCTAGAGGTTACCAGAGCGTAGGCAACATAAATTAAGCTATCCATGCCAGATAGGGGTGCATCTCGCCCATCAACCAAAGCCGATGGAAGCCAGTCTGTGCCACTGAGGCCACCTGAGCCACAAGTTACTGCAAAGGATCTAGAAGCACTCCCAAATTTATGTATCTGCTCCTTCAGAGGGAGTGTAACCCCAAAGTGTTAGAAACTCAGGTATATAAGCTAGGTGGCTTAAACCGAAGTTGCAGTCACCAAAACCTGCTTACCTGCTTAAGAAAGATGGAGGGACCAGTCAGATGGAGAAGTCAGTCACCAGCCTAGCATCCAGAGATCTCCACTTGGTCGCAATTGGACCCACGCCAGTCACAAAAAGAGCCTGGCAAATTTTGAACCTTGGGTGCCTTTCACACGTGTCGGACCACAACTCCCATCAACCTTGGTCAGCATGGCTGCGTTATGATGCTGGGGCAATGAGAGTTGTACTCCAAAGCATCTGCCAGGGCTGATGGGAATTACAATCTAAAACATCTGGAGGGCACCAGGCTGACAAAGGCCATAAAATGTTAAATCTAAGATATAGTACCAACAACAGAAGCCAGATAACAGATGATAACAACAATGCAGATCTAACAAATGCTCCCCCCGCCCCAAAAAAGAAGAAAAAATTATGAAAACTTTGTAAATAAATATGTCTTCAGCTCACAGAAAGATGGTAAGGCATTCCACAACTGGGGCACCAACACCAAAAACGTCACCCACCACAACTCATTTGGCAGGGCACTTGGATAAAGACCTCTGAATGTGATCCTAGGGCCAAGGTAGACACATGGGACAGACACAATCTGTAGTTTTTAAAAAGTTTAGCTGTGAGCTGCTTTGAGCAAGTAATCTGGTCTCTGATTCACTCCAATTCAGTGTGCTGGTTTTCACGTAATGGGACAGGGCTTGGGACCTCACTGCCCAACAGACTGCCTTCTCTCATTTGTACCTGTTCATACCTTGAGGCAACTTTTGTCAGCTTGGTTCAATCCATAGGTGTCAGACTATAACTCCCATTAGGCCAGCATCTGCAGGATGGTGTTGAGGGTGATGGGCATTGTAGTGGAAAAGCATCTGGAGGGCACCAGGTTGGGAAAGCCTGCCCCAAGGTCATCTGCGGAGGCCCTTTGCCATGTGCCTAGAGAACCGATTCTACAAGTGCCTCATAATATAACAAATATCGCCTGTCAAACTCATTTTAATTTCCAGAATAAATTCTGTTGTGGCTAAAGCAAGAAACAATATTGCTGGCCAAGTCCTCAACCGACCAAATGCACTGTGGTCCTTACAGACTTGTTATCATCTCCAAGTCTTCCATTTTAGTAACTGCTATATATCGCTGTAGCCTTTAAAAGTGACAATGGGGAGAGCAGGTTTAATTCGTAATCAACTACAGGATTATTTGATCAATCAGTGGCGGAGGGGGAATTAGTGAGGTAAACTTTTAGCTGTTGGGAATGCAAATTAAAGGGGAGGCACATTTTGGCACTAGTGTGCCCACTGCAATAGGGAGAGTAAAAGGTGAGCCATCCTTCTATCACCAAACAGAAGCTCTTCTTTCAATTTTGTAAGCTACTTTAATTATCTTAAAATAGCATCTATACTGAGGTATTGTTTTTAATTGCAAACCACCAAAAGGCAAATGAATTGTCATTAAAAAGTTATTTTAAGAGAGTGACAATTCTAATAATTCATTGAAGCAAACTTAGGTATAACATTTTATTGATATATAACATTTTAATTTTTTATATTTTTTGTAGCCTCACCTTTCCTCCAGGAAAATGTAAAAGGCTCTACCCATCTCCATTTCCCCCTTCCTCAACCCAATTTCCCCTCTGAGGTAGTTTAGGCCAAGAGACAGTGGTTGAACTAGAAGCTTTGTGGCTGTGTGGGATTTGAACTTGGGTCCCTCCCCTAGTGCTCACCTGGAGGTGTACTGCACTTTTAGGCACAGGCAGTGATCCTTTCACACAGGGGCTCTGTTCCCAGCCGCCACACATACCGGCAAAGTGTATATAAGTGCACCCCACCCTGTTACATCCCATTCTGCCCCGCCCCCATTCTGCCTTCTTTTGGGTTCAAAAAGATCTGTGTGTCAGCGATGACATGTCAATTGGATATGTCTAAAATGGCTGCCACCTGTACTTGTTGACAATGGAGTGTGCATCCAAGGGTGAAGTCAGTAGCACCAACGTGACCTCCCTAGGGCGCAAGCCTGGGCAGTGTATCTGGAGGTCCCAGGTTCCCCCTCTCGACCTCACTGATGTGGCTCAAAGGGAAGCAGAGCAAGACATTTGGCACCAGCTTGGCTGCTGTTGCCCGAAGGAGGCGTACAAGGCACCATCCAACCATCTTAGGGACCCCACTCCAGTTTTGTGTAGGGCTTACTCCTTAGCCTTTTCTTCACGCAAAGGTACCCCTCAGGTCATGGAGGTTTAAGATCAAAGTTTTCCTTCTCCTAGATGGGCTACCTTCCCAGGTTGACAAGCCCCCTCTACAGCTTGTGCAGAAACCGCCTTCTTAACCATTGGACCCACCAACAGTGAAATCCTATGTAAGTTTATTTAGAATTTCAAAGAGCCTTTCAAATGGAGGTCTTAATCTCAATTGGTACCCGTACTGGATTTTAATTGATTTTATGTATGTGTGGTTCTTTAAAACTATTTTAATATAAATTTTTAAATTGTTTTCATCTATGCAATTATTTTAAGTTTTAATATATGTAGCAGATATCATACATACATACATACACACAAAATACTGTGTTATAAATTGCTCCAGGATGCCTCATAGAAGTGATTTATGAATTAAATAAGTAGCAATAATAATAATATAATTTATTTAGAATTAAGTCCCACTAAATTCAATGAGGCTTACTTCCTAGTAAGTGTGTTTTGGACTGCAGTCGAAGTCAGTCACATTAAATCCGACTTACGTTTCAGGAGTTAGCATACAGATTTTCAGATGCTCTTTTCAGTAATCCCAGCCAGAAAGACAAGGTTTCATTTTAAGCTTTATTGGTTAATGGAGAACACAGACCATTTGCCACCTTCCATACACAGCAATTTTTCTTACTTATTTATGGGATTTTTAGCCCACCCTACCCCAAACCTCAGGGCATTAGATCGGTGCAGTATTCCAGCGTGTAATGGAACTGTAAGTCTGAGCTATGCTCTACAAAATCCCTGGCTGAGCACATGGACTCCGGCAAAGAGTGAGAGAAGCCATTCAAGCTGAAGACTGTTTACTAGCAGTCCACTACAAAGCAACAGCAATGAAAACCAGCCCAGAGCACACACCAGGGCACAATCTTCTGAGAGCACTGCACAAGATGCTTCTGAGCTGCTGTTTCACAGACACAAGGATACATGCAACAAAACGCTACTCTATCTATACAATCCCAATTCCACTTCCCAGTTCTGTTCCCAAAATCATGTGTATGAATTTGAATCCCCATCCCACCTGTGGCCACACGATTGAGAAAATGGTGAAAGACTTGCCCAGTGGCTACGGAGCTTCAATGAGGGCTCACATGTTCCTCCTGCTCACTTGTGGTCCCCTGAGTGACCTTGGCCCACTCTCTCTCAGCTTACTAGCCCACCCCAAAGGGCTGATGTTGCAGAAATAAGAGGGCAGGGCCCTCGCAGGTGTGGCGCCAAGATGCGTGGAGGAAAGGTGAAACACAAATAAATCCCAGCTTCAAGACATGTTGTTTTGAAGCCTGAATGGCTGAGTTCAAGGGGACACACTTGTTGCTAAGCACACACAGGATCACAGACTCTGGGGCCAAGAGCAGCCAATGGGGAGATGGGGTTAAAAGGAAACTAATCCTTATTATCTGCAGCATGCGCCCAGAGCTAGAATCCTGAACACTTGAGACACAAGCTCATTCAAACTGGCGGGGCTTCCTTCCCAGACGCGGCATTCAGGATCACCTTTAGGGTAAGCAAAAAAGCTGCGCTGGCTGGTCACACTCCCAGTAACAGCACCATTCCAGCAGGCACTGCCACTGGGCATCCTCCATTCACTCCCATCAGGCTGACAAGCCAATCCCTAGCTAAAGCAGCCAAGGCTATGCAAAAACATTTGGCAGGTTGTCTATGTGTCTTAAAAAAAAAAGATGTCCTAGAAGCCCCAATTTTATTGGGAATTAAAACAAACAATGCTATGGTGTTGTGCTTGAACGAAGCCTATACACCCAAGTTCATATAAAAGGGAAGAGGTTTTACTTAGTAGCCATTTTGTCTTCCAACTTGGATGTTACACCTCCCCTGAAACCACTGATGTAAACACCCTATTCAAGAGGCTGATTTCTGAACACTAGGAGAATGGGAAAATATTTTAAGTGGGTGTCTAAAAAAATAATAATACTGTAAATCAAACACTTCAGCAGCAGCAGCAATTTAAGACACAGTCAGGATGCTGATGGAGAGAACTTCTAACTCATGGCATTCTGTAAACAAAACAATGGCAGCGAGCAGACTGGAGTCAGCAGACACCTCCTTTGCCTAGATTTTTAAAGGCTACTTAATGGTCTGTTCCCCAAAGCCTGCGTGCAATTCACCATCTCAAATGCAATCCCTTCACACAACCTGTATTGCTTCCACTGACAATTCAATCTGCCCCATATATTTTACACCATGTAGATCTCAATTTCAGATCAGCACTACACATACCCAAAATGTCATTTTTAAACCACAAGAGCAAATGCATTAAAGGTTTCAAAGGACATCGTGCACACAGGGAAAGTGAAAGGCCCTTATACTGTGTTTTTCAAGCACTGAAAGACACTTCGTTTTCAGGAATTTTATTTTTGCACAGAAGTCGGTTCAGCTGAAAAAGGCTTCAAATGGAAGGCAAAAGCTCGGGTGCCTCCCACTTCGCAAGCCAGTGTAGTGGCTAAATCCTCAATGGCAGACAGCGAGTCAGTCCCTGGCTTTAGGAGTGTACCCAAGGAACAACGTATTGCAGTCTTTTTTGAATGAACATCTTCTCCAGCTCTCTTGCTCAAAGGGGAGGTCTGATTCTGGCGGAAAACCCGGAGCAGTGCCGAGGAAACGGCGCCCTACGCTGCAAAAAAGGGGGGCTGCGGCGGCGGCAGCAGCTGTAAACAAGCGAGGGGCTGCTGCTGCTATTGCTGCTCAGCAAGAGGCAAGTCACCCCATTCTGGTGTTTGCAGCAAGGAGGGGAGGGAGAAAGAGATACATGTCAACATGCGGCAGAGGCGCCCCCGCCTCCTCCGACAAACGCGCCTTGGGGTGGGGGGGCGCTGGGCGGAGGAGGAGAGGGCGAGCCCAGCCAGCCGCCAGGCGAGGCGATGCCCCTTCACGGAACGACCTGCTGCTTTGCACACGACGGGGCGAGGCGGAGGGGGGGGGAGAGAAGGCATGTCTCTCGCCTCCTGCCCCGGGCTGCACTGGACGCGACCGTGGATCGGGAAGCAGCCCCGTGCAAAGCAGCGCCTGGCGAGCTTTGTGTTGGGTCGCCAGCAAGCTAGCTAGGACGCATGCAGGCAGACGTGCACCCTGCCTTGCGCGCCCAGCCCGACCCCTTCTCCATACGAGCGTGTCTGGCTCTGTCTGCCCGGGTCTGTCTCGCTCTCCCTCCGCAGAGCCGAGTAAACACATTTTCCATTTCCCCTCCCCCACCCTGCAGACACACAGGCACACACACACGCCCCGCCGCCGCCGCCGCCGCCACCTTCTTCCTCCTGCCGCCGCCGCAGAAAGAACCTTGCGGGATCGGAGCCAGAAGACAGCATGCGAGGGGAGGCGGCGCACCGGGGGCTCTGCAACCCTTGCAAAAACAAAACCCCGATCTGGAAGGCGAGGGGCCCGTCCAGGCACCCCGACCCGGCACCGTCGCGGCTCGGAGCGCCCTATCAATATGCAGCAGGCAGGGCGGCTGGGCACATGCAGCGCATGCATGAGTAAACCCCCGGCCGGCTCCCTCCCGAGCACCCAGCCAGCCACCCCCGGGCCCGGAGCCTTCCCCGGGCTGCTCACCAGATGGAGTTCTTGATCTTGTGCTGCAGCGCGCTGGCTTCGGTCCCCTGCAGCCCGGGCACCAGCGCCGGCAGCGAAGGGGCCGCCGTGGCCACCGGGACGACCCCGCCGGGGGCTTCGGGGGGCGGCTGCTGCTGCTGCTGCTGCTGAGTCGGAGGTGGCTGGTGCTGCTGCGGCTCGTCTGCCATCACTGCCGGGTCGGGGCTGGCTGGCTGGCGGAGGAGGAGGCGGAGGCGGAAAAAGGGAGGCGGGCGGAGAGGGCGCGCGGCTGGCTCGCTTGGCTAGGCCTTCCCCGCCGCCGCCGCCGCCGCACCACCACCAGCAGCCACCGCTGCAGCCCTCGCGGGAGCCGCCTGGCCCGGCTGCTGGCTGGAGGGGCGCATACCCGAGCAGGAGCCGCCGCCGCCGCCGAAGGAGGAGGAGCCTCCCGCTGCCGTTGCTACGCCGGAGGAGGAGGAGGGAGGCGCATCGCGGCCAGGCGCGCACAAGGAAGGCCAGCCAAAGGGAGCCCGCAGCCGCGCAGCGCGAGCAGCAGCACCTCGCCTCCGCCGGGCTTGGCTTCTCCGCCTTGCAGCCTCCTGTGGCTGCCGCCGCCGCCGCTGCCGACTTGGTCGGTCTGTCGGCCGGCCGGACAGCCTGCCGTGCGCGCAGCCTCAGTTGGCGCGACCGCCCTCCTGTTGTCGCGGGAGAGGCAGGGAGCGAGCGAAGTAGGGCGCGCGCTCGGCCCAGGAGGAGGAGAAAAGGCGCAGCCGCCTGCCCGCCTCCTCTGGTGCTCGGCCCGGAGAGATGGACGCCCCCCAAGCGCCCCGGCCGTCGCAGGTGTTCGCTGCCTCCCAGGGTCCGGTGCCAGCGGCTGGCATCGGCGGCTGCTGTCGCTGCTCCTGCTCTGTTGCCCGGAAGGAGAGACCCACTCCTGGCATCCCTAGGCATGCTTCGGAGGAACCGCCCCCGGCGAAGAGGAAGGCACGAGGGAGGCGGCTTCAATCCCGCGCATTGAGGGCTCGCTTCTTGGCAAGGAGCAGCCGGCCAGCGGAACGCAGCGGGACTTGATGCCAAGGTAAGGTGCCTCGACTTCTACTCGTCGTCTTCTGCCTGCAGAACTCCAGAGCGCGAGGGAACGCGGCTTGGAAGCAGCGTCGCGCTCCTGCACGTGCCCCGTGGCGTTCAGCAGATGCGAGAATGTGGGTCGGGAATTGCAGCCTCGGGTTCCACGCTGCTTCTGAGTAGACTGCAGTGGATCGCACGACCTGAGATCACATGAATCATGACACAGGAGAGCCATTGGGCACCTGAGGATTTGCCTTGCTGGCAGAGGCCAAAGGGCTCCGTGGTGTCCATCTTTCCTCCACAACAGGAGGACAGTGAGGAATTCCTGAGCAAAGAAGGTCACACATCTTTTTTACCCCCATTTGTGGTATACTGTCTCTGAGCATGGAGGTTGCAGTTAGAGACCATGGCTGAGAGCAAATTGTAAGTGAAGTTTGGCTTCCATGAATGTGTCAAAGGCCCTTTTAAAGCCATGTCAAGCTATCTGATGTGGACTGGCAAAAAAAATATCCATTGTACCAGGAACCGGTACCATATTTGGCCCCTAAAGCATCCCACCCAAACTGGCCTGCAGATGAGTCACTGTGAACCAGCAGCCTATGGCTCACGGACTGGCACTGGTTTGTGGACCAGCACTTTGAGTAGCACTGATCTAGCCCACAGCCGTCACCAACTCACTTGTGGCAGCAAGTCCCAGTGGTTGATTGTGCCTTATGTGAAGAAGGAACACCTTCTAAAGGCTGGAAGCCAAGTTCAAGTTTGGGAAGCTCGTGAGTTCTAATAGTACCATTAACATTTAACTGGCTCTTTTTGGAGAGCTAGCTTGGTGATGAAAATGTCTGACTGGGATGGGAGGGGGGCAAGATTAAAATCTCCACTCAGCTCACTGAAACCATGGAGAGCTGTAAGTCAGCATAGTAGTGAAACACAGGCGGATGAACCAAGGTGTGACTTGGGATAAGACAGCTTCTTCTGGGCCTGCTCTTGGTGGGCTCTCCTATAACAGCAGGCCGGAGGAGAGAAGTGTGCAGAAAACTTCTCTTGCACTGGGCAATATTTGCCCCGTGTCTGGCCTGTAGTTGGTCTAAAATTCTGGGATCCCCATTTCCATCCTGCTCCCCAACAGATTCCAGAGAGAAAGGCCATTTTTCAGGAAGAGCAATGCTTTCTGGGAAGCTGTTTGAAGGCTAAAGCTCTAATAAAGAGCCAGTTCAAGGAGGCAAAGAAGTCAGCACATCAGTCCTCTGGAAGTTACGACCCTAACACTGTTAGTGTCTGGCATTTGCTTCAGCGCCTGGGCAGCTCCACTCCTGCTTGTGCCTCAGATGGGGAAGGGAGAAGGTGGCAGGCTAAAGGCTACTGAGGAGCAGCCCTCTGCCCAAAGCCAGGCCTCAGGCCTGCTGTTTGGCTCCTGCCACCCTCTGACCCTGGGTCTCATGAAGAGGAGAGGGGAGGCAGAGTGGTCATCTTTCTCCAAAGCACTACTCTGTGAGATGCTGAAGGGGAAAAGAAGACAGGAAGAACCACAGTGCTGGTGCCAGTTCTGAGTAAAAAGGCGGGAAACAGAAGACACCTCATGGACCCCTTCTGAAGTGAGGCAGGGGGAATCGGGACAGCCAACTGCCTTCTCCTCAGGGGAAGGGAAAAGGAACCTGACTGCCACTTTGAACTGAGACTGGCTTGTTCTTCCGTCATGAGTGGAGAAGACAAAACCATCTTGGCCCTTGGCTTGTGCCTGAGGCACATGCCTTTCCCCACTTCCAAATGAGTTTGAAGGTAAAGGGACCCCTGACTATTAGGTCCAGTCATGGCTGACTCTGGGGTTGCAGTGCTCATCTCGCTTTACTGGCCGAGGGAGCCGGCGTACAGCTTCCGGGTCATGTGGCCAGCATGACTAAGCCGCTTCTGGCGAACCAGAGCAGAGCACGGAAACGCCGTTTACCTTCCCGCCGGAGTGGTACCTATTTATCTACTTGCACTTTGACGTGCTTTCGAACTGCTAGGTTGGCAGGAGCCAAATGAGTTTAGGAGAGCATAAATGGTGGCTGGCTTCCTTCTTTTAATGGGGGAGAGGTAGAAGCCATCTTAGCACTGGGTTTCTGTCTCAGGAACACACCTTTCCCAGCCACAGAGTTGGAGGAGAAGAGCACAGGTGTCATGCAGGACATTTGGCTTTTCTTTCCTGCGGTGAATGGTTCTTCCTCAGCTCCTTTGGGACTTGGGGAAAGAGCACTGACAATCTGAAAAGCTTTTTCTCTTTCATGACCATGAGGGGTAGCTGATATGGTACTCTCCAGATGTTGCTGGACCAGAACTCCCATCCTCTCAAATTAATGGCCACATCTGCTGGTGCTGATGAGTCCAGCAACTTTTGAGGGGCGCCGGGGTGGCTCCCACTTAACACCATTTATACCCAGGCAGGGCATAGCCCCTCCCCTTGGAAGCATCCTTGCCACTTGACTTCTCCTGTAGCCGCGTGGTTTTGTGTTGTCCCACCTACGACCACTGCCTCCCCTTGGCACCTGGGAAGAAGGGTGTGTACCACATTGGGCCTTGTGATGACTGGCAGGCCGAAGCCCCTGGGCTGGTTATGCCTTGAATAAATACTAGCAGCCCTGTCTTCTGCCCTGCCTTGGTCAGCTGAATACTGCCAGCTGCAGTTCAGGCACTCCTTGCTCTCAACAGCCTCCGGGAGACTGTGGGGAGTGTTGTATACAACTTTGCCCCTTGCATAATAAAATCCTATCTACTTTATTGCATTTTAAAATGTATTCTAAGCCACCTCGCAAATTTCAGTTATTAGGAAGGCTATAAGGTACCCCTGCCCGTACGGGCCAGTCGTGACCGACTCTAGGGTTGCGCGCTCATATTTATTTGGGGGCATTTATAGCCTTCCTAGGTGGCGCTGTGAGTAAAACCTCAGTGCCGATCGCATGGTCGGCGGTTCGAATCCCCGCGGCCGGGTGAGCTCCCGTCTTTCGGTCCCAGCTCCTGTCCACCTAGCAGTTCGAAAGCACCCCTAAGTGCAAGTAGATAAATAGGTACCGCTTTATAGCGGGAAGGTAAACGGCGTTTCTGTGTGCTGCGCTGGTTCTGGCTCGCCAGAGCAGCTTCGTCACACTGGCCACGTGACCCGGAAGTGTCTCCGGACAGCGCTGGCCCCTGGCCTCTTAAGTGAGATGGGCGCACAACCCTAGAGTCGGACACGACTGGCCCGTACGGGCAGGGGTACCTTTACCTTTACTATGTTATGTATTTCTGTATTTTTGTATTGTAAACCACCCTGTGACGTACGTGTGTGTGTGTGTGTGTGTGTGTGTGTACACCTTTGTCCACAGACAGCTTTCCGGGTCATGTGGCCAGCATGACTAAACTGCTTCTGGCGCAACAGAACACCGTGACAGAAATCAGAGTGCATGGAAATGGCATTTACCTTCCTGTCGCAGCAGTACCTGTTTCTCTACTTGTGCTGGTGTGCTTTCGAACTGCGAGGTTGGCAGAAGCTGGGACAGAGCAACGGGAGCTCCCCACCATGGCACGGATTCAGCAAGCCAAAGAGGAAACATCACTATATAACACTGGTCTTGAAAGACCTACACTGGCTCCCAGTACGTTTCTGAGCACAATTCAAAGTGTTGGTGCTGACCTTTAAAGCCCTAAACGGCCTCGACCTAGTATACCTGAAGGAGCATCTCCACCTCCATCGTTCTGCCCGGACACTGAGGTCCAGTGCCGAGGGCCTTCTGGCGGTTCCCTCCCCGCGAGAAGCAAAGCTACAGGGAACCAGGCAGAGGGCCTTCTCGGTAGTGGCACCCGCCCTGTGGAACGCCCTCCTACCAGATGTCAAAGAGAAAAACAATTACCCAACTTTTAGAAGACATCAGAAGGCAGCCCTGTTTAGGGAAGCTTTTAATGTTTAATAGGTTATTGTATTTTAGTGTTCTGTTGGAAGCCGCCCAGAGTGGCTGGGGAAACCCAACCAGATGGGCGGGGTACAAATAATAAATTATTATTATTATATTATCACTATAGAATACAAAATCTTATAAATATCTATTATAATTGCCAATGCAGACTCCAGTTAGCTTTCAGCAATAGTGTGATGGTGAGTGTTGAAGTACAGGAGTTCATAATTGCAACCTTCAGCCTCCAAGGATAGGCCTGAAAAGCAGCTGTTGGGACTCAGAAGCAAACTTGAAATCCTTATTACCACCTCAGTCACTTGCTAGAGAAAGGAAAATGTGCCAGTTGGCCTGGCACGACTCTGGCAGGCGATGTCATTGCTCCTTCTTTTGCAGGGGAAGTCCCAGGGCTTGGTCCCTTGTGTCCTTTGTGCTACACTGGAAATTGCTATGCATTACTCAGTTGGCAGCTTCCCATTAACTGCTGGTGACAGTGAAATTTAGAGAGGGGTGGGGGATTTACCTTACCAAAATACAGTGGTACCTCAGGTTACAAACACCTCGGGTTACAAACGCTTCGGGTTACAGACTCCATTAACCCGGAAGTAGTACCTCTGGTTCAGAACTTTACCTCAGGATGAGAACAGAAATCGCGTGCCGGTGGCAGAGGGAGTCCCCATTAGCTAAAGTGGTATCTCAGGTTAAGAACGGTTTTAGGTTAAAAACAGACCTCCAGAACGAATTAAGTTCGTAACCAGAGGTACCACTGTATGAAACTTTTTAATGTATTTGATGCTATTTTTAAATTGTCTTTTAATTTTTTATTTTGCCCTGGCTCTATTATTATTGATTTTCAATTCCATATAAGATTATTGTTCTAGCCAAAGACCATGACAAACAGTACCAATAAAACAATACAGATCCATAATATGAGCCAACATCCATGCTGTAAGAGAGGGCTTATTAGAGACACCAACAAACTCAAATCCTTCTTAATTTCAAATTAAACCTCCAAATCACCACAATAATTTATAGTGTGTTTTTTTCTTGCAGCCAGTTCATAGAGAACCACTCTGTGTTATTAAGCTATTCTGAAGCTATTACTGTCACTCCAAGAAACCGGACCATTTCTACCAGGGCGTATCTGCTTGCTTGTATGAGCAAAGGTTTCAGAAAGCAATTGGATCTTTATATAAGGAGCAGGCTAACAGATAATGAGTGATGTCTTCCACCTGAGGCTGACCACAAATTCAAAGTCTATTTTGGTATGGGATGTTCTTGTAGCGGCCATCCAAGACTGCAGTGGGCATCGCTTGGAAATACAGCTTAATAAAGGCATTTCTTAAGGAAGCCGGTGAGAGTTTGTCTGATAACTAGCTCTAAAATGCTCTGGATACAAATTTGGGGGGGGGGGCGAAATTGGTGTTTCTAATTATTTGCAGGTCCCTTCTATCCAGAAGAGCCAATTCCTCAGCTGACACTTATTCAAGGTCAAAGCAGAGCTCAGTTCTGGGAAACATTATTATTATTAATTGCATTTATCCATTACTTACTACAACAGTGTCTTAAAATGACATACAATTATAAAAGCAGGTATGATGTACAATTTAAAATATACTAAAAAAGTAACACAACATCAATTGACTAAAGGTGTTCATTGGGCAATAACAAAAAAAGTGCAAATCCTTTCCCACCCTACTAAAATTCAGATTTGGAGGATCCCTCAGTAAAGAACAGGAATGTCTTTGGTGTCTAAAAGCTGTTGTTGCTGTTACCACTCTACCCTAAGGCCCCAGGGCGGGTTACAACAATTGCAGTTGTTAATAATGTTGTAAATAATGGTCACATTTATTAATAATGGTGCCTGGCAGCTCTCTCTAAGAAACATTCCATAACTGGGAAGCCACCCCTGAAAAGGCCCATTCTTGTGTTGCCACCCTCTGCACCTTCCTCAGAAGATGGGAGGCACATGGCAAAAGGCCTCTGTCATGCCTAGCCCTGACCTGCTGCCAGACACTGAGTCCTTGAAGGATGAACCAGACACACAAACAGGCCAAGGCCCTTGTGGGTTGTCTGGCTTCTCTAGTTCATGCATTGGTAAGTTCATCGCTGGGTTTTTGTAATTCACTCTATGTGGAGTTGCCTTAGATTCAAACGCTGCCTGTAGGGACAGCTCACCTTTAATATATAACACATGTGTTGACAGCTCAGTACTGGCTGCCAATACATTATCGAGCCAGATTTAAAGTGCTAGCTTTGACAGCAGAAGCCCTACATGGCTTGGAACCTAGATACCTGAAAGACCACCTGCTTCCTTATTTACCTGCCCTGACTTTGAGGTCATGGGGGGAGGTGTCCTCATGGTGCCACAGTTCTCTGAGATATAATGCAGTGGCACTCTCAGCAGTGGCAGCACCCTGATTCTGTAGTGCCCCCCTCCCCTCTCAGATGCAAGCAGCACCAATGCTAATGGAGGTAAATACATGGCTATTCACCCAAGCATTTGGTTAAAATAGTGCCCCTCACTTGACTGATGTAGTTATGCCGTTAGTATGCTGCTTGATTTTATACGAAATTGTATTTAAATGAAATAATCACTTTATTGTATTTCAGTGTTTTCCCTTGCTCTGGCCTTGTGTGAACAATGTAGTTATTTCAATAAATAAATACAAATAAATTCCTTTATATACCTTTTAATTTGCACTGGAAAGCACAATTACGAAGCGGAAGGGACTCACGTTAAAAAAATACTAAGCATTGGAGCCTCTGACAATATCAGATCTATGAACTGAAAACTTATTCAGCCCAAACAATTTTGTATTGCACTGCTTGAGTAAGAATGGGGGGGGGGGTTTAGTGTGTGTATAGTTTCTCACACTACAGTTTAGAGCAGGTTAGACAAGGAGAAATTGGCTCGACAGAGCAGCCAGTCTAAGGATAAATTTAGCCACCCCACCGATAACGAGGGCCAAGCTAAATTTGGGTTCCCCTCCCTCTGTCTTTGGCAACCAGAGAAGAGAGCTGCTCTGAACTCAAGCCAGGAGAACTAAAAAGTGTGTTTGATAAGTGCACACTCTCAGTCAAGGAGAGAAACCCAGCCTACTATTGTTTTTATGCCTGCGCAAAAAAGCAACTCCATACTGACAGCTGCACAATCTATGAAACCAATTTGGTTGAGTTAGTAAAATATACTGAACAATCACCAACTTTGTCTCACTCTTTAGTCCTGCAAGGCTGGCTACAACCCATTTCCCTTTGGCACAGCCCTCACCCCTGCCCTCTGTGATCAGAAGGCATAACTTCAGAAGCAGCCCTAGGAACGTATGAGCATGAACTACACCAGTAGTTTAGCAGTCTGCCTGGGGCAGAGCAATGCAATTCCAAAAGGGGGTGATGTATCTCTGAATGAGTTAATTTTGCCGCTTATATCTCCATTACCAGCATATATTATTTCAATATCAGTTTAGCCAGTACGGCAGGGGTGGTAGCCAAGTGCTCTCCAGATATTGTTGGGTTACAACTCCCGACATCCCATGACTGTTGGCCATGCTGGGCACTGTAGTTTCTTCTTCCATAAACTTTCCCACTCCCCATCTTTTATTATGAGAGGGCCTTCTCTGTGGTGGCCCCCAGGGTATGGAACTTCTTCCACTTTGAGATGCGTCCCTTTGTGTTTTCCATCACTAGATCAAGAGGCACCTCTTTGCCTATGCCTTTGGGGTGGATGAGTGACGTAAAAGCTTGCTGCCTTCTCCCTTTGCAGTGTCAAACCTGTGTGGTGTAATATTTAGGATGTTGGGTGAGGACCTTGGAGACCAGTGTTTCAAGCCCCTTCTCTCTCCCCACCCCTTTTAATTATTATTAATTGGAATCCATGGATATCATACACAATCTTAAATACACGTACACAGAAAAGGTGATGATGATGGTGATGATAACCTTAAATAATTATACCGTTCAATATTTATTTAAACTTCTACTTATGCGTACTCTTTTCTTGTACTTTCTAACTAAACAAAAATGAACCATTTCTGCTTGGAATTCTAGGCAGTGATATCCCGAAAAATATAAGAGAAATCTTTTTACATGCGACAGCCGCTGCCTGGCTACTAATTGCATCAAATTAGAAAGGGGGGAAAGTACCAACAGTAAGGGAATGGCAGAATAAGTCACTAGACTATGCAGAAATGTCTCGATTAACAAATAGATTGAGGGGAAATACAAAACAATCATTCACTCAAAAATGGGATATGTTTAAGAAATACCTACAAAAATATAATAATGACATAACATCTATGGCAGCATTTGAATGACCCATGTGTAAATCAAACATAAATAAGGAAAAATGGTACGATGTTATGAGAAAGTATTAGAAAGTATTAGAAAATATATTAAGAGTAAGGTAATAAGTATAAGTACATTCAATATTGTAAATGTAAAGTACATCGAAGAATAGTAGCAGTAAGTAGTGTTGCTGAAATCTTGAATTAGGGGTTTAACCTTTGTTGTTGTTGTTGTTTTAGTCGTTTAGTCATGTCCGACTCTTCGTGACCCCATGGACTAGAGCACGCCAGGCACTTCTGTCTTCCACTGCCTCCCGCACTTTGGTCAAACTCATGCTGGTAGCTTCGAGAACGCTATCCAGCCATCTCGTCCTCTGTCGTCCCCTTCTCCTTGTGCCCTCCATCTTTCCCAACATCAGGGTCTTTTCCAGGGAGTCTTCTCTTCTCATGAGGTGGCCAAAGTATTGGAGCCTCAGCTTCACGATCTGTCCTTCCAGTGAGCACTCAGGGCTGATTTCCTTAAGAATGGAGAGGTTTGATCTTCTTGCAGTCCACGGGACTCTCAAGAGTCTCCTCCAGCACCATAATTCAAAAGCATCAATTCTTCGGCGATCAGCCTTCTTTACGGTCCAGCTTTCACTTCCATACATCACTACTGGGAAAACCATAGCTTTTACTATACGGACCTTTGTTGGCAAGGTGATGTCTCTGCTTTTTAAGATGCTGTCAAGGTTTGTCATTGCTTTTCTCCCAAGAAGCAGGCGTCTTTTAATTTCGTGGCTGCTGTCCCCATCTGCAGTGATCATGGAGCCCAAGAAAGTAAAATCTCTCACTGCCTCCATTTCTTCCCCTTCTATTTGCCAGGAGCTGATGGGACCAGTGGCCATGATCTTCGTTTTTTTGATGCTGAGCTTCAGAACATATTTTGCGCTCTCCTCTTTCACCCTCATTAAAAGGTTCTTTAATTCCTCCTCACTTTCTGCCATCAAGGTTGTGTCATCTGCATATCTGAGGTTGTTGATATTTCTTCCGGCAATCTTAATTCCAGCTAGGGATTCATCCAGCCCAGCCTTTCGCATGATGAATTCTGCATGTAAGTTAAATAAGCAGGGAGACAATATACAGCCTTGTCGTACTCCTTTCCCAATTTTGAACCAATCAGTTCTTCCATATCCAGTTCTAACTGTAGCTTCTTGTCCCACATAGAGATTTCTCAGGAGACAGATGAGGTGATCAGGCACTCCCATTTCTTTAAGAACTTGCCATAGTTTGCTGTGGTTGACACAGTCAAAGGCTTTTGCGTAGTCAATGAAGCAGAAGTAGATGTCTTTCTGGAACTCTCTAGCTTTCTCCATAATCCAGTGCATGTTTGCAATTTGGTCTCTGGTTCCTCTGCCTCTTCTAAATCCAGCTTGCACTTCTGGGAGTTCTCGGTCCACATACTGCTTGAGCCTTCCTTGTAGAATTTTAAGCATAACCTTGCTAGTGTGTGAAATAGGTACAATTGTGCGGTAGTTGGAGCATTCTTTGGCACTGCTCTTCTTTGGGATTGGGATGTAGACTGATCTTCTCCAATCCTCTGGCCACTGCTGAGTTTTCCAAATTTGCTGGCATATTGGGTGTAGCACCTTAATAGCATCATCTTTTAAAATTTTAAATAGTTCAGCTGGAATACCATCACTTCCACTGGCCTTGTTATTAGCAGTGCTTTCTAAGGCCCATTTGACTTCACTCTCCAGGATGTCTGGCTCAAGGTCAGCAACCACACTACCTGGGGTGTACGATCCATCCATATCTTTCTGGTATAATTCCTCTGTGTATTCTTGCCACCTCTTCTTGATGTCTTCTGCTTCTGTTAGGTCCTTACCACTTTTTTCCTTTATTATGGTAATCTTTGTATGAAATGTTCCTTTCATATCTCCAATTTTCTTGAACAGATCTCTGGTTCTTCCCATTCTGTTGTTTTCCTCTATTTCTTTGCATTGCTCGTTTAAGAAGGCCTTCTTGTCTCTCCTTGCTATTTTTTGGAAATCTGCATTCAATTTCCTGTATCTTTCACTATCTCCCTCGCATTTTGCTTGCCTTCTCTCCCCTGCTATTTGTAAGGCCTCGTTGGACAGCCACTTGGCTTTCTTGCATTTCCTTTTCATTGGGATGGTTTTCGTTGCTGCCTCCTGTATAATGTTGCGAGCCTCCATCCATAGTTCTTCAGGCACTCTGTCCAGCAAATCTAAATCCTTAAACCTGTTCCTCACTTCCACTGTGTATTCATAAGGGATTTGATTTAGATTGTATCTTACCGGCCCAGTGGTTTTTCCTACTTTCTTCAGTTTAAGCTTGAATTTTGCTATAAGAAGCTGATGATCTGAGCCACAGTCAGCTCCAGGTCTTGTTTTTACTGACTGTATAGAGCTTCTCCATCTTTGGCTGCAGAGAATATAATCAATCTGATTTTGATGCTGCCCATCTGGTGATGTTCCATGTGTAGAGTCGTCTCTTGTGTTGTTGGAAAAGCGTGTTTGTGATGACCAGCTTGTTCTCTTGACAGAACTCTATTAGCCTTTGCCCTGCTTCATTTTGATCTCCAAGGCCAAACTTGCCAGTTGTTCCTTTTATCTCTTGATTCCCTACTTTAGCATTCCAATCCCCTATAATGAGAAGAACATCCTTCTTTGGTGTCACTTCTATAAGGTGTTGTAAGTCTTCATAGAATTGCTCAATTTCAGCTTCTTCAGCACCAGTAGTTGGTGCATAAACTTGGATTACTGTGATGTTAAAAGGTCTGCCTTGGATTCGTATCGAGATCATTCTATCATTTTTGAGATTGCATCCCAGTACAGCTTTCGCCACTCTTTGGTTGACTATGAGGGCCACTCCATTTCTTTTACTTGTTTCTTGCCCACAGTAGTAGATATGATGGCCATCCAAACTGAATTCGCCCATTCCCGTCCATTTTAGTTCACTGATGCCCAGGATGTCAATATTTATTCTTGCCATCTCATTTTTGACCACATCCAACTTACCCAGGTTCATGGTTCTTACATTCCAGGTTCCTATGCAATATTTTTCTTTACAGCATTGGACTTTCCTTTCACTTCCAGGCATATCCGCAACTGAGCGTCCTTTCGGCTTTGGCCCAGCCGCTTCATCAGCTCTGAATCTACTTGTACTTGTCCTCCGCTCTTCCCCAGTAGCATGTTGGACGCCTTCCGACCTGAGGGGCTCATCTTCCAGCGTCATAACTTTTATATGCCTGTTGTCTTTGTCCATGGAGTTTTCTTGGCAGGGATACTGGAGTGGCTTGCTGGTTCCTCCTCCAGGTGGATCACGTTTAGTCAAACTCTCCACTATGACCTGTTCATCTTGGGTGCACTGCTCAACATAGCTCATAGCTTCTCTGAATTATTCAAGCCCCTTCGCCACGGCAAGGCAGTGATCCATGAAGGGGGTTTAACCTTTAATTGTTATTTAAATGGTTTTGTTGAACCTGCCCTGAGAGCTTGAACTGATGGGCAGGTTATTAATACATATAATTTAACCAGATTGTATTTGGCAGAAATATTACTGATGTTGTCCACTTGTTGACTGTACTATTTTCCATATTGTTTCCTCCCTCGTATGACAAAAGTGTTAAATAAATAAAAAATATATAAAGCTGCTGACTTTGGTTTGGCTCTGCTGCCTCTGCAGTCAGAACACTTTCTAGCTCAGCTATAGATCTAGCTGCTCACAGTAAAGAGTGACTCTCTTGATTCCTTGCAGAACCTTCTGCCTGCTTTTAGGTCACCAGGACCTGCCACACGGATATCTTCCAGGTCTTCATATTGCCAAACACAGCTTTCACTTTTCCCAGGTGTTAGGTACCAACATAACATTATTTTGAGCACAGGAAAAGTGTCATATAAATGTCATCATTAAACATTCAAAATGTATTTCTGAAAACAAAGGCAAACATGCTGGTTCGTAAGAACAAAGCTGTGTTGGTCCAAAATCCGTAGCTGGGCAATACCTTTATTAGGACTAACCAAAACGTTGTGAAATTGTTTAAAATTTGTCTCATTAGCATGTGAAATGGCAATCTGTGAACCACGTGGTGCTTTAATGCTGTTTACATTTGTTTCCTACCCTTCCTCCCTTGACCTAAGAGTTAGAGTGGGCTATCTCACTTTATCCTCATTATTCTCCCCCCTGGAGAAGACTAGGCTCAGGCAATGATTGGCCCAACATCACTCCGTCAAGTGAGCCCAGGTTTCCCCAGCCAAGTTCAGCATGCTCGCCACTACTGCACCTTCTGCCAGGTCATGTTACCGGTAATTGCAGCTGGCCCTAATAAACTGCTGCTCTTTGGGGGTTCTAGATGAGCAGCAAACTTCCTGCTGGTTTTGGTTCCCTTTGGGGGGCCTAACTATGGGAGCTGTCATGATTACCGTAGCTCCTGCATGTCAAACTTTACTAATACAGTGGTACCTCGGGTTACAGACGCTTCAGGTTACAGACGCTTCAGGTTACAGACTCCGCTAACCCAGAAATAGTACCTTGGGTTAAGAACTTTGCTTCAGGATGAGAGCAGAAATTGTGCTCCAGCAGTGCGGCGGCAGTGCGAGACCCCATTATCTAAAGTGGTGCTTCAGGTTAAGAACAGTTTCAGGTTAAGAACGAACCTCCAGAATGAATTACCGTATTTTTCGCTCCATAAGACGCACTTTGTTCCTCTTAAAATCTAAGGGGAAATGTCTGTGTGTCTTATGGAGCGAATGTGTGGTCCCTGGGGCTGGGGGGGGGGGATCCGGGCTTCCCTCGACAGCCCCGACAAGCCTTCTTGCTGCTCTCCGGGGCTGGCGGTGAGGGAAGCTCGGCTTTCCCCACCGCCAGCCCCACAAGCGCGGGGAGCAGCGGACAGGCTCTTTGGGTCGAGCAGCTCTGGGATAGCCTGCAAAGCCTTCATCCCGCTGCCCTGGGGAGACTTCGCACAGCTATCCCTGGCTTTTGCAGGAGGTGGGGGAAGGGACAGAGTGAGGCTCTCTCACTTCCCCTACCTCCCGCAAAAGCCCCCAAGAGCCGCATATTTTTTTCCCTTTAATTCCCCCCCCCCAAAGAAAGTAGGTGCGCCTTATGGTCAGGTGCGCCTTATAGAGCGAATAATATGGTAAGTTCTAGCCCGAGGCACCACTGTGCACCACTCTGGTGTGGGTTGTGGCAGCTTCCTAATGTGCCTGTTGTTAACATGGTAACAGAAAACAGGGATTCTTATCCCAGCTCACCTGTTGTGTCACTACGGAAGTGAGGAAAGACTGTAGCTAAGTGGCAGAGCATCTCTTTTCCACAAAGAACGCCCCAGGTTCAATCCCCGGGCTCTCCAGGTAGGGCTGGGGAAAGATGCCTGCCTGAAACCCTGGAAAGCCACTGCCAGTCAGTTTAGTAGGCAAAGCTCAGGATAAGTGTTCCTTAATGCATAGTCTTTGACAAGGAGTGGAAGGGACACCAAGGGTCATCTAGTCCAACACCTTGCAATGCAGGAATCTTTTGACCACAGTGGAGCTTGAACCCATGACTCTCGTACTCTACTGACTGAGCTATCCCAAGCTCAACCTCAGTTCTGTCTCCATAAAATGGGGAAAATAATAAACTATGCCACAGAAGGACACATCGTGCATGAAAATAAACAAGGTAAGCAAATGGTGTTTTAAGCAGTGACCCAGAGTTTTACATCTGAAGACAATTCAGGATTGTGTTCACCTGGAAGCAGCTTCTCCCTTCTCTGCCTGCTTTAGCGTATCAAATTCCCAGTGGCAGACTTGCAAAAGCAAAATAAGGAATGGGCCTCAGAAGAGATCTGCTTTACAGTGCAATCCTATGCAGGTTTACTCGGATGTAAGAGTCACTTTGTTCCATGAGAGTTACTCCTATTGTTTAGGCTGTAGCCTTGGTTGTAATCCTGCAATCACCCAACACATCTCCCATTCCATCTTTTTGAAATCATAAGGAAAATATTTGTTGTCCTCCAAAGCTCCTTGCAAATAAATGTCATAGTTGTTGCTGGTGATCCTCTAGATCTCATTCCCCTCATTATTATGATGGGTTCATGTAAACATCAGATGTTGCTTTTGTTGTGCAGTGAAATTAGTGGACCCCATTCAGGCTTTGCCCCAGCTGTTCAACCTGTGCCCCTTCCAAATATACAAGTTTACATGCGCTTAATGTCCAGAACAATCCGCTGTCTCCATTATCAGGGGCATCAGAATATGTTTATTGTGAGGACTAAAGGCTTTGCAGCAATTTAAGTTGCCCAGTGAACAACATATTGCTAAATCTAGATAATAGAAATCCAGGAGAAATCTGTCTGGATTATAGCTGGGAGATTATGGGAAAGCTAAATTACTGTATATGTTTTGCTGGCAAGCACAAAACAAACATCGTCTGAGAAGATGGATGACTATGCAGAACACAGGAAAACCGGCTGCAGAGAGCTTTCTGTACTTAGGGTGGAGGGGCTGGGGAGGAAATCCCTCTCAATTTATCAAATGCTGTGGCCTGGTTTAATGCTGCTGTTTGTTTTGACGGTGCACTGTTGAGGAATCTGGGTTTAACTGGAGTCCTAGAAAGCAGAGAGGGCTTTGTCTGAGGGTCATGCTGTAATTCACGTGCATCATTTTCTATTCAGTTTGCCAGCTGCTTTATTTTACTTATCCTTTATTTTACTTACAGATGTATATTTTTGCTCATTGGCTGAATAACAAATTATACAATTGCTCCAATTATACAAAAGCCATCACATAAAACCACCATATCCCTTTCTTCAGATGCTAATTTTTCCTGGCCTTCTGAGGATAGCCAGAGAGTGAACATGAAGTAACCTGGCAAAAAAGCACTCTCAAGCCTTTCCCAAAGGCAAAACAAACTGCTCTAGCTATTTTGAAAGCACTGATTGTTTACAGGAACACAGGAAGTCTATTCAGGGCCTTTTCAGTTGTGGCTCTCCACCTGTCGAAGTCTGCCTGGCACCTTTGCTGACATCTTTTTAGCAGAAGGAAAAGCCTTACCTTTCCACTCAGGCTTTTGATGGACTGAGCTGATTTTGTTCAGCTGTTAAGTGTGCTGCCAAAGCTTCCTGTGACTATTACTGTAGATGTTTTGCTTGAGAATGTTAATGTTTTGTTTGAATTTTTAATGGTATAACGTATTTTTGTTTATAGACTTAAATGTAAGTCACTTGGAGCCTTTGCTAACAAGTGACTTTAAAAAATCTAAATAATAATAATTGTTTTATGCGGACTCTGACCATTGCTCCATCTAGTTCAGTATTGCCCACACTGACCGGCAATGTCTCTCCAGGATGGTTTCAGGCAGGGATCTATCGCAGCCCTACCTGGATGTGCTGACAAGGTTCAAACCTGGTAGGTTCTGCATGCAAAACAGATGCTCCACCACTGAACCATGGTCTGTCATGGTATATGAAGATGGGAAATCTCACTTTGAAAAACTGGCTATTGTGGCTACGGAACAATTTTTCTCTCCTGGGTTGTTTGAATCACAGGAGTTGCTTCCAGGATCCTGCAGATCATGGACCCTCCTGGCACCAGTCAGCAGCATGCACATCATCCACGCAGTACATTTGTACGTGGATGCTTCCCATAAGCATGCAAGAAAATGCAATGGCTGGACTGTATCACAAAGACCTGCTTTGCAAGGTTGTATCAAAGGTCCATAGAGTTCAGCATTCAGTCTCTATCCGTTGCCATCCACACGTCATGGGAAAGAAGCCCACAGGCAGGTCGTGATGATGTAGCAGTCCATTTGGTTTGCCCTTGGCATCCAGCAATCAGAAGCCATTAACACTAATAGTGGGGTTTCCATCTAACTTGGCTACTGTCCATTAACAGATCCATCTCCCATAAATTCCATCTTCTGTAAATTAGCAGATCTGCCTTGTGCTCCAGATGGAAAGATTATTTTGTTTTGGTTGTTGGGTCCGGGGGGGGGGGCTGATAGATTAATGGGACACTAACTCTGCAAAAGGATGACTTCATCAAGTCACAATGGATTGGGTACACTGTGAGTTTTTAAGAACTCTAAACACAGGCCACAATAAGAATCAATTATTCTGTTTCCACAAGAACATATTGGCATAACAAAAGGCTGGAAAGTGGTTTGGAGGATGTGTGTCAGTGTCAAATCTTTTGAGCTGTAATAATCAGAACAAAAGTGACCAAACTCCTGAGCTTAAAGGATTATGCCCTGTGGAAGACTTGTGGTATTGTCAAGGAAATGCGGGCTGCTGGTGAACCACTTACCTTTTTTTCATAGTGCTGATGAGGTTTAATAACATTTAAGGTCCTTCTCTCCCCCCTGCTAGACACAAAGCTGTTGTAATCGGAGAATATTACCAGGGAAAACCTCTCTGGCAGAGGATTCTGTATGGCTAAACAGCAGAGCCAAGGGCATTGTTCGGATTAGGGTGGAAATGGTGATGCCAGTGTAACTCCTTAAGCAAAAAATCAAAACAAAGGAAAACAAAGTCACAGGATGTCAGGATGTCACAGAAAGGACTGCTGCAAAGGCAGCCATTAAAACCACCTAGAAACCATTTATTCTTCCGGTGTGTGGACCAGAGAGGGAACTCTACTTGGCTGGGCATGTGTACACACATCGGCTGATATTGAAAGTGCTGAAAGGATTCAGCACTGTATTCTTTGTGAAGCTGTATAGCTTACACTTCAATCCTAATCATGTTTATTATATTTAAGTATCCTGAGTACACTTGCCTGGAAATATGCTTCAAAACAGTTAACATATTCCCAGGGCTGGGCTGCTGGGGGATTTTATTATGCATCCATATTGTTATCCAGACACCTGCCGGCCTATCTCTGACAAAGACTCTCCAGCCACACCAATGTCACACAGTATGTGCTCGAGTTGCCATATTTTAGACCCAGAAACCAGTTTATGTCCACCACAGCAGCCCTTTCTCTTTCTTCCTCCTCAGAAGAGGAGACTGCAAGAGGTTCCACTCTGACCTCTTGCCACAAGCGGTTACAAAGAAGAGGCATATCTCAGTGGCAGAACAGCTGCTTTGCATGCAGATGGTCCCATGTTCAATCCCTGGCCTGACATATCCAGACAGGGCTGGGGAAGGACCCCTACCTGAATCTGAAGAGCCACTTCAGCAAAACTGAGATGGAACAGGACCAATAGTCTCAGTGTAAAGGCAGCTATGTGACTCTTCGTGTGAGAATGTTGACACCCACATCAGGACCAAGATTTAGTTGTGTTTCCAGGTAGCTACAGGTCTATCTACTGGTTGCAATATTAAAGTGAAGACTGTTGTCTCTGTTAATAATGGATGCATCACAGTGTAGCTTCCAGGCAGAAAGTTTTGTTGCCCTAGGACTACAGAAACCAGGGCACTTGTTCCTTTGGCTCATGAGAAAGGCCAAAAAGCTCACTGGGGACTATGGCTAAACTCTTCCCAGTCTACTTTAAGCAAGCTAGACCTTTTGTTTTCTTCTCCCTTTGGTTAAAACAATGGGCTGGTTTTTGAATTGTCACTGCCCTCTGTTGAAAATTGTGATGTTGTTTAATGGTTTTACAGTATGTGGAATCTTGGTAAGGTCTAGCTACAAAGTGTTTAATACTGTTGTTTTATGCTGCCGTGTTTAAACATTTTTAGAAACTGGTTTTTATTTTTAAATGTTTTATGGCACAGGTTGTAACTCACTTGGGAAAACCTCTTTTGTTTTGAAAAGCAGCATAAAATTCTCAAGCAGATAAAACAATGACTCTAAATGCAGCAGACAGCTAAGCCTGTTTTCTTCTCTCCACTTTGACCTGGCTTGCACTTTCAAGCTCCTCTCTCTCCTCTGCTTTTCCCCTCCCCTTTTCTTCTGTCTCTTTTTGCTGTTGATGCTATTCTGTTTTTTGGTCTGCAAGCTGGAAGACAGAGCTCACTTCTTCCTTTGAGTGTGCTACTGACTGATGTGAGCTGCTTTTGGAGACAGTTAACAGCAAAGAAGGTTTGAAATTCATGTTTCGTATCTGAGAACTCAACGCAGTGAAACTCGTCGTCTGTGCGCTGCTGTGGACTCAAGGCTATGAGCACAGCAAAGGCACAGGCCTGTGCAGTATGAATGGCCTGGCCACATGTGCACCCATATCCCCCAATTGTCTTCTTAGTTGGGTAGTGATTCCTTGCTCTGGCAAGTGAACAGAGTGAGGTTTTCAAGTTTAACTGTTCTTTGTAGCTTGAGCAGGTAGTGGAAGTTAGAGAGGGAGGCCTCCTTTCTATTCCATGACTGCCAGCTACTGGTCCCAAGGAATTCAGTATTGTGCTTTGTACTGCTGCTCTTTGGTGCACATTAATAACACCCGCATGTTTAGCCTCTCCTTGGGGGCTGTCACAAGTCAGCTCCTGCTCTTCGACATTTACCAGGGCACCCATGCTTTATTTCACCCAGGTCAAAGACCCAGTTTGACACCCCCATGTGCATTTGTGTACACACACAGGCTAGGAGCCTCAATGGCACCCCTCTGGAGGCTTCACCTGTAGCTAGCCTCCCTCCCCCAATAGCTTCAGCTGGGGGGCAACACAAACCAAGGTCCCTGCCCCAAAGGGGCCACTGAAGCCGGTGTTCACCATATGGGGAATCCTATGCGCCCCCACAGAAAAGCCCCCCAAGAAGAGGCGCCTCCTCAAGGGAGGGAGGTGAGGCTGCTGAGATGGCCAGCAGTGGCTGGAGGGCTGGACTCGGATCCGGGAGAGCAGGGTTCAAATCCCCGCTCAGTCGGGCCACCACTGCCTCTCAGCCTGACCTTCCCCACAGAGTTGTCATGGGTGGGGAGAACCTTGAGCTGCTTGGAGGAAACGGGGAGATAGGCAGTAAATGCCATGAACAAACACCCCCCCCGCCGACCCAAACACCTGGGAGAGGAGGGGGAGGACGAGGAGGTTGGCCCGAGGAGGACAGAGGGCCGCCCTCACGCGCGCCGTTGCCTAGCGAGGGCGAAGCGCCGCCGGAGCCCCAGTTGCCGCCACCGCCGCCGCCTCCTCCTCCTCCCCGGCTGCGGCGCAAAATGGCGGCGGGAGGCGCCTCTTCGTCCTCGGCCCGGGTGGGTGAAGGAAGCGCCGGCCTGTCCGGACCCCCCAGGCGGGGTGGGATGGGGCGCGGGCCGGGCCGGGCGTCGCGCGGGGCCGCGGGAGGTTTCTTTCCCGCCTGACTTTCCTCTCCGCTTCGTTCGCCCTCCGCAGGTGCCCCTCCGCCGGCCCTCCGCGGGCGCGGAGCCCAAGGCGAGGAGCTGCAGCGCCGCCGCCTTCCTGGCCAAGGAGGAGGAGTACAAGTAAGGGGCGTCTCTCTCCCTGAGGGGGGGTCCCTGCTGATGCTCGCCCCCCGTTAAGTCCTCAAGGGCGTCCCCTTGATTCAAGACGCGTGTCTTTTTCTTCGTGAGAATCCAGCGAGTGGGAGGGGGGCGTATCGAGGCTGGCCAAGGAAGCCCCCAACTCCCGCTCTGGCCACACGACGCTGCGATGGGGCTTTTTATTTTGGGGGGGGGTGTCTGGTCCAAGAGACGGGTTTTGATGGCGACAGAGCATTTCCCCCCTTGCTTCCTTACTCCCAAGTAAGTGCCGCTTTCTCGGGCTCAGGCTTGAGCCCCTAAGCCCAGTTGCGTGGGGATATGAGAGAGGCAATTAGGCATTCTCAGAAGCACCCTTGCCTTCCTCTAGACCAGGCATATCTAACAGGTAGATCATGATCTACCGGTAGATCACTGGTAGATCATTGGCTCCCCCCAAAGAAGCTGAACAACTGTGGCTCCCCTAAAAAAAGCTCAACATTTTACCCCCTCCCTGAAAAACCCAACTTTGACCCGAACCCCAAAAAAGGGGGTAGATCACTGCCCGTTTTTAACTCTGTGAGTAGATCGCAGTCTCTTGGGAGTTGGCCACCCCTGCTCTAGACCAGTGGTTCTCAAACTTTTTTCTCTGGGCATGGTAATTTGCTCACACCACACCGAATTTTTTATTGTTAAGAATGCATTGGAAAACCAAAAGAAACAGCTCGCAGCAGTGCTTGATTTTGAAAAGATAGCTATCCATATTCTGCAAACAAATCATTTTGATACTAAACTGTACTATACTACACTGAAATGTTTAAATGCTGCTGTTGTCAAAAATGTTTTTATTAATTTTCCAAAATTTCCCAATAAGGTAAATAAAGGTAAAGGACCCCTGGACGGTTAAGTCCAGTCAAAGGACTTCTCGCTTTCAGGCCGATATCAATTAGTTCAAATGTTTCTTTGAAGGTCCTTGAATCTTAGTCCCACACTTGCCATCCTGTCTGCTCTGTACTAAGGCACTATTGGCATTCACTCATCTCTGCACCGCAGTGGCTGGTTCAAAGCGTGCTCCAGCAGCCTTTCCTAGTTTACTGACCTCATAGAACTGTAGAGTTGGATGGTATCCCTGAGGGTCATCTAGCCCAACCCTCTGCAATGCAGGAATCCCAACTAGATCATACAATACAGGTAGCCATCTAATCTCTCTTTCAAAACCTCCAAGGAAGGAAAGTGCACCACCTCTTAGGGGAGTCTGTTCCACTGTTAAAGAGCTCTTACTGCCAGAGTACAGTCAAACCTCGGTTCCTGAATAGCTGTTTTCAAACGTTTCTGCTCCCGAACGCCAAAAACCAAGAAGTAAATGCTCTGGTTTTTGAACGTTTTTTGGAAGCCGAACATCCGACGCAGCTTCCGCTTAAGTGCAGGAAGCTCTTGCAACGTTTGCCTTGGTTGTCAAATGTTTTGGAAGCCGAACGGGCTTCCAGAACGGATTATGTTTGACAACCAAGGTTTGACTGTACTGATATTAGGTTAGAATCTCCTTTCCTGTAAGTTGAATCCATTGGCTCCAGATGCTTTGAGCTGCAACTCCCCTTGGCCATATTGTAGTCTAATACGTAGTGGGTGGCACTGTGGTCTAAACCATTGAGCCTCTTGGGCTTGCCGATCAGAAGGTCAGCGGTTCGAATCTGTGTGATGGGGTAAGCTTCCCATTGCTCTTTCCCAGCTTCTGCCAACCTAGCAGTTGAAAGCACACCAGTGCAAGTAGATAAATAGGTATCGCTGTGGCGGGAAGGTAAACAGCATTTCAATGTGCCCTGGCACTCGTCACGGTGTCCTGTTGCACCAGAAGCAATTTAGTCATGCTGGTCACATGACCCGGAAAGCTGTCTGTGGACAAACACCAGCTCCCTTGGCCTGAAAAGCGAGATGAGCATTGCATCCCATAGTTGCCTTTTACTGGACTTAACCGGCCACGGGTCCTTTACATTTTTACCTAATACACTACAGTACTTCCAACATATATAGAGGGTGCTCAGGCATACTGAGTGGATGACTTCAGCAGAGCATTCACCTCCAGAGACCTTGATAAAGTTGCCCTGTTTATTGCCTGTTTATTAATGTTTATTGCCTGTTTATTAATGAGATTTGCGTGTTACCTATCCTTCTCTGAGTGGCTTTCAGTACACAAGTATAGAAACACAAAACCATGAAATCAGAAGAAACAGATGCAAAAAGAAAACTCAGCACAAGCCCAAAGTTCAAACACAGATTTTAAAACTAATGGGACCAGACTACATAAGCAGTGGTTAGGTGGCAATCTCTCATGGGTGCTTTAGCTGAGATTCCTGCATTGCAGGGGATTGGACTAGAACCTTGGGGTCCCTTCCAACTCTACCGTTCTATGATTCTCTGTTCCTAGCAAAGTATTTGCTTTCTATTGCGCCCTGCAGCCGTCAGCCAGCAAGTTTCTCCCGGGAGTCTGTCCCGGGAAGGCAGACTCCTTGCAGCACCATTTTAGTGGTCTTGCTTTCTAAAAGATAGCCGAGTTAAACACAGTTTTCAAATACTGTTTTAGGCGTGTAAATGCAGAATTAGAAGCCAAGACAGCAGAATTGGTGCGTCAGGCTGAAGAAGTCATGGTGAGTACCCAGTGTCAGACCTGCTTAGCTACAATACTGTTGACCACCGTATTTTCTTGGACTACCTCCATGAGTTGGGAGTACCATTTTACGGCAGTTTGACTCCTACTTACGGGGTTGGTTCTAGCGATTAGTACTCGGCGACTGCGCTTTGGGCCCCTTGTAGTTCCACCAGCAGGCCACAGTTTTGTCCTCTGCTATTTAATATCTATTCAAAGCCACTAGGAGTGGTTATTAGGAGACGTGAGGCAAGGTGTTACCACTATGCTGACAATACTCAACTCTGTTTGTGGCATCTGAATCAACAGAAGCCACGCATGCCCTAAACACGTGGGCTGGATGAAAGCTGTGATTGAATGCTGACAAGATGGAGATCTTTAACGCCTTCCCTTCAGGTAGGAAGCAAACCATGGAGTGGCTGGCTTGGCATTGTATGTGAACGAGCACTCGTGGTTTGTTTCTTCCTAGACGAAACAGAAGTGGAAACCAAGGTTTGTTCTTGATTTTCTGCTCATGGATCATTTAGAAAAACGAACAATGGACAACCAGTTTGTGTGTCCAGTCACTCCCATGTTTTATTTCCTAGCTTCAGTCAAGACAAAGCAAAGTTGGCACCTCTGAGCATCATTACAATAGCATTCTTTTCATACACAGTACACTAACGTTTGTTTTCAGACCATTATATGGTTTGAATATTTAAAAAATATGTACTTCACATTGCCTATCTCTAAAAGTGGCCTGATTGCAAGTACTTAGCCACAACAATGGGGCGGTCTTTGCATATGGAGATTCTCTCTCTTGTTGACTCAGTCTATAGAGAAAAAATAAAAAAAATCCTTCCAGTAGCACCTTTAAGACCAACTAAGTTAGTTCTTGGTATGAGCTTTCGTGTGCAAGCACACTTCTTCAGATACACTGAAACAGAAGTTGCCAGATCCTTCTATATAGTGAGAAGGTGGGGAGGGGTATTACTCAGAAGGGTGGTGGGAATGGGAGATTGGCAGATAGCTGAGATGAGCCTGCTGACGACTCTTAACGACTGTAATAGGTCTTACAGGAAAAGGCAAGGGGTGAGAAGGTGAGAAATGGCTTAGTCATGTATAATGGGATAAGAATCCAATGTCTTTGTTCAAACCAGGTCTCTCCATGGTTTTAAGTTTGGTAATGAGTTGCAATTCAGCAGCTTCTCTTCCAGTCTATTTCTGAAATTCCTTTGTAGTAAAACAGCTACTTTGAGATCTTGTATAGAATGTCCTGGGAGATTGAAGTGTTCTCCTACTGGTTTCTCTGTTTTGTGATTCTTGATGTCAGATTTATGTCCATTTATTCTTTGGCGTAGGTTTGGCCTGTTTGTCCAATATAGAGAGCTGAAGGACACTGTTGGCATTTGATGCCATACACAATGTTAGATGATGAGCAATTGAATAGTCCCGAGATGGTATGTGTGATGTTGTTGGGGCCAGTAATGGTGTTGTCCGGGTGTATGTGGCAGCAAAGTTGGCATCTGGGTTTATTGCAGGCTCTGGTGCCAGTGTCCGTGTTAAGTCTGGTTGTAGTATTATTGTGGGTTAGGAGTTGTTTAAGATTGGGCGGCTGTCTGTAGGCAATGAAAGGTCTTCCTCCCAGAGCTTGAGAAAGAGAACTGTCATTGTCCAGGAGAGGTTGTAGATCTCTGATGATGCGTTGTACTGTTTTAACTTGGGAGCTGTATGTGATGACTAGAGGTGTTCTGTTATTTTCTTTTTGGGGTCTGTCTTGCAGCAAGTTCTCTCTGGGTATAAGTCTGGCTCTGTTGATCTGTTGTCTAACTTCATCTGCTGGGTATTTTAGTTCTGAAAAGGTTTGCTGTAGATCTCTTAGGTGAGAGTCTCTGTCTGTAGAATTGGAACAGATGCGGCTGTAACGTAGTGCCTGGCTATATACAATGGACTGTTTGGTATGTTTGGGATGGTAGCTAGAGGCATGTAGATATGTTTGTCGGTCAGTTGGTTTACGGTATAAGGTGGTGTCTATGCGCCCATCCTGTATTTTTATAGTAGTGTCCAAAAAATGTATTTCTTGCATAGATTGATTCATTGTAAGGTTGATTGTGGGGTGAAAATCATTAAATTTCTGGTGAAAGGTGTCCAGGGTCTGTTGACCATGTGTCCAGATGCTAAAAATATTTTTATCATCTGGACAGCATGGTCAACAGACCCTGGACACCTTTCACCAGAAATTTGATGATTTTCACCTACAATCAACCTTACAATGAATCAATCTATGCAAGAAATACATTTTTGGACACTACTATAAAAATACAGGATGGGCGCATAGACACCACCTTATACCGTAAACCAACTGACCGACAAACATATCTACATGCCTCTAGCTACCATCCCAAACATACCAAACAGTCCATTGTATATAGCCAGGCACTACGTTACAGCCGCATCTGTTCCAATTCTACAGACAGAGACTCTCACCTAAGAGATCTACAGCAAACCTTTTCAGAACTAAAATACCCAGCAGATGAAGTTAGACAACAGATCAACAGAGCCAGACTTATACCCAGAGAGAACTTGCTGCAAGACAGACCCCAAAAGAAAATAACAGAACACCTCTAGTCATCACATACAGCTCCCAAGTTAAAACAGTACAACGCATCATCAGAGATCTACAACCTCTCCTGGACAATGACAGTTCTCTTTCTCAAGCTCTGGGAGGAAGACCTTTCATTGCCTACAGACAGCCGCCCAATCTTAAACAACTCCTAACCCACAATAATACTACAACCAGACTTAACACGGACACTGGCACCAGAGCCTGCAATAAACCCAGATGCCAACTTTGCTGCCACATACACCCGGACAACACCATTACTGGCCCCAACAACATCACACATACCATCTCGGGACTATTCAATTGCTCATCATCTAACATTGTGTATGGCATCAAATGCCAACAGTGTCCTTCAGCTCTCTATATTGGACAAACAGGCCAAACCTTACGCCAAAGAATAAATGGACATAAATCTGACATCAAGAATCACAAAACAGAGAAACCAGTAGGAGAACACTTCAATCTCCCAGGACATTCTATACAAGATCTCAAAGTAGCTGTTTTACTACAAAGGAATTTCAGAAATAGACTGGAAAGAGAAGCTGCTGAATTGCAACTCATTACCAAACTTAAAACCATGGAGAGACCTGGTTTGAACAAAGACATTGGATTCTTATCCCATTATACATGACTAAGCCATTTCTCACCTTCTCACCCCTTGCCTTTTCCTGTAAGACCTATTACAGTCGTTAAGAGTCGTCAGCAGGCTCATCTCAGCTATCTGCCAATCTCCCATTCCCACCACCCTTCTGAGTAATACCCTCCCCACCTTCTCACTATATAGAAGGATCTGGCAACTTCTGTTTCAGTGTATCTGAAGAAGTGTGCTTGCACACGAAAGCTCATACCAAGAACTAACTTAGTTGGTCTTAAAGGTGCTACTGGAAGGATTTTTTTTATTTTGACTATGGCAGACCAACACGGCTACCTATCTGTAACTCAGTCTATAGAGATTAGGACTTCTCTGGCCACCTTCCTTCTCTGTATGGATTGGTGGGTGCTGGCTTCTTGCTTCTTGCTTCTGCTTCTTTTACAAGGCAGTAGGTGAGGCTTAGGGAGATACCATTAGCCCACTTGCTGCTCACACTGGTTTTATATAGTACTAGACATACTGATGCCTTCCCCTCCCCCAACCCTGCCAGTTTGGGTTGCAGTGACCTGACTTTGTCCCTGCATTGTGGTTGGACAGGGTTCACTCCCCTGAATGGCAAAAACATTTGCTTTGAGAAGGACTGATTTCACCTGCCCTTGTATGGAAAGAAAAATTTAGCTTTACTGGCGAGTAAAACTCCACCAAAGCTTTCTTTCTAATCCTGGCAATCTTCTTAGCATCTATAGAGGGTTGGGCTAACTGGTAATTAAAGTTATCTTCTTATTCTAAATTCTTCTCACTAAAGTTGTAATATAGAATTATCTCAGTAGTGGAAAACAAAGCTTTGGGAACTCTGCGGAATTTAAAAAAGTAGTCTGTGACACAGTGTGGTGGTGAGGTAGTTATTGCTCATTTCTGCACATCTCTTAATCATCACAACCAACATAATTAAGTGTTTATGATGGCTGTTAATTGGATGTAGTATACACTGTATTTGACTATAATACAAAATCTTTCCTTATTGAAGAGAGATCAACAAGAAATGTTGTCCAGGCCAATCTCTACACAGGTTGAATTGTTTGACAAGGAGACCAAACATCAGAGGTAAGCTCTTCCTAAAATGTATCTGCTGAAGGCCTTCAGTGCCAGAGAGGGGTTTGAGAGAGAATAGTTTTTTATTTGCAAAATTCAGGGCTGTGGGATAATGTAACGGTGGCCATAGTTTAGTGGGAAACTCCACACTTGGCATGCGTGGGGTCCCAGGTTCAGGGTCCAGCTGCTTCTCCCATTAAAAGGCTCTTGGGTAGTTGTGCTTACCTGGGAAATAGTTCTTTCTGAGTCCTTCAAGTGCCCTGGTCTCCCAAAGCAGACAGTATAAGAGATTGCACTCCACAGCTGTGCTGAGACCTCCTCCTTGACCTGTTCTCTTCCACCTGCACCCCACCTCCAATTTCATAAGACCTTTTGTAAGGCCTTGTGCAAGTGATGCAGGTCTTGTAAGGGCCTCTCAAGTCTTGCATTCCCATGTTGCAGAACAATTGTGTGTCTCTTCTTCCTGGAAACATTGAGGCACCTGTTGACCCCAGTCTTTTGTGCTGCATAGTTCCCCACTAAGGCTGCCATCCTCTGTACCTAACACCAAGCCATAAACCCCCTGGGACTGACCTGTATAAGCTCACACTGCACGTCTCTCATCAAAGGCTGTTATTATACTTAGTTTTTCTTTATTATTCAAGTTAGATTTCTATACCGCCCTTCATCCAAAGATCACAGGGCAGTTCACAACATAAAAATACAAAAGGAGAAAAAATAATACATAACAAAATTTCCCCCAAACCAAGAAACCCCCTTCCACAAACACGCTTAAAAGGCCATAGATTAATCAGCCAAAGGCCTGCTTATAAATGTTTTTGCTTGGCACCTAAAGATATGTAATGAAGTTGCCAGCTGAGCCTCCCGGGGGAGAGCGTTCCACAAGCTGGAAGTCACTGCAGAAAATGCCTGTTCTCTTGTTGCCACTCTCTGGACCTCTTGTGGGGCCTCAGAAGATGATCGTGGGGTGTAATATGCTCAAATCATCTTGTCCCAGTGAGCAACCTGGCCACAGAATTCTGCAACAGCTGAAGTTTCTGAACCGTCTTCAGAGGCAGCCCCACGTATAACACATTGCAGTAATCTAATCTAGAGGTTACCAGAGCATAGACAACAGAACTTGGGCTATTTCCTAGCCAGATAAGGGTGCAGCTGAGCCACCAGCCAAAGCTGATAGAAGGCACTCTGTGCCACCAAGGCCACCTGAGCCTCAAGCACCTGCAGTGAATCAAGGAGTACCCCCAAGCGATGTACTTGCTCCTTCAGAGGGAGTGTAGCCCCATCAAGAGCAGGCAGCCTGCCATCCATCCGGTCTAGGGAACTGCCCACCAACAATGCCTCAGTCTTATCTGGGACAGGCCAAACAGGGGCAACTCATCAAGTGGAGGAAATGCTGAGAATTGCTCTCTCATACCTGCGGTGTATCTTTGTCAGTTCTGTACGGCTGCAAAATGTGGGAGGTAGAATTATAAACTAGCTTTGTTGCTGATGAAACAGCGAAGGACAAATTTTCAATGGTGAGGCTGAGATTGAAGGGCATGTCATTTAGTTTTTGAAGATGGTTGATCTCTGGCATATTAGAGGGTTAGGACTGTCTCTTGATTATTCCTGTTGGCTAAATCAATGAAATTGCATGAATTTGCATATGAATAAATTGTCCTGAAGAAATAAGGCCTCTGTTTGATGCATATGTATATCACAGCAGGCTCCATTTCAGAAGAGGCATTCCCCCTTGTGTCTAAGGGAGGAGGGACACCTCTTCCCAACAAGCGCCACACTTCCTTTGATACTTTACAGAGGTATCTATACAAGCAACTCCCCATTTATGCAGGAGTTACGTTCCAGCGCCCCATATGCACAAATGAAAATTCTGTAAGTGGGGAGCACCCTTTAAATGCCCTCTCTGCCACTCCAATCCAGATAAAAAAATACTGCATCCAAAATATCCACAACTGGAATTGAAGTTTTGGGGCCAGCTGGAAGACGCGTGGAAAACTGCAGCTGAGGTGCGCGGTAGCACTAAACAAAGCTCCACTACACCTCCGGTCTCTTCCACCCTAACTAAAGTCCTGTTTGGGCTCCGGGAAGGATCTCCTCTCAAGCCAAAATAATTCTCCAGCTTTCTCCCTTCATTGCCTGATATGAATTTAATTATTTAATTATTTTCCAGTGCCACATATATACATGATTACACCCAAGTGTGTGGGGGGGTGCTTATACTTAGTTTTTAGTAGTATACAAATTTATTTAAATCAGTTAGAAGCAAGATTATCCATAGGGCTGGGCAATGTATTCATTCATTGCCCGAAACCGGTTTTGAAACCTACATCACAGGAACGATTTCACAATTTTAGGCCAGGCAGTATACTATGAATGCCAACAGGTTTCGCCAGGGTTTCACACACAGCGTCACCAGTCCTCGGCTCTCCTCTCGGAGCCCCGCAAGACCACCCAAGGCCACTCCCTCCCTCTGCAGCCCAGCTGCCCCCTAAGATACTGGAGTGGGGCCAGGGACAACAGCCATGCCTGCACCTATCTCTTGTGTGCTCATTTGCTTACCTGCCTGCCACTTGCCTGCTAGCACTTCTCCAGCTGAGCAACCAGGCTGCCTCCTTCCTCCCTTCCACCTCGCACTGGGTGCTGGCCATGTCCCAAGAGTCCCTGTGGTGAGAGCACGCGGAGAGCAGCAGCAGGAGCAGTGCTGGCTCCTCTTCCTTGCCCCCGGCTCTGGGCTTTCTGGTCAGTTGGTGGCAGTGATTGGCACAGATGGGAGCTCCACCGCGTTGGAGGAATGAAGTAGCTCCTGGTAGTCACCCTTGATGTGAGTGGGAGCTGGGGGCAGCCCAGGGCAGGCTCCAGGGAGAGGCTGTGGTGGGGAGGTCAGCCGTGCTCCAGGGCTCCTTGTTTGCACCCCAGCTGATGTGCTCTGCCCGGGGCAGAGCTGCCCACCTGGCCTCACTATGAAGAAGCAGCACACAGTGTTCCTGATCACCTGCATGGCTGGCCATGGAGGGCTGGCTGGCTACTAAGCCAGTTCAAACTCCTCATTTTCAGACATTGTGATATATCACTATATTGGAATGTTTCACTGGTGATGCATCACGATGTTGAAAAGCAGATATCGCCCAGCCCTAATGATTGGCATTCAAAGTGTGGACAGCCCAAGTATTTTCTGCAGAGCCCCTCCCTTTATTTTCTGAGATGACTATTGCTTTCCTAAATTCCTTACCCCTAAGAAAAAATTAGGTGGGGGAGGAATCAAAAGCCGGACTAGACAAGGAGTTGTTTTTGTACCAAGCTAAATCCTTGGTTCACATCACCTCAAAAGGTTAGTTCACTGGAATCTTAGGCACATGGCCTTTCCCAGCCCCCTTACCTGGCTGAAAGCCCCTTTTAACAGGAGTAGTCAAGAATGGACCTCCCGAGTCCTTAGATATGCAAAGGGTGTGCTCTGTGCCGCCTCCCCATAGAGTCAGAAACAGCAGTTAAACAAACTCACCTAAAGAGGAGGAGCACACGGCTCCATGTTGTGCATGAACAGTGTAACTGCAGTGCTTAAAACAGGGGTGCATAAGATAGACTGTATAAGTTTTTCGGGACGCGGGTGGCACTGTGGCTTGAACCACAGAGCCTAGGACTTGCCGATCAGAAGGTTGGCGGTTCGAATCCCCGCAACGGGGTGAGCTCCCGTTGCTCGGTCCCTGCTCCTGTCAACATAGCAGTTCAAAGTGCAAGTAGATAAATAGGTACCGCTCCGGCGGGAAGGTAAACGGCGTTTCCCGTGCGCTGCTCTGGTTCGCCAGAAGCGGCTTAGTCATGCTGGCCACATGACCCGGAAGCTGTACACTGGCTCCCTCGGCCAATAAAGCGAGATGAGCGCCACAACCCCAGAGTCGACCACGACTGGACCTAATGGTCAGGGGTCCCTTTACCTATAAGTTTTTAAATGTAATATACCTCTGAATAGATGTTTGGGGTGGGGATTTGTTTCTACAGTTGATAACCAAAGCAAGTCAGTTGTTGGCCTTTTGTTCAGCTGTGCACCTCATAGCATTTGGCCGGGATGAGTGTGTGGTCAGGTAGGAACCAGATTACTTGAACACAGAGGAGACGGTCAGGCATGTGCTTCTCATGTTTGCATCCAGCCGCTCAGACTCCACTAGTACTGGAGCCTGAACCGAGTGTTTCTGCCCCTAGGCAGCAAAAGGTCACTGCTGACCCATTTGGATATGGGAATAACTCTCACAGCTGTGCGCAAGTAGCTTCAGTTTTCAGAGGGTTTGTAGCATCCAGAGTCTTTAAGAAGTGGCTCAGGAGAGAGGGGCGGAGAAATAAGTTGGGTTACAGCATCTCACAGATTTGAGTAGAAGAGCCCGAGTCCTGGCCCTCCTGCTTGCAAGTCCTCCAGGGAAGAAATAATACATGGTCTAAGAAGACAGTGAGTATACTCCAGCCTGGAACTGTGGTTCTGTGATCAAGTGTAGGCAAGGGTGCCATAGGAATCCTCCCTAATACACAAGTGGCTTGCAGCAGTGGCCTTTCATGGGTTGATGCTTGCACAAGGAAGGTGCAGTGTTTAGACCGCATCCTGTGAAGAGACATAATAACTGAAGTTCCACTTTCTGTTTGGTACAGACTTGGTTTTTCTATCCTGGCTTTTTCTGGCCATTGTGGCACCCCTTGTTCTTCAAATCGGGACTTCTTTCTTTATCATTTTAGGATAATTCTCATAATTCTGCCTATTTAGGTGAGCTGCAGACCAGAGTGTATTGTGCTGCCAAGCCCTTTCCGGGGATGTTAAGAAACCAGTGCGAAGGCACTAAGTCAGATTACACCACTTTTGTTCCACATTCACATACATACCTTTCAAACAGTGCAGCAGTTACACAGTGTGTTTCTAGCTTACACACCCCACAGCTATTATTATGTTTCCCATTGTAAATACTCCAGTTCATACAAGTCTGTGAACTTCTGCTTGCATGAGTGCTTGGCACTACCTAGGGAAGCTGCAAACCCAAGGGCTGCCCACTCCTGACACTCTCTCCTTCCCTGCAAAGATTATAATCTAATGTTTAGTTTTCTTCTCTTCTTGCCTCTGTATAGGTGTGTTGGGCTTTTCTGTTTCTGCCAAATCAGCTTTTCTGAAGGCAGGCAGTGATCCTTGCCTGTGACCAACAAGAGTCACTATATTCTGGAAGTACAATCTTTTTCTTTTTCGGGGGTGGGGGAGGGCTGGTTTCCTTCCTCTCCTCCCTTTCCCCACCTCCCCTGCTTGCTTGCTTGCTTGCTTCTTCCTCCCTCTTCTTCCAAAGTGCTGCCGCTTTTCCCTACTCCGTGTCTATGCCCTTGATTGGCCTTTAGTTCACAGGACATTTTAAGCAGTGGGACTTTGCTACAAAGTTTTATAGGTCTTGCCCCTAAATCTAGAAGCTGTTCCCTTTAAGATGCATTATTATTCTTATTATTATTCTACCTCTTCTGGCCAATTCCAGGAAACTGAGCCAGAAGCTTCCTGCAAAAGGTAGTTGGGGCTTCTATCAAAGGGCCTAGAACTGTCAGTATCCCTCCCACTTCAGTGCCAGCATGATCAACTGGCTGGGCTAGCCATGTCTGGGGACAAGCAGGGTGCTACTGGTTTGCGGATTCTGATTTTGAGCTTCTGTGTGGACTGCTCCAACCTCTCATAGCCATATTAAGGGTAGCTGCATGGCCACTGGCTGTGCAGCACCCTGTCTCTCCACAATGCTTGGGGTGCTTTGGGACTTGGCTTCCTGTGCTGGGGGGGGTGTGACTTATGCCAACACACCCAGAATCTTTTAAATTTACCTCTAAGTAAATTTGCACGTGCCCATGCCAGGATCTGGACATATCAGGATGTTGAAGATTGTGAGCTTAGCTCTCCTTTCCCTTCATCCCAAGCCAGATGGCTGCATCTGATCTCTTGGATCAGTCAGATTCAAAGTTAGGGAGAGATCGCTGTTCCATTACGGCCAGTGAAGGGGAAATACCTTTACCAGTCTAAGCTGGTTGCCCAGTAGACTTTGCTGTGAATTTTCTCTGGGTTGTTTTTATATGAACTTACTGTTTGGAAGAAAAATGTTGACCTTATCTCAACCATGGTGCTTGCTGCTCCCTTGCTCCATAAAAAAACTAGACCACACAAGAAAGTTGCCAGAGTTTTGCATTGCCCTTTCCTTTGGACCCAGAACCATCCAAGGATATTTCCAAAGGCCAGCTGCATTTTGTTAACTGGGCACTATGTCCACATCCAGGCTGCATTTCGCAGTCTTCCTTCATGACTGGGTGGCAGACACACAGCACTGGAGAACAAAGTCTGGAAGTCGCCTGTGTCTTTACAGTCCTATAGTTTCAAGTAGTCTTCCAACTAATTGCAAAAGAGTAGGATTGCTGAAGGACCAAGCCGCACAGCTTTCAGAAGTCAAGAAGGGTCAGCTACACGGTGAACTCCTGGGGATCTCTGTGCCTGGGACTTGAAGAAGAGAGACTTGGGGTCGCAGGGGAAGATGGGAAGGTCCAGGATGGTGGGGGACAGTTTCCTAGTCTCATCACCCCTGACATTCTCTCCAGGCCTTCACATTACTAAATTGGGGCAGGACACAAATCGGTCTTAAAATGTCACCCCTGTGCCCTGGTTTGGTGAGCATTGCCTTCGGTTTTATCAAGTGCAAGATTGAGCAGCAGGCAAATGCCACAGCTTCCCCCTTGATTACCCTTCTTTCTTAGCAGCCAATACAGAGAGGGCTTGGATATCCCACAGGAAGGCTTTTCCCCCAGGCTTCCCCCCCTTGGATGCTTTGATTCTTCCCATGTCCATGAGGATGTGGCCATATGGTGCCAGCTTCAGAATCTCTGGGTATCTCCAGCGTGACAGACCACAGTCCTCTGCCAGTGCTGCTCATGCTACCCACCTTACAGGAAGGAGCTCTTTACTGAAGCTGTTTCTATGAAGCCAAAACATTTTGAAAAGTGAGTGATGTGTTTTGCATCATTGATCTTCCCTTCTACAATTTTGGTTTTAAAAAATTAAAACACAGTAAAAGACATAATTTATTTTGTTCTTCAAAATAAGCTAATTGCTGCAATTTCCTTTTTCTCTCCAGAGATCAGTGGTCTCCTGAATTGCCAACTGCTCCTCTTGCACTTAATAAGGTACTGAAATTGGGGGCAGATGTGCTCCTCTCAAAGTAGGAGAAGGTAACATTTGCTGTGTGTCTTCAATAGCAGTGGAGGCACAGAGAATCCATTCAGTGAATCAGAGAATGAGGTGGGACAGTACCCGCCTCTCTTTGGATCATGGCTAGACTGAAGCAGGACAGTTGACCGGATGACAACTGTTCATCTTGGCTCTTATTTCTCTACACCCAAGACAGATCTCCTGTGTAAGGAAATTGTTCAAGGCCTTCATATTTTCTACTCTTTTTTTAAAAAAACTTTGGGAATGGACACTTATATATGAACCTCTTCAGTCAGAGCACATACAGTCACAAACATTGTTACTTAAATTTAGTGCATTGATCTGAAGACATGTTTTGCAGATACAAAAATTGCTTATTATACCACTTACTTTAATGGTATCACAGTGAGCGTCATTCCCACGGAATCCAGTGACGCTTGCACCAAGGTGCGTTTGCGTAGGGCTTGTAGCCTTACATTGCTGAGTCCGCTTGTATGGGCTCAGATGCATGGGCTTGTAAGGATCGGGTGCATCCTTCCACAAAAGGAGTAGTGGAGAGTTGATGTGCGAGCCTGTGGGAGGAAATGAAAGAGCTTCTGGACAGGCCAGAGGTCTGTGGCCACAGGGCGTTTGTTTTTTGTTTGTTTGTTTGTGTTTGTATGTGATCCAGAACCAAGAGGAGCATTAAGAAAGATAGTCTAAATTTTCCATGTTCCTTGTGGCCCTCTAGCGGTGGATCATTATTCGTTCTGTCTTTTGTCTCCAGTCTGCCAGGGGTCCAGGTCTGCACAGCTGCTCTTACACAAAAGAGGAACGATTGTGCCCTCCTTCCTAGGTCCTTTAATATGGACAAACAAGATAAAGATTGCAAACAGGATAGGGATACGATGATCAATAGGGGACACACAGTAGCCAGTGCAGTATTTAACCACTTAAAATTAATCTGAGTGTCACAGCACATGCTATCCTTTCACAGCAACCTAGGGAGAGAAGTTGAGCTGAGAGATGTTGACTAGTGCAGCTGGAGAACTTTGTGCAAGGGTGGGGATTTGACTCTGCTTCACATGTAGTTAGAATAAACTGTTGTACAAAACCTGTGACTCTTAAGTTACAGAAAAGCAGGCTTGGAGAAGAAAAATGCCACTGTTGGAGGCAGGATACTTCTCAATATCAGTTGATGGCAGTCTCAAGCGAGGAGAGTGCTGTTGTGCTCAGATCCTGCTCAGGGGCCTCCCTCAAGCCACCTGGTTGGCTGCTGGCTGCTGAACTAGGTGGGCCCCTGGCCTGAGCCAGCAGAGCTCCTCTTGTCTCCTTATGTCTAAGACCATGATATGCTTTAGGTAGCTAAGAGTTTTTGTTTTGTGAATTCTCCTTAGCAACCAAACAAGAAGAAACCTAGCTCTGCGTCTACATTTCGGACTAGGCCACTATCTGGAAAGAAGGGGAAAGGAACTCTGTCAAGGTACAGCAGCTGAATAGCACCCAGCTTATCTTAGGCATTTTTCAAAGTACAACAGTAACTGGTGTTATCTTCTAACCATGCCTGGTGATAGTAACTACATGAACATACCGGTAATTAAAAGTAAAGAGGCTAAAACTATTTTTGCCTATGTAGCATTGACGGAGGCTAATAGCAAGGTGAACTGAAAAACAATCAACAAACCACAGAAAGCCTCTAACAGCATTCTGCTTTCTGAAGAAGGGCAGCTTTAAAAAGCTGCCTCACCCCAACAGCTAACAATCCCATCCATGTCACATTAATGATGTTCTATTTCACTGGGATTATTGGTCCTGTTGACTTTCAGGACCAGGTCTGGAGAAATCCCCGCTTTTCTAGAAAGGTGAAATAGCCCCTTATCAGTTTATTTGTTTTTGCCAATTGCTTCTTACATTCCAGTCCTTTTTTCTGTTGTTCGCTCTTAAAATGCTTAGAAATGCTGTGTTTTGGCCTTGTCTCTAGCACAAAACTAAGACCACATGACATTCCTAGTGCTGCAGATGTTGCAGTCCCAGACTTCTCTCTTGCCAAGACAATTGGGAAAATTGAAGGGCAACTTGAAGAAGGAAACTTTCCTGATCTAGAGGACGATCTTATCCCCGGTGTAGGAAGTGAAATTGGAGCAGGTGGGTCTGCTTTTTACTGTCCTTTCCTTACTGCTAAAAGGGAGCTGGATTTCTCTTCCAACTGACCTGTTCATATGATCTTTAAATTTTAAGGCCTCACGTAGACAGGCTTTTTAACACATGCCTACTCTTTGAATTGGCAGTGTTTCATCTAGTTCCTAGAATGAGGGATAAATTATCAGTCACATGAGAAAACGGAGGTGTCTTTCAGTGTCTCAGAGTTTATTGCCCACCTGTGCTATCCTCATTGCTGCCATAGCTGCATCTCCTTTCTGCTTGTTTGGCAACAGCAGATCACTACACTTGGCAAGCCACCTGGGGTGGGAAATTGCTTTAGGTGTCCCTCCCTGCAAGGAATCCTTCCTGACGTCGTCCCAGGGGAAGGCTGGTAACATTGCACTTTTTAATCCTGTGCGCTCCCTTCAGACACTAGGGACCCGAGTCCAGGGAATTGAATGGCCTGTTTCATGGAATGTCTTTGCATCTATGAAGGATGTTCTAGAATTGTCAGTCTTCAAAACTTCTATATTATTGTACCATTAGCATAAGCGTGTGATTAAAAGCTATTCAGATGTTTTGAGGCTCTTTTCTGTCAGGTCTAGAATGGCACAACAGTCCAGAACATTAAATGTAATTATTGCAAATCTACAGAGGCCCAAATCCGGTTCCTAAAGGCAAAGCTTCGTGTTATGCAGGAGGAGCTGGATGCCATGGGGCTAGAATGCAGTAAGAAGGTAAGAACAGGTGGACTTTCTGTTCCTGCATCATAATATGTAGCAGCAACATCCTTGTATGAGGGGCTATATTGTTGGCTCACAGTTGTTGCTAGCACCTAAATGTTACTCAGTGCGAGATTAAAGGTCTTTTCACATACTCACCAGCCAGGGATCTGAAGTGTATGCTTGTACAGGGCCAAGGCTGTTCCTATAGCCAAGCCTGGGCTCTGGTCCACACTCACACTCCCTCAGCCAGTAACCTTCTGCAGGCAGCAAAACCTGTACTCTTCACCCGCAAGCAGAAATCCTACACAACAGACAATCCTTTTGATGCAGTCAACAAACAAATACTTTTCTGGCTGGTGCCAGGATAGTTCTAGTCTCTGCTTCGTTACTCCTTTGCTCCTCCAAAGCACTCTTGGGAAGAGCTGGGTGGGAAATGAACCTAAGAGGTAGAAGAACTGAGGCCTTGCTGGTGGTGCTGAAACCAATGGTAGGTGCTTCTTTTTTGCCCAGAGTTCCCTGGCCATGCTGCTGCCCAGAAGCTTCCAGCACCTGCTTGAATCGCAGAATTCTAGAGTTTGAAAGGACCCCAAGGGTCATCTAGTCCAGCCCCCTGAAAGGCAGAAATCCCAACTACGAATCAGAACGAAGGGGTAGTGGTCCATGGGCTTTATCAGATTTGGCAGCTTCTCTGCCACATTGTTAATCTTTGCACCTGGAAGACAACACACCTCCCATGACATCCTGTTTCCTCCACGCCCTACTGCCTGTCCCCCTCAGTAGGGAGTCACCTGTCAGGTGCTGGTTGTGGTTGCTCGTTAGTAACCAGGCAGGACTCCGACCTGTCTTTAACAGGTTTTATTTGGTGCAAACTATTTACAGTGCAGAGCCACAAAGTTCATGTCCGTCTTAGTCACTTGCAGATTCTGGGAGTGGCCCCTTCCGGTTTCTCCCCCAACGTAAGAACTTAGACCCCCCCCAAATCTCCGCCTCCCCTCCTTACATTTCACCCCTCTGCGTAAGCTGGGCGACTGAAACAGCGCGTCTGCCTCCTGGCCAGCTGGGCTAGGTGAGGCGCTTGGGCTCTCAGTAGCATCTTCGAGCCCTCCCCTCGCTTGGCTGCCCCTTCCCCCTCTGCTCCACTGGAGGTGTGGCTTTCACCACTGCTGGACGAGGCGCTTCTGTCTAATCCTCTTTTAAAGTTCTCCAAGTTAGTGGCCATCACTAGGGCTAGACGATATATCAATATATCACCAAAAACCAGTTTGAAATCCATATTGTGATAGCGGTTTCATAATTTTTGACCTGTTAATTATCACGAATTGTGATGTGTGTGTGTGCTATGCAAAAATCACAATGTGGGAAAAACCGTGAAGCCAGCCAATGCCTCTGCATAACTCCATCCTTATTTCAGACATCATGGTGTATCAATATGTTGTGAGGTTTAGCTGATGATATACCACGGTGTTGAAATCCAGATATCGCCCAGCCCTAGTCTTCACTACTTGTGAAAGCAAATTGCATATTTAAACTCAGTTCAGTAAGTTAATTCTTGGTCTTCAGGATGAAGAAAATCAGAAGTTAAGCAGCTCCCTAAAAGAGGCTGAAGAAGAGCGTGGGAGGCTGCAGCGAACAGCCAGTGTACAGCAATCTCAAATAGAAAAGTATAAAATGCTGTCAGAAGAAGCAAACAGTAAAAGTGAAGGACTGCAGCAGAAGTGCTCTGCACTAGAAAAGGTAACAAGATCCCCATTTCAGCCTCATTACATGGCAATATGTCACTGGACTGGCCGCCCTCAGTTTAATTCCCATTTTGCAGAAAAGTACAGAGAAAGGGAAATCAGCCAATTCATTGCTCCCAAGGCAGGAGCCAGGGCAAGGGCAAAGGGTGTTTTGCTCGGCTCCTGTGATCAGATAAATCAAATTTGAGTATATCATTAGGGAAATTGTTTCTGTCTTATTTTCCCTCCATAGGGGCGTTTTCTCCATGTAGGGAGAAAAACAGCGCTGTACTTCAGCACCCTTTTCACTCTCCTGCTTCTAGCAGTCAGGGCGGACAACAGTCCCATATATATTTCCCACAGTGCTGTGCTGAAAGTGATGTTAAATTTTGAAAAAACACCAACAGATAGCTGTAGAATGATATAATGCACACAAAGCCAGCATAAGCATGGAAAGGATGCCACAATAAGAAAGCAAACAGCATTGATCTTGGCAGAACAGAGAGGTCTTCTCCTCATCTTCTGAAAGTCAACAAGGTGGTGGCATGGCAGGAGCACCTCCAAAGAGAAATGTTCCTCCCTGGTTGCAGGAATTTGCAGCAATGGACTTCTTGCAAAGCATCCACCTAGTGTGCTGGGTCCTGTCACCTGGGAAGTCCTTCCTCTAGTCTCCAGTGCTGCTGCCCTCTGGGCTAAACAGGCACATGAGAATCCAGCACCCGCCACCTCCAGAACCCTAAGTGCATGTTGCTGTAAATCTTCATCCTGTTTTCTGTTTTGACTTACTGCAATAGGAACTGGAGAATCTGAAGCGAGCCCAAAAACAGGCTTCAGCCAGCCAGAGTACAATGGAGGTTCGCTTCAACAGAGCTCTTGAAGAAGCAGAGAAATATAAAATGGAACTGAATAAAGTGAAGCAAAGCAACAAGGTAGGCTTTGTTTTTGCATAGAAAACAGGAAAAACCAGCAGAGGTACATGATGTCCAAGTTTAAGTTCACTCTGCAATAGCCCCCTGTAACTTCCTTAGCCGTCTAGATCTTAGGGCAGATTGTCCCATTTTATTTTCACAACAACCCTGTCAGGTAGGTTAGACTGAAAGTTACCAAGTGAACAAGGCTGCCATACTTTTTAATAATTCTCTCCCCCTCCCCATGTTTTTAGCTGAATTTATTTTTATCTGTAAGCTAACTTGAGACTATGTCAGGGGGAAAGGTGGGGTAACAATAACACTGTATCTTTGTCCTCAACACTGTCCATACATCTGTTTATGCCAAACACAGCAGTCAGAATCAAATATGAAATTAAATAGAATTCCAGGAGAATTTCTTTTGGTTGCAGAATTATAGATGCCTGGATGTTGTTATTGTGTGCCTGGAATACACACCTCACAGTGACTAACTGGCCCCCTTTGCTTTAGAAAGAGGTTCATCACCTGAATCACGTGCAGTGCCTTTTTTGAGGCAGTACGCCATAGTGCTACCTATTCCTCACCCTGCAGTACACCTTTACCTGCCACTTCCCGCAGTGACAGGCACATCCTCTTAGAGGCGCTTTGGCACGACCTTTTTATGATTTCCAAGTTCCTGGAAAGCGCTTTGGCGATTGTAAAAGGGTTGTGCCAAAGTAGTAGTAATAATAATAATAATAATGTGCCTCTGGGAGGCTGTGCCTACTGCTGTGGGAAGCGGCAGCAGGCAAAGGTGTGAGTGGGGTTGGAAGCAAGCAGGCAAACGGTGGCGGGATAGGAGGGGATGGGGGGTCTGGTGCATTGTGGCACCTTTTTTCCTAGAAATAAAGAACTGGTCCTATGACTGAACCTTCCCTTTTGGAATGACATGCTCTGGGTTCTACAAGAACATCCCAAAGGATTCTACTCATAGCTGCTTATAAAGGCGTAAAGGTAAAGGGACCCCTGACCATTAGGTCCAATCGTAGCTGACTCTGGGGTTGCAGCGCTCGTCTTGCTTTACTGGCCGAGGGAGCCGGCATACAGCTTCTGGGTCATGTGGCCAGCATGACTAAGCCCCTTCTGGCGAACTAGAGCAGCGCACGGAAACGCCGTTTACCTTCCTGCCGGAGTGGTACCTATTTATCTACTTGCACTTTGACGTGCTTTCAAACTGCTAGGTTGGCAGGAGCAGGGACCGAGTAACAGGAGCTCACCCCGTCACAGGGATTTGAACTGCCGACCTTCTGATCAGCAAGCCCTAGGCTCTGTGGTTTAACCCACAGCGCCATCCGCGTCCCCTATAAAGGCATAACACACACTATATCCTTCCTCTCCCACTAGGATTTAGTCAACCAGGAACATAAAAAGCTTGAAGACCTGAAAACTGAGAACAAGAAGTTGGAAAAGCAAAAGGGAGAGCTGATGGCAGGATTCAAGAAACAATTAAAGTTAATTGATATATTAAAGAGACAAAAGGCAAGTTATCCTGAGCTGTTGGCAATTTTCATTGAATTAAAGTTAGGGCCATAGGACTCTTTTGAATTTATTTGATTGGGTGGGGAGACAAGGGAGGCAATGGCAAAATATGTAACGGAGGATCCAAATTCCAAGAAGGTTAAGATCATTTTCAGAACTATGATGTGGTACAACTTTGGATTACACAATTGAGCCAACATGTACTAGAATTATGAGCCACTTTAGGACTAGGACATGAGACTTGCATTGAACCAGTCCAGAAAAAGGCAAGGAGGGAGAACTTCCCTTCCCAGGTATCAGTATTAGCAACTGGGTCATTCTGTCTTTTGTCTACTACATTGAGAGATTTAAGAACTGCTCTGTTTGAACAAATACAATTTCTTTTTCATTGTGTCTTACTAGACAGAAAACTTTCCTGGGGGGAAAAGGGAAAGCAAGTCTTAGTATTAGCAAGGCAGCAGTTAACCATCGAGCACATTTGGGTGGCCTAGCCAGCCTCCAGCTACATCTGTTCCTAAACTTTCTCTTGGAAGTGGTTTGGACTTAAGAACAGACAACTTCCTTAAGACAATTGTTTGAAAAATAAGCTAAGTACTGCAGCTGAACCACCACCAGGGAAGTTGTGCAGAGCCAATAGGTCTGAAAAGGATTTGGGCTGCTTTGTCTCAGAAAGCACCAGCAGCTTGAGCAGTGGCTTCAAGCATCCCTAGTGATCTGCTCCCTCCAGCTGACTCAGCTATAGTCAGGTAACTTCATTATCTGTCATAGTAAGTAGGAGATGGATGGAGCTGGTCTAGAGGGGGAGAACCAGTTTTATCGTCAAGGGTGAAGATGGCCAGTTTTATAATTCAGCATAAATGCTTGGAAGAAACTCTTACATAACAGAAGGATAAGTGGTTGCCTTGGCTTCCTTCTTACCTGCACTTTGATTTTACAAATGTTAAAATAGGGAATAAGGTAAATTTTGTCAGAGTTAAATTTTTCATGCAACTATTATTGAATTGTTTTTCCCCCTTTCCTTAGATGCACATTGAATCTGCAAAGATGCTTTCTTTCACTGAAGAAGAGTTTATGAAAGCCCTGGAATGGGGAAATTCTTAATGTTCAACACTGGACAGAAACACAATTAACATTCAGCACTATGGTGGCTCAAAAAACAAACATGTTTCAAAGCAAATCCACTGAAGTTTTCTCAAACACTGGAATGTGTTAATTTTAGTGTAGTATCAGCTCCTGTTTGGTCTCTCCTCCTCACTGTTATTGCAAGCTGCCATTTGGTTCATCTTCCTCCATTTATGCAATTGTACTGACGACTGCTGTTGTCTTCCAGGTTATCAAGACCAGCTTGGGGAGCTTCACATATTCCACTGACACTAAAGACTCCCTTAAGTTTATGAGTTACTTCATCAGTAGCTTAGTAAAGCCTTTTTGTTTTTCACAATAAAGTTGTTATTTTCCAAGTTTCCTGTCCATCATTAAATAACAAGAGCTGCTTCTGAGCAAGGTTACTCCCATGTCACAGTTCCCTCCACAGAAGCACAAATAAATGAGTACATTTCCAATTACTTATTAAATAAGCTGTAGACGTTTTAGCTATATATGAATTTAAAGCATTTTTAAAGTAAACACACTTGAAGCTATCAGACTTTTGCAACAACTTCATTTCTGTCAAGTGAAGATAAATTCAGCTCCCCATTTCCAGCATAAGCACAAAATGCAAACAAAAGTAGCTATTTTTGCAGAAATAATTTTATCACTATAAAAACGAAGGCAGTTGAAAGACACATGGAATGATTTAGAGGCAAAAATTACCTAGCAGTAAGAACACTGCACTCTATACAGTCCCAGGGCTTCTTCGAATACTTCTTGAAGCAAACTTAGGTCTCAATTGTCATGTGCTGGCCCATCGCCTTTTCTCTTTTGATAAGCTTGCCGGAACTCTTCTCCCAGCATGTTAACATCTTGCTCATCTTTAAGAACTCCCTGAACATACAAAGAACAGTATTCAATTCAAAATGACACCATAAAAGGCATTTTAAGATTGTAGTTACTGGAAGTCTAAGAATTAGCCTGCATAGTAAAGTTCTCAAACACTTTTTATTTTGCACAACATTTAATGGTTTGTGCTTTGTTCTATGTTGCATTTAATTCTTTTTATCCTGCTAACTGTACTTTGCATAAGTGGCAATGGCACTGTTTACCAAACTGGAGTTTGGTGATAAGCTTCCACTATAGTGATGCATTGTAATATGCAAGTATGAAGTTCTGGATTAGTGGAAGCAGGGGTCAAGGCTGTAAGATTTTTGCATTTTGAGAAAATAAATCTCAAAGCAGCCTTGCCCCTTCTAGACTATCAGATTCTCCCATTCTAGCTGCTCCAGGAGCCATTTTTGCACACTGGGTGTGCCTGCCTGCCTGCCAGGCAGCAGGATCAACTTGAGGTCTTACTTCTAAACCTCACCATCCCTCATTACAGCCCCCTCTGGAAATTCTAGATTCCCATTGATTGTGGCCCGTTTCCCATCTCAGTGGAAACATCTCAGGCCACCTGAGCCCAGCAAATATGTGGGTAGGGTTACAAGGAAGACTACATGACTATACCCAAGGTAGTTCTCTCCCTGGATTCAGAGGCATGTGGGAGAGTATACACCCTTGCTGCAGGGCCTCCCTGTGCCAGACTCCCTCAATGTGTGAACTGGCGGGAGAGGGAAAACCTTATGTACTGCAGCCACTAAATTCAGCAAGGAAGGATGGAGAAGGGGGTGAAGAGACAGACACATCAAAACCTGAAGGGGGACTGACAGGCAAGGGCACAGAGGGACCTCTGGGGAAGGCAAAGAGAAATGAGGGAAGGCAGCAGTTGAGTACAAAAACAACTAGAGCACCATATTGAGAACGCAGGGGTGAAAGGGTGAGAAGCGGGGGAAAGTGAAAGGTTTTAAAACAGCAGAGCTTTACTCTGAGTAAATATACATGAGGAAGCATCTTTTACAGGTTTGCCCTGCCTTCTCTACTAACCCATCCTTCCCCACTTTGTCCCAGAATCAAAACAAGATTCCACTCCAAAATCCCCTCTCTCTTTCACAAATAAATGTTAAACAACCTACCCATGCCATTCCCCCCCCCCGCCTTCCCCCTTTACACTCAAGCCCTTTTCAGACATTCAGTTTGTATGTGTGAAAGACTAAGTGCCAATGTGCAGGGCTCCTGTCCCAGTGTTGGAAACCCTACATGCAAGTAAGCCAGCCCCCCTTCAGACTAACAAGGTGTTTGCCTGGTGTGCAGAGTATCATTGAGAGAGCAGAGCTGACTGCACATTCTCCCTTGCCTGTTCAAAGCAAACCCCCAAAGAGTGTTTCAGTCATTCAGCTTTACTTTTTCTCTCCATCTTTCCCACTCTAAGCCTTGTTCATTTGTCCTTTAAGACAGGTGAATGTTGGCTTCGGTCTTGCATGATTAGAATTCCATTTTTCACCAGAATCCACATAGATTTTCCATGTGAACAATGAGAGCTGGCCATGGGAGAGACTGCCTGCCCCTGCTCCAATGTTAAATGCTACCTGGATATCCTAATGCAGGTGTAGGGAACTTTGCTGCTGCTGCTGCTGCTGCTATTTCACCCCCATTAAGCTGCATTTGTCTCTACTTACTCTGGGAAGATATCCCAATAGTTTAACTGCGTGTTCTTTAAGCAGCTTCTGCCGCTCCTCCTCAATGATGTCATTAACAATGCCTTTCCTTCTTTCTTCAAGCTGCATTTCTTCAAGTTCACGTTCCTATACAGAAGTAATAAAAATGTATTACCTTTTTCTAGTTCAAAACCCAATTTCATGAAGCTATGGGAGATTTTTGCCCTGTGAAAAACAAAATGCTTCTGCTCTGGCTTTAAAGCCACAGGTTGCTCTAATATTCGCCCCCACCCCGCAATGTTTTTTATTAAAGATTTTCTTAGTTTATAAAAGTGCATGCATTGCCCTACTTGAAATGTTGTGTACAGAACCCAGAGCTGCCTTATTAGCTCTGGCTAGTTTTGTCAAAAGAGGCCAGTTTCTCACCTTGTCTGCAATGAACTGCTTTCTCCGCTCTTCAATGAGCTTCTCTACTTCTCGCCTGTGTTCCAGCTGCTTCATTCTTCGCTTCTGAGCATTCATTTGCTCAACGCGGTCGTCCTCGGCAAACTTGGCCAGCATGGACTGGCGGAAGGCCTCCTCCTCCTCCTTCATGGCCTGCCGCATCACCTCCCTCATGGCCAACTGGTCTTCGTACGCTTTGCGCAATTCCAGGCGCTGCCTAAGTTTCTTCTCCAACTCTTCCTACAGGGAAGGAGTGTACAGCATACAACAGTCATTAAAACAAAAAAAGTACTGCCAGTTCACAGGGTGAACAGTTAGGCAAGATACAGGCAACTCCCGTTTTATGTGCCACCTTGTATGCACGGGCCATTTTCAGACCCAGAAGGTGTGATGGGGGCATAACAGGATGAGGTGGGCTTATGTGCACTCCACCAATGCATACAATGACCCAGAATGCAATCCCCAGGGGTTGCCTGCACTGCTTCCTTCAATACTGTGGTTCCCAAACCTTTTTCTCCATGGGCTACCTGAAAAGTGCTGAGAGTCTTGGAGGACCATTTAATGATTTTTCTGCCTGTTGTAGCAAATGTAACACACTGCACTACATGCTGTATGATTTTTTATGGAATCCAAATTAAACTTCTTAATTGTAGCCTCACATTATCTTTGCTGCTAATCTTCCCTGCCCCTTTTCAAGTGCTTTCTCCCCTGATCACTTCCAGCCCATCCCACCCCTTCCAGGTGGTCCGCCACGTTCTAAGAATGACAGAGCTGCTGCTGCTGCCGTTCCTCAGAGACATGCCACAGACCAGCTGATAGAGGCTTCTGGATCACTGATGGTCCGTGGACCACAGCTTGGGAAACCTTGCTTCAATACCTTTATATTGTGATAACTTGTCATCTAAGATGGTTTATGAGACATGGGAACACCTGATGGGGAAGAGGGAGGATCCTGGGGCAAGTGCAGCCTTTCTCCTCAAGCAGGCAAGACCTGGAGAGGAGTGTTACATGGCCCCTGGCAAAGCACCCTCACAAATTCATGTTGGATGAGATACTGTCCCTTGGGAAGAAGGAAGTACAGAAAGCGCTACTGCTTTGTCTACGTGAAGGGGGTATATTTAAGGAAGACAAAGATGTCTGCAGCAATATGAAGTAGTGGAGGTTAACAAGCCATGGAAACTAACTAACTAAAGCTCTTGAAGCTGATATCTCACAGGGAGGGCAATGGGGGAGGCAGGGAAATGTGTTTTTTAAAAATTATTATTTAACTACTAAAATATCTCGTGCAGGCCCACGACAAGACTAAAATCTGCATTCACTTACCATCTCCTTCTTTCGGTTTTCCTCTTCTCGTTCTTCGAAATACAGCTCTTCACGGATTTGCTCAAGCTCTTCCCGTTCCTGCTGCTCCTTTTCTAGAGCCTCTTCAAGCTGTCATGGAGAGGGAGGAGATTTTAGGCACCTGCTGCCTCTCATATCAAAGGAAGGAAATTTAAGAGGCATTTCAATACCATTTTCTGGAGCTTTTGCTTCCGCTCCTCATTCTCCTGGATTTTTGCCATCCTGTTATCTTCTCTTTCCTGCCACATGTTGGCAAATTCCTTGAGTTTTCTGTTTTCCTCTTCCATCTCTTCACGCTGCCTTTTCTTCCTCATAGCTTGATCATTTTTAAATTCTTCTATGAACCTTTGAGTTGCTCTCATTTTCTCTAGTCTTCCTTGTTTTGCTCTATGGAGAAGTCTCAAACTTTAGTAACTTTTCTAAATGTAACCCAGATAGTTAAGAATCCCCTGCTCTTCATGTGTCACACCCAGACATCCCCCGGGAAGCTAAGGACACGCCAGTGTATGCCATTTTGTGCTCATGACAACTTTCCTAGTTAAGTGACTGTCACAGCCTGAAAGTCCTCTAATCGAGTTTAAATGCTCTGAGGTAGGAGGTCTTTAAGCAGAGGCTTGACAACCATATGTCAGGAGTGCTCTGATGGTGTTTCCTGCTTTGCAGGGGGTTGGACTCGATGGCCCTTGTGGTCTCTTCCAACTCTATGATTCTATGATTCTAGGAGCCACCAGATCCACAACTTGCTCACTGTGAAGCAGCAGGTCTGCCATCACTGTGAGCACTGTAAGCACAGGGCAGGCTGGACGGATGAGCCATGAGCCAGAAATATTAATAAAGCAAGGAACCCCTCAGACCAGAGAAAAATTATTACTATGCATTATTAGGTCCAAGACTGTTTAACATTTTGTGACATTTAACAGGCAGCAAAGAAGTGCAAACAGTAAGGCTAAACAAGTTTAAAACACAAACACAGGAAGTCAAACTAACCGTTCATCTTCGTCATAGATTTTTCTCACAATTTCATCAATCAAGAGCTTCTCTCGGAGGAACTCCTCATAGGCCGCCTGCCTCTGTCTCTCTCGGTCCTCAAGCTGCCTTTCCAGTTCTCGCTGATAAAGCAGCTTTTCCTGATTCCGCTTTGCCTCAGCTGTCCTCTCTTCTTCCTCTGCCTTTTCTTGAGCTTCCTTCATTGCTTTGTATATTTCTGCATCACCTTTCTGAAAAGATTTTAATCTATTTTTAAAAAAATGGAAGAATCTGGAGTAACAAACTCCAAAGAAGACTAGCATCCCAGTAAAAGGACACTGTGGACTGCTGATGAACCGTATTATTTACATATATTTATCTCCTATTAACCTAGCCCTCTAGGAACTATCCATTTTTTTCCACCTGCGACACCAAGAAATAGTTCTCTCCACACACACTGTTGCATCCATTCAGCTAAACTAACAGTACATGAAAATGAAGCTACTAAGGGCTATGGAATCTTTGTAAAAAGCAAATGAATGCTAGGATGGGTGACTAGAAATCCAAACCACAAATCTGATGCATTGTAAACCATTTCAGTGCCATTTTTTCCTAAAATGTAGTACTTATTTATTTAACAGTGCAATCCTGAGCATGCTTACTCAGAAGTAAAACCTGCTGAGTTCAAAAGAAATTATTTCATGGTAATTGGTTCAGATTTTCAGCCAAAGTTGTTTGATAGTTATGGGTTAAAGGTAAAGGGACCCCTGACCGTTAGGTCCAGTCGTGGCCGACTGGGGTTGAGGCGCTCATCTCGCTTCATTGGCCAAGGGAGCCGGCATACAGCTTCTGGGTCATGTGGCCAGCATGACTAAGCCACTTCTGGTGAACCAGAGCAGCGCACGGAAACGCCATTTACCTTCCCGCCGGAGTGGTACCTATTTATCTACTTGCACTTTGACGTGCTTTCGAACTGCTAGGTTGGCAGGAGCAGGGACCGAGCAACGGGAGCTCACCCCGTCGCGGGGATTCGAACCACCAACCTTCTGATCAGCAAGTCCTAGGCTCTGTGGTTTAACCCACAGCGCCACCCACGTCCCTAGTGATGGGTTAAATCTGCCTTAACTGAAACGTTAGTCATGTCCATTGATTTAAATATGTGTACTCTGTATATGGCATAATTGGATAAAGCCCAGTAAGAGACACGTTAGAAACATGCTGCTTGAAAGGTTTTAATTATCACATTTGGAGAGATGACCTTTGAAAAACAATGCAATGCTGTGTAGACCATTTACTATACATTTAAAAGTATTTGCATGAATTCAGCTTTGAGAGGTTTGCCCCACACTGCCTTGAGAAGCAAGCATGGTTGTTATGGCTGCAATCCTTAAGAAAACCCAGTAGAGCTCAGTGGGACTTTTTCCTGAGTAAGCAGGCTTAGGTCCACATCATGTCATTGATTAAGCTTGGTGGAAGATATCAAGATGTAGAATAAAACACTTCTCTTACTAACCAAAATAAATCTCCTTTTTTCAAATGTAATTTTTAAATTTAGAAAATGGATTTTAAGCATTTTTTGTTGTCATTAATTCAATGTCTTTCCTATCCTTTACCATAAGTTCCCAGTGAAAACAAACAGTAGGGCTAGGCTTATCCAAAATCTAACTAAGCTGACCAATCCATTTTCCAAACAAGCAATATTTAAGTCAGTTGTCACACGCACGTGCGCACACACAAACGCTGAGCAGATCCAAGATTCGAACAGTCCATAAAGCCAGTTACCATTTTTTCATATTTTATAGCTTCTTTCTCAGCAATCTGGGCAGCCCTCGCTTTATTCATATAAGCAGATTTCAGCTTCAACTCCAGCTCCCGAAGTTCAATACTAGAAACCAAATTGACAAAAAGTATGAAACGTGTTGAAAACTGCCTCTCATTCTTTTCTTTGGCACCTCTCATCGCAGACACTTTACAAATCTGATTTTAAACACATTTATATAGTTTAAAAAGATAACATTAAAATGAATGCTTTTACAAGCCCAGTGTGTTCATGCTAAAACTCTGACAAGCCACTAGACTAGCATCTATTAGCTGGGGGAAGAAGAAGATGCCGCCGCACCACAGAGATTATCTTCATCTGCCATGATGCCCCCAACAGTGCTAAACTCTGACATCAAACAGAAGCATTAGGTAGGTTCAAAAACATAACAGAGTTTAGGGAAGCTGCAACTTTATGTGGGATTATAAAGAAACCTATTTGTTGAAGAAAGAAATACCTGGTCTCTCTTATTTGCTGTCTCATCTTTTCATCTTTGAGTTTCTCATGGTTTAATCTTGCTAACTCAGCTGCCAGTTTTTCTTCCTGTTGCAACTCCATTTCCTTCAACCTTTTATTCTCTTCTGCCTGACCACAAAATTGAATTTAACAAATCAGAATTGGATTCTAGAACTTAAATGAAAGCCTAGATTTTCTTAAACTATTATCCTGCAACTGTCTGATAGTTCAGTGTGCCTCTAAAGAAATGGTTTAGTGTGTCCTGCAATAATCCTTAAAAAACCTCAGTGGAATGGAAATTATTTGCATACCTTCAGTCTGGAACACTTTCACTCAGATCCCTGCTATACTAAACTGTGCTGAACTGACAGAAGATATATTTACAATTACATTGGCATTTTTAAAGAAGATATAGATTTCAGCAGTATTAATCTTAGAGTGAGCACAAAGTTGATGTTTATTCTGATTAAGCAACAGCCTAACATCTGAAAAAAAGTTTTTAAAAATCACGCAATGCAGATTCAGAAAGCTTCATCAACATTTTGTAGCATAAGACCCATATATTCAGCTTGAACACTTTTTCATTACACAAGACATTGCCAGGTTGTTACTAACTCTACCAAGCTTGTATAAGCTGTCTCACTACCTGGAATCCAGTTTTGGGGGCCATGGAGGTGGGAGGGATGTCTTGGGATGCTGCAAGCTCAGCCCTAAGAGCAAGACGCCTCAACCAACCATGAGCATCAAGTTCTTATTCAGGCCCTGGGAGTCTCTGGGGTGGCAGAACCTACAGCCACCCTCCCGCCCCGCCAGCCAGGCTGTTTGTTAGGTGAAACATTACTATAATTGTTTCATGTTTCCCAGAGATAAATCACAGCCTACCACTGTCACTAACCTACCTACAGCCTGTGGCCCTTCTTCCCTTCAAATCTGCTGAGCAGCCATGCTCATTTTCCCTTTGCAGTTTAGAACACAAACTTCAGCAAGTGTACTCAGTGGGACTCACCAAATATGCAACAGATCATCAGGATCTTAATTATGGGGAGGAGTTCCCTGCCTCCAGACAATCCGACTCACCCTCTGAATAGCCTCTTCCATGCGCCGCTCATGCTCCTCCTCCCTGAGCAGCCGTGCGAGACGCTTCTCCTCAACACGGTCTTCAGCCTCCCACATCACCTCCAGCTGATGAACGCGCTGCACCTTTTTCATGTGCTCCAGCTCCCTCATTTCTTGGAAGTAAGCCTCATGCTGTTTCTTATCCAGCTGTTGCGCCGCTGTCAGCTGCGCCCGACCGCCCCGCTGCCGTGCCATCGCCTGCAAGGGAGTCAGATATGGGAGAATTCTCATGACTGCAGGAAAGCACTGTCAAGGTCTCTCCATGACTGAGACCACCAGCATCCTACTGGAAAGATGGCTCACACTGGCATGGTGCCCTTCTCCTCTTCTACACAAGATCACCAACACAACCCAAAAGTTAAGGAGTGCTGTCACTGGGAGTTGCACTTACAGAACAGACAGACATGTAGGGTGGCACCACCTCCTCTTTTTGTCTGGTGCCATTTAGAACACAGGAAGATTACCCATAAATGTGCCTCCAGTTGTTCAGGCAAGGGCTGGGAGCCAATTGCATCAGCCGGCAGCCCAGCAGCAGCAAGTGCAGACACTGGTTGTGGCAATCACCCTTCATCATGGGAGGGACAATTGGCTCAGATCAAAGCTGCTGCTTTGATTCAATCTCTCCAGCATAAAGGATCAAGCAGCAAGGGTCAAAGTAGGCCATACTAAGCGAGATGGATAATGGGATTGCTTGTGTACAAAGCAGTGTCATAGCCCACGAGCAGAAACAGCTTTGTCCATTTTCTCTTCTTAGCCAGAGGGTCCATAGCTTAGAGAACACCTGCTTTGAATGCAGAAGGTCTCTTGGTCTCAAAAGAATGGGAAAGCCTGAGGGCTTGGAAAGCAGCTGCCAGACAGAGCAGACAGGACTGGACTCAATGGACAGGTTGGATCTGGCATGAGGCAGCTTCCTACATCCGAAAGTCAGACAGGCTAGCAAGACCCTATTGAGGCCCTAGAGAACGGCAGGGGCACAACCAGGGCAACCTTGACCCTAGACTTCAGAAGGGAGCTCTCCGCAGGCTGGCGGCCTGGCTGGCTGCTGAGATCATCTAGAAAAGGCCAACTCTGGCGCCCTCGCCATCCGAGGCAGCTGGGGGAGAAAGAGGGGTGGCTCTTGAAGACGGAGGGGTGGCCCTTGAAGACAGGACCTTCACCCTGTCAGCTCCCATCCCCCCCCCGGTTGCTAAATTAATTGAACTTTTGGCCCTGTGTGGAGATGGACAGGGCCCTCGCCAGCCCCGCCCTCAACCCCTTGAGCTGCAAGCACTGCAAGTCCCCCAGGGCAGGAAGGGAGACTTTCTCCTCGTTGAGAAAGCGCACAGGGGGCGCAAGGTTGAGAACAGATTAAAAAAACCCAAAGAGCAGTTCAGAAGGCAATGGCTTAAAACTCGCCCGCAGCCTTTTCGCGAGGCAAAGCGCCCCGTTAATCCTCAAGCGCTGCGATACACCCCCCCCCCCCGCTGGCCGCTCGCCCTGAGGAGCCGCCTCGGAATTGTATTTCCTGAGCAGGCGAGACAAGAGCAAAACGAGGCCTGCCAGTCAGCCGGGAATTCTGGCGACAACGACCCTGCGAGGCAGACCAGCCGCGTCGTCGCGGGGCCGGAGCTCAGGCCGGACTCGCCCGCCAGACTCACCATCTTCCCGCCGCCCCGGAGGCTCCCCGAGCGGCCGCTTCCCGCTCAAGCACACCGTTGCCTTGGAAACGGCGGTCACAGGCGGCACTTCCGGGAGAAGCCCCGCCCCCACTCCGCCTCCCGCCTGCGAGCGCCGCCCGAGCTCCGATTGGCCCAGCCCGGAGCTTGACTCCGCCTCCGCGAGGACCGTTTTGGAAAGGAGGAAGCTCTGTTACCGGGGCAACTGCTGGCCCGCGCCGGTGCGCCTGCGCAGTGCTCGTGGCTCGGCCTCGGTCTCCTCGGGCGTCGGCGTTTCCGCGGCCTCTCAGACCGGCCTCCCTCACGGGGTTGGTGTGGGGATTAAAGAGGACGGAGGGGAAGAACCGCCTGCGTCACTTTTGCTCCTTGGGGAAAAAGGCGGCAATCAATAACTGCTGAATTGGCGCTTGCCAGGAAGTTCGGTTTTAGATCATGGGGTTTTATTCCTTTACCAACGTTAGTTACTGTATTATGCCAGGATATTTGTGTTATCCTCAACAGCGTTGAATGTATAAATGGCCACTGCAATTATTCTAGATCGTTTTAAGCTGTAGTGCAACTGTTGCATTTTATTTCCCTCTGAGTGTACAACTAACATTCTCTCCCTGTATGTGTGCATATACCAGCCAGGTAATACTCCATCCATCTGATTAAATGGTCTCAAGTCCACACACATACATACAAAAACATTTGCCTTTGAAGTGCCACAAGACACTGTTTTTGTTTTAATTGGACTGAAAATGCCATCCCTAGAAATAGTCAAGAAATGTTCTTGGCTTCCCACTTCTGGGAGCTCCAGTGATGAGCTGCAGGGGAACTGGTAAATGGTTCAGCTTCCTGCTGGATGAGGCCTTGGGGGGTGTGGTGTAGTGGTTAGGGTGCCAGAGTAGGACCTGGCGGCCTGGGGCTCAAATCCCCACTCAACCATGAAGCTCAGTGGGTGACTACAACAGGTTTCTTGTGGGGATTACTGTGTATGCCACCTTGAGCTCCTTGGAGAAAAAGGTGAGATATAAATTAAATAAATAAAGGTGTGTATTTACAAGTATGCAGGTGGAGAATGGTGGATCAGCATCTCACTAGAGCCCCCAAGGCAGTTGAAAAACCTGCTGCTGATTCTCCCCAAAATATTTTCTATGTAGCTTTCAAATGCAGCGTAACCTTCCCAGCTGATGCAAGAATATCCCGCTTGTTCAATAAAGTTCTTTTAGCCATCAGTTAGGAAACTTTAGAATGATGATTGTCAACAAGTTCATTAAAGTATGCAACACATAGTGCATTGCCAAATTTGTTTGCAAGCAAGTAGGCAATGCATGAGACTGTGATGAGCCTATTTAGTTCCTGCTGAGTTTGCAACATTATAAGCCATTGTTGGGGATAGCATTGCGTTGTTTGTGGAACGATTTTGCTGTCTTGAGTGAAAAGACATATGTGAATTAGCTTGGAAGGGTCTAAACCCATCAGGAGAAGAATATTGATCTACTAGAGACTCGTATAAGTTGCTAAGAAATGTGCTTGTTTTGCTTGATGGATGGGACAGTAGCCTGAGCAGCAAAGGGAGCATCACTGTCAAAAGAAACCTAGAAATAAGTCATTCACAATGGGCCCCTAACAAACATCTTTTTTATTGCATGGTCTTGATGACTTGTGCCCATGATGCTATTTGGGTTAAACCACAGAGCCTAGGACTTGCCGATCAGAAGGTTGGCGGTTCGAATCCCCACGACGGGGTGAGCTCCCGTTGCTCGGTCCCTGCTCCTGCCAACCTAGCAGTTCAAAAGCACGTCAAAGTGCAAGTAGATAAATAGGTACCACTCCGGCGGAAAGGTAAACGGCGTTTCCGAGCGCTGCTCTGGTTTGCCAGAAGCGGCTCAGTCATGCTGGCCACATGACCCGGAAGTTGGACGTCGGCTCCCTTGGCCAGTAAAGCGAGATGAGCACCGCAACCCTAGAGTCAGCCATGACTGGACCTAATGGTCAGGGGTCCCTTTACCTTTACCTTATATTATCCCACTTTCTATACTCTTTGCACCGTTCTGTCCTTTAACTACCTGATAGAATCTCATAACGTTTTATAACACAAATATCATGGGGCAGAAGGCCAGGGCTTCGTGCAGTATGATGACCCAGGGAGGCTGGTTGAGCACATTTTGAAGTAGGAAAAATAATACCTGTTGCCACCTAAAGAGTGACACCCCTCATAAGATCATTAAGTCTAGCATCTAAATTGATCTAACTGTACCACTGATGGTCCAGATCACAGGTTTTGCTTGTGAGCACAGAGGGCTTCCTCGTGTGACCTGGGGCAGTGGAGGTGATTTCACAGCCTGGCTATGATGGTCAAACGCCTGGCATTGCTGCACACTGGGAATTCCATCCAGTCCTGCCTTGTTGAGATTAGCAAGCCATTGTTTTTTGTTTTTTTAAAAAAATATTTTTTAAAGGATTTTCTTGTTTTACAGAAGTAAGTGTAGTGCCTCGTATTTTTTTTCCATGTAACATTTTTACAAATCCGTTTCATTTGTTGAGGCATTAGGGGGAGAAGAAATAAAAGAAAAAAGAAAGGGGGGGTGGAGAGAGGGAAGATGGATGGGGGTCTTCCAAGACAACAATGCCCATTTAGCAAGCCATTGTTTTATCAATTTTTATTTGGGAATAAAACATGCATGAGCCAGGAGACCTGCCATCTTCAGAAGGGCTTTTCCTCAACTTCAAGGATTAAGGACCTTACTTTAACAAGTCACTTAAATCAGCCTCTGCTTAAGAGCCTAACTGTGAGAATAAAGCAGCACTTCACATCTGCTCAGGGGTGGCTGTCTCTGAATAAAGTAGCCGCCTTCTTCCCCCAAGACCCAGGGGAAAGCTAAGAAAATGCAGATCTAATGGGTCAAGCTGGGGTTGGTTTGATAATACAGTTCAATTAATTTCTAACAATCTTTGCCACAGATAGCTTGCAAAAATGACAAAGAACTAGAAATACAGTATAAGCAAAGATACATTGAATATAATTTTTCTATCAAACAAACAGAAAGCAACAGCACTCAAGACTTGCTGATTCTGTGTTATTCTTTATGTCTTGCTGTTTTGGTTGTTCGTTGAGTTGGTGTAATTAATTGCTTTTAATTATTATTGCTGTATTCTGTTTTATCATGTTGTGCACTGCCCCGTGCTTTGTGAGAGGCAATAAATAAATAATAACAATAGTAACAGGGATAGCTTGTGCCAATGTCTGATAAAGAAGGAAAATTCAGAACAAAGGCCTGCTTCCAGGCCCCTGGCCATTTTCCGTTCATACACATTTGCTTATTTATGCTGCTGCATGTCACCCCACACCAAAGTGCTCTGGGTGGCTTAGAATAAATGTACACAAATGAAAGCTGATGCACGATTCTTCCCAATGAGGTTTGTTATTATTTATTATAAACCTGATCTTCATGTATTGGGAATCAATGTAGAGGTTTGAACATTTGTAGGTAATGAACACTATATATGTCTTGTGGAAAAGCAAACAATTATGCAGTTTGCAAGTGATGGACACACACTTTTTATTGTATGAATATGATCGCCATTTAGAAAAAGTGTCACAGGCAAGACTGCACACTTAGAAGGGACATGGATCCCTTTGGACTTTGGAGACACACATTCCAGCTGCCCATGATTAGCCCCTACCTTAAAGCGGGTGTCAAGAGATTCTTCTGTCTCCATGCATAATTCTGACCTCCCTGTTGAGTGGGAGGTTGAGGTCAATAAAACTCCAATACCAGACCAGGCTGGCTCCCTACCTGCTATAGAGCAGGCTACCTTCTTTCCTTTTGTAAGTGACCCAACTTGGAGTGTGTAGGTCTCTTCTTGGGCTTCTCTTAAAACTCTTTGCTACTCACATGCATTGCTAAATTAACAAGAGCCTGCCTTAACTCATCAGACTAGCCTTGAGTATAGCTCCTTGTCCCAATCCAGCCTGAATTGCCTTCCTCATCGCAGCCCATAGAAATAGGCGGCAGAGAACCCTCTTCCCATCCCTGCTGTTTTATCATGCGCTCTGCTAACAGCCCATTTATCAGAATGATGAAGGGGGCTCTCTGGAGAGAGGACATGGCTCAGGCAGTGCAAGTGTGAATGACAGTCCGTCTGCAGAAGATTGACGTTAATGAAACTTGGAATAAACAGGAAGATGAAGAGGGTGGAGAAGCCAGCCAGGGAGCTCGGCTCATTCTGCAAGGGAGAAGGAGCTCACTGTACCATCCTGGTTGGCTTTCAATTTGCAAAAGCTGCCTGTCCTTTTGTTGCAAAATAGCAAGAGCCATGAAGGCTCCTCTGACTTGAAGCTGCCTGGGCTCTTTACACCTGGCCTAGATGTCTGGAACCTGGTGTGCATGTATGCCTATACCAGCATATGGGACAAGCACGCAAGGAACGAGAGGAGGAGGGAAATTCGTCACTACTCCTCAGGTTGCCCTTGCTCCTCACCCATCTCAGATGCAGGTGGATTCCACTGTTATTATTTATTACACCTGTTCATCAACTTTACAAAGTCTCAAAGCAATTTTTACAAAAATTCTAGGATGGCCCAGTCAAATCTGGATGGTTGATGGGTATGAGTTGTCAGTTCAGCTCATTCATTGCCACACCTGCTTTGGTTGTAGGCTGCAGGGAACATCCACAAACTGCGATTGGAAAACTGAGGGAGGGCAAGTCTCTTCCCTGTATTTTCCACCCATGCTAGATTATCACAGGTTGACACCTGCCCTTTCACCAGCACCAACAGCAGTTGCTGTGGAACCTGGCCTTAATGAGCTGACTTATTACATGGTTGTAGGTGTGATCCAGGAAAACCACAGAAAACTTAAAATGCAAAACTCCTGTGATATCCTGTGTTTCCAGGCTTGAAAGTAGATTCCCCACCACACCCCCAACATAAGTGCTAAACTCTGATTAGATTTCCAGAACAAAAATTGATAGGTAAGGCAACAAGGGGAAGACAATAGAAAGCGTCTGAATGCAGCCTTAGTCTTTTTTTATCCATTTCCCCCCGAAGAGAAGCTGGGAGGCCTGTACTTGTATCTGTATGGAGGGGTGGAGTACAAAACAGGAAAACCAAGAAGAAGAAAGATTAACTTCCTCTGTCTACTTTTTGTTCAGAGCCCAGTAGAGGCACAGATCTCTCATTTTATAATTAACAGCAGTTGCAAACTATGGAGAGCCTATGGATAAGTTAAAAGTAAATTAGGTTGCAGATATTTCTAACTGTCAGAACATGTTTTCCCTTCACCTTATGACTTCAGCTAGAGACAGATACCCCTACTATCCTTTCCCAAATGGAAGCACTCTACCTTTTATTTATTGCACATACGTCCCATATTCTTTCTCCAAGGAGCCCAAGATGGCATACACAGTTCTCTCCCTCTCTCCTCGTTTAATTCCCACAACAAACCCGTGAGGAAGCTTAATCTGAGAAGGAGTGACTGGTCCAATGTAACCTAGTGGGCTGCATGGCCAAATGAGGATTTGAACCCTGGTCTCCCAGGTCCTAGGCCAGCACTCTACCCACTAAACCACACTAGCTTTTGCCAGCTGCTTGGCAGTTGAAATTACAGGTAAAGCTTTTTTTAAAAAGATGTTGGCAAAAGCTGTACCTGCTCCCTTTCTCCTTACCACACACCTGCCAATGGCCCAGAGCCAAGGTCAGAACGCAAAGTCTCATCTTCTTCCAGCTGCTTCAATGCAACAACCTGAGTTCACCAAGTAATCTACCGCAGACCAGAGAAGAAACATCAAGGTTGCAAATCTGCATTTTTGTCGGAAGATGGCAGTAGAGCTCAAAGGAATGGAACCTGGCTGATATGGGAGAGCTTTGGGAATTTTTCTGGAACTCCTCTGAGGGCAGGAGGGGTTAAGAAGCTTGTCTTCTGTTTATAGCTATCTTTCTTGACAACAAAGTACAGCTTTCCTACAGGCAGTGACAGGGAAATGGTATCATTGATTCTCTGTGTGTCCTTGTGGCTAGGATTCTATTTAGGATGCAAATTGCCAATAGCATTCCTAATGCAGAGCCATAGTTTAAAAAGAATAGCTGTTTTTAAATAATTCAAATAGAAAAGGCACTGAATAAAGTGTTAAATCTCCTTAAGAGCCAAAATTTCATGCATTGTTAATAGCAAGGCTCTCTCCAAAACTATTTTCAACTTCGCTAAATATACACACAGAATTTTTACACTCTGGAACCACTATTGGAAACAGAATTTACTATTAGGTTTATCAAGTAGGTCTGCTTCTCCATAACATCTGAATCAGGAGAGACTATGAAAGCTCTAGATCACTGAATGCAGTGATGGACTGGACAGGGACCAATAAACGACTTGAATCTTAGGATACCAGAGACTCAGAGTGGGAGGTTCCCATGTCCAGGAGATAGGCATGTTCTGGATGGAGTAGCAATCTCTCTGAAGGAGCAAGTGCTTAACTTGGTGGTATTGCCTGATATGTCACTAGAAGCCTAGGCGTCTGGTTTGCAACCATTTCTGAGCAGAGATAACTTGACCACTGTCTGGATTGAGGCTGGATTACTGTAATGCACTCTATCGTGGGGCTGCCCTTGGGCCTGCTTCAGAAGCTCCAGTTGCTGCAGAATGTAGTAGCCAGAATGCTGACGGGGGCAATTGTGTAATAACAGGCAGCACTACTGTTAAATAAATGTTTTCACAAGTTAGCTGATTTATAATTTTAACTTTCTAATGGTTTTCATTGCATGGTTATATGTACAATATGTTGTGAACCACTGATGTTTTCTTTATGAATTAGAGGTATATAAGTATTTTTTAAAAAATTAAAAACAAATCACTGAAAAGTAGGCTGGAGGACACCAATGCTGCCCCATTGATTGTTGAAGTGGAAAGCAGACTAGGTGGCCTGGAAAAAGCATGGAATGTTGGCTGCATTCTCCTATAGGGTAGAACTAGTGTTATGAACTAAGGACGATGGCAGGCAGGCAGTATTGACGAAAACAGTAAAACAAGTCTACAAACAGCCAGTAGAGAGCCCAACCTCATGATGATGCAAAGTGGTGTAGTACTACATAAGCAGGACTGGGGAAAGAATGTTTTAAGAGGAGATTGGCGAGTTGCAACTAGTGAGTTGCAGCAACACTACCAACATACAAAATAGTGTACCAAATTAAAAAGTTGGTTCCTAAATGCGTATTTGGACTAAAGACAGGTCCTTGATCTGAGAAAGTTGAGGAGCGCTGCTATACAGCATGTACATCCAGCCTTTGAGACATCTTGCTACTCATGGAGAAATATGAACAGCACTCTGTATTATTCTACATGAATGGAAATGGAATTGAGGCAGGGCCTGATATTTGAAATGATGACGACAGAACTGGCAGTAAGCATTTGAAGGCAGGTGCCAGTATGAACTATGAACAAGCAATCATGTTAAGAATGTAGAACATCAAATCCTCCATTCAGAGCCCTCGGGAAATCCTGATGATTTGGTTTTTTTAAAAAAATGCAATGTCCTTGTCGTTGCAGTAAATCACTTCAAAAAAATTGCAGGCACGGTTGTTACAAAACCCAGGTCTAAATTCTTACTCGGCCACCGAGCAGACAATATGACTTTAGATACATTTTCTTTCCCTGCATCACAAAGCTAACTCTGGGAGCACTTGGAAGGTCTGGTTGGCGTACGTCTGTCTGGGGAGACAATGGAGCACGCCTTTGCAGCTGAAATCAAACTTTTGGAAGGTTGCAGCGCCTGCTGTGACTTATATGGGAGACACACGTTTTTTTGCAGCTGGGGCAGATGGAGGCGTCCGGCTGCGCTGCTGCAGATGCACCATGGCCTTTCTTCTTGACACTCCTCCCAGCGGTCATTTCTCCTTTGGTCACTGCTATGGATGCTCAGCTCGACACTGCAGGAGTCTGCAGGAGATTCCCCCACAGTGGGGTTGATGTTGGCAGACTTCATGTCATGTTTGCAGACACACACACACAACAAATTCACAAAAGCTGGTAGGACTGGGTACGTGTTCCAATGTGGGTCAAAATCAGATGTTCGGTCATTGGGTCTGTGAAGATGGATCTAAAGTGGTGCTCCCAGATATTGTGCTGAGACACAATGATTTGGCGCTCAGGATCAAGAGCATAAACCTCTTGAAAGCGGCTGCTAGGTGGTTCATTTAAGAGTTGTATGCTTTTAGGATCCACCCCATTTTTGTGATTGTACTTTGTTTTAGAACAGTTTGTAATGTTGTATTCTAGATTATTTTAACATACTATTACTAATTATTTACTGGAGTAACAACCCCCGAATGTGGATGCTAGAATTAGCCCTAATGGAAGAGGCACTTGCAGAGTAAAGCATTAAACACTCTCCCTAAACCCAGAGGGAAGATCTGTAATCCAGATTCAACTATAATTAGTTTTCTTCTCGTTGTATTTTAATTATTTTATATTGAAAACTACATTGAAGGACAGCCATGGGCAAGTAAGCTGGTTGTAAATTTTTGAACACTACAATATTTCTGGGCATATGAGAATTGCCATCTGTAGCCACTGGGGTTTCAGGGGAGTCTGTTTTAATTCTAGGAAATCAAGATAATGACACAAGTTCTTCCTGATTTGTGAGGCTATTTTTAGATAAAAATGAGGCTGGTGTGCTCTGAGCCTTTTCAGAATTGCATGAAGCCTCCCATGATCCCTCCACTGAAATTTGGGCATATGCTATGCCTGTGTGAGGTGCCACCACTGGCACTTGTCAGAAGAATTAAATCTAAAACATGTTTACAGCTCTGCTCTAGTCATCAGGTTCCCTTGAGCTTCATGGCTAGATAGAGTTCTTCTTCCTCTCTTGCTCTGTGAAGTATTTAATTTCTTTTTTTGTTTTATGTGCGTACTTCTGCTTGCAGGTGCAGGCAAGGAAAAAAAATCACCACATCCAGATGTTCTGAAACACCCATCGCATACACAATTCAGATTAAGGAGAAAAATTGCATCAGATAAAAGCTGTATTTCAGATGCTGTTTTCTGCTGAGTTGTTAATAAACCTATCATGTTTCACTGACAATAAGGCTCTTGGACTTAATTTTCCGAAGTCCAGAAATGTTTTTACACAGCCTTAGGCTGCACTCATTTGTTATTGATTTTGCCACTATGTTTCACCCAAAGTGAAGGTGGCCCAATTACATCGACCTCCCTTTTGAATTCTGAAAAGTAGAGAAAGACACATCTTTATCTAGAGATATTACGGTTTCAGGCATTGGTACAGCTACCACGTACTGAGCTGTCGCAGCTCATTACTGAATTAGTTCGACCCCGGGGAGCTTGGCTGAGATTCTGTCTCATGCTCAGAGACTGATGCTGCGTTTAAACAAAGAAAAATATGCACTATGTGCCACATAGTTCAAATATTTGAAATAATGTTCTGGTCTGCCAGCAGCAGTTACATTACTGAGCTCTCTAATCTCATCTTATTAAGCACAAGTTTTCCACGGCGTTTCCACCTAGGAGGGGGACACGGCCGCAGCCCCTACACCCGAATCAAAACGGGGCATACTCCACTGGGACACCTCCCTGCACAAACTTCCATGATACAAATCCCACTTATTCCAGTTAGAGAACATTCCTGGGGATAGCGCCACATGGGCTGGTCCTGTTAGTCTTCCGCTCTACCACCCACCAATGCCCAAAGACCCACTGTGCCAGAGTTGGCTGCCACACTTTGCCTCCCAAAAATGTTACCTCTGCATACTCCCAATTCCATGCACAGCTCTTCTCAGGCAGCTGGATGGGGGGGGGGGAGAGCCATGATGGGCACACATTTGTAGCCTGCCAAGAAAAATATATTGTGTGGTATGTAGGGACTTGTGCATGAAATAACACCCCCAGGCCAGAGTTTCAGTGGACCTGACAGGTCGGCTATTTTCAGGATAAGAAGCCAAAGTGGATGCACAGGCGACGACCGATTTAGGAGTGGCCAAATGATGCATAATCGCAAACACACCTAACCCAGAAGCAGCCCCAAAACATCATATAGATGTCACAAGAAGGGGCAGAACAGGCTTATGTGCGCTCTGTTGATGCATGTGGGTATCCAGAATGTATCCCCCGCACAAAATGAGGATTGCCTGTGGTTGGCTGTTGTGACTCCCACAGAGCCTATCCCACAAAATGTCTCCTCCAAGTGCAAAGGGAAGGCTGACAGAATCATGTAGCTTAGGACAGGACACTGGTCCAAGCCTCCAAGAGCTCAAAACATGGTGTAACCTAGTTCTTCAGTGGCTGAAACTCCCCACTTTGCTAATACAGTATGGTCATGGCCAAGCTGGTTCAATATATGGAAACTCTTGGCCCAGACAGCAAGTTGGAGGGGGAAAGCAGAGAGCATGCAGGAGTTTTCAGTGCTTTAAAAAATGGTGCCTCTAGTGGACTCACCCCTGGGAGAAAGGACTATGAGAAATTTCTCTCCCACCTGCTGTGCAAGATGAAACAGCTCCACATGCTTCTTTCCACCACTTAAGCTGGTGGAACTTACAGGAAACTGTAGCATAGGCAGGAGAAGGACCCATGAGAAGAGCGGGATTGCCTCCACTCAGAAAACCTCACACCTGCCATTAGCGCATAAAACTGAACACTGTTCCAATGATACATTCACATTTCGTTGCAGTCCGGGGTGTAGTTTAAGGTCTTTTAACTATTTAAACATGGTTTTCCTTCAGTAATTCTGGGGTGGAGATGCAAAACAGTTTAATAATAGCCTGGGGGTAAGAAATGAAATGTGAGCAAAACACAAGCTAGCAAAGTGATTAATAAAAACCACACACATGAACAACAAAATAATTCATCATATTTTCTTGCAAATATTTAATCCAAAATATGTACATTGGTGTCCTAACGGAAGTTCAAAACATTTATGTTCATTGAAAACAATTCTCAACAAGTTCAAAATCACTTTCTGAAAAGGTTCATATAGAGCACTTAATTCAGTTTAATACTTAAAAGGCAAGCTACTCTAAATGATGTCACACACATTCCTTAACCTAACTATGTATAAAAATGATTTTCATGCCATCCCCCACCCCCATGCTTGTTTTACATAAATTTCAACTACGAGTGTATCAATGCCTCTCAGGTCCTATTCTTTTTGTAACAGTTTACACATTTCCATATTACTTTTTAAACTCTTCCCACCCACCTTGTGTTTTGGGGGCCTGCTGCCAATTAACAAAAATAAAAATAAAATGAAGACACAGAGGCCACCACATGCCCTATTTCAAACAAGTAAAGTGTCAGGTTTCTGCACAGCTTGCACACTGGGAAACTCACAACTATATTTACTTTTTTAATAATAATTCCACTTTCACTGAAAGTTTAAGAGTAAGCTTATTATCATGTAAGATCACATCAATCCTGAGGTGCCAGACCTTCACACAGTTTCCTTCCTAGCATGACTTGATGGGACAGGAATGCAACATCAAACCCAAGCGACGGTGGATCAAATGCCCTTTATATAAAAACACTGGTACCCCCAAGTACTACAAAGACTGTGGCCCCTATCGGGATCTTACTTTGAATCAAATAAATAACATGTCTCCCTCTTGGCTTCACGGGTTGGGTCACTGCAGGCAATGGTTCTGGCTTCTGACAGCTCTTTCATATCAGAGGGTCTAATATCTCATTTGTCACTGAGCTTCAGCAGTATTACACAGTCCATGGTTCTGTTTCCCCACTTTCTTTCCCAATTGGCACCTGTAAGAGTATACACAGCAATTGGTTCAAAGTGATGCAAATATTCTGCTTCAGCTTGCTTCATCACTCTCTTCTGCCTGGCTTACTGGTGACTCCACAGGGCTAGCAGGGCTGCTCTCTTCAGAATCAGCAGAATCCTCTAGTTCAGAACCTGGCTCAGCCTTCTTTGCTGAAGGTGGAACGCCACCTTTCTGGAGAATCTCTGTAGCTTCATATTCAAGGACCTCTGATGGTGTCAGAGGTTCCAGATGAACACTGCCTTGCTCACTCGCATCAGAATTCACAGATTCAGGTTCACTTCTCCTCAGAAACTGTTCAAAACTGACATCTTCATCAGATGCCAATTTTGAGTGGTCAGAATTTATGTCTTCTAGCTCAGCTTCATCCAAATCAGCCACCTTTGTCTCGGCAGCAAAGACTGCATCCTTTGAACTTTGGAAAGAGTTGGTTTTATTATCTGAAGCTTTTGGGGATTTTCCTTCTTCTATCTGATCACTATTACCCAAATCATCAGATTCTGTCCTTTCACAAGAGGTCTCAGTTGAACTGGCTTGGGATCCTGAACAGGAGTCTTTCACAGCTGATACAGAAGTACTTTCTTTATGCTCATCAGTTTGATTTTCAAGATGGTCCTTTGAAGCATCTTCTGCAGAGCCTTTTGCACAGACATGGGGTTCTAAAACGGAGGATTCTTCTCCAGCTGACGGACTTTCTTTACACTTGGCAGCTAAACCTTCATCGCTTTGATTTGCAGGAGTCTCTGCATCTTCATCTTCCATAGGATCTATGGGATCATTTGACCAATCTGAGAGTCCTGAACCAGAGAGGTTTCCTAGAACCAAAGTCGATGTACTTTCTTCACACTCAGCTGCTGAATAACATTCACTGTCCTGATTTGCAAGGCTGCCTACTGTGTCTTTGCTCACAGGGTCTATGGAGTCATTTGAGGAGGCTGCAAATCCTGACTTGGAGTTTTCTAGAACTGAAGGCAATAGATTTTCTTTAACTTCTTGATTTGCAAGAACTGAAGGCAATGGATTTTCTTTAACATCTTGATTAGCAAGGTTACCTGTCTCCCCTTGTCCTGAACCATCTTTTGAGCAGGCTTGAAACCCTGGATCAGAAATGTTTTCTAGACATGGAGATTTCTCTTCTTTGCATTTGGCCACTAAAGGAGCTTCATCTCCTTGATTTGCAAGGTCAGTTGCAGGGTCCTCTTCTTCTGTAGAGCCTTTTGAACAACTATTATGTTCTGAAATGGAGGAGTCTTCCATGGGTGACACAGGTATCTTTTCTACACAAGCAGCAGCAGCTAGAAGACCTTCATCAGTTTGATTTGCAATGGCACCCATGTCCTCTTCTTTTGCAGGATCATTTGAGCTGGCTGAGTCAAGTCCTGAACCAGAGGAGTTTTCTAGAACCAAAGGCAGTGTGCCTTCTTCACACCCTGCAGCTAGAGGACCTTCATCTTCTTGATTTACAAGGTCAACTGCAAGGTCCCCTTCTTCTGTAGAGCCTTTTGAACAACTATTATGTTCTGAAATGGAGGAGTCTTCCATGGGTGACACAGGTATCTTTTCTACACAAGCAGCAGCAGCTAGAAGACCTTCATCAGTTTGATTTGCAATGGCACCTGTGTCCTCTTCTTTTGCAGGATCATTTGAGCTGGCTGAGTCAAGTCCTGAACCAGAGGAGTTTTCTAGAACCAAAGGCAGTGTGCCTTCTTCACACCCTGCAGCTAGAGGACCATCTCCTTGATTTGCAAGGTCAACCGCAAGGTCCCCTTCTCCTGTAGAGCCTTTTGAACAAGTCTGATGTTCTGACATGGAGGAGTCTTCCATGGGTGACATAGGCATATTTTCTACACAAGCAGCAGGTAGAGGACCTTCATCAGTTTGATTTACGAAGCTCTCCATGTCTGTTTTTTCTGCAGGGTTTATTGGGTTATTTGAGTTTTCTAAAACCGGAGATGTTGGATTTTCTTCACACTCAGCAGCTAAAGAACCGTCTTCATCACCTTGATTTGCAAGGTCATCCGAGTTCCCTTCTCCCAAAGAATCTTTTGAGCATGCTTGGAACACTGGGCCAGTAGTGTTTTCTGGACATGGAGGTATCTTTTCTTTGAACTCAGCTGTGAAAGGGCTTCCATCCCTTTGATTTCCAAGGCCCTCTGTCTCTCCCCCATCTACAGAGTCTATGAAGTCATTTGAGCAGGCCTGAAGCTCTGAACCAAGACTGTTTTCTAGAACAGGCAGTTTATTTTCTTCACACTCAACTTCTAAAGAAGCTTCACCGCTTTGATTTTCCAGATGGTCCTTATCTGTTTCTTCTGTAGTGTGTTCTATTTCCGGGCTGAAAAAAGCAAATCCAACAGTTTAGTACTTTAAGAAAACCTACTGCTTATATTTTAGTAGTGCCTTTAAAAAAAAACAACCTTAAAATTAAATAATTCCTCCCTTACTATAAAGCAGTAAGAGCTCAAACCTTAGGATAAATTCACCCCACTTTGTCCATTATTGTGCATTAAGACATAGAAAAGAAAGTGAAGGTGAAGAGATGGACTTTAAAACTTTTCTTTCTTTCTCTCTCTCTCTCTCTCTCTCTCATATGCTCAGGCCCCAACCTTAAAAACAAGTTACAAGGTGAGAGACATCAGCTCAGGCAGTCTTATAAACCAAGAGCCAACTCAACCCTCTGAGTGCTGATTCTTATGTAGACAAAAAGGCACCATCCATGAACAAGCATGAGGGAGTCCAAGCATAGGGGGACAATGACGACGACAACAACACAAAAGAACTAAATTAGGACTGATCATGCTGAGAAGGCATGGAATGTTTTTCTTTCTTTTCTCGTCATTTTTGGCAGGAGGCAGGATAGAGAAGGGAAAGAATAAACCAGGAGAAAGGAGTAGATTACCCTGAAAAAGGACATGACTTTCTGGAACCATGAAGAAGAGCAGCATTATAAACTGCAAAAGGTTGTTGCAAGTTCCCACTTGGGATACTTAATTTGGAGATCAGTTTGGAACTGCAATATATTGGATTCCCTTTACCTTGTGAGAAGACACAGTGCTTATATTTACCTTGCAGAGATGGATGTTTCTTTTTGCTCTTTTTGCTCTTCAGGTGCACTGAGCCTTGGAATTTCCTGAAATATACACAATATTATTTTTACAGTGCAATGCAGTGAATTTTAGGTATTGCTAAGGAGAAATGAGGGTTTCCAAAAGACAATCTGGGCTCCCAATGAAGAGTGACCTTCAGTGAATATCTAACAAGACTGCATGCACGAATCTAGGAGGAAACCCCTGTAGAACAACTGGGATCCCAGAAGCTCTTGTAATTATGAGTCTAGAGCTGCAGTAAATGAGAAGATGAAGGAGGAAGCAGTGGGGACATGCACAGATAACTGGCGATCACACAGGCCCAAAATGTGTGACAAGGACAGAATCAGACAGAGAACCATTTTTTTTCTGGCTGGGAGGGGAGGGGAGGAATCGTAGCAAAAGAGGAAAGGGGGACATGGCCTCTCAGGAGTTGGGCTTACCAGATGGAGGCATGCCATGCATCCTCATGAAGGTTAGGGAACACAAGGTACTACCAGACCTGCTTGCAAAATATCACTTAGCCCTGTAGATTTAAGGAACCCCAGCAGTGCAAGTTCTTCAGATTTCCTTCACTCAGCAAAGCCAGTAACACCCTAAGCCTTCTAATGATAAAAGCACATTGCTAGCCCACCTTGCTCACCTGCTCCCATCCTATGTATGCCTTCTATTTGAGATTAGTTTGAAAGAGAACTTTCTGCAGAGTGTGGATGTGCTGTGGCAACTTCTGCTCCCCACCCACATGGCCAGGGACCATCTGGGATATGGGCATACTTTTTTCCACTCCAAATAGTTCAAGCATTAATATCACACTACATACACAGGAAAGTAGCAGTTGCCCTGTTGAAAGTTGGCTTAATAGACCACTAAATATTTTTTAGTTATGAAACCTACCATTTTGAAAATCTAAATTCAGGTTTGAACAATGAATATACAGTGGTACCTCGGGTTAAGTACTCAATTCGTTCCAGAGGTCCGTTCTTAACCTGAAGCACCACTTTAGCTAATGGGGCCTCCTGCTGCCACCGCGCCGCCGGAGCCCGATTTCTGTTCTTATCCTGAAGCAAAGTTCTTAACCTGAAGCACTATTTCTGGGCTAGCGGAGTGTGTAAACTGAAGCATATGTAACCTGAAGTGTATGTAACCCGAGGTACCACTGTATACACACTGGAGATTATTATGCTGCAGATAAAAATAAAGCTACACACACACAAACACACACACTTCTAAATACACTGTAGGAGCATGCCAGTTCAAAAGGTTGAGAACACAAATGTACACTACCTGGGATGTTTCTTCACTTCCACTGTTCAATGATGTATCACTAACCAGGCTAAAGAATGAAACAACATCTGTTATTGTTAGTCAATTTTTAATTATTTTTTCTTTTGTAAATCACCATGAGTGCTGCTATTGGAATAGAAGGAAAAGGTATGAATTGCTCAAATTAAGTAAATTAATTTCAATTTAAGAGTAAATTCCACTCCCCTCTACTGTTTTTCCCATTCAACTTTGGGGCTAAACAAAATCTGACGGGAGCAGCCAGGCTTGTTTAATCCCACCCAATTATATAGAAATGGGACCAAAATGTGAGCAACCAGCATGGCAGCTCCTGTTCACACCTAGGTTAGACTAAGCTTCTTGGGCAAGGCCTGCATTTCCTTTGCCTCTGCATTCTGTAAAGCACTAATGCCCAGCAACTGCACTTTCTGAACTGCAAAGTTGTTGCCATTCCTGAACCAATTACCAAAATGCATACCTAAAGGTTCACAGATTTGCTGTTCTGTGGAAAAAATGGGCTCCCATTTCCCTGCCTATTTTTAACTGAGATGTTCATGGAAAAAGTCTTCCAGCCATAACTCTGCATTTTTGTACCGCAATGAAGGGCTTTTCTGTAGTGTTTGCTGATAAATATAGACCTCAATCTATCACTTAAAGGGTAGATTTTTCTGCAAATATTTCCCCAGGGCATACTTCATTAGTTATACATTATTTAAATGTATTGACTTCTAAACCACAATAAACAAGCAACTTATCACATCACCATGATTGATTTTCATATTTTATGCTAGAACAACTCTACTGTAGAAAGAGCAAGAAGTGCACCTCTCCTATAAAACCTTGTAGACTCGTAATTTTTAACATACAATTTAACCTTTCAAAGGCTTTTGTTTAAAGAAATTTCTGGTGATTGTATCTTCTTTGTTGATGTGGCACTGAAGTGAATTTTAATCCGCTGAAGTATGGAACTGCACCTCTTACACCCGGGTAGAAATTTTATTAATCATGAATTAAATGATTAATGACCCTACTAAGGCTGCAGCAACATACAAGGTACTTGGCATATTAAGGAGCTGCATGTGTTTAGTTATGAGGGCGAGAGCCAGTGCTAACAGGCTGACATAACTCATTCCATTTTTTGTAACTTTAAAAGGATGTATGTCATTAGCAACCATTTGACAATTATCAAAAGATTCCTCATAGGTTGGCCTTAAAGCATATATTTAAAAGTACATCTAACTTCTTGTAATGTCTTATTGATGACTTTAAAATACTACATAGAACCAGCATTACATGTTAAAAATATCTGCAGAACATGCAAATCACATTTATATTGTGAAACATTGTTTATTGTGAAACATGTTTATTGTTTCTACTACGTAGTGTGAGCAAAACAACCCACCATGTGCAAAACATGTTACATCAAAGCCATATGGAAGGGGAGGGAACTTTTACAATCAATACTGTTACTGAAAGTGACCAGAGAAAAGAGACTTCCTTTTCTTGCATTGCTATATATCAGCTTTGTGGGGAACCCAAGTTGCCAAATGCAACTGATACTCAGAAAGGAGAAACAGGCTTTTATCTGTGCCAGCAGCTGGTCCAGAGATGCAGCATACAGAAAATATTGTTTTATTTACATTGAAGGTTGATAATTTGTTACTGTGGTTGAAAAAAAAGTATGATAAACTGTCTTATGTTAAAACTTGTCTGACATAGCAAAAATGAAATTAAAAAAAGTCTGTATATGGGAGACACTAAACATATTTAATTTGACCAACTAAATAAGAATACAAGCTGCTGCAACAATGGTAAATTTCACATCCCTCAAACAGGTTAGAACTACAGGAAATAGGTGGGAACTCATTTTTTAACAGGGTGTAACAGAAGGCATTTGAACAACCAGCAACAGGCTCAGGCTAGGCTCGACAACAGCAAACTACTTCTTCATACAAAGCATAATATGCTTTTTGGAACTCACTATCACAAGATAGGAAGGTGGCTAACAGTTTCGCTCAGATGGTTTTAAAGGTGGATTTAGACAAATCATGAAGAAGAGCTTTATCAACTGTTACGATTGCTGGCAGAAACGCCAGATTCGGAGACGGTGTACCCTGAATGCCAATTGTGGATGGTGGGGCAGCAGCAGAAGGGCTGCTGCCTTCGTGTCCTGCTTTGAGAGGCCCTTTGGGGCATCAGGCTTGGCCACTCTGGGAAAGAGGAGGCTGAATTAGATGGGCCCCTTTGGCCTGAGACAGAGGAACTCCACCGGCTTGGGTGGCTGCTTCCTCATTAATAAGGATGCATCAGAACACTACAATTTATTAGACAAAGCACTGTAATTACCGTATTTTTCGCTCGATAACACGCACCCGACCATAACACACATGTAGTTTTTAGAGGAGGAAAACAAGAAAAAAAATATTCTACACGAAACAGTGGATGTATGATTTTTGTGGTTCATGCTGATCTGATGGTGAGTTTGGGGTAGCCCAATGCAAAATACCTGAGGATCAATAGTGATCCATGTTTGTAACCACGTTTTTGCACCACTGCGGCCCCAGGCAACAGTGGGTGCATGATTTTTTTGGTGCAAACTGTAGCCATGGACATGCTATGTGATCTGATGGTGAATTTGGGGTGACCCAGTGCAAAAATCCTGAGGATCCATGTGGATCTGTGCTTTGTAACCACGTTTTAAGTGGGGAGGGAAGGAAAAGCACTCAAGGGACAAGGAGCACGCGTGGAGCAAGCTCTGCTTCTCTCCCTCCCCCTTAGCGAGCTGAAAAACTTTGCTGGAGGGACAGAGAGCCTGCTTGCTTTAAAGGAGCCTACCGGACAGGCTCCTTTAAAGCAAGCAGGTTCTGCTTCTCTCCCTCCCCCCGCCTTAGCAAGCTGAAAATCTTTCCTGCTATTTCCAGCAAAGCGGGACGAGAGAGATACAGAGAGCCTGCTTGCTTTAAAGGAGCCAACCGGACAGGAGCCGCTCACACTCGTGTAGCGGCTCCTGTCCGGTTGGCTCCTTTAAAGCAAGCAGGCTCTGCTTCTCTCCCTCCTCTCCCCCCTTAAGCGAGCTGAAAATCTTTCCTGCCATTTCCAGCAAAGCGGGAGAAGAGCCACTGAGTGGGGACGAGAGAGATACAGAGAGCCGAGTGTAAGCGGCTCCTGTCCGGTAGGCTCCTTTAAAGCAAGCAGGTTCTGCTTCTCTCCCTCCAGGCACACTGTCCCTCTTTCCTCCCCATTCAGCGGCTCTTCTCCCGCTGGAAACCACGGAGGAGGGAAGCATTCGCTCTGTAACACGCACAGACATTTCCCCTTACTTTCTAGGAGGAAAAAAATGCGTGTAATGGAGCGAAAACTACGGTAGACTTGGGTTGTGATTCCAAAAGAAGGCACTTCAGGGATGCTAAGCAGAGATTTAACACCCCCCCCCCATGAACAACTCACTATCATACACACACTCAAACACATATGCTTCAAATATGGCTTGACACACAGTATTGGGGGCTACTATTTGTAAAACATAAACCTTAAGTCCCCAAAAACACTTGAACCAAGTTGCGTGGGTTTTTTTATCCTGGCCTTTGTGTGTATGTAATAAAGCTTAATAAAAATATTTAAAATGGAATTTGCATTTTTTTATCTGGAGTACAACCAAACTTGCTTCTGTATCATAGAATAGGTATCTACCCTTTGTTTCTATGCTGGTAGACCATCAACACAACCACCCAACTGACAAACAAGCTAATCTCAGAAACTTACTGAGAAATGTTGTCGGCAACCAGACAGTCCGAGGGAACTGGAATTAAAGAGAAGATCAGTAGTGTTAAAAACCAACAGAAAGACAACAGGCTAACATCTGGCTTATGTCAGAGGTACATGAGCCACATACCATTTTCGATAATCACTTGACAAGTGTGAGTAAGGTTTTCGTTCAAGTGCGTAGCCATATTATCCAAGCCGGAAGCATCAGTCAGGAACTCACAATTAAGACAAACAAGAGTAACACCCCTAGGGGAAAAGGAAGAAGTAACCCTGAGTGCAAGGGAGGCAAAAGGTTACAAAAGCTTCTTCTGACCATGTCATGTGAAGTCAACCCTGCACTGGACTAATATATACATATAACTCATTACATACTAGCTGGTACACATGTTCGTTCCAAGAATTTTTCATAAGCATTGCATATATGAATAATATTATTTGAAAGAACAAGACTACAGAAGGAAAGGTTGTACTTTTTTCGGTAAGCAAAGTTATCAGTGCCCGCCCCTCCCTTGATGGTTTTCCTTATAACTTCTGGATCTGTGAAATTGCTGATATGTGGAAAAATGGATTCAAAACAACAAATCATGATGATGAGCAAAATTTAACAAACAAAAGAATCAGTATCACATCTCAAAACATCAGAAAAATCAAGAATTTTGGCTTGGATATTAGTTTAGGGTTGTCTCATTTTATGAAGAAAGCTTTGCATTCTGAAAACAAAGCTTTATATAAGAAATAAAAGTTAGATGGAATCCAGATAAGATGCGCACATCTTAAATCCAATTCAGCAGTAACTGAAATTGCAATCTGAAATACACTTGGGGAGAAAGCCTCATTAGACACAGCGGGACTTATCCAAGGACTGTGATGCATGTTGCAAAAAATGTACACCTTAAAAAAGAAAAAGGAGATGGTTACCTCAGATCTTCTGAATGAGTCTTATAAATCCAAAATCGTTTACTTTGTCGAGCGCTGTGAAAACTACAAGATAATAAAATAGCTGAAATGGACTTCTCAAAGAAATGTCCCGTCCCCCCATATCATATAATACAACATTAAACAATAAGACTGCAATCTAAGGTATAGAAACAAGCAGTGTCTAGTCATTCCTGAGCCCAAAGATTCTGCTGCATGACTGGAGATGCTTCTACTAGCGAAGGAGGGTGTGCCACTGATTTCAGCCACTATCCAGACACCTCTGCTAAGAACCGGAGATTCCTCCAGAGCAACTTTTGAGAGGAGAGCAGAAGCAGTGCTTCCAGGGTGGGTTTACAAAAAGCTAAAATATAACAAATTGTAGCATGTTAAAATGGCAATACTTTTAAAAATGTCTGGGAAATGTTAAAGTGCCTTCACTTCAGTAAGTATGTTCACATGGAGGAAGTTTTCCCTCTTTGAAATGGGAGAAAAATTTGGCCTTCAAGCACCCTGTTCACCCATATGCTCTAGGTCAAAACCTGATTTTTTTAAAATGGGCACGAGGAACAGGAGCTTTTTCAGTTGTGGCATCAATTCTTCAGAATGCTCTCCCTAGGAAGGCCTTCCAGAACCAGGTGAGAACCTGATTCTTTGAAGAGATCTCTGGGGAAGGCTAAATCAACTGAAGGTTTTTTTTACTTCTGATAAGCTGGATTTTCTTCACTGCTTTTCTGACTACTGATTTTATTACAGAATTTTATTGTGCTGCTCTGGTATTGCTTTTATTATTTTTACGCTGTAATCTGCTTTGAGTTCCTTAGTGGAAGAAAGCAGCCTAGCATTTATTTTTAAAAAAAGCATAAATGCTAATTTATAAATCATGGAACAGAGGACACTAAAGCCATGCAGAGCCCCAATCTTCCGTTAATGCAGCTGTGGCATTGCAGTATAGCACTGGCTGAGAGACAGTATGCTCCTTGCCTGCCTCTTCTCTTCCTGAGCACAAGCCCCCAGCCTCAGCTTTAACCACACTGAACGCTAACCAGGCTTTCAACCACCAACAAACAGGTTTCAAATATTTTTTAAGGGGGAAACCTACCCAGGAGTAATCCTGGTTAGGGTCAGTGCCCACACAAGGAGGTGGTGTTAGGGTTGCACTGAGGCACAGACTTGCTGCAATATAAAAAGAGCAGAAATCTACCAGAACAGAAACAAACTACAGACATAATTTAACAACTTGAAGCTGAAGATTTCCTACCTCATCATGTGATTCACGTAGGCTTTACTGCAGCTTGTGCTGTATCTGCATAAACTACAGCGAACATAGGCTGGAAAGTGGCTGGCGAATGTCCTTATATCAGAATAACACTCAATGCACTTCTGAATATTCGGGCATCTAATATGAACCAATGTCAGAATTAGTATGCAGTATTAAGAAAAAAGTTAAGTAGTTCCCATTTCAAATCATTATTTCCAGAAAAGCTTGCTTAGTTAATATCACTGGCCTGGAGAAAAATAATCTGGCTTTTGAATTCTGCTTTATAATGTCGCCCCATCTTTAGAAAGAGGCTTTCCAGAGGACCTTCCACGGTGGGAGTCAATGTGGCACAAGGGGACGAAGTGGGAAGGGCAGCTGGGAAGCTCCAAGGAGCATATGGCATTCTGAAAATAGCCTTCTTTACTTCAAGGCCTTATGGATACTGGGCAAACAGGTTTGCAATGCTTAACCAACTGAAAGCAGTGGAAAAGGTTTGAAAATGTGTACACAGGTTGCAACTGTCAAAGGTTCTTCATATGAACATCTTCCTCTCTCTTGCTTTTATCAGCAATGGGGCAGAGGCACCCTCCACGTGGCTCCAGCTCAGGCACATGCCCGAGACTGTTTTTACTGTAAATGTCTTTTATCTGCAGAGTTTTTACCGCTACTGTAGCTGAGAACCAATACAAGACTCTGATCAGACCCCACCTGGAGTCCTGTGTCCAGTTCTGGACACCACAATTTATGAAGGATATTGACACGCTGGAACGTGTGCAGATAAGAGTGGCCAAGGTCATCAAGGGTCTGGAAACCAAGTCTTATGAGGAATGGCTGAGGGAATTGGGTAAGTTTAGCCTGGATAATAGGAGGCTGAGAGGAGATATGATAACCATCTTCAAATAGCTAAAGGGCCGTTACATGGAAGATGAGGCAAGCTTGTTTTCTGCTGCTCCAAAGGGTTGGATGCAAATCAATGGCTGCAAAAGTTATAAGAAAGGAAATTCTAACTAAACATTAAGAAGCACTTTCTGATGGTAAGAGCTGTTTGACAGTGGAACAAAGAGATTGTGATTCCTTGCAGGGGGTTGGACTAGATGACACTTGGAACTCAACAACTCTGATTCTATCTCACTGCATCTCACTATGCCAATAATGTCTCCCTACAGAGGCACATGCTCTTGGGCAAAGAGTCTCTCTTGTGCACACACGTCTATAGCCATGGTTATTTAGCCAGTCACAGCAAAAGAAAGGAGCAGAGTGGGGAAGCTTTGGGAATTTAAAGGAACCAGTGCCAGTCCCTGTCTTAGGCTGGCTCAGTTAAGCCTACTGTGTATCCTAGAAAGTCCACATTAAGCTATCTGCTGACACTAAGTGTTTGAAAGCAGATAGCACTTAAGTTTAAAAACCTACATAATTGAAGAAAAAACATACTGATGTTACTTGTACAGTCCTTAAGCTGATCTATTGAAAGAAATTCCTACTTAAACTGCTGCCTCTAAAAGTCCTATTTGGGAGAAAGGTAACCCTTATACTGGGGAACTGATCCAAGTGACACTTGCATCGCCAACCCTCTAACGATCAGAACATACCCACCCACTGAACAAGGCCCAAACAGTTGGCCATTCTAGTCAAAATTAATCTTGTTACCATTCTATTGATTCAGAAGAACTCAAGTTCTATTTCCTTTTTTATTCCAATCAGTTAACATTCAAAACTACACTCTGGAAAGCTACCAGAAGACTTACCTTAGATTATTTAATGCTGTATTTGCAATTTTATTGTTTCTTTTGCTGCCGCCGCCACTGCTACTGCTGCTGCTGCTACAACTGTTATTGTGGGTGGTCCCCAGACCTTGCTTTTTCTGTACGCTCAATGGCTTCAATTTTGGCTTTACTTTATTTGCATTCGCTTTGTTCTGAGTCGTTTTAGCATTTGTCACTTTAGCTGCACTGGTGGACAAGTGTAAAGTAGACGCACTTGGGATGACAGGAGATGCAGTCGCTGATCCAGGCTGAAGAGATCCAGCAGAAGCTCTGATGGTAACCTAGAAACATGAGACCCGGTTAACTCTCTCCTAAATGAATGGCAATCATTTATCTTGCTGAAAAGACTCGCAAGAAGACTGCATGGATGACACAAGGCTGAGCAGTTCTGAGCAAGCTGCACTGCAGGGGGCTGGAATAAATGACCCTTGGTGTACCTGCCAATGCTACAATTCTGTTATTGTGACCCTCAGACTACTTTGTCAGAGGCAATGGCTAGCAGTATGCCCACCATGAGATCATTGCCCATCCAACCACAGCTAGAGCCTGTGCTGCAATACACAGTAAAGCAATGACGAACACACACACACCTATGTGCAAACTCCCCTCCCACCTATTCATATAAAGCACACAAACACAGCAAGGGGAAATCCATTAAAGGGTCCATGATGGCTGAAACTACAGTGGTGCCTCGCAAGACGAAATTAATCCGTTCCGCGAGTATCTTCGTCTAGTGGTTTTTTCGTCTTGCGAAGCAACCCTATTAGCGGCTTAGCGGATTAGCGCTATTAGCGGTTTAGCGGCTATTAAAGGCTTAGTGGCTTAGGGGATTAGCTGCTAAAAGGCTATTAAAGGCTTAGCGGCTTAGAAAAAGGGGGGGGGAAGCGAAAAAACAATCTCAAGACTCGCAAGACATTTTCGTCTTGCGAAGCAAGCCCATAGGGAAATTCGTCCTGCGAAGCGCATTGAAAACGGAAAACCCTTTCGTCTAGCGGGTTTTCCGTCTTGCGAGGCATTCGTCTTGCGGGGCACCACTGTATCTGTTTTGCATAGTGTATGTCCAAATTTATTTGTAGCTGGTCACCCACCTAAGGTCAGGTCAGGCAACCCAAGGAGGACTGAACTTCTGCAAATCCAGGAGAACAGAGCAGATGCCACCACAAAGAAGACCCCTGTCTGCTGCAGATTTAAATCTGAGTCCCAGGAAGGTTTTAAATGTTGTTAAAAGGTGCCTAGAGTTGAACCCTTTTGCAAGTCTCTAGAGAGCCTTAGAATGATTTTCAAGTCCCCTCCCCACAAAAAAACCCAGCAGCAGTGGGGAACACACATGAACACACACCACTCTCTCCTGCCATTTCCCTGTAGCCATTTTTCAGAATAAACATTACATGATGCTTTAAGCTTACTTTGGTTCCTGGAGGCAATCCCTCTAACTGAGCAGGTTTTTTAAATGTCCGGTGATGCTGAGATTTGTGATCCATTTTTTCTTTGCATGTCAAGAACTGGAGTCTACACTTGGTACAGCGATGTACTCCCTTTTTCTTTTTTTAAAAAAGAAAAATATATTTAAGCCAAAACATACTGATGAAATGGATAATAGAAGCTTAACATTCCAGGAGGTTTCAAAAACATAAACAGTGCAAAAGTGATGAGCAGTGGCTGCAAGCAATAAAGGACTAACTGTATTCAGTATCAACAAAATCCTGTACTAAGTTATTGATAGAAAATAATCACAAACAATTCACATTAATTACACACCATCACATAAGGTTGTATCGAATGTGATGTTAAGTACACTTGTTCCACTAGTGAAATGTTTGCACCAAGGGAACCTTGCTGCCCCAAAGAAGGAACCAAGTTACCAGCAATGCGCTGCATAGTGAGTTTCTACTAGCACAACTGTTGCACTGGATTCCTGTTAGGCAGGATTAAAACTCACAATCACACTAGCAGACACAGAATGTTGGATACAGCATATAGTTTCCAGCTGCTTAAACCAAACCTTTGCAAGAAAACAGTATAGGTTAAGGCACCATCCATTCCTACTATCAAACACTTCTTCCAAGTTCTGTCTGCCACCATCTCACCTTGGAAACATTTTTTTAAAAAAAACAAAAACCCTTTGCATTAGCCATATTCAACTTTAAATTGACATCTGGAGCTTTGTGAACGTAGCTGAACTTTTCTCAAGTATGCTAATGGTCAGCAAATGTTCACTGTGGAAAAGGCTCTAAGCTCTATTGTTACCATAACTTATAGAAGACCAGGGCTTGGGGGGAGGGAGGGGGATTAACAATTTATTAGCTACTAGTTGCTTCTGCAGAGACATCTTACATCCCTCTTGCCTAGTGCTTATACTCCAAAGATAATCAAGTATTTTTACCTGGTGTCTCAGGAAATGATGCATATATGGTGCCCCAAGTTTAATAACTTTGAGGCAAAATGGGCACAGCAGGCTCTTTGTATTTTCATGAACAGATCGAAAGTGTTTTTCCACATCTGAAAATGCTGATGATCTGTAATTGCACACCTAGAATGGAAAAAGAGATGGACTGCCTTGAAGCAACATTCTTTAGAAACAAGTCTTTGACAAACAGCCATGCACAAGGGGGAGGATGCTCTGAGGTACCTGGCAGACGTAGGGCATCTCCCCGGGCTTGTGATTGTCCTTCATGTGCTGCAAAAGAACTTGCTCGGTTTCAAAAGATAGTTCACATATTTTACATAGAGCTAGAAAAGAGCAGAAACAAGAGGTGAACTTTTTTTTCTTAATCGGAACCACGGTGGAGGACAAAGTAGATGGTGCCTATTAATCCAAGGACAGTTCTCAAGTCTTTTGGCAGCCTAATTTTTAAATCATGCTGTGGCAAAAATAGTTGCCTATTACTTTGCTCCCAATGAAAAGTAGAAATGCTTTTAAGCTGCAAAAGTCAAATGTTTCTAACCATAATATCCCATATCTCTTTGAGCTGCTGCATGCCCATGCCCCAACTAGGGCAGCGTGCATGTGCCCCCACCATGACAAAATAGCACGGCTGCCGTCTAGACCAGGAGTCGTCAGCCTGGTCCCTACCGCTCACTAGTGGGCGTTTCAAGATTCTGGGTGGGTGGTAGGGAGTTCTACAGCACAAGCTGAATTCTCCTCCCATCGAGCACTGGTGGGTGGTAAGGAAATTTTAGCATCAAGAAAGATGCATTAGTGGGTGGTAGGTATAAAAAGGTTGACTACCTCTGATCTAGACTGATGGCTGCTGTACAAGACACAGCATCTGAGAAACTTACTTGATGACTCATGAGGGGTATGGCTGCTTTCGATGTGGCACTGGAGTTGGAAGGGTGTTGGAAACTGACGGTAGCAGTGCTGACAGGTGGTGTGACTTTCCCAACTCTCACTATTCTGTTTCTCCAGCTCCAAGTGATGCTTCATGTGGTTCATAAACCTGGGAGCGACACAAAGAACAGCTCAATAGACCACACTTTAAAAAAAAAAACATTAATGAATAAACTAGACAGGTGCTAAAGACACTGCCATAAACACATATTTAGCATATTATGTTTTTTAAAATGCCCTTTAATGGACTGCAGTGCCTTCCTCTGAGCAAGCTCCTCAAACACGTGGAAGGAAATAGAGGGAAAGAAAAACCAGTAACCTAAAATACGCTGCTATCACTATTTATCATTTCAAGCAGATTAGTGCAAGTGGGATCTCAAAGATTATAAATGAAAAATAGGGCAGCTTCTCCCGAGAAACACTGTCACTCCCCCATTCCCAGGGATTACATTTCTCTCTTATGAAAGGACTCCCAAAGATCAACTCTCAATCTCTAGTATGATCTTCAGACTGTTCTGAGTGTAGCATTAGGAAAACACCATTTTGTGAAAGAATGTAAAATCAGCTTTGCACAAAAAAACAAAAACAACGGGGGAAAACACTACCTATAGACGTCTTACAGTGACACTGTGAGCTACACACTAGCCAAACCTGGGCCCAAAGTTTTTATCACATATACATTTTTCAGGATATAAAAATACCTGATATTGCTTTTGAGAAGCTTCATGCAGCTGGCACACTTGAAGGTCGTATGTGTCTTCTGCTCCTGACGCACCTGCTGGACGTTACCCTCATGTTTGCCATAATAAAAGTCATTAACTAACATGATCAGTTTTCCTTTTTCAGTTTCAGCCATTTTAGATGATGTCCCTGAACTGTCTGTTTGGGTTATTCCCAGAAAGGTATGTGCCATATCTGGACAGCAATACTGAAAGAGAAGCAAATTAAAGGACAACTAAACCATTTTCTCTTTTAAAGAAAATAACTGAAGTATAGCCTAGAACCTAACAAAAATATGTTTGTAAACCCTCCCCTCCCAACCCAAGACCTGATATTTTGAGCCTAGGTAAGTTGAATGTATGTAAGTGGGGCCGGAAGTTTTAACACATTTGTAACAAAGCAAGGGCCACAGATTTCAGATAACTTCTAAGGAAACACACCTAGAATTGTAACGGTTTTGTAACTTGAGATCAAGGGTACTTAATTCCACCCAAATGTGATTAGCATAAATACTGATGGAGTCCCCAATTCCATAAACCATCTGTTATAAAAATGCATCTTTAGCTTACTATGCATTACATAACAATGGCACCAGCTTTGACTTCTATGGGATGTACATATAAGAAAGCAATGCAAAGAATCAAAAGCAACAAGAGAGAAAATTTAAGATCTCTTCATAATATATTTATAATGAAGTTGGAATGGTTTCAAGGGAAGGGGCTACTAAATAACAGATTCAAGCTGTACAGAATTCTGCACATTTATACAATAAATCCCAAACTTCTTTTTAACTCTGTACTAACAGGGGTAATACTAGTCAGCTTAATTTAATATGTATTTTCTCTAAGAGTTACAATATCCTTAATAACATACATAGAAACAAACACAGCAAACAGAAAATGCTGTAGCTGAACATTCTGCCATTTAAAGTGCTCTTCACACAGGGAAAACCACAAGCAGCCAAAAAAATTAATATGCAAAACGAAGTTATTTTTTAAAAGCAAAAATCATGATTCTCACAAAGGGCAATGGTTGGCCTCTGGGAGAACAGAGTTCTTGGCTAGATGGGCCTTTGGCACGACTCAGCAGCCAGGCCCTTCTTCCATTCTTATTTATCATCTTGACAGCTAGGCATGAAATTTGCTTTTGAAGGCGGATAATGTTCAAAGCACCCAGAACAGCAACTAACCAGAACCATTACATGCTTAAGTATAATTAACTCTGAAGTTCTATCATCTTTAAAACGTATTAATTCTCAATGCCACATCTATGATTTCATTTTGTTCCCCTTCCTCTGCCAAAACAGGTCCTTACCTTTATGTGATTTTTTAATGGCTCCAAAAGATTGAAATGAATATTACACTTTGGACATGCTTGTGGAAAAGGTGCTCCATGCTTAACATTGCTCGAAGCAATACCTGTAAAAAGGAAAAGTATACCCTATGACTTAATTATCACTTCTGAACAGACACTTTCTTCAAATTTATGATGTACCGCTTGAGTAACTATGACAAACATACAGAGTTCACCAACAAAAGCAGATAAGATATATAACGAGTAACAGTATAATTAGTTCTTTTTAAGCCTCATCTCTTTGTGTGCATATTCCTCAAAAGGCAACATGTAAGTCATTTGATAGCTTGCCTGTAACAAGCAAAACATTTCCCCAAGTGGCACAAGAACTGTAGTTTTGGTAAACGGAAAGAATTTTTTCTGTTGCAGGCTGTCAATTTGTTATCACTAATTAATGTAGATATGCAAAAGTAACCTAATTACTTTTTGGACTTATATTTATGCTTGACCTGCTGCTTCAAGAGCTCTTAGGTCGAACACAGCAATGCTTACATCCATGGGCCTTCTGAAAGGGTGATAACTTTGAGAGAATAATTGCATTCTACATGCTATCAAAATCAGTTGCTATGTTCCAAGACTCTTAAATTTGTAAGTATTTTTACACTTTATATTCTCTGTGTGCTTTGCAAAAATAAATCAATCCTCTGGGGGCCTTGCAAAAATAAATCGATTAACGTATAAATACAAAAACTAGAAATTACTAAAAGGTACAAAATCATAAAAATGGTATAAAACAGTTGACAGGATTAAAGTGCAATCTTTAAAGCTTGGTAAGATGGGTAGATACCAAGCAACTCCTTGTAAAGAGAAGGATTCACAAAGAGAGGTTTAACATAGGCAGGGCAAGGGGGCAATTGCCCCAGCACACATTTCAGAGAGGTGCTTCCAGGTACCCCCGAGACAGGTTCCCTCATTAATGCAAACCCCGCAAGTGTCCCTTGTCCCTCTCCTCACTCTCTGCCTGGACCAGCAAAGAGGTTCCTACTGCTCAGTTCTGCAAGGGTTAATAGCAGCAGAAAAGCTGTCATTCCTAGAGCTGAAGGGAAGGCTGCAAGTGAGTGAGGAGCTTCTGTTCTCTGTCTTGCTTCCCCTGTGCCTCCTCGCAAAGTCGTGGAGGCAGGTAATTGGGGGCCAGGGATATGCCAGATCAAGGGGCAGAATCAGAGCAGGGTGCTGGGAGAAAGTGAGGCAAATGGGTGGCAGCAACTTCCCACCCTGAGCAAATAAAAGGCAACGGCAGGGGAAGCAGGTGGTGGGAGCGACGCTGCTTTCCTGCATTGAATGGCCTCTGGCCTCACTCTCTTCTGTTCAAACAAACCTGAGTGAACAACACTCAGTTTCCCCTGAAGCTTAATAAATATATAAATGCAGGAGAAGTCCTTCACTAACCTGCTAAAACTAATGGTACAGTCCTGCCTATCTTCAATTGAAAACCATTACTGAAACAGCAAGCCTGTGTTTGCTTTTTTTTAAAAAAAGAAACCTAACCATAGCAAATCCTTAAGTATAAATCTGTGTGGAGAAAGAAAAGCTCTCTGCTGCATGGCTAGCAGTCAAAACTTTGCCACTTCCCTTCCTCTTCCCCACCACCCAATCTCTCTTTCTGCTCTGCAGCTTGGTGGAATACTGGCATTTGCTCAGTACCATGTTTGTCTATTTCCAGCATGGCCTAAATTTAAAATGTTTCAATCTAAGCCCTGATGTTTCACCCTCAGTTTAATTGAAAATCACACTGCATTGTGCACCTTCAAACAACACACTTATACAAGCGTATTTCTCTCATTGTTTTTCTGTACTCTGGATGTGAATGCAAAGTAAGCATATTAGGGACACAGCCAACATTTGCGGGGGGTGTATTCTAGGCAAAATGGCCACCTTATACCTGGAGTTCCCAATATGGCACCATACAGCTCCTTGGTGCATGTCCAGGCCCTTTGCCCTCCCATTTTTAATGATATTTTTAGAGTTGCTTTTTCAGCTGAGGACGGTGCGGAAGTGACTGCAAAGCGACATACAGGCCACCAGCAACACCCTCCCACAAAGAAGTTTTGAAAGTAGCTTATTTTAACGCTCCCATCTGTGTTTCAGGGAGTGGTCACCGAGAGCTGCTTACCGCTTGGTCCTCACAGGTTCTGTTGACAAGAGCTCAGGGTGTGCACCCCCTGGTGTACACCTCCACCCCAGCTGCCCAGTCCACCAAGGGGGTGCAACACTTGTCCTGCCCTGGGTGCTAAAAACCCATGCTACGCCCCTGGATCCCCAGTTGGGGTGCCCTCTCTGTGGAAGCCTCCCACCTTTGCCTGGGGCAAGGGAGTGGTACCTGCCTGTCTCTGGCTTCCTAGGTCCAATGCCCCAGGTTTCTACACCTACATTACATGTTCTCTCATTGTTCTAGAAAGTTATTCTTACATTTTTAAACAGTCACCCTTTGCACCAAAAACTGTGGAATTCTTCTTGGACTGGGAAAGTTGCCGCACCAATGCACCAATGACACTTAATTTTCCCTGTAAAGACCATCTGTTCTGTTTTTGAAAAAACATTTCTGATATATCTCTTCATGAAAATGCTGTAACAGCTGGGACAATAAGACGCTTCCCTACCTTTCTGAAGCAATGATGTGTCATTTGGAGATATAACTGAAGGTGAATCACTTCCAGAAACTGCCTCATCAGCCTTGGGCTTTTTTGGATTAATACTGTGAGCTTCAGAAGTGGAAGGACGCTTGGACAGGCCTACAAATAGTTTTGAAAATTAAGTAAGTCTTAATTTAATATACGATTGCTAAAACCAACTGAAGCAAGCCTTGACTTGTTTTCTTCTCCAATACTCTGATTCCAGCTGCTTCAAGCTGCAGAGTCCTTCAAGGTGTGGTAGAATTAGGAGGATCACTGCCTTTGTGGAGGAGTCAAAGTCCTCTAACCTTGACTAATTTATCTTAGAGCAGGAAATCAGCATCCCAGAAATGAGTACAATCGTCAACAAAAATGGCACAACCCATAAAACCGTATTTTGCAAGGTCACTGTGAGCAGAGTTATCAAGTCATAACAACTGTGCAAAATGTTATTTGTTTGAATTAATTAAATTTGATTGTTTTATTAGCTTTAGGACATACATGCCATTCAGCATCAGTAGACATATCAAGAGTTTATTCAAGACAGAAGCACATAATTTGGTAAACTGTTATTTTTACTGAGCAGGCACTAGCGGATGATTTAAAAGATCACAATGAAATGCAAGAGAACAAGGAAAGGAGGAAACAAGGCTTCAAGAACATTGATCCAAAGCTTTTTAGGAATTTAAAAGTGAAAACCAGCATCTTGAATCATAACCAGTTAATGTGCTAGTTCACTGACATGTGCTCCATCCACTACCCCACTGTGAGACAGCCTGCTACATTCAACTCTAGCTGAAGTTTCTGACTAGTCCAAGGGTGTCCAAGGCAAAGGGCATTGCAAGGTTTTGGAGGCTATCACCAGGTGAAAATCTGCTGTGATCTGAGCTTTACAATGAGAGATGCACTTTTCCCACCAGACAAAAGTTGGTGCAGCTGCTCCTACCCAGAGGCAGAGCAACCTGCTCCAGCACCCAGAACGGTGCTCGTCCGAGGTGCTGCCGATTGGGTGTTGGCATTTTAACACACACACACCCCTTTGGAATGGCACCTGGAGCAGACCGCCCCAACCCCACTCTGGAACGCCCCGCTCCTACCCACTGAAACAATCCAGTAACAAATTCAGGAGCTCCTCATGCTTTCAAGAAGGCCCAGAAGGGCTGAATCCAGTTAATCCAGTAACCATGATTACTTCAGCCTCCACCAGTAGGCCCATATCCAGTTCTCAGCCATGTCTAGAATTCAAAGCAGTACTGAGGTTGCAGGAGCCTGCCTTACTGTTGTTGTCGTTAAATTTATATACCACCCTTTGTCTGAGTTTCACAGGGTTGTTTACAGTATAAAAATACAAAATACACAACACGATAACAAACTAAACAAAAAAACCTACAGTTTAAAAGGCTGTAGACTGCTTAATTAGCCAACAGCCTGGGCGAAGAGGAATGTTTTTGCCTGGTGCCTAAAGATATGTAACGAAGGTGCCAGGTGAGCCTTCACAAACGGGGAGCTGCTTCAGAAAAAAATGTATTGTGTTGATGTCCCCCGGATGTCCCATGGAGGAGGCACACAAAGGACCTCAGATGCAGTGTTAGAAACTCAGATATACAATCTAATTGCCAAATGGCACCTTAAACTGGTGACAATGCAGAATGACCAGCAAAGGTATCCTTAAAGGATCTTAAAATATCAGCTGGGTCTGTACCAGGGCAGGAGAGGGGTTCTGCTAGATACAGTGATCCCAAGTTGTTTACAACTTTAAACGTTTGTAATAAACCTTCAACTTGGCTTAGTAGCTAATAGGCGCCCAGTTCAGATTTTTCACACTGGTGTAATATGCGTAAACCTGGAGGTCTCACTGAGCTGCTGCATTTTGCACTCGCTGTAGTTTCCAAGTCAGGCACAAAAGTAGCCCTACATACAGTGCTTCTACAGTAGTCTAATTGTGATGTTACTAATGCATGGACCACTGCAGTAAAGCTATCACTATCTAGCAGGGACTAATTAGTTCACCTGGGCCCCTAGTGAAAGCAATGGATCCAGGAGCACTCCCAAAGGATGCACCTGCTCCTTCAGAGAGTGCAACTCCATCCAAACAGGTATATAACTTAATGCCTGGACCTGGGAACCACTCTTCCGTATGGTCTCCACCTTATTAGATCCAGCTGCAGCCGCTGGATGCAGCCCTCATCCAACCCATGCACAGCGTCTCCTGATTTACAAGTTCTAGAGAAATGGAGCTGACCATCATCAACATAATGGTGACATCTTCTCCCAAATGCTATAGCTATTAAATTGCACTGTGGGCAAAATTGTGCTCTGCAGCAACCACACAAATCAACTGCCAAGGGGCCAGGACACAGTCACTCAATACTACTCTCTGGAACCAACCCTGTAGGAGTGAAACCACCATAAAACGGCTCCTAACACATGGAGATAGTGCAGGAGGATGTCACCGTAAAGTCAAGGATCCCAAAAGCCACTCAGTGATGCAGAAGATTCCACAGGGTTGAACTCTCGCTATTCCTCCTCCAAAGAAAGTCATCCATCAAGACAGCCAAGGTTGATTCTGTCTCAAAACAAGGCATGAACCCAGACTGGTGACCAGGAGGTAGTTAGAATAAACCTCTGGGCCCAGGATGGTTTTTTTCCAGGACTGGATGCACCACCACCACCTTCAAGGTTTTCCCTCGGTAATTTGTATGCAGAAGCATGCTGTCTCTAATTCTGAAGGTGAAATATAGCCATTATTACAAGGAGCTTACATGGCTGAATGCTCCTCCACAAATAAAATAAAAATAAATTATCACCATGTAGAAAACTGGCCACTTAGGAAGTCTGGTTCTAATCTGGCCGTCCTCAAAGTCCCCCCCCCCCGATATGGAAGAGCCATCAGTTATGAGAAGTCTGCAGGTGGAGGTTTGCACAGTTTAGCATCTCAGTTGGAACTAGGCAAGCAGCAGGCAAGTATAATAAACTTAGAATGACGTATCAGTAGCACACTAGCAAAGAAATAAATACTCACATGTGACTGCATACATACATGGTGCTGGGAAATAAATAAATAAATAGAATCACACCTGGAAATGGCAGGAGAGTTCTTGTGGCTCACGAGGAAAGCCTCCCCGGAGCCAGAGGAGGATGTCAGTGAAGGCAGATGAAGCCCTCAAAAGACCTAAGGTGCAGCGGGGCTTTGTTCAGGCTGCTCAGCCTCCCTGCCTAACAGCTGATGTGTGGCGAAGCGCACCAGCTGCCACCCGCCACTTTCCCACACGCCCTCTTACTGGCCCCAGAGCTTCAACTCTAATTGAAGAGAGAGTTGTATGGAAAAGGAACTGTAGAGCAGGGGGAAATAGGCATTTAGAGGCTTTATAGAGGGTGCTCCCCAATTTATGCAATTTCATTTATGTGTGTGGGCACCCGGAACATAACCTCTGTGTAAGGGGGGGGGGCTGCAAAGCTAGAATAAATTCAACCAAGAATTCAGAGGAAGTCTAAAATAAAGATGCCTTATGTTCAAAAACCTTGCAGACAATGCATATCAGAAGACCAGCAACTCCATCATCAAAACACCTCTTCAAGAATACAGTCAGGTGCCAGAATAAGGATTTCAATGTCTGTTTTTATATTAGTTATAATTATGGAGGCTCAAGCAATCCTCTTTACTTCGAGGATCATTACAACTATGTCCAATAACCCTTAATTTATCATTATGATCCTAGTGCACCAAATGTATGCACAATTTAAAAAGCGCCTCTCCTCTCCCCCCAAAAAACAGGAAAACGCATTTTATTGGTTGTTTTGGCAATGCTTCTTTTTTCTTTTTATTATAGATTTGCTTTTAATGATATGAATAATAAACTTTGAAAATGTACTAGTCATACCTGTTTTAGTCACTGCAGATCCACTCTGGCACTGAGTTACTCCTGAATTTTGCCTTAAATCAAAAGCTACAGGCAAAGGATTATTCGGTATAACCTGCAAAGAATTTGTTAATTAGCTCAGCTGTAATATTCCAATTAGTAATCTCTTTTTGGGTTATCTTTTCAAAAACAACACTTAATGCTACCTTCATAAGCATAAATTCAGTAGGGTTTAAAAAATAATCCAAAGTAATTAGGAATGTTTGTGTTTGATAGGTAAATCAACCAAATCGAAATCCAAATCTAACTAAATATGGCGCCCAATTTCTGCAAAGAAATATTTTCCTTTCTGTAGAAGTCTGTACAAATCACAGCTTGTATTCTAAGATTCAGTCAGAAACTTGCCTTGTCCTTCATTCTTATATCCTGATGCATTACTGCCCTGGATCTTTGTTCTTTCATCGATAGTCCAATGGTCCCATATGCCAGATGGCATCCTTTTACATATAAAATACTTTACTGATAACCCTGAAGAATGGCAACTACCGAAATAATAGATTAGACAAACCTAACTAGATTGATCTGTCCTGGGAAGAGTGGGGGAAAGAGTTGGGATTTCATTTTTTGTTTTTCCCCTCTTTTGTAATAGAGGGGCGCACACACACACACACAGACAGACAGAGTCCAATGGGACCTCTTTTACTTCCCTTCTTAGAACTCTTTGCTTCCAAGAAGTCTTTGGCAAAACCTCTTAATTCTCACATCCAATGTAACTGAGTCTGCAAATTAAACCAAACATTTGCAACTGAAAGGAGGCAAACATTTAATCAGTCTTCACTGGCTCTGCAATTTAGAATCAGGGAGGAGTGAAGAATGTGCCATGGACTCTTCAAACTTTGGTTTCAGATGATGCATGCTCATTGGAGAGAAGATATCATATTATAGGACATCTCCCTCCTATGCAAAAGAAAAAGAGAGGGGGGAATGCCATCTGCAATTTTTATGAGATCTTGTAATGATTTGTTTGCTTTTAAATTGGCAGCCTGAGCTCTTTAAGTCAATTAAATGTTTTAATTAATTAAACATTGCAACTCTAAAATCTATAAAAGTCAAAGAGAAGGAAACTACAGTCCTCCAGAAGACTCTAATTCACATCGGCCTCAGACAGCATGACTAATTGTTACAAGATGATAGGATACAGGCCATATGAATAGTCATGATTACTATTATAAGAACATTAAAGAATTTTGTTTTAAAAGTCTTGAAGAGTTCAACTTTTGATCAGTTTGTTTTCCCTAATTACTCTTACTGAACATGCTAATTTTCAGGCAAAGCTATGCTGTGTCAGCAAAACCAAATGATTTTCAGAGCCTTTAATGAGTACTGTTATGCCAGCACTGTTCAGTTAAACAATAAAAGAAAACCCCTCTTTGAATAAAATAAAAGGGTCAATTCTCACCCGATTTAATGATACCGGTTGTGCTGTTACTGTGGCCACTGGCCTGGATGGAGACTGAGCCATTACAGGTATGCCGAGGTTCCTTGCTAATGATTGAGTGGTGGCAGATCTATTGATAGGCTGAGATATTCCAGTGCTTGCCTTGGCTGCTTCCTGCAGTGATGAACACCCAGAAAGAGGTCTCTGCAAGACCTGAGAGGTTCCTGAAACATTACTGACCCTTGGCTGAGGCTGAACAGCTAGAGTACTAGTTACGGGTCTTGTTGCAGAGGGAAACCCTGGAGAAACAGCCACAGCACCTGCCACAAAGAATTATGAAATATATTAAACTCCACCACATTCAGACTATAAGGAGTTCAGTTTTACAAAGTCACCAGATTGAGTACATCAGAATACCTCTTTTTGGTGCACCATTCTGCATTCCAATCCGTGGTGAACTGGGATTGACTCTGTTCAATATATCTGTTAAAAAGTGAGAGTTGTTTAAGTCTGTTAATTAGTTCAACTAGAAAGATGTAAAATATACTTGTGTGAACATATGGAAGAGAATGCAAACAAATCAAGCTACTCCTCACCATGAAGTTACAGCAAAGAAGTACCCAAATCTTCACACAAGTAAAGCCAGTTGCTAAATTCCTTTCAAATACCCCCTAAGAATGAAGCAGGACAATCATAGCCATGTCCTCTTCAGTAAGCCTGTCTAATTAAAGTATCTTTATCTTGCAGTTTTTACCACACACACATACAACTATGCAGTTGGGTTTTCCAAAACATCTCCAACACTTGCTAAAAAATTAAAACTTGTATGAGCAAGTCATTCATTAAAATGGGATTCTAGGAGCTTGGATTGTGCTAGTTGTGTAAGCCTTTATCTCAACTGTCAAAATAAGGGTGTAACTGCACACTTCATTAAAAGTAGATTATGTTGAAGTCAGAAATATGGACATGATCAGGTTCCAATCATCCACTGTGAGTTACAGAGAAAAGCAAAATCATTCTGGTAGTTGTTCAGAAATCACTTATTTTGGGGCACTCTTCATTTATAACAAGGTGCCAGAAAACCCTCAACTGGAACAGAAGCATTCAATATAAGACATATCACTAAGAGCAGTATTTTTCAAAAAATGTCACCTTACAGGTATTGGATGGTTTAGAGCTCAGGATCTCCCCGACAAATATGGGTTCGTCGTCATCATCATCATCCACAACAATTGGTTTCACTTTCTGTTGCCATGGCTCAAGCTCTTCCTCTTCGCATTCCATAAATAGCTCTGCCATTGTGGCACTAGATAACAAATAATAGTTTTGTGTAAACCACTTAGAGGTTTTATGTAAACCACTTGGAGGTTCTAATGATTAAGAGGTATATAAACCATGTAAAATAAAACAAAACATATTAATAAACAAATACAAAAACAATTAAGAAGATTAATAACCATCAGATTAAGCGTATGTCTCTTGAGGGCAAGTGCAACTCCATCTAGAACAGGCAATCTCCCCAAATCCCAGAACCAGGAACTACCCACCCACAAGGCCTCTGTAATGTCAAAATCCCCCCCCCCCCCAAGCTTACTGGCCGTCATCCAGCCAACCACTGAATCCAGGTACCAGTGCAGGGCTTGCATAGTCACACCCAACTCAGATTTAAAAGAGAAATAGAGATGGGCCTATTGATGCAAATTGATGGCACCACACTCTCAATCTCCTAATGATGCTCCAAACACATTCATATAGATGTTGAACAGCTCTGGGGTCAAAATGATACCTGTAACATCTCACAGAGCAACTGCCAAGGAGATGAAGTGCAGCAACCCAATGCCACCCACTGAAACTGTCCTATAGGTAGCAGTGGAACCAGTGCAACACCACTCCCAACCCAAAACCCAGTCTAAGATACCGTAGTCAATGGTATCAAAAGCTACCACAAGATTTGAACAGAAGCAAGAGGGTTGTACACTTCCCCCCAAAAGATTATTCATTAGGGCAACCAAGGCTAACACAGTCTTGAAACCAGGGCTATTAAACTGCAATAGATGAAGGCAACAAGTTTCCTGCACCTGCTCAAGTACCTTCCCAAGAAAGAGTGCATTTGTGACGGGTTGTGGTGATCATAAACCTCTGCATCCAGGGTATTCTGTTTCTTTCCAGAAGCAGCCTTGCTATCTCCTCATTTCACAAGTTATATATTGTCTCTGCCTCAGGTAAGTAAGAGCAGGTTTATCACAACGAAATATTGGCCACGTCTCTACTGTAGAGTTTAAGACTTAATAACTATATGTTGACAAGCCATACTTTGGAACATAGGAAGCTGCCTTATGCACAATCAGATCACTGGTCCATCTAAATTCTGTATTGTCTACACCGAGTGGCAACAGCTTTCCAGGGTTTCAGACACAGGACTTCTCTAACTACTGATTCCAGGGATTGAAACAGCTGAACACAAACCTTACACACAACAAATGAGTGGTGGTCCCTTGAAAAACACTCAGGGGGGCAGGGCAGTTTGCATGCAGCAAAGAGAAGGATAAACAGAAAGGTAGTGAAATCTCTTTGTAGCAGAGGATCAGCAAATCTAAACAAGGCAGTCAGCTGAATTAAATTCTTCAACAGAAGTAAAATCAGAACATATTTAATAATTATTGTTACAAAAGTTGAGTGCCTCCCCCCCCCCCCCCGCCAATCAGTGTCAAGAGCCCATGGGGTTCTAGGAACTCACCCAGGATCTGTGATCCTTTGCAGAATTGAGACATAGCAGAGACTGTTGTAGCTTGAAGAAATATGGTTTATCCACCTATTTACACCTTCAGTCTGAATGGGGAAAGTCCAGATCTTACTGATCATTTCAAGTGGGGCTTGTCCACACAGCAGTGCAGCCCTGGAATCCAAGGAATCTCCCCCAGCCAGCCTGTAGCCAGCCTGCCCACAGGTGGATCCCAGTCTCTCTTCCTCCTCCTCCTTCCCAGAACCTCTTGCTACCAGACTCCCTTTCCCTTTCCCTCAAATACAGAGTTACCATGGCAACCTTCCTTACCCCAGTCTCTGTTCACATCTCAGGGCAGGGGGGAAGGACAGTCATTTTGCATTGCCAATGATCCTCAATTGTTTCTTAATGGCCTTACCTTGGCCAGATTCCTCTGCAGTTTGTATTTCTTCCTTCACATCCCAAAAAATTAAAATCCTACCATTTATTAATATCTAGGTTTTAGGGGGTGGGGTCCCACTCCCAAATCTATAACATTATTTTAGTAGCACCCAAGGCAGCCAATGGCAGGAATGATTTTAAATTACAATAAAACAATTTTAAATGAAGTAACGTTTTTATTGAAGTCAACAGTTACTTAATGAAAGCTTGAGATACATAAAGCTGAGAACATCTGAAAACATAACTACAGTCAGGAAAGAATATCCCTAAATGAAACTGGAAAATTTTGTGATTTTCTGTTAAATCCATTACTCCAGCAAGGTGGAAGCATCTTTTAAGGTAATAGCTGATGCGGTGGGATCAGTGCTCGGAAAACAACAGTAATCTAAAAAAAGCAAACAGCCACCACCACAGCTGGCTCTGTTGGTCCACTGTAACAACATACCATCTTTGTTAGAACTCACAACACAGTGTAAAAATCTAAGAATTACAGAACTCTTCTGCCTAGATTTTTTTAAATGAAAAAAAAAATGTTTAGCTGAAATAACTGCACTAAGCTCCTCTCTACAACTTGCTAAAAATGGCAATGGAGGAATCCTTAACATTATGTTTAACATTGTAAGGTATTAGGATCTCAGGTTACGCAGGAACAAAGCAAAGGAGCTAAAAATATAAGAACCAATAGTTAGCTTTGTCTGTCCTTTTGCTATCACTGACTAGAGTGTACATAAGGCAAAGCAAAGTGCAACTGTTACATTACAAATGTTAACGTCCTTCTTAAACAATGTAATGTGGACTCCTTTGCTTTGGATCAAGTGTTCTGTGTGCATTTTTTTAAATATAGTTTTTTTCCATATAAGCAGCACAGTGCTGTATCTCCCTAACTGCTCTGTCTTACAAATGATGGGAGAGTTCCAATTAGTGCTAGAAAGCTGCCTTCAGTGAACTGACTATGGAAGGTCTGACAGGCTACACTATTATTACAAACTACCTTACTGAGAGACTTTCTTTAAAAACAATCAAACACACACACACTTGTTCAATATTCAGTCTGTTACAGTTACACAATAAAGGTAACCTAAGGCTGAAGTCCTATTTATTAGGCCTCTCCAGATGCTTGTCTTTCAATGTTTTGGACTACATCTCCCATCAGTCCTTGCCAGTATGGCCAATGGTCAAGGATGATGGGAATTTTAGTCCAGCAGCATCTGTAGAGCCACATGTTTCCCTGTCCCAAATAAAACATTACTGACTGAAAACACCAAAGTGTGTTTTCAGATAGTTATGCCTGAACTGGACCAATTTTAAATTAAACAGTTCTGTTTTAGCAATAAAACACTTCCAATCAGTAACTTGAATGTCTTAAGACTGTAAGGTGTTTTGTTTGTATGTATGTGCTCAGTTTAACTTCAATTCCTTAGTTCTTGTGAGGGTGCCATCAGCAGACTCAATGTTTTGTTTGTATATCTTCAGATTTAAGATGAAAATGGATTTCATCCAGCTGGTAGTGTATGAGAAGAAACAGGCCTCCTGCATTTTTTTTTCCACACAAGAGAAAGGTTATTCTAAGATGATTTCTAGAATACTCTTATGTTAATACCTCAGGATTTTTAAATATTGCCTTTGAAATATTGAATTTCCTTTTGTATTTATAAATAGTGTTGGTCATTTGTTATGCAATTTTAAAGCTTTATTGTGTTTCAATGATTTTAAGGTACACTGACTTGGTTGTTTTACGAGTTACTGGTTTATAAATATTCTTATAAATAAAACTAATTTTTAGAAGATATTTGATTAAGCAACAAACAGAAGGAAGGATATGGACATAATGCTTGTTCCACGTTTAATAAAGTCTAGTGTACAGGCCAAGGCAAGTAACAGGACCACTCCATTTCCTCTTGTCACGCCCCACCTAGAGTACTGTGTCCAGTTTTGGACATCACAATTAAAGGACACTGACAAGTTAGAATGTGTGCAGAGGAGGGTGGCCAACAAGCTCAAGGGTATGGAAACCAAGCCTTATGAGGAATTGTTGAGGGACTTGCATATGTTTAGCTTAGAGAAGACTGAGAGGTGGTATGATCGCCATCTTCAAATATCTAGAAGACTGTCACATGAAAGATGAAGCAAGAATTGTTTTCAGTCGCTGCTGAGGGTAGAACACACACCAATGGATTCAAATTACAAGAGAGGAGATTCAAAATAAACATTAGGAACTGCCTGAGCTGTTTGACACTGTTTGACAGACTACCTTGGAAGATGGTGGGCTCTCCTTCATCGGAGGTTCTTAAAACAGGTGGATGACCATCTGCCAGAGATTCTTCAGCTGTGATTCCTGTGTTGCAGGGAGTTGGACAAGATGACACTGTGGGTCTCCTCCAACTGTACAAATATATGATTCTATAAATCCTATTTATGGAACTGAGATGGCTACAAACTGTTGTCTATCCTGGGATCACCTTGAAGTAGTGTTGCAAGTGTAGCAGCCCTGCACAGATCATCGGGGGAGAGCTGAAAGCTTGTTCCTGGCCTTTATTTTTTTTCTCTTGTGAACTCACCACCACCACCACCCCAACCCCTTTCCCAGTAAAGTCTGCTACGAAAAACAACAAACACGTGTAACTAACCCACTTCCAACAACACCTTTTTCAACAAGAACAGACCTATCTTAACCCCTCACCCTTCTCCATCAAACTAAGGCTCCCTGCTGCTTTTGCTACAGCGGACTCTGCAAGCCTTTCTTCAAGGTCCTCCTGGGACAAGGTCTCCTGGAGCAGCCAGAACCGGTACATGGGCCGGGGGGGGGCTGGCCCTGAGGAGAGAAAAGGCCCTGCGCGCAGAAAGCTAGCCGCTTAGCACCCGCCGCTTCCTTCCAAGCACACCTGAATGCCCTTTGTTTGAAAGCGGGGCAGCCCCGACCTGCCTTGGGTCTGGGCCCGAGATGCTGCGCGGAGGGCCGCCGCCCCCCTTCCCCCGGGGCTCCAGCCATCTCCCCATCCCCAGAGAGGGAGCTTCCCGCCAAACCAGGCCCAGCCCTCGCCCGCCTCCCCTCGCCGGCCGCTGGACCCCCCCTCGCCAGGCGAAACCCAAGCCCGTTCAGGCCGCACTCTGCCCAGCCACCCCGCAGGCCCGCCGAGGAGGCGGCGGCGGCGGGGGCGAGCTGGCCTGCCTCAGCCACGGGGTCACCGCCAGGCCGGGCTTCCCTCCCAGCCAAGATGGCGGCGGCAGCGGCGGCGGCGGTCTCGTAGGCAACAATCCCTCCTGAGGGACCACCGTGAGGGAGAGCAGGCCCGGGCCGGGCGGGCGAGGGGAGGGAGGGAAGGGGCTTACCGTGCTGCGCCTGAGGAAGGAGGCGGCGCGGAGCGGGCGGAGGGGAGGCGGCGCGCGGGCCGCCCGGGAGGGTGGAGGAAAGAGCGGGGCAGGCCGAGCCTGTGGAGGCGCCGCGGAAGCAGCGACGATGGCGGCAGCAGCAGCGCCGCCTCCAACTCCTCCTCCTCCTCCTTCGCGGCCTCCTGGCGGCGGGCGGGCGGGCGCGCGAGGGGCGTGGCGTGAGGCCGCCGGGCCGCCCTCCGCTCCCCTCAGGGCGGCCGCAGTCCCTGGCGAGGGCGGAGGCAGCTCCGGGCATCAGCCGCTGGGAGAGGCGAGGAGGGCGGCCCTCCCTTCTTTCCCCCTCCGGAGGCCGAATAACGCGAGAGGAAGGCGCTGTCGACGCAGCGCGGAGGGTTTTAGGCTGCGGAACTGGCCGCCACAAGACGGGGTGGGGGGCGTCAAGCGGTGCCGGGTTTACGTACTGTATAAGCTAAACAAGCTATAGCTTAGGGCCCCACTCTCTTAGGAGCCCCCCAAAAAATTAAAAGAGGAGAAACTGGGTGTACATTTCCAAAATATAGGATAAAAAACAAATAAAACCTACATACAGCAACAGTGTTTGTGTTGTGTCGGCTCCTATGTGTAAGTAATGGGCCCCGCCTGCTCGCCTGCTCCCTAAAATATCACTGGTTTGCTCATTTCTATATACAGTATAGGGTGCCTACATTCTGCATGGACTGGTTGCATGGCAACATGTGCAAATGGCTTTAGATACCTATTAGGTCCATAAATTACCATATAGCATATATTCAACACAAAAAACAGCAACAATTTGTTGTTGACAAAGGACAGCTGGACATATAAAGGGCGCCATTACCTTCAGTAGCTCAGGGCCTCATCAAACTTAAATCCGGCCCTGGGGGTGTGTGATGATGGCGACTGAAATATGCTCAGAGTTGAGAACGGATTTCATGCTCTTTATTCCGCTCATAGTGGTGAGGAGGAATGGAAGTTCCCCCAGAATATCTGCTTTATATACGTTATTTACACAATGGGCCCCACGTGATTGGCTAATTCTGGGATTCTCCTGTAGGCCAATCAGGTTGCGGATTCACTTCCACCTGGAGCTGGATTGGGTGGCTCCTGTGGATGAATCAGACTGCCGCATTTGGGATCCTATTGTTCTAGGACCAATCAGACTGCTGCTTTCTGGATCCTATTGTTCTAGGACCAATCAGACTGCTGCATTTTGGATCCTATTCAACTCAGTACATAACAGCGGCCAACTTGGAGGGCTTTATAAAGGGGTGAGGCAAAAGTCATGAGGGACAGAGGCTATCGGGGACAAGTAACTCGAACACACAACTGCTTTTGAGAGTGTCTCTCACTCGTGGGCTTCCCATAATGGGCATCTGGTTGGTCCCTGTGGATGCTGGACTGAATGGCCCCTTTGGCCTAATCTGGCAGCCATGCACTTCTCAGAGACACTGACTCTACTCGCCAGTCAGGCTGAACCTGTTGAATTGCCTGCCAGGCAACTGTCCAAAGCATAGGAGCCCTGCTGCCAGGAATGCCACATTCACTTGGGACTCTTCCTTTCATGGCTGCTATCTTGTTCTACACACCCACCCAGGACACAACACTCCCTTCTGGCTTGGGGAATGTGAAGAGAAAACAGATGAAGAGAAACCTCAATTCCCCCCCTCCCCGCCCACCATCCCTTGTATAAAGCGTCCCAAATGGCTGTATGGCTGCCTTTTTTGCCCTTAAACCTCTTGGGCTCACATTTGCAGCCTGATTCAGCTACAGGCCTCCGCTCAGATTAACTCTCCTCTTCAAATCTGTATTATTTTAATTAAATAAACCAGCTAGTTGATGGAATTTACTCTGTTTTCTTCCCTTGCAACCTTTCTTTTTGTGCAAAGGATTTTTCAACACTGCCTCAGGAAGCTGGTTCTGGACATTTGGGCAGATGGAGTGGAGATGTCAAACTTCTGCAACACATAGATACTTATCCAAGTTTGACAATGCTTTAAAATGTCATATTTATTCATATTTTTCGTGTGAAAGCTATTCGTATACTTTACTTGAATCCAGGATAACCCACCAGATCTGCCAATCCCCAAAATTAGTTTTTTCAGAAGACCATGTTCAAGTCAGTGGAAAAGAGCTCATCACTTTGACAATTGAAGACAGGCTAATATTTTATTTTTCAGACAGCTGATAAGGCTAGAGAAATGGCAGGAAAGGGTGGCAGCATTATTTTTTCTGAGGCTGCTTTCCATTCAGAATTGTTACATCAGGGAACAACTGTAACTTATACTTTCAACAAGTCACATATTTTCTGGGACAAGGAGTGTCTGAATGGGAGAAAAAGAAAAAGCAGCACAGATTTTTCTGACATAAATTCTGTTTGTTAAGGCATTCCACTCTAAAGCTTTATAACTCTTAATTTGCTCTTTATTTCAAATGGGACTATTTCACAAGCTGCTATGGTTTTCTGTAACATGCCCCTCCTGGAAACTACAGCATATAAAAGGTTAGGGTGTCAATTGAGAGATAGCCTTCCCCCCTTTTATTTATTTTTAGCTTGCTAGCTTTGTAATGGGCAATGATGCTTAGCTGATGAGTTTAGCTGAAGATGTTTGCTTAATGGCTTCTGATCACTTGCTGTTTGTCAATGAATGCCAGTGACTGGTGACTGCTGACCTAGATGGGATGTATGGTAAATATAATAAAGCATTTTAATCACATCTGGAGATAAGTTGTAGATATTATTTGGAGCCACCATGCCTGCACTGCATTCTAACAAATTTCAAGCTGCAGACTCCCTGCACTCTTCTTGCCCCCACAAAATAATCTCAGTCCCAAAAGTTGATTTTTCAAAATTATTTTACTGAGGTTCATTAAAGATACATGTCAAGAAGTACAATTAACACAAAGAAAAAACAATAAACTGAATAAAATGCAAACTATTAACTATTCAGGTGGCCAGCCCAGGGTGTAGCTATGCAGCAGTAAGAAAATAAAGGTCAATTGCACTGGAGACATACCTTCAATCAGCAAAGTATGGTGTGTATGATCAATAAAGCATTAATCTCTCTCAATCAACACCCACTGCTCTAATTACCCAAATTTGACCATCCATAACGACTGGCACATTTATATTGCTTTGCTTGTTTTTTGTTTTTTCCCCCCTTCCTTATGAGATTTCACATAGGAAAAAGCAAGTATCATAAAAGGACTATTCAAAATAATGAAGAAAGCCAACTATTCTGTTGCTGTGGAATGGTGAGAGGAGATGAGTGGCTGACACAATGGATGCTTGTTCCTTCCAGTGTTGCTGAGCCAATATGGCTTCTTAGTATTCTGGGAAGCTGCAGGCTATAAAGCAAGCCAGATGATGACTAGGGCACAAGTGATACAAGTCTTGTTTTGACGTTGCCCAAACACCAGTTAGGGCACATAATTGTGCTTACCATGCTGCAGTACAGGTGGCAAAGATGACACATTTTGCAAACTGCACTGCATCCTCAAACAGGCAGCCAGCGGAACACTTTCAGTCAGTCCAGAGGTTGCCAACTCCCAGTACTGTATGGGGAAGAACCCGTGTTATCCTTAAGGACCCACTAGCTATACTTTTGGTGGATAAAGCCACTCTACTTTCAAGAGAACTTGACTTCGCAGTTGTTGCAGTTCCAATTGAAGTATTAAATGCCAAGCCATTCAATCAGGAAACCGTTTAAGAAATCACCAATTTCTTTGTATCAGGTAAAATGCTGTTCCTTCCATCTGTGCTAAAACTATTATTATTTATTATTATTTTTATCCCACCCTTCCTTCCAAAGGAGCCCAGGACAGCAAATGCACAAATGATAAATAAATCTAAAAATATTCCCAATGCTAATTACACAGAATGAAGTTGCTTACATGGACATTATGGGATGAAAGCGGGGAATGCTTACAGCATCTACCAGTTTTTAATTTTGATGGACAGTTCAACTGCCTTGCTTTCATTTTCATTTATACAGACAACATTATTTGCAAAGGACATAGCACTGATATTTAAGAGATCTGGTCCATTTGCAGTATATGTTCCATGGCTGACATCTACACTCAGCTAACAATGGCAACTAGTGACAGAAGCAAAGTTGAATAATGGGGCAATGTATAAATGCTTAGATATAGGTGCTTATGGGTCATTCCTTATATTTGAAGCTCCCTCAAAAAATTCTAACAAAGCCTGCTTTTCATTTGGAAGTGGAAAAGGCCAAGTTATTTGGAAGAACTTAAATGGGCGAGAATCAGTTACTATACAATGAGAAATAGTGCAGTGTTATTTATTTCACTAAAGGTTAGTTTGTCATTTGTAACCTTTAATGAGTCCATGGATCCTACAGATTAGGGCTGCAAACCCTATACTCAGTTTCCTGGATACAAGCCTCACTGAACTCAATGTGTCTTAACTTTTGAGTAGACATTTATAGTATTGTGCTGCACGACTACAGTTGTGTGCATACTTAGTTGGGAATACATCCCTCAGACGTCAGAATTGCTCAAGATTGGGTTGTGCATAGCTGTTTTTAACTTTTTGTTAATTATCTGTAGATATTTGCTCATGCTGGTGGCCAAGACGCTGTAGACATTTTGTCATCTCGCTTTTTGACGATGCAGTGACTTATTGATTGGTACCGTTGCCTCATCCATCACTGGCACACACTTGACTCAAAAGGTAGTGACACATTTGATTTCCTTCCACCCCCACGTTGCACAAAGGCTTAGAGCAGACTATTAAAAATAATGTACTGCCTGTATCTGAAGCAAATACTGTTGTCATCGTTACTTAAACCTTTTTATGCACCAATCCTAAAAATGCTGACATGCCTATGTTGGTAAAATTGATGTGTCTGTACCAGAGCAAGTAGATGTAAGATGACATTGATGTGTTTTTTTCCTTTCTTTGTGTCATGCCCCACACTACCTCCTGTGGCACATGTAAATCACCTCCTGTAACATGCAAGCTTTTGAGTTTGTGCAAATACTCTTTACATTAATTTCTGTTTATCACATTTTTATCCCATACTTCTTTCAAGTTCAGAGCAATATATGTAGGAGGTTGTCTCATTTTATGTTCACAACAACCTCAGGGTCAGAGCTAAGGGTCTGAATATATCCACACCCAAACACAATATGCTAGCTGCACTGTACATAAACAACCTTCAGTTATTTTGGTGGACCAAAAATAAAGACTTGAATGACTAAGATGAAATAAAGTAACTAACAGAATTAATACTTCTAAAACCACCTAGTGATCTAACCCCCATTGCTGTCAATGCATGAAATCTGTTGCTATTGCATCCCTGATAGCTGACCATCCCCTCTCTGCAAATAAATCTCTACCTTTCTTCAAGGTAGGCTGTTCACTGTTGAACAACTCTTACAATCACACCATTCTTCCCGTTTTGTTTATCTCCCTTTTCCTGCATTTTAAGTCATTCATTCGGTTCCTACCAACTGGATCAATGGGAAACCTATTTGCTCCATCATTTATGTGAGAGCCCTTGAACTACCGGTATTTGAAGCCTCTTTTCCAGGCTCAACACACCCAACACCTTCAACCTTTCCTCATTGTGACTTAGTCTCCAAGTCCCCCTCACCATCTTTGTTGCTCTGCCATCACATTTGCTTTAATGTTGTATGCTTGTGCATTTTAAAGCCCTGCTATGTTAAAAGAAATTTGGAAGGATAAGATGCAAATATCCTAATAAGTATTTTGTTGCACCTTTTAAAAAAAACTAAACTAAAGTAACTCATCCTTGGTGATTCCTGTTTGAGTGAAAGCCAGCACAAAGAGTTGCCATCACACACACAGCCCGCCCTCCTCAGGGCTGCTATGCCTTGGAGAGATTTGTGCAGACTATAAGAACCATGGCCAAACAGATGCACATACATGCTGAGTAGATAACTGTCATTCAAATACATTTTGCCTTGGACAATGGAGATAGAACATAGCCATTGTGGCTAATAGACACTGATAGCCTTATCCTCCATGAATTTGTCTAATCCTCTTTTAAAGCCATCCAATGGGATCATTACCTCTTGTGGGAACTAATTCTATAGTTTAAGTATGCACTGTGTGAATAAGTATTTGTCTCTGTCCTAAATCTTCCTACCATGTATAATTCTATACACCTCTTATGTCTCCTCTTACTCACCTTTTTTTCTAAACTAAAAAGCCCCATATTTGCAACTTTGTCCTCCTGATAATTTTGGTTGCCCTTTTCTGAACCCTTTCCAGCTCACACAATAGCCATTCTGAGGTGAAGTGACTAGAACTGTATATAGTTTTATTTTCAGTTCCTTTCCTAATGATTCTTAATGTGGAGTCTGCCTTTTTTTCAGCTGCTGCACAATGGATCAACATCTGCATCGGAGTATCTACTACAACCCCAGTGTTTTATTCCTGGGGAGGCACCACCAGTTCAGATCCTATGAGCGTATATGTGAAACTAGGATTCTTTGCCCCATGTCCAGCCCTTTACATTTGTTTGCATTGAGTTGCTTTTGTCATTTTACTTCCCGTCCAGCCAGTTAGGAGAAAT